GGGCTGCAACGGCAATAGGTTGGTGTGTAGGACCATTCTCGCCAACGCCGATGCTGTCGTGCGTGGCAATGTGGATTTGCTGGAGGCCTTGGAGTGCGGCCATGCGTATCGCTGCAGCTGCGTACAGGTGGAAGACGAAATATGTACTCGTCATGGGGATAAATGTGCCCCTGTTGAAGGCGGAGAGACCGTTTGTTATCGCGCACATTGCATGCTCGCGGATACCATAGTGAATATATCGACCATTGTAATCCCCGTCGAGACCGCAGGATGTTCGGAGGTCGGGCTATTTCATCTTAACAAACTGTAATCAAGAATTCGAAGTCGAGCTTGAGGGGGAGACTTTATTCTCAACTTACCGACTGAAAGTCAACCTTATTTTTGTACGCGACATTGCACGAAGGAGTAAGATCTGCCGTGCCCACCAGGAATGAATTGATATTCCCTGCAAGGGCATTTGTCACCACACCAGCGGATTTTCTAGAGGCAGTGGAGGCGGTAGGGTGATCTTCCTTGGAAGGAATATATTTGCTCCAGCCTTCTGGCATCTTTCCTGCAACACGGAGCGCAAATTCCCCGGCTTGAATGGGATATTCCGCACGATACGCCGCCACGGCTGCTTGCCAGTCCGCCTCATAAGCCTCGCCACGGTCGGGCATGTCATGGAAGAATTCATAAACATCTTGTGGAATATAGAAGTGGTTGTCGGGATCGAGACAGAACGACCTTTTGAGGGTAGCCACTTCTTCAACTCCGAGGGCAGCTCCATGTATGTCGGCTGTGCCAGCCTTGGTGGCCCCAAAGCCAATCACGGTGCGGATGTTGAGGAATGTGGGCTTGTCGCTTGATCGAGCGTCGATTAAAGCGTTCGTAACGGCTGATAATTTTAGCAAGAATCTTTGTGACCGAGCTGGGCGGTTTCCAAACTTACCGACGACATCCGTGTCACCATTGTACACGTTGATAACGTTGAACCCAGTAGCACGCATCTTCATGTTAATGTCCTCAGTGTTGGCAACATCAGCACTTCCGTCACATGTAACCGAGTTGTTATCGAAAATAACACATAAGTTGTTTAGTTTCCAATGGCCAGCGAGGGAAAGCGCCTCGAGACCCACACCTTCTTGAAGACATGCGTCACCGACCATGCACCATGTCATGTTATTCACCACCTCGTGGCCGGGCTTGTTGTATGTGGCAGCAAGATTTTTTGTAGCCATGGCAAGCCCGACAGCATTAGCGAGACCTTGGCCTAGGGGTCCAGTTGTAACCTCAATGCCCTCATTCTCGATTTCGGGGTGACCGGGACAAAGTGAGTCGAGATTCGCTGAGTGGTACGATTTGAGCTGATCGAGTGTCATACTTTCGACGCCCACGAGGTGCATAAAGGTATATTGCCAAAGACATGCATGGCCTATCACGATCATGCTCAGCTAGACCCAAGTATTCAGATTGACAATTGAGACATACCATTTGAGAGAACAAGACGATCCCGGTTGAAATAATCACAGTTCCGAGGGGAATATTTCATCACATATTTATATAAGGCAATTCCAATGGCGGCCATCCCCATAGGAGACCTTCAATAACATATTAACATCTTATTTTCCAAAGGATTTCGAGGCAAGGTGTATTTACCCAGCATGACCTTCGCCAAACTGCTGACAGACATCAGCGATGAAAGCTCGGAACACATTCAATACACGCTGGTGTTTTGCCGCACTTGCTAAGACCAGACCATCGTGAAGAGAGACCTCATTCTGGGTGGATGGTTTTGTCTTGGTCCGCAAACTCTCAATGGGTTGTTCAAGTAGTTCCAGCGTAGGTGCCATAATGGAAATCGTGTAACACCGTGACCTGATAGTTACTAAATCAAAGTTAACTGCTGGAAGTCGAGTCCGCTCCCAATTTTATATTTAAACAGACTCGAACCACACGAAATCGGAAGTGTCTGAGTATCATTGAGTCGAGGTGAGTGTAATGGCGTATCGGGTTCGATACGAAGCCCTGCATACTTCAATTCGAGTCTAGAGTGCTATCTGTAGCCAGAGGCCACTCTGTGGTCTTTGTGGTAGTGGTGTAGGCCGGCGTCATGATTGGTGGAAACCCTCGCTTCGAGGTCAATGGCTCTCGCCTCGACAGCCCAAACTACCGAACCTGAAACCAACTAAACCAGGTACCCATTCTAACGACTGGTTATGTCAAGCAGTGTGTTGAATGAAAGTGGTAATCGGTTGAGAGGCGGGTAGAGAGCCAGTACTATTCACGGGAATTGCCGAAAGATGGCACCGCAACATCACGCCCCAACAAAACACTTGTTTCCGGGAATGTCAGAAGGTTCAGGGGCCCAAGATAGTTATTGGTGGCGATCGGCCCCACAGTTGGACTCGATGCGAAGGCGTAAACCGGGGTTGCAAAAGTTGTGGGGGCGGCAAGTGGAATGCGGAGTGAGTTTGGAAGTGGATATTTGTTCCAGTGAATTTGAGGAATAACCGAGGAAAGTGGGCTGATTCCGGTCAAAGTCTAATATGTCAGGTCTGAATGGGCCTGTCGACTTTGAGGAAGCATACTAAGACATACTCTTTTAGATGGCCGATGTCTCCGCCACTACAACATTATTCACCCCCTTGACTTATCCTTCCAGCTTTCATTACACGCCATCATGAACGCAACAGATCTTGAAGGACAAGGGAAAGAGATCGCTTCCCATGAGTTTGAGAATGTGGATGCCATTGGGGCAATCTCATTCACTGACGAGGAAGAGAAAGCGCTGGTGAAGAAAATTGATCTCACCCTCCTGCCTACTATCTGGGTGATGTATTTACTGTCCTATCTGGATAGAACCAAGTGAGTCGGCCTTTTGAGCAAGAGATTATTTAATTTCCAAGACTGAATGTGAGAACTGTAATAGTATCGGGAACGCAAAGATCTCCGGGATGGAGGTAGATCTCAACTTGACATCCAATCAATACTCGATTGCCTTGGTTGTCTTCTTTGTTGGATATGTCGTTTTTGAAGTCCCGAGCAAGTATGGCATTCCATTCTAAAGATAATATTGAATATTGGTTGAATTTACTTATAACCTCTTCTCATCAGTCTCGCACTGAGCCGATCACGCCCCTCGATCTATCTACCGTCAATCATGATCCTCTGGGGAGCATTGACATGTGTCATGGCTGCTGTCAAAAGTTTCGCTCATTTGGTAGCCTTGAGAACGATTCTGGGTTGCATTGAAGCCGGATTTGCACCCGGGGTTATACTCCTCCTATCCTCATGGTACAAGCAAACTGAACAGTCAAAGAGGTTCGGGGTGTTTATTTCAGCTGCTGTTTTATCGGGCGCATTCGGAGGCCTCATTGCTGCCGGAATTGTTGAGGGACTCGAGGGTGCTCATGGAATTCGAGGTTGGCGATGGCTCTTCATCATTGAAGGTGTTATCACGATTGGCTTTGCTATATCTTCGATTTTCATTCTTCCAGATTTCCCGACAACGACTCAACGTCTCTCCGAACGTGAGAGACAAATAGCCGTGGCACGTCTAGCGAGTCAGGATTCTACAGCTACAACTCCAGACACTGAGCATCTAGGGAATTTTGATGCTTGCAAGGTGGCTTGTAAAGACCTTCGCACTTGGACATTTACCATTGGTTATATGGTTAGTTGATGTCCCTTATGCTCTATTCCGAGATCTTCCTTTGCTTTGTCCCTGAAAGATTCACATTATCCTTTTTTTGCTTTCGAGGATATTATTCCGTTTAGGTTGATATTTTCACCATTGATATTCCCGACTCGCTAACCTGACTACTATCTACAGGTTATTGTTGGCTCGAGTACGCTGACATACTTTTATCCCACCCTGGTAAAAGGGCTCTTTGGAAGTGTATCGACTAAAGAGATCAACTTATTGACCGTTCCAATCTATGGCGTGGCATTTGTTGCAACTGGAATTACCTCCTATTACGGTGATAAGATTTCCACATGGCGTGGTTTGATCATCGCTTGTTGGCTTGGATTTTCCTTGATTTGCTCAATCCTCGTATGTATCATACAGGATTTCTCGGCTAGATATGCTCTTCTGGTCTTAATGGCAGCCGGTCTGTGGTCTACGAATGGAGGAACCTTAGCGTATGCATCTTCCGCATTTGCTAGTATGCATCCCCAGGCCCGGGCAGTTGCCTTAGCTATGGTTAATGCCTTGGGTAATCTGGCACAGATATATGGATCGGTAAGAATTTGATCTCACTCAAAATTTTACCTGAACCATCCTTAGAACTAAAATCAACCTTACAGTACCTCTTTCCTGTGAGTGACAGTCCCGAATACATTATGGGATTTTCGGTCATTTCTGCCATGCTGACAGTAGGCGTGATTGTCTTTTTGTTCTTGCATGTATGGTTCCGTCGGCGTCTGCGGTCGGGGCTCATTTAGTGAGGACCTAGAGTCTAGCGCACAAGACAAATATCATGTGTGTACACTGTTATTTTGGATTATCTAGGAGAGCGCCAAGTAAATATTGCGATTGAGAGGATGAAACCAAGCCTCTACTGTTATGTGGCATCATAGACGAGATAAGGCATTAGTTCGAGGTTAATAGACAAAATCATGTATCAATTCACGTCCTTTTATCAATAGCTACGGGCTTGTCCTTTGTGTCCACTTCTTGCGAAAGAATAATCAAATTTTGTTTAGATATAGAAAAAAGCTAAGGAGAAAAGAAATGAAGTCGATCTTGGATTGGGCCCATTTATGAATAACCAAGTGTTAAACTCTTGAATCGTGTTGATTGGCTTAATATCAGGGATAGTGCCAATTATAAAGTAAAGGCCAACATTTGAATTTATATCATCATGGTAAGAAAGGCATTTTTGGAGTAAAAAAGCTCTAGCTCCTTTCGAAGTGACTTTTCAGGCCACCGGAGTCTCTGTTGACAAACGTCCAAAAGATTCAAAAGCGCGAGTCTTTCACGCTCATCGTGAAGGCAGATTGCCGCTATTTATAAATTAGCTATTAACTTGCATATAGTGTTTGGTCCTTGATACTTTACCTTTAAAAAGACAATGCATCGAGACCAGATTGGCGGCTATGTCATCTGCGTGAACAGACCTTGCAATTCCACATATGATACTCATAGCTGCAGCTAACATGTGCTTTGGCCGCCGATCGTTGACAATAGATCCTAAGGAAGGATGGTGCAAGATTACAAGCACGAGGGAGAGGTTCTGGATCTGCAAAGCGGCAGCATAAGATGCTGGGTTAACCCATATGGCGGGGAAGATGTCTTCCTCTGATGTCAATGGCAGAGGTTTATACTCTGACGGAAGAGCTTCACACCATTCCTTGAGCATCTGTAGAAGCTCATTTCCTCGATCAGAACGTCGCACAGAGACCTCTTGGCTCTCTTCTTGCGATATATAGTTGACACACTGGCCAAGCAAATACCATGCATATCTAGCTAACTCTGGAGCTGTTGACGAGGCAATTCTCCTTTCTGGCTTCCATATGTTGAGTGTCCGACGTCGCTCGAGTAGAGCGGCCCAAGTATCTTGTTGAAGCCAAGACCACCACAAGGCTGACTGAAGGCCTTTACATTCACCATCAATATCCTGGAACTGTTGAATCCAAAAAATCCCTTCGATGTGCCTTTTCCAATTAAGAATCGAACCATCAATCATTTCGTAGGTGCTGATTAAAACGGCAGCGGCAACTAGATCTAAGTTTTGAGTATGAGATGGATGATGTATGACCGATTTCAGGTAACGAAGGGACTCAGTGTGGTATTTCGCCGCTGAGCTTCGAATGGCTGTGCTGTCTCGATCCTTTTCAACGTCGGCGTTCTCACATGGGATGCAGCTAAAATCTTCCCTTTGCACCCCTCCCAGAGAAAGATGGCGCGCTGAAAGGGCCAGTAATGCTTTCATCAAGCCGACGTTTCTCAGAGCTAGGTAAGGGACTATTCGCGTGAAATGGATTTCTGGGTCATGAAAATCCAAAAGCTTGCTCACAACCTCCACAAAATGCCGAAAAAGATAAAGCTCCAACCCCAAGAGCGTAATTGGCCGCTGCAAAGTCCAGGAAGCCGCGTCGGTCGTGTCAGTCACAGAGAACAGCTCTTGGGATTCGAAGGTTTGATTATTCCCCGGCTCTTCCGACGAGGGCGCTTCGAACATGCCATGCCCCTGTCTTGAAACACAAGGAGATGTGCTTAGTGTACTGGGGGTAAGGAGTGCCGCATTATCCTCTGTGTTATGGGCGATCGCATATCCTGTCCTGAAGCTAGGATTTGGTTCTTGAATCGATTCGTGATCCCGAAGTGATTCCGGCAGGCCTTCAAAAGGAAAATGAGCATCTCCTAAGCTCTCTTCGCACACTCGATTTCCAGCTGGTTTTGGTGGGGATTTGGATGCAGGTAGTGGCATAGTAGGATCATGACTATAGATGCAAGATCGGTTCCCAGTTTTACAAGGGCCGCATTGAGGTCGAGTCTAAGGAGTTAGGAAATCACTATACCGAAATTTTTCACTAACATATTGAAGGGTTTATACCTCGTCGCACTTGATATGGCGGCGCTTGCAGATGACGCTGGAGTAGTGTAAGCAGATCGAAATATCTCAGCCCAAAGTACGAGGGAACACCGACCACCCAGTAGTAACACGCAGTCCACGTCCCCGAGATTTGCGCTTTGGTCGAGCTTTAGGCTCTTGTTTTACCATGACAAGCTGATGGGGGAACGGAGTACGGAGCTAATCCTTTGGGGGTATAGCATAATCAAGCCAAAATCCAACGACGGAGGTGAAGTAACCAGAGAGGAATTTGCAAGTAATTCAAGCCCACTGAATAGGGACCGACGTCTCGCATCGATGCATAATGCCTGCTGCCAACATGTCCCATAACCTGGCGGGGTAGTTCACTTCATTTTGATATGGATCGTGATTCGTGAACATCAAGCCTCGAAATGGTGGCAATTCATAGTGACATGGAAAAGACATTGGGAAATTCTCCCCGGCGTGGTGGGTCACTTTCATTGTCTCAAGTCGCCGAGAAGAACATTGTGGCGCTGATGCTCGCCAAGATGGCCCGTCCTGGGACTCGATGCGAGGAACTATCGGACTTCCTCGCCAATCACATATCGTACGCTTCCAGGTCGGTGGGACTCAGGTGGAAGCCGTTAAGCGAGGCCGGCGTCTTTCTTCGAATGCGTTTTGTAACCCCAAAAATGAAGATCAGATCAAGTCGGGCGAGAGCGAAGACACGTCGGTCCTTCATTCGGCTAGAGCTAAAGCGATTCGAGTTTATCGATCGCTGCTCGGTCATTTAGCAGGACGATAGTGCTGAGATAGATTTAAATTAGGGAACCCCCCCATTCTAATGTCACTAACATCCTTTGGAATCATTTATCTCACAGAAAAATCTGTCTTCCAATATGCCTCCAAGTACGTCGGGAATTGAAGCCGTCAATGGCAATAACAATGGCGGCGATACCACTGCACCAAATCAAGCCACCTCGAGTATATCACCAACATTCCTGAACACCCAACCAGGCTCCGATCACAATTGGAAGATTACACTGGAAAGAAAGGTCATCGCTATTACCGGTGCCAACAGGGGCATCGGCCTAGCGCTTGCAGAGGTTTGCTTAGCCAACGATGCGGCGAGCATTTTCAGCTTGGACATTTTCGAGCCGGGCGAGGAGTTCACTGCTATACAAAAGGCCAACCCAAAGAAATTGCACTACATCCACTGTGATGTCACTTCTGAGGACAGCGTGAACTCCGCAATCGACGCTGTTATCGCTCAGGGGGGTGCTATTCATGGCTTCATCGCGAATGCCGGCATGACGAAGCATCAACCAGCATTTGACTTCAGTCGCGCCCAGTTGGATCAACTGTTCAACCTCAACGTTTTTGGCGCTTATTTCTGCGCCACTACAGTTGCTCGTCGGTTCATTGATTTGGGGATCAAAGGATCTATTGTCTTTACTGCTTCCATGACATCTTATCGTCCAAACCGCGCAGCGCCTTCGGCTCCCTATGGTGCTACAAAGGCTGCTGTACGAAACATGACACATACTCTGGCCATGGAATGGGCCAAGCATGGTATCCGGGTGAACTCAATCTCGCCTGGTTTTATCAAGACCGCCATGACCTATTTTGTGGACCAGGCTCCTGACTGGGATTTGAAGATGCAATACTATGGCGGCATGCCCAGGTTGGCTGACCCCAAGGAACTTGGTGGAGCTTATGTCTACCTGCTCTCTGACGGCGCCTCGTATACTACAGGAATCGACATTCCGGTTGCTGGCATTGTGGGAGCCTGGTAGGAGATCTTAATCATCCAAGGAACGGTAGTATGATTTTGATGATAAAAATAATGCAACTGGAAAAGCCACAACCATTGAAGTCATCATTCAGGAATGTTTGGTCAATATATTGGAACATATAGAATAGGTACTTGTATTAGTTCAAAATCTTGGATATCATTAGCTTCCACGACGTCATCGAGTAGACAGAATTAAAAACACATACTCCTCAGTTGGGATTGCCGGAATTGCATTGGCTTGGTTTGTCTGTAGGTGTATCGGTAGAGATCATTCCTCCCAGCACTTTTTGAGTCGGGCTACTAGAAGGCCCTTTGAAGGGAATCCGCTGATTCTCAACATATGATCTAAAACATTGAGCAGTTCTTCACGCATCTCGGGCAGACGAACAAATTGGCCAACTTGGTGGGATCCATCAGTAAAGATAACCAACACTAAAATCAGGGAAATACTGACCTGCAAATAATGCCTGCACGTTGACAAACGCCATCGCCGGTTCATTTTCCTGGCAGGAATTTGCGATCCCGCAGACCATCTTAACGCTTTCGGTAAGTTGTTTTTCGCGCTGCATGTAGGTGCTCAGTCCCCCCCATCGTTGGTTGATTCAGCAACACGGCTGTTCTCGCGAGATGGTACATTTGCATCGCCCCTGCATGGTTCGTCGGGTGGATCCAGATAGGCGGGAATAAAGTATTTGACGTCGGGCTTGTGGCAACTGTGACTGGCTGGTATGAAACAGGGAGGATACGATACCAATCAGCGAGTGCGCTGAGAAGCCGGTCGCCTTGATCGATTCGGTCTCTTGGATCCTGATTTGGCAGAATTTTATCAGAGGCAGCATATTTAACGCACTTTCCGCACAGGTAGACAATCCGCGTCGCCAATTCATCCGAATTCAGGGTCTCAAGAGGCTTTCGAGCTCGCCAGAAGGTGATAGTCGGTCGTCCTGCTTGGAAAGCCGCCCAAATATCCTGTCGAAGCCAGGCCCACCAAACGGCCCGCCTCAAACCGTCAACAGACTCGCCATCATTGTCTTGAGACCGTTGAATCCAGAAAGAGCCCCTCAAATGCTGTTCCCATACGCCGCTGTTCGGGACGCTGTCGCAGTCGAACATTTCGTACGTGCTGATCATCGTAGCTGTTGCTAAAATCTCGTGCGAGTCAGCATAGGCGGGATACAGCAGTGTTTGTGAAAGATAGTGGAGCGTTTCGTAATAGTATTGCGTGGCCATGTGTGACGTAGTAGTCTCAGAGTCTGGCGATAAACCTGTTGCTGTTTGTAGTGTGGGAGCATTCTCATTTGGCTGGTATTGGTTGCTTGACGAACCCCCATCTTGTACATTTGAAGAAGAAAGTGACATATGCTTCGCACCAACTGCAAGGATTGATTTCAAGAGACCTTTGTTCCGTAGTGCGACGTGGGGAACGACGTTGGTAAGATGCCGAGCGGGATCAAATAGGTCTAGGATTGGCCCAACAACTTGGATGTAATACCGGAAGAATGAGAGGTCAATTTCCAATAGTTCTATCGCAGTTGCTGTATTCCAAATTATAGACAATGGATGATGACCGGGGGCAGATTCGCCAGTTCGGTCGTCGCAATTGTGCAAAAGTGTTTGTTGCTGCTGCTCTTCATAGTGATTTCTAGCCTGCTCAGGCCGAGAATCAACATCTTCTGGGGCTACTGATTGTTTGCGAGAGAGGGCAATCTCAAAAGACTTCCAACTCGGATCTCCATTCGAGGTATCATTCTGCCGTTGGATGTCGCTGATGGCATCCCGTGCTAGCAAATCATACCAATCAAAGGCGGAGGTGTTGAGCAGGGATAGCTGACTCGGCGATAGTGGCGATTCTGGGAATGTGGAGTCAAAGCTGGGCAGCCTCTGCCCGTGATGCTCATTCAGGTGGTTATGCCGCGTTGGTCCAATCGGGTCGCCTCGGTGCGGCGGCGCGACATCCTCGGCAGGGGTGGGACAAGTGGCCTGGGGGTGCGGTGCTATCCCAATGATGCCCTGTTGTGGGGAAGGACTTTGAAATTCCACCTGGGGGGCATGTATATTGTTGGCTCTGCCATCGCCAATGGAGGCTATGTCCTCAGACCTCGTGTTCTCCCGAGAGTCTGGGTGTGTCCTAGTGGGCTCTCCCTCGTTCTCGGCTCTGGCGGCATGTTGTTGATCAACGTCTTGAGTAATATTCTGGGCATAACGACAGATTCGATCAGACTTGGAGCATCGTAAGCATGTGGGTTTACCATCGTCGCATTTCACGCGTCTCTCTCTGCAAGTGAGGCTGTGATGTGCATGTGAGCTCTCGCTTAGGGGCCTTCGGATTTGACTGAGCAGACTATCAGCTTACCACCCTGTTCTGGTTCTCAATCCACGTGCCCGTGAGGGTCTGATACGTCGACGACGATGCCCCGATTCGCCAGCCTCCGTCGTTGACGTCTGCCGTGAGTTGCCGACGACATTCATGGGGGGGGCATTGCGGTGGATGGTGGATTCGTCTCGAGGGCGCTGCCCCCAATGTAATAATTTAAATAAAAGTCACCTTAGGCGGCACACGCGGATGCCTTATGCCTAAGGCATTTAAGTATGCCAACTAAGGTGACTATTAGGGGTTTGATAGTTAACTACAGCCCGCGTCTTGATTAGTCATTCTCAAAAACACAGTCAACAGGCTTCTTGATTAGATCACATCAAGATTTTCAGAAAAAAAAATTCATAATAAAATACTAGATATAACAGTCTTTTACAAAGCGAAATATGGAACTTTTCAGAAGTTGCCATAAGCACAGACGAAAATTGTATTGACTATTTAACTCGTGTCCCTGGGAGTCTTGACGTCACTAATGCTTCCAGTCTTTCACATTGAACACGCATATATTAATGGCATTTACATGACAAGCACTGGCTTTTTTGCCTTTGTCCAGAAAGTAGACCACCTCTAGAACCTCAAGCTGCATGCTAAAGCGTTTCATAAATCCCCACCTTCCTTTGAAACGGAGACAGCGTAACTCATGTCTTTACTATTCTCATGTCGCAAGAGCCAGCTGCTCCGCCACCGCCTGGTGTTATACCGTATCTCGAGAAACCATTAGGAGGCATTCACCTGTGGCTGATAGTGACACAGTCGCTTTGTACCCCTGTTGTCGCATGCTTCGTTATAACGAGGCTGTTTGTCAAACTGTTCAAGCAGCAGTGTTTTGTGCTAATGATTGTAAGCAGCTCCCCGGACTAGTTATCTGACGTTGCCGTATACTGAATTTGGTTTAGGGATGCGTTTAATATCTTGGGTACGAGGATTTTGCACATGGAGGTAATGTATTATTCAGTTCATCATATTGACTCTTATAATGTAGCTCTCTTCAAATTTTGGTACTTCTCGGAAAATATATCTGATTACAATTGATATTGAAATTTATCTCTCTTCAGCAGCATGTGGAGGTGGAGGATACCATCAATGGGATATTCGGAAGAATAATATGTTTCTTTTTTTTGAAGGCAGGTGAACCACCTATATACGCAAGAGCAGTATCATTTAACTAGATTCGTGCTACGACCTCTTGTATAATAAATGTTCTATACAGCCCGCTTAAATTGAGAGTCAAATTGTCGATTTTATTTACGCTCGCACGACTATTTTCACCATATCGGAGATTAGCTACGTTTATTTACTCACTCATTACGGCACTAGCGGCATACACTATCGCAGCATTGGTGGTAAAGGCCCGCATCTGCAACCCTATTAAAGCCTTTTGGCTTGGTACCGAAGCTACTAATGGGGCGTGTCTCGATGTCCTGAAGGTCTTCCTTGCTGAGACAACTTTCAGTGTAATTACTGACTTGATTATATTTGCTCTGCCAATGGTAGTGATTCCCGTGCTTCACCTGCCCCTTATGAATAAGCTTAGAGTTATTGCTCCTTTGGCAACAGGTGGTCTGGTGTGAATTGTGACGATTGTCCGGCTGGTATGGGTGATCTCATATCAAAACTCAGTTGATACAACATGGACAACCAAGCGGACGGATCTTTTCACCTGTGCGGAAATTACAGTTGGGATCATCTGTGCCTGTCTTCCAAGTGTGTACTTCTTTCTGAGCCAGCGCTTCTCTTTTCTCTCCCTGCGAGGCAGCTATGGTGGATCATGACTTCAAAAACCACAAATCTGTGTTCTAATTTTCTTCAACTTGGAATCTATACCAGGGGATGCCCTTAATATTGCCTCCGAATACTGCCACTTCTGGGGTGCTCATATTTTTGCTTCGCAACTGTACAGGGCAAGTAGTTGTGTTTCAAGATGGCCTTGTCATCCTAGGCTAATAATGTTGTTGAAAATTCATGCTAATCGGCTATTAGGCGACGCACCCCTAAAACGCCATGCCAAATGCGAAATTTCGCAACACAATATATTCACAGCCACAAGATGCGTTGACTTTGGTTCTAGTATGGTTCTAACTTTGATAGGTAGTATCATGCCCAGGTGATTCAAAAGTTGTAACAGGTCGGAGTGATTGTTGTTAAAATATTCAAGTTTAAATTTGGTGCCTTCACCATGTGGTCATTAAGCGAGGGGCTGGACAATAAGCGAAGCTGACATGAAGCGAGCAGGTGATTGAAAACTGCAATTGTACTAATCAAAGCTTGATTTTCCACGAACGGAGTTCATACATCCTCCCAAGATCCCTTCGCGAAGTAAAGTTATAATTTATCGATGTTGTTATGATTCGTCCATTTGTTGGTATGTTGGGTAGTGGCTCGCTTACTGACCAGCTCGCTTCGGGACCACATCAGCCGTTCGCTTCGATCACCATGGCTTCACAAATCAGATATCCATCTTCTACAGTATCAGGAGTTTACATTGAAAAATGAGTGTGGCAAGGTCAACATGTGAAAATTCACGGGTCTCACAATTCATTGCCGTCCTATACTTGTGAAGTCACTCGTCAACTCATCGTCGAGTACCTCAACCACATAAGTCAAGGTACCTCCTGGCAGATCTGGAGCTTACACCTGATTCCAAAATGGCGAGTCACAGTTCTATCGCAATTTCTTCCGATGCTAGGGATATGAAAGTGGATCACATGGCCAGCGTTACTCCCAGTCAGCGCTTCTTTCAATTTTTTCAACCTCAGCCACAGGCAGGACACCAGCATTGCAGCGACCATGTCCGGAGGGACCTCACCATTCGCTCGACGCAAGTCTGCCATGCTTCAACATCGACATTTTTATCGGTAGATGAGGCACTGCGCATAATCAGTGATCAGACTCTTTCACCCTTTGCCGTCAACACTCCAGTGACCACATCTATCATTGGCTCAGTTATTGCTGAGGACGTCTATGCTGAAACAATGGTGCCATCTTGCCACGTCAGCGCCGTCGATGGCTATGCGATTGCTTTGGAAGAAGGAAAATCTTCAAAGGGGACATTTCCAATAGTATTCGCTACTGGTACCGGCACCAGTAGTCTGGGACCTCTTCAACTAGGGACCGTTATGAGGACTACAATTGGTGCACGCCTTCCTCCTAATGCCAACGCCGTAATCAAGGAAGAAGACGCGACGGTCGAGGGAATGGAAAGAAAATACATCACAGCCACGACCGATAATATCGTTATCGGGAATAATATTCGCGATCCTGGTAGTTACATCGCTGGCGGGTCCCGAATCTTTGCCCGTGGCGATGCTCTCACACCTTTATCCGGGGCAGTCGGTTTGCTCGCTATGGCGGGTGTTCAAAACGTCAGAATATTTAAGAAGCCCCGAGTGGGCCTGCTCAGCATGAGCGACGGGGACGCGGAAAATATTTCTCGTTTGCAAAATGCCAATCGTTTGGGTGTGTTATCCAGTTTGATCTCACGGGGTTTTGAGATTGAGGACCTCGGGACCGTTCACGCGACGATGCATAGTGAGCTTAAACGTGCCATGCGTTTTGGGGTGGACTTGATATTACTCATTCATGGTGCATTCATAAACGAGTTAGATCTTTACGGTGTTATAGAGACTCTTGGCGGTTTCATCCACTTCGATCGCGTTCTCATGAAACCCAGCAGCCATATCACATTTGCGACAACACCTAGCTCCGACGAAAATGGCGTACCGCAGTTACCCTCTATACCTATCTTTTCGCTTCCCAGTGATCCAGCATCAGCACTAGTGGCTTTCAACTTATTTGTTCTACCTTCACTAAACAAAATGAGTGGTCTGAATGAGAGGTTGAGCACTGTCGGTGTTAGACCTCGGAAGAGATCAAAATTTGGTCTACCTCGAGTCGCCGTCGTTCTGACACATCACATTCCCCTCGATCCCAAGAGAACTGAGTACCACCTTGCCATCGTTACGGCCTCACTCTCAGATGCCAGGTTATATGCCACTGGCATAAGTACTGAAGCTAGAGGGGCGCAGGATACTGTGGGTAGTAGCAGGATGGAGGCTAATGCATTAATTGTACTTCGTGCAGGACGAGGAGTCTGTCTGAAAGGCGAAATTGTGGAAGCGCTGCTCATGGGCCCTTGTTCCGGCTCAGATACTCGACTTATTTGCTGAGGGGTCTACTATAATTTTGAGTACACGGGAATATCTCTTCCAGGACTGACGGATATTTGGTTTCCAGGTACCTCTGTGGTATATACCACAGATAGACTGCGACATATCCGCTCCAATGGATATGAGATCCAATACCATATCCGCAAATTGCAGATATCGGATATGGCTTCAATACTATATCCTCAATTTATCCGCACTAGCGTAACTCTCACTAATTTTGCTAAATCTAGTAATTTTTGTATACGGATCATATTTTGGTCACCTGATCGCCTAAATAGGGCTTAAAATAGTTTCTCTGTGTAAAACATAGAAACCAATTTTGAATATTGCTGTACTCCGTACCCCGGTCTTCTCTTCTCGTTTCCCCGCGCCCCCACTCCCTTCCCTTTTGCCCCATTCTCCCCAATTTCTCCGATTTCTCTCCGCACCTCCCCCGCAATATTCGTACTGGCTAACATGGCTCAACAGTGAGCTTCCAGAGCCTGCGACCCTTGCAAACGCCGGAAAGTTCGCTGTAATGGCCAGACCAAATGCCAGCAATGCACTCACCTTGGCCTCAAATGTACATATGCCCCTCACTCGGTCCAGCGTACGCGAAAGGACCGGCGACGAGGCAGTGTAATCACTGAGTGCCGAACATGGAACTCATCAGGGTCAATACCTTCTTCAATTCAATCACATCCCAGCCCGGAATTCTTTCTCGACCTCTTACCCAGCTACACCGAATGCGTTTAGCCCATTAGCCCAGTTGTGACAGAAGCTGAAGCCCGAGATATGATCTTGCATATTAACAAGAGTCACGGCGCAGCCTCCTTCACCTATATTTTCGCCGCTGTGACTCTGAACCTCAGTTGGAGCGGACTTGCGACCGGCAGTTCTTACGCAAAAGTTTGAGCAGATACGTTTGAAGTATCCCGAGATCAAAGAAATCGAGTTGCTACTCTGAGAGCGACCGTTACATAACTGCTACGAACTGATCTTGAATGTGCTCAAGGCCCAGGTGTCTCTGATGACGATCATGAAATACCTAGGTATAGTACGATCTTCCAAAACTCTCGATCTATCAACTTGAATCAAATGCCGAAGTCATGCAAAACTCTGGGACCTGCTGGCATAATCTTTTATTTATCGAAGAGATAAACACGACCTTCCAGCGGTCGCAAGAAATCTAGCGGCTCATCTTCATAATTCTTGATTATGGCCTTCGGTGGTGAATTCCCAAGTCGCTCCGCGATATCAATAGGTTTTGCTTCAGCAGTGAAGTTCAGCAAAACAAGAAGTTTCTGATCATCACCAGTCTTTTCGAAAACAAAGAGACACTCATCGGAGGGATCGGTATCACCGAAAACACCATGCGCGAATACCTTAGGCAAAGACTTTCTCACACGTAGCGCCTCCTTCCAAAAGGCCAAAACTGATTTTGAATCACCCTGCTGCTTCTCGACATTGAGAGTCGGGTATTCATCATGCACGCGCATCCAGGGTTTTGCAGACTCCGTGGTGAACCCAGCATTCGCTGTGCCATCCCACTGCATTGGAATGCGCGAATGGTCTCTGGCCAGGTGGGCCAGCGCTTCTTTGGCCTTTTTGACGGCGGCCGGGTCATTCTGTGTTGAATCTTGGATGAACTTGTAGTAGTTTATACTATTAACATCCTTGTAATCTTCAATGTCCCACTCGAGCGGGAAATTAACCATGCCAATTTCCTGTCCTTGGTAGATGTAAACCGTCCCGGAGAGTGTCGTGACCAGGATAGCCAGCATCTTTGCACTGAGTGCCCAGTTTTCTGGCGTTTCCTCGTTTCCCCATCGTGAAATCGATCGAGCTTGGTCGTGATTTTCAAGAAACGATGTGCTCCAGCCATCGGTGGGCACAAGTTCCTGGGTTTGTGCGATTCTCTTGCGAAGCTCGGGGAGGGTCCAGTTGCGTGGTTTTGTGTTGAACGTTGGATCACCGGTCCCGACTTCAACCACATCGAATTGAAAGACCATACTGAGCTTTTTCTCCTTGGCTGAGACGTAGCTGAGTACCTCGGCAATTTCCGGGGTATGAGGGAGCTCGCCGACTGTCATTGCGTCGTATTTAGCTAATATTTGGCCCAAATCGAGCAGGAATTCATGGATTCGGGGCCCGTTGCAAAATAGGGAATGTGCCGGCTGCCATTCAAGGCGCTCGTCAATAACAGGAGCATCGACGAATGACATTTTCGAATACATGTTCACTGTGTCGACGCGGAATCCATCGATTCCCTTTTCCAGCCAGAAAGTAACGGCCGAGTCGTAGATTGCCTTTCGTGTTTCCGGATTTTCCCAGTTCAGATCAGGCTGCTGCGCGGCAAACAGATGGAGGTAATACTCCTGCGTTTGATCGTCGAATGCCCAAGCGCTACCGCCAAAATAACTGCGCCAATTGTTGGGAGGACGACGGGTTCGATCGGCGTCATATTTTGCTGGGCGCCAGATGTACCAGTCTCGCTTGGGGCTCGACTTGGAGGATCTTGATTCTTTAAACCATGCATGGAGATAGGAAGTATGGTTTATCACTAGGTCGAGTAGAATTCGTAGACCGCGCTCGTGGCATGCTGCGATGATAGCTTCGACGTCGGCGACAGTGCCGTAAGGTGCATAGACCTCTTCGTAATTTGAAATGTCGTAGCCCATGTCGTACTGAGGACTGTCGTACATTGGGCATATCCAGATTGAGTCAACGCCTAGGGACTTGATATAGTCCAGCTTACTCAGAATGCCTGGCAGGTCGCCGATTCCATCGCCGTTTGTGTCTTTAAAGCTGGCAGGATATATCTGATAGATTGAAGCATTCTTCCACCATGGAGATGACATGTTGAAGATTAAGATAGGATTCAAGCGGAGAACTTTGGAAAGTTGGTAAAAGTTGGTAAGGTTAGAATCGAATCAACCCTTAGACAGTTCGAGTCGAACTAAATAAATGAGTGGTTTGAATGCAAAAATTTGACGAAATTGAAAGAAACTGCCCTTGATTCTTTTATCTTGCTACATTTCTCCACTGATGTCGGACAAGGGAGTATAATTGGTCTATTATTGGTCCGAGATCATTACCCCGCTGGCAAGCACGCCAGCCTGGCACACCCGACTCGTGCATTTAATTGGTCTTATCTCGGACCGATTAACTCTTTGACCTGCCTCAATGTGGTGCTGTTCCGGATTTCGTGAAAACAATTTGGCTGCCAGTGGCTGATACACAATGCCAATTTTAGGCTCATGCACAAGATTTCCTTTGATCACCCCTGCTATCTAGATCAACCCCAAACTTTCTTACCCCGCGATATGGCTCCATCCGCGTCACGCCAGCCGGAGAGAAATTTCGGTACGACAAATGGTTGGCTATCCTGAGGAGGTTGAGCTTGTCAGGTCTTGCGACAAGTCTTATATAAAGGCCATTTTGGTACTATACAAAAGGATACCGAAGAAATATTAAGTTTCGTCCAGAATATTCAAGATATTTTATACTATCACTTCAAGTTCCAAGGTTAACCACGATGTCTCGTCTAAGTTCCGGCGACGATCCCAAGCATCATGGCAGAAACGAAATTCCCCATCCCGATGTCATTCCAGAGGCAAAACGAGCAACTAAAGCCGAACATAATATGAGTCTGCCTCAGACTTTGAAGATGTACCCTCACGCTGTGGGGTGGTCAGTTCTTTTCTCCACCTACTTGGTCATGGAAGGATATGACAATGCACTCTAGCTACGCTGTTTGCATATTGTCCATTCCAATCTACCTTTGGTGTCAACCAGCCGGACGGAAGCTATCAAACAACCTCAGCGTGGCAATCTGGATTTATGAACGGGTGCCTTGTTGGTCGGATTTTGGACTTGCTTGCTACTGGTATGATCGTCGAGCGCTTTAGCTATCGCAAGAGCATCATTGCTGCCATGGTGGCATGTATTGCTTTCGTCTTTATCATCTTCTTTGCGAAAAACCTTTCAGTCCTTTTGGTGAAAGAGATCTTAATTGGCATATCATGGGGTGCTTTCCAAACCACGGCTACTTCTATGCTTCGGAGGTCTGCCCTGTTGTATTAAAACCATATTTGACGACTTATGTCAATCTGTGATGGGTGATGCGTCAATTGATTGCAGCGGCAAGACACAATTTTCAAAAATCATGCTTCCCGGTGCTGACTTTCTCATGGGTTGCTCAAAGGCATGCAAGGCCGATCTAACTAATGGGGGTATAAGATTCCATTTGCCATCCAATGGTTTTGGCCAGTCCCGATCATTATCGGCGTAGCTCTAGCCCCCGAGTCGCCATGGTGGCTGATGCGAAAAGAACGCCCCGAGGAGGCACGCAAGGCCCTCCTGCGTTTGATTGTCGCCAATAAAACCCCAACTGCAACATTGACGATACGATACAATAATGCCACTTGAAACTAAAATCAGCGCTGGTACATCTTACGCGGAGTTGATCTTCGACGTACGGAGATAGTTTGTTTGACATGGGCCACTCAGGCATTGTGCGGGAGTTCCTTGATGGAGATTCGACATACTTCTTCCAACAAGCGAATCTCGCGACTAGCAATGCCTTCACAATGACTATGGTCCAGTATATGATAGGTGTCATTGGAACTATTCTGTCATGGCCAATGATGAGTAAATTTGGCTGAAGAACTCTCCACATCAGTGGTCTGGGTTCAATGGGAGCTGTTCTATTCATAATCGGCTGCCCGGGAATCATTTCGAAAAAGTCCAAGCCCGCCCAGTGGGGAGTTGATGTTTTTTTGCTTATTTTTTTTTTGCTTTTTTACACGCTTGTTTATGATTTGACCGTCGGGTCTATTTGTTACTCACTGGTTGCCCAGCTTAGTTCGACGCGTCTGCGCTCGAAAACCATCGTTCTGGCGGGAAATTGTTTTACGATCAGCGCTTTGGTTACAAACACGCTGGTTCCAAGAATGTTGAACCCCTCTGCGTGGAATTGGGGTGCGAAGATAGGCTATTTTTGGGCAGGGCCATGTCTTCTTTGTTTCATATGGGTATTTTCTTGTTTGCCGGAACCCAAGGATCGTAGTTATACCGCGTTGAATGTGTTGTTTGAGCAGGGGGTTTCGGCTCGGAAATTCAGCTCGACGTTCGTTGATCCGTTTAGTGGGAGAAATGGCGGGAGTCTAGAAGATAAGGGGGCAGTGGATACGGTTGTCGTGAAGATTGAACGCATTTAAGTTCGAGCTCAAGTTGTATCATAGAGGGACCTGGGCAAGCATCCACCCAAGAGTCATTACCTAGGTAACTCGAACCTTGGAACTTGAAACTTGGACCTGCCTAATGGTAGTAGTTAAATAGTCAGTTAGTTATAAGTGCCAGTATCTACGATTTCCAATGTTTCAAACAGCTAACTACCCTAGTGGGCAATCTCGGGAGCGGGTCGGCCAGTATCTGCAATAAAAGGAAACTCCGAAATCTTTAATTCAAGGGGTTGTTGACTAAACTAGTAACAGCAAGAACCATTTGATTACTGAAGGAAACAGATTTGTTGTGCTGGTATACGAGCCAAGATGCGACCGGGGGTTGCAATCAGATAAGGCCAAACACGCCGAGAGATTCGCAGAGGTCCACTATTTGATTCCCATTACCCTTCCCTCCAATGAGCGATCTTAAGGCTGCATAAATTTGGAAGCTCCTAAAAGTGTGACCTAACTATATGGTCGATACGGTGAGTGGAGGTTGCGGGTAATGGGAAGCCCATCGGAAAGGGGTAAAAACTGGAGAACGACCGCAAGTATACTCCGTACCTAGGTACAAAATAAGTATAGTTATAGGGCTGATTCATCCCTCGTGGCACTCCATACCATGTTGGCCACCAGGATTAGAAATGGCCGCCCTGAACAAAATGGCTTTTTGGATCGGGAAGATCGGACGGAGAATTCCCCACGTTTCTACTTTATGCCATGCCGGCGTTGTTTGCGGCGCAGACCCGAATGTTCCGAGGCTCGTTGTTCGTTGCTCGTTTCGCCCCACTACCAACAACTTCTTTTTCAGGATTAGCGCAATGGAAACTTCCTTGGCCGGCGCCTTCAACCGCCACTTTTACTGGTTCTTTATTACTGTTGGCAGAGAGGTCTAGTGGAATCGTCAAATTCTGACGCCCCTCTGACGGCCGTTAGCTATAAGGCCCAGAAATTGGTTCCAGTTCTCGAGCTGTTCATTTTATTCGCCTGTTTGGGAAGTTGATCGTAGACCTCCGGAGACGCTAGTAATCGCTTATAAATTTTTAATTTGTTTCCTCAGCGTAGTGAAGCCGCTATAAATGTAGGACCTGGACTTGACAGTGTCACTCGTGATAATCATTCACCACACATTATTCCCTTGATGGATCATGTCGATCGCCACTTCCCCGGCGTCCGCCACTGGCACATCTGGCCCGCCTCAGGTGCGGACTGAGCAAGAGCAGACAGCTACATTCACAGAGCCCGATATGGAGAAACTGGGTAGAGAGAGACCACAGATATTTGCTAGTCTTATCTCGGAGATATGTTTCATTTTCTCGATCGTTATGAGTCAAATCCTGGCTGTAAGTAACACCACGGGCAATTATATCTAGACAAAACCGAAACTCACTCAGCTATAGGAGTTCTTCATCACCGGATCGAATGTCTTGACCCCTATTCTCGTAAGAGACTTGAATATTCCAACAGCATCGACAATTTGGCCCACCACGGCTCTCTCGCTCGTCATTTGTGCTACTCTTTTGATATGGGGCCGTTTAACCGACATGTACGGAGGTTATCTAGTTTTCAACGCCGGGGCCATCTGGCTCTGCATTTCCTCAATCATTGCCGGTTTCTCACAGTCATGGCTGATGTTGATCTTCTTCCGCGCCTGCCAAGGATTGGCACTAGGCGCTCTGCTGCCCTCCGGCATGATGATTCTCGGTAGCACATACAGACCGGGTCCTCGAAAAAATCTCGTCTTTGCTCTATATGGCGCCTGCGCTGCTCTGGGTTTCTTTGTCGGATTTTTTGTTTCTGGTCTTGCTGGTCAGTACCTCAGCTGGAGATGGTATTTCTTTATTGGAGCTATTCTTTCCGCAATTATGGGTGTCGCCGCTATCTTCTCGATTCCTAAGGATTATGCTGAAAAGAGGGAGCTCGGGATTCGAATGGACTGGGCCGGTCTTGTTTTATCCATAGTCGGGTCGACATTTCTGGTTTTCTCAATTGCAGAGAGCTCATATGCGCCCAATGGATGGCGAACACCATATATTCCAGTGTTCTTCTGCTTGGGGGTCATCACTTTGGCGGTGTTCGCTTATGTTGAAGGCTGGGTAGTGCACAACCCATTGCTGCCCGGAGATGTGTTCCGCGTGAAACATCTGAAAGCGCTTCTTTTCTCTCTGCTTTGTCTTTACGGCAGCTTGGGAATCTTCCTTCTTTATGGTGTTTTATAGTGAGTCTTCCTCCCCTTCATGACATCCCCACCATGGATGATAAGCTCTAACCAGAAATTAGCATGTCCGAATTCATGGGTGCAAGCCCATTGCAGATCGTCGCCTGGACCGTGCCAATGGCAGTCGGTGGTCTGTTTCTTTCAGTGACAGGCGGCTTTATTCTTCACAAAGTATCTGGGACAATTTTGATGATAATTTCATGTCTCGGATACGTGGGATCAGGCCTGTTGTTCGCAGTCGTGCCTGCCGGTGGCAACTACTGGGCCTACGTATTTCCTGCCATGATCTGTGGTACGATCGCCATCGATATTTCGTTCAATATTGCAAATATCTTTATCACGACGACAATGCCCAAGTCGCGACAGGGCATTGCGGGGGCACTCCCTTACTGTACAATGCACATGGGAATCGCGGTTATGCTTGGCTTCTCTGACATTGTGGAAACCCAAACCAAACACTTTGGAGAGCGTGAGAGCTACAAGGCGGTTTTCTGGTTCCAGACAGGACTAGCTATCCTTGGGCTACTTATTGCAGTCTTCTTTGTCAGGATCAAAAACGCAGAGAGCGAATTGACTGCTGATGAAAAGCAACAACAGAACGGAGAACAATGCGAGACGGTGAATAAGGGGGAAGTTTAGATTCAACCAGCGAATGCATATACAAAAACTTGCTATAGAGCATTGCGCTGCGTTTTTAATGATGACATGACCACTTTTACTTCGAAGATTATACAAAGACCACTTGCAAGTACGCAGAGAAACTAGTTAATACTTGACCATAGAAATATGGGTGCCCCAGGGCTTCCGCTTCAAGTTCCCAACAAGTGTCTTTGTTGAAATATTTTCGCAAGTATAAGATTCTGATTCTAATTTGATAATTTACATACTCTCATTTTCAAAGCAAGCAACTTATGCATCTTGTTGCACAAATCCAAAACATCGCCGAAGCTCCCGAGATAGTTGAATCAATTGGGCAGTTAAATCGATTACTTCAGCCACAGAGAGCAGCGATATCTTCCGGCACATACGGGCTCAAGATGTTGATGAGCTGGGAAAGCGGAAGCCAATCTAATGACCCGTGAATAGTCTGTACTGGATGCCCACTGTATAGTACGCGAGCAAATTTAGAGCCTTCCTTCTCCCTGGTAACTGTTAGAATTTGGGTAAAGGTGTTCACTTAGGCAGAAGAACGTACCAGACTTCAAAAGCGATATTTGAGGCCATGCCTGGCCATCGAAGAGCATTGATACCCAAAGCACCAAGCATGGGGCCAATATCACCGTCATGAATGAAAATGTGGCTGTAGTCGATAGAAGAAGTACCATCCAGCGCAGCCTTGAGGTCGGAGACGATTTCACCGATGAAAAGACCCTCGACAGCCTGGATGTATTTTGTCGCGTACTCGTTTGCACGCCAGTAATAGTTCCATTCCCAGTCTCCGGCACGGAATGCCTCTTCTGCCATTTCCATGGTCACGCAGTCGGAGGAGTTTGAAATATTGCAGGGCAGCCGGTAGCCATTGCAAAGTCTCGCTTGGAAATTGTCACAGAAATGATCAAAGGTTGTTTGCCATGAACTGGTTCCAGCGCCGAGCATTAAGGCAAGTCGGGATCGAAGTTCTTCAGTGACTTTCATATGCTCGGTCCACTGGGCAGTAGACTTGATTTCATTTAATGTAGAGCTGATCGCATTGCAAGAATAACCCGCATTAACGGTATCCACTGAGCTTACCATCTGGTGAAGAGGCAATGCACCCTGGTAGTCCGGCCAGATACCCCGAAGAACAGCGCCAGCGGAAGCTTGGGTGAGAGGCGATTCACTCGATCTAAACCAAACGCGCTGATTTGGTCGCTCGGGAATCAAACCGAGCATCTTTTGGTAAACGTTCCGTAGATCCTTGCCATGTTGGTACCCATCCTCAACACCACCAATGGTGATCTGGGGGTACTGGCAAGTGGAGTTGACACTCACGCCAGTCTTGAATGGATCATTGGGGTCCTCATAAGTCTGGGCGTAGACTGGCACGGGTTGCATCCCGTGGTCACTATTGGGTCCGCCATAGAGATATGGCCGGACACCATCGCACTCATACGCTTGGTCCTGGCGATAAATTGTAAGCTGACCTGATTTGAAATGAAATTGAAGGAATAGGTAGATTGTGCTTACCTCTCCACCCGGCAAAATATTGTAAGGAGTTCGACGCTGGTGTCGTTGAAGGTAGATAAGCTTGGTCAACTTGGCTTTGCCATGGGCGGCCTGGTCTGGAAGCTGATATTCGCGCGGATGGGGCATCGAGCAGTAATCATAGCTTCCATAGGGCTTTCCACCAGTCGGACCATGCGTGCCGGCCTGGTAAAGTCCACCATAGGTTCCTACCGATGTGTTGGCAATGTATGAGGTCTCGTTGAGAGGCGGGTAGAAGGTATCCAGGGGCGACAGGGCCATAACAGAGCCAATGTACCCAAAAAGGGCACCGGAAGTTGGACCGCGCATAGTTTCTGAGTATTTCCGATCGCCGAAGATTCACTCAATCCTTCAAACTTCAAAGTCAAGCCTGTCACCTTCGAAGGGCCATGCTTTAATAATCGCGGGGCGGTCGCGCCAGGCACGAACTAGTCGATGCACCCCATCGAGACGAGCCAGTGGTGACTTGACATTTGCTGCACGTGGGAGTTGCAATATACGACCTGGGATGTGACACTTTGAGTGGATCGCAAAGTTTGTCGCCTAACGGTCATGTTGTTGCAATTTAGCCGATGCAAGGGGAGTGCGCGCATCGCGGAAGGCGATAGGGGCTGGAAACAAATGAAATGGATCCACCACCAAAGCTAGCGAATTACTCAACTCAGCATGGAAGATTCCAAGAGACTTCAACTATAACATTCTCCCTCTCATTCTCCAAACATCCCCCTTTTCGAAGTGTAAATCTCAGTCGCGTTGACTTCATCCATGTCGACGATTTTGGGTTGTCTGGCCACGGCGGCCATGCTGCCGTCCGCCCTGGCATCATCCTCAACTTTAGCTGCTCTCGCTTTGCAGAATGTTCTCGATAGAGCCTCACCTATCTTCGGCTCTTATGTCAACAGAACACCGGATAAGGCTGAGTGGATGAAAGCTTATCCCGATAATACACCTCTCGTCCATCTCAACATCCCGGGGACCCATGACAGTGCTACATGGAACTACGACGAGGCAACCCAGCGGTCGCTCAAGGGAATTACAGACTTAAACCAAGTCACAGTCCCGGTCCCTGAGACCTTTCGGTGTCAGGATCTGCCTTTCATAGACATGCTTGATATGGGAATACGAGCCTTCGACCTCCGCTATAGCTTTGACCCGACAAATACCACTCTCGTCTTTTACCACGGCCCAGCTCTGTTGTCTGAGACTGCAACCGTGGATGACGTACTGTTTGGCTTCTATCAGTGGCTTGATGACCACCCATCTGAAACTATCTTTTTGTCATTTCAACACGAAAGTTCAACCGCAAAATACGCATCCAACAATGCAGAGCTGCAGTTGAATCTGTACAATATTCTTGTTTCAGCAGAGGCTCGACACTATTTCCTCCAAAAGAAAGACCAGCTAGGTAATCTAGGCGAAGCACGCGGAAAGATCATACTGCTCCGCCGATTCGATCTGGACCAGCTAGATGCATCGTATACAGAGGCACTCCCTGGTCTTCATTTCTCGCCAAGTCTATGGACAGACAATAGTCCAGATATCAGTCTTGTTTACAATTCGAAGAAAAATCTCACTGCATTCATTGAGGATTACTATCAGCCGCTTACACCGACTGGATCCAGTGCTGTGGAGAATATCAGGTGGAAGTTTAATGCCACAAAGAGACATCTTCTCAAAGCGGCAACTGGAAATGAAGACAGCCTATTTTGGTCCTTCGCGTCGGGTACAAACACGGCCAACACACCACCAGACTGGCCCCGCATAATCGCTACTGGAAATGGTTCTGATCTGACATCAGAAGGTGGTGTGAATCACCAGCTGGTCTCTTTCTTGGAGCAATCTAAGGGAAAGAGGCTTGGTATTGTGATGTTTGACTTTTTTGAACAACCATCCGAGTTGATTGATACCTTTTTAACTCTGTGATCATTGGATCATTGGTGTAGACGACTCGAGGTATCGCTCGCAGGTCTGCATTACTCTTAGACTACCCTCATGGCGTTCTACCTATAAGCGTTTCGATTGAAACAAATATCTATGGATGCCAAGAGTTTTGAGATGACCGGACTATCAATTACTACTGGGCTTAGATTGATAGGAGCATCCTGGATATTTGAATGTTATCACAATTTCAATTTCCAAGTTCTAGTACTAGACATTATACCGGGGCAGCTTCACAATTTTATCTTGACTTTCGCCTGGTAATCCCTGAAATGATTCCAGCTCTCTAGGACTCCTCATGTTCTTCTGTGTCCACCAACTCTGCTCACTCAGAGGGTATGGCGGTCGCTCTGAGCCACCGAACCATTCACCATGACTTTGAATTCTGCTTTTATCGGACGAGCCGAATCTAATCCAAGATCTCAACAGGACACGCAGTGATGGTAGCGAGCCAGAAATTAGTCCAAGGCTAAATTCGACGTTCATCAATATCAATGAACTAGCTCCTGCATCTGGATAGAATGTCAGCGACTCGGATGCTCTATGTCCGGGTACTATGGCAGGCAGTATTTGACTCACAGGCAAAATCTTTATTCTCACTCTGATACGAAACAAGAGTTGGAAGCCGAGCCAGGCTCGCTGCGCAAGCAACCAAGCCTAAGGACAAAATCGTCAGTGTCACCGCTGGTAGCTATATGTCCACTGCCTCACTCACCTAGAGAAAATAAGCCAATGAGCACAAGCCGGTTTTGCAGTCGCATCTGAAGTCTCCAGATACTCGGGATTGGCATGGTGAAGATGGCAATATCAACAATGAACATTACTACACCCTGGTACATCTCAATATTGAATAAAGTGTTTTGGGTAAAACACTTCTTGTCGGTGATAGTTATGTCGTATGCGGCGCGTATAGGACTGCATTGCAGAATCATGAGAAGCTCTCCGGATATTGTCAAAGCCGCCAAAAAGACAATAATGCCGTAGCCATAGTATCGGATGAAATTTCCAGGAAAGATGCGCATGATAAAAGCCACCAGGCTAATTTTGACAGACGCAGCAACGAAAAGATATGTGCTTAGGGAAACCCAAACGAGCTAGTAATATGAATCAGTGGCTAATCAGACGCTTGCAATATACAGCTAGGCATAAAACCTTACATATGCCATCATAAGCAGCTTTTCTGGAGGTACGTCGACCTGGTGGTAGCCAATCCCATAGAAAGTAAGAGCTATAGATAGGGCGCAAAAGAATAATACCCATATCTGTGTAATCAATTAAGTTAGTCTCATTTTGGAATAAAAGACTTCATGTGCACATACGAGTGCATTTATAACAAGATAATCGTCGACCCCAAATGATTTACGCACAAAAGCGCGTAGATATAACTATTTCGGTTAGAATTCAAAATTAAAATTGCCACGGTCGGATATCATAGTACTCTGGTTGTGCAGACAATTAATGTCAACGCGGCCATTGATCCGACAACTGCTCTCACGGTCGTCACCATCGCAGGCGTTTCTTCTGCACCATCCATGTTCGGCGAATTGACAGTATAATTGCCCCCCCTGCCCTCAAAACACCTGTTCAAACGATACCAGTATTCTTAAATCAAGCTTAGATTAAAGGACGCGAGGGCTCTCAAATGGAGAGACCTCAGGACGTCAAAGCGAAGTATTCCAAGGTCTAAGTAGAAAAAGGTTAAAGATCCATCGAAATAGAAGCGGAAATGTGCAGCTCTTCAATGATGCCAACTGTATTTTCTACGCCAAAGCCATTGTCCCCATCGCTGTTTTTTACTAAAAGCGGAAACGATCGCCAACCTTGAGTGTTGATCTTGATACCACTATTCCATCAAAGCCAACCTCATCTTGGAACTGAAGGCCTTTCCGCCCCCATATGCGGGCCAGTTTCAGGCCCTTCAGAATGTCCTTTCGCCCCCAGGTGGACCTCCCTTGAGGTTTTGAGTTGAAATCATCAGTGTGATGAGTATGTTGACCCTTGGAAGTACGGAGCAAGGATGAATAAACCCCTCGTATCACCCGTTGCAGAATCAATGTGGAGACGGCCCCCTCTTGGGGCCCGGATTCATGCTGGCCCCGCCCCATTGTCAAGGGGGCTTTATTGATGTTACTTGAATCAGCAGCCTCCAGGGAAGACTCAAGTGGAGTGGAAAAATATTACTATTTCATAATATAACCCTTCCCAAGACTAGACCATCCAAAAGCCTCGGTCCGGGTTTTCGGTCTGGGCTCGCATGCTGCAAGGACAGAACCAGGATCGAAGTATTTGCAGAACACCGACCACGATAAGAGCTCAGAATGAATGTAATAGTATCGTGTTGTATTGAAGAAGATTGATAAATCTATTTAAAAGAGGAAGCTATGCCGTCAAGGACGAATATTAATAGGACAAACAGCACGCGGATTGCCTGTCGTGATCTTGGACGTGTCTAGTCACTTGACGTCCTTCGAGTATTATATTTGAAAACCTTTGAGCACGCAGATAAACTGTTTTGTAGTTACCTAATTCACCATACTGCTAAGGCTACATGAAGATGGAGAGATACGAAAGAAGTGATGTTCGGATGGAAAGGAAGAAGAAAGAAGAAAGAAGAAAGAGCGAAACTATCTAGATGCACGCCCGGGCGGCAACCTTGATGCCTGAGGCTTATATTGCCTGAGGCAACAACACCCTAATAGTTACATAACTAACTAATTAACTAACGTAATTCCCGCCCGAGTGAGCCACCCGGCCGTGTGGGTCACCCCAAAACACATTGTAAATGCGATAAATTACCACTTCATATCTCAACAATCGTATCCATTTATGATACGCTATTAAAATTACATAATCCAGATAGTATTCCTAACCTGCTGGCGAAGTATAGGGGAATTACTGGATATATTCATAGAGATATACGTTTTTATGTGCCCCACGTCAAAATTATGCATCATCTTACGGTGAATAATAGAAATACTTAATATCTAATTGCTTAAAACTATGGTATGTTATTCCACATACTAAGGAAAGCCTGCATTCTAATATTCAGGTAAGTAAAGCATATAATTGTTGAGATTCGAAGTGGTAATTTATCTTAGTCCAATACTATGTGCTTTGGGGTGGCCTACACGGCCGGGTGGCTCACTCGAGCGGGAATCACGTTACAAAATGTGCCAACGGTACGTTGACAGTGTCGCTCGGCAAGTAAGTTCATGGCGTTTTTTTCTATGGCACAAAGATACTTGGAAAGCCAGATAAGGCATCCTTGCGGCAGGGAAGAAAGGCATTGGAAAAAGTCAAGAAACCCACACTAACAGATGTAGTTAGTTATCACAAGGCCAACATTGTACCGTGGCTAACACGGAATCTCGGAGTTAAAACCTTGGAAACTGGTATCAAATTATGGCCATTCAGTACCATATCTCCAGTTAGAAATTGTCGAACATTATTCTAATTTGGTTGGGTAGGTGGTTCGATTGTGGGGTAGAACAAGTGCCGTGTCCAAAGGTAAAACGATGAAAACATAACGTAGAGAAATGTCGACTTGCATAAAGATAGGAAAGCAAAGCCTATCAAATGATGCAAAATATTATAGCGTGGGATTCTAGGAGCAGCATACGTCAGGGGCCTTGCACTATATGGCGTGCTCATAAGGGGTAATGAAGCAACAGAAAAATATCCGAGGGAATTAGTCCGGCCATAACATTGATACATAAAAAGAAACGCCTTTTTTTTCTTTACAGATGTCACCTAGTACTCGTAAAATTCAGTTTGAGAAAAAAAATGAGCTACTGGCATGACAAGGAGAAAACGGCCAATGCCGCCACAGAGTCAACAGCGGCCTCGCATGAGTCTTCGATTGGAGGCGGATACACTGCAGCTGAAGGCCTCAACTCTAGCATTACTACCTACCAAGATGCTTCGGGTGCACCTGTTGAGACCAGCTCTCCATTGGGGTACTCAGTTGGGTTTATGGCTGCCCTCTGTTTGAATATCAATCAAATGGTCGGGACTGGTATATTCTCAACACGTGAGTTGCATGACCTTGCGCGTCCTCGCAGTACTGAATCATTTCACTGACAAGAAACTTGAAGCGGCCACCATTCTATCGGGTGTTGGTTCGGTAGGACTGACGATGATATACTGGTTCATTGGTTATCTTCTTTCCCAGAGTATTCTTTCTCTTTATCTAGAGTACGCCTCATATTTTCCTAGCCGGTCAGGATCTGAGGTGGTCTACCTCGAACAAGCCTTTCCCGAACCCAAATATCTCATTCCGACGATATTTGCTGCGAAGCATGTGATATTTTCTTTCGCAAGCAGCAACGCAGTTGTCATGGCACAGTACATTTTCGGAATCGGTGGCGATTCTTATACACCTTGGCAGATGAAAGGAGTAGCAGTTGCACTATACACGCTCGCATACTTTGTTGTCAGTGCTAGCACGAAATGGTCTTTGAAGCTTGTTATCTGGTTCGGGATAGTGAAGATTCTCACCCTAGTCTTGTATGAATTCCATCCTAATCGATTCACTAATTTTGCTAATTCGGTGCAGAATTTCGATTGCTGGCTTGGTCGTTCTTGGGGGTCATACAAAAGTTCCAGATCCCGGAAATTGGAAAGATCCGTGGCAAGGGACATCTGAAGCAACCGCGTATGGAGCAACCAACGCTATGGTCAAGTTAATATTTTCATATATGGGCTATACCAATGCATTTGGGGTAGTCAATGAGATTAAAGTTTGTAATCCTTCCTCTTTCGAGCAATTGTCTAAAGACTGATTATTCAAGAACCCCGTGAAAATTCTCCGGTGGAGTGCTCCGATTTCACTCCTTCTTGTCACCGGACTGTACATCCTTGTCAATGTTGCTTATTTCTCGGCTGCGTCTCGAGAGGAGATCCTTGCATCGAAGCAGGTTGCAGCGTCTATCTTTTTTGAAAAGGTTTTTGGCAAGCATGGTGCATCCAATGCATTGGATGTACTTGTTTGCTTGAGCGCTTTCGGAAACCTGATCGCAGTTCTGGTGAACACGTCACGATTACTTCGCGAGACAGGAAGGTATGTCCCTAATTAAGAGAGCTAATTAACTTTGGATAATGAAACACAAAATACTGAAAGAGCTGAAATTTTATCGCAGACAAGGAGTTCTCCCTTGGCCCAAGTTTTGGACATCGGTTAAACCGTTCGGGACTCCCCTCGGACCCTATACAGTACAGTGGGCATTGACTGTTTTGATGATTATATGTCCACCGGCTGGAGATGCTTTCAATTTTGGTCAGTAAAAGATTCTACTATTTTGACGTCTTCGAAGAAAGCTGACATCTTATAGTCGTCGATCTCTCGGTCTACCCAACAAATATTTTTAACTTTTTGTTGGTAATTGGATTAGTCCTTATTCGCAGACGCCGCAAAGCCCTCAATCTTCCTCGCCCTGAATATTCTGCCTGGTTCATCTCTATCGCATTCGCATTCTTACTCACACTTTATATGCTTATCGCCCCTTGGTATCCTCCTTCAACCGGCGCAAACGGCGGAGACGTCAGTTTTTGGTACGGAACATACTTGGTGGTCGGCATTGGCCTGTGAGTTCCCTCGATACAAACTATGAATAACACGAGTTAATTGGATTTAGAATTACCGCTTGTGTCGTATATTACTATGTTTGGATCAATTTAATCCCTAAGTATAAGGGTTACGAGTTTAGACAGACTGTTGTCGAGTATGAAGATGGTTCCATCGCGCACCAACTTGTCAAGATTCCAAAGACAGAACTCATGATTTGGGACGCCCAGCACGATTCCACCGGTCGTTCATTGACCCATATCTAAGAAGACGGGTTATAAATGAGTCAGATCGGAAAATGCTAAGAGGCATGCCAGAACCCGCCCTGTACATAGAACGAGGCACGGGAATTTGTTACTTTATCGGAATCTAGCTACCGAAAATCACCGGATGTGAAAATCCCCAGCCATATAACTCTACCTCGGCCCATGACAGCCTAGTAGTACAGCCTTCCCTGGAGATAAAATGTCGTGGTCTACAAATGCCGACCGGTAAGGTTGGGCCGAGTCGGATCCACCGTGGAACGACCGGCACGAACATGACATCATCGACTACTCTAAAATTTGGATATATTCACAGCTTTACGATTGTTTTCTCCTGTGCATTAAATCCCTTCACCGATCCTTGACCAATAAATCATCCCCGTTGTTTCGAAGATCGCTATCGCGCTAATCCTCGTGTGCGTACCACTCGATAAGCGAGATGGTCGCACCAAGAAGATCTTTCTCTAGAGGCTCTAAAGCATCCGGACGATCAGAGGCAAACGACGGCATTCAGTCAGAAGAATGGCCTGGAGATACCAGTGAGCCATATAACGGACACGCCGATCGTCAATATTTTACTGGAGATGGCCTTGACACAGGTGTTCGGGTTCTCGGTATGCCCGGGTTCTGAATCGAAGAAAAATCAAAGAGATCTATTAACATCGTCGCATTTCGCTTTCAGGTGATGGACGTCTCGATATTAGAATAAATCAGCACAAACCGAGTATCGCAGGGCTCTTAAATCAGATTCAGCGTACACCCATTCCCTCCGAACTCGAGGAACTTGAAGACCAGGAAAGCTCGGATGCAAGTACTCCAGACGCCGGCAAAGACTTTCCGCTACATCTGAACATCGTCATTCAAGTTATTGGGTCCCGTGGCGACATCCAGCCGTTTATCGCGATTGGAGCCGAGTTACAGAAATATGGACATCGAGTACGACTGGCAACACATCTAGCCTTCCGGGACCCTGTTCTCGATGGCGGGTTGGAGTTCTTCAATATCGGTGGGGATCCGGCAGAAATGATGGCTTTCATGGTAAAGAATCCCGGTCTTCTCCCTGGGCTGAGCTCAATTCGCAGTGGGGCTATTCAAAAGCGACGCCGAGATATGAAGGAAATCATCAACGGTTGCTGGAGGTCCTGCTTCGAAATGGGAGACGGAACCGATCTTCACCAGATCAAGGAAGATCTCTGGGGTGACACTGTGGACTATCGACGGCGGTCCTTCGTCGCAGACGCAATAATTGCTAACCCCCCCGAGCCTCGCTCATATACACTGCGCTCAAAGACTCGGAATACCACTCCATATGATGTTCACGTAAGTCTTGTCTCAAATAATCTTTTTGAATTATTCGGGGAGTCGTATCCCCATCTTTCTCTCACAGAATCGATGTTAACACGACGCAGAATGCCATGGAGCCCCACACAGTCTGTCCCTCACCCTCTCGCAATCATCAGCCACAATGATTGCAAACCTACTGTCGTTTCCTTCGTCTCCTATGCCATAATGGACATGATGATTTGGGAAGGCCTTGGAGACATTGTGAATAAATTTCGAAAAAAGGCCTTATCCCTGGATGCCTTAGACAGCATCACCGCCCCAAGCTTACTCCCTCGTTTGGAGATACCTTTCTCCTATTTATGGTAAAGCTCTGATTATCTTTTGTGTTATATATCTCCTCGTTCGTCCTTCTAACAGATAATGGTTTACTAGGTCGCCTGCTCTGCTCTCCAAACCAAAAGACTGGGGAAAACATATCGATATCTGCGGCTTCAGCTTTCTCCCCTCGAAATCCGACTACACCCCACCCGATGTGATTAATGAGTTCCTTGAGGCTGGACCAACTCCCATTTATGTCGGCTTTGGCTCGATAGTCGTTGAAGATCAAATCAAGTTAACACGCACTGTATTCGAAGCGATCGAAGCATCCGGGCAGCGTGCTATTGTTTCCAAGGGCTGGGGGAACCTCGGATCCGACGAGGTAGAAGTCCCTGATAATGTTCTCCTTATTGGAAGCGTTCCCCACGATTGGCTATTCCGCCAGGTTTCATGCGTTGTTCACCACGGCGGTGCCGGAACAACAGCTGCAGGGTTAGCACTAGGCCGGCCAACGATTATCATCCCGTTTTTCGGTGACCAACAATTCTGGGGTAAAATTGTCGCACACTCCGGGGCTGGGCCGGCACCCATCCCCCACAAGCAACTAACTGCAACAAATCTGCGGAACGCAATTGCCGAGGCACTAGAACCATCAACGCAAGAAAAAGCTCTTCAAATTTCAGAAAAAATGAAGGGGGAATCGGGAGTGAGAGATAGCGTCCGAAGTTTTCACCGACATCTTGATCTGAAACAAATTCGCTGCTCTATATGTCCTTCTCGTCCGGCCGTCTGGCATCTGAAGCATACAAATGTCGGTCTAAGTGCTTTCGCGGCGGCAGTTCTTGTAGAAATGGGAAGTGTGAAGCCCGAAAACCTTATTCTGTAGGTTTCTTCCCAAGGCATTGGTACGCCATGCAAAATTAATATTAACAAAATCGATAGAAATCGAGCGGTCGAGTATGACACCTACCGAGACCCCGTTGGTCCTCTCAGTGCAAGTGCGCAAGTTTTATTTGGGGCCATTTCCAACTTCGTGACAGGACTTGCCGACGTTCCGACCGGTGTGGTCATGGATCTAGTATCAGCTGGTCGAGCCTTGGGCCATCCAAATGAGCGCCATGATCCTCATTCCAAGTGGCGTACCCGTAGAAAAAGCCGACAGGATCATTTCTCTAGCGACGAAGACAATCAGAAGCCACGCAATACAAGTCAGCAGCGAACGGACCAACAGCGAACAGATCAAAACCGGGCTTCAGATGAATCCATGGATAATTTACAAGATTTGGAGACAGACAGCTCCTCAGTCGACGAAGGAATGACAGACTTTTCAGATGCAGGCCTGTCCCAAACCCGAACCCTTCAACTCGAAAAGTCGATGACAATGAGCGGTGGCACCGAAGCTGCCAAGCGTCATACCTTCATAGCCGAAGCAGCAAGCCAAGGGAGCAGGATGTCGAAAAAACTCATTAATCTCTTGATTTGGCTTCCAACTGATATGTCACTTAGCCTCTCCAAGGGGTTCCATAATGCGCCAAAGCTTTACCATGATCCCATGGTAAAGACGACACCTAAGGTTATGGGAGTCCGGAGTGGCTTCCGAGCGGCCGGACAGGTAACAAACAAAATCTGACCGCGAAATTTGGTCCAATCTGCTAATTCTGTGAAAGGAATTGTACGACGGGTTCTACTATGGGGTTACCGGCCTTGTAACCCAGCCTCGGTACGGCTACCGGCAGAGTGGGGCAAAAGGCATGGCCAAGGGTATTGGAAAGGGAATAGGAGGGGTATTCCTCAAGCCACCAGCAGGTATGTGCACCTTTGCAGGCACCGTAGGCAGTTGAATGCTAACTTTTCATCCAGGACTCTGGGGCCTCGCGGGCTATCCCTTGAGTGGGGTCCGAAGAATGCTGTTGACTTCACTAGGAAAGTCCCAAGAGGGTCAGATACTACTGTCACGGATCTCTCAGGGCCACGACGAAATGAAAGCATCGTCTGGGGATGACCGGGTGCAAGTAGTAAGAAAGTGGGCTATCATTGAGGAGACCCTAAAGAAAAGAACACCTCGGCAGTGCCGATCGCGCTCGACAGGTCATGATAAATTGTAATTTCACATGAAGCAGTATGAAATAAATGATAATTAAATTTTTCTATGAGACAAGCATTCCTAGCTATTCTCAAATTCGATTCCCATAGCCTTAGAGAACCACTTTCCTTCCGCGATAAAATATTTCAAGTCACGTAATGAGGCTCGGTCTGACTTTTGGTAATGCTGTCTGCATCGCTGGCTGGAAAGAATGTGAATTGACTGAATCGATTAGTTGAAGTCTGACTGCCGAGCTCTACTTCGTGCTGATTGTCTTGTGATCTGGATTGATAAATCGATCGATCACTCGGTGTCGGATCCCGTATCTCCTCGCCTGTGATTAGGCTTTTCCAGGCTCGGTACATAGATGACCTGAAAAAGAAAGCAATGGCTAAAGTCCCACTCACCTAAATTTTGTAAGGTCAGCAAGGTCAAGAATGCCAGAGCCAAGAAACGAGAAACTCACGACAAGCATTGAGAGAACGGCTATAATCACTGGCTCACCAGGTCCTAGTGGAGCGGCAAGTGAAAGGCATGAGTCTCTAGTTCCTTTTGATGATCCCAAACACTCAAACCAGGCTACCCTATCCGATTTCGGATAATCGTGAAATGGCCGTAGCTGCATGAGAACACCGGCTAAAAAGCAGACGTAAACGAGTATAACCACTGTAATGAGACTGTTTCTCCATTGTAACTGCACGATCTTTCGTACGCGTGATGCTGTTCGCTGAGCACCAAGCACCCTTTCTTCGTCCCGAGATGGCGTATATCCTGAAATACGTAATCTTTGATAGTTGAACCAGGGTCTGAGAGTGAGTATAGCGCAGTATGTGACGGTGATGAATTGTAACAGGAGAGACGCAGCGGATATTGCCAAAAGAGGACCCCAGAATGTTGCTCGGTCAATGCCTGGGGTGATATAGGATATCCGACCAAATGTGTATTCGACGCCCGAGACCGATAGAACAACGGCGACAAGGGCGGATGAGCCGACAAATATGAGTGTAAGGGAAGCGCATTTGTACATTTGGCCTGGTTTGATCTCCCAACACACAGAGAGGTGTAAAGCAATAGACCGAAAAAAAGCTGGTGAGAAAAGAATGTTAGAGATGAATATTCCAGTAGGCATTAAGTGCTCACTGCTTGTTATCACCACCCATGCTCCCCAAAATAACACTAGTCCTGTGAGAGCAGATATCCCATCATTTCGCATGTCATTTGGGGTGATTTGATTATAACATTCTCTAGGCTGGCCTCTTGAGGGTATAATGAATGCGATCTAGTCGGAATTGTCAGTTTTCACCATTCCATAGCAGATTGTAGAATAAGAGGGTATCTTGATACCGATATACACATCAACCCGATCACCGGAGCAATATTTAGATAGTGGCGATCCGTTAGGTTCGCAGGAAATATAGCATAAGTGGCCAATAACCAGACCAGCGCGATAAAAACCGGTATGCTTGGCCACAGAGCAAGTCTTACATCGTTGGCAAGCCCTAGCAATTATTAGCTACCAGTTAATAAAAAACGACCGTCATGTTTATGACGTACAATTAACATCTTTCCATCGCCAATAGCTAATGGGACATGGGAGACAGCAGGAAATGCCCCCCGAGATTTTCGCACCATCGACTGGATACAGCTGCCACACTTTGTCAGAACAGAATGGTAATAGGCGCAACGCATGAAGATGCAACACTTTAGTTTCTTGGTTGGGGACAAGAAACTCACCACCTCCGGTACTTGGAAAACGCGATTCTTCGATGAACGGATCAGGACAGGTTGAAGCCATAGCAGCTTTGCTCCATATGAGGGCGCGTGTCCATTAAGGCTCTATCTTCAATGATCTGAAGGCCAAGTGGATCTGATCGGAGGGGAGCGAATGTCGCCCCGCAAGTTGCACTGAAGCACCGCGTGAGACGAATTGGCACAGCAGGGTTCTTTCTTCAATTAGCACGCTTTGGCATCACATGCCTCGCAAGACGGGTTTACTCACAAGCTACAGCAGTGTCATTTGGTCAGGGTGAGTTGCCCCGGTTCAATCGTGAAGGAGCAAAAGTTCAAAGGTAGGGGGTTCAGCATGGTGAGCTATTATTATTAGTTCGTTTCAATCCCCATTGTTTGGTGATCGACGCAGGAATCTAGCCAGCAAAGGGAATCTTATGCCAATTTCAATTTTCCCTCACTGCTATTGGTGTGTATTAAACAGAAGTTTGCTGGTCTAGACAGGGAAATGGCCAGAATTCGCTCACTCTCTGCCGTTCACGCGAACAACTAGCGTAGGTGGAGTGGGGAACAACATAGAGATTTCAGCAAGTTATTGGTCCCCCCGCTCGAGGAGCGGACCGTCTTATTTTCGCCCCGGATTGATTTTTCAGCCTGGTCCAACCCCGCCCAACATCTGACCATGGTTGCTGGGAGGATTTAGGATATCGAGATTTTGGTTTTGAGGGGGCAATATTTGGTAATTGAGGCCTATTGAAAAACTGCAAGTCTATACGGATTATCCTAGGTCTTATTCCGTATTTCCAGCTAATGGGGCCTTTTTCGGTCTGTGGCAAGTACTACCCCTGAATAAAAAAACTTTCGTTTTTGTGCGTTTTTAAGGCCCGAGCGGACGATCGCCCTGGTTATTGCCATATGCAATTGCTTACACTCGCGTGGCTCCGTCGTCCACTCTCGGACTTTGGCGAGCATCTTGAACCAAGAACCTTGGAAACGATAAATTAATGCAGTCACCACCTTAAAATATAGCACGTACGAATTGTGGAAACTGCTGGACGACAACTTGAAACTCTGGAATTCAATGAATCAAAAATATACCACTGGTACCTAGCTAGTACGGCAAAGGGATTCGGTTGCCGACAACCTTCAAGTTGGAGCCTTCAAGTTAGGATACTACCTACTAGTAGGCACTAGCATAAATTAAGATCGAGGTTTACAAGCGAAAGAACAAAAAGCAATTTGGCCAGCTTAGCCAAATATCTCATATCAAGCAAATTTCTTCTTGATTCCCTGACTTGGTTTGTAGAGATTATTTGAAGCGGCTCAAGTGGCTACAATGTCTCTGTCTAGGGGGATGAGAGGGATGAAAATGATGATGAAAGCAAGTGATAATTATACGCAATTAAAGCAGGTAAGCCATAATATAGCCCGATATGGAGTAATTTAGGCAATATTACTACTAATCTGTCATTTCTTTTCTTTACGTTGGCCATCTTTCTGAGAATTGCATTACTGGAGCCTTGGCATCTGGAAGCATTCCTGCTTGTTTCTTTTTTAAAAAAGTCAACATCAAAATCGAAAGAGAAAAGTCAAATTAGTGAAATTATTTATTGTCAAGTCATTGCACGAGCCTGGGCCATGCAATATTAGATGTCTACATATTACCCAAATCATATTCTATGTCATTGCTATAGTTTCTATGATCTAACACCTGGGCACCTGAAACTCTATGGTTGTCAATCCAGCCGTGAGAAGGAAGCACAGTCTCAAGTTTCTTGGCTCTTAACCTGCAGATAGATCATTAGACAGTGCGAGTAAGCCTTAGAATATGAAATTTCGCTTGTCCCACCTATATTGGGAATTTACTGGAATTGTAATTGAATTTCTTTTATTGTGGTATTTCAATATTTGCTACTCTAACCCCCAAAAGTCGCCATCTGTGTCTCTAAATATTACCTACGCAGCCAATTAATTCGGCTGCCAGAATCTTAAACAGATAGTAAATCATGAGAAGATAATACGCTACCCATATAGTACTACGTTTCTTTTCTCCATTATTCGTTTTCGATCGATTATGATGATCATAAATGAGAGGAATCGATAAGAAAGAGGAGTCATCGATTTATGAATATCATTTGATGCAGGGTGTTAGTGAAGAAATATGAGCTCTCCTATAGACTTCATCAATAGCATATTACAACTTTTAAGGTTATGATATACTCAACAAATCAATACTTACTCTGACTAAAGCAGCACGAGCCACATTTATTTGTGCTTTGCCCTTCGTAAGGGAGGAGGGTATCTGCAGAGAGGAAAAGTAATATGGCGCCATGATTGAATCATTAAATACTGGCTTGAATCTGCCATTGCATAGCATAGTGCCCATGCTATCGCTGGTAATGATATGTACGCGCACAGGGAGCAACGCCGATTACGATAGCTATTTGATTGGATTCGCTAAGAGAATCCTGAATTTTGATTAAAGATAGTATAGGCATAGTATAATAAGAGACCAAAGGTCTCAGCACTGGCTCACCGGTCGTAGAACTTGGGCAGTAACCCTCTTGTCATGACTAGACTTTTGGCTGGCAATTGAGTGACTAACGAAATTACCTTGCGAACTAGATCTCTGACCAACATAGTTATGTAAAGTGTGGTCTTCATTTCTTTCACAGCGCAGGGGATCATTAACTAGAGAATAGAATGAGTTGCAATAGTCGCAACCTTTGATCTTGTGTATGATCTGCCAACACTCAAAGGTTGCTGAACGCTATTGAAAATATCGATTAATGCATAAATGCCCCAAAAAGGACTCAATTGGGGTATTTTGATATGTAGACTTCAGTGATACCAGGAGTATGTTTCAGGTCGCATCCAGCCCGAACAATTTGCTACTCTAGTAGGATCCCTCTAGTCCTAAACTCAATTTAGCTGTGATATACTGGGAATATTTCTCCTAGTCGTTGCCAATGGGAAATTGATGCTGTTCTAGAACTTAAAAAATAATTGATCTAGACTATCCTGTATTCATATCAAAACTGCCGCGGTCGTAAAACAACTGAAATTACTTCTTATTGAGGCTGAGTTATTGATTGAAGGTTCTTGAGGAGATTTCCGAAGTAAACTACCTTGGAGTGCGTAGAGTCTTATATCATGTAGCACAAGCCCCTGGAATAAACAAATAGGTCATGGAGTTTCTCTTCGGGGTCCTTACGATTTCCCCTCTCATCAGTATTTCATACAACAATGAAGATGTTCACTTAAGCTTACAAAAAATGTATCAGTCAGCCCTACCAGCGGTAAGAATGTGCTTGGCTTCTTCCAGGTAGGTATTCGCATTGAAAAATTTCCATCTGAATGCCCCGCTAACAATATCACCACTCTACCAAAATGAACATTTCTTCCCCAATTAGTGGCAAAGAACATCAGGGTGCTCGGTACAACTTAGTATTGTGAGCCGCTAGTAATACCGTTTTTTCTAAACGCGGAAGCTGGTATATTGATAAATATTCTGGAATTGGTGAATGATCAAAAATGTTGCAAAGACTCCATTGAGAAGCTATGGTTACAGTACCGAAGCTTAGGCCCCCTTGGAACTCAATGTAAGCTCCCCCGTGTTAAAGCTTGCATGCCACCTTATATGCCACCTTGTTGGGCATTCTTCGAGCCCCGCAACCGAAATGGCACTATTAGGCAAATACCCGGATTACTGAGTTAAGCCCGTCAGGTTTGGTTCTGTATTGACTCGCAATACTCAAAACAATCACTGCATGCTGGATCGTACAAATCACTAATCACCAAACACCCATAATCACTTTTTGGAGGTGTCATATCTGGAACTTTCCCTAGGTGACATCATAGGGTTACAGACATGGCACAGTAACAGTGACATCTGTGCGGGGTGTTGCTAGTATATTGAATAACTACCATATATGTGGTGTTTGCCCTCAGGCTCAAACTTCAGCCCTGATCCATTTTCAGCGAACGGTTAAATTGCTTTACCTCTGATCGAAGTCACCGTGGGCTACCTGATGCCTCCAGATTTCGCTCTTGTAGGCTCTATAATCCGATGTATTTTATGTGATCTTGTGCCCAGACCACTGTAAAAATAGGCCGAGGGAATATATGAAAGTCTACCTACATATGACCTCAAATATATATACGCCACTTATATAGACTCAAAGTCCACATTTTATACCGGCAAACTATCTCCGACCCGTAGGGTACAGTTCTTTAGTTTTCTATATCAGCTATACCGCCATATTCTTACTAGTCGATTGCCGGATAATAATTCCGCTCTTTCGCTAATCTATTTTGTCTCACTGTCACATACAGTCGATAGCGAAGTCTGCTCCTTCTCTGATGACCGTTTTCTTTTCTCGGGTCCCACTGCCAAGGCCTTAGTGCAGATCATTGATTGATCGGTGTACATCAAGTTGAGGGCCAGTGTGCCATACCCGTGTACGTTAATGTAGCTACTCCGCAGAATTACAAATTCCGCCCTAGATTCTATAAAAAGAAAGCTTGATTGTCATGATACTAGGTACGCGGTATTCTACGCTGGCCCTCAACTTAGGGTGGTCGGGCCATTAAAAGGCCGTCGCTAGGGCCGTGGCAGTGGGGCCTGAGAGAATAAAAGCAGTCTGTGGGGTAGAAGTCGTTTTCGCTATCGACTGTGTCTCCAGAGAACTGAAATCGTAGTGATTGTATTGCCTTAGATGAGTCATTTTCGTAGTCCAGTAATATTACATGTATGGAACCGTTCCGAATGTTCTGTCAATTTGGCGACCTAGCAAGATTCCCCACTAGCGCTTCTCTCTCCTCCCAGTCAGTCTGTGCCAACTTTCTCTCATTTTCCCTTAACACTCTCTTCCGTGACCAAATATGAGCTCGCAGTCTCAAGTCGCGCCTTATGGCACCTGGAGCAGCCCTATATCAGTTGATCTGGTCTCAGGAAGTACTGTGTCATTCTCCGAGCTCCACGCTAACGTAAGTCAGCTTATTACATCAATTATAACATGTGGCTGACATGAAAAGCCTCAAACGGGTGCAATCTATCTTGTGGAAGGCAGACCGACTGAGAAAGGAAGATGCGTCATCATAGAACAACGGGGTACAGAATCGATTGATCTCTTACCATCAGAGTACACTGCTCGCAGCAAGGTGCACGAATACGGTGGCGGTTCCTGCGCTGTCAGCCCAGATGGAAGTTTGATTTTTACAGATGCCAACACTAGTGGTGTTTTCCGTCTCAAAACAGCAAACGATGTCCAGCCGATCATCAGCGCTTCGGAACAGTCTCGATACGCTGATTTCGACATTCATCCTCTCCGGACAAACCTAATTCTTGCTGTTCAGGAAATTCATTCCGGAAATATTGTAGTAAATACGGTTGTACTAATTGATTCGGATGACAAGAGTGTTACGAATGTTTGTCAAGGAGCGGATTTCTATTCGGCACCAAGGTTCAACCATGACGGGACAAGAATTTGCTGGATCCAGTGGAGTCATCCTGATATGCCATGGACTGGAAGCGAACTTCACATTGCAGATTGGAATTCTTCAGGACCAACGAATGCAAAGCGCATTGCCGGTAAAGCTGCTGTGGAAGGTGTCGGGCAACCAAAATGGCACGAAGATGGAACATTATTTTTCACCAGCGACCTTACTGGATTTGCCCAATTGTATCGTTTAAAATTTCCATCTTTGGAAATACTTCCAGTTATCTTACCGGGATGGGAAGAAGCAGATATTGCTTGCAAACGGGTATTCTCAGCGCTTGGAAAGTAGGTATCCGATTCTGTACTGCAGGCCTCTAGCTGACCAATGGACAGCAACTCCTACATTTTCCTGACGGCAACTCAGCTAGTAATTACTTCCACCAAGCTCGCTACGGATTCGCTGCTGCTTATAGATCTTCAAACTTCGAAAGTGCTGGAGCTTTCGCTCGGTCTCGTCGATATTCCCTTGAACTCAATTCGCAAGATATCAAACACCAAGTTCGTCGTTATTGGGAGTACAATGACGTCTCCTTCGGCGCTCTACCTCGTTGATATATCGAAACCCTCCGAAAAATTGCGTCTAAAATCTTCCACCGCTCTTTCATTCTCACCCTCGATATACTCCATTGCCAAACCCATTACGTTCCCTCGAACACAGGGGAAAGACACAGGCGGTGTTGCTCATGCAATTTTCAACCCACCTCATAACCCATCTTACACACCCGTCCCCGAGACTAAGCCCCCCCGTCATAGTTTCCATTCACGGTGGGCCAACGAGTCACGATGCGCCAGGTTTGAACCTCGAAACCCAATACTGGACGTCCCGAGGCTACGCCTATGTCCATGTCAATTACGTTGGCAGCACTGGATATGGACGCAAATACCGGGAGGCCCTCAATTATTCCTGGGGTGTCAAAGACGTAGATGATTGCGCATCCTGCGTTGCTTATCTTGCGGAACAGGGTCTTGTTGATAGTACCAAGGCCGGTATCGTGGGGGCAAGTGCAGGCGGATATACCGTACTTCAATCACTAATTAGTTTCCCGAAATTGTGGGCCGGGGGTAATAGCAAGTTTGGGGTCGGAAACTTGGATTCAATGGCGATGATGACCCACAAGTTTGAATCGCACTATCTCTTTGCTCTACTTTTCCCAGGAGATACGTCTGAGAAAGAGAAGCAAAAGATCTACTGGGAGAGAAGTCCTGTCTTCCATGCAGAGAAAATTGAAAGTTCGTTGTTGATATTGCAGGGAGATGAAGATAGGGTGGTGCCTCTTGATCAAGCTGAGGAGATGACGCGAGTATTGAAAAGCAGTGGAAAGGATGTAAAGCTTGTTGTGTTTCAAGGAGAAGGACATGGGTTCCGGATGCAGGAGAATGTGAAGACTGCCATTTTGGAGGAGGAGAAACTATGGCGGAGGACTTTGCTGACGCTGGAGTGAATTTCTTGGACCTAATTGTGATTTCTTCCTCATGTTATAGGAGTTTTTGAATTTAATCATAATTGCACACTTTGTCCCAGAATATAACTCCTTGATTTCATAATACGACTTCTGTCATCGAAGCGGGATGACTGACCCTGCACCGGTAATTCAACTACAAGAAAGCGAGAGAGGAGCTCGAGGGCTATACCCCTTGTGGCTAAGACTTTGAGGCATTTTAAAATTTATCTAGAAACCTTAGAAATCACCTCTTGACATATTGAGAAAGCCATCCCTGGGATGCGGCTGGTGACACGCGAAGCAGATAATATCAAAAGCCCATGTGAAAAGAATGATATCACGCTCGACTTAGCTCAGGCCTGAACTGGTAAGATTGGAATTAATTCTTGACTTAACTGTTCCCAGATTCACTTAGTACGCAAAAGAGGGCCATCTTGGCTTAGTATATCTTTCAAAGAACTTAAACCGGACCTGAACCCCGGAAAATACATCCAAAATTTGCCCATATAATTGTCCAACCGAGAAACTTTATCTCGTTTACTTCTCAATAATTACAAGTATTTATATTTTTCTCGACATCCAAAAGACCGCTAGATATCATATTCTGTAAAAATGTAATCCCAATTATAAAGTGCAATAAAGCCTCACGACCTTGATTTTGTGACCTGACGAGAACCACCAACTAATTTCAATATAGAGATTTGGTGAAGAGTGAGAAGTTTAGGCAATCTGAAACAACCACTAAATTCAATCCGAATAGTCGAGTAGGGTTGAAGCAAGGAATCAATAATCTGGAATATCGAGTAGAGGACCTGGGACTATAAGAGTATTTAGACCATTCACATCTGAAAAGGTATAGTACAATCCTCATTCGTAGACTTATAAGATACAGTGCACCTAACTGCCGCAGGACCAGGCACAAACAGCTGCGTAATGTGCACTCTCCTTTTCCGCGGTCACGGTGGATATTGCGTAACTAAGAGATTTTCAATTGGAGACTATTCTTCAGGGACTTACATGAAAGTGCATCGGAGTTCCCTTCTATCAGCCTCTTTCGTTAACCTCTATGACAAATACTATACATGACGAGAAGGAGGTACTACCAGATCCAGACCATACAAGCAGATATCGGTGATGCTAGGGCTGAAAAGGTTTATAATTCTGCTCGCACTAGTCGAAATTATCTCGCAAAAGCCTTAACACTAAAAGTTTCGTAGCCGTGTTACCCTGGACCGGGGATATGGCCACCGGGGCAGAACTGTGCATATGAAGGAAGTATATCATGTACGAAATGAAACTCATATACCCACATACAAGAACAGAATTTACCAATTTGGAAATATTCCCTTGTTACAGGGTCTCCCCCTAATACTGCATACTCCCTAAAACCCAAGATGTGACCCAAATATGCTTCTTTGCCTGTCAGAGAGGAGTATCTTCCGAGATATCTCCTATTTGAGCCACTCAGCCACAATTCTAATGAAAATTTCTAATTTGAAAATAACAGTTCAAAATATCTTTATCTGACATAAGGAAACGTGGAGACCCATACATACGTCGCGGGCTCGGGTACTGTATCAGGGGATAGACATTTTGAAGCGAAATTCTCGCGCCGCCCAACTTACGCCAGTCTGTCATTTGGTATAAATTCCTCAAGATATTGCATACTTGGCAAGTATTGAATACTAATCAGGACATTATCTTCACTTACACAGGGGTTTCGATGTCAAGATATTTGCGAAACTGCTGGACTTCTCCAGAAATAGATCAATATCAGACGAAAAAGTGATAATTGGAACTTTCAAGCATCTCACAAATACTCAATTAACGTGTTTCAAGTTGTATCATCATGGATAAAGTGAAAAGGTAATTTGCATTGGTTGGATGCGTAACCATTAGTAAGAAGACAAGTGGCAATTTTTTCATTCGTGATATCCTCCCGAGTAGCAATTCCCAGGAAAGCCCAAGTGATCAGGCAGACTGTCATACTCTTGGTGATCAGTATGTAATACGAGCGGAGAGTAAGCGATTGTTGATATACCCGGGACACCTGCTAGTAGTGATTAGATGGTATCCCTCCTGATTGAGAGAATACTTGTACCATATGGCTACATACTTAAGTACTAGGCATTTCTATAGCAGACTATGGACGTAATACACCTAGTTAGCATCTTCTAAAAGTGAATTCAAATTCTTTCAAGCAGCAAAAAACCGACACCGAGGACAAAATGCCCTCGGTCCTATTTCCCCCACCGTCTATGTTCAATAATAGAATGTATGCATTATCATCGCATTCCCGTCACTTCCTTCCCCGATTCTCGTCTCAAGCTCCCGCTGAAGAATATTAAACCCGCTTTTTATTTGAAAATGGCAGATAAGTGTATGCCGATAGAATCGAATAGGCTCGGCTTATGGTTGTGTTTGTTTTGGGTATTTCAGCCCGACTCACAGAAGTCAATCTTGATTTCTGTGCACAAGCCCGTTGTATGTCAGGGCAGGGCGCATCAATCTTCAACAGATACCGGCCAGTGAGTAAGCGATTGAAACCTATGTAAAAGTCAAAACGATAGTAAACTCATTTTGAAGCTCTTTAGACCAAATTCGGGGCTTTAGAGCATGTTCAGTACAAGAACTGGCTAATAAGTATGATTTCGGAGAAGCTCGGTCGGGTGCTGGATTCTCGTCTCCAGATTAATGACTTTGGTGACCAAACACTAACTCAAAGTGGCGAAATCTTAAATGCAGCAAAATAGTCTCTGGAGTATCTCGAAAGGTGTTGGTGCGGGATCAGTGCGGTTCCTTGCACCACTAGCAATAGCAGCCTGCTTGTTCAGGATACGAATTACACGGGCACAAAATTTTATCTCGCGATAATAAAAGGCATTCCAAATCCGAATAACGTTGAATGTATGAAGATCCTAATTTATTGTACTAAAAATAGGGATGAGACGTAACAATTACCGCCAAGACTCCCATCAAAAGCCCCTCGTCGGTGCAGCAGCCACATAACTTTAATCATGCTGAACCCTGAACACCAGCCATTGACACAGCTTAGCCGGATGCAGTAGGCGAACTTGCAGTTACGACGGGAAATAAAACCCGACTTTCCGGTAACTTTTACGTTCAGCCCATTCACTCGGGTCTCCACGTGGCTATGGTCTCGCCATCCAATGCGGTTCACCAATGAGCCTTTATTCGTTTTGTTTATGCAGTAAGGGAACTTGAAGTTACTACGGGAGATAGAACCCGGCTTTCCGGTAACTTTTACGTTTAGCCCACCCTCTTTGCTCTCCACGTGGCTATGGTCTCGTCATCCATTGCGGTTCACATTGAGTCGACATTTGTTCCATTTATTTTCGGAATTCTGGCTCCGTGCTCTGTATGATTGGCTGGAATCCTGTTTGCTGACTAGTCATTTACAGAGAAATAAAAAATTAACTATCGAGTATTTTATCCCGAGTTAAAAGCTGGAAAAGAGCTGGGGAAGCTTTTGTTAAGAATAAATTTTCTATTTCCTAAACTATCAGAAGGTGCATGACACTATCCTCATGACGCCTTTCTCGCACTGAGCTTTGCAAAACTCATAGTCTAAATGCTCTCTGCCTCGCACTACAGAAAAAGTCTTCTTCTGCTACTCGGTATGTTTGCCCAGCTTAGCAGAAATGATTGCGCAAGTAAGGTTTCTATGTATCTCTGGTCACTAACGTACGGTTCTAAAATGCTCCTATAACTCATGTTGGAATTTTTGAGAAACCAATAGTTATAAGCTCAAGGTTTATATTAGTGGTATAGAGGATTGCAGTGGCAACCTATAAGCAAGTGAACAATATGGGCATTGGAGATAGTACAAAATGTCACGTGGCCGATATTGTGTATTTGAATCGAAGAAACAGCAAATGTATGAAGGTCCTGGCTTATTTTGCTTAAAACGGGACAGAGACGTAGACACCATGGCCGAGATCTCTCGTTTATTAAAAGTCGACAGAGGTACGAAATCCACACAACCATAAATATGCCGGTAGATCCACGCCAGCCACTGGGCAGCAGGAAAACTTGCAGATACGACGGGGAATGTCAGCTAACTTTCCGCTGTTCTTCTTGGCTAGCCCCTTTATTTGTGTTTCTACATAATCCTTGCCTAATCTTCTAATGCAAATAGTCATCAATCCGATATTTGTTCCATTTGTTTGAGTATTCTCCGACTCCGGCCTACGCATGATTATTTAGCATAGCCTCTATTCTGCCAAATAAATTGTGATTTACCGATATTTATCTAGATGCGGAACCCTCACGATGCGTGGTCCTAAGTTGATGGATGAGAAGGGGCTGGCAAGGACTCTCTAACAAAAGTTTTTCGTCTCGCAAGCCATGGGAGCCTGCATTCCACTAACCTCATTAAGTTAGTCCCATACTGATCAAGCCAGATTTCAAGGCCGAATTTAGATGTTTCCCCGTCTGAGTATGGGTGAAAAAGAGCCCTAGATTCCAACAAGAATTACCGAAGCTTAGTTTTGAACTATAGTTTATCAGGGCTAAGTTATCTGGGTTTGGACATCAGCCGTTAACTAGGCAATTATATGAGGCCACTTTACCAGTCCGTCAGAATGAGAAGCGTGGCACACATGAAGGATACCCTGGCGTCTATACTCTATTAAGATAGGGTAGATAATATGCGGCAAGATTATTGAATATATTAGATACAGTAACCTAATATGAGGCAGAGCAAACTGTATGAGTAAAGTTGACTCACTGCGTATTCCTGCCAAATCGGTGCTAGTAGCAGACAAGGTACAACCAGATAATTTCACCCTGCACTCAGAAAGCAGAATCTGGCTGGCTGGTACTTTATTTCCTGTTTCTCGAGAAGGTTTTACACAAGATTATGTTTGTTTCAAGATAATGGTAACGACAGCAGCTCAAGTACCCATGTTCATCTGTCAGAAGCTCCTTGGGAAATTTCAGTGGAACAAAGAACATCCAAATCCTACCAGGTCTGCTTCCCAGGTGATGGATCTGGACAGCGACGTTCTGAATAAAACTTGATCTTCATTGTCACCCAAAATATTTATTCAAAATGTGTCAATCTCGACCATTGGACGCAGCTGCGATACTCGATCGGGAGATTCTCTCGAATCCTTCCCCCCTCGAGCCACATGACTCCAAATCACAACCCACCAGAGTACCACCTGAAAAGACGCCATCTGACCTCTTGGCCAACTTCAGTTGGATAGAGAGTGAGTCAAGCGATGACGAGAGCCTTAGTGGCTCAGTAGTGAGCGTCTCGGATCAGCATCAGCAAGCAATTGAAAACTCCGTCAACCGAGCAACATATCCGATTTCTAAAGAATATGTGTTTCAAACTCCGACTCCGTGTAAGGCAAACATTAGCCCGCGGAAAACACGCCCCTACACTGAAAATATTGACGGCGCGCTTTCAAATTGCACGTTCGGCACTTTGGAACCAGCCGCACCTTACTATTACCTGGCCCAGCCGGTTCGAGGAGCCCTTTCCACGAGTCCATATTTTAGGGAGAAGAAATGGGATTTCTTTCCAGAGCTAGGACCGCCTTTACGGACCGAGGACATATCAGATCGACGCATCGAGGTCTCAAGGTTGCCGCAGAAAAGGAAAATTTTCGGTTTCTTCTCGAATATCCTTCGTTTCTCTTCCCTTCACAATGCCAATCACGAGTCCTTGAAAAACCATATGTCTTCGACTGTCTTCAGAAAACGGAATGCAGTGGGTACATCGAGCATATCTAGTGGTTGGAAGAATGTTTCGAGCTATCAAGCAAGCGATGGGAGCTTTGGTTTTAGGAATATTTAATTTCGTTGTGAATCAAAAAGCGGGTTGGACTGCAGTTGAGCAACCAATTTCAAAATCGACTTACCGTCACAAAAGACTTATGTAAGTATCCGGCATCTTCGGTGTCTTTTTCCTTTATTTACTCCATAGACACATCTGGGCCCAATGGTATATTCAACCACAAGTGAGGAATTCACATTATCCAGATAGTATGCAAAATTTAAAGCTGTCACCACGGATACTGTAGCATCCCGGCGCAGCTGCTACTGAAGGCACGGGATAGGGATACTCGCAGAGAGACTGAAGATGGTGGTGACTTGAAGATGCTATGGAGAGAAGCTATCTACATGGCAGGCACGGTGGGCACTGGCTGACTCAGCAACCTGGGGCCTGAGCCCTCAGGCCTCAGTAGCTGCAAGTAGGCATACAACTTGTCTTATCGGAAGATGGAGATATTACTCATAGCCAGGCAAGCGGCTTGGTGTTTGAAATAATATGGCAGAGAAGCCTTTCATTTGCTCACTGAGCCACAGCTTAGAGAGGGTATTATTTTGAAATTTCTCCGAAATTCACCGCCTTCTGAGATGGATTACGGGATCAGTCGGTACTCAAGACGATAGTTTGCTGGTTCAGCATAAATATTGGATCGATATTTTGTGCGGAATTAACAAACACTCAGCAGGCTTGACCTCTGTCCGAGCTCGATATCTTTTTGATGTCTACTTGTCTATTGCGTAGTCGTTTAACCCGTGCACAGCTACGATATATTGTGGTTGTTATTGATATTCTATGCAATTCCTTCAATGACTTTCCTTTAGCTGGGATCGGCATGATGCTAGAGAGGCTAAATAAGTGTGAAAAGAATTTTCCAGGGGAGAAGGGGGCTCGGTATGCTTCAAACCCATTTGGCGAAGAAAAGGTCTTGCTAAGCAGTGCAATAAGGTGTAGCAAAATTGCGCCTTGGTCGCACAAATTAGAAAATCTAAAAAGCTAGATTGGGGATGCTTGTCTCTTCTAGCTAGCAGTTACAGTGGAATTTATCTGTCTGAATGTGGGGAGATACGGAGTTCCGACGGTGAGTGGGTGCTATTTCGATGTGTGATGGTGAGGGCTGGAGGTAAGTGATGATTGAGAGTGGGATTCAGCCAAGCATGGGTCAAAAGATAACGTGACGTTTGACCCACCTTTGGCCCATCATTACTCTGTGGTTTTAACCGAGGGTCTCCCTGGTTTTAACCTATGGTAAGTCTAGTTTGTGAGTTCCTATTGGTTGTATGTTATAGTGCTAATTTTACGATCTGCTATCTACTATACCTATATTTTTAATATCTTTACATAATATTAATTAATATACATTGTTTATAATATATAGAGATTATTAACTTCTATATACTTTTTTAAAAAATTATAAGTATAGATACTACAATTTATCTAGATCTATATTAGGTCGATGCTATTGCCTCGGTACCTGAGGCCAGAATTACGGGTTTTCACTGGCGGTTTTATTGTGACGATGGTACCCACGATTGCATGTCCAGTGCCGAGGGACCGAGATGAAAACATTGTGGATTTCGGGACTAGGATACCAGATGGAGGCTGAAATTCTATCTGGACCAAGAACCTTGGATGTATGTCCACCGGAGACATAGGTCCTGAAGGTTATCTTTGAAACCATGGTCCTCTGGCCACTTACCTGCCCAGGTGGTGTCCCAGTTTCTATATACCGATTGATCGCAAGACCGGGTATAGCTAGGCATGGTATTGTGGGGTAGATTGAAATCAGATTAAACACTGCCGACACACAGGGGCACTTTCCAAAGTTCTCGAACCAAGCTCGAACTTCAAATGAGATAAATTCTCTGGGATGTGTCTAGAAGATGTAAATCAAAGTGGAATATTTGACTTTAATTGAATTTCTATCCGACATATTGATCCTATCTCATTTTAGTGTATCGCCAGAGGATATCACTAAGCCTGGTAGCCTCTGGGATCCGTCCCTGCCACCACATCACAACGGCAGTGGTAGTCCCGCATAGAGTAACAGCGGTGAGAGTCAAGTTACGCAGACATTGAAAGAGGCGTTTTTTCCTGTTTTCATTCGCGCGCTGCTTGAAGTTTGTCGGATTATTGGTTCGAGGGAAGGGTTCATCAGGAACAGGCTTATCAAGGAACTATATTTATCATCAGCCTCGGTTTTGAGGAAGATACATTTTCTTCAAAAGTATACCTTGCAAAGCGGCTCCCAGCCATCCTCAACGGACCACTCAAGCAACTTATCGTTAGGCACCATACCCCGAACCATATTGCAGTGGTCGCGATAGACCCACTTAGCGTTTCGCTGGATACCATCTGTGGTGCTGACGCTGCGAAACACGCCTGGAAACCCGTATCTGAGGTAGATACTATAGAGCCAATAACGCTCGGAGGAGAACCACTGCATTCCCCACATAATCCACGATAGACCAACCTCTTGGGCGATTGTTTTATCAATGCTGTGGTACCAGGCATCAATATCAGGACGCACGTTCAGAATTACTTTGGCCTCTGGATAGGCAGCGACCAGCTCAGGAGCAAATAAAACGGATAAAGAGTCAACCACAGCCTGGTTATCACCAAGGAGAATATCGAATTCCGCACTGGTAATACACACATCGCCATCGCGGGCACCGCTGTACTTCCGCTGCAGTAGCTCAGCACAAAGTTGCAACTTTCCGCCATCTGACTCGAAGACCAAGTCCCAGCCATGATATGTTGGCAGGCCCAGGGTTCGCAAGGCCACGCTTAATGACTCAGTTCCGGTGCGTGGTAAACCCAAGCAGAGCACTTCAACGGGCTTGCTGCGTTTGTGCAGAGTCGGTTCGGGAAACCCGTAGAGTAACCGTTCGAGGGCATACATTTGGGCTTGGAAAAAAGGGTTGACTTAGCATGAGCTTGGGAACAAAGGTCTTTCACATAAATAGTAGCGTGTTCGCAGCTATGGTGGGTCCCCCCTAGCAACAAAGCAAGGGCTTATTTATGGCTTTACGGTAACCTTGGAAGTAGGGTGCCACCCCTACTACTAGAAAATCATACCATACAACATCTTATACAGTAGTTTCTGAATAGGCTGGGGGCCTAATTACGAATGCGGCGGGCTACCTGAGAAAGGCCCCTTATGATCCTCGCTATTAAGCGCCATCCATGCAGGAGAGTATATAGCCAAGCCGATCTGTCGCACAAAGATCGCTAGTGCCAGGCGCACCCACTAGCGAAAATTCGGTGGGATCGCCTGGAATACATTTTAGGTAGCGTGGGGTAATCTCGATAGCACCTGGCAGGATCCGATGTTGGTCGTAGCTCGCCGAGAAAAAGAATGCCCAGGTGACCCCTCGTCACACTCGTCAAATGGCTTGGTTTCAAGTTGCCGTTCTCCTTGCCGCTTTTCAACCTTATTGGAACGAAGGTATATTGAGTTGATAGTATCCATGGGTATGTAAAGTCGCTGTGAAGATGCTCAAGGTATCAAACTTGAAGACAATGTTCATGAAATCGTAAATACTATGCAAAGCGACTGTTTGATCTGGGGCCACCCAGCCTTAACTTGGGCCGAGCATACGCGTTGTGATTTTGTGCACCCAGGTTCCGTCAAAGTGTCGCAAGTCGCTTCTTCTTTCTTGTCACGGGAGTAGATAATAGTTTGTAGCGTCAAGTCAGGAGAGATGCGAGACTCGTGAAATTAGACTCCACCAATAGAAGCGACCGGTCGCATTGAAGATGGTATAGGATCTCCGAACTAAATGGGGCAGAGAGACAACATTACTATCGACATTCAACCATCTAGCTCCAGTTGCTCGCTGTATCTCTCACCCAGACACGGTATAAGCAACAGCTTTTGGAATCCATCCAGTCGTCCCGGCAGTTGTCCCTCTTGCCAACCCCTTGCAAAGTCACCATAAAGTACGGTTTCGGAAGGCAATCGGTCTGATTCCTCAAGCCATGAAGCACTTGTACCGAGATCCCATAGAGTGGTCTTGGATGTGAAGGGAAGTATACTCATTGCCTTGACATTTGGACAACACCCGGTTTTTAGTGACAGATACAAGCCCTCAATCATCATGACAAAAATGATTGTTCTTCGAGCGCTCTCTGCAACTATCCATTCTTGCCATGTGATCGCAGGGGTCAAGCTTGCCGCTCGCTCTTGTAATTGAAAGGCCCAAATTCTTAATATATCCATGTGTTGTTCAGCCAAGGAGCGCTGTCGAATATCGCCATCAAAGAGCTGGACAATTTGAAACAGCATCAATGCATGCACTGCTGCGAGAATCTGGGGCAGGGTACTTGTGTGGATATCCTGCTCCACGAGGCCAGTAGTCTTGCTTTCCAGTATACGGAAAACCAGGTCCTCTGTTTCTGATGTTTTGATACTATAAGCTGCTAACACTGTAAAAGCATCTTGAATAGCATCGGGCAAGTATGCATCGTAGAGACGGGAATGAATGAATGGCGTTTTTCGAGTGATAACAAACTCCTGCGGGTAAGATTTGATATTTCGCAATAGCTGATTGGTTGACCATTTATCCAGGATGGTGGTTTCTGGGTAAATTGCAGCTGGGGATAGTGATGGTATGGAAAGTAGAGAGGGCATCGGAGTAAGCCACGGGATCCCAACATTCGTATCGTCAATGTAAAATTGATCTAGCGGCATAAACAACAGAGTCTCACTGGAAGCAGGGGGGGATTCCGGCCCCGCTTCCAGAAGATGTGATGATTGCAACTGATTCGAAATAATCTGGCGCTTTGGGGGCCATGCACTTTTGTAAGTACACACCAATCCCTGGGCAAGACATCGTGAGCAATCTGGGGTTTGACGGTTGCAGCGCCGTTTCCCTTCGGCACAAGCAATGCATGATTTCTGTCGTGAGCGCGCAGATGGCGATCTGTAAGCCATGGTCTGTATTTTTACGAGAAAATGAACAGCCTTGGAAGATATCCGGGACGGGCGGGTACTAGGGAAGTGGGCCAGGGTCGGCGACCGTGACGGAACAACGATGTTCCGTATCAGCTGACTCACACCGCTTCCTAAAATGGATATAGATCCCTTTGGCTCACCCATACTATGTATTACGTAATTAGTATCAAAGCTTCTGATTTGCTACAGCAGCGCTACAATATAGAGCCAATTTGTATAACCTCAATTTGCTGCACGTTATTTTTTTACAACTTCGTATTATATAATAACTACCTAGGTATGCTATTGGAATTAATGTATCTATTATTTCAGAATATGGGAAGATAAGGGCAGCCTCGGAGGAAAGTAAGGCTGCGATGACAAAGATGTCCGCAGAACTCCGCAAACTCCGCAGAACTCCAAACTCCGCAAAAGTCCACAGGCCGAACTACTATGTCCAAATTCAAAAACCTCCAATAGACAGTATGGCAGATACTTAAATATAGTGCGGAACGAAATTTATATAAAAAATATGAATGGATTCTATGGACTATCTCTACCACACTTGAAAAATTTGAACATAACACTTCTCTCTTTACAATGGCCGTCACTGAGCTTATTTTTCCTAGAGTCAAAACCGACCCGGGTTCACTTAAGGAGCTTGAAAGAGACTGGCCAAGGTTGAGCAAGGGATTGATCGACCCTAATCCCGGCCTACTCTGCGCATTCCGTGGATGGATTTTGACAGAAGATGGATTAGATGTAAGAGAGGCCTACAGAGAGTTCCTCCTTTTTGGTAAGTTCACCTGCTATGTCAAACTTAAACATAGCTGATATAAACAGAATGGAATTCCGTTGATTCCTTTCATGCTTTCATCGGCTCGGAACAATTTGCTGCTTTTGCTAGCTCAATCAGGCATTTGGTGACTGGACCGCCCACCTTGCAGCTGTTTGAAACAAAGTTCTCCCCGAGAGATGCAGCCTCATCGTCCCTAGTTGAGATAGTTCGAGTCAGTGTCTCCAGCTCTGAGAATGTTGAGCAATGCCTTCAAGTGTGGGAGAAAGTATCCCGCGATCTAGCTCTAGCCGGTAATGCAGAGAGCACGACTTCAGTCACCCATGGCAAGAGTTCAAACCTTGAAAAGGACGTCGTTATGGGTATTATAGGATGGCAAAACAGGAAGGTATGAATAAAAGTTCAACTTGGCATAAGTGGCATAAGTGCTATGCTTACCATTAACAGGAACACCAGGACATTTCCCAACAGAAGATTTTGTCGGAAACGCTGGAGTCGCTCAAATCGCTGGGGAAAGTGTCACAGATAACAGTTGACATCGAAGTAATGGACTTGGGTGCATTTTAATATGCTTAGGGATTACTTCCTGAATGGGGAACTGGTGATTGTCTCTTTTCAACAAAGAGTCCATGCGTGCTAGCACTCAATTTCTTAAATATTAGAAGTTTCCCGTCGATCTCGTCTAATAGCGTATTGCGATACGTCAGCGAAGGAATCTTCCCAACTTGCAATATAACCTAGGAAATTTTCTTTTTTCCCCGGGAATTCAAGCCTACATACCTGGTCTTTGTTGCCCGACTGCATTTTTCGCACTTCTATTTTTCTCTTGCCATCCTAAGGAATTTGGCCATGGGAGAACAGACCATCATCTCCTAAGAGATTACTCGCTCGAATATCTAAACCTACGGAAGTTTAAAATTTTCTAGAGCTATTTATGGGCTCTCTCTGTAATTTCTTTAAAGTCCTCCATTCTACTGTCTAAAATGTGCGCACACAAATGGCAAAACTTAGCCCCAGTTGCTGAAGTAATTTCAACTGTGCGCGAAACTTCAAGGCCCCGATTATGAGATTACTTGATTATTCCAGGGTATTTCCACTTGAATTCCAACGTGGCCTGTCACCTTATCCAGTAAATTGGAGAGAAGGTGCTCCAGCAGACCATCTAAGCCAAGCATTTGGGGGCCGCCTATGAGGTTAACCATCTTTACAGCACCATCTACATGACGCTTCAACATGTTTTCATCATGCATGAATAACTAGCGATTGTCAGCTTTGCCTTTCATTCGCATGGGATGAAGTACCTCATCATATGCTAGCATTATAGCTTTTGCAACAGTCGAGTCACCATAGACCGGTACCTCGGTTGAGATCGCGTCTCTCAATGACCGCAGGCTTTTGACCTTATATTGATAGCCCAAATGCGTATAAAAGTGTTTCTGCTCTTCTTGATCCGGGCGATTATAGCTTGCAGATAAATTTCGACATGATGCAAGAAACAAGATGTCCAGTAGACTCGCTTCTGTTAGCGCAAGCGGTATCCATACACTTGTCATACGTTGAGAGAAGTCGATTGCGAGTTCGGTGCAGCGCATTAGTGGGATTATAGCTGTGACGTCTTTTGGAGTTGGTATCACTGCATCAAATCTGGCGTTTGATTCGGACATACAATGATCAAATAGCATTTGCTCCAATAAAATCAAGGGCCTTGCGAAGCTGGTAAAGGGGTCTTTGCGGGAAGCCGGAAGTACAGTGACGATTTCAGCTGGTTTGCTTAAACTGAAGTTCATTTTATTCAGCCATTCACGCTTATTCTGCGCCTGGTATTGTGAAGTCCGTAGGCGCCGCTCCCGGGCATGTGCGGAGCGCGCAGCGTGTGAACGAGCAACCCTCTGCTGTGGTTTGCTTAATTTTGCTGTTTCAGGAGCAGTGATAATAAATTGCACTTCCCGCAACGGCATGATGAGGTATTCTTTCCGCTGTATATTTAGGAGCAATATTTCTCAGGGAAGAGGATAGAGATCTGAGGGTGCCACAGTATGACTAGAAAATGCTGATAAAGCACAAGACTGATATTTGGGGGCTGGTTCATTAAAGTTTCGCCAAGAACTGCGCCTCCCAGATCGGGCATAGATCCAGACTCTCTAACTAGAGTATAAATGTCAAAATAACTTCCTCGCCTCAATTATCATTCAATTGAAAGATACGACGGAATTTAAAAGCCTAAGTCCGCCCGGCGACTGTGAGATTACGTCTCGAAAAAACTATTAGTACCTGGCAACCTTGGGATGACAGAGCGTGAACTAGCTTGCCAAGAGCGCCACCTACTTAATGCAGGAAAAAATACCGCCTAGTTGAAGAATAGTCTTCTTCTTTCGATGTTAATGTAACGGAGTTTTTCAAGTTAGATCCGAGTCTGCATTTGTGATTCAAGTGAATGGTAAGCAAGGTTTTCAACCTACTAATATATAAACAGCGAGCTTTTCGCAGAATTATGCACTTCAAGTTTAGAACTCCAGCCAAAAGAATTCCTCATGAGTGGAACAGTTATTATTACCGGAGCTAATGGCTCCCTGGCCCTTGGCTTTGTCGAATCTTTCCTTTCCAAATACAGTGAGCATAATTTGGTAGCCACTGTTCGAAACCCTTCCGCAGAAAAAGACCCAAATACTGCCAAGCTTCTAAGCCTGGCTAGCAAGTACCCCAAGGCCAATTTCCACCTTGAAACTCTCGACCTTGGCCGTCTACCTGATGTCAGATCCTTCGCGGACAAACTATCGACACGAATTTCCTCAAAGGAACTTCCGCCCATCACAGCGATCGTCTGTAACGCCAGTACATGGTCACTCGAGTCGGGGCAACAGTTTACATTTGATAATTACGAGGCTACATTCCAAATATGTCACCTATCTCATTACCTGCTGGTCCTGAAGCTGCTCGGTAGCATGGACACCACATCCGGGCGTATAATCATGCTCGGTTCCGTCACTCATTACCCCGATAAACCGAACCCCTTGTCTTCGCTTGGGCCATGTTTCCCTGTTGACTTTGAAGAACTGGTCATGCCAACCTTAGACCCAATGAAGCTTGTCCATGACCGTGGATTCCAGAGATATGCGACAGCTAAACTTGCAAACGTGGCTTTTTCAAGCGACCTCAACAAACGACTCCAACAAGTGAGGAAGACCTGGTTATCAGAATTGAAAAGCAATTGACTAACCCATTCTGACAGGATACCAAACTATCACAAATCACAGTAATCGCCATGGACCCTGGTGGTCTTCCTTCGTCAAGAGCCCAAGCGGGGCAGAAGAAATCCACCAGGGCTATAATGGGGACAATCAACTTTCTCATGCCGGTCCTCAAGTATTGCACTACAGTATTCCGCACTACAGAGGATGCTGGTCGAGACCTGGCCACTGTGAGTGCTGATCCGGTATTCAGGGGGAAAAGAGGATACTATGTCGGTCTAAAAACGGACTCTGCGGCGCCAATTAGCCAAGACCCTGACATGCAGAAGAAGCTCTGGGAGTGCTGCTGGAGGTGGGCAGGTCTAACTTCCGCGGAGACTTCTCTTCAGAATATCCTCTGAATTTGAAGTTGATTTCGGTCCAAGGTTCTAGTGGAAGAATTGTTGGGTTCCAACCTTGGAAGGTTTTGCGAAAATAGTATAGATTTGTAGTATTTTCCCTTCACTAATATAACAACTTTTTCTGTCGGTGGCATTTTATTTCACTGTGGGATTAAGCCAGGTGAATGTGCGACGTAAAATTATGGGGTCTCGGAGTCTAGAATTTTCTTTTGACCGACCTGTTCTACTTTCTTCACCGTGACCATCCCTAAGAAAGCATCCGCCTCTGGCAGCCACACCTCAACACAGCTGCATTTTTCTAGTATCGTATCATGATTTATGAACATAGTTTTCTGGGTAGAATATACGGAAGTACCTACTACTAGGTACCGAGGTCAATATCCCATAAGGCTAAGACTTTTATTGCTACTGATTCAAACAATAGTTACTAGTACTATTATATAGCCTACTGTGAATAAGTCCGCGGCGCCTATCCGGTGTGAACTTGAAATACACCGCGTATATTCCTTCTCTCCGCTCTCAATCTACTCTCCAATTTGTTCTATCAGCTTAAGTCCCATGCACCAAAGCAGGAATCTAGGGCACTGGCAATGAACCTAATTAGAGAGAGCTCCGAAGAACAAGGAGATCTATGATACACCTGTCCGGCAACAATCCCCGCTCAAAAACAGCTGATTTGTTAGCACTCAAACATACCGGCAACAAAGAACAAGGAATAGATAAGTTTGGGAATTTTGAAGTCTTCTACGATTTCGAAAAAAAAATCGTAATCATGAGAACAAAAGTTAGAAAAGAACAAAAAAGACAAAGAAAAAAATAACATACAACAGCAGGGATTCGCATGTGGTCACCCACCATACTACTAACCTGCCGGCGTGTGGCTTAAGTACGGCTGAGCGGACGGGAAGCCCTGTTCTCCACACCCTATGGTCGTATGTATCAAACAGTGCACAACAACAATCTATATTGCTCTAGGTCGCTTTCCATAATTATTTTTACAGTAAGGGACTCGGAGAACAACGGCAACGATGTGGAAATTGGAATGACTGAAGCAAATACTATCATAGACTCAAAGATACGTCAAGCGAGTCTTGATTTGAGCTTGCGGAACAATGATGGTCACAGATCGGAGGGAAACGGAGCGGAATAACTGAAATAAGGAAGTTTATATCGATGCCAGTTTCTGACGATGGATGACTCCGAAACCTTGGAAGCGATTCCACAGATTGCTCAGAATTTTTTGAATATCAAGAATGATTACTACTAGTAATAGCTTAATATCTAAGATTCATGAGGATCATCGAAAGCGGTCAATAGCCCGTACCCAAATCTAGACTTCGGGATGGAACCTCACCTGCGACGCTTTTTGGCACTGGGTACTTTTCAAAGAATCATCATGACATAGTTATTTTCAAGGCCCTGCCACCTCAAGTGGGCAAAAACCCCGACTTTTAACCCTTCTGTATCTTTACAAAATATCTCCTCCATGTACTGTTGGACAGCTTTCGTCCACTCCATGCCTCCAGGGCTGAGCATATAATACAACTTGAGCTTCCAAGGCTGCAATACAATATGGGAAATCGCTTTGAGGCTTCCTTCCGGAGTCGGGCGAAGATATTCGCATCACTGCTCAAATATCGAATCGCGGGTTACAAGCCTTCGACAGAAATGTCTCGAATACAAGAGCCTCCGCCGGGCGAGCCTCTAGTCAAGAATTCGGGTTCTATCCTTGATCTTCCGACAGAACTACTGGACATTATTCTTTCCTATCTTTCTACTTACTCACAAGCTTATCTAGCTTTGAGTTGCAAAAGGTTCTATTTAAAGCATCGTGATGTTTGCAGGAGGCCCGAACTTTTGTTCCCTTATTATGTCTCAAATACATCCGCTACTTTAGAGAAACAGAGAGAGTTTCTAATCAACCTAGAGTCATCGACCTGGAAATACTGTGCTGCGTGCTTTAAGCTGCATCCTCCTCAAGAATTTCATAATCTTGGAAGTGCCCTATATCATCGGTATTGCAAATGGCCCGGAGAATTCGCTATCTGTCCATGTCAAGGCCTCACCTCAGAATGCTGGATAGAAGCGTATCTCAGATTACCACAAACCCGAGCGTTTGCTGCATAGTTGAGCTTTTTTTAAAAAACTCTCAACATTTCTTCTTCAGAGGTTTTGGGGAATTTACACTCCTCAATTTACTGTTCAGTGTGTATTGATTCATCTTGCCAACTTTAGGACTAGTAGCTGATGATTTATCCAGGAGCTCAGATGTTCTCCAGTCTATGTAACGATCGAAGCCTTCGGTGCCTAGCACGTGACTAAACACGTGACCCGGGCAGCCGCTCATGTAGATAGTTGCGATGGGAGCTTCTCTCCTTCTGCTCTTCCATCTCTCAGTTTAATACCTTCGTTCAATACTACTGCCATCTTTCAAAGCATCTGAGTCCTTACAGTCTAACGGTATTGCTTCCCCACCTTATCCGTCACAACTTGAATACTAATAGTACATATATTGGTCTATTTTCGCTATTTCTCATGGGTAGTTCAGTTTATCTTTGAGAAGCTTTGGTTGCTGAAGAAGCAAGTTATTCTGTTCATGAACAATGCCTGGTTCCTTTTTCTTTTTGAATGTAGATTATGAAACTAGGAATGTTTGTTTGGCCAATGCTTCTTACTATCCACAATGTTCCACGCACCTGAAGCCAGTAAGAGCACAAAATAAATAATATCAATAACCCACCTGAGCAGGTCGACGAGGGCGGAAGCATAAGGTATCCATGGATGGAGGCTAGTCCACTCGTAAAATCTTATCTTTTTTGAGAGAGTATCTAATTAGATTGAATCATATATCCTATAGGTCTCCTGGGATCATTGCATATATTGCACTTTAGCCTTACACCTTCTTCATTCCATTCGTACGGTATCCTTGAGCAAGATCATTGGTGTTCGCGGCAGCCTGGGCACCACTGGTCAATGAGACGGTGGGAAGATATCCCTGGACATTGACTTGAGTGCCAGTGGTAGCAATAGCGGCAGCACTCTTGTTGACACCAATGGTGATGTATCCAATCAAACCGTCGGCAAGAGTCTCACCTAGAAGCTCCGTGGAAATCATGGCAGAGTATCCGTCGGTCATGGCGACTTTGTACACCGAGTCTTCAGAGTTCAGAGTTCTGTTCAAAGTAGACAAATGGGCGTGGTAGGGAGCCAGCTTGTACACAGAGTTGATCAACTCTTCGGGAAAGAAGAGCTGACCAATGTGCTGAATAGCGGCATCGGAATAGCTAGTGTCATCACCGGTCACATTGGACTGCACAGTCACATGAATGTGGGTAGTTCGGCTATCGTAGTAGCCGGGGAAGATAGTGAGGAACTCAGCAATTCCGGCCTCGTTGGTTTTGGAGATTCCTCGCAAGAATGTTTCGTCATCAGTGGTTCCATCCTCCCTGGTACTCCATCCATCAAGAACAGACACGGTATCCGGGTTGATTCCGGTATATCCAGAGTAAGTACCAGTGGCATTGCAAGCCTAGAAATTATCAGTCGCAAGTACTAGTGCAGTAATAAATAGAAAGACTTAAAGAGTCACATACCCAAATGGTAAGCCAAGCATCCGGGAGAGGCTCACAAGTCTCGACATCAATCAGACCGAGATCAAGGTACAGGTTAACACCATCTTGACCCTCTCGCACGTCATGGCGATGAAGTTCTCCATCCACATCGTAGGGACCGAAGATAGTATTTGGGGCCAGCAGGCAGGTCTTGTTCTGTAGACCTCCGTACATGTACCGGCTCGATGAAGAAACACTGGAATCGCGCTTGCCCAAGAGGCTTCGACGATTCTTCAACGCGGTATCGCGACGCTGTTCGATTTTACCAGCACACTTGTCGGTGCGTCGGGAAAATGTATGAGGTGTGTGCTTCACATTGTTGTGGTCGTGACGCTCGGGGGTGGGCTGATTCCAAAGTTAGTGAACTGAGATGAGAAAAGAAATGGTAGTTCCAATCTGCTTACCGGTCACGCTGCCGATTGCGGTGGCAAATGCAAGGAGAGAGAGCAACGAGGTACGCATGACTTAGAGATGATAGAACAAGAAAATGGAGTCAAAACTGTTAGGCAAAATTCGAGCGCGATGACTATCAATTTATCCTTTTTCATGCTCAATACTGCTAGTTATAAACTTCCCCTTAGAGTATCGCCGGCCCGTATGGAGCTTCATTGCACACACTGTACCCACAAGCTGACGATATCGATTTCCCAGCAACATAATTTGTTGTTGCAAGCCGCATAAGGAGACCATGACGAGGCTATGTGGAGTTCTTTAACGCACCTTTGAAGAGAGCTCTCCTCACAGAGATAAACTTCTAGGCCCTGTGGGCCTAGACAGACAGGGCTGACCGGCAATTGCTGACAACCCTGTATGCCTTGCAAGACTCCTTGGCGAAATTTCCCAATATCATCTCCTAAAATGATAGTTCATTCACAGATTTGAGGAACCTCTAAAGGATAAATGGTAGCTTGGACTATCATTTATATACAAGTCTCAGGAAATTTCATTTTAGGAAGGTGAGCCTAAAAAGCGTCACAATATCTGCCCCTCTTCGAGGCGGTGCGATTTGAACGCTAAAGTGGGCCTTAATTGCGCCCATGGCGCCACTAGGGACCTACCTAAATTACTTGACGTGGCCAGTTTTTTTTCCTGCATTATGAATTACCTACATCAAATATGAACGAAGCAGGATCTTTTTCTCCCGCTGGCACATATTCCGGTTCCGGTTTTTTTCTTCCTGGGCTGGGTGTTCCCCAACTCCACTTTTTTTCGACCCGCCGAGTATGCACACAGTATACGCGTCTTTCTTGGTACCCCTGGCTAAGGGGCTCAACTTCAAGTTCTGGTTCGCGTATAATGCACACATAACTTGATTCCAGTGATATGTTGTATTTGTCTTTTAATGCGCAGATTAGGAAATCATTATTGAGGAACTTGAGCCTCTTGTGCGTAAAGTACTAAGTGAGAAGCAATGGGGTAGGTGTTTCATAACAAAAAATGCGTGAAAATGAGACTTGGCGTGAAACATGATTTCAAATCATACTACAGAGTACGTACTATGAAACCACTCAGGATAATACCTTGTAGCTCATTACTTTTCAATGTCGATCATCCTTAAAAAGATGCTTGGCAGCGAGAGTTCCATGTTTATGTATGACTAATCGGGATTGTGAAGGTTTTCTGGATAACCTTCGGAATTCAGAATGTTAGTTTCAACTCTCAATCGGTCACTCCATCTATTTATCGTTTTCTAAGTCAAGACCGTGGCCCTCGGCCTTGATATTCAAATTCAAATAGTATAGGTTCCATTCAACTTTGGATTTGATTTTCAGATATCGTAAATAATGAGGTACTGGCACTACCGGTGAATTTTTACATGTTTACTCATGTTCCACTCTAATCGGAATTTAATGGATACTTTCAAGTTACCTTCAAAGTTGTTTCAAAGATTATGAATATTGAACTTCCTTATCGTGTTTTCTAATAAATTCTAGGTCGCGCAATTTTATGTATACATACATAGGTAGTTGCCTTCAACAGCCCAAGATAGTAGCACTGGCCCGATCCGATCCATATGTCGCGTCTCGAGGTCATATATATAATAATGCCTCTCATCTCCAGGGCTGAGACTTGAACGTTCAATCTAGTCTCAAGCAATCCATGATTGAGTCCTGTTATTTTTGCGATTTTTTATATCAATTTTCTCAGTGGATATATACTATCAGAGTAGGGAATGATTCATGTTGATTGAAACTCAAATTTATAGGAGACCAAAGTCATACTGCGTTGGCACAGCAAAATACGGCAAAGCAATGGCAGATGTACCATTCTATTCAGTGATTTTGAGCTTGTAACAATCGTACAACTATAATTTGAGAGGTATTAAGTTCTCCCGCTTCAACCCCACTCATTCAAATTAAATATTTGTTCATGAATCGAAATCTCAGCCTTAATTTATCTGGATTATCTTGGTTGGCCTCTGCAAAGTTTCCCATTCGTGGCTGGCGGTGTTTGACATACACGACTAGTACGGAAGCAGTTACCTCCCTGCGCCTCAAAAGCCCGTCCAATTATTTACCGCCACGCTAGTGCTGACTTGTCGATGCGGGCGCCTCAGCACGATGAGGGAGTGAGATTCAAAAACACCTTCACACACTCTTCAATCACGATACATGTTTTCTAATACAATCGTTTCCGTGTTCCAAGTACAATCTGGTGATTCTAATCGAGAAAATCAAAAATTTCCAGTGGCAGACTATGCATGATGCAACTCACACCAATCAATCTGCCAATTATGAGGACGCGGGGGAAATATCGGGCGAGAAGTCAGTGAAAATTGGATCTCTAAATGAGCCCGCTTGGTCTGCGGATGTATTAAAGCAGTGAGTCTCCGATAATTTTTTTTTTTACAAACGCGACCATAACTGAAGATGCAAGGCAAATTGTCCAAACTTCAAAAACAAAACTGGATCGCCGATTGACAGAGTTTCTGAGAATCGCTTCACCCGAAGAAATGCGCTCTTATGAAGAAAGTCGTCACAATCTTTTAACGATCATTGAGCAAGCACAAGATGCCCATGACAGCCGATATCCAGAAATATCACGTCAAGGCATGCTGGGGCGCATTAAAAATGGCTGCCAGAAATTTAGCGAAGCGGCATACCCGTATACCCAAATCATGGATGTATTTGTCGGTCAAGCCCCGGAGTATGTTGGATTGGTATACGGTGCTGTCAAGATCCTTCTGGTAGCCCATATCAGCCATGCGGAGCTGAAGGAGAAGGTAAAAGAGAATATGGAGGTCATCAAAACGAAATTCGAGATTATGGATCATCTCACAGACTATCATCCGTCAGAGCGATTGGTCCTAGCTCTCGGGAGATTCTATGACTGCTTCCAACGATTCGTCGCCAAGGCCTTGAAGTTTTATTGCAGGAGTCGTCTCAGTAAGCGATCACGTTATTGAAAATCCCAAGAATCCTCGCTGATGGTATCTAGAAAATGCCTTCAAGGCGTTTACCAAGCCTTGGACTCAGTTGGAACCCATCGTTCTGTCGATAGACCAGGTCTACAGTGAAGTGCGCGATATCATCCACTTTTCCAACCATTTTACGGGTCAAACAGTCCTCACAAAAGTCTCGCAAATTCTCGATTTCATGACGGAAAACACGATCAGGTTTTCCAAAACGAGCGATTTCGAGGAGACCTGTCATCTTTTCCGGCAGCGGGTCGATGCTAAAATGGAAGAACACGGAGTTGATGGCACTCCCGTTGATACGTCCAACAATTCTCAAGCCTCGGTGGAGCCTCTAAATATGGAAAATACCTTCGCCATGCTATTTACTGATCTCAATAAACTCGAGGATATCCGGACGCAGAAATTAAAAATGGAAGAACAACGCCCCGAGATGCATCAATATCGTACCACGAAACGCAACATATTGAAGGTTGACCATGTCATGGATTGGGTTGAGGCTCAATCCTCGCAGCTTTTGTGGGTGGATGGCAGCCATTCCCTCCGCCGAGAGACATTCAGTGCCTCATTTGTCGCGCCGGTGTTGCTATTGGGAGAGAATCACTTTGAAACCAGTATTGTGCTGCGACATTTCTGCGGTGATAGCTATGGCACCAGCGCCAGTAACTATCCAGCGCTCATTCAGTCCCTGCTCACTCAGCTATTCAAGCAGCGTGCTGATCTTTGGTCGACTGCTTCTACCTCACTTGACCGAGAGAGCGCGAGCAATATATGCGTGCTGTGGAGGGTTTTCGTTGATGCTCTTCAGAATGCTCAGGTACCATGTGTGTTTATTGTCATTGACAGCATCGACAGTCTAGCTTCTCAAAAAACCGCAGATGGTGTAGAGGAGCGTGATTTCATTCTCGGAGCGTTGAACATCCTGGTACAACATTCGAATCTACTCGTGAAAGTCCTACTTACGGCATCGCTTTCCCATACCACCCCGCTTGCAGGAACGGACAATGCATTGACGTTGGGTACACTTTCATATGCCGTTCAGTCACAGAAGTCGAGGCAACTTTCCAATGCCATTACGGAGGAATATTTGATGCCCGTTTCGCATAAATTTGTCGAAATTCAAGAGCGCAGATGCAAAACTATCCGCTTTACCCAGCTTCCCTTGATATACCAGATCAACTCGACAATTTATTGCTGGAAAGATAGAGTCTTACGAGCCTTTGTTGTGTCTGAGCTTTCTGGGATGGACCCGGGGCCATTTGGTACATACGGACCACTTGTTCTTCGGGCTTGGGCCGTCGATCATAATGGCAAGACTTTTGTCAGGCGATTCTATGACTTCCGAGTTCCTTTCTTTTCTCGTGAGATTGACATCGTTGACCTAAGTTACATACCCGCTGGTTATCTAGCAGACGAAAATCAGCATCGCATGCAGCTGATTCGGCGGGGTCGACGGTATTGGAAGCTTGGTAGCGCTGTTCATTTCATGGAACATAACTCAAGCGAGGTATGCGAAATTACCACCAACCAAGGAGAATCTCTAGCTTACCTTTTGCAGCAGCCTGAACGTGTCGTCATTGATCAAACTCTTCGACCCTCGGGAAATCATGACCTTTCAAAATTGGATGTGGATTTAAGGACAATTTTGGATTCCAATTTAAAGCCATTCGTGGCACTTACATGTCCACCTACCATCTCGGGATACGATTTGACTGACAACACATGGAGTAAGTTGCATGCTGACTTTGGGTTTGATCATTCTAAGGTTATTCTACTGACTGCTACCAGGAGAAATCGATGTACTGGCAATCCAAGATGTACAGTTCCAGCGCAAACCCGAAGAAGTCTTCGAAGACATTCTTCTTCAGGACGACTCGAAATACATACTTCGTGGGATGATTGATAGATACCGAGACTCGATATCTATCCCCAACGAGTCTGTTCTGATCATGTTTCACGGAGGGCCAGGCGTTGGCAAGACATTCACAGTCAAGTTGGCCGCAGAGTATACCCGGCGGCCCCTGATTAGCATCTCCATGGCAGATATCTTCAAGACGGGCCAGGATGGGCCAAGGAGAGTAAGGGCCATCCTGAAAATGGCTAGCCATTGGAATGCCCTAGTCTCTCTAGAGAATGCCGAGCTTCTGTCCGAAGAAGAGTCCAAACAAGACTCACCACAACATGCGAATGTCTTATCAATCATTCAAATTCTTGAAAGGCACCACGGTCTAGTATTTCTGATCACGGATCGAGTTGGAGCCGTGAATATGAATCTTATTACTCGAACAGCATTGGCAATCAATCTCCCGCCACTGGATGAGAGCTCCCAGATCAGGATTCTTCAAAGCCTGGCAGCGTCTCATAGCGGAATTGTTCGAGAGGGAATTCAAGCTGTCGCATCTGGATGGCGTTCCTGGAAAACTACTAAAGGGATGAACGGCTGGCAAATACAGCGGGGAGTGACGGCGGCATTGGAATTATCAAGGAGCGAGGAAAATCAGTTCGACTTGAAGCTACTAGAAAAAACCTTCTCATCACAGGTGCAGTTTCAGTCCTACTTATGGACTCTCGGTCGCGATTCAGACGCTGCGCTCCAGAGAAATCACCGGAATGACAGGTTTGTTAGCCGTGCCGATCCTTTGTTTGGAATCGGTAAAAATTGACACCACAGGCACGCTTGGACGCAAATGGCCAACTGGATGGATTTTTGAAACAAATAGAACAAACAACGAAATAGTATTGAGGATTAAAATATGACCAACCTCTCCTAGAACAGACCAGCTTGAAAGAAAAAAAAACAAACATGCAAAAAGAAACTCTCCCTCGGGGAATCGAACCCCGGTCTCCCGCGCTTATCGGTGTTAATGACAAGCGGAAATCATGACCACTAGACCAAGGAAGATGAAATAGTCGAGTTACTGCTCGACCACTTGGGGGTGGTTGATGTCAGTTGACCAAGATTTGGCTATACAGTCTTCCCAATCAGAACCGGGTACCAAGAACCTTGGAAACGGCATTAGTAGAAAACATATTTGATCAGAGTTGATCTAACCATACTACTAGTAGGATGCACAGTGTGACTCAATTAAAAAAATACTACCTAGCTGGCTCAAAATTCCCTGCCCTGGTGGGCAAGCCCTGGAGTTCAACTTGAACTTACTACCGTGACTTACCTAGGTAGGTACCTAATAGTACTGGGGACTAACTAAATATACCTAGGTACTCAAGTCGAAGTTTCCTTAATCTTCAAACTTGGAAGTTGGAATGATCTGAGCTGCGCTCTAACTTCCAAGGTGCAAGACCCATCATCTCATACTAGTACTAATACGAAGTAGTATTGCTACGAGCAGTAGTATTTTTCAAATACAGTAGTCGCATAGTACTGAGAAAATTCAGAGTAGCGACCGTATTTTGCGATTTAATATCTAGTACTGCCCGAGGCCCCGGGAGTAGAGCCCTGGAAACCCCGCGGGCGGAGTGTGCCCAGGTGCCCAGATGCCAAAACACCTGGGCACCTGGGGTCACCGTCCACGAGTATCAAGAGCGAGCAGTAGTCCGCAACCGGCATTCTTCCAAGGACTCGGAACTTCAACTTTCGAAAATTTTCAAGTTGTATGCAGAAGTGTAGTACTGGTACTAGTACTAGCAGTATGTATTAGATATGTATTATAAACATGGGTATCTCTCAGAAATGGCAGCTCAACCAGAGCAACTTCAATCAAAATGCAAATGCAAAATGCTAACATCCAGCCCAACCCAACCCAACCCAACCCCTCATGACTCCGACTTTGACTCTGCCTCTGCCTCTCCGTCCGGATGATTGTCGTGTTCAGCATCAAACAACTCCTTCGACCACTCCTTAAAATCGCTGAACTTGTTGCCGAACTTATGCCAAAGCGTTCCCCACCACGTTGGCGCTTTCTCGTCGTCACTCTGTGAGTTGGAAGTTGGAGGCGCGTCAGAGGCTGCGCTCGTCGGCTCAGGAGTCTCCGCGGTTGTTGGGGTCGGAGTGGTGTTGCTGGCTCTGGTGGTGGTGTTGGTCGCTTCAGGCTCGGGCGGATCAGATGGTGTTTCGATGATCGGTGTATCCTCGTCGGAGTGGAGACCGACTGGCTTTAGTGGCAGACGGAGGGTGCCGTTGTTCGGCATGGGTTCTATGCCTAGCGAATCACACATGATGTTATACACTTCGATGTTTTCTGGAACAGGTTAGTTTACATATCTCTTCTTTCATCAAGGCAAATGGGTGACTCACGGAAAGGCTCAACGCGGCTATTAGGCTGATGTGGGAAGGCTGGTCCACGTGCAACGAAGATGGCTCGCATCAATGGGTGCTGGTGGTCGTAGCCATGGATACCGTTGGGGTGGTACACATCGCCCTTTTCTAGGGCCTTCTTCGCGTCAAACTCCGGTCGCTCGACGATCGCCCAACCGGTCTTGGGGATCACCCATAGAGGGGCGATTCGAGCATTGTGAGTAAAGTGGTAACGCTCCGGCATTGTCTCATGCGTGTAAACCTCCACGGCATGTGCGTACTTTGGCGCGGCTTCCTCGAGCTGCTTTTGCAGAGTCGGTAGGTCCTCCGGTCGCTTGGGGCGTATGCCGCGCGATGGCCACCCATCAAGGCGTTCAACGAGATCCAGATCGATAAGATCTTCCAACTGGACTAATCGCTCGGTAGACGTGGTGGCCATACCATGATCTGAGACGACCACAACATTGACCACGTTTGTGAGATTGCGACTTTCTAGACCGGCCATGATGCCGCCGATCATTGAATCCGCATGGGAAATTGTGGTTCGGATTTCTGTGCTGTTCGGTCCGAACTTGTGACCGTCTCTATCGACATCGGGAACATAAGCCGCTATGAATTGAGGTCGTTCCGGGTTGAGATGCGAGGTCTCGGCGCCTGGGAGATCTAGGAACTCTAGAACACGATTCACCTTGCGTGATAAAGCTTCCGTGCTATTGAATTGATCCAGGTAAGTTGGATCTTCACTTCCAATGTGAGCCTCAGAGCCTGGCCACATGTGGATGGCACTTTTGGCACCCTGCTTCTCCGCCGTCTCCCACAGCGGCTCTGCATTCCACCATTTGGGCAGCATGCTGACGGCCGGGTGGGTGTAGTAAAATTCTTCCTCAAGCTCTGGATCCCAAAAGGTATTTCCCACAATTCCATGACTCTCAGGGTATAAACCGGTGACCAGTGTAAAGTGATTCGGGAAGGTGACGCTGGGGAAGCTGGGGTTCATGTATTGCGGGGAAACGCCGGCGGCAACGAGCGAGTTAAGAGATGGGGTAATGCCGCGATCAAGGAAGTCCGCTCGGAATCCATCTAGGGAGATGAGTATAGTTGTGGGCGCGAATAAAGCAGTGCCGTTCGAGAGAAGGGGTGGAGGGTTTCGATGCGGGTGTGAAGCTCGGAAGCCGCTTGAAGCTTTATATGCGCCGAGGAGAAGAATGAAGAAAAGAATTATTATGACGGCAGAGGCCAAAGCAAGTTTGAGCCAGTGTGGACGCGATGGCTGGATAGGTAGGACATATGTTAGCTCAAGTGAAGGGCGATATAGACGAGAAGGACAAGGGTGGGTTGCATCTTTATTTACCGGCTGGTATAGAGGGTCCTCCTTTTCGTCCAGATCCCAGGAAGATCCACTGGTTAAGGAGTCTGTATCATTTCCAATTCCTTCTTCCATTTCGTACATCAGCTCGCCCTCCTCGCTGACTCTCTCTCGACGCGATAGACGAGCCTCTTTACGTGCTCGTCGTCGCTCTCTCCTTCCAATCCGCACGCTGTTTCCACTGGGACTGAACATCCTCCGTATTCCATGAGCGGGCCCTCGACGTGTCAAGAGCTTTTCCAACTCATCTTCATCTTCGAGGACCGCGCGATCGTGACTATTCAATTCAAGGGTGCTGCGGGGATGGCGGAGGAACTCGTCATCCTCAGAGTCGGAGTCCTGCTCCGACGGTGACCGCAGGGATGCAGCATCGTTGTCGTAATGGGATGGAGAGAGTAGGGCGGAGTCGGGTTTTGGCATGGCTTGCCGTGGATGAAGATGAACTTGAAGAAAGAAAGTGAAGCCAAAGCCGAGCAGCAAAAAAGGAAGATCGGCGCGGGCGGCCGGGGAAACTCCCAAAGACCCGCCAAGACTCAACTTCAACATCAACTTGAACTTCAATCTTCAATCTTCCCTTTCACCCTCATCGTCACCTCAACACCTTAAGTTACCTGGCAGGCTCCATCATGTTCATTTCTGTATCCGATCACGGATACTAGTGGCAGATACTACTAGTACTTTGGTCTACTCAGCACTCAACCAGCCATGTTCCAGGTGCAAATACGGGTCTATACCCTCAACATTTCAACATAATATAGTATTGACCGAGTCTAATGCGGTAGTCTCACAATTCAGGCCTTCACCTGCGCAGTGTTGATTGATCTGTCAATCTGCCAATCTGCCATAGGGTGGTCAAAGAAGCTACCTCACTCTCACGGTTCCAAGCTTCTCCCAACAAACAACAGTTGATCTGCGACTATCTGGGAACAGAAAGGTCAATCTCTATAGGCCTGTACGGGAAAAGACTTCCGTCCTCGTTTCGCTTCACGCATTTGTCGGAATGCGCGATGATCCTCAATCTGGGGTCGGCGCCTCAACATTCCTGGGCGACGCGCGAGCAACCCTGCAGCTGTCACTCGTCCTTGGCATTGCTTCTTTCTCATGATGAAATGATTCTTGCGGGCGATAATTGACGCATGCAGCGCCTCACTACCTCAAGATCAAATCAATGTCAAACGGCACTGAGATGTGTCCACGGAGGACGATTCGTACAGCAAACCTCCAAGGGGTTGCTCTATATGGAGGCATCAAGGCAGAAATCTTAACCACTAGACTGTCGATTCGAGTATCCTTCCTAAGCTCATACGTAGCTAATAAAGCTACTCGTCCCCTGATGGCACTCCTCAGAACCAATGGCCCGGGAACCACTACAGGGAAATAATCCGATCCTGTTGCCCAACTGCCTCTGCTGTATATCCATGTCCGGGACCGAGTTCACAATGACTCGGAGGAGCCCATTCAAGTTTCTTCGTTGCTCGGTTGAACCTCCTACCTGAGAAAATCACGGAGCTCATCTTGATGAATGATCTTCGCCAATCGCGCCAAGGGGATCATACATTCTTGGGTGATCCCCATCTCAAGAACCATCTTCAGTGGTTTCCCGAGAACAGATCGATAGAATACGAATTTTACAGTCAGAAGAAAATGCCATTGCTCCAACTAGCGACCGACGATAGATCAGGAATCCCCCATTGGCGCCGTATCCTTGTACACCTGGCGATGTGCGAAGATCTTCACGCCCTTCCGCATGCGACCTCGAATTTCCTATTTGGGAATACACATCACGTGATATATCGTCGTTGGCGGCGAAAACGCGCGATGAACTCGGAGTTCGGTCGAACCATCGTTCTGGACGTGCGCTTGGATCCCCGGCCGAACAGAATTCTCTTTGCTCCACTCTAGAGTGACATCGAGCTCCCCACCCCCGGATGCGGAAACCCCAACATCCCAATTTCGTCTTGTCCCACTCTCGCCCAGAGGCTCGAGTCAAGGGCAGAGAGGCACGGGCAATTATGGAAAGGAACAGCAAAAAATTTCTCCCCTCGCTGCTGTTGTATGTCATCATTCATTTATTGGGACTATTCCAGTTGGCCGCATTTGGATGTCCCCAATATCTATAAGAATGACCTCCTGGTCGCCCCGAAGCTTGGTTTGTCCCACTCCTCATCAGATCTCCCATCGCATACCATACTAGGTAAGCTTTCCAAGTTCCCATATTTCCAATATCTCATTTGATACTGACTATCTTCCCAGCCTTGTCATTCGTTCAGACAAGAAGCCGTTTCTCTTCTTGATTCAATCGCTTCAACTCAATCTATCAAAATGCACTTCTCCGCCCCCGTTGTCCTCCTGGCTATCGCCGCTGGCGTCCAGGCTGGTTCCCACAAGCAGGCTGAGCCTCCCGTCCACAAGAAGGAGGGCTCCGTCTCTGCTCACGCTACCGGCACCGGTGCCCAGACTGGCACCCACCCCATCCAAACTGGCGGTGGCCACAACGGCAACAGCACCGTCGTTGTCACCTCCACTGCTCCCTGCGCCGGTGGCGCCTGCGCCTCCTCCACCGCCGCCGGCACCAAGCCCACCAGCTCTGGCAACGTTGTTGGTGGTGGCTCTGGCTCTTCCGGCTCTGGCTCTTCCGGCTCTGGCTCTGGCTCTGGATCTGGCTCTGGCTCCGGCTCCTCCGGCGCTGGCAACACCCCTGCCTCCCCCAGCTCCACCGGTTTCACCCCCTCCAACCCCGGTGCTAAGGTCGCTGTCCCCATGGCCGGTGCTGCCCTGGGCTCCATTGCCTACGGCCTGGCTCTGCTCGCTTAAGCAGATCGCCTTTAATAATTTTGTTTTTCGATGGGTTTGATTACTTTTGTCTCTGGCCCTTCGACTATTCTCCTCATTTGTGCAATTGAGTGTCTCTGGCAATCATCTTATGGCAGCTGTCCCTTAAACGGTTGTATCAGGAGACCCGAATGTACCAGTGAGATGTTTTAGCAGAAGATCGCCAGGACAGGCGTTCCGGACAGTTGTTTTAGATCGGTTTATACCAAACCTAATATAATGTTAATCTCAAAAAGTTCGCTGCATACACGTCTCGTAAATCCCCAAGCTGGGTCCTACCATGCACATATTGAAATTTGAGATTCTTTCCAGAATGTCGCTGCGGTTGAATTTTCTGTGGACTTTTGTCGGGACTAAGTCATGATATCTCGACCAAACCTTATTTTGGTGGCAAATGCTACATCGGACCTGTCATGATTCCATGTAATCTATTATTAGTCTCAGGACTATTTCGAGCAACCTTTTAGCAGGTTTGGTTGCATCGATTACCCCTAGGGCTCTTTCGGGTTCGACAGGGACTCGTCATAGGAACAAGGTTTAGGTTTCAGATTGAATTTTCAGTTATCGTGAGAAGCAGATGTAACGTGAAAAAAGCCTCATTGATTGGAGTGATGTGTACTAGATATGACCAAATTGAGTCATAGAATATTCAGATAGCCGACCATCAGAAATTTCCTCAGCTTCGTCATGATACACCCGTATCTCATTAATTTTCATTGGCATGGGAGAGTCAGGGTTTGATTCTTCCGTATCTTGATAGCCTCCCTCTTCAAGTTGATGTAAGTCCCCAAGCGGAATTTTCAAATAAGTGGAAAAAGTAAAATGACATGAAATCTAGAAATATATTGATCGATAAAAAGAAGCAAGTAGACTAGAAGCCCAGTTCAGCTGCCTCGGCAGCTTACACTATCCATTCTCCGATCCATTTTCGAATCCATTTTTCCTTGACACCATCGATGGCACGAAGCTTATCACTCCTGGCGGCAGTGTTCTGAGTATCTAGTGCATTCTGTGCAGGCGTGGAATGGAGTGACTCGAAGAAGTCCAACAGCTTTGCAGCCGGGTTCTTCTCCAAATTCTTCCGTAGCATTTCGTCCGAAACCCCATCTTCGTCACTGGCAGCCTCCATGTTCTTTCGCACGCGCTGTATCCAATCTGACAAAGGAATCTTTTCCAAAACCTTCCCGCCTGACAGAGTGAGCGCCTCATAGACGGTAGGGGCGATGTCTTCCCAGGTCTTTGGGTGAAGGTTCAAGGGATGGAAGAATCCTACAGAGCCTGGGACCGAATATTCGTTGAGTGCAAGATCAATCAGTACACTCGACAGAAGATCAATAGGAACCCAGTCGATCTGGTTAACAGCGGGTCCAAGATTTTGCGGTATAGCTCCAACCTGCTGGGAACTTATGACTAGACTGGGGAACCATTCCCCTTTGTTCCAGAGCCCTGGTGCATTGACAGCTCCGGCGACTTGTCCAACCCGAGCAATTGATGCTCTGATCGACCCTTGTTTCACGGCGTGAGCGATCATATGTTCTGCGACGTATTTGCTGTTTCCATATCCGTTCGCTGACGGATCGGCAGTTACAAGCGTCTCGGGCGTGAGGCCGGAGTCGGTGCTATGTCCAAGGACAGAGCCCACGGAGGAGATGAAAAAGAGACTTGGGAAATTTTTGCAGGAGGCTGTGAAATTGATCAAATTTGCAACTCCCAGTAGATCGGGCTCGAATGATGCCAGAGATAAGTTGAAGTTGACATTCCAGGCGTTGTGAACGATGGTGGTCGCGGTTTCTCGTAGATTGTTGAATATTTCCGAGTCTAGTCCGAGATGCTTCTGGGACAAATCAACCTGCAAAAAGCTGACTTTGTCTGAGTTTAACGAGGAATTAAGACTAAAGAAAGTACTCTTTTCGTGCTGCACAGATTGACTGTCTTCTCTTCGATTGAGACAATGAACATGACCGACAGTAGGATCTTTTAGAAGCGCATCTAGAAGGTAGGTACCGAGTGTCCCGGTTGAACCAGTAAGTAGAACTGTCTGAGTTTGCGGGAGCTTCCCAGCGTTGGGCTCAATGTGCTCGATCATCTTTTCAAACAACACTTGTCTTCCTTGAAGTCGTTCTGCCTTGGCAAGGTCTTCCGATTTCTCATTATTGTGCATCAACTGAAAAGTTGCCTCAGAGAGAGCCGTGACAGAAGGATACAGGTAAATAAAATTTGGCGTAAAATCTGACAGGCGGAGTCCTCGCCTTATCGAGCGAGTTGCTGTGATAGCTTTCAAGGAGTCAAACCCAAGATGGAAAAAGTTCGTGGCGCTGTCCACTTGATCTTCACTCCACCCGGTCACAGAAATGAGGACTTGACGGATGAAGACAGCCAATTCTTCGACATCCTTGAGGCGCCCTGGACGGAAAGGATCGTCGGCAATAGACACTGTCCCCAGTGAATCTGCATCAGCATACAGTGCATCCAATTCCGATTCGTACGAAGCTAGAGTAGCAGTGCGTTGAATTGTTCCCTTTCCGGCACGAGACATTGGTTTCTCTGGGACTGTGAATAAAATATGAGTTCGCAAGATTTGCGCATGAGCAGGACAGACAGCATTAGCCTCTTCGATCGAAGGCCAGAGTTTCTCGATAATTATCGCCCGCTCACTCGGATCCAGCGCCCTATCACCATACTCGATTATGAGGGATGCCTGAAAACGCTGAGCACCCGCGACCAAAACACCTGTGACATCTTTGTTCGATGCGGTAATGTGTTGCTCCATTGAGACTGGGTTGGTTTTTTCCCCGTTGAGGAAAACGATCACATCGTCGACACGGGCGCACCAGCGCCAGAGCTCAGATTTGGTGGGATCCGGGTGTCGCATAAAAAGATCTCGTGTTTGGTATTCTGTTAATTCTGGAAAAATACCAAATGGCATTAGGTGCCTTTCACTTTGCTCGCTTCGTACGAGTACAAATTCGTACTTGTCATCCATCACATGGCGAAACTCCCCGCCCAAATCTGGGTGAGGTGAGATGTATTTCCAATCTGTGATATGATCACGATTTGTGAGTGAGAACAGAGAATTGACAATCCCGAGCTCCGAGGCCCCGTACATATTGGCCAGCCTGATCCTTTTCGCAATCTTTTCTCCGATTGGTTGGGAGAGATCACCGCCACCATACAAGAGGAGTTCTAAATGCTGACTGCAGAATTCAAGCATTTCGTTATTATGAGCCAGGTCGTTGAGAATAAAAGGGGGCAAAACTGCCGACTTGAGATCGGTTTGTTTCGCGGCCGCGATGAACGAAGCAGCCGTCGGGAGAGATGCCGAGATTGGAACCACAAATGTGAGCTTCGAAGGGACTGCGAGAAAGATCATGATCCCAATTCCAGCTGCATGGAATGGTGGAAGCGTCAAAAACATTTTGCTGTCTATGAACATCTCTGCTAGTGCACTCGAACCGCTGGGGGGCTGCAAGTTTGACATCCGAATGTGTTGATTCGCCACTTCTAGAGGCCAAATTATGGGCTTCGGAATGCCAGTGGAGCCCGAGGTATGAACAATGGCCATAGTATCATTTCGATGATCGGGGTAGGTCTTGGAATATTCAAAATGCGGGTACTCGTTCGACAACAGTTCATCAACATCTGGGATATCAATCGCTTGCATCGAGAGTCCGTCAATTATTGCTAGGACCGGTGGTAGCCGAGGGGACTGGGTGAGAATTCGTGCGCACTTGGTACTTTCGAAGAGGGATTTGTAGGCTGGCATGCTATTTCGAGGGGAAACTAAGAACATGTGATATCCTGCTTTGATAGCTCCGAAGACCAAAGCAGGATACCGAATATCATTTGTACCGACGTAGGCCAATGTTTCGCCATCACCGGGACCAAGATTGTCTGTGAGCCACCATGCGATACCATTAATGGCATTGGCAAATGAGTGGTATGTCACTTGGGTAAAGCCATCATCATATGTAAAGGGTGATCGTGGATACTCTGCGTAGACTCTGTCTGGGTCCTCTTGGGCATAATAGTCGATAGTATGAGGTATCAGGTTATTTTCGGGATGGAAACCCTTCATTTTGAATTTGATAACGAGAATAGGGATGGAAGATAGAGGAGGAGGGGAATGGATGTTATTTAGAAGTGTAGAAGGGCACTGCTGCCTGGATGTCTGAGGCCGAGACACCATGCATCAAGGTTGACAGCACATACATACGGACGTATCTGACTCGCTTCTTTTTACCTCTCGAGATAGGAGCAACTTTGCACATTGTGTAGGGATAGATGCGCCCGGAATTGTTTGAACAAAGAAATGTCATCTCAGCGGCAGGCTAAGTGCATTAGCGCGTGCACAGCTGACAGCCCAGCGCCAATTCTATGGTCCTAGGTAAAATTACTAAAAATGAGAAAGTGATTGGCATGCTTATTGGTCAATAAGATACGTCTGACCACCAAAAGTATGGCGGATGACACAGTCGATGTTGGAGAAATTGCCGACTACGGCCGTAAGTAGAAGTGAAGACTTGCGGCCTTGCGGCCTTAGAGCCTCAAGGCATAACATGCGATCGAGGTTATCTTGAGACAGACATGAGTGGACATGGCCATTTTGGAGAGAATCAACGCGATATTTTCCAGTTTCTCTAGGATCGGAGATATGATTTCGTTGTTGAATCATAGAGCTAGCATGTTATTATTTTTGGGGTCAAAATCCCCATAAACTTCGTTGATTCTGTGATACCATGCTGAAAATGTTAGATAGGAAATTGAATACTCTACTTTATCTCCAGGAAATCCAGAGGTTATAACTCTTCTAATTAGATGTTAAATTAGCAGTGATTAAGTTGAAACCTGTCATGTATAAGAGAGGTCTTATCCACCAAGAAAGCGGCGCCTAAGACGACAACTTGAGGGCTCACGACGCCGTCCTGGCTGAAAGCCCTGGAGTGATTGCGAAGTCTTATAATGGATATTTTCTGAGCCGGTGGATCTTATATTTGTAAAGAGTAGTAATGTTAACTTGGATTACGTACTGGAGTAGTAGTTCAAATTAATAAGTTACTCAGGAGTCATTAAGCGAACAATATTTGAAGTTATATTCTTGGAGATTGTCACAAACATTGGTGGCCTTTCTCAATTCATATAGACGCTAAATAATAAGCTGTAATATAGAGCCAACAAAGTGGTGCGAGGATAGAATTGAGACTGATTTGCACTACGAGTAGACAACCAGCTAACTAACGTGTTTCACCACCGAACCGCCACCACCACCGAGCCGCCACCCCACCTACATTACAACGATATATATTGAATATTACACAACCACCATATAATATATTGCAAAAACTAAGCACTATTCACAACCGGGCACCTATTCCGCTTGTGCCCTGGCTCTCTGCAATTAGTACAGCGCTGTACAGGCCTCCTAATCGTCGTCTCTGTAGCTGCCGGAGCACGCCGTGGCACCGGGGGTATTGCCATTTGGTGCTCATGCTCAATTTGTAGACGTAATTGCATCTCTTCGGCAGTCATTCCACCTTCGTATACCAATTGCTTATTAGGTAAGGCCTTTTTTCGCTGCTTTCGTCCATTCTCTGCCATTACACGCTCATATGTAGTCGTCAGCATTACAAGCTGATTAGCAAGTAATTGTGCACCTTTGGTAGTCTGCTCCAATTGCTGATATATATCGCTATTGGGTGAAATATCTCGATATTCTAGTAATCGCTTGATTGATGCTGCCTGGCGTCGGAAATTGATAGCTTTTGATGGTGTATGAGGTATAAATTCATGACTACTAGCACTACCACGTGATGGTGGTAGTGTAGGTGACGGGGGATGAACCTCAAGTTTTGAAAGTACTACCTCAGGCGCATATGGAATGATACCTGATGCCATAAAACTGCTAGCAATTGTAGAGGTTGTGTATGTTGCTGCACGTGTTGTAGGGTACAGATGAAGGAAATCGAGCTTTTTAATATCTGTAGAGCCTATGCGGGCAAGATCTTGCACAGCCTGACCATAGAAGTGCTTCAATACACCAAAACAACCTACATCAAGAGGTTGTAATAGATGCGATGAATGAGATGGCATGCAGATTGGCACAATATTGTTTTCCATGCATAGAGTATCAAATTGAGGGGTAAGATGACTCCCATGGCCATCCATGACTAGGAGAGACCAGGCACCATGTTGACGCTTCTTAACGTATGGGATGAAAGAATTTTCGAGCCATGAAATACCAATTTGATCAGTAGTCCATCCATTATTACTGACCTCGAAGCGCCAGTTGTCTGGGACAATACTGCACCAAGCAGATATAAAAACCTTAGCTTTAAAAATGATCGTTGGAGGTAGAACACCATCCAAATGGATACACTCAATTGCAGTAACCCACTCCCGGTTACCAGGCTGCACGACTTTTCTTTTTCCCTGCCACTCCCGACTAGTGATCACTTTTGAAGTACTAGTGATCCCCATTGCGAAGCCAGTTTCATCAAAGTTATAGATGTCGTTGTCAAGGATGCCATATTCAGCAATGATGTTGCGATACTGATCGAACCACTCGCGAATAAGCTCCGGATCTTCACATAATGCACGCTGAGCGGCGTAACGACGTGAAAACCGGGTTTTTAGCTTCTCACGGCGTGCAACAAACCGAGATATCCAGTTTTTGCCGAGTGGTAAGGGAGGGGTATTGACAGAGCGCTGAGCAAGTAGAATATTGGCCATCTCTTTTGCCATAGCTAAGGTAGGGGCCTTGCCACGCATATCTAGATCCAATATCCATCGCTCAAGCGAATCCTCTTCGATTTTATCCAATTTTGAGCAATTTGCGCGAGTGGTGTTACGATAACCGATCCCCTTGACGCGGTCGCGTAATGTTGTACGAGGTACCTCATAAACACGCGCAGCTTCAGTAATAGAAGCTATTTTCTTGTTTCTTAGCGCCTGTATAGCAAGTTCGATCCTGCCTTCTTGCTCAATGAGTTTGCGCGTTCGTCCGGTACGAATTGGTGGCATAGTGGTGGTTTAAAGATGGGGGTGCTACACGCGACGCGATTTTTTTGAGGTGGTGGCGGCTCGGTGGTGGTGGCGGTTCGGTGGTGAAACACGTTAGTAGGTCACTAACAATGAAAGGCTGTTCATACTGGGTGCTGTTATCGTCCGCGCTATGTTTCAAGACTTGTAATTTTGCATAAACCTCGGCGTATGAAACTTCTTGACGGTAGGTATTTTCAAATCAGAAAAGCCAATCATGTATTGAAAGGTCAGTAGTAAGGTTCGGCGAAGAAAGCGGGGGTAGAGAGCACCTTTCCCGATGAGGCAAGAAACCAGAGAACTAAACTACAATTGGAAGGATGATAGCCAATATTCAATTAGGAAGCTATACCCTTATCTTCGATCTCGGAATTCGGATGGCTGACCTTTGGAGTCAATGCAATTGATGCGGAGTAGACCAGAGCCCACTAGGTTATTCTAGGAAAGAACTTTGAGATTTAAGCCCCATCGAGTAGAACACAAATTAACTTCTCTTTCATCATATGGCATCCCCTCATGGATTGTAATTTCCGGCTCTGTAATGTGTCATTAAGTCTTAGAAATTCCCAAGAAGGCAAGAAAATCGAGAAGCTTGAACTTGGAGAAATGGTAGACCCAACAAAGTGAATCTTGGAAGCTTACAAGTACCTAGGTAGCGACATTGGGACTATAAATCCAGGGCCGATAGCGCGATACAAAAACAGAACATTCTATTCAGACTCCAGAGTATTGCAGATCATCAAATAATCATTTTCAAGTGATATAATCATGACGGCCCAGAAGAATATTTCAAGAATCACTAGACTTGATGCAGGCGACACAGAGACAACTACTGAAAGGGCTGTCGAGATAGTGAAAAGGGATGGGGGTGTCATTATTAAGGGCCTATTCCCGAAAGAACATACAGATAGGATACGAGCGGAGCTAAAACCAGTATTCGATGCGGATATCCCGGACCCTTCTGGCTTTTTCCCAAAGACCACACGCCGGGCTACAGGGTTGATTGGCATTTCAGACGCATGCGTGGAATATGCGACAAATAAGGTGTGGATTGATATCTGCAACACAATTCTCACCAGCACCTTTTGCGGGTGGCATGGGGAATCCCTGGAGAAATGGACGACCAAACCCATAATTTCCTCCACAGTGGGGTTTCAAATTCATCCAGGATCACGTGCCCAAGATCTACACAAGGACGATAGGTGATTTTCACAACATCTCAGAAATCCTTGGGTACCTTCGAGAGCTTGACTGATGAATTCATATTCTAGTGATTACCACCCAAGAGATCATACAGAAGATATCATGATGGGTTGCTTGCTGGCAGTGACGAAGTCTACCTATGAAAACGGAGCAACCTTGATAATACCAGGCTCTCATAAATGGAGCCCTGAACGCATTCCAAAGAAGGAAGAAGCAGTTCCAGCAGAACTTGATGTTGGGGATGTCCTGATATTCACCGGCAATGTTTATCATGGGGGTGGAGCAAACAAATCAATGTATACCCACGTTCACTTGAAACCGTTACTGTTTGAGAAAGACAACTAACTAACATATTCCCTTCAAGTGATCAAATTCGAGAAGTCATTGGAATTTTTATGGTCAAGGGAATGTACAGACCGGCAGAGAATCAAATGCTTGCCGTGCCACCTGAAAAAGCAAAAAGATTTTCGCCGCAGGTCCAGAGACTACTCGGATACGGAATCAGTGCCCCCAGTGTTGGATTTTATAAATACCAGGATCCTATGCGTGTGCTGTTCGGTGTAGAGGATGAAGAAACTGTGAATATGTGAAGTAATTTCGTTTACAAGAGCCAATGTCATTGAGTACTAAGTCACAATACTATGTGACGGAGACTGTTACCATCCACTGGATAACCATTAATTTGTCCATATTTCAAATTAGTCTTAATACAAACAAAAGTAATAGTTATTGTTCCAAGATGTATTTCGAGTCTGAGTTTAGAAAAAAGAAATAGGAGGATGGAAAACTGAGGCGAAAGTTTATCCACTGCCACCTGCCAGTGCCAGTGTGCAGTACGCAAATTACCCGCTCCGATATGACCGGTTTCGGCTCTGGACTTCCCCGCTTCCAAGCGAACATTCCCTTACATACGAATCGCCCAATTTCTTGTAACTTTTCCAATTCTAGACAGTGAAATGTTTTGGGAGCTATGGCAGCCCCGGAAAAAGGTCAGTTTTTTATAATATGTAGGGAACTTGAATGATATTCGTCAACATTCGCTGATGGGTTGAAGAGTTAACCGCTCGTTCAATACGCTAATATTGATTATTTGAAGACTGCCAAACATGCAGAAATCGTCGCATAAAATGTGACAGGAGCTTACCTACCTGTCTCAAGTGTGCGAGTCGATCTCTTGAATGCCCGGGATATTCTCGAAGGATCAAGTTCATTATCGGAGCCTCGCAGAAGCGACCGACACCCCTTTCCGAGCCTCGGAGTCGGAAATATGGATCGCACAAAAGGCCAAACACCGGCCATGGCGATCAGATGCTCGAAGCATCATTAAGAGAATTGGTTATCAGCAAACATCGGAATTCCTTAGCATCGATAGGCGGAAACCAAAATGAGATTACTTTACCGTTTCAGCCAAGCGACCCTTTCTCACCATATCAGGAGCCGATGGCAAGATCTCACCTATTCCATCACTTTGCTAATGCTATCGCATCTCAGCTAGTCTGGGTAGACAATACTCAGAACCCATGGCGACAGTTCATATGTCCCCTCGCAGTAAGATCGCCTTGCGTCTTTTACGCTGTGCTTGCCCTTGCGGCAGCAAACCTACATGTCAAACTCCATTCGGGTAGTCACTACAAAATATTGTATTTCGAGATATGGCAGAACTATCGTCAAAAAGCGGTAATTCTCTTGACGCAGTACATGAGTCTCGCCCGTTGTTCCTATAAGGAAGAAACTATAGAAGGACATTCTCAACGTTTCAGAGAGTCGCTTGCGGCAACACTGCTTCTCTGGCACCTTGAGATGCACTTCCCTTCGGATTCATTATGGAAACTCCATTTGAGAACAGCACAAGCTCTAATATACGGATATCGCCAGAAGCAAGTTCCACTTTATGAGCCGGATGCATGCAATGATTTTCTCCTCTCGGAATTCTATTGCGCTACAATTTGGCCACGTCTCACTTTGAGCATAGAAATGGACGAGGAAGCGATCAGACCGCCGTTAACAGACAAAAATGATCCTTTTATTGGCTTTGTTAAGTTGATGCACCGAATTATCCTTCTGACACCTTGGTCCGCAACCGTCGCTTCTGCGAGTAATGTTATCAGACCAATGGATATTGCTGAGTTGGAATCTCAGGCCACAAGCATCAGACAAGCAATTCTTTCCATGCAGGATGAATCCAACTTGAACTTGCCCAAATACAAGCTTGCCGACGTGATACATGTGGTTGATGCGTGGTTTTACGCCATTCTCATATTTGGTTACCGGGTCATTGGTCCATCACATGACAATGACAAAGTTATAGAAAGTGATTGTGACTGTCTTTTCGAGGCCCTATCGTCACTTTCAAGTCCATTATCATTTGCTCAGAATCAACCTTGGCCACTGTTTATTGCGGGAACCGAGTGCGTTGGCAATAAGGATAGACAGTTATGGGTAGAGTCTCGCTTGAATAGCCTGATCCAATCGGTTTGTCCTTTGGATAGGCCACGGATGCTTGTATTCCTGAAAGAATGGTGGGTTCAAGCTAGTGATTCAACTGATCGGGTGGATTGCTGGATTAAATTCAGGCAAGAAGCAAAGCTTAGCAAAGAGTTTATAATTTGGTGATTGCGGAAATGAACTGTGACCTTACTCGGTTTGTTCACCAACTAATAACTAACTTGTATATATTAGTATCTTGGTATGGACGTATTTCTTCCACATTATCAGCCCTGGAGAAGATAAATCACTCACTCCTTGGATGTAACAATCTGAGCACCTTCATTCCTTCTCATAGCCTCCAGTGCTGCTATAGCAACGCCATCGATGACAACGACATTGTCTTCCATAACTGAGTTTTGCTCTTTGATATACCGAAATCGAGCGCCAAAAATCCAGTAAAGTCCCGGAAACAGAATAGTAGCGCCTACAATGAGGCAGCTCCAATTCATGTAATCTATGGTGGGCATCGTGACCGGTACGTAGAGGGGGCACAAGTATACCGCACAGATGATTAAAGACCAACCAATACTAAAAATGTTTATCGCGTAGCCCCATCTTCCGAGGTCGAAATGAGGACGTGGGGGTAAAGTTTTCCTCCCTCGGACGAGAACCTATGCAAAAGAACGTTATTGATGACTTAAAATGCACCACAATATTTGAGACACCCACGATGACGACAGGCACCAGATAGCTAACCTGCAGCATCAGGCCACCGCCAGAAATGATGGATTGAAAAGCAAGGTCACTCCCAAGGACGATAAGACCTAAATTCAATTAAAATCAGTATAAAGCCAAGATAAAACCGTGTTTGAAATGCCATTGAGGAATTGAAATTGAAATACCAAGAATTAGATCAACCACCACCACAAATCCAATGGCACGCAAGGGAATACCGAACCTCGGGCTAACTTGGGCTAAATATTCGGAGTACGGGAATGCTTTGTCGCGAGCCATGCTCCACACAATTCTTGAGCCAGCATTGTTAGTGCCGACGATGACGAAGAAATTGATACCGATCATCACAAGTGCACAGAAGAGACCACCGCCATATAATGATCCAGTGACACCAATCCACCAGCTCATATATGGTTGAGGTGCTGATAAAATTAGCTTTGATTATTTTTTCATGATATTATGATGTCTCACAAAGTATGTAGGTGGTCCAGTCACCCGCAGTCCAAATCATTAGAAGGGCCGCTAGCCAACTCATAATTCCACAAAGAATCATTGAATAGATCATGCTTCGCTATTGATAATTAGCGTTGTTAAGTAGTAATGGTTGTGGGTCTGAAACGAACTGGTGCATTTTTGGCCGGATTTTTCATCTCTTCCACCTGTTCCCCGTTAAATTCCATTCGCGCTATAGATCCTGCTTTTCTCCTTCTAGTACTCACTAGATGCATCATTCCATCTGTACCAACCAAACCATAGATAGAATTATAGAAAGACATTATGAATACCCACCCGGTATTCTCATAACCCGTATTGTTAAGAAACTCGGTGAAAATGACCTTTGCATCGTGCTTAGGCGCCATCACAATGAAGACAATGGCCCAAGCGACTCCGCCGCCAACAACCCAAATTGCACCAAACAAATTAACACCCGGAAGCCATCTAAAATTTGTATCAGTCAGTTTGCGCGACGAAAGAGCCTTGAAAAATGAAAAAGGATTTACCTTTGATTTAAGTTCGTGATCACCGGACCAATGAGAAGTCCAGTATAAAGTAGCCAAGTCATCCAGGACTTCAACCTTTAGGTTAGAATTATAAGAGAAATTCCTTATCAAGTCTCCACGTACCTTCCACTCTATGTTGGGGTGGGCAATTTGAACAAACGAGGCAATTATCTGGGCACTATTGAGCGCACAGCTAGACCCAGTAGATATTTCGCCGACCATAATGGCCCATCCGACAAGGTATGATAGAAACGGCCTTGATCTACCAGTTGCAAGAGCTTGAGTATAGTATTGCTGCCCACCGGCAGTCGGCCAAATGCTGCAATACTCCGCCAATGAAGTCATCAGCAGTGTCTGGCCGATAGAAACAATCAGACTGCAAATTTAAATTAGTACTCCGGAGAAAGTATTGTATTTGACAACCTTGGAAAACACATGACTTACGTTGCCCATACTAGACCAAACGGTCCACCAACATCAAAGATAGTCGAATATAAAACAATAAGGCATGACCAGCTGGCCGATATCATAACCTGGTAGGCACAAACTGGGAATTTCAGCTTCAGGTTCGTTGCATGCTGATAGGAACTTTGAAGGGTATTTACGCGTCCAAGTGTTATAGACCCGCTGCAATTCTGGTTTCTTCCCCATAGCAATTAGCTGTGCATCATCGGCGTCCAGCACTTTCTCTTTCAACTTCCCTCCGGATATCGCGTTCTCGATATCCATGGCGGATATTGGCTGAAACTAGGACTTGTTTTCGGATTTTCGCACAAACCTCCAGTGAAAGTCGAGAAGGAACAGCGAGTGCCGAGGAGAAGGGCACAGGCGGCTTAAATTGTGCATCTTTTCCAAGCCAGTATACTCAGCCTGCCCTCCTTAACTTTACGCTAGCTGCTTATTTTCCCTGTTAGAGTAAAGCGGGGAAACTTACCGGCTAGAATATGCTTTAAGCGATTGGTCCAAATGACGGCACTGATAACATTTCAAATTAATGTTTTCAACCTTGGAAAACAACCCCCGCACTTAAGTGTAATGCTCCAGAGCTCGTTTAAGCCTACTCAGGCTGGGAGAATGTTACCCCGCATTCGATGTCATATTTACCTGTATTTTATCTACGTAACATAGACCGGATTTGAAAATTTGCGAAACAATCTTAGAATATTTATTACATACTACTACTACCACCACCACCACCACCACTACTACTACTACTACTACTACTACTACTACTACTACTACTACTACTACTACTCATTCGGCTATTTCTTTATATGCAGCTTTCAATGTTTTTCCGGACTTCGAAGGTTTGCGTTGCAATCGAAATACTATGATATTTGTGTCGAATATTAATTTACTGAGGCTTTCGATCGTATTGAGCTGGCTTTTTGTCATTTCAATCTTATAGCTCAATATTTTTAGAAGGCAGGCAGACAAGACTCGGATGCTCGATTTTAAGAGTTGTAGACCTGTTGACCCTTCCGGCTAATGTCGAGACCTCGTTTCAAAGAATATAGATTAAGGTTTCCACATGAGAAATTTAATAGATGGAATCTCTCCAGATATAACGACTTCAACTGTTTGTGACTATTCTATTCCAGTGTTGTGACGTCGAGAGCAGGTAATACTTAGGTCCCTACTGCCACCCCCGACAAATACGTTCATCTCTGGGAGACTGGACAAAGTTTCATGTCTTTCATGATAATATCCCAGACCTCGGGATTATTCCACATCCGATATCCCTTGTTCTAATGTTACTTTTACTACCAATGCCCATTTGCTGGTTCACGAAAACATTATAGCAAGACTTAGCCCAGCCGAGAGCAACACGCGCATGATTGAAAGTCGTGATAAATCCCAGACCAAAATTGCCTTGTCGGATTGTTAAGCGATAACTATATTAGTCTCCGAGCCTTACGCCGAGTCAACACTCTGAGCACAAACATTCTTATAACAATGACGGCAAAATAGAGGCGTGAGAGGAACATGATCTCCTCGAATGTTGGGCAGCCATGGAGGTACCACGGGCATAATCTACAAAATACTCCAAGTTGCCAAGGCCAAGCCTCATCTAATCAACGGGCGGCTTCGGGAGATACTACCCCGACTTGGTGCAATACAACACTATTTAGTTTCTCTGGTAACTACTAGTACTATCAACACAGAGATTGTGGGGTTTAATTTTCTCTTGTATTTTTTCTGAAAATACTGCTTATATAAACTTCATAATCAATTGGCAATGTGGCCACTCACAGCCTGCCGCTGGTACATCGTGTTAAATGCCGGAATTGAATGCAGGTCCGACCGCGGCCGGAAACGGTAACTCGAGCGCTACTACACTTGGAAACTGTGTTTGACTCAGACCTCAAAGATATAGTCAACTTTAATGAGAATAATCTCCTGTATCATCAGCAATGAAATGCTTCGGAATATGCCAAGTAACCGTCTAGTCTATACCCCGAGCATTTACGGGAAACTTCGGGGCAATCTCCGATCGAGAATACTATCTCCATTTTAGGTAAATCTCACAATATAACTTCACAGAGCCCTACAATCGCATATAAGTTATTTCCTGAATAAAAAGATATCAAATTAAATTATATTTAGGCTTGGTACTACCCGAATATGGGCATTGACTCGTCAGTTTTGCAACCGGCCATCCGGCAACTTTCCCGAGGCTCCACCCGGTTTCCCGAAGGCGTTCAGATTTTTTCTTGGCCGGGGTAACATCCGATGCATTTCTGTTAGAAATTGCTTTCCCGCAACATCAACGCCATTGATTGATGCTAGGCTAACTGTCCCACTTAGTTCTTTTGGGTTATCATCCCCTTATCAATTAACGTGGAGAAGTACGGCATCAATCCGCCCACTATGAGCAGCGACGAGGAATCTTACCCCGTCGATCGGAAGATGGCCATTGAGGAGCCACTCCAGAAGGACACCGAGAAGCCTCTGTCGGCCAAGGATCTGGAACCTTTTGGCAATGAAGAGACCGCAGAGGTCAAGTATCGTACCATGAAATGGTGGTAAGTTCAAGCTGTTTTCTTGACACTCATGATGTCTCTCGAAGTCTAAAAGCTGATATCGAATCTCTAGGCACTGTGGAATGCGTGAGTATTCATCAGATCTCATTGAATGACATACTCCAATTGATTCTAATGAAATATTTAGTCATGATCGCAGAGAATGTCTCGGTGGGAATTCTGTCTCTCCCCTCTGCAGTGGCCACACTTGGAATGGTTCCGTATGTGAAAGCTCTGTATTCGATTTTTCCAAGGTTAATTTTCTGACACTTGAATTTAGTGCTGCCATCATGATTATTTTCATTTCTGCCTTGTCATGGTATACTGGCTATGAAATTGGCCAGTTCAAGTTGCGCCACCCCCAGGTTCACAGTATGGGAGATGCTGGTGAGCTCCTTATGGGCCGCATTGGCCGCGAAGTTTTGGGAATCGGCCAATTGCTACTTCTGATCTTTCTCATGGCCAGCAATATTCTGACTTTCAACATCCTGATGAATGTCCTGACAGACCATGGAACTTGCACATTGGTCTTCGGTGTTGTTGGCTTGGTCATCTGCTTCTTGGGCGCTCTTCCTCGCACCATGAACAAGGTTTACTGGATGTCCGTCATCTGTAAGTGATTCCTTGTGGCATGGATTGAAATCATTTCATTTTCGAACTCATGGAATCTCTGCTAACTCATATATAGCATTCGTGAGTGTCTTCGTTGCAACCATCGTGACCATGGTCGCCGCGGGAGTTGAAACCAAGACGCAAGTTGTGAATGAAGTAACTAAAGAAGTTAGCTTCCGCGAAGGCTTCCTGGCGGTCACCAACATCATCTTCGCCTACCGTATGTCAAACATCAGCTCGGGACGCGTACATCCGACAACCTTCCCTTTCCCTATCAGACCCAAAGACCTGTCATGCTGATTTCGAGATCTTATCTTTAGTTGCTCACGTGGCTTACTTTGGCTTCATGTCTGAGACCGAGGACCCTCGTACATTTAACAAGTCGCTTGCCATGCTCCAGATCATTGATACTGTCTTGTACCTCGTCAGTGCATTGATCATCTACCACTACGTGGGTCCCGACGTTAAGTCGCCAGCTATTTCATCCTTAAGCCCTATTATGAGCAAGATCGCCTGGGGTCTTGCTATTCCAACGGTATGATTGGAGTCGTCGAAATTATTGATTTTCCATTTTGCTAAATAAAATAGACTATCCTGTCCGGTGTTGTGCTGGGCCATGTCGCCTGCAAATACATCTACGTTCGTATGTTCCGTGGATCCGACAAGATGCACAGTCGGAGCTTTCTCTCCGTCGGATCATGGGTCGCGATCTGCATTGGTGTGTGGATCGTGTCCTGGGTAGTTGCCGAGTCGATTCCGGTCTTCAATGACTTGCTGAGTCTTATCGTATGTATCACATATCTACACATTCTATTGGGGGGTATTGGCTAATGAACGACCACTCAACAGAGTGCCCTCTTTGGAAGCTGGTTTAGCTGTAAGATTTGAGATCTCATTCAGAATTTGGCATCGGTGCTAATCTATATCGAACAGTTGGTCTCCCTGCCATTTTTTGGTTCCACATGAACCAAGGCCAGTACTTCAAAAACTGGCGGAAGACATGTTTGACAATCATCAACATCGGTGTTCTCGGCGTCGCCATCGCCATCGTAAGATTTCCCCTCTTTTTTTCATGGTGACAATACAAAATCGCCCTTTCGAAATTTGCTTTGGCCGATTTGACTAATATGACATTTGTTAGTGCGTCTTGGGTCTGTGGGTATCGGGCGTTGCCATTCACGGCGACTCCGGCTCTAACAGTTGGTCGTGTGCCAACAGTGCTTGATTGGAGAAAGTGAACCTTGGTTCTTCTCTCATCAAGCTTTGACAATCCAGCAGGGCCTGTGTTTGTCTTGTACAAAAAGGGGGTCGATTTGTGCAAATCAGCAGGCTGTCTTGCATTGTACGCCCATACTTGCATCACATAGAATTTGTTCATAGAATTCTCGGTTGAATTAGATCAATCGTATATATCGGAATACTCAATAAAATTATTGCATTATATTATGTCTGATCGGTCGGTTCTTTGGTTACTGCAATTTGTTAATAAAGCCCTTTCAACAGTTTCCCAGTTAAACATACCTCTGTGACGCGGTTTCCCAGCGTTGATTTAATGAAACCATTTTGATTATTGTATCACTTCCGTCACCAACAGGAAACCCCGAGGCTTGATGGCTAGCCATAAGTTCAGCTGAGTCAGTCGAGCCCCGGCGAGCACAGCTGCTCAGTTGTGTATGTGAAAACTGGTCCCCGTCAAATATGCGATTTGTTGATTTGGCATTTTTCTTGCGACGAGTAAAGATTCCTTTCGCTTCGGGTGCACGCTGTTTGTTGTGTGTTGTGAGAACATTCAAGGCTGGAAGACAGGCACAAACGAGACCGAGACCAATCTCTGCGTTTCTGGGTTACTGTTAGGTAAATATTTTCCATGATTGAAGGGAGTTGCACGGACGCGGTCAAAATAGATTTCATGAACATGGTCGTTTCGTGGGGTCTATCCTTCTCGTGGACACCAATGACAAGTCGGAAGAGGCTGAAAGCAACGGCGATACCTCCAAGACCCAGAAGAAAGACAACGCGGATCTTCTTCCAAATCGGCATTTGCAAGGACCAGGTCAAGGCAACTGGAAATGCGAAAATTGCAATGTCCGTCAAGAAGCTGATAACAGAATCTGCGATGATAACTCCGGGTTGGCTCAAGCAAGTCGCATTTTCACTTTCGGATTGTCGCCAATAGGCCGAGACGGGGTTGCAAATAAAGATCTTGATGAAAGTGATTATGAAGTAGTAACCGATTGTCACACCGAGAAGACAGTACAAGGCTATCATGCCTGTATAAAATGGTTGAAATACCCGGATCAGAACATATATCAGGCTGCTCTTGACGAAAAGAGCTGTGGGTGCATAAATGGCGGTTGCCACATAGGAGATCTGCGAGCCAATGAGTTAAATTATTCGGAGAATCCGGTATGAATGATGCTATTTACCTTGATGCATTGCTCAAACTCTTCATGGCTCAGCTCTGAGGGTGGGATGGTGCCCCCCGAGAATCCATCTGCAATTCAGGTTATTATAAATTGGATCCAAACTGAAGAAAGAGTGTAAAGTAGCTCACATATCAAGGCATTTGCACAATAGCCCATGAACAGAACCTAATAAAATTCCAGTTAGTCGCACTGCCACGCGAGTTGATGGCCGGTTTTACCATACCCATCCGATAACACATGCCGCTATTGAAATTAGCCAAGCTCATTCTAGTGGCAGCAAGGGTCCATACCATCGTCAATTCCTAGGGCGCGCTTCAAACGCCACCGAACAAGGATCCGTAACCATACCAGCGGTGTCACAACGACAAAGCAAATTATCTGGGTAGCATAGTTGATCAAAAACAAAGAGTTACCATTCTTCACAGTAACTGACATGAGCGAGAGTCAGGGGTGTTGGGAGGCTGTCATCCAGAGATCTCGAAAGATTTTCGCATTAAACCGGGGCCACCATTTCGGGTATTAATTAATCTTGCATGCCTTGCCCCAATGTAACGCCCCTAGAAAGCTTAGTCATTGCCACCACCAGTGACGTTGATGCAAAGTTTGAACCAGCAATTTGAGGAATATTTCTCATATTTAAATTTAGACTAATTTTTAATTTATGGACTTTCAACTTGAATCCCGCTTGTATGCCGAACGTTCAATATTCACTTGACATGCACGTGTGGGATATGCGTGCGATTCGGAATGGGAAACGGGGATTAACCCCTTGAAGGGCTCGGCCAGGCAAATATCTCAGCCGGTTCGCCAAGCTCTGACACTAAACATGTGGAGGCCCCCCAAACCAGAGGCCCGAGCTCCGCGTCAGGGACTTGAACCCAGCCGTGTTGACGCGTTAGATGGGGCCGGCAAATTTCCAAGGCAACTTGGACTCCAAACGAGCAACAGAATGTATGTGATCGTTTGATTCGAGTGGTCAAATTTTAGTGCCAGCAACGCGGAGTTTCACAGTTGCAGAGAAACATACATGTCGTCCAGTGCATCAAATCATTGTCTCCGAGTTTTCCACCATCCATGAAAATCGTAACTAATATTCCGAGCTTTTCAATCCCCTACCAACGAACCTGGAACTTCCTCACCCCCTAGACCCTGATGAGGCGCCAGCATGGCTGAAATGGTGCGACAGCTCTCAGAGGCCTTAAATGTTATTTTAGTTTACGCTGAACCTCAAAAGAGCTCGGAAAAATCGGTGGTCATCAAGGCCAGCGTTTGATTTGCTCCTAATTTCTGCTAATTTTACCACCGACTCCCGATATTGTGCACACATAAAGAGTGATAAGACGAATTATCCTTCTTTCAACTTTGGTCCCAGCCCCGACGTTGTTGATGCGTAGTCTTGGAGCTATCTCGGCACGCGACCAAGTATAACCATAGATAGATGTGTAACTACTTAGGTAGACCCTCGAGTTATATGTTGTCAATACCTCATACTCCCCCTCAATAACCATATATTGGCATTATATTTCCGATCCCTTGGAATGAATCGGCATCTCACAGGAATACACGCGTCTTTCGTGAGAGAGAAAGATTTGCAACGCCCTCGGCGCCGATCCCAGTCAAATCGGGCTATTCACGCGGGGCATTCACGCGACCATCTTACGCTACAACCGCAGGCATTAGACCCCGCTGAATCTTGTAAAACGGCGACCATATGAAACAAAACCAACTAAATTTCATGATCTTGGACTTGGCATGGCTATAGCCGTTTCCCGAGATGGAAAGTGGCGTTGTAGCTCTCTGGGCGACACAGCACATATGGGCGGCATAGGCTAACTGATGAGCAGAAGCCGCAGGAGAGGTAGTGGGTTGCTACGATATGACGTGTTTGGAGCTAGGTGATCTTCCTAAGTCCTCTTCTACCTCAACTTATAACTTTCTGGATTTGTTTTCTCGACCTAGCTAGTTTCCGACCGATGGAAGATTCCCTTTTCTCATTCCGGTATTTTTATACCCGAGCCATATTTATTCAACAATGTCAGACAACGAGGGGCCAGTCGCCTCTGATAATAACCGTCGTACTCCGACGCTCAGATCAACTGGTGTACGCCGAAAGGAAAATGGCGACTCCCCGGATTCGCAAGCCGAGGGTGCAAAGGAGTGGGAGTCCTTTGGAAGAGCCTCGCGACGCCCTAGCTTTTTGGATAACCTAGCAGACTCCCGAGACTCACAGTTCCATGTCGAGGACAAAAGTGAACTAGAAAGATACTTCGTATGCGAGAATGGAAAATTTTGACAAATGATGTCGACCATGAGCAGCTAACTGCAGGTCGACAATTAGCACGGGCCCCGAAATATGACCCAACACTCAAAATGGCCAATTGTTATGCGGATACAAGGGAGTATAATGCCACAGCTAATCATACCTCTGCTGATTGTCGGAGGCTGGGCTACACTAATTACTTGCATGTCTCATTTCTATCACGATCGTATGTTTTCCCTTTGAGAGCGCCTCTCACCCAGTCCACCGAAAAAACGAAGCTGACCTCTCACCTCCCACTAGTCGGAATCAACAATATTTTACTTACCGTACTGGGATTCCTAGTTGGCTTGTCGCTGTCATTCCGTGGCTCAACTGCCTATGAAAGGTTGGCCCCAGTAGCAAAGGACATCGCTATTAGCCGACACTTATTATTGACACCGACACAGATGGGCAGATGGACGAAAATACTGGGCCTCACTTATCCAAACTTCGCGGAATTTAGCCCGTATTATTTGGATACATATTGATGAAAGGGAAGATGAGGGGAACGTGGATCTGCTAAGAAAGCTGTAAGTGAGAATAGCGGGGGTGAAAGGGCTACGACTAATTGAAATGACAGATCTGCTCTCAATTTGATCCTCGCGTTTGCAGTGGCTTTGAAGCACAAACTTCGATTTGAACCAGATGTTGCATACGAAGACTTGGCAGGATTAATTGGCCATTTAGATACGTTTGCCCTTGATGCCCACGATCGGGAGATGTTGAATCCTCACCATAAAACACCGTGGAAGTCAGTGGGTGAATATTTGAGCTTGTCATTTGCCAAATCAAATCCACGCAAATTAATCAAGCGTTCGAAAAAGCCACTTGGGCATCTCCCTGTTGAGATTCTCCTTCATTTATCTTCCTATGTTGATTCTTGTGTCAAGAATGGCACACTTTCCTCGCCCAATTCCAGGGTCAAACAAGTAGGTCAAAAAGTCACCGAAGATCTGACCTCGACTAAATTAGATATCAACTAGTGACATTAATTGCCTCACTGAACGAGATTTTGACTGGAACAGAGCGGGTCTTGGATACACCTCTCCCTGCTGCTTATAGCATTGCTATCGCCCAGATATCCTGGATATACGTTATGCTGCTTCCTTTCCAGCTTTATAAATTCTTGAAATGGACTACTATTCCTGCCTCCATGGGTAAGTGGCTTGATTTCCAAGATTTGATATACAGAGAAAATCACTAACAATGAGTATAGTTGCTGCATATATTATAATTGGTCTCCTCACAATCGGTAGCGAGATCGAGAACCCTTTTGGCCATGACGTGAATGATCTCCCACTTACGTCGTACTGTCGCCAGATTGCAAAAGAGCTTGATATAATCACTGCAAGTCCTGCTCCAGATATTGAAGATTTTATGACACGCCCGGAAAATCTTGTTCTGTTCCCGCTTAGCCAGGCTGGGTATCCTACGTGGAAAAATAGAAACAGAGAGGACATCAGAGCCGCTTTGCGTGCCAAATTCGTTGCAAATCCAACCCAAAACCCTGCTTTAGCTGGCTCAAGTCAGTCCACAAGGAAGGCAAGTTTCTCCACAAGGCAGACGATGGAGTCTGTTTGAGGTAGAGCTACATGGGTTGAATTTAATTTATCCCCCTTCGCCAATCGCCACTGAAAGGAACACTCTCCGTAATGCCTACCACGGAACCAAAATTCTTTGAAAATATTTTTTAAATTGAGATGCCCTGAATTTAATACGAAAATTTTACCTTATGGCATAATTAAAAAAATATTTCAGTGCTAATTGAGGATGAGAGGGACAAGCATGCACAGGTGTAGGATGGATAACCAGATGATTTTACCAAAAAGCTACACATGGTTAATGGTATGAACTGACGCAGTCGGTGCGACCCGAGGCCGCTAGGCTCAAACGCCAATTTACCAGACATTACCAGCTGTCTGCTCTTTCAGAAGCTTTTTGACGTTGACGTTACGCCAGAAATAAGTGCAAAGAACACAGATCGGCGTGAGACAAACTCCCACAATGACCATTTTTCTTTGAACATTACCATATGCACCAACAATCGCGGCTCTCTCTGCGGTGCCATCTTCATATGACATTTGGGTCACCAGACTCGAAAAGATGCTTGCACTTAAGTGCTTGCTTTCCTCCGGTAGTCTTGCGTAGATCTGGCTCTGAAGGATATTGTTCCACATCCCACCAGCAATGGCAAAGCCGACCGCAGCACCGATAGAACCAAACAAGCCCCAGACAGCGGTGACAACCGCTATCTCTTGGTGACTAACCACTGCCATGACAGCAAGTTGACCGCAAGCTGAGAATATGCAAGACCCCACACCAACCAAAACTTGAGTCAAAGTAATGAGGCCAACATGGGTATCTGGTCGACGGAATGGGATGAGGAGAGCAGTTCCAAGAAGGAAAATCGGAATACCAACCATGGTAGTCCACTTGAAGTCTCCAGTAAATCGGATAATTCTGCGATCGTCAGACAGGTTAAGGGGGTTGATTGAAGACAGGAGACTGCTTACGCTCCAATAATGGGTGATAATATGAAAGAGGTCAAAGACATCGCAGAGACAACATAATTGGCCGTTTCGATGCTCAGTCTGTTCACAACTTGAAGATATGAGCTGAGATAGGCATTCCAAATGCTGGTTCAAGTATTAGCAAAAAAGATCATAAAATCCAGAACTTGAACTTGAAGAGTGCTCAAAATATTAAGTCGAGGGACACATACAAGATCGAGGCAAACATTATGCAATATAAACAGCACGACCCAATGATTGTTGGTTCTTTTAAGTACTTCCATGGGAGAAATTGCACGGGAGAAAAGAACCGTTCCCAGCAGTAAAATGCAGGGGCACAAGCCACACCAAGGACTTCCATGGCGATTATGTATCCACTAGCCCACCCCTTGGGGGCATACGCGGCGATGCTGAATGGTAGAAGAATGAGGGAAAATGTTGCCGTTATCAAAATGATTCCAAGGACTAAGGGGCGATATAGCTGTTAGTCGCGTGCAGAGTTTGGGGAACATGAATAAATAACGTACTGTCAAACTCAATGGCGTAGTGACCAATAGACTGCCACCATTTTCTTGTGGATTTCTCTTTCTTCAAAACTCCACTCTTCTCCGCTTTCCGCTGTAATACCATCATCAAAGCAAAGACTGGAAGGCAAACACCAATCAGAATGATAGCAAATGACCCGAATGCCCATCGCCAGTTCAAATCAGTCCAGAACGAATCGGCGATCCTGGGGCCTGCGAAGGTTGTGGCAATTCCAGGGGTTCCCATTAGACCGACTATCGTCATTCGATTTTTGAGCGAGGTCATATCGGCAATCATGATTTCGACAACATACAGGATTCCAATATGACCTACCCAATACAATGTATGTCCCGCAGTATATGCTTGCACGTTATTGCATGTGGCCTTGACAATCAACCCGATGGTGATTAAGAAAAGCATGAAGAGGAAACCCTCGACACGACCCCAAATATCAACTATCTTCGCGAGAGTGAGTTTTGATGAGCCACCGAGGATAGTGGAGACAACGCCGACGACAGCCAGAAGGCCATGTTGATTGAAGAATGAGGTAACATAGGGGTTCAGAGACGTCTGGACAGAGGTGAGAAGTGCATCTGCAAACGAGACAAGATAAAGGCTGTACTCGGTTGGTTAGAATTTTGACTTTCCCGTGCCAGTTATTTGTGGGAATGTATGAGGTTGAGAACTCACAGAATAAAAGTCAGAATCAAGGTCTTGGTGGACCAAACCGAGGTAATTGCTCTCACACGTTTCACGCCCCCTTGGAAATTGTCCGAGTCATTTCGTTCAGGAAGATTCAGATGATCCTCAGTTTCTTTCACGACATGATTCACCACCATTCCTTTCTCAGCATCCCCTTGAGAGTCTTTGCTTCGTGGGATTTCTTCTGAAGCGGCCATGCTTGATATCTAATAGGAGACTCAAGGGTAGCGGCTTTTGGTTCATAAGAGATCCAGCGTTGAAAAGAAAGGCCTGTTCATGGGAGAACTTCGTGCAATTTATGAAGTCAAGTTTCATCCATAACGCTTCGAGGAGACAGTAGCAAATTCTAATGGTCTTGCCACGCGACGAGGCAGGATGTAACGCCGATACCGCAAAAAAAAGAACCCCTCATATCAGATGATCTGATAAAGGCTAGGGCTAGATCGGCAACCAATCATGTCAGAAATCAGTGCCTTGGCTGTGCGAGGAAGGTTTCGCCCTAATCAAGATGCCGGCGTACGACTTGGCAGGAAGTTTTGGTGTTGGTTGAATGCTGTTGGGATTAGATTTAGAATATCGAAACCACTAAGTATCCATTCAATCTGGCTCTGAGAATCCATGGAAACTAGAAAAGATGATGTCCCTCTCAAATTTGTATAAAGTCTGAGGATCTGAGAACTTTTGCGAGCGCCGGCCGAGGAGCTTTGGGCTCGCCACAGACATACGCCAACATAGCGATAATTTTATAACTTCGGACTATGATATCCTTGAGGATTTCAATCCGAGAATTAGGGCCGCCGAGACATCGCCTCCAGGACATGAAGCTGCTGAGAGGTTCGGTTACCCCGAGCGGAGACACTAAGAGGTGCCAAGGATTAAGGCCACCCACCATCTGGGCAAGGGACCAGTGGGTCAATTGCTACCCCTGGCAAATACGGAATTGTCCCGACGTCGGGGCAATAGTTACTGCGAGCCTTGAACAGTGGCCAGACCAGGTTTGCTTTATCTTCTGATGCAGCTCTAGTCTATTCTGCTAGTGGTGAATAGTATCTCGGTGCTTTAGTTCTCCGGTGCATATATTAATGGGGTTCATGGATCCCACATGCCTGCCAGGTGGAATATACACCCCTCACCAGGACTACAAGTATGCGAGAAAGTAACAAATGGCAGACTACTAGTAGTACATTTGAATCAAGGTAACGGAGGACTAGGTATCAATTAGAGGAATATAGACGTTTCGTACCATGGTCTAGATTTAGCAAGATACATTGTACCACAAATGACTCAAATTGTCACATTGCTGGGGCAAAGATGATGTTGTTCATGAGTTGCTGAGCCCTATGCAGCCCTGTAGGCCTGGAGTTAACCAGTAGTACTCTCAATGGCAATTGCATAGTTTCAGACCTAGCATTACCTACATTACCGACATGACTACCTAGGTAGTACTAGTACGACACTCCGAGGTCACCAGTATCTTCCAAGATTCCATCTATGGATGTATTGATTGCGGCCTCAGTGGCGCCTATTTGCCTCGAAGAATTAGGTCATATGCTTGTTCATATTTTGAAGTTTGGGTCATCTAAAGCCCTGGAGTTTCGGAATTCGAAACGGTGCAATTCTAACATTATATATGCTTTTTACGGGAAATAGATTAGTACTTAGTAAAAAAAAGGAATGCTGTGCCAAGACCTTGAACAAGAATTTCGGACAATTGCGGATCCTTATATCCTCGGATTTTCCACTCTCTTAATCATTTCACCGCTTGCGGGCCTCCTTCGGCTCGGGAAGATATCTCGCAGCAACCGACAGACCACCAGCAAGCAGACACAAAAGTATCCAGATGGCATAGCCTCCGAGAAATTGGGTTCTTGCTCCGACTGCAAAAAGACTGGTGAAAAGGGCGGGAGAGAATGCCCTTAAGGCACTGACATGTGTCAAGGCCAGAGCATTCAGTGTGCCCAAGACCATTGGCGAAGGGGCGATATCATTGATGGCAAGCTGAATTGCCGTGAAGCTCATACTGACACCGCAACCAATGGTCAAAAACACCGGGACGAAGACCCAAAAAACCTTGAGTGAGGCCTCGGTGTCCATGCGCAAAAGGACATTCGCAAGGGGGCAGGATAGGAAGAAAAACGGATAACTATAAGCACAAACGCGAATGACCCCGTTCGATCCGATCTTTCGTTGCAGCGGAGGAAATACCAGAAGAAGCCAGGCGGCTTGGGCGGCACCGTTGAGTCCCATCATGAGGGAAATCTGGAAAGGAGTGAAGCCGAAGCCACCCAGGTGAACTTTAGTGTACCAGAAGACTGGGATGATGGCGGTATAGGCAAATGCGAGTACCATAACGTGGCCGTACACATAGAGCACCATGCCCACACCTGGTGACTTCACAAGCTGCCAAGTCGTCATGTCACCGCGGCGGGAGGGCGCAGGGGATGCAGTCTCGTCACCATCACCCTCTACCGCAGGTGCCTCTTTCTTCAGAGTCTCTTTGATAAATAGGGCACTGGAAATGGCAGCGGTAGCTCCGATAGATGCGATGACTAGACTTGAGAGGGCGTAGGGGTAGACCTTGAAGAAGTGAATGGATCCAAAAACGCGTGGGAATTGACGCACGGGATCAGCAAGGGCACCACCAAGGAGCGGTCCTAGGAAGATTCCCAAGTTTCCACTGAAAGCAAACCAGCTAAATGCACGAGCCTGGGTCTTGGGGGTGCTGTGCTCGGCCACCATCGTACGTATGGTAACGATAGTCCCGGCGAAGACACCAGCAACGCATCGGAACATGATCATCTGTGCGATACTCTTTGCCATTCCGAACAAGCCAGTCGCTAAAGTCACGCCAAATAAAGAGAAGACTAGGACCGGTTTACGTCCGATGCGGTCGGCTGCTCGGCCCCATAGAAGCATGACGAGGGCTTGTGTCAGAGAGAATAGCGACTCGATGAGCCCGCTATAGAAGCCGATATCCGAGTCTGGGACGTTCCCATTCTCTTGGACCATTTGACTGACATAGGGGAAGATGGAAAAGAAGGCCAATGGCTCGATTACTCGGGCATAGCAAAGTAGTAGGATCTGGGTGATGGGTAGAGGTTTCTCATCCTCATCCTCGTCATCAGCACTGTCGTTTTGAGGAGACGAGCCATACGGAGAGCTGGAATCGCGCTCAGCACTGACAGAACGCGTAGCACCCTGGGACCCTAGCAGTGAAGTTGACTCATCTACGCGACCGTCGGCGAAGGCCTCGGCTGTCATTGACCGGGAAGCCGCAGCTTGGTCGTGATGATGCCCGTTTGTGTCCGGTTTGATGGGCGCCATGTCTGAATGTCGCAGCTAACCGAGCGAAATCGAGCAAGGGGAACTCGGAATCGGACTCCTACAGCCCTGGAGTAAGCTTGGAAGTGGGAAGTGGTCTTCCTGCAGGTGAGATGTGAGGCGTGAGATGTAACGGAGTTTCCTTCTCGCCTGTGGCTGGTGGAGCCGGGCGGTCGGCCTGGTCAAATGGCGTGCCATCCACGCAGACAAAGAGAACTCCCAGTCTTTACTAGGAATTAATTAGTTAGTTAGGATGAGCTTGTCTTTCCGACCTACATGAAAGACCGTTTGAAACTAGGCAGGGATTGCTTAGCTTCAATTCAATACAGAAATGGAACAGAGAACAATCTATGGTTATTTGCTCTGAGTCCATGCTGTGGAACTCTGTCAGGGGACCCCTGGCTTGGCAATAAGTACCGATAGGTCGAGAACTTGAATGTACCCCGTAGTAAATATTACAGCCTTGATTCGATCGCGTTCACAGGTTTTTTGTATACTTAGGTACCGAGGATTACTCATTGGCACTGAGATTCATACCAGGAACCCGGGTCCTGTCAAAAGGGGACAATTTTTGCCGACGGGCTGACAATTCAGAATGCGTCGAGAGTCAGTGGGTTTTTCTGGCCTTCGAAGCCCATACTAGTATGTGATGCGTGGTAGAGACGATTGCCCGGGAAGATGGCGCCTGCTTGTACGGAAACACATATGCCCTCGCGATCTAGAGTCTTGCCCCTGTCAACTACACGACCGCGTGCCTCACGGTCTGCCACTTTTCTGCCTTGTAGCCTGATTGTATGCATCCGGCGGGGCTGACATAACCTGATATTAATTGCTCCGCTTCGCTCCGCAATTATGCAGTCCCAAAAGGGCAAGGAGCACGAAGTGAGTGATGAGCTAATCGCCATGAGAGAAAGCGTGGCGGGGAACCTCGTGTAGGCCCGGCGGTCCAACCACGAAAGCCCGATTGCATTGCGTTATTTACACTGAGGTTTTTCGCCGCGGAGATTTTCAATTTCACAAACCACAGATTCGTCAGCATTATCCCTGCGATAAAGGCGGGGTACAGCGAAACAATGTCATTCACTGCGATCGTAGCCATTGTGGTGAGTTTCTACTAAATCAAAGTCTTCTCGTTAGAAAACAACCTCTAAACATTGGAATTCCACAGCTTGCAGCATGGTTGGTTTGGAAGGTGGTTTACAATCTATACCTCAGTCCTCTGGTGAAATTCCCGGGCCCGAAGTTGGCAGCGTTTACCAACCTGCAGAATATCTACTGGACGTTGACCGGTGAAGAGCACTACAAATTCAAAGAGCTACATGATAAATACGGGGACGTTGTTCGAACAGGACCGAGATCCCTTGTCTACCGAAGCCCACAGGCCTGGAAAGATATTTATGGTCACCGCAAATCCGAGGCCGGATCATTCCTCAAGGACCCATCATTTTACATCCGTGGTCCCCGGGGTCCAAACATCGTCAATGCGGACGATGAAACCCATTCTCGTCTACGAAGACTTTTCTCGCCCGCCTTCTCGGAAAGAGCGCTTCGAGACCAGGAAGATCTGGTTCAGTCCTACGTTGACTTGCTCGTCGAGCGGCTCAATGGCGAAATTGCCGCATCTCGACCTACGGTTGACATAAGTCGATGGTACAATTTCACCACGTTCGACATAATCGGCGATCTAGCCTTTGGTGAGCCATTTGGATGTCTTCGTGATAGCAACTACCACCCTTGGGTGAAGATGGTATTTGGCAGCATGAAATTACTTGCAATGCAGCGGCCGCTAGGGATATACCCCTTCTTGGCACCGATTGTGAGAAGATTGACCCCGAAAAAACTTATGAAAATGAGAGAAGAGCACTTTGCTTTGAGCATTGACAAAATTCATCGCCGACTGGCGAGGAAAACTGAGCGCCCGGATTTTATGACTTATGTCATGCGTTTCGACGATGAAAGATCAATGACTACACAGGAGATGGAGGCAAATGCTGCCCTTTTGATCGTGGCTGGAAGTGAAACAACAGCAACTCTACTTTCTGGATTTACATATTATATGCTAGGAAATCCCTCAGCGTACCAGAAAGCTACAAGTGAAGTTCGTGGGGCTTTCGAATCCTATTCGGACATCAGTGTTGCCAGGGTCAGCCGATTAACCTATCTTAATGCCGCTTTAGAGGAAGCATTGAGAGTATACCCACCGGCCCCAGGTATAACCCCTCGAGTTGTTCCGAAGGGAGGGGCGGCTATTGATGGAGAATTTATTCCGGAAGGGGTGAGTCTGAAGAAAATATTAACAACCATGGGACATACTAATGTTCATCAGACTTCTGTCTCTGGTGCGCATTATTCTACGTACCACTCTGCTTCCCACTTCAAAGACGCCGATGCTTTTATCCCAGATAGATGGCTGCATCCCACAAACAAGGAATTTGAGTCAGATTGCCGCGGTGTCTGTCAACCGTTTTCGCTGGGACCTCGAAATTGTATTGGACAAAAGTGCGCGCTCCCCGGTCAGTAATTAATGATACAAATTCGGAGCTAACAGATGCATGGATTGTAGCCTTGCCTATGCGGAAATGCGACTTATCGCGGCAAAAATGCTGTGGAGCTTCGATATGGCCTTGGACAAAAGCTCGTCGGAGTGGAATGTTCAGAAGTCTTACATTATTTGGGAGAGAAAGTCACTGGTGGTCAAACTTTCCAAAGCGCAGGATTTTCAAAAACAAGAGGTTACTAGTTAGATGTAGTACGTGCTAGGTGCTTAATGGCCGGTGAAGTTTAATTTGATGTACCTCATACTACTAGTAGGGAGTGTGAAAAAGAGAAAAATAAAAAGTTGAAGACAGGATCCTCTAGAAAGGACACCTAAACACGCGAATACCTAGCTAATAAGGCGCTTAATCATATGGTTATTATTCATGCTGTGTTATCAATATTCCTGATTATTGCACAGTGTAGCCTAATCTTCATCCTCCGAAAGCAAAAAGCTGTCATTTTCCATGTCACTGGATAAGCGGCGCTCTGCATATAACGGGAGGAGAACTTGAACTATATTCCGATGACCATTTAAGGTAGCAAGGCTTAATGAATTGAAAGTTTTACCCCTGATCTCAACAAGCTCATTAAGATCCGCCCCTGCTGCGAGGAGACGCGTGGTGATTTCCAGATGTCCCGACTCCACAGCCAGATGTAAAGGGGTTCGCTTGCCATGATTGAACACACGGGCGTTGACATCTGCCCCAGCTCTGAGGAGAATTTCGACGACTTCTTGATGTCCTGCTTTGGCAGCAAAGTGCAAAGCAGTAAAATAGTCACCCTCAAATTCAACATACTTATCAAGATCCGCCCCTGCTGCGACAAGACAAGCGGTGACATCCGAGTATCCTGACTCCGCAGCTAGATGCAGCGCCGTCTTGATTCCATTTACTTCAAGAGGAAGATTAACATCGGCTCCCGCGGCCAGGAGCGATTCTGTGACCTCTAGGTAGCCCGCCGTCGCAGCTGCGCATAGCGCGGTGCCGCCGTCAAACACGCTGGAATCCAGAATATTTTGGAAATTGTTATTAGAAAGAATAGCGTCGAGGAGTTGAACATCCTGCTCCGATATTGATCGTGCGACCAGAGCTATTACGTGATCTTGAGAAGAGACGCGGAATATGCGACTGGTCTGAAATATTAACCACACAAGGGCACGGTGGCGGTGGTTGAAGGCCCATTTCAGCGGGTGATGTTCCCGTATTCTGGCATTGGAGTAACCCATGGCTGCAAAGTAACGACTATCATCATTAAACCGCTGCTCGGGTTCCCCCTGTGGGAGGTTATGCACGAGTAGACTTGGTGCCCAAGGAAATTGGGCCAAGGTATGTCCGTGCCTAATCATCTTCTGCCAAAGATCCCAGGTTTTAGAGAATCCCTCTTGAAATGCTTTACTATGCTGCAGCCAGTGCGTAGAGGCATAATTAAGGAATGGATGATCATACTGTGTTCCTGTAGGTGTGAGCGGATCTTCGTAGAAGCTTGCCAGATTCCCAACGACGTCCAGAACTGAATGTTTGATCTCGGACCCCAACATGAATCTTCTAAGTGCATGCATAGAGCCCCCCCGATGACCATGCATGGCCCAATGTGTTCCAGGCTATGTCGGAAGGAAGTACTCGTGGACGCGAGCGCTTTTGGGGTTCCGGCTGCTGCTGCTGTTGCACCCGAGCTAGACTCGTTTTGAAATCATCGAAGTTGAGGTAACTGACACAAATCTCACCCACAAAATGATCAGCATTCTGAAGGTTGAAATGGAAGACATCTAGCTCGGGGTGGTGAGGAGGGTATTGCGCCTCTGTCAGGAACTTCCGCACGCTATGATGCGCAAACTGAACAATGCAATCCTCCTCGTCACAGACGAGAAGATTCTCACACCAAGATGAGATCAGATGAATTCCATTAGTGAGACGCTCTCCCATTGAATGAGGTTGGTTAATTTCAATAGAAATAGCTTCTCTGAGTTCGTCACGAGTCAAAGGTCTTTGTGCAGCAGCTACCCATTGAAAACAACGCTGGGCAATATCCCCATGATGCTGGAAGAGAATTCGATGAAGGGCACGGTTGAAAGTTTCTGTCAGGTCTTTTGGGAGGTCTCTGATAGCCTTTCGGATTTCATCGTCACAATGTCGGGAGCATAGTTCATCAATCTGGAAGGCAGCCCATAGAAACCTTAAGGTGTAAGTATCTTATCAATAAAGCGATATTAATTGGAACTTACATGCCATCTGCTCCATCAGTTAAAGCTGCTTTAATCTCCTCGATGAGCTTGGGATCGCCAACATTCAGATCCTCTTTGCGCAGCTTTTCATCGATCATGGCATTGACGTACATAGCTATCTCAGATTCAGCAGCAGGAGTCTCCGTGAAAAGACGATCGAATCCCTCTACGAAAGCCCGTTTCATCTGATCTTTAATGCTTTCACGGCTCGAAATGAATATAAGAACACTCAAAGGCCTGGCTCTTGCTACTAGCGAAGATAGGGCTCCCAGAACCTCATCACAATCTGGCCTCTCGCATTCGTCAAGCCCATCAATCACAATATAAAGCTTTGTGCATCTTTCAGCAATCGTGAGAAGAGCATTGACGAGACTTTGGGGAGTTGAGTCCATGTCACGCTGTATTTGCTCAATGAGAGGTTTTCCGTCCTCTGGAATCCTAGCCTGGCTGAGTGCTTGTCTGATGATCGACTTCAGGATTGTTGCCGACTGTAATGATGCATGGTTATCAAATTGGACAAAGAAAAAGGAAAGGAGAGTATTCGGGCTGCGTTTCTCCGTCAATATCTTGTCAACGATGCTCGATCTGTTGAAATAATTAGTACTTGCAGTGATATATTTGTTGATTGGAAAGCCTGACGTGAGGATGGTCTTCCCCGAGCCAACTAAGCCATTATCAGTACTGTTCATAAGATCAATTCAACAGAAGACTCACTCTTGCCTGAACACCAAAGAACAGGTGCACCATTTCCATCAATCCATTGGATGAACTCTTGTGTTTCAAAAAGCCATTCCCCTGTCCCATTCTGCCGCTTGCGGCGGCTTTGCTTGAGTGGTGTCAGGAAGTTGTGAGATGAGAGCGAATCTAGCAGTCCTTGGGTCTCCTCTTTGCGTCGTCGTTTGGAGATGCGTGCCTCCTCGGATTTACTACTAGACCATTTGAAAATACCCTTCGAAAATTGCTGATTCGACGAAATATCCTCGCAACCGCTTTGATCTGAGTTGCCGTCCTCTTTTATTGCCGCAAGGAACTTTTGCTGAAGCCTGGCGTTGAATCTTTCCATCTCCTTTATCGAGGGAGTAAGTCCTTGCAGTGCGATTTCTGAAGAACTCCAAAATGAGAAACCCTGAGCTTGACTCAATTTTTAGTTGTAGAAAGAGAATCTAAGCACCTTCAATATCTCACTTACGTGCTTTGGTCGAAATCTCAATTACTCGCTTGCAAAACTCGATTAGCGATGCATAAAAGTCGCAAAGTGATCTTCGAAGCGTTAAGGAATTCCCATAGAACTTGGAATACTGTTGCAATGATGGACATATCCTCGCAATCTTTAAGAATATTTCCGAAAATGTTTCATAATATGCTGCAGATTTATAAGCAATCTAAGAAGTCTTGTCAGTCTTCATTCAAACTTGTAGTATAACGATCTTTAATTTTGAATAGAATTTCAGAAACATACAAGCACAGTCAACTTGACACTACCCCAAATGAGAAATGGTAAATTTGAGTGAGATGAATTGAAGTCGTCAACGGTCTCCGAGAAGTCTCGCGCAGATTGAAGCACCGAGTAGAACCTGCTTGAAATACTTTGGCCTTTTCTGTTCCGGTTCTGGGAGTCGAGATGGGCAGTGAAGATGAGAACCTCATCAGGACCTGGGACCGCCTGGATTCCAAGGAGCTCGGTGCGCCAAGGCTCTTCAAGGCTTAGTTGAAAATTAAGTATTGAATTTTCCAATGTCCACAACGGATCGGTCGCGCGTATTTTGCTCTTCTTGAATGAAAATTTATCTTTTCCCGGGACGAGCGATCTCGTCCTCGGATGAATTTGCTTGTTTTCCTGGGCTATTCAAGTTTCGAGTGCAAACGAATCGTTAGATGGCGATTCTGTAAGAAAATTGTCATGACATAAAATCAGGGCACTTACCCAGTGGAATTAGTGCGGTTTCAATATCGTCATTCAAACTGTATCGCTGTATCACCGCTTTTGTGACAGAAGCCGCGGTTGCTGCCGCGTAGGGCTGCCAAAGCTTATTCTTGTGACTGTCAGAGTAATCGCATATGCCTTTGATGACAACAGTTGGGATTTCATCCCAAAGACCGGCACCTTCCATCTCAAAGGCAACGATGCTGTGCTCCTTGGCTATCTTATCACGGTGTTCTCCAGATTTCATGACAGTATCCCCGGAGGCAACGCGTCCGATGAATATTGCCGGGCCTCGGGCTTTGGCCTGTGCTAATCGCTGTCCCTCGACAGATCCCAATTGGGCCCTCGGTACGAGTTTTGATTCATCACAGCCAAGCTCCGAACATGGGTGTTGGGTAGCCACGTCGCATAAGTCGGCGTCTCTGAAGCAGAGCTTGCATAAAGAAAGATCCCTGTGTTTGTGGGAATATGCTGACTCGAAAAGTTTGTCCTCGACGAAACCAGGATACTGATAGCTCGTCTTGTAGTTCCTCCGTACCGATTCATCCTGCAAGACCTTGAGATGATGCGCACTGCCATCTTCTAGCTCTCTTATCCCGGCCTCGGTTTTGAAATATGCTATGAGACCGCGGATTTCTTTATTTGGCGCATGCACGTTTCCCTCGCTCATGCCCTTCATCACGAAGCCACCTGGATATTGCCGACCGAGGCGATATTGTAGAACTCCGTCACTGATAACCACATCGCCCAGAAAGGCCGTTTGTATGCTAGGCGACCCTCCGCAAATCCCAACCAGGAATGCAATTTGAAGTGCAGGATAGCTTGTACGCAAGCTCGCCGCGGACCCCGCAACAGCCGCCGTTCCCATGGCGGGTAGCAACATGAGCACAACATTGTGTGGACCGATCCTGCCATTCCTGTATGTGTTTTTATCTCCATCAGCGCGCCCGTATTGGTTGTCATTCAAGTCCCAGAATTCGTCGACGAGAAGCGCAGCGGCGTCGTACTTCGAGTGGCAAGGCGCATATTACTGCGATCTGGAAGTTGCGCCGGAAGCGGGGGCGAGGATAGCTCGACGGCGGAGTTGTCGAAGAGTCCGAATTGTGAGTCATTGAGGAGGTGTTCGCGCATCATAAAGTCAGAAGTTTGGGTGAGCCCAGTTGGGGCTAGAAGAGGATAGCAAGGGGAAATCATCGTTCACGACGGGGAGCTGAACTTGGCCCCCACTCCATCCCCGCAAGTGACAATTGGGCAAGCTGAGCATAATGTCGACTACCTATCAGATCTCAGCCTTTTGAAAAAAGAGAGGGCTCTAATTTTAACAACAACAAACTAATCTGGATTTTGCAAATGCAAAAAGGTTTCAATTGTTGTCGATCTTGTCACAAAAGGAAGGCAATATCTCTACTGTTGGGCAAGGCCCGGATTGGCCTTGTATTCAAACTTTGAAACGTGAAAAATTGTGAATAAAGCCAGCGTCTAGATCATATTTTCTCAAAATAAGAATGACATTTCTTCAAAATCACTCAAACAGTGCAAGCGACTCTAGCACCACTCAGGTCAACGGGAATCGATTTGTCGGGGTTGCCATCAAGATCCGCATAAGTGCTCTGCTCGGTCAGAGTAGCAATGGTAGCTCCGCCGTTGGTGATTTCACAGTGGATTCCATTCGGAACGGTTGCTAGCTGAGCGGAGGAAGCCAGGATCTTGCCGTCCTGGCTCACAGGGCTTCCAGCGAAGAAGACTCCGATGGAATGTGCGAGGCCATCGGTGGCAATTTGAGCAGTTGCGTAGCTTCTGGTCAAATCATTCGAGAGAGCGAGTGTAACTGGCTCAGTATCGCGAGTCTGGAAAGTACTGGCGGAGACAGTGGCCGCAAGGGCGAGGTAGATAGCATTGGTAGCCTTCATTTTGTTGAGGATGAAAATTGAAAGAGGCGTGACTCGGAGTTCTTCGGATTTGAAATGATATGTTGGAAGCTACTTTGGAAGAAATTATCCTCTATTTATGCTGTTGATGTCCTCTTTGATGTTGGTGTTGTCTTGAATATTCAGGCGACCAAGATTTGATCCTAGTAGGGTGCCAAGATAGATATTATCGTACAGCTCGACCTATTGTGTGAGGTTTCCTTAACATGTACTGTTTCAACAGGGTGCCATGGGAAAATCAAACCAAATATCTGACATAGAATCTTGGATCTCATGGAAATCATGAAGTGAATAGGTTGGACGTCTGGACGGCCTTAGCAAGCCAAGACTGAACAGCCTTGAAATGATTCACGGCGTCCGACCGGCAGAACGCCTTAAATAGTTAAATATAGGACATTGGGATGTAGTCCAAAAGCCATATATTTTCCACGGACGCCATTGAGATGGTAAACACCATACCAGTACGATCCTTCACTATTTCAAAGACGGCAAGTGAATTAATTGACCTACTGCTGGTTTGTCAAACTGTTGTTAAGGTGAAATCCCTAGGTTTCTACATAAATGTTGAAACCAATGAGTCCAAGTTGAAGGGCTTAATTAGTAGTTAGTATAAGGCCACCCATCAACTAGTTAATTAATAGCAGCGGGGGTGGAGCCGGAATGAGTCCACGACGAATCTCAAAAGTTCCGAGGTTTTGCAAGACAACTTACAGGGCCTCCGCGAGCAGGTAGTGTTGTCAATTGTGGCAAAAAACAACCGAACATATAGATTTTTCAGACTTTCCAAAAAGAAATTGATATCAGGATGATAACTACCGAGTCGCTCGTGTTTCTGAGATTTCAAAGTCATCTTCAACTTTATCTTTCTTGATGTATCTAGTAGGATGATAATTACTGGCTAAGGCCTTCGCTCCGGATTTTTGTTCAATATTATATTATTCCTTTGGCGCCCGGGCGCTCAAGAAGATAAGGTAACTGGTAAATCTTTGAGTAGCTCACCCCGCCATTATACATGAACCGAATATTGCCCTACCTAGGTACTAGACACTGTGATATTTGAGAAGCCTAAGCTCTACCATGAGTCTAACCAACTCAAATTCCCTCAATCTTCAATCCGCAATCCATCGTCGTCATGAAGAAGTCGTTCATGCCTGATTCTTTTCAAAACAGGATAGTGACTCCCATTAAAATGGCAGTGAAGAAGATCGAACCTCCAAGTGAGGTTGAAATAGTCATTCCACCACTGGATGATGTAGAGCTTCCACTGCTGCTGGGAGATGATGTTGATGTGGCCGTGCTGTTTGTTCCATCCAGCTCGGCGCTGACCTGAGCCCATAGTAGCTTGCAGATGGAAAAGTCAATCTCGCCAGAGGTACTTGAATTACCAAAGATCATTCCCGGGGTATTCAAGCCTGTTGATGTGATATTGAATTCCGGCCATTGAATAGCGTCGGTCGACGGTTTGCCATTCTCCGCCATCGCATTCCACAAGCTGATCATCTCATCGCTCAATTTGCGCTCAGATTGCGAGCTATTGCAGGTGTAGTTCTCTGTAGGGTAGCTGAAATCCAAGTTGCTGAATACGAATGGTAATTCAGCAGTATGAGCGGCACCAAGGAATGCCAGATTATCTCCAATGGGAGCCAGTGTATCCAGCCATGCACAAGAGGAATTGTGAGTGAACTCATAGGCCCATGCCGCATTACCATTGCGCGCAGTACTCACGGCACTCTGATATGTCGGACATTTGAAATGTGCGTCTGTGAGGACCTGGGCAATGGCCTTAAAGACACCGGATCCTGCTGTCAACCCGAGTTTCTTAACCGCGGATTCATACGCAGATAGAGGGTAATATTTCTCGATCGTTGAAGCTGCAGAGCCCCAGTCCCCTTTGAGAAAAGTCTCGTAATCGGCCGCCGTGAGGTTCGCAATGAGCTCCGGGGATGAATACTTCCCGATGGTGCTCAAAGCACCCTCCTGTTGATCTTCAAAGTTTGACGTGTTAGCCTTGATTCTACCATCCGACAGAATAAGAGAACATTGCAATGTACATACTGAAGCCAAAGACTGTCGGGACTTGTGCACCGCGCTGGAGAGGATTCTCTTTGATGATTTTGCCATCCACAATTGGCCAGAATTCAGGCGTCAGGCTATTGTCATTACCAATTCCATCTAGGCTCCCGATACCGGAATGCAGGTATGAATCGGAATAGAATGCCTTCTGAAGGTCGGCCGAAGATTTGGACCGGAGACATGATTTCTAAATCCAGGTTAGCCTAGTACAGATAAGACGGACAATTATTCACTTACGTCGTTGGCACTGCAATCAAGCTTCTTCGCAAATGACACACCGAGCTTTTGAGCAATTGTTTTATTGGTCAATTGGGGTAGAGCGATCGATTCAACCATAGCGCTCTTGAATAGATGAGGTGCTTCAGCAAGAGTCGCAAGAGTGTACACATCTGTGGCACCAGCTGATTGTCCGAAAGCGAGGACTTTTTTCTGTGTTGCCAAACCATCATTAGTTCAAGAATCCCGAGAATAGATTTGAAGCTCAATTGACGTACAGGGTCACCTCCAAAGGAAGAGATGCTTTTCTGCACCCATTCAAACCCACGAATAAGATCTTGTATCCCTTGATTGCCCTGGTAGCCGGCATCATCCAGTGCCAAAAAACCGAGGGGCCCGAGTCGGTAGTTCAATGAAACCACAATGTTGTCTTTCTCGGCCAAGTTACAGCCGTCATACAGAGGATATTCAATCCCGCCTTCGGTGTCGGATCCGCCAAAAGACCCAAACTTTGACAGGAAGTTTGGAATGTTTGGTTGCGTTAGATGGTGCCCAAATGTCCAGGTAGAGGCTATAGGAAGACAAATGCATTAACAAAAATTATCATTTCAGGTCACAAGTGCGGCTCACCAGTCTTCGGATTTGGTTCCGGATGGTACAGTTTGATCTCCAAATTGAATACAGGACGGAGCTGACGCAGTTGCGTTGAGTTTTCCGTGGCGGTATTTTTTGCTGTAGGCCTTGGGAGGTTCGAATCGCAGGTCCCCAACGGGAGGCTCGGCAAACGGAATGCCCTTGTAATAGACCGCATGTTCATTACTGCACTTTCCACCCTTGATAGTCCCAGCGTCAATGGTGACCGAGGGCGACGCTAGAGCTGTGACTACAATGGCCGACAGAGAAGTTGGAAGAAACAACTTCATCTTCGTTAATGTTGGAAGAGTCAAGTTATGATGAAGAAAGGAGCATCTATCGAGCTCGTACCCTGTCTTTTTATAAGGAAAGTATTAAGATTTTGCGAAGCCTGAGCTCGCAGCCCCCACCCGTGACTCTAAAGCAATTTGAGTCTAGCTCAACATCTCAGATACCCGATGTATCTCACATATGAAGATAATTCGCACTTCTATCTAGATTGGACTTAGTTAGGTGGATTACTTAAGAATATTTAAATTTATTACGGGGTACGGGGTACTTGTTAGCGCCGAAAAATGATACTGTATTCGGGTTAGTGTTGGCCCCCAAACCTCCAGGGCTACACTGACAAATTGCATCATCTTCTCCGGGCACTGGCCCATCATTCATTTATGTAGCCCTGTTGCTAAGCCCAGTGCCGATTACTTCGGTCGAATTGATGTTATGTTGCGAGAGCTGCCGGCACACGCATTAATTTAGTTATCAGAATCCTGCTATTTTTATTTCGCCTTGTCGTCCTAGTATAGTCGATGACCACATGTGAATGAATCCTTGGTGCCCACTGTATATTTTTGTTTTGTTTTTAACCTCCTCTCTAAGAGTGAACGCAGCACCATAAAACCTAGTTCCAAGGTTGTTGGGATCTGTCGCAAAAACCCGAATCGGAATGTACCTAGGTAACCATCACCTTTTGAAAACTGTGGGGCCCTATCATGGTGTTTTTGTTGGGGGCCTTTCAGCTCTATATTTTGGCCCCCAAGTTTTCCAAGGCTGCTAAGCAATACGGCTGAGCGAGTCTAAAAGTAGACAAGCTAAAAAGACGGTTTGGGCGGTGTAGGATCGACACTCCAGGGCTCCCTTGGCCCCTATTATCCGCCCAAGCAATATTTGGCCTCATCTTCATTTATTCAGAGCGGAACTCAAGATCCAAGGTTTCCAGTGCACTCATCCCAGGTTGTCCCCGTGGGTGGCCCGGTGGACTATTAATTCTTTGCCCTTTTTCTTTCTTTCTGTATCCACGATGCAGCGTGCAAATCGACGCAGGAAATATAGTAAGCGGTCGCTTAATGGATGCCGAACATGTCGGTAGGTTGTTGACCCCATGTGGACAATCAATCCAATAGCTGCCCCGCTGGTATTCTCGATCGAATCCAACCACCACTATACTGACTGGTGGGGTATGCAGAGTGCGACACGTTAAGTGCGACGAAGCCCCGGGGATATGCAATAACTGCCAATCTACCGGCCGTAAATGCGATGGCTATGATTTGCATCGCTTGGCTGCCAAGACGCAAAGTCTCACATTCCCCCGTAATACCTTACCCCATCTGGCGTGGACAACCACCACAGACGAGCGACGATGTTTTTCATACTTCCAGCGATGCTCAATACCAGGCCTCGGGGCAATCTTTGAATCTCCTCTCTGGAGCAGGATTATTTTGCAGATTAGCCAGGCTGATCCTGCCGTCTACCATGCCGCCAATATGCTTGGAGCAGTGCACGAGGATTCAGACGCGAACAAAATGCGCTTATCAGGGGAAAACCTTCAACGAGCCCGTCATCGCTTTGCAGCTCAGCAGGCCTCGCGATCATATAGCTACCTTTCAAAACGCCACACCTCGAACGACCCTCAGTTTAGAGAAGTGATGCTAGTATGCTGTCTGCTTTTTGTCATGTCGGAATTGCTACTAGGACAATATCAAAATGCCTTCCAACATCTACATGGTGGGCTTCATATCCTCAAGGAAACACAAGAGTCTCATCGAACACTCAACTTAGAAGATTCATTGGTCCGGGTATTTGAACGACTCGACATCGAATCCTCCCATTTCGGGTCGGGCACCCCATTCTTTTTCAACCACGTAGGTTTCAATGATGACTTGCACATTTCGGATGTATTCTCGGACATAAAGAGTATGGCCGATGTGCAGCGGAGTGTTACTTTCCTGCTCAATTTGGGAATTCCATTTCTCGCTCGATGCTGGCCGTTCTCCGCCGCTGAAGTCACATCTCAGTGCGATGAACTTGTCCAAAAGCAACAGGAAATTCTGTTCTACAATTATCAATTTCAAAAACGGTTCAGTTTGTTCTATCGCGACTCCTATCATACACTCAGTCGTCGCGAGCAGGAGGGTGTTGACGTTTCTCAGCTCCAGAGCCTTTCACAAATGCTCAGCTTGGAGACTTGTCTTATCAAAGGACCGATACCTGAAAACTTGACACCAAAATACATCTCCCTCCTATCGGCTCATCAAGCATTTTTGGCCAAGTTCTCCGATCGGCCAACATTGACTCTGGACTATGGTGTTCTCCCGGGTTTGTGGGTGGTGGCCTCGGAGTGTCCGGATTATGTCGTTCGTTTACAGGCAATCCGGGCGGTGGAAATGTGGCCACACTGCGAGGGAATCGTTAATTCCAATGTCATCGTCTCTATGGCTTTAAATAATCTAAAGAAGGAAATGTGGATGCATGGCCAGCCGGATGCTTCGATTATAGACGCTGAGACGGAGGAGGAACTGTCAAGATTCCTGCTTGATACATTGTCATCGGAAGAGCAAGCGGCGAATTGGTCATTTATTCGTGGAAGTGATGTGGCTCGTAGGAAGCTTACAGCGTAAGCTCTGGAGCTTTCAGATATGAAAACAGATCTCATTCTCCGCCATTTACGTATGAATAGTCTTGGTAAACTATAATCAAAATAAACTCGATATTGAACATACTGCTCATATTTCAACAATCATTCACCACTCATTGCAACTTGGCTTCAAAGAGAGCAGTGGACTGGCCGAACGAGTCTTCTTTCCAGACCTTTGCCACCCTAAATCCAGCGCTTTCCAAAAGAGTCACCCACTCCTTCTCGGTTCGTTCCAGCGAGGAAAAGATTTCCATCATATGTATATCGAGTGTTGCCGCAATTGGAGGAACATCAGAGCTATCAGGCATTATATGTTCATGAATGAACAAGAAAGAGTCCTGAGTCATGGCATCGTGGATCCGTGCGAGAGCATCAAGAGCTTGCTTGTCCGGGAAGTCGTGTAAAACAGTTCTCATATAGTACGCAACGGCGCCATTGATAGGTTGTTGCTCGAACATGTTGTGACCAATAGCCGAAATTCCCCCGGGAAGGGGATCCTTGATGGTATTGATGACCTGAGGGAGATCCTGTAAGACGAGCTTTCCAGTGAGATTTGGAAATCGCTTCTGAAACGCGATAATATCATGGCCGACACCGCCACCGATATCAACCAGTAAAACTTGATCCGGGGACGCATGTAGCTTTTCTTGCACTGGATATATTTCAAACCAGTCTGCGCCGCGATGTTGTTGGCTTTGAGTCATGACAGAGTTGAATACTTCTTGTTTGTCGGCGTTTTGGCTCAGCCATTCGAAATAGTGGCTCTCGGTATTATATGCAAGTTGAAAGGGTGCATGACTTGCGTCGTCTGGGCTTTGGTAGCCATTTAATTCAAAGTAATCAAAGAGCTTCACAGTTACCTGCATATTGTTGTGGCTGGGACTGGCTATCAGTACCTTCCATATTATAAAGATAGATGGGAATGCCTACAAGTGTTTGATCATGTCTCCGGGAGGTGACCCATTTCCCAATGTCATTGCCAGAGGCATTGGCTTATAAGATCCACATGCTGTTTGCTTGAAAATATTATGGGCGGACAAAAAGCGCATGATACGTTCTGTGAGATAATCAGTATCATTCTCCCCAAGTGATGCAGTTTAGGAGTAGGATTATCTACTCAGCAGGTTCTTGTCCCCCTTTACTTTGGAGGACAGTTCTTCTAGTGACAACTCTGCTCCTTGAGCTTCAACGAATGCATCAAAGACCCCCATCCCCTGGGATATGCGAATAACGGCGATACCATAGTGCTGCCAAGGGACATATTAGTGGATGTTTTATTGAGACATACACTATGTGTTAATTCACTCCGAGGACACGTACCGAGAAACAAATTCGTTGGAGAGGCAGTTGTGGAGGTTCCAATGCTTCTTGCAATCTATTGACAATTCCCACAAGCTGCATGCGCTCGGAAAATGGGATCTTGTCGGGATCTGGATGATTTGCCAGAGCGGACGCCAGGGTAGAGGTGAGATCGGACAATTCACCTGCCATTGTTGTTATTGGAAACGGAAATAATGAGGTTGAATATTCTAAAGGTGCTGCGGGTTATCGAATATAGGAGTGATTGGCAGTCTTTATATTTTACTCTTCTTTACAACAATAGAGGCCTTGGATATAAAATCCGGGCCCTACAACAAGTGGTCGCTTTAGTCGACGAATCTACCAATCGGGCATGAGCTGCGAGTATTAGCTCATCTTGGCCGTTCGACCTCCACGTTTTGGCAAATCACAACGTCTCGATGAATGAAATTGTGGGTCTGTGGCACAATTTTAGATATCGAGACCGTATTTCAAGGCGCGAGCGATTTGACATTCCATCTACACACGCTTTGTCCAATAGATTTCGCATCAGAATACTTGTTTCCAGGCCGTGGGGTTGTTTCCGGGCTTTGGTGCTTTTTCCTGGTTCCAAGTGCTGTACACTGTGGCCCCGGGAGATTCCTACTGGTGAGCTGCGTCTTCCTTTGTTTTTAGTATTGCAGCAACGAATTAAACCCTTGGAAGCCCCCTTTCTAGCTATATGTACTTACTAGGTAATTTATCTTATTTAGTCAAGATGAGGGGTCAGCATGAATATAAATGCGTAAGGTTTTGGACTATTCGCATTCGAGTTCTTATTCCTCATTCCCAGGCCTGCATTTAATGTAACATTGTTCTCGGCTAAACAGTGAACCTTTACAAGTGGACGTTGATCACCTAAACATCCAATCCCACCTCTCACTGGCACTCGCTGTCCGAGGCTTACAGACGGTAAAACTCGATTTGAATGACTTCCTTAATCAAGGAGTCAAAAAGCGGCCTTGCTTAAAGCTTGCGTATTATCTTCCCATGGGAGGAATTCGACATCCAGTGGTCTGTTTCCCATTTGCTCATTTCGATTTTATTCGTATGGCTGCTTCATCCAAAAGATTTCAACTCCATCTTTCGCTTCCAATTGCTATTTCCCTCAGCTTTCGTTTCACGGTCAATTCGGGCGACGAGCATTTATTCAAGTTGGCAGAGCGAGCTGTGAACGATGTAGAAGCTAATTCCAATCTTTCCTAGTATTTGAGCACTCCTTCAGTTTGCTATCTTCCTCTCCGCCCCATGGCCCCTTTGTGCTACGTATATGGATGAACTAATGGCATACTGCAGCCTCATCTTGATTAATATTAATGATTCGTACCTATGGATCTGTTAAAATCAATTCTTTCGGAAATCTTGTGACTAGGATTGTGGCTGAATTGGTATTCCTTCAAAAAGTAATTATCGAGATGTCTACGGAGTAGACTAACAGAATTCATGTTGTGGCGGTGCAAGCGTGCCCAGGTAGGTGGGGTCCAAACTGAAATCCTTTAATTTCCCGAGGTCTTCCCTTCTTATTTATGCTGGATTCGGTCGGTTTATGCTGCTGTACTAATGCTGAAGCCGAAAATTCGATCTTTCTGACCTACACCGTGACACTGGACAGTACCACAGGGCTTGAAATCCACCTACTACCCGGGTAAATTATTTAATACACTTTCATCAACATTTTTTGAACGTCGGGTTCAAAATTTTGCAGAGCTTGATCTAGCATCTACTACAGGCCTATTTATTGAAGTTCAAAATACTGGAAAGACAAAGTTGGATCAATCATCAATATTCATAGAATTGTGGATATAGTGATCATCAAATTTCTTGTACATAGGACTGAAAATTTGGCTAAGAAGACATGGACTTCCCATGAACGATATCCTTAATTACCTTTCTTTTCAGCATGCCTTTATATCTGGCTTATTGTCAGCCGAATCTGCTCTTTTTCCGTAATCAGAAACGACTGAGATCAAGCTATCCAACTGAGGTAGAAAACAGAGGGCATATCGAATGAAAATTCCCACTAGAAAAAGTCGAATCGCCTTGAGGCCAGCTACATTGGATGTCTGGTTTGATTCCGGACCAAATCAAAACAGAGACTCCCAAATGGCAATGTTATACACAGTCACCAACGACGCCCCCCCCTAGTCATTCCAAATTGAGAGCCAGTGTATATTTTCTCGAAAAGATCGATCCGTTAAAAGCCTTCCAATCTCATTCATGTTTAATGTAGGCAGCAGGAACATAAAGATGTAATTCGGGGCCATCACTAGTAGAGCCTGCGTTCGCGAAAGATGTCTTTCATTTCGGAGATCATTATGTTTGACCACAAGTTCCGGAAGAATCACCGCAAAGAAAACAAGGTTTCTAAGCAAAAAAAATCGGTAAACGGTTTGTGGACTTTCTTTCCGGTATCCAAGAATGCAGAGTGCGGACCAAGTTGTGATGACAATTAACATGGCCAGCCATATCCTATAATCATTGTTCAGCTAAAATTTTGGAAGCCATATTGTTCATAGAAAACTTTTGAGCAACGGAAATATTCAAGAGTCACTGACATTCCTCTGATCTTATTTGTTTTCTGAACTATGTGTTTCAGGTTCATCCGAGTTCGGGGGGGATCCACTAGCATGGTGAGACGATTCAGCTTCGCGAGGCCCAAAAGGAGAAATTTTCTCCTTCCCAGATTCGCTCATGTTGACAACTTTAAAATAGAATGGGTTGGAGAAATTAAAAGAAATCCAAGGTGAAGGAAAACTTGAAGCGATTGAAAGGGAAAAGTTTCATACCGTGGGGGCTATTCTTATTAATTTTTGGGAACTATTTATAGACATCCGGGCAGCCCCTGCTAACTACAGGATGCGCCCCCATCTACTAGGGCTTGCTGCCGCAGGCGTTTGATTAGTTACTATCCTCCCGTGCCAAGGACAATACAAGTTGCGACCGGGGATGGATTTGCGCGTAGGTAAAAAATGTATGATACTCAAGTCAAGACAAAAGCCATAGAAAACGTATTGGTCTAGCGACGCAGGGTCAGCAGGGTACAGTCCAGCTTACATGACAATATACATTTTATTACCGTATGGCAGTGATGAAATTTCTAGATCTCCTTCCCAGCCTTTATTCTGCTCCGATGTGGCATCTTGCTCGATGAGTGAGGCAAAGATGTGAAGAAGTCCACGGCCCAAATGCTACATCTACATTATAGGCAGTTTTCATTTCGCCAGCAGGCTTGAAGGTACGTATCTACTACCTTCTGATCGCGACACTCAATAGAGCATACTATTTTCAATACTTCGAAGTTTGCATTCCTCGGATAAATGCCCAGGTGTACATCTGAAATTTTGGCTCTTCAAAGAAGAGTTCTGGCAATACCGTAAAGCGGCCAACCGTTGATTCTTGGAACACGAGTAACATAGTATCTTCAATTTGGCTGTAGCACTTGGGGGGGGGGGGGGCGACAATAACCTAAATTCTGACGCAGTTCGGAGGAAGCCCAAATGGCGGTCCATTCAGTAATGACCATTCAATTCCATGCTCACATTTACCACTTCCACTCGCTGGGATCCTTGTTCCAGTCGGGGAATAAGGATTTTTGACGGGCAGGAACCTTCACCATATCGAAAAAGCCAGCCAACCTAGTAATCTCAAGTCCCGTTTTGGTGCGGCATCACTCCATTCGCGAAATCCGACCCAGTAGCCATTTATAGAGTATAGTTGAGTAAGCTTCCAACTATCACGAATGAGATAAAAGACAAAGGCAGGAGTTTCAGAGAGCTTTACGTACAGAGTTTTTGTTCTTGAATGCCAGACCAGATTGCGAGCGCAACAGAATCTAGGCCAAACACCAGCGTACAGAATGTCGCTAATTATTCCCAGTCAGTGTAGATCTCGTACCCAGAAGAAGAGATATGACATACTTGAAATTTCGCATGAAAGCCTTCTGGATTGGATCTCGATCCTCTTTCTTGGGGAATGACTTCCAAAAGCTTGTAGCGGCCCCAGTATTATCACCTAACTGTATTCCAGAAACCTTTTTCCAAACAACGTAGGTCAGGAACCCGCCAGGAACTGGCATGTTGGCACTCTGCGTCGTTTCCTGATATGCAAGAAGGCTTGGGGTGGCCTTCGACGCTGCATCATGGTCCCTCAGGATCTTGAAGGCGACAAGCTCCTCGGGCGTGACAGAATTATTGGCCTGCATAGCGCGCTTTTCAGGTGGGGCAAACTCGGTGTATGTGAATGGAAGCAGGACATAAATAAGCACAATGCCTAGGGTCTGCGGATACGCCGCCGAGCCCGAGAAGCAATTAAGAAAAAATTGGCTTCGTGCTTTTGGGCTCGTCAAAGTTCCTCCCACGACTTTGAAATCGCGAATCGCATGAATACCTAGCACCTAAAAAGCAACATTGAAGAGCAGTCTTGGGTCAAACCTTCAATTTGGAACTGGCCACTTCTTGGGCCTAATCCTAAGGTTGCACAGAGCCCTCCTTGAACCCTCTCGTACTACTACCTACCTAGGTAGGTGCTAGTAGTATGTATTCAGCGATTCAAACTGCGACTCTACTCCAGGGCTGACTCGACTCGACGGGAGCATCCTACAATCCCGGATACCCGTGTAATTCTTAACAATGATCTACACTATCAAATATCTCTCGGTAGCGGATGAGTAGAAAACTACTCAGGGTTCCCGTATGCCGCATAGTGGGAAGTGTCACCGTTCCAGCAGAAAGGAAAACGAAAGAGCCCCGGAGGGCTATCGTGAAGAGAAGAACCAAGCTCTTCTAACGAATCCATTCCTTTTTGTTCCCATTGTATTTGCGATCCAGTGGGGTTGGGCTGCCGGAAGGAACACGCATGAGATCAAACACAAAATACCATTCCTCAGTCATGGGCTTCTCTCTCCCGGTCTCGCTCCAATCTCGGAATCCGATCCAGTAACTATGTAGTAGAGTGTGATTAGCTCCCAGGTGTTTTTGATAAGATCAAAGAAAGAGATCACATACAGCGTTTGGGTTTGTAAGTTCCACACCAAGTTATTTGCGGAAGCGAACTCAGGCAGGATACCGACGTCGCGAAGCGCGCTGATTATTAATCTAATTAGTTTTGAACATTGGTATTTCCTGGAAAATAGCAAGATAACTTACTTGAAAGATTCCTCGAACTTTTCACGGATCAGTTCTCGCTCCTTCTTGCTTTGGATGTCCCAGAACCATCTAGCCTTTCCAGTGTAGTCACCTAAGCGGATCCCGGATACCTTCTCCCATACATAGTAGATAAGAAAGCCACCAGGAACCAGTAGGTCTCTCCCTTGCTCCACTTGCAGAGAACCGATGAGACGTGGGGTGCACTTCGATGCCGAATCATCTTTACTGAATAGCTGAAATGCTTCCAGCTCTCGGGGAAGGTAACTTTGCCTAGCGTGTTTAGCAAGTTCTTTGATGGGAGCGAAGGCAGTGTCTTTATGCGGGATCTGGAGAAAGACACGCATAAAAGCCTTCGTTGTAGGTTCCTTGTCTTTGCTGCACTGCATCTTGACTGAGACGTAGGAGGGACAGTTGTTTCTTGCTTCCAGTGCGAAGATCCGGTGCTCCCGCTCGCTGAGCAACCGCTCGATTTTCCAGCGGCTCATGGGATCTTTGAGTTGGATAACCTTCCCAGCCTTGATGAGCTCGCTGGCTGGTCCGAACCAGAATCGGGATATTGGATATTCCATTTTGATGTGACAGCAGAGCGCTTGAGAGTGGAACTGTAGTGTAGTAGGTGGTTGTGGAGAAGGTTTGATTGGGTAAGAAGGCAAGTCCCCCTGCAAGGCGGAGAGGTCTAAGTAAATAGTGTCCGTAATGGTGGGAGCGGGTCACGTCATCAGAAATCAACAACTGCCAGAAGCGGCGTCATTTAGATACTCTTCAAACAAGGGGACTCAGATGGAATGCGGTGTAAATACTAGTAGCCCCGAGCTGTATTACGTAGCGAGTCTCTAAATAGATATCATCAACACACCCATACTGCCTCAGATGAGGACGGTCTGAGAAACCATCGTTATACGATAAATGACCTTGAAAGTTGAAAGGAGATAGTAAAATTTTGATTGAACACAGAGATCAAGCAAGATTGGAAGTAGAAAAGTAAAAAGATAAACGAAAGAGAGTCCTGATCAAAAACAAGAAAGAATTCTCCGTACGCCGTCCAGTGGGAAGTGTCGCCGATCCAGCAGAAAGAGTAATAAAGAAGGGTCCATTCCCAGAGCAGGGAAGAAGTCAATTGGATCTAAAACTTCCATTCCTTGGTATTCCCGTCCCAGTCAGCTTCCAAGGGTTGTTGGCGGGGAGGAACCTTGACCAGGTCGAAAAAAGCCAGCCAGCCCTTTCTCACGTTCCTTTCTGGCCTGATGGCACCCCACTTGCGAAATCCGACCCAGTAGCTAGAAAGTACAGTTGAGTTAGCCTCCAAGTATTACTAGCTCCAGATAACAAAGATGAGGGGGTTCACATGCAGCTTTTTAGTTCGTGCATGCCAGACTAGGTTGCGAGCGTAACAGAATGCAGGCCAGATACCAGCTTCTTGGATATAGCTAATCACGTTCCTGGTTAGTGCAGATCTCGTATACAGAGATGAAAATAATTTACTTGAAAGTTTCCAGGAAAGCCTTCTGGATTGGAGCCCGATCCTCTTTCCTGGGGAATGATTTCCAAAAGTACGGAGCGGCTCCAGTAGAATCGCCTAGCTGTATTCCGGGAACCTTCTCCCAGACAACATATGTCAGAAATCCTCCAGGAACTGGCCAATTGTCACCATCTTGTGTCTTTTCCTGAAAGGCGAGAAGTTTTGGGGTGACCTTCGATGCCTTTTCATGAGCACTAAGCATCTGAAAGGCTGTGAGTTCCTCGGGCGTGAATGATGTATTGGCCTGCTGAGCACGTCTTGCCGGGGGGGCAAATTCGGTCATTTTGAATGGGAGCTGAACATAAATGCGCATAAAGGCTGAGGCAAGGGTTTTTCCTGGTTTGCGGCATTCTACCTTGACTGAGGCTTAGGACGGCCTGTCATCCTCCACTTCTCCTTTCTCCAGCTGGTTATGGCGCTTGTTGACCACGGGACCGATTTCCCACTTGGTTTCCTCGGGATGGGTGAGGGTGACAATTGTTCCACGTCTGATGAGATTGGAAAGCGGCTGTTCGTTGAACCAGGAAGGTGTTGTTGTCATTTTCGTGCGCTATGAGGGCTCGTGAGAGTTAATCTGAGAAACAGACAAGTGGGAAGTGCAAAGAAGTGAGCGATGGTGGATAACGGTTGTAGTGGTAGATCACAGTTGATTGGATAAGAAGGGAAGATCCCCTGCAAGGTGGGGAGGTCTAAGTGACTAGTGCCCCGCCCGCAACGTGGTGGGTCAGGTGATCTGAAATCAACCCAAACCTTCACATAGACTTCAATTTTACATTGAGAACAAGATCCAAGCCTGCCTACTTCTATAATTCAGGCCACCCCCAAAGTACAATAAAATCGAAGGCACAATTCAACAGTGATTTGGAAATGTACAATATCTTATATTCAGATTTACACGAGGTAACAACAAGTAACTATTTGAGACACAAAATCAACTTTTCATCCAAACCCCAACTTAACCTACCCCGTCTCAATCCAATTAACCCACTCACACCCACACCCCCCACTCCCCCATCAATACCGGGTGTATCACTACTCCCCGCAAGAACGGAGTTAACCAAATTACCCCCAACCCCGCGATCCTCAACCTGCAACAATTTATCCGTAACATTATACGCTTGCCCGCCATCAACCACCCCATAACAGTAAACGAGTTTCTTCGCCTCGTCGCCGCCGTGTCGATCTAGCGTTATGGTAACCGGATACGGGAATGAGCCTGGACGAGTATAATCCGTTGCTGAGGATGAAGATGTTGATGTTGAGGACGTTGGTGTAGCTGTTGAACCGGAGACGGTTTTGCTGGAATTCGTGCCGGCTGAAAGGAGTGCTCGATTTATGCGGTCTGGTTTTGTCCAGATTTGGACCAGAAAGCGCGTTTGAGACCAGGTGCAGCGGGTTACGGAATTGGATTGTTTGCTTCCACCGTTTGTGTCGGTGGGGTTTTTGTCTGTGGTGCCGCCGTCGAGAGGGGCTCTCGAGGAGAGGAAGATTGATTTGTCGTAGTAGGTGTAGAAGCCGTAGTGTTCGGTGTCTTTGTTGCGATTGTAGAGGCGGATTGGTTGGGAGGAGGGGAGGGGGTAGAGGGTTGCGGCGGAGGGAACGCCGTTCGTTGTTTCTTCTGGGGCGGGGAAGATGTCCGTTAGGTTCGAGGCTGTTATTCCGGAGGATGAGTTCGATGAGGTGGTGGTGGAGGTGTTGCTTCGTCGGTAGATGTTTGCTGTTGAAAGGTGTGCCGGGGAGAGGAGTGTCATGTAAAACGGTGTTTCTTCGCCGGCGTAGGGGGCCGAGTTTCCGTCTGTGGTGTTTCCTAGGAAGGACTGCTCTGCTAGAGCGGGTGTAGCTGGCGAAGGATTCCAGTCGATGTCTCCACGGCGGAACTTTCGTGAAGATGTGCTGGCGGTGGTGCTGTTGGGGTAGGAGCCGTTGCGGAAGAGGATCTGGATGCGGAAGGTAGGCTCGTCGCCATTGTAGGGCTTGTTATCTGATTGTTGGTCTTTTGGCAGAGCGCAGCTCCATAGTGACGAGGGCTTGATGCATGTTGATGTCGACTCTTGAGTCTCTGTGCCTGCAATCGTGGCGATCCCCGTTGGCATGGGCGGGTAGCCGGTTAAGTTGAGCCAATTGGACTGGACGGGGGTATCGTCGCCTTTCTTAGTGAGCGTGATGGCGAGGACAATTGCCAAGATGATAATTACTAGGAATAAAGTGCAGATTCCAAGATACCAGCGTCGTCGAAGACGGCCTTCTCGTCCTGGTCGTCCGAAACAGCCCTTCTTGCTGAAACATCCGCGGCCGCGCCAGAATCCACCGACCTTTCTCCCGGCTGCATCTTCACGCTCTAACCTGCGGCGTCGAGCCTCCATTGGGCCTACCGGGGCAGAGGAGTCCGTTACTGCGGCGCCTGGTGCAGGGTGTAGATCATACCGTGGAGGTAGAGGGACTTCTCGGTGGTCTTCCCTGGGGTATTGAGTATACGCCGGTGCAGGCGCATTGATATCGTGGCTTGTATCACGATTCGTCTCATGGCTCCCAGGATGATTCACTTCGGATAGCTGAATGGCACCTGGTCCTGCTGCCGCGCGTTGGAAACCTGGAGATATGGGCTCATTTGAATGCGCCGGGGGGATCAGCCACAGTTTCCCGAGAGGCTTCTGGTCCCAAGCTCCGATCTGTAGTAAGAGGAGGAGCTATTGGCCAGTCGGATACCTGAGACTGGTGTTGGTGTTGAGGTTGAGGTTGAGGTTGAGGTTGAAACTGTTGTGGTTCCGGGTGAAATTGCTGCGGTGGTGGCATTTCATTCTGTGGAGGAAAGACGGGCCCATAATTAGGAACTGGCTGCTGCATAGCTGGCTGTTCTTGAGGCGCTCCATAATAGTTGTGTATAATCTGTGGAGGTTGAGCAGGAGGTATCTCTTGAGGTGGCATTGGAGGAGGCCCAGGTTCAGGAGCTGGAGGTTGATAGACAGGAGCTGGAGCTGGAGGTTGATATACAGGAGCTGGAGCTGGAGGAGGCATAGGTTCTTGTGGAGGAGGTGGAAACGGTTCTGGCATCGGTACAGGTGGTTGCTGCTGTGGTGGAGGATGACTCGGCTGAGGTTGTGGTTCTGGAGCAATGCCCCTCGACGAATCCTGCGTCGGTTCAGGGATATGTTTCTCATCATCTCTATCCTCCCTCAGTGGCGAGTCCCAAGAATCCGCGCTCGAGCTTGATGCCGGCGAAGATACCGCCACTTCCTTCGTATGTCCGTCCGGCTTCGGTGAGTCGACATCAATAAGTAACCCCTTAGTTTCTCCCTCCGAGGTTGCGATTCCACGATCTTTCTCGTCCGCAGCGTTGTCGCCATGTGCCTCGGCGAAGATAAGTGCCCTATCGCGCGTTTCTCCGGGACATGAATCTGCAGGCGAGATAATGGCACCTGGCGGTGTGATGGAACAGATATGGTTAACGCACTCGAAGAAAGGCGTTTTGCTGAATAGTTCGTGCGCACAGGCTTGGTAGTATTCCGCGGCTTCACCTTGAATCGTTCCACCGGGGAAAATTGTCGAGAGAACTGTCTTGCGTTTCTGGACTATTGTCGCTTCATCATTATCCAGAGAGCGCGACTGTTCGAGATTCTTGTTGCCTTCATCCCAGTTTATCACTGCTGTTTGCGGTGTATCTGGTGAGAAATGAGATGTCTCTTTCTCCTTCTCGTCCCACCATTCCCGGGTACTCTTCGTCGATGGGGAAATTAGTGCATCGCGGGGAAAACTAGGGCTGAGTGGTGACTTTTTGCTCAGGAGTGGGGAGAGGAGGTATGTCCACCAACCCTGGGATTCAGGACGACTGGCTTGGGTGTTGATGCTGAGGCGACTGGCGAGGGGTACTTGATTGTTGTCGTCGATAGAGATGTGTGACTGTCCTCGAGGCTGGGAGTGGGAGTCTTCGGGGCTGCTAATGTCTGCGTCTTCGAAGATTGTATCGGCGGACATTGAGCGGCGCTTTCTTGTCATCGCGTTGAAATGGGCACTGAGGAAGTCTGAGGCCAGACCTTTCTTGTGTGCCTCTGGGATAGCTGGGACTGGGGGTATATTGTGTTCATTGCCCACTACCCGGGAGATTGGTCGGGAGTAGATGCTGGATGCTGCGCGTGGACGGAGGGTTTCCGGACTGGGCGTTGACCATGGAGCATCTTCGCGGGCTGGTGTCACGATAATGGAGGGTGTGAGTGGTGTGTACTGGTCACCAGTACCATCGGTCTCCTTTGGTCGATGGGATGAATCGGCATATGGTACTGTCAAGCCTATCATCACATTGCGGTCGGAGGGAGAAAAACCATCACTGAATGGTTCTTGGGTATTGGGGTCGAGGAATGGATTGATATGTGTTTGCGGGGAGTCATTTGTGTTGGGTAATTGCTTCTGCTGTTGCTGGAGGGGCAGTGATCGAGGGACTTCTTTCAGAAATGGATTCGTCTGCTCCGTCCGCTCCTTTCCCCGAGCCATGGACAACTGCTTCAAATCATTTAAATCAACAAACGGAGCAGGAACATTCTCCTCCCTCCTTTCCTGCTCCCTATCATTCTGCTTCTGCTTCTTTGGCGGCGCCGAAAGTGTGAAATCTGTGACCAAATTCAACCCAACTGGTTTCGAGGCATTCTTCTTCTTCTTGGTGATTCCGCGAATACTGTGCCTGGATCCAGGACCAGGAGCCTCGCCATGCCGATCACGATCTCGATGGGATAAACCCAAGGACGATATTTGCCGAGCTAGAGCCTCCCGCTTCTCGGCCTTTTGTTTGGTCACTTTGGACAAGAAATCGAATGGTCGGGTGCGGTCTGGATCTCGATCCTCTGCAGACGAGCATGATGGACTCTCGATTTCTTCGCTGATCGGCGAGGAAAGAGGGAATGTTGGAGCAACGGGTACTTGGAGATCTGCTGGCTTTTGCTTTTGTCGATTGAAGACCATTCTGCGGTGATGATAGTGATGCTGGGATCTCAGGACTGAATGTGGATAGTCGGTGGTTAGTTTGTTTGTCAAAGCTGCAGGGCTGCAGTGCAGGGAAGTGTCGACTATCGCATACCATGAAGGGGGGCGCTGAAGAATCAATAGGAGGAAACAAAGAGATAGTCGATCTATTAATATGCGAATCGTAGAGAGTGGCGCCTGGAACAATGCACACAACAAAGAAAACGCCTGAGATGCATTCACTGGTCGTTGACCAGACAAGTAAACACGAAGAGAGAAGGTAGAAAAGAAAAGAAGGAGAGGAATGAAAAGTCAAGAACAAATGCAGAGAAGAACGGAAAATAAACAGATCAACGAAAGTGGCCATGGCCGGAAGAAAAGAGCTCTGCTCTGCTATGCGCTGCTTTGCACACTGCATAGCAGATGTCAAGTAAACGGGCCATCACCGACAGGTCGGGGGAGTGCTTTGGCCAATCAAGTTCCTTGAAAAGCCATGTTCTGCAGCGATCTCAAACAAAGGCAATGAAGATCGGCAGGGGTGGGAGTCAAGCAGAGGATTCCATTGGATGTTGAAGTGACAGTTTGGGGGGAAGTGGAAGGTTGAGGTTAACCGCTGTGGTGGGCGGGCGCTTAGAGGGAAACAGCTGACTGGTGCGGCCAAAATAGAATCGGGCCCTTTCAAGTTCTTTTCTTGTCTTTTCTTTTGCTATTATTATTTTATTTTTATTTAATTTTAGCTTGAAACGCGATGGCATTCTGCAGCTTTGACACTAGCTGGTTTTACCCTGGGTTTTACTTTGAGCTTGGGCGCTTGGTTTGATTCCCCGGAGATGAGTAGAGTAGAGCACAGCAATTGAATGTGGAAGTCCATCCATGAGTCTAGAACCGGCGATCAAGCTCGACCAATCCAATCCAATTCAATTCGACAATGCCGGTGGCAGAGCAACTTGGTATACAACGTAGAAAAGCAGAAACGTAGGGAAGCAGAATGATATCATCGCATGCCGCGCACGCCTTTTGGGATATTTGGTACACACTCCGAGCAATGAGGAGACGCTTGAAACAGAGTCCAAGGAGAGAGACAGAAAAGAAAAGCAAAATACACAAAACAAATGAACAAAGCAAAGAGACATTCCCATGATAAACCTGAACCGTTTCCCAATACCCCGTCATATCCAGAACATGCAGAAATGAAATGAGACGAATGCCATGAGGCGGAAAGGGGAGAAGAAGACATTTGACAGAAGAGAGGCAAAGAAAAGGCAAAAGAACGCAAGCGATGGCGCGGGTATGATGGATGACACAAGAAGATTGGAAGCTTGGAAGAAAAGATAGCCACGCCCTGACAAAATGATGACAAAATGAAAGCTTGAGAGCAGAAGGAAGGAAGATAGCCTACCAGCCCTGGTAAACTATGGCGACGGCTATGCAAAAGACCTGCAATGGCTCGAGGCAGGTCGCGCAAAAAACCCTGAGGGCCCATATCTAAAACAAGGGATATATAGGATGACAATATGAAAGAGGTCGTGGTCGGTGGAGGTGCGTGTGCGTGTTGTGTGCGTGGCGTGTTGCAACATGACTAGTTCATTTCTCATTCGTGAGCACGGTGATTTCCATCTCAACGTCACCGTCGCTCATCGGTATACTGGATTCCCTGCATCGGGGCAACGGAGCCATTCATCAGGGGAGGTAGTGTGCGCGGCTGGTGCTGTTGCTGCTGCTGCTGTTGCTGCTGCTGCTGCTCCATCTGGTGTACTCCGTTCCCGAATTGGGCAAAAGCTGAACCTGGCGGAGGCTGCCCATTCGTAGGTGTCGCTACCATTGGGTGCTCATAGATGGAAGCCGATCGCGAAGGCCCATTGCCTTGCTGTTGGTTCAATTGGGCGCGTAGCTCGTCCACCTCGTTGCGGAGGAGGGAGGTTTCACGACGCATCTGACCGACCGATTTCTCCAGCGAGCTGATATACTCGATCGCTCGAGTTAAGGTCTCCCATTTGCTCGACTTGTTGTTCTGGGCATGAGGAAGGCGGACGCGGAGGGCCTCGAAACAGTCTTTCATCTCACTCCGGCGCTTCCTCTCGGCGAGTTTATGTGTGACGCGTAATTCGGGAGTCCGACTGTAGGGTGTGTTTCCGGATGGATCCGCCTCGCCTATCAAATCGCGGACCTGCTTGTGCTGTAGAGAGTGGTGGTGTACATTTGGAGGCAGTTCTACACATCCAGGCAGTGAGTACAGGTCAACAACGAGAGAGAGAAAAAAAGAAAGGAAAAAAAACACATACCATGTTGTCCTCGCGGCATACGCGACTCTGAGTATAAGCTGCTGAGTGATTCTGCTGTGCTGCCCTTCCTGGAGAAAGGTGGATTGGACTTCTCATTGGAGGAAATGGAGCTTGATCGCGCGACGTCCGGGTCGGGGAAGGCATAGGCCATACCAGCCGTGGGCGCCTCGGCGTTATAAATCTCGGATCGAGGATTCGAGGAAATGGCCGGTGCCGTGCGACCGGCTGCGAAATTTCGAAGTTCACTGGGCCGAGGTCCTAAGGGCGACAAGGGCTGGCTCCCTCCCGAATATCGCGGTCCTCGATAGGAGTTTGCATCATTGGTGATCCCGCGCTCGCGCTGGAGACTCGAGACGATGGAGGATTGCGAAGCATTGGTGCTGTGATACGGGGAGGCCGGGTTGATAGCCAAGGAGCTGATGCCTTGATTCATGCGACTATCGACGCTGCTACGTCGCGACTCGGAGACATCGACCACACTCCCCCGCTGTGAGGAAGCGTCATAGTTCTGATTGATGGAAGGTAGGGCGGAATTGGGCTGCGACGAGTGGAAACCGGGCGAGGGGTGATTTGCGCCGGCGGAGGAGGGAGTGGTCGATTGGTCGTGAGCGTAGGGCGACCGGTCTGGCACGACGTGATTCCGGTTGGGAGAGGGCTGGGAGGTGGAGGTGAGGAAGTTCAACGAGGGATAGTTGTTGTTCTGATTATGGACTTGGTTATGATGATTGGCAGTGCCATTGGTCGCGGTTGAGTAGGTAGAAGATCCTGTTGAGACCATGTGGTCAGTATGCGACAATTCTGATACTCAGATACCTCGAGACGAGTCTTACTAGTGCTTTGTGGCATGGACCAATTCCCCGAATCCCGTTCGATAGTGTTGAGAGAAGAGTTCCCAGGAGATTTCTCTGTGGGGACAGGGCCAGGGCCCGATGCCCCATTCATGTTCGCGGTCAAGGTTGATATGGAAGGCAGAGTCTGAGAGGAACTGGGGGTTTGGGGGCCCGGAGGTTGAGGAGCTTGATGCTCCCATGGCCGATGAGTGAGGGAGTCCATGAGGGAGGGGGAGGGAGGAGAGAAGAGAGAGAAGAGAGAGAAGAGAAAGAGAAAAACAGTAGAGCTAGGACAAGTGTAGTATACTGGATAGACTGGAACCAGATATACGGGATAGTAGAAAGTCGAAAGAATGAGTGTGTAAATAACGAGGGAGTGATCAAGTCAAGGGAAGTCAAGCATGGCGGAGGGAAAGTGTGGAGAGAGAATCTTCAGTCGAATCAAATCGGGGAAAGCGAAAATCAGAGCCAAAAGTTAAGAGGGGCCGAATGGAACCCAACGAAGGCAGATGGAAGGGGGATCATGTCGAGTCGGATTTGGTGGCATTTCTTTTCTTTTCTTTTTTCCTTTTTACCTTTTTTCCTTTTCTTTTTCTTTTTTCTTTTTTAATCAATTCTGGGTTTGGACTCTGCTGGATTTCTGCTTCATTTTAGACTTTGACTTTGGGCTGTACTGATACATACAGAGTACTGATACTGGTATTGTGTATACCCTTATAGTATGGGTACCAGAAGTATTTCTGACTATTTACTCGACTAGTACAGTACTGCAGAGTGCCTGATGCTCACTATCACTCTATCTTGGTAGACCCAGTACTCTCCTGTAGTAAAAGTGGAATGTACTGGTGTGAATGTATACTGAATGGAATTTACTGTCCTGTACTAACTATACAGGTAACATATACCATACCATACGCCAAGCCGCTACTGCGCGCAACCTGTGCCACGAGGCAAGCAAGGTTGCAGAGGAGATCAGAGTATACTTAGAGAGAACCGAGTACCGAGTACACAATAGCAGTAGGAGTTCTACTACTAGGTATTATATTATACTACTAGTATAGTGTAATATACTTAGCATAAGCTATATATCATATATACTATACTATTTTATAGTATAGAGATACAATATACCAGTCTTCTACTGGTACTATACTATAAGTATCGTACCCCCTGCCGACGCAAGGAGTACACGTTTTGCCGTATTACATCATGACCAGAGTCTTCACGTCACGAACGTGGTTTGTATGATCCATTCCACTCAACCATATTCCCCATTAACTCACATCATCTTCCAATCCCATTTTTCATCCTCAGTGCGACCCTATTCTCTGCTCTTGGTACACCATCTGCTCCCGTACCTGTACCATTCCCATTGCCATGTACAGCTCTGCGCTCCGCTTGTGGCACTCACGTGGAGGCGGGGCCCTTGCGTGGCTGTATTTATGAATGTACTGTATTGTGCCGTATTGTCCTGTATCCCAGTACACCTCTATCCTCTATCTCAGTAGCCTCCTCTGGTACTCTGGAGTCTGTAAACTCCATCCATACTCATTCAATCAACACTGTACGGATACTCCGTACTCCACGGATAGACCTATAGACTGTCTGCCAATGGCATCGTACTCTCCCTGTACTCCGTACTATAAATACCGCCCACGACTAAATCGCCGCGCCAAGGTCACACAAACAGCCCGTGGATCGCCTGGAAGCTTGTCAACTCCCGCTCCTCCATACTCTCTTCATGGTCTCCTCCCTCATCTGCTCCTCGACTGGGCCGGACGCTGCACATACCCGTCCCGAATGTCACTCGAGGCCAAACCGGCCAGCTGCCGCCCTCAACAACTCAACACCGATGACCTTTTCCGGCTCCCTAGGTGTCAGTGCCCAACCCAACCTGCTAGCTTAGCCTCGGAGGCTGTGTGACCCTCACTGCTTGGCATTTGCTCGAGCTTATTTGGCATCTTCGATTCAGTACGGAGACCTAGCCCTCTCCTCTTCGTGTTTCGTACTCTCTAGGCAGCAAGATACTGCGCCACCGTGGCGCGTTTCAGCTTCCGCCCAGTGTGTACTCAGTACTCCGTACTCATGTCCATGTGCTGTATCGACTGCATACCCTCGTATGCACTAGTATCGTTCTTCGTACTCAGTCTGCGCCTATCATCCAGGGATGCCACATGGCTCCGTAGCCTTGCAGAATGTCTTTGGATTGATCGACACGCGTACATGCCAGACGCCTCTTGACACCGTAGCAGTCTTCCATTCCTCTACCTTAATGCTGTCTTCGATGCAGATATGCAGATTCCAGTGTGGTGGTACCCTAGTAGTATCGCCAGCATCTCTCGACGCCTCCCTTTTTATCCAGTTCCCCCGGAATATCTCTGTCCTTTTGAGAGACCAAGCCCAAACTGCCGACTCCAGTATTAACTTTCAAGGGATGGACCAATGTCACCACGATCTGATCTGATCTGATCTGTAATCGAGTTATGCAATAATTTCGTGTGCCCGGACCTCCCACGCCCATGCCATGCCCATCTGGCCATTCCAGATGGTCCATGGTCTCTGATCCATGGTCCACGCCAGCGGCGTGGTTCGTGGTTTCATGCTCGGTGGTTCGTGGTTCGTGGTTCATGGTTCATGCGTGGTTCACGCCTTTTGGGGGCGATTTTTTCATTTTCTATTTTCTATTTTCTTTTTGGGTTTTTTGGGGTTTCTTTTCTTTTTTGCCTTGCGGCGTCTCCAATAGTGCGGGTCTCCTCTACCTCCACCATCATCACAATCATTCATACGAACTACAAAGGACATACTCCATACACACTACGTACTAAGTTATTCCCTTTCTATCGCACTCCTCCGAAGGGGGGCTTCAAGGCTAGCGCCCCGTCGTCATCAATTAGCGCCACGGAGAAGATCTCCTGATCGTCAGCCGGGCCTCATCCCCGAAGCTGGGGAGGTCAAGCGGAGGAACTGGATTGGTAGATCAATTCCATGCTACCCGCCCTCCCTTTCTCCTCCCCTTGACTGCTCGGCTCTGCTCTTTTCGCGCGACCGCTACGCACTGATGTCGGATATCGCACCCTGCATCTCCATGCATCCAATCCATCCCAATGCCCTGGCATGGCACTGTTCCCGGCTCCACTTCCCTCCACTCTCCTACCTCCACCCTGCCACTCTACTCCACTCCTCCCCTCTCCACCCCCTGGCCTGCGCTCGCGTGGATCAGATCGTACTGTAATCATAATGATCCCTCCCTGCCCCACGCCCAGAGACATGTTTGGGATTGCCGGGGCCATGGAGAATCCTACCTCTTCCAGCTGACTCGTTTGGCTCCCATGTGTGAAGCCCTGCGCTGCACTGCGCTGCGATGCACTGGCTGCATTGCAGCGTGTTTGCCATGTACACCGAGGTACATAAGCACTAGGTCCTCGTACTGACCATGTCCGTAATCGGACCAGACTATCGGTACCGGAAGTAAACAAAAGCAGCGCTGAAGGGGCGGATGAAGGCAGGTCCGGGCAGGTGAGATCAGATCAGATCAGAGGAAAGCCACTGCTCGGAATCAATTATTGAGGTCTATTCTGCGTGAGACTCCATTGGTCGGAATACCAGCGACTCCATGCCGTAGACTGGGATACCTTTGGCAGCTATGACTGTTCTAGTTCAGCCACTCCCAAGGGTCGGACCATGTGTCAATCAGTGCTGTGTGCGAGTGCTTGTTTCACTTTGCTTCCCCGTTTGTGACGATGGTACTTTGTCTGTAGAGAGGCCTATGCTTTGTCCGGTCCATGCTAGTTGGTTTCAACTGCCGCCAGGTCCCAGTCATATTACCCGGAGAACTACATATCAAGTAGTACTAGTAGGTACTGACAGAGAGCCCTGTGTTGGTCAGCACGAGACCCCTGCAGACTCTTCGCAACCCGTGGACCTTAGAGCTTTGTCAAGTCTAGAACTTGAAATTGGTCATCATCATCTGCGTAATTCAACTTCAATAGATCACTCGCTGAGACTAAACCCCTGTTTTACCTCGATTTTATGTAGGGGTCGTGCCATTGTTCAATAATTTAGGGTTGATCCATAGCGCAAATGGATATATTTCTGAACTCAGTTTCAACTTGAAGTCCGTGCCTACAACTAAAACCCTAAATTCATGCCCGAAAAACAGGAGAACCTTGGGATTGACAGCAGTTGTTCATTCAGTTTTCAATATGGCGCTAGAGTATTACTTGCAATACTAATAATTAACTATTCAAGGAGATTCATTGTGACCCCGAGAATGACTCGATACCGGAGAAGTAGGAATTGGTGCCTGAGGCTGAATTCGGACTCGGAGGTTCCAGTCCAGCCCAGTCGGGCAGCCGGGGGTATCCTAGTAGCTGCTAGTAGCAAACACATAGGTGTTCTTTATGTTTAGGACTAAAATGAACGAGAGAAGAAAAAAATCATCATCGACTCCCGATCTCTAAATTTTTTTTTTTCGACCCATGTTGCCTTTCCGAAACCTCAAGGACGGCAGTCTGATTAGGTATACCCCGAAGTCGGTGGTAGATGGCTCTATATGCTGTGCTAGTAGCTCATAGCATAAACTTCATTAAACACGCATAGACAAGAATAATAAAAACATAACAACGACTTCCTTGCATTCTCCTTTCAATTCCAGCCATCATGAGTTCTATGCCTCAGCCATAGACGTAGACGTAGACGAATCATTCCTGAGCGTCTCCATTTCGAAATTCTCCTCCAGAAGAGTCGCCATCTTGCCTCCGCCTATATACGGTTTGAGACCGTGGTCGAAGTTTCGGTAGCACATAGCGGCTGTACACAGAGTGCAGAAGATTAAACTCGCAGAGGAAATCCCATAAAAGGATAACTTCAGGGAGACGCTCAGATTGCCCCCGCTTGCTTTTTTCAGATAGAATATGAACCAGCCGATCACGAGAAATATACAGAGATAGAAGGCCTGATACATAGGCTCTTAGCCATTTATTCTGCGGATATAGTAATAGTAAATGGCTCGGAAGATAGAACTTACCATCAGAATGAATGTTCTCAACGTGTGCTCGTGTCGAACGCAACATGCCGTAGCGAGGAAGAGAAGGAAAGACATCGGTAATATAGTCCAGAGCATTGGAAAGACCCAGCGAGAGATATCTCCAAGTGGATGTACTTCAGTGCTGGAAATTGCCGTGATGATCCGTACGAAATACTCAAGGATATAGATGGCGTCGAACTTGAGGAAAGCCACCAGCACCTAGTCATATTAACTAAAAGACCGTTGATGGGCGCAGTAGATCAATCATGACTGGGCCATCGCATAAAGCTTACCTGGAAAGTGCGATACTTATGCTGCATGACCAGATCGGCATCCATCTTGCGGAATGTCTTCCAGGCCATCTCACGTTGCAACCTCCAAACCAGAAACACAGAGAATGCTGTCCAGATTGGCATAATAATGACCAAGGATAGGCATAACTTTCTGGCTAGTGTAGTTTGAGACTCGATTAGCGAGTTATGGCCAGGGTTCGGGTCAGCTTGGGTGAAATCGGTGGCGGAATATTCCATGCCGTTCAATATACAGTCCATCCCATAGAGTACACTTAGCCCGCCAGCCTGGATGATATTCTGCTGGGCTAAGGTGTCATATACTAGAACCTGTCGATAGAGGGATGATATGACCACCAACGCAATACTTGCACGGACTGTAGGCGAAAGCGACGAGGACCATGATAGAACACCGATAATGCCCCTGGCGAATATGTTAATTGGTGAGTCTCATTACACTCCTGTTGCTCAATTCCAGTTCCCGGTAATTCTTTAATTTTCTTCTTCGGCTGGTCTGTCTTTTTCAAGTTTCTTTTTGTTCTTCTTGTTCTTGTAGAGGAAATGCATACCCTTGCATACTAATTGAAAAAACCGTCATCGCCAAATTCGAAAAGAAGTATATCCATGTCCATCGGGAGTCTGGTCGATACAACATTTGTGATGTCCATATCCAGCAAACAATGAAGTGTTTGGATCCAAGAAAGAACGCCGTCAATAGAGCGTGAAGCGGAGAAGATTTTGAGCGATGCGGAGGGGGAAGAGGCTTCGTAAACAAGGCGTCCCACTCAGATTTTTATCAGGTGTGACAATAGCCCTGCGAGAGCGAACTCATTGATATCCGAGCTAGCCACTAAGTGTCACCGATGCTGAACCACTCACTGCTCCGTGCAACTGGGCTACTCCCTGCGGCTCGCGTAAGGAAAATGATTTATAAAACTATACCTCTCGTCCATTCTTCTGGTTTCCACGCACTGGTCCATTGGGAAGAACTTGAAGCTACCGGCTTAAACAACATGCATGAAGTTCAGAAGTGGACTTCTAGTCCGCCTGTAAGAGGCTCAACTGATATTCTCTGGTCTTGTTTGTCGACGCTGGGCTTATGTGTTTGGACGGCTGTTCATCCGAATGTCCCTCTTGTGTACCGATTACGACGCGCCGTCTGTCATCGCCTCGGACTGATGGCCCTTGCCATTATTTTCCCTGAGATTATCATTTCTGAAGCTTTGAATCAACGTCTACTCGCGCGTCGATTAATGCTGGATGTGAATCAAGCTAACCACTATGCCGTAAGCCAGCCTTTTCCACTTTTCAGCAGACCTGGAGACTCGAGAAACATTTTGATCACAACTGATTCAACCACAGGCAATCCTTTCACCAATGACGCCCGAGTCAGATCGATGGAGCCATTACTCAAGTGGATACTCGAGTAGCATCCACCCTCTACTGAGCGGAACCAGCAGCTCGGCCAAAGGCTCATGGGTCATAGAACAGGCCATGTTCGCAGTAATGGGCGGATTCGCCATAACAACGACATACACAGATCGCCATGGACACGAAAAATCAATCCGCCGTCTCATCGCCTCTGAGGGAATCACGATACTTGCCAAGACCGGCTATCTCCCGACGATTCAAGCGACGGATGTTCAAGAGCGCAGCAAAGCAGATCTTTTTGCCAAGATACTGGTTCTACTTCAAATCCTGTGGTTCGCGCTACAGGTCATGGCGCGCCTTATTCAGGGAATTACCGTCACGCCTCTGGAAACACACACCGCTATCCACGTCGGTTGTACGATCTTGCTGTATGCGATTTGGTTCAACAAGCCGTACAACTTGACCCAGTCGATTGAATTGATGGGAATGGATACGGAGTACATTGGTGCTCTATTCAACTTTTACTCTATCAGTCACGCTCTTCACCTCAAGCATTGCGAGCACTATCGCATTCGAAGAATGGAGTACTGGAAAGAGCGCGTTATTCTCGCGTCTAGGGGCGAGAATGGATATGCGCCGCCGCCTTGTATTCCGGAATTAAAGTCTCTACCCGTCTTACTGGAAGAATACAATGCTGACGATATCGAACATCTTAAATTCGACGAGTCTTCCGACGAAGATGTCTATATCTTGCACGGTATTGCCCCGAATGCTCGCCACGGCCTGCGAATCCTAGAAAGCAGAGGATGTGACGTTTTCCGATCCGTTCATGAGAAATGCCAGCCCCTCGACGTGCTCCGTGAAAGCGCGGGCAATTTCAATTTCCGCAGCATTTGGGGCAGCTGGAGTACGGATGTTGGTCATGAATTATCGCTCGACAAGGGTTTGCATGTTCTGTTCAACGTCATGTACGGGGGTCTTCATCTAGCGGCCTGGAACTACGAGTTCCCAACGCCGATTGAGCGCTGGTTGTGGCGGACTTCTGCGCTCTGCCTGGTCACTTCTCCGATCTGGGGCACTCTCTGGGTGCTATGGTGGATGGGGGTTCGATCAAACCGAAAGATATTTTTTCTTATTCGAGATGGGGATTTTGATATTTTCGCTGCACCTTTGTTCTTCACTGTTATCATTGTGTACACGGTGGCACGGGCTTATTTCTTGGTGATTTCGTTGGCTGGTTTGCGACTTCTGCCCAAGGACGCGTATGATACTATTAGCTGGACGTCTGTGTTCCCTCATTTCTCGTAGGCGGTCGGGTAAGGAAGGTTGCGACTAATGTCGGGCGTTGCTGTGTATCATTGAGGCTCGTCAAATTAGAATGACTCTCTCGTATCTGTGGGTTATCCCGCCGGGCTTTGGCTCGTAAATTCCATGCTAAACTCCGTTCTAGAACGCGGGCGATCATCTGGCAATTACATTAGACCCTTTGTCATGAGACGTGGATGGGGCTGAAATTTGCCATGCTCGCAGGCTATTTCCTATTCGGTCGCGTAATGTGACACATGCCAGAACATCCAGGGCTGAGGCCAAAAAGCCTGACTGAGGTGTATAAAAATACCGCAAGTACTAGAAAGCCGTAGTGAAGACAGTCTTTCATCTGAAAAAGGACTACAACCATCTGACAATTGAAGTTGATTTGCCACGAATATCTCCCGTTATCTATCTCGACTTCTTCAAAATGCCATCACAGACCTGGCTCGTCACTGGTGCCTCCTCCGGACTAGGGACAGCCATCGCCGAGTCAGCCCTACGCGCGGGAAACAAGGTTCTCGCAACAGCCCGGAACCCAGAGAAAGCCGCATCGGAGAATCCGCAAATCGCAGAACTAGGAGGTGTCTGGGTAAGACTAGATGTGACACAAACCGACACAGCCCGCCACGTGGAAGAGATTATCCGTGTGGATGGTGGCTCATCGATTGATGTGGTGGTCAATAATGCGGGTTACTCTCTTCTAGGCAGCATTGAAGACATGAGCGAGGCGGAAATTGAGGCACAGTTCAGCACGAACTTGTACGGGCCAATCCGCGTCTTGAAAGGTGTTTTGCCATTTATGCGGGCTCAGAGATCTGGCATCGTTGTCAATGTTAGCAGTAGTGCTGCATTCGAGGCATTTCCGGGATGCGCTATGTATGCTGGGTCAAAGTTTGCACTTGAAGGTGAGTTTGAGCGAGACGAGTTAGAGATCTGACTTTTCTTGTCTGACATGTCTCGAATTGTTTCAGGCGTGTCAGAGAGTCTGGCAGCAGAGCTGCGGCCCTTTGGAATCCGCGTCTTGATTGTAGAGCCTGGCATTTTCCGAACAAAGCTCTTGGCGGCGTTCGTCACACCTGAGGCTGGGATGACGGCGGACTATGTGGGAACACCGGTGGATGATATGGTTCACGCATTCAGGTCGAGTAATGGAAGACAGCAAGGCGATCCTGTCAAGGCTGCAGCGAGAATCCTGGAGGTGGTTAGTGGAAAGGGCATGGGGGTCGGGAAAGAAAATCTCCTTCGATTGCCGCTTGGGCCAGATTGTTATAGTTGCCTCCAGGCGAAGTGTGAGGCTCTGCAGGAGAACTTGGAGCAGATGAAGGAGATTGCGTGCTCGACCAATTATTGATAAGCGTGGACGTGGTCAGGTGTTTGGGTGCATGCGCGGGTGAGAGGTATCATAAATCGGGGGTTGATGAAAATCTACAAACTTTTGGCTAGTAATAGGCTAAATAACGATCTTGCCGATGTCAAATCTATTCCTCCTCTTCGTCGTCACCTTCATCCTCATCTTCATCCTCTTCTCCTTCCTCTTCGCCTTGGTCTTCCATATCTTCGTCGTCGTCGTCGTCATCGTCGTCACCCTCCTCGAAATGAACTCCAATATCACCAGTGATATCCCATCGGTCACCCTTAGCCGCTGCACTGACGTACTTGACAAACTTCAGAGTGGCATTGTCACGGAGCACAATGCTGAGACGATTCCAGCCAGCTTGAGTGCTGAACAAAATGCCATCGTCCTCGTCCGCACCGGCCGAGCGGTAGATCGCAGGGTCGGCCTTCTTCTTCTCCTTAGGCCGGAGTACCTGATCAGCATTCTCCTCATCCTCCTCGTCATCTTCCTCGTCGTCACCAGCCATGTAAATCTCATAGCCGCCAACTGAGGGGTGCTCAGCAGCATCGCCATTGGCCTGCTCCTTGGGCTTGGACTGAGCATCGCCGTTCTCTCCGTCTTCTTCATCTTCCTCCACATCTTTCTCCCATCCCGATGATGGTGTGAGGCCCAGGGTGAACTCTAGGCGAGGCTGCTCAGAATCATATCCACTGGCCAGTGTGTAGTCTGCACCGCGACGGAAACGACGGGCAAGGAGGTTGTGGCTTGTAAGATGATCGACGCCAGTGATAAGAGACAGCCACTTCCGGAAAGGCTGCGAGGGAAAGAGGACATTCAAAATCTCCTTGATGGGATTCTCAGTCTCACCAGACGCAGGTTGTTGATACAAGTATCGGTGCTTGTGCGGGGGACGAGCAACGGTCCATCCAGTTTGAGACTTGATCTCCTCTGACGAGGAGGGAAGGGATTGCCTCTCCTGCTCCTCAATATATGCGCTGACTCTGGAAGCGAACTTCTCATGGAGGAACCGCTCCAGACTGAGAGAGGACTCGCTCGCGAACGCATCTGACATTTCCTCGGCAATATCGGGGGTCAGATATGAGGGTGCAATGTACTTCACTAAGAATTCCAAATCGGACTCGGTGAATTCGTTGCCCTCGGCTTGCTCCTCCACTTTACCTTTGCCCTTGCCCTCCACCTCGGGCTCCTCCCAAGAGATTGGGTTCGGCTGCGGCAAATCGTAGATGTCGCCGCGGCCCTGTAGCTGGGCCAAACTGCTGCGCTCCGCTAACTTCTCTTCCAAACCCTCCTCGTAGCCATCCTCACCCTCTTGGGGAATGTGGAACCAGCCGCTGATGGCCATGCGCACGCGCTTCTTGGACTTGTCCTCGTCGTCACGGGGGTGGTATACTTCCTCGACATCGTGAAAGCTCTCACCTGGCTGAACGGTGAAGAAGCTGAGCTGGTTGAAGGCAGGTGGAATAGAGAGGCTGAAGTCTGGACTGGGGATCTTGACGTCTTCGCCCTGGGCGTCTTTCTCGGTGGTGGTTGGGTACAGGCGCAGTGCACCGCCCCATTGTTCTTGCCATGGAGTGTCGGGGTCGGTCAGGTAGAGAATATAGCTCACGCGCCGGCTACCAATAACGTCATCGTGACAAAGAAGATGGCATCCCTCGTTATATACATTGATTGCCATGTCAGTCTTCTGTCCGCTCAGCTTTCCAGAGCCAGTCACGGAGGACAAGTATTCACGGAAGCGTGCTGAGTACATGGCGTCGCGGAGCTTCAAGATAGACGGCAGCTTGGAGAGAGATGAATCATCGAGACCATCGAGATTGGCCAGGTCTCCCGATTGGAAGATCTTGTAGATATCGGTCTCCTTCTCGGTGAAGGAAAGGTGTTCTTGAATTTCATCACGGACGGAACGGAGCAGAGATGGTTCAATGAGAGGATGGATGACGCCATGGTAATAACTAAAAGCATGAAAATTGTGTCAATTCGGATCAAAACTTCCAATTGACAATGCTCGTAGGAATGACTGTCAACTTACGGACTCGACTTGGCGTAGGAATCGGTGTAGTTCTTCTGCTTCGCGGGGTCGAACAATCCATCGCTGAAGCGGCTCACGGCCTCCTCGGTGGAGAGTGCACGCTTTTTGGAATTAGGCAAGCCATTGCCATCGAGCGAAGGTCGTTCGTCAGTCTTGCGCTTCATTTTGGGTGTTCTGTAAGTTAAATAATGCAAATGGAAACGGAGGTGTTGCGGTGGGCTGATCAAAAATTGAAAGCGGAGGCGGTGAGGCCGGAAACTAGACAAATCCAAAGGCGGTCAATCACTTGTGGATTGTTCCTCTTCGACCTCGTCCTTCCTCGACATACTGCAACTTACATGTCTACTCATACTTCCCCTTCCATACCTGCTTGATATGCGACCTTTTTGATACTGTACAGATCTGTACACTGATAATCATCTCTCATCAGATCACGCATATCTTATGTCTTGTACGGAGCACACGAATCACATCAAACATTGGGCTGGGGTCCTGGTATACCCCGGACTTGACAGGCTTGCAAGCACTACGCCCTCTAATCACGACTTCAAGCATTATATCATACTTTGTCCGACTTGAAAATTGACACTCAAGTGCGTTTGGGCAACTGTGGCTGTGTGGCTGCTGAGCTGTACTGTATCTACTGTTCGCGCCTCGGAAGAGCCTCACGCCGGTGACGCCAGTGCGGGCCCCGAGCGACAACCGCCGGTCTTCGACGACTTTCGACATCCCCGCTTTCTCCGACTTTTTCTTCTTTTTTTGTTCCTGCGACCCAAGGGTACTTCTGTCAATTGCAGAAGCCCACCCTCCCTATTTCACCATCCTGGCTCAACAACACCGCAGTTTTCTTCCCCTGGCTATGCAGCCTCCCGACGATGCGACCATCACGGATGATCGGCCAGGCACCCCACCCCGCCCGCCATATTCTCCAGTGACGCCGGTATTCGCCCATCTCGATCCAGTCGCAACTAGCAATGCGACCATAGTACCACCCCCTTTGTCGCCGTCGCCGACAAGTCAAGTACCACCAAAGACACCAGCCTATCAAGCCCCGCGGCCACCTGCAGCACCGGCTGTCTTTAAACCAGAACCGCCTCCCGTGCCTATCTCCGAAAGCGAGAACCCCGATGCGATCGCCCTGCGGTCGGCGATATCAATATTGCAACTCCAGAAACAACAAAGTCTGCGCGACATCCAAAGCCTTGAGCGCATGAAAGATGCGGCTGGCTCCGATCCAGAAGGCTTTGCCCGTGACCTAGCCTCGGGGAGATTACGCACGGAAGAAAGGGGTGCTGTAATTCAATTCACCGAAGACGACAATATGGACACGGACGAGGACGATGAAAATGAAAATGAAACTGGCCCAGGGAAATCAGCAGGCAAAGATCCGAAGCTGTCTCCCTTCGGCCGTATACCGGCCGCCCAGAACGTGGTACGCATGCCTCCAATCAACTGGTCCAAGTACCATGTGGTTGGCGACTCGCTGGACCGCATGCATGAAGAACAGCTTCGCAGACCAAGTCCTGGAGACCTCAAACGAGGAGAACCTGCGCCAGAACATGTTTTGGCCTCCCCTTATCGCCCACTTGTTGACCGGCTCGACAAGACGAAGAAGTGAGCCCTGGATGGGCTCTTGATGATCACGGTATACCTTACGATGCTATGTATTTTATTACGACGGGAGCAAATATGCTATAGATGTCCGAAAAGACCATTATTACTACCAATTTATCACGATTCCCACCAAATTTTCATGCTGTTTCAACTTGTCCCATCCCAATCCACATTACTTGATGCTCATCACAGGTCTACCCTTTGCTTTGCATAAGGCAGCTTATCTTTGATGCTCCCAACTGACGCCGCCTCCTGCACCAAATCCAAACCCGATGCCACCGGAGTGACCATCGTTTCCATCACCATGCCCTTTTCCATCACCATGCCCTTTTCCATCACCATGCCCTTTTTCATCATCATGCCCTTTTCCATCACCATGCCCTTTTCCATCGCCTCCTCCACCACCACCGCCGCCGCCGCTAACTCCTCCATGACCTCCTCCATGGCCTCCTCCTTCACCATCTCCTTTTCCATCGCCTCCTCCTCCACCACCACCACCACCGCCGCCGCCGCCGCCGCTGCCTCCTCCATGGCCTCCTCCATGGCCTCCTCCTTCACCTTCTCCTTTTCCATCGCCTCCTCCATGGCCTCCTCCATCTCCCTTTTCTCCACCGCCACCCCCGCCGCCTGAACCTCCACCTTCAGCACCACCTCCAAAGCCACCTTGTTGTCCTCCTTGTCCTCCAGCTCCGCCGCCTCCAAGGGCACCTCCTCCAAGGCCTCCTCCTTGTTGTCCTCCAGCTCCGCCGCCTCCAAGGGCACCTCCTCCAAGGCCTCCTCCTTGTTGTCCTCCAGCTCCGCCGCCTCCAAGGGCACCTCCTCCAAGGCCTCCTCCTTGTTGTCCTCCAGCTCCGCCGCCTCCAAGGGCACCTCCTCCAAGGCCTCCTCCTTGTTGTCCGCCAGCTCCGCCGCCTCCAAGGGCACCTCCTCCAAGGCCTCCTCCTTGTTGTCCGCCAGCTCCGCCGCCTCCAAGGGCACCTCCTCCAAGGCCTCCTCCTTGTTGTCCGCCAGCTCCGCCGCCTCCAAGGGCACCTCCTCCAAGGCCTCCTCCTTGTTGTCCTCCAGCCCCGCCGCCTCCAAGGGCACCTCCTCCAAGGCCTCCTTGGTTCTGGCCACCGGCACCACCACCTCCAAGAGCGCCCCCCGAGGAGACCACCTTGCTCTTGGCCACCAGCACCACCTCCTTGGTTTTGGCCTCCACCTCCAGCACCATTTTGATGACCATTTTCTTGGCCATGTTCACCTCCTGCACCGCCACCTCCAGAGCCTGCTCCGCCAGCGCCAGCTCCACCGGCGCCAGCTCCTCCTGTACCGGCACCACCTGCACCGGCACCTCCACCGCCAGAACCACCAATGCCAGCCCCACCGGCACCCCCTAGGCCAGCACCGCCGCCGGCTCCTGCTCCACCGGAACCGGCACCCCCAGAGCCGGCGCCTCCTAAGCCTGCACCTCCCACGCCAGCCCCTCCACCGCCATGACCACCGCCGGAGCCGCCTCCACCGTCTTTGCCTTCTTCACCTTCTCGACCTTTCTCTTTCTCTCCCCCTTCTCCCCTATCACCACCCTCTTCCCCCGAAGAGCCTCCTCCACCGGAGCCTTTACCGGAGCCACTTCCAAAACCTATCCCAAAACCTCCCCCAAAACCTCCACTAAAACCGCCCCCACCGTCACCTCTGAGACAAAGGTTTCCATCGGTGTCTATAGTAGAAATACTTCAGCGAGTATACCAAATCTCACCTAGGATACTACTCACGTGCTTCGGTGGGTACAGGAGCAGCGACGGTACCAACTCCCAGACCCAAACATACCAAAAGGTATTCTGGCCTCATGGTTTAGAGAGAAATCACTAATTGCAAACTCAGCTGATGCAAATGTCTAAGAAACGAATGACCAAAACACCGTACCGATTCTTCTTGAGACAAATCGGATGAGCCAGGTAGGAGTTGGAATCTGTAGGTCTGAACCAAGAAACATCAACGACCCATTCCCTTTATACCTTTCTCATTTCTGATTAAAACGCCGTCATCAATCCACATGTTTTCAGCTGATAGTCTCGGCGAAGATCATTCTCGTGTCTGTTCGGAGCTGTGTGTCTTCGAGACCAGTCAAGTCACGTCCTCGAGCGTCTGGTTTGTAATTCTACGGCCTGCTCCTTGCTTAATACCAAATTGCTTATTGCAGTCTCGAAATTTGCTCAGTGCAATTGGTTTGGTTTAGTATGCGTCGTGATCAGCTTTCAACGATGCAGGTATCCTCTACATGCTGTGCATCGCATGTTGCGTGTTCAAGAACGTGTAGCGATGCAACATGTAGATCTCACTGTGATCAGATTTTGCGATTCTATTAGGAATGTCTTCGGTCTATTTTTGAATCTCAGCAAAATTCCTTGTATCATTTCCATATGTTCGATCTTTGACCTTGCTATCAGGACAAGCTAGGATAATTCATTATCAATCCGGTCAAGCAATGTGAGCGCCACCTTTCAATCAGGTCGCTGATGTTTTAGATTTCCCAATTCTGATGCCAATCATCTTGTAGTGCTAGAATCGCCTCGTTAGAGCACGTCATGTATTCAAACTCTGGTGGAATTATTCTTACATCAAACCTGGCCTCCAGCGCAATTATATCAGACATCGGAATTGAATGAAGCTTATCTCCGAATTTATCAGAGCTAGCTGACCCAATCCATCCTGGCGTGATCTCTCGCCAGAGCTCAGTATCAGTAGTAGCTTGTGCCCCCAAGAAACGAAGAGCTTGGATCCCCTCGTTTGATGAGTGGATGTCGAGTCTCCTGATATCTTTTGGACTATCGATGTTCACCACTATTTCCTGTGTCGGAATGTGGTATCCGAGACGCCGATTGGGTCGATCTTCATCTCTGAAGGCGAACTCCATCCCTATGATATGAGTGCTTTTTCCGTCCGCTAAAACCCACACCTTTATTTGAAAGAGCGAGGGATGCAGGATAACCATCCATGTAGATTTCCGAGCTCTTTGATGCCCCTTGCTGAGCCATCCCGAGTGGTCTCGATATCTGTACCAGCGAGTATTCAACCCAGCCTTTTCCCACTCCAGATTTTTGGACAGTGAACTTTCTAGAGCGTTGTGTTTATATGCCGGAAATCGAATCATCATGCACCTGTTTTTAAGCCACCAGAGCCTCTCCCACAATTTCTTTTCCTTCCGAACGATGCCCTGGAATAGGAAGAAATGGTGAATGTCACGAGTTCGTTGATATTGCACTGCACCTGGTAGCGCTGATTTCGCTCGATAGTAGACTTTCTGCCAATTGATTTCAAGTTTTTCACTGGAAAGGAGCTTTGTCTCATCTTGAAGTAGGAAGTTTAAGTATCCAACCTCTCCATCCAGCCAAAATCTGCTTTTCCAAAACGACTGTGACTTCAATATATCTCTTGCTGAATAGGTTGCGGGTGAAACTGAGCACAAGCTCAAGGCATCTCGGACAGAAAGAAACTTTACAATGACAAATAAAATGTCGAAGTTAAAACGGGAGAAGATATCTCTCGGACTCCGAGACGATACCAACCCGAAAGTGAGACATTCGAGGATATTTCTCTCGACATTTCTCAGAGGCGAGGGCAACTTTGCAAAAGCTCGGTTGAAATTTGCCATTCCATATCTTTGAATATGGTTATTGAGGTTTCCTGTCAGATGGAAAACCAACAGGTCTTTCTTGCGCCCGAAACCTTTCCTATCCCATATTTGCATTCCAGGGACACTTTCCAAGGCCCATCCTAGAGTAGTACCTAGGTCTGCAGGTGTACGGTCTTCTTTAGATGCTATAGATATGCAGACCTCGAAGACTCAAATTAGACTTATTTTCCCTGGTTCAAAGTAGTTCATAAAATCATGCCAGCAGTTATAGTGGAATATGAACGCCAGCTGAGGCCCGCGGGCCGCTCCGAGAACCATGTCAGGCCAGTTTTTCTGAAGCTCTTGGTCATATTTTCGCTCCTCCCATGTCGATAGAAAGACTGTACCGTGCCTCTGATATACTATAAAGATGAACTTTCAATTAATCCATGGCTATTCATGGTGATCACCGGCAACCTTGGAAGATACTCACAACCCGGCCAAGTGGTCCAATGATCTGAAACTTCAGATCCAACCCCTTCATCCTTATCCCACGCCCATATATTGGAACTACCGCAGAAATGGCAACGATTGCAGGACATGATGCGATTCGTCAGAACGATCTGCAATATGGAGTTGGGAAAACTGTTTGAGTAGTAGCATGGATGGTATGCGAAAACAACATTGGATCGAGTATAAGGGTCATCATTGCATACTTCGCAATCAAATAATTTGATCTTATTGTAAGACCGCTACCTAGGTACACTTCACAAATCTAGCGTCCACATGAGATAATTAACCTTGGAATTCCCTTCAATTTCCGTCTAATTGTGGGGCTATCTAGTACTATGGAACCGTGAATAGAGGTGTCACCGCATTGTGAACCTTGGAAATTCCAACCTTAGAATAAAGAGTATTTACTAATTAGTATGATAGCAACTAGTAGCATATTAGCCTTACGAGGTACTTTTTCTAGCATATACCTACCTACTAGGTATCCGCTATTTCAAACCATCCGATGAGTCACTATTGAACCTTTGAAGAAGCCGTATCCATCAGGCCCTTCAATTTTAGGTTTCTAGGACCAACTTATCAATACTAGTATTGCATGTTATATTTACACATTCTATTTCAAAATTTACAGCTCGGGCTCGTAGAGCACCTTCAAGTTCCAAGTAACTTCCCTTAAAGCTTAGCCTTGCTGTTCTTCTCCCACGCCTCGACAGCCCGCGAACTCTTTTCCAGCAGGTCTCCCTTCTTCTCCTCCACTCGATCGCGCCAGGCCAAGTTGCCAATATGATCATCGATACCATTCAACACACGCGAGTACATCTCCTCCTTCATGACACCATAGATACCTGTATCAGCTTTGTTCAGGATTTTCCGATCGCGAATCAAAGCAAGAGTCTCATCAAGTCCACCCAGCGCATCGACAATCCCCGCTTGCAAGGAATCTCTGCCGCCAAAGCGACGCGCCTCGAGAACCACATTCCGGAACGTGGTGGGAACCAGCTTCTCGCGGAAAATGCTCATCATGGGCGTTTGGAGCGGGACTCCGAACTCAAGCTCATTTACGCAGAGGAATCCCTTGTCGGGATTTTGTACGCGATAATCATGGTACATGGCAAACATGAAGCCGCCTGCAAATGCATGCCCATTGAGCAGGCAGACAGTGGGCATGGGGAAGCTAACGAGCTTGGTTAGATCACGGCTCTCTGTCCGGAGGCGGGGGAAGGAGGGACAAGGAACAAGGAACAAGGAGCAAGGAACATACGTCAAAAATCGTCGGAACAACTGCCATAGCCACTTATCCAGGAACCCCTCGGTGCTCGCCACAACATCCAGGTCCAACCCATTGCTGTAGAACTTGGTAATACCACTGGTCGTGATTACAACACCCTTCGGGTAGCGGTGCTCAATAATGTCAAGAGCGAGAATCATCGCATCAATGAATGAGGGCGTCAGCCGATTATCCTTTGGCGAAGTGAATGTGAGAAGATAGACATTCTGCTTGTCTTGGCCCTGTCCAACTGTGGGGTTGGTGCAGACGATGGAGCCGCCGGTTGAGGCGATCGGGACGGTGAACAGGTTGGCCATGACGAGGACTATGTTGGTGGGTGCAAGGATGAAGCTGGAATTTCTCGGAGAAAGCTACTTTAAGAGCTCGTGATCTAGCTCAGCACTTCACGGTGATTCGGGGCTCTCGGAAGATCGAATTATAATCAAAGCTCCGCGGCATCACATGCTAGTGCTGACATAATGTAATGTGAACATGAGCCTGACCACGATCACATTCGAGATAATGCTTTGTATTGGAAAAAATAAGTCAGGAAGTTATAGAAAATAAGCCTAAATGAGGGCATTTAATTTCTATGAAGGGGGCAGCTGGGCTCATTGTTCAAGTTTCGGGTCTACTATCCAGGATCAGCATCATGATGCCCGCGTCGGATCCAGGGATGTACTAGTATGCAGTAGATGGAGTTTCGGAGGATATACAACTCTAAGGTCATTGTGGTTGCCAATGTGTACTAAAATGTGTGTGTTTCTCGCCGGCAATTTCAATTTGGAGCTCACCAGAAATAAAGTTACTTGGGTAGCTACTGACTAGTATCCATGAGAAGCGGCCGAGGGTTTGTAAAAGGGCTTTCACGACCCTGCTCATCTCTTACGTCTTCCCTACATTTAATATGACAGATCCTTTCTAGGCAACCTTTACTCGCAGTCTTTTCGATCAAGTGTAGCTGACGCTTTACCTGTTGCGGTCTAAAGAGACAGGCTTTTCCAGTGAACGCAGGAATGAATCGTTTACCATGTCTAATACGTTTGTTCAAGGTGCTATTTCCACGATGTATGTGAAGAAAACACAGTCCTAGTGTCATCAATTCTAGACCCTGACCAGATGTGAAAGTCTATATGTAGTAAGCATACAAACTCTCTTGTAAATTATAATGATCGACTCTACACGGTTGGGCAACTTGGACTCGTAATATAACTAAATGGCTTTAAATTGGCTATATGATATCATACATTCGCCTTGAAATACCCACTTCATCGCCTCTGCATTCGCATTACGGTATGGGGAAAAACTTCACCGAAGGCAAAAAACCCGTACCGAGGCCAATATCCCATGAACGATGATATATCTCCCTTCTGACCTAGACCCTTATGCAGGCGATTTCAAGGCTCGCCGTCGCATAATTGGCTTGGGAAGGTGACAACGATTGGTCCTCCATACCGTCTTGCACAACGGCAAGCACTTCGCCAGCCGGGCCGTAGATTGTGCACGACATTCCAGAGGCTCCATTCCGGAGAACTCTGTTGGATTGACGGTTTGGTGCAACCGACGTGAGATCTCCGATGGATCGTTCTTTATTATCGAGGGGAGATCTGGCAGGCACAGGGTTGCTGGCGGATCCGATTGTAGTGTAAAATGTGACCTTTGCACTGTTCGAATCGTCCAAGGCGGAGGTTTGGGTTGTTTGACGGGTGTCGATTGAACGGGCAAAGGTAGCTGCCACGAGATAGATGAGCGCAATGAGGGCCTTCATGATAGATACCAGTATACGATATTTTTCAGAATCTCAAAGGGATTTGGCTCAAGTCCGACTTCAACCTTCCAAGGAAGTTGCTTTCAAGTTATGAGAAGCTTGGAACGAACACTGCTAGTAGTGAAAAAGTAGTAGCTTCCGAAGAGCGTTATTCTTCTGCTATATATACTCCTCCTTCTTGAACCGCCTTGTACTCCAGTGGCTTCTAGTATTCACCTGGCACAACTGGGCGCCCACTGTGAATCTAAATTTGTGAGTTGAGGGCAAATTGTCAGTTTGACCCTGTACCATGGCCAGTGTGATGTTTCAGTTGCAGTTTCCATCAATCGGATCCTCAATTTATCCTAATTGCCGAGCTGCGAACAAAAGCGAAATTCCTGGGGTTTTAATTTACTGATAGCTCCGGAAGTCGTTCAAGTTGAGTTCTAAAATCTACTTGTAGCACAAGGATGAAGGTTCAAGTTGAAGAAAGCTTTCTACCCATTCTCAAGGTTGAATTTTGTATCAGGATTGATTTAGTAGTATTACTAGGCCAGCTGATCGACCCTTTCATCGTAATGTATCAATTCGAATTCATCAGGAAGTCACCGTGACTAAAGGACATATGGCGCAATAGAGTTCGTCGTATACAACTGGGGCTATACTATCTATGCTGAAAATCATTAAACATGGAGTATCCGAGCTTATGTAGACGAAATTTAAAGCGCAAGCCAGGGAAAAATGTTTTCTAGTAAGGACCATGGTTTTGAGGCCATGTGCTTGATTTTCCAAATCAAAGCTAACAGCTCAGATTTGAGACACAAATGATGGTACCTTGATGTTCCTTTCCTGATATTCCAACTTGGCCGGCAGCCCATGCAAATTACCCCGTGTGACACCAGGACAAATACTTTAATTGTACCTCTCATTGAATAATGAGTGACAAATTTGGGACTTTGTGAGTGTAGAAATGACCGTATTCAGTGAGAGAAAGAGATCTTGATTCGGCACAATTAGTCAACGAAAACTTGACATGTACTCAAGGATTGGGCAGAATGAATGGACTATCATCGAGAGGTATTTTCCAACAAAAGGGCGGTTTTATCAAAATCGTGTCCTCGAATTCGCTAATTCGACATTTTAAAACACATGTGTAGCCTTTCTGTTGACAGATCTGAGTCAGGTCACCCATGTGAGGTTTCACGTAATCTGAATGCAGCCTTCGCTCTACAATTTTTGACTGCTTGTCACTTCTCGCTCTACGCATATAGCAAGGGAGGACCTGGTGGATAGTGATATTCATTGACGAATCATAATATTGCAGAGTTGGTGGCCCCGCGAGATTCAAAGATGCCGGAGGGTCAATTGAGGGGGGGGTTCATCGGATTCGAGCTGGATTGCCGATGATTCGAGGATCAGGAATTTCGGCACATCTCCTGATCACTGCGTGCAAATAGAAGCGAGACATGAGGCTAACTTTGAGTTCCCTGGAGGTCCGGTGGGGATATCTACGGCAAAGTTGGTAGTTATATATCTCAACGTGCCCTGTTCCCCCACTGGCATCGAATAGATGATGAGATGTTTAGAATCTTCAATTTAGTACGTATCATATTTATTATTACCAGTGTAGTTCGGAGATGAAGCTATAGAAAATTCAGTTATGGAATGACGACATGCAACCATCAAAGTAGAACGGTTGAGACAAATGGCATCGTCTCAAAAGGAATTCGTCTTTGTCTTCCTTGCCTCCTTTGCTATTCCAATTAGATCAAACGAGTCCAGCTCGTACTTGACAAAAATGATTCATATTCCTTCAAATACGCCCAGCCAGCGCAGCCTCCTAGGGATGCAGCTTATGAGCAATCTTCGAACCCGGTGTCACAGACCTCACAAAAGCAGCGCATTCCCGTACAACATGCCCGTCATTACGGGCATGCCACCGCTTCAGTTACGAGAACTGCCGAGTGGAAGCCGTCCAGCGACAATGCTCAAGCCCAGCTCACCATAGAGCAAGAACGGAAGAGACGGAGGATGCAAAACGCCCCTGAGACCGACTTGGAGTACGAGGCAGAACAACAGCCCTCCCAAGTGTACATCGCAGACTCAGTGGCGAAGAAAGGACTGGGGTGCAGAAGATCCAGACCGGTGCCCATGCCGGCGCTGTCGGAAGCGCAGAGCGATCTGGACACCCTGAGATAATGGTACAATGTTAAATGTTGACGAAGTCGAATTACAATCCACGATGTTGTCTGGTATGTTGACACACAAGGGATCGATCAAAGTCACGAGTGGGAAGTTCGTCACGGTCTTTGGAACTGTTTTGTCCATGGGGATTCTGTCATATCCTTCAAAGCAAGATAAGAGTTCGAGTTGGTGCTTATGAACGATGCGGAACTCTGATAAGTCATCGCCATCCTTGCCTGGTCGGTAGCGCTGAACCTCTTTGGCGTTGGGCCCATCCAGCCATCGTAGATATGCCTGAGATGGTGCTAACCCTTCAAGGAAATGACAGGCTCGTTCATGAAATTGGCTATACTGCAAGTCCTTTGGATCACCGTGTGAGAATGATACGTTGAACGCAAGGAATCGCTCATTGGCTGATCGGGAGTTCATTTCGCGATAACTTCTGGGAGTGTTGGAGAGAGAAAGTTGAAAGCAGAGCACGCAAGGAAGGGATAGTGGCCTGCCGAGTGTGGGAGCCTTGGGCTTAGGACATCTCAGCCTGCTGTATTCATCTTCTGGTTTCTGGGGGGAGGAAGACGTGGCGGCGAATATAAACCGCAAGAGCGAAAGCCATGACAGGAAATTGGACGAAAGGGCAGGGCAGAATCACGTGCAACCTGACTATAGAGTGGCGGAAAGGGAGGCTGTTAGTCAACAGAAGCTCAAACAGAATGAGGAGATGGATGTCCAACAAGTCGGAAGGACAGCAACAGGTGGCCTAGTCGTGGATAGGTAGCCATGTGAAGATATAGTCGCTTCAATATGCAGTTATTGCGAGATTGCTAGTCTTGCATGAGAGCTTGAAGATCATCAGATGTCGGTGTCGCCAGGGAGGCCGGCAGAGACCTTCTTCAATTCAAGATCCTTCTTCAGCTCCTGGATTCGTCGGCTCATCTTCTGTCGCAGAATGGCGTTCTGCACCTTCTCCCATTGTGCTGTTTCGTTTTTGATCAGGTTTTCCAACTCGGCGATCTCCTCTCGATGCTGCTGGAGCAGTTGTTGCTGTTCGACTTGATCGTCGTCCAAATCCTCATCTTCATCAGAAACATCACTCTCTCCTGATGAATAACCTTGTCCAGCCGGGGTGGAAGGTTTAGGTGCCGATGCCCCCACTTGTTCGGGGCCTCCATTCGGGGTTGGGGGGGGTTGATCGTCATCACCGTCGCCTGCGAGAGCAGCCTCAAGTTCACCGGCGAGTTCGTCATCGAAGTCATCCATGAGCTCATCCTCCACTTCACCTTCGGCATCCTGCTCTTCATCGTATTCCTCATCGTAGTCATCATTGTTGAGGAAAGACTCCCCGCGGTTCAAGGAGGAGGCGTCAACCACCTCGAATCGCGGAGGGAAAACCGACTCTTCATCTTGAGCGACCAGATCCTCAACTGATTTCTCGACTTGCTCGATGGTGCGTGCGCTGAGGCGGTCACGGAATCTGCGCTTGCGAACCCAGCGTAGCGGCGGTGCTAGACCATGGGGATATTGAAGAGTCTTGGTGTCTGGTTGTAAGACTTCCTGGGGCAGCTCGTGCTTCATAGCTTCTTCCTCGTTGGCCACTGGGCCCAAGATAAGGAGCATCTGAGAAATATCGGCTGATTTATACCACCCCCGACGATCCCAACTCTTCATGCCCTCGGTGATGGTGGGAAGGTCGACCATGGCGGCGGCATATTGCTTGTCGCGGATTTTGAGGATTGCACGTCGTGCGTCACGGGTCAGAGGTTTGAAGGAGAATTCGGACTTGTCAAACTTCCTCTCCGTGATGGCTTGACGAAGGTATTCGCAGTCGTCGCCGGGCAACATTCGTAGGATAAACTGCTCTTCGATCGCTGGGTCTGCTTCCGTATCCGACGCTTCTGAATCATATCCCACGCCGACCGGTCGGACCTGTACTGTTTGCTTATTCTTGATGCGAATAGATTGGAGGGCGGGTTTCTTGGAGGGGTTGAGCTTGAGTCGCTTAGGTCCGAGCTGGATGGTCGGCGTGGGTTCGGGCTGCGCGATGTTCTCGGCAGGTCGCTTTTTCGTTGAAACTTTCTTCTTCTTTGGTTTCTCCTTTTCAGCAAGAGTGGGTTCGGGTTGAGGCTTGCGACCAATCTTCAAGGTGATTTTGCGCTGGGGCTCGGCGGGGGATGCTGTAGCTGGTGCTGTTGGAGCTGGAGCTGGCGCCGGAGCTGGGGTGGATGTGGATGCCGAGTCTGCTGGAGGTTGTGACGGTTTCTTGCCGAACTTCAGCTTGAGCATGGGTCGCGGATGATCCGACATGATGGGAAGGAATGCGCGTAGCCCTTGCGCAAGAGAAGGTGGAGGGGAGGGAGGAGGTTGATGTGAAGGGGAAGTTGGCAAGGGAAGAGAGTTGAAAGTAGTTGGGGAAGGTCAGCGCGCGGTGAGTCCGCAAATTCCTCCCCTTCCACCTTCACTTCTTCACTTCTTCACTTCACCTCCTTCACTCAACACCAACACCCTCAATATCGTGCGATATCCTTGACTTAAACGACGATTCAATTCTCACTTTCGCTTCAAATCTGCTCCTTTCGTCCTATCCATTACTCCCAACTCCCGCGATGTCGGGCCACAACCTACACAATGCTCTCCTCCGACCTCCAATAATTCAAATCTTACGCGCCCAAGGCTTTCATTCAACGCGTCCTTCCGTCCTAGAATCTATCTCCGATCTTACCGCGCGATACATGATGATCCTTGCCTCCGCCACCGCTCAGCACGCCGCAAATGCTCATCCCGAAGACCCCATCCCGGAGCTGGAAGATGTCTACCAAGCCCTCCAAGATGCCGGCGCGATTCGACCACAGTTGAGAGAGTGGGAAGAAGAGTGGACCAACGAAGAAGACATGCGTGGCTTGGACTCTTTCCTCGGATGGATCACCGGTCCAGCGCACCGCGAGATTCGTCGCATTGCTGGATTCGTCCCCAGTGAGGGCGACATGGTGGATCCCGATGCGGTCGAGAAGGAGGATTATCTGACTGCGCTGAAGAAGAAGCACAGTAAGACTGGCGAAGAGTCTCGCTATGCCGGTACTGTTCTTGGTAAGAGTGGAGAGGAACATCCAGTCGTGATTGAAGGTGGCGCACCTAGCATTCGTGAATGGGGTGTACAGGTCAGAAATCGCGTCGTTGATGGCGGTGACGGTGATTCTTCCGGCGTTAGTAGCGCTCCCAGTCACCTCACCGATGATGACGATGCGATGGAAGGTTGAGGGCCTTCGGGTTGAAGGTCCCCTTTGACCGGGCCTTCCGGTATATTATACACATCTCATCCACACTGTCAATCGCCGCTCATGGCTTCCCGCATCAGTCTCGGAGATCAGCTTCCAACTCCGACCATGTTAATTGGATTAACTACGGTAAACCCATGGTCGACTGATACCTCAGACCCTCCGAGTCCCAACTCGAATGGCGATTACCTGCCATGGAATCACGATACATCGCTTGGAAATAGCATGGGCTGTGCAACACTGCGCGAGGATCATATCAATGTGACTTCCGAGAAGCTCCCGGATATTCGTCTACAGCCTATCTATGTTCAATCACAAGAACCAGCGTGACCTATCGCTCAATGCAGCACGAAGGGCGGAATCTTATAAAACATCATGGATGGCTATCCAATATCTCCCAACCATTTCATCACAAACTGTGCCCTAGATTGAGGCGCAGCTGATCTCAGCAGAATTGCAACCAGAATAATAGAATAATTTTCATTATATCAATTCAATTTGAACCACTATACAGAATTTATAAGCTCATTTGTATGTATACTAACAACATTCGCGTAGTAGTTACGTAGTAGTTAGATGGTAGATTACACTATCCAGTTCCAGCATCAGGAGAAAAGATTCGCTCCTCACCCAATCAAACACTATTCACCATTTCTACTATTGCTCCATGACCATTTTCAGCATACCTAGGTAGTGATGAAGTTGTTTGACGAGCGACCGAATCCCCGAATCCGCAAGACCAAAGTCCTGTTTCCACCAGCCCACCTCAAAATCATCACCTAGGCATTTGGAGGAGTGTCTAAGGCGATTGACTCGAATTATTCATCCGATATCAATTCTCTTCGGAGGCGCAGGCTCGAATCCTGTAGCTGTCGAATTCTTTTTGTTGACCTGATCCTCTGAGATCTATTATAGATTTCCGTATCCTGAAAGGGGAGTGGGTTCAAATCCTACTCTTATCATAATTTTAATTTATCTTTACAACTGACATCTGTGACTTAGGGGTAAATTTAAGAAAAGGCCCTTTCAGAGTTACTTTTAAGCTAAGTTTAATCAGTAATACCTACTAAGTCGCTTCCTTAGGTCCTTCTAGATTATTGGTGTAATAGAGACCCTAATCAGACAAGAAAGAACCCCAAAGCCCCAACTGCGGCGAGCAAGCATGAGATGCCAGCGACAGCTAGTTGATGCGCCGCATTATCTTTACCTTCCGGACAATCGGATGGTCGATCTATCCCTTTGCATAAGTCGGATTTCAAAGAGGCCTCCGTGCTTGCGACAATTGTCTTGTCGATATGGACTCTGTCGATATGGACTCGGCAAGGATCCGGCGTGGGTGTTGGGGTGGACAACGCCACGACTGCGCAGGTGCTGTTGGTGTAATCACCGCCAGACCATCTCACCCCCATCGGGACTTCCATGGTTTTGTCTGTCAGATTGTTCGCCATGCCGTATTCCTCCGGGCATGTCTTGTTGGCTGTTGCAGCAATGAGATCCACCTTAGGGGCTGAATCTTGAAGAGTGAACCAGGTGGACCAACTTGAAGAGTTATTGATCATATTGGCACTGAGAGGATGATTTTCGAAGGCGTCCTCGTCGCAACTTTGCCAGCTTAGGCTCCACCTCACCCTCAAGCGCCGTTCTTCCTTGAAATAACCGTAGTAGTGATATGCGTAGAAAGTGTCCTGCTCAGTACAGTTGGTCCAGCTTAAATCATGAAACAGGGTGTGAGAGTTAGTCTCATTATCCAAATTCCAAAATCTATAGGTAATTCTAGGATTCAGATATCTGGCGCGCTCGGCATTCTGGAAAGCAAAAACAATGGAAACCATTCCGTCGGCGAATATGTCACATTGCGGGAGAAAACGAGGTCCACTTCCAGGATGTCAGAAGCGTTTATTATGGTGCCTATGCACAAAGCGAGCAGCCAGCTCGTTTGGTAAAAGCGTATGTTATGGGCAGGTCGGATTTTCAAGAGTGGCGAGGGCCGGGAAGTCGAAGAGGAGGAAGACAACTCGCAGATTATCTTAAGACGATGAGCTTGCGAGCATAGATTCCTACTTGATAATGAAGGGCGAAGGAAAAAGAGAGAGGGGGCTATGATGTGTTAATAACCCCAGGTCTAACAACCACTACTAGTAGTAGGTAATAGTAGTAGTATTAGGGCCACAAAAGCTGTTCAAGTTATACTATAAACCTCACAGGACCAGGCCGAACTTGAAGATGCACAGAGATCATTGAGTTCAAAATAAAACCTTAGGTTTCGAAACTCACCTGGCAACTTGAAATAATCCTTTGCCCACCTGCACATTTCCAATTTGGACATCAGTATGTGACTATCGATTTACTAATGTAATACTCTCTGGCGTTTTTACCACCTATATAGCTCAAAACTAAGTCCAGCACAATGCGCCTCACAGCTATTCTTGCCACCGGAGCAATCCCAGCTACGGCTGCAGCTCTGACCCCCCACGCTGTTAACTGCGATTTTTGCATCAATGCTGATGCCGTGGATACATGCTCGAGCTTTGCTAGCAACTGGGGACTATCAGTTGACAATCTAAAGTAGCTGAATCCTGGTATCTCCTGCCCTGATCTTGATGTCAGCAAGTCATACTGTGTTATAGGCACTGTCACGGAGGAACCATCCTGCACCACTTCCACGACGACGACGAAATCAACCATAACCAGCGAGTCTACCACCACCACAGTGACCGACCCCAGCAACAGCCCCACCATGCTCGGGGCTGCAAGCAATTTTGATGGATTCTACCAGGTCTCATCAGGCGATCAGTGCGACACCATTGCCGCGAAATACGGTATCTTCAAAGCCCAGTTCAAGAGCTGGAGCAGCCAAGTCGACGCCAGTAGGTCTTCAATTTTTTTTCCAATATTCTTTCCACCCTAAAGCTATATTTACATATCCATAGCATTCTCCAACCTTTGGCTGGACTAATATGTCGGTGTGCACGTTTTCGGCGCAACCTATGGCTAGCATACTATATCTGTGTTGGTGTTTAGGCAGTCCTTTCCTTGCCTCGTAGGGATGTGATGAAGTATGTCATATGTGTATGAGTGGTCATCATAATGCTTCAAAAGGACCGAGGAAAGGTTGGTAGTCTAAGAATCCCTGTTATGTTGCGTGATACCATGTACTGACAACCTTGGAAACTTCACATCTACTAGTGTTAATTACTACATAGTACGAAATAACATGACTAAATACTGATCATTCGACAAGGCTATCAACAAAATACAACTTGAAGTAGATCAATCAGACTATTGGTCATATCACCTACCATAGCTTTGTGAAGATCCACAGCTTGAAGACGTAGAATTACAAGGTTGGCGGGCATCAGTGGCTAGGGATCGTCGCAGCAGACCGGAAGCATGTTGAAGAATATGCAAGACATGGGACGACAAGCTATTTTCAGAGGAACAGGGACAACCGGCAGGCATGGACGAAGCCGAAGGAAATTCTCAACGAATATGGCAAACCTCTGGAGCTTCGTGACATCGCTCGTAAGGACATCGCAACTATCTAGCGTCTCTCGGAGCTCCCCGTAATTGAGCATATCCGCACTGTGAGGAACTTACTGGTGGAAAGCTGCTGCAAGTCTGTGTACTATAGCTTTAGGAGACGACCCGAATACATTCATTCAGCTATCGACACACTACTATTTGGTCAACACTGCTTAAAGGTACCTGTACTCCGTAAATATCCAGCCCTAACTGTAACTCTAATGGGACCGCCACCCGCCTTGGCCAGGCCGACTTGGCACTTTGGGCCGACTTGGCTCTTCAACCACACCGAAGTACACTTGACATTTTATATCTAATATCCACTGGCAGCTGACCACCTCTCGTCGGGATGGGGTATCGGCAATTGGCACTCCAGCGGGTCCCTGGTGGTCCCTGAAGCGAGGATCTCGGTCTGGCCACCACCCATCGGCTCAGGATCTGCCGACCATTACTAGCTTCATCGGGGATCTCCACGAATCCCATGCTGCCATGGTTTCGGCCTGTCTCCATTTTCCCGGCAATCCCGTGGCTTTAACTACCGCTGTCATCCACTCAAGGGTAATCCTCGGCTTATCCTTGGCCGATAATCCCGTACAACACTGGTTGACACTTGCACCCCGGACATTTCAACTCCACCGATCCACTTGACTCACCCCCAGACCAATTATCCCCATACCCCGGAACTGACCGATCCCTAATGGAGATAACGCGCGGGGTCTCCAGATTCTCTCCCCTATACATATTCCAACCCCCCTCGCTATTGCACGGCCCCCCTCAGAGAACTGTAGAAATTCTTTCTCGATACCTAGGCCATAACATCTCGCGATGTCGCCGACCGACGACACATCCCCTCCCAAGTCTGACTCGGACTATGTCGAAGAGAAGGACGTAGGCATCTCGGTAGACCCTACAAGATTTCTCTCCGAGTCTCACAAATCTTACCTGATCGAGCGTCATGGCAAACTGGATCTCGATCCGATTCCGAGTATGGACCCGGCGGATCCATACAACTGGCCAAGTTGGAAGGTGAGCACCATTTCATTACCCAGGGGTCGACCAGAGAACAGAAAATACTAAAAGACAATCCAGAAAATCGCCAACCTCAGCCTCGTCGCCTTCCACGCCTGCATGGGAACATTCACCGCCGCAGCTATCATCTGCGCCTACGAAAACATCGCCCTAGATCTAGGAGTCTCCATCCAACGCGTCAGCTATCTCACATCCCTCCAAATCGCCATCCTAGGCGGCGCCCCTCTATTCTGGAAACCCCTCTCTCACCGATTCGGCCGACGACCTATTTTCCTGATTTCACTCCTCTTGAGCTGCGTGTGCAACGTTGGCTGTGCTAAGAGTACGGATTACGCCACTATGGCGGCTTGTCGGGCCCTAGTCGCGTTTTTCATCTCGCCCGCTATGGCTATTGGGAGTGGTGTGGTTACTGAGACTTTCTTCCGTCATGAGCGTGCGAGGTATATGGGTATTTGGACCGTGATGGTTACGCTGGGTGTTCCTGTTGGGCCGTTTATTTTTGGATTCGTTGCTCAGCGGGTTGGATATCGGTGGATTTACTGGATTTTGGCAATCGTGAGTTTTCTCCTCTTTTTTCCCTACCTTCCGGGTTCTTCTTTTTTGTTTCTCTTTGCATTGTCCATTTTGACCCAAATACTGACTTAACATCAGACCAATGCCGTCGAATTCATTCTGTATATCTTCTTCGGGCCAGAAACACGCTATATCGGCGCCGATGTCCAAACCAAATCTTCCGCCTTCAAGCGTGAATACCTTTCCCTCCGCCGAATCGACCCAACCCCAATCAAGGTATCGGAATTCTACCACCCAATGACACTCTTCACAAACATCCCAGTCCTTCTGGCCGCAATCGCATACTCCATGGTTTTCCTCTTCGCCTCCGTCCTCAACTCAGTTGAGGTTCCACAGCTACTACAAAGCAAATTCGAACTTACCGCCCAGGGTCTTGGTCTCCAATTCCTTGGTCTGATTATCGGTTCCCTGCTCGGCGAGCAATTGGGCGGTGTAATGTCTGATATGTGGATGAATGCGCGGGCGAAGAAGATCGGTCGCAAGCCGGACCCGGAGTACCGATTGTGGTTGAGTTATATCGGCTTCTTGTTGGCTATTGCGGGTATGGCTGTGTTTTTGGTATGCACTGAGCAGGCGACGCAGGGTCAGTGGTCTGTTAAGCCTGTTGTGGGCACTGGTATTGCTGCGTTCGGCAATCAGGTCGTTACAACTGTTTTGACGACTTATGCCGTTGATACGTATCCCCAGGATGCGGGTAGCGTGGGTGTTTTTATTAACTTTGTTCGGTCGACTTGGGGCTTTATTGGTCCTTTCTGGTATGTTGGGTGCTCATTTATACCCCTTTTACGGCGGATGAAAGTGTTTACTAATTATGATGGCTAGGTTTACTTCCATGTTCGAGAGTGTTGGTATTGCGGCTAGTGCTGGTGTGGCGGCTGCATTGATCATGGGTGCTAGCTTTTTGCCAACTGTCTACCTCCAATGGCAGGGGAAGAGATGGCATGCCAATACAGATGAACTATAATCGATTTTAGTAGATTGGCGAGAATTTAGACGATTTTGTGTTGGGACACATGTATAGAATTTGTTTGTATGGAAGATGGGAAAACTTCCATCTAGTATGTTTCAACCAACGCCTGAAGGCACTGTATTCTCTTAAATGAGCAGTATTCAACAAATTATGTCAGTATTCCATGCAATTTGTGAATGATGCATGAATGCATGGGTGGTTGTGGGTCATCAAACATCGCCAGCGTGGGGCTTGGCGCGTGATGTACTCCGTACATGTATGTAGATTCGGATTTGATATTGAACCCATCCAATCAAATTTGTGTGTCTGTCGGTCTACAAAATTAACCAGGACTTGCAGAAAATCATGAAAATGAAGAGACCAAAATCAAAATCAAATTATACATCAAGTGGAATGAATTAAAAAAAAAACACTGTTTCTATACTCCGGGAGTCCCTTGCATGGGAGCAACTGACCGCCTCTCGCGGCCGCAGGGCAGTTTGGAGCAATCACCACCACCTTTCACCTCATCCCTCTGGAAGCCTCGTTGATTATTCCTGACCCCCACCTCGTCCCTTTTTGCTTGCTTCGTCCTAAAAAGGCGAATCCTTCCACAATGGAGAACTACCAGAGGATCGAGAAGCTCGGAGAAGGTATTGTTGACATTGACCCCGCGACGCGTCCCCCCGCCGTCAGCCATAAGCTCTCTATTTACTCGTACTCACCACGCGTCAGGCACCTATGGCGTCGTCTACAAAGCCCGCGAACTGAATCATCCGAACCGAATCGTTGCGCTGAAGAAAATCCGCCTCGAAGATACAGACGAGGGCGTGCCCAGCACCGCCATCCGCGAAATTTCCCTGCTGAAGGAAATGCAAGATCCCAGTGTCGTCCGCCTGCACAACATCGTCTACGCCGAAAGTGACAACCTATACCTCGTTATGGAATTCGTCGATCTCGATCTGAAGAAATACATGGACGCTCTGCCCGTTAGTGACGGTGGACGCGGCAAGCCTTTGCCAGATGGGTTCTCAAAGGGCGGTGCTACGATCGGTCTGGATGAGACGATTGTTAAGAAGTTTATGGCACATCTGTGTGAGGGACTGCGTTATTGTCATAGTCACCGGATCATTCACCGCGATCTGAAGCCCCAGAACTTGCTTATTGATCGTGAGGGAAATTTGAAATTGGCCGATTTCGGTCTGGCTCGGGCCTTTGGTGTGCCGCTGAGGACTTATACTCACGAAGTGAGTATCTGAACGTCTTATATTGGAGGCTCTCTTTTCATCTTTGCTCAAAGTTAACTAATAACCTTTTTTCTAGGTCGTCACTTTGTGGTATCGATCTCCAGAAATTCTGCTGGGAGCCCGCCAATACTCCACTGGTGTTGACATGTGGTCTGTCGGCGCTATTTTTGCTGAAATGTGCACCCGCAAGCCGCTATTCCCTGGTGATTCCGAGATTGACGAGATCTTCAAGATCTTCCGGTAGGCCTCCTGTATCCAGTTCGAACGATCAATCCATGCTGACCTCACCCCAGCGTTCTCGGTACCCCTAGCGAAAACGACTGGCCCGGTGTCACCTCTCTGCCAGATTACAAGGCCACATTCCCCAAATGGAAGCGTCCGAATTCCGAAATCGTGCCGACTCTGGATGAAGATGGCTGCCACCTCCTCGAATCCCTGCTGGAGTATGATCCCGCACAACGGCTGTCAGCTAAGAAAGCTTGCCAACACCCTTACTTCCGCCACGGAAGCTCTTATTACTCCGGCCGCGCTACAGCGTAGAAGGTTCTCGCTTGCAATTAACTAGTGATTCTTCTACTATCCCACCGCCCTCCCCGCACAAATATCCATCACCCTCCTGTCAACATGCAAAAGCGCATGTCCATTTCACCCTCTTGTTTTACTGCGTCTACTACTCATTTGCATTTTCGGATTAAGGTAGGAATGAGGGAAATCATCTCGGCGCACATCATCCACTATGGAATTTGGGCGTTCTGACAAAATTCTACTGTATCAATGGGCAATGCACTACACGAATATTACTTAGCCCTACCCCACCTCATGATATGATGTGATGTGATGTGATGCACTTTCCCAACGATAACGATGTCCCCCGTCATGACATCTCGGCAATTGTTCGAGAAAGAAAAGAGAAAAATAAAAAACACAAATGCAAAGGAAATGCCTAAAAGTTTGAATGAGGGAATCTCCGAAGCGGAATTGCAAGTGACTCACAACAACGCAACTCAATGGCTTTCAACCAAGCAAGAGATCTAGCAAGGAAAAAGGAAACGATTGATTCTTGGCACCTCTTGGACATTCCTGTTGAGGCGAGAGCAGCGGAGACTTTTACGAGCTTCGGTCATGCACATCCGAGTCTCGGGGTGTCTATCCGATCCTGTTCGAGATGTTCGTACATCATGCGCGTAGGGATATTTCAGACTAGTCTATTTTCCCTCCTCGTCTCATTGGATAGAACAGAGTAACCCTTGTCCTGCACCGCAATAAAACATCCTATGATTTCTAATCCCTTTCTCGTCCGATACAATGTTGTCGAGTAAATAAAGTAGGGACTGGCTGACTCATATCCAGCCCACCTGGGCAGTATTGACTCACGCCCGTCTAGGTACTATTTATCTTGACGCCTCGACGAGGTAGCTTATATCTTTATCTCAAACTGGTGTTCTTTTCTTCACATTCCCCTGTCTTCCAATTGCTGTTAAAAATCGCCCAACATGTCTCTCCCAGACAAACCCCTCACCTGGCAACGACCAGGCTTCCTAATCTCAACCGACAAAACCCTCCTCTCACTACAATCCATAAACCACGCATTCAGCCTAGACATAATCTACTGGACAAACCCAGTCCCAGAGCCCATTCTAGCCACAATCGTCGACAATTCATTCTGTCTCGGCCTTTACGAAATCAGCAATACTACAAGTTCCACCACACAGAAGCCAGAAGACCTGAAACAAATCGGATTCGCCCGTCTAGTCGGCGACAAGGTCACATTCGCATATTTCACCGATCTTTACGTATTGCCGGGCTATCAGGGGCTCGGGCTGGGGGGGTTGGGTGATTGATTGTATCGGTGAAGTTGTTGATCAGATGCCGTACCTGCGCTGGGCGATGCTGAGGACGTCCTTGGAGGAGAGTCGACTTGCTTATGAGAAGAGGCTTGGTATGCGGGTTCTTCTTTTGGGGGATATAAAGGATGGGCCTGTTATGATGGGGAAGAGGGGGGTAAATGGTGGTCCTTAGGAGTAGCCTTCCAACTACTATGGGACTGCATCGTTCTTGTATCAAAGTTGGCTAGTATTACCGAGGTTCAATTTATGTACTAGCCTGGAGTATGTATGCCGCATGTCGAGATTTGGATTGACCGCGGTCATTCATACGACAATAGAAAGGAAATACTGTGAGCGGGAAAGATTCAGTGAACGTAAAGAAGATATCACGGCGAATACGCGCACGCGAAGACTCTCCAGATTGTCAAAATATGAAATTGACCAGACAATGATATCGTATATGTACAGTTTAACAGAGAGAGACCCAACACCCACTCTCACAATTCTCTTTTCCGGGCAGCTGGTACACAGATGGAACGAATAGACCCGAGAAAAAGAGCTTCTCTGCCTCAATTGGATCGGTCCGTTCAGCTTCAGGCCCACTCACAGCAATGCTTTCCTCTCAGAGCTGGGAACCCGTGAGCCAGGGCCAAGATGTCGACTTCCGGATATTCTTCCACCTGGGTAGCTTGCTCGCCCGTTCGCTCCACTCCACTCCGTCCAACAAGGTTCGCAAGTACTCTAGGAGGACTTGGCAGTGTTGCCGGGGTAGGAGTTCTTCTCCTGGAACAGGTAACCCTTAATCTTGCGCTCACCCAGGAGTTCGAAGTACTTTTCTATGCGGGAGAAGAGAAGACGTTAGCAATTGCCGACAAGTCACGAATAACGAATGCCGTGATCCGTGGTGGTCTGCCGCGCTCGGCAAAGGCCAGACCAGGCCAATTGAATGAGCAGCAGGTCCAGTACAGCCGGGAAAAGCGTCCAAAATCGAATCCGCTTCCTTTAACCATCTAAGAGCGAAGAGGTGGAGGGGAGAATTACCTCTCAAGGTACCACACTTCTCAAAGTGATTCACGCCCTCGCGCGCATAGCACTTGCCCAATTCCTCGCCAACAAGACGAGACATCATACTGCGCACCCACTGCTCGCGAATGATCGCGTCGCGGGCATTGTGGACTGCGATGTTGTCCTCGAAGTCGACGCCCTCGTAGGTCGGGGCGACGGTGGGCTTTTTGGCCAGGAAGGCGGCGGACTCGGGGGTGGGCATTTTGTTGAGAGGACCCGGTGGGTGGGTAATGTGAGGAAGAGGTGCGGATGTGTCGAGGTCGGGACCTGGGGGAGAGTCGGTTCCCTGCTGGTATGCTTCGTAGGGATTGAGATTGGAGGTGGAGTTGGAATTGGTGGTTGATGCGGTCGAATCGGATGGGAGGGTGGTTGGATTATCAAAGTGTTGATTGGCTAAATCGCCGGGCGGTGGAGGACATATTCACGTGATCTGGTTGCATCGGGGGATCACATGACTACACACTATACAGTGCAGTACAGAGTAGTTCAAGTTAGTAGAGAATGGGTACTCGGATAAAGGAATTAAATAGAGAAAGGGAAATAAAAAGAGCCTCTGATTCTATTTGCAGTTCCGAAATGTAAATTCACGAAAGTCACCAAACGCCAACTGCAACCCCCTGCAGCAAGCACAGTCCCAATATACAAAAGCGATAGTCCCTCTACTCTGCGCCGGTGCCAGTATCATACAAAAGGCCCTCTAGAAAATGCATAGCAACGTGAAGGGACATGAGGACATGAAGGGGTAAGAAAATGAGCGAGAAAGAAAAAAATAACATGGAACATAGGATCCGGTCACCTAACATCTCCTACTTACCGGCCGAGTCGCCAGAAGCAAAAAGCCCCTCAAAGGCAGAAGAAATAGCATCATGCACCTTCTCCCAGGCCGAGCGATTCTTGCGATTCGCGATCTCGCGGTAGTTGTAAATTTCAGACCAGCAGTCGCGACCGAAATTACAACCAGCCATATTGACGACAAGATCATGCTCCTCTTCTTGGTAATGCACAGCGGGATTATTCTCATCACCACAGGCGCCAAGCGGGAACGCATTGATCGAGCGCTGGGGCAAGAATCCGACACTGCTCCGGATCCAGGGCTGGCTTTGATAGATGTACTTGAAAGCATCCTGCTCCTTGTGTTGCCAATCCATATGCATCTGCTCATACATAACAGGATCCCACCACGCATCAAGCAAGCGATCCGTCCACAGCGATCTCCGTAAAAAGAACGACCCGAGATTAAAACCCGAACAATCCTGCGTGAGAAGCATCTGTAACGAATCGGTCCGCCCATCACCTTCCAGCGCCCGACCTAATTCATCGAGATAGAATTCCGGAAGCGGGTGCGTGATGTTGAGCGGGTTATTCGCATTGATATCTCGATAGACCATCTCGTCAAGTGAATTGAATATCTCCCCCTGCAGAGAGGACTCGCGTTCCATAATCCATGTGTTCAGATCAAGCCACCAGAACCACTCCGCGTGCGGATATTTGCGCATCGTCTCGCGAATCACGTCGCCCTTTTCCCAGCTCTCGCGCCACTCGTGCGAATAGCGTTTCTTGGCGAGCATGTTGACGACCTCAATTTCGTAGCCCCAGTGCCTGGCGTATTCTTGCTTGTTGTGGATGCTGTTGCGCTCAATTGCCCACTCGCGGGCACCTTTGAGTTCCATCACGCCACCTTCCACGTTGGAGCCGAGGATTATGACGAATTTGCGGCCTCCACCGAGTGGGGAGCGTCGGTAGAGATGGACTAGAGCTGTTGTGAGAGAGAGATATATATCAGTTTTTCGATCAAATAGCGAGCGGAAGGGTCAAGTTGCGGATTGAACTTACGTCCCCAAAGACAAATGTATGCAAGACATGCTAGAAATACGCCCAGCAGGATGCGTACCCGACTCCGACGCAGAATAATGGCCAGCGTGCCTCTCGCGCCTCCGGTTGAGGAGCGCCATGTCTCGCGCCCATATACATCCTTATCGACGTACCCGTGCGGGGACTGGTGGCCGTTGAAACTGGGGAGTTTGTTCGAGATCTTCGTTTTCTGGCGGGAGAAGAAGCCGCTATTGCGGGTTGCGAAGGATGGGTAGCCGCGAACTTCGTTGCTCTTTGCTTTTGCTGCGGCCCAGGCGTTGTTTCCGTTGCTATTGCTGTTCGGCGCGAGGGTGTTGGGGGAGTACCCGCGTACGGGCGTGGAGGAGCCGCTGCCCGGAGTTAGACCGGGGCTGGACCACCCTCCGCCCGGATGGGGAGAGGGTGATCGCGACAAGGACATTGAAATATGGGAGGGGGGAGGAGGAACAGGAGGTCTAGGTGTAGGCGTCGGTGGCGTGGAAATCGAAGTGCTGGTGAGGGTATTCGTAGGGATGGACTCTCCAGGAGTCGAGGGTGTTAAGGTCAAGATGACATGAGGGTCGGAAGAGAGATCCTGGGTATATGGGATAGATAAATGAGGGCGACGGATCGAGACGAGATCGGATCGAACCGAGCAAGGGTCGCACAGACCGAGGAGGGTGAAGGTGAACTTGAACGTGGAGATGGGGTGGAGTTGGGGTTGGAGAAGGTTGCCGCATGCGGAGAGGAAGTCACTGCAGTACAATTACCCTGAGGTGGTCCTTGAGCTACCCAAAACCTGCCAGGAACGAATTCATCAGTTACTCAGGTCCTATATTGTCTTACTTTACTTTGTTTTATTTCCATATATACTTATTATTAACTGACATACATGGTGCTGTTGCTGAAGTGGTGGAGATCATCTCCGCTCTTGTTGAAGGTAGGAGGTTATACCATCACTTTGATACGGACTGTACGTAGTATGGCTTACGCATGCGGACAAGGCCATTGTGTCAATCTCCACATGGCAGCCAAGTATACGACATTGAGTTCACACCATGGAATTATATTCCATTATCACTATCAGTCTATTTGCAGAGTAGAGAGAATAGCAGTCCAGATTCGCCTCAAATTAAATCAAATCAATTCAAGTCAAATAGTTTCAATCCACACATCCTACCGGTACTTATTCCTCATCCTTCTTGTCCGTCGACAGCACAGGCACAGGCATGCGATTCGTCGCCCCATCCGACTTCCGCACCAGAGCTTGTCGAACCACAAATCCATTCTCATGCTCCGGACGAGTCTCAACACTCTCCCCGTGATAAAACTCACACCGGAGATCCAAGAATTGCCCATTATGTTTGTAGATCGTAATCACATCGCCACTGTACAATTTTCCAAACTGGAACCCGTTCGGTCCATCCTTGCGTAGCTCGACGCCGTTTACCCAGATACATTTCCGCGTCTTGGTGGAGAGAACGGCCATGACGCCGTCGACATCCATCCAGTCTCGGCCTTCGGCGATCATGCATTCGATTGCGGGGGCCCAGAAGGTGATTTCCAGGGCGTAGGCGGGGATTCGTACGTCCATGCGATCTTCGTGGCGGATCGTGGCGTTGGGACCCCGACCCCATGATGTGAGACGGTTTTCGAGGCGGATGTTGAGGTCGAAGATTGAGCCTGGTAGACTCTTGAGTCGACCGAGTGGTTTGGCTGGTTTGGCGAATTCACCACCGGGCATACTGATTGGGGTATCGGGTCGATGAATAATGATGTCGGATGGCGCCTCCGTTGCGGGCAATTGTTCGTGGAGTTGTGCATCTAGGATTGCCTGGCCAGTCTGGGCGTCCAGGGTAGTCGCAAGTTCGGGGTCGAAGGATGATCCTGTCTGTCCGGTTGGCTTTGTAGATCCACGGCGACTACCCGGTGCACTGGCACTGTTCGAACGCTCGCTGGCGGTGTCGGGAAGATCAAGCTCGATGCGACGAGATACCTTGGGTGGCCTTGGTGTGATCTCTGCATTGTCTGAGCTGGCGAGAGCGCCCCCTTCGCGCGGGGTGCTGTTGCTACCTGGATTGGCGGGCTCCCTCTGCTCTCCAGGAGTTGTCTGCCGTGTCGATGATTCAGTAACGGGACCGGGCGGGGGAGGAGAGGAATTGAAGAGTTCATATTCAGTCGTCCAACGAGGTTTTCTGCACCCATGAGACTGGGTGCAGTGCCACCGATGGGATTTTCCGGGAGAGAAACGATGGAATAGACACTGTATTCGTCGCTCATCGACTCACCGGATGATGCAAAGCCCTCCGCCTCAAAGTCAACTCCAGCCCATGAATCGTGTTGACCGAGTGCGTAGGAGCTGCGCAATGCAGAGGAGGTGACTTCGCCAAAAAGACGTCGTGCGTGCTGCTCGGCGACAACTTGACCGTCTTGGAAACTTTCGATGTTGGGAAGTGAAGGATACTTGATTTCCGTGGGGATTTGTTCCAGACGGGGCCGTTTGGCGAGACCTTCACTGCTGCTTGACTCTTCACCTTCCCCGGCGTGAGTATATCCCTGGTCATCTGCGAGAGAGAGTTGAGAGGCGTCTAGCTCTTCATCCTCCCCAATAACAGAAAGTCCTTCGCGTACTTCAGCCAAGATATCGTCATCTTCATACTGATCCACATCTTCCACCTCAGAAATCCACGGATGCTGAAAGCAGTCTCTCTCTGTTGGTCGACAAAAGGGATCTCGGTTCAGAAGCTGGGCAACGAATTCAATACCAGATTCCGAGACACCCTCCCGACGCAAGATATCATAATCGGCCTCGGTCTCCATGATACAGCGAAGCATGTGTTGACCACGGTCTTCGGCACGACCAGAATATGGTGGCACTCCGGCGAGAATATGGTACAGAACAGCACCAAGTGACCACATATCGACAGCCTGGCTGTAAGGTGAAGTTTTAGGGGGGTCTAACAATCAGCAAGGTCACAATAAAGCATGGACAGACAGGAAAACTAACGGGTCTCCAACACGGCGTCTCTTCCGAGCATCTCCTCGCCGATAGGTCTCGTAGTCGGGATACACCTCAGGCGCACAGTACAGTAGGGTACCACAGAAAGTTTTGAGGAAAGTCTCCTCCTGCGTCACTTTTGACAGTCCAAAATCCGACAATTTCACACGAAGTGGGTCGAGCGATGCAATAAGAATGTTATCTGGTTTGATATCGCGATGGGTGATGCGGCGTTTGTGCAGGTAGTGCAGTGCTCGCAGAAGCTGGCGAGCGATGGTCCTCACCATATCCTCCTGGATCTTGCCCTGTGATGACAGATACGTCGACAATTCACCCATGGGCACGTACTCCATTATGATGTAGATCCAACGGTCATGTTCGTGGTAGTCGATGTATTGAACGATATTAGGCTGTAGGGAAAGACCGTCAGTTTTAGGTAACAGCAGCCATGACAAAGTGAGAAAGAAAAAACTTACATGTGTCAAGTCACGCATAATCTTCATCTCGTTGTCGACCTTCTGGTCCAGAATTCCCTTCTTCATAAATCGATGCTTGTCCAATTCTTTTGCCGCATAAATTGCTCCATGTTGCTTTGTCGCGAGTTTGTAGACCGTCGCGAATGCTCCCTTTCCAATCTGTCCTGTTACATTGTACATCGCACCACCAGTCCAATGCATTCCGTATGTGTTTGCGACCGACCACGAGATAATGGGCGGATTTGAAGATTGCCGAGTCTTGTGTTGGGCTGCACCAACGACAGCACGTTGGATACGCTCGAAGTAGTGCAGAACATTCTGTGTGTACTGCATCGCGAACCCTTCACGAGCCGGAATTCGAACCACAAAGCGCACCTCGTCGGAGCCCTGATTGCCGGTTACAACTTGAATGACGGAGCCGTTAGTGAGCATTCGGCTGTTTTCCTTTTGCGTTTTGCGAAGCCGACAGTTGTCCACGATGGTACCGTTGGTAGAGGTGTCTTGAAGCATAATGATGCCATCGCCGGTCAGGTAGATTCGAAAATGATTGTTCGATACGCGTTTGGCCTCGTCGTCACCGGCGAGGAGAATGTCACAGCGTGCTTTGTTTCGACCGAAACAGAACCCCGCCCCGATGTCATGAACGTCCGAGGACAGTCTCAGCGCCACGTCGAGGGCCGCCGTTTCCGATGTCTCATAGTCCAAGATATCTTTCTGGAGAATGTGTTGGCTGCCTAGTGCTGCGGTGGCCGCGACTCCATCATGTGCAGCATGGGAGTTAGGATGCAAAATACAAATGATGTCCGCAAGATCTTGTTCTTGAAGGCCGGAGTTGTTCAGACCCATCCGGCGAGGATCCGCACAAGGCTGTGTGGATTCTTGAGTGGCTTCCATGACGGGAATGCAAAGTTTGAAGATGCAGACTGTGATGCAGCACGCTAACGACGAACAAACAGAGAGACACGAATGAGGAAGAAAACAAAACAAAAAAAAAAAAACTACAAACAGCCGGCGGCGTGGGTATATGTCGTGAGAGCAGGAAAATTTGGCATGAACAGGGTTATGAATACACGGTTGGGCCTGAATATGGCCTGTGAGTAAATCCGAAGAAATGCGACGTCCGGGGGGACAAGGGGTTTATATACCTTGCGGCGGGTGCGAGACTAGGCGGGATTCTCACCAGGGTGATCACCCAGGCGAAACACCAACGACAAAGGAAATGAGGCACAGAATGGACAGAAATTGAACAGTTGTATGTTGCACAAAATAGAACGTATGTGTGAAGAGGCTTTCAATACAGCGAGTGGGGATCGGATGGATGGTGAAGAGGGATGGAGGCGGGTCTTTCGAGATGCGCGTGGGTGTCAGTTGGGTTACTGGATGCACTCATGCAACAACCGACTGAAAGAATTTTGGCGACAGATTGGGAAGGTTATTACGACCAGCAGATTGAAATCACGGTCCGGATCGAATCCGAGGGATCAGGTGCGGTGTGAAGGCAACCAGTCGGCGTGACGCCTTATAGGTCGTAGCGGCTGGACGACCGCGGGGGAGATTAATAGGCTGTTTGATGGAACGAAGTCATCGAAAATGATAAGTCCGTTTGTGAGTTCAATTCAAGGAGGTTTGAAACGATCGAGGGTGTATCTCTGCAGATAATGAGTTCATCGGTTAGCCTGGGGTCTTCTGTAGACAAGAGGTACAAACGATTTGTTTATGAGCTGAACTCGAGCTTGAATCCGGCGGGGACTATGAGAAAAGAGACTCACACGATGATGGGTGGGCAATCATAAAAGAGGGTGAAGCAATGGTCCAAAAAGGGGCGGCGGGAGCAGAGACTGCAAGGTGGTAGGGTCGTCCGAGAAACAAAAAGTGAGAGCCGCAGCGAAGTTCCACTGGCTGCGGCGTCAAGAGGTTCCAGCGGGATCAGGCGTTAAGGCATTAAGGCATAAATCAGGCATGACTAAGGCACCATTCAAGCACGAAGTCCCGTGGTTTCGCTGGGTCATCCCACCTGCCGATCTTTGATTGGTTGAAATACCCCCGAACCCGAGTCTTCGGGAGTCTCGCCCATGGATGCCCCAGATCCGATCGAGAGCTTATTTATTTATTCCATAGCAATGGAAAGATGGTATCTATGGTCTGGCTATACAGTTCCTAATATGTGTCAATATAGCCAGTCCGCATGGGCGAGGATTTCTTTGAGCATTCCTCTATACAAAAATACGTCCAACCTGCAACTCGTCACGGCTTTTCCCCAACATTTTGCACTGGCAAAGAGGGTACTAGTCCACCACTGGCAATAACCAACATGAAGACTCGGCTGAAATGCCAGTCTTTCATAGCGGCCCTTCAATACCTAGTTATGCTCGAACCCCGCCTCGTAAAACTTATGAGCAGTATGGAACTAAATCCTGGACCTTCATGCTACTAGTACTAATAATGGTTCAACTTGAAGTTGGTCATCATACATACTCGTGAGTGATGTCGAGCTAGTCTTACATGCAAGTCTCACTCACTCCTTAAGTAAACCGAGGCTAGTATCTTTGAATACTAGTATCTCAGTACCTATCTAGGTAGGTAGACCTCAATCCACCGCTATCCTACTAGGTTACAATGATATAGTTACTAGAAATAACCCGTCTATGGCTTGCTACTCCCGTATGGCCTGCTCGTATCCTCGCTGCGCTGATACTCCCCTTTCATCGCAATGTCGAAAACCTCCTCTAGACGTGAGATGGCTTCATCTGAGACCTCTGTGTACTGTTAGAAAAGCCGAATCATTCTCGGTCTGCAGCAAAGGATAACTCACGGTAGTGTACGACAACCCGCCCACCAAGCAATCTCAGACCCTTCTGTTCACCAATGACAGTCAAATCATTGGGCCCTACTCCAGACCCCTCCAGATCGAGCCAAACCATATTGGTGTGCACGGGATTTTGCAGCTTCCCCCCCTCGACTGGTCCACAATTCAGCTACACGCTTAGCCTTGGCATGGGTAGCCGGCAGCTTGCCTGACTGGCCATGCGAATCCTTTCCAAATGTCTCGTCAATGGCAATCCGGGCGGCGGCAGCAAAGACACCCGTCTGTCGGGCACCGCCACCAATCGATTTGCGGAACCAGCGAGCTTTCTTAATGAAAGGCTGGGATCCAACAATGATACTTCCAATCGGCGCACCAAGGCCTTTGGAGAAGCATAGACTGACACTGTCAAAGAGACTGGTATACTCCTCGAGGCTGCCGGCTCCGGATACCACGGCTTCCCAGAGCCGAGCTCCGTCCAGGTGAACCTTGATGTCATTTTGGTGAGCCCACTCCACAATGCGACGAGCCTCGGATAAAGGCATGATCATACCGTCGAGGGTGTTTTCCAGACTGATCAGCTTGGTCGGGCAATGGTGGATGTTGTCGTCGAGGACTGCGTATTTCTGGATATCTTCGAGAGTCAGATGGATGCCATTCTTCGGGACCACTGGCTGCATGGTGGCGCCGGTCCAGGCACTCACGCCGCCGGCCTCGTAGCAGATGATGTGGGATCGATGGTCGCAGAGGACGGCATGGGGTGGTTGAGTCAGATGGGTGCGGATAGCTACTTGGTTGCCCATTGTTCCTGATAAAACTAGCAGTGCATCTTCATGCTTAGTTCGCTGGGCGACGTAGCTTTGTAGGTCGTTGGTAGTTGGGTCCTCGTTGAATACGTCGTCGAGAAGGGTTGTTTGGCAAATGGCTTCGAGCATAGAGGGAGTCGGCTTGGTCATGGTATCACCTAGATCAAAGGTCATTTAGGTAAGTCACCGACTGCTAAGAACGACAAAATGCAATTTTATATCATACTTCGAAGGTCAAACTCTGCTGCACCAGCACCTTGCCAGGTGTTGACAGCCGAGGCAGTGGATGAGTGAGCCATGACGACAATTGGGGGCTTGTTTCTGAGAAATACCGAAGAGGTGATAGAGGAAGGAGACTGAGGTAAGAAAGATGGACGAGAGACCGCAGAGCGGATGAGACGAAAAGAGCGACTCATAAGGGCGTGGTGTGGTGTGGGGATGTCTGTGCCATTCACACCTGCCTCATTTGGTTGCATCGGAGCAACGCCGCGGGGAAGAGATAAGAGTCACGTGTTCATTGCGGGGACCCTATCGAGTCAGGTAATATTCACATAATTTACTTACAACAGTTAGTATATACATATGCAGTATGTAGTCAGAAGTTGATATATTACGACCACAGGATTTCTTCATTTGCGGTATTACGTGAATTTACCCAATGAGCCTGAGTACTATACCACCATTACTATCTTACTGGTGTGCCTGACATGAGGTCACCGTGCAGTCCCGTCAATGCGCTATCCCTACCCAGGACTAGCGCCATTACTCGGTCTGGATCGCTGAGTCAGCCATTTACATGCCGCGCTTCCAATTTATGCGCGCATTCATCGAGTCTCTCCTGTCGCATCAACGATGGACTTTGCAAGTCTCACTCGACCGGCAGTCATCTGTCATTGTCGCCGTTGCTTCAGCTCCCTGGCCGTCCTAGAAAATGAATGGGCCGAAGTTTCTAATCTATATGCCACCTCAACCGCCTGGGTGAGCGTCGACGCCGACCGCATATCCGTCTCTTCTCAACGCAAGCGAATTCCTGATCAAAGCGATGCAACTCTCATCAGAGGTCGTATCACACAAGAGGCATCCTGTAGGATGTGTCCAAGCTCCTCAAAACTCGGTGTTCTCGTCGAAATGGACAATGGGTAAGTGGCATGAATTTTGGACTACACCTCCCCTTTACACTTTACTATCAATCTCGCTTTTGCACTTCATCTCCTACTGACACTCGTACAGTCCTATCTTTATTTGGAAGATGTCAAAAGTCTCTTTTAGGGAGGTCGTATCCATGCGTCCAACGGAACCAGTCTTCAAGGAGGGTGCAATCGACAAACTCCTCCCCTCACCACCCCAGGAGACACCACTAAGCGCCCGCAGCTCTTTCCAGGGCGGTGCTTTGATTCCCGCCGGCGGGACGGATTTTCGCTCCTTAGACCCCATCATGCAGAATCACATGCAACACCAAGGCCGAAGCATCGATCAAATTTCCAGCTCAGTCAACAATCTGCACGACACCATGGCCGACCTCAAACTATCCTTCAACTCCCTGCGAATCAAGCTGAATGTCCCGACGCGATATGGAGGTGAAGACAGCGGACCTGGCTTCGATATGGTTGCTACGGTTTTAAAGGAGCTGAAATCCAAATCCGATGAGATTGAGAAATTGAAGCTGGAGATCGAGGCTTTGAAATTGAAGGCTCGAATCGCGGATTCGAAACCACATACCCCGGAATACATGGCGGGACTCGAGGGAGCGCTGCCGCGAATGCAAAGCCCCGATCTGCTGCAGGCCAGCCGAAAGCGTGGTTGGGCAGATACCTTCTCCGCCGGAAATACTATCGCTGTCGCGGATACGTTTGATGAGGATGATATGGAGGACGACCTTTCGATCACCGGCCACATCCCCACCAATGGCCCAAATATCCCTCTGAGAGATTTGGCATACAACTATGAACGTCAGCCATGGAGCGCGGAACCAGGTTTGCGGGACATATCGATTAATCAAGAACCAAGACTTGCTCATTCCGCCCAGAGCCCAGCCAAGAGACAGCGTCTCACCCACGAGCCAACCGACACAGATTCCATGCCTTTAAAAAGACGGCCTGGTCGGCCCAAGAGATCCGATGTTCCGGTAGATCCTTCCAATCAGCGGAGTCGTTCCAGTGGTTTTGGGGGAAACGAAAAACATCGAGGGTCCGGACGTCCTCGCCGCAGCGTTATTCCTGCATCTGATGCAACTGCAGATCAAGACATCGTCGACGACGCCAATCTTCATCAACACAACTCCATGCCAAACGACTACCCGGTTATCCCTGATGCTCCCAAGATTCAAAATGACCCTAGATATGAGAGCCAATCCAAAGATGATGCACCTGCAAGTAGTCGAACTGCCCTTAAGCCCTTCATCGAGGCGGCAACTGCCCCTAAGGCAAGGGGAAATGAGGTCGCGAATACTTCGACTGCCATCCCAACAATTGAAACCGAGAATGGCACCAGCACAAACGAAGATATACCAGTGGACAACCAATCCGCTCTCAAGATTACAACCGAGACAACAAACGGAATTCACTCGAATGGTGACAAAGCCGGGAATGATCAGAATGATCCCCAGGAAAATGGAACGACAGAGGATCAGAACACCCTCTCTGTCCCCACACAAACATCTGACAAAAGCAAAACCACTAAAAACGAATCTGCAAATGGCGCAAAGCTCGCCCGGGCTGGTAGTGGGAGAAAAAAGCGCAAGGCCAGTCTCGCGGCGCGGGACGCCATGATTCGAAGTGAGATGCAGCGCGAGGAAGCAATGGAGACCGAACAAACATGATGGTTTCTGATATGCATAGCAGAAAGCGTACGATATTTAGTAGTCCAAGGTCACGGCTGGGCCGACGATCCTATATGGGAGTGTATTATAGAATTCGAAATACGACGAAGTTCACCCGATAATCGGGGGGCGAGTTACTATGGATTATGAAGTTCTTTTTAGAAAGAAAAACCCGAAACACCGCAAGCGACACAATTAGGCCTTTGTCGGAACATGCCCTCTCTCCCTCTGTCTCCGAATCTCCGCAGCAACCACCTCCTCCGGCTCCGGCGCCTCAATGGGGTATTTCTTAAACAAATACCCAGCAACTAGTGAAACAATACAAATAGCACCCATCCAAACAGTCGTCGCACTGGCGATACGTTAATAAGTTTTTCGTACTAGTTGTGATTCGGAAAGTCTCGAGCACATACCTGAATCCGGGAATATACCGGGGCGCATCATGGTCTGGCCATAGGAAAACGCCATAGATGGAAGCAGTGTTTCCAAGCGCATTGACCAAACCAATGGCCACCGCGCGCTTCTCAGCTGGGTAGCAGATGATATTCGCAACCCACATCAGGACGAGAGGGGATGTGCCGTAGATACACCCGAAGGCGAAAGTGGTGAAGATATCTATACCGTGGGTCAGTCGAGATGTCCAAGAAAGAAAGAGATTATTCAAGTTTGGAATGATGAGACGCACAGCGGACAGTGTCGTTGCTATTCGCGCAGACAACGATGAAAAATATCGTTCCAATTCCGGAAAATAGCGAGATGAAGTAGGCCTTATTCTTGAAGTGATCTGCGACGAAGCAGAAGACTAAGATAAATACTACAGCGCATGCGTAGGGTGGAATGGTATGATCTATAGCAGTTAGTTCAAGTTCCTTTTGCGGACTATAAGTGACAGGGCCATGTGGTGGCAACTTACATTGCCCTTGCCAGTCCTTCCACCCGAAACTCTTGACAAGCGTGGGAATAAAGTACTGGATTGTCTGTGCTCCGGTAACAAGGGCATAAAGCAGAGCAAGAGTCCAAGTTCTCCAGTCTTTGACAACCATCTTCAAAGCTTCCTTCTCCGAGACTCGTCCATGGGCACCTTGTGTATTGCCCAGGCCATCATATGCAAGACGTTGGCTGGCGAGAAGTTGCTCTTCTGGCGTGAGCCAGCGTGTGTTTGATGGGTAGTCTGCCATGAAGAACCAAAGGATACACCCAACAAAGGACGATCCACAGCCTTCGATGATCTGAGAATCGTTAGCTATCAATCGTGTATGTGTTCGTGGAAGTAATGTTGAAACTATACAAATAACCATCTCCACCCATCAATTCCTCGAGCTCCGTCCAGATATTCGGTGATTACACCTGCGAGCAACCCCGACAAACCTCCAGCCACGGCCACGGCCGTGTAATATATTGCAAACCGAGTGGCAAGCTCATATCTTCGATACCTGGAGAAATTAGCATATTTGGTCACCAATGTCTTTGAACTGAACGGAAATGACAGAACACACCAAGATGAAAGATAAAACGCAATGCCAGGAGCGAATCCAGACTCAACAAACCCGAGAACAAACCTCACAGCAGCGAGTTGTTTCCAGTTCCTCGTCGCGGCCATTGATGCGGCAACTACCCCCCCATAGCAGAGCCAGGCCGCAGAGATACAAGGACGGTCGCACGCGGGCGATTATCATGTTGGAGGGGACTTCGAAGATGACATAGGAGACGAAGAAAAGTAGAAGGATGACGGAGTATTGATTTGATGTTAGATTGAAGTCATCTTCCAGGCCGCCGGTCTTGGCATTTCTGAAAGCGTTGGTTGTTTAGAAAAATTTCGTTGAAAAGCGCATAGGTGTGGGCATTAAAGGAATTAAATGATTTATTCACCCGATATTTGCGCGGTCTAAGTAGCCCAGCACGAAAAGAACCCAACAACAAGGCTAAAATGAGGTAATTAGTGTGATTGAATGAAGACGCAACGCGGGTTATATCCACTCACGATGATGCGAAAGTCCAGTTTGCGCAATAGCCTCTTTTCTTCTGGTGATCCGGGGACGTAGCTCGCAGCCAGAGCGATAGCTGTAGTATGATCGATACTCTCCTCCCACTCCTGTGCAGACTTTTCGTCGAGATGATGAGCAGCCATTCTTCAGCTTTAAATTACGTTGAGATTATGGGCATGCGCGAGGAAAGACTTTCATGACTGGAAGAGGGCTGGCGTGTTGCTTTTAGTAGCTTTTCTCGCTCTGCTGATCGCCATGACTCCGCAAGCGAGAGAAGTGGGGAAACGCAGAATCCGGGGTAGACAGAGGTCAGTTGCAGAGTCGGCGATTCACCGGTCCGGTTCTACAAGATGCTCAGCGTTGTCGGTGGACTTGGGGTCGGGGATTTGCCGATTGTTACATGATTGGCAGAAAGGGGGAGCATATATGACCCTCAAGAAGGAAGTCAAAGCTTTGCTAGCGAATTATATCCTTTGATAGAAATGCCCTCGAGTACATTGGTTATTATTTTCCTGGCGATTCACACCAGTCGGTATAAGCCCGACGGGGTTATGTCCGAGTATGTCCGCCTTGGGTTTTTCAGTAGTACTATTAGGACATGCCGAAAGTAATGTTTGACAAGCTTTGAAGAAAAGAGAAAATGATTTCTAAGTTTAACTCTTTTTATTTTATTATCTCACGTCTTTGGAGAATTGATGGCCGAGCCGTGACTTTTGTCGATCATATTGATGAAATCTTAGAGGACCTCATCACCACCCCAAAGCCACCAAGCAGGGCAGAAATTCCAGTGAAGACAATCAACGGGCCATAACCTGACCCATATGCCTTCGCAGCTTCCCCCTTCCATGCATTGTTCTTCAACAACGCTTCGCTCAGCGGACCGCTGATGACGTTCCCAATTCCCCGACCGGTGGACAGGAATCCAAAAACAATACTAGGATCGGTATATGCACTCTTCTTTCGCACCTCATTAACAATGGCCGGCCAGGTGGAGGTAAAGCATCCGGCAAAGAGGCCGTAGAAAATGCAGAATATGTAGAGAGGAGGAAGGGAATCGGCGAATCCCCAGATCAGGAATACGGCAATGGTACTTCCGGCCGTGGAGGCGAGGATGCACGTCGTAGCGTGGAATCGATCTACCATTGATCCCATGGCGATGCAGCCGAAGACAGAGGCAAGGTTGAACAGGATGACCGTCAGGGTTGCTTGGAGGCCGCTTGCTCCGAGGGTGCGGGCGTAGGTGGGAAGATAAATAGTTGGGAGGAAGTAGCCCATGGCCTCGAGAATATTTCCAGTTTCGTAAATCATGAATGTCGAGTTCCACAAGAAGCGGAAATCCAAGGGTCTAGAGCGAGAGGTGCGGGAAATGGGGAGTCGAGGTCGAACAAAGTAGAGAAGTGGACCGCCCATAAGGAGGAGGATGATAGACCAGGCTCGAAGAGCTGTCTGATGGCCGAAACTATCCAATAGCCACTGCAAGACAATTGGAAGAATAACACCCGATACCCCGGTTCCAGCCTAGATGAGTGTGAGCATGACTAGTAATACTTCTGGAAACAACGCAATTCAATCACTGTTGGATATACGTACCCACATAATGCCAAAGGCAAGTCCCTTTCTTTGCACAAACCAGTCATCCATGAAGACAATGGTTGGCGCATATGCTAAACTCGAGCCAATTCCGTACGCAACACCTTGAGAGACAATTAGATGCGTTGTGGTCTTGGCGAAAGAGCTCATTGCCAGCGCGAGGCACATAATCAAAAAGCCCAGTGGGGCAGCCCACAGCTTGAAGCGGGGAAGACCCTGAATCATGATGAAGGCGAGCGGCAAAAGCATGTAGGAAATACCCTGGTAGGCAATCAATCAGTGACATGTTTGGATACAATGTTCTTGTGAGAAGATATCTCACCATCGCACAAGTGCCAACCACGGCGATGTCTCCAGAGCTCTTGAAAGGCTCATGGGTGCTGTAATAATCTTGAAAAATCCCGTATGAAAATGTGAATCCTATATTCGACCACGTTGTTAGTAAAATATTCAGACACACGCTATGTCGGAGGATACTCTGAAGTATACATGCACATACCCCAGATCAAAGCTTCAATCATGAAACATGCTGCAAGGAAACCCCATGCGCCGCGGCCCCGATCCACTGGTGGAAGGTTGGCTTCGTGCAGGTCAGCAGTACTGCCATCGGGGGACACTTCGAGTTCTTCCATGGAAAGGTTTCTTAGCAGGAATCACTGGAGATACAGTCCATTCGAAATGGAAAGGAAATTGATGCTCTTTAAGTGGCGCTCAGATGGCAAACTTTTCCTTTCCGCCTCCGCCCTTCTTTTGACAAGGCGGGTCCGATGTGGAGTAACTCCAACTATTTAAAGAGCTCCACTGCCCCTCGTAGGGTGTAGGGTGCAGATGTGCAGATGTGCGGAGCGAAGGAGTAGAGACACAACTGCATTGTTAAAGTGAAATTTTATTTTTCTTTAGCTCGTCTATAATTTGAGTGATTGAATTATGATGACCGAAATGAAATCTAATATGCATCTTGAAGTGTTCGGACGGGTCCATTATTGCACCTTACCCCGAGAGTCAACGGGCCAAATCTCCTCAATCACACCGTTGCGATGCGCATAATAGAAATCGTGCAGGTTGACGGTGGGATCGATATGGCTAGGAAGCATCTCGACACGATCACCAACGGATAGCGCTGGTGATCCCTCTTCCCACATGAGAGAGCCGTGCTCATCGCCCAGCACACCATATTCATACCTCGAGTCCTTACACTCAGCCAAGCCACTGTCTGTGGTCAACGACTTGAGTCCAGTATCAATTGTGACTGCTCGGGGTCCCTGCTGGCTGATAACTGTTGACAGCAGAACAAGACTGTGGGAGAAGAAGGAGCCAACGGCGTTGCGGTAGTCGACATCCATGAAGATGAAAGAACCAGGCTGAAGCTCGGTGACGCCAGGAACACTGGCGCAGAATTCAGCAGTGCCAGTTCCACCAGTGGTAACAACCTCGATGTTGAAGCCAGCCTGACGGAATGCGTCAGCAGTGCCGGTCAGAGTAGCCATCGACTCCAGACATTGCTTCTTGCGATCCTCGTAGTCGTGCAGATGTTGTAGATGACCCTCATATCCTTGGACACCAATCAGGTTCAGGTGCTTCAATCCTCCAACGTGTCGTGCCAGGGCAAGAGCCGGCTCACCGGGCTTGACGCCGGTACGGTGCAATCCAACATCGAGATCAATCAGGGTTGTAATGGGCTCCACGATGCCGGACTTCGCCAGTGCGTCGTTGATGGCCGAAGCACCGACTTCGCTGTCGACAACAATGCGAATCTTGGGGTACTTGCGATACAACTCCACCAACCGCTGGACCTTGACGGGGCCCACAATCTCGCAGGTGATGAGTAGGTCATCAAAGCCCGCTGCAGCGATGGCCTCCGCCTCGCTAATCTTCGCGACACATCCTCCCTTAGCACCAGCCTTTGCGAGTTTACCAGCAAGAATTGCGCTCTTGGTTGTCTTCAGATGAGGGCGGATGTTGAGTCCGGTGGGGAGGAGCTTATCCATGAGCTTCTTAATATTGGCCTCCATGAGATCCAGATCCACGATCATGGAGGGAGTATCGAGGCTATCGACGCGATCGCCGACTTTCGGAGAGTAAGTCATCTTGGAAACGGAATTGATCGACTTCGGCGGGTTGGGCAGTGAGTATGTTTGTCGTAGAAAATAAGTCGAGGGGTAAAAAGGTGGGGGAGCTGGCAATTTATGTGGCTGCAAGGGGGGAAGGGACACGGTGACATGCAGATCTTGACTCCCAGAGAGGGCCGAGTCCCGGGGATGACGAGAGACTGGGTGTTATCACCAATGCTACTCATCTCTTACCGTATGAGGACATGTGGGTGTTGGTTATCACCAATGCTACCCCAGGTCCATCCCACTCGAAGATGGCATCGCTGATTCGCGCAACAGGCGGGCATCCACTAGAACCGGTGGATACCCCCGCGCTAGAAGGTGGTGTCAACCCCCACACATCGGCGCATTGCCGAGATGAGAATCCCGAGGGAAACTGTGACAATAGAACTCGAAATTGACGGGAATCGATAAAAAAAAAACCTCAGAACTGAGTTGAAAGGTACTTTCAAGACTATCCGAGTCAGAATGCTGACTGTGCGGATGGAACTCCTTCGGCTTACCGAATTTAGATATATCCGAGTTCAAGTTCCAGCCGAACAAAGCATCATTGTAAACTTGACCTCATCGAAGTGCGTGATGATTGGCTGATGCATTCTTTGTTTTTAAATACCATTGTTGAGTCCTTGGCTCATTGTTTCCAGCTTTTATGGATCATTGATCTCAAACTTGAACTGACCTCGGGAACTTTTTGAATACTAGTATATATAATATGAGTACTAGTAGTGATTCGCGACTACTCGAGTATCAAGTTCAAGTCCGAGTCTCGAGTCAATTTCGCCCGTATTTCCGCTGTGCACCTAGGCAACTTGAACTTCAAGTTGAAGGCCCTGGGTCTAGACTTTCGAATTCAGCCCACCTGCATACTAATACTAGTACTAGTAGTATTCAACTTGAAGTTATTTGTAGTAGTACTATCACCCATGAACCTTCATGTTCTCAGAACTCCCAACCGAAATGATACTAATGATCCTTACACAAATGTCTAGTGCAGAATCTATAAGTCGCCTAGCACGGACAAATCGTAGGCGAGTATCTCTTCAAGCGTGCCGTCCAAGAACGCGATGGCCGGTTACTGGGAAGGGCGGTTTTCAAGGGCAGCACCTGCATTATTATTTGAGCCCTGCAATGTGGCGCTAATATCGATGCACAATTTGTTCTCAATAAGAAAGATATAGCCGCATATGGCCTAGCCCCACGAGACCGGAGGAATACAGGCTTGGCTACTCCTCTAGGCCTGACGGCTATGATACGAAATGATGACATGCTTAACTTCCTCCGTGCTCAAGGTGCGTCTGTTTACTCCTTTTGGATTCCGGTTAGAGAAGGCGAATTGTTTCAGCCTATTCAGAGAGGCTAAATCGCTCAGTAGAGGTTTCTTTATTTTTGTGCCCTTTTCTCGTCCTGGGCCTATCTTAGATTTTCAAACTTGCAGGTAGGATTAATTACTAGTATTAGTAGGAGAATTGAATCTTATCATATTCCTTGCTTCTAAGTATATCCCAGATGATATCTTCCAACTTGAAGGTTATCATGTAATACTTAGCAGCCTGCCAGTGGACTCGGAGGTGCTTCCAAGACTAATATCCGAGTCAAAACGTTGAGTCTCCCGGTCTTTCAGGCTCGGCCTATCAAACCTTCCAGGTTTGATACTTTTTTTTTGGATAAATACAAGTCGACCCGAGTCTGTTTAACGGAAAGGCCTCGAGGTTGATTGATCACTACGCCTATCTGGCTTTGGAGCTAGATGGAGTGTGTAGTATATGTTGACTAGTAGTTGAAAATATTCATTTGTGTTATTGAATTGATACTATATCATGCAAAACAAGACGATGATATCTACCAAGCAAAGGAATCTATATTTCCCGCTTCTCTCGGCGATTTCTTCGAAGGCCAAACATCTGTAGAATTTCCGTCCAGAAGCCCGGAGCGTATTCAGTGAAAGACGCCTCATACGCATCAATCACAGGTCTATCCCAAATAAGATCTGCTTCGTGAGCCTTGATAAACTTAGTCCGTTTGATGAGCTTCCACCCGAAGAATAACACAGGTGCAATTAACACCATGGTGTAGTATGTGAAGAAATCACCGACGGCCCAGTTTCCGGGTAAGAATGTCGAGTAGCCGTATGTGCAGACGATCATTGTCATCCAGACCAATCCAACCCAGGCTGAGTATGGCTGGAAGTAGCCGTAGTAGGGCAGAGTGCGACGGTCGATATTCTGTGCCCTCAAGGCGCGGTAAAAGAAGATATAAGTGATGCAAATGATAATGTAGTCGATGACCTGCGCGGCTGTGATGATGTTCGTCAACCAAGTCAACACCGTTGAAGATCCTTTAGATACGTTGAGGAAAGCGAGGAATGGGAAGATCATCACGACCAGCAGACAGTAGATGGGGACGCCCTTCTTGGTGCACTTTCGGAAGACCTTTGGTGCCTGTCCTTGTAGAGCGAGGCCGTAGAGACTGCGAGCTCCGTAGTATGTGTAGGCGTTGCCGGCGGAGAAAATACTAGTCACCAATAGTGCATTGGTGATATGTGGGAGCACCGAGATCCCGAGGTTATTCATAGCAATAACATAAGGCGAGGCGGCGGCGGTGCCAGAGCCAGCGGAGGAGCCTGACAAAATATCCAAGAGGGTCTTGTCGTTATAAGGGATGACAATTCCCACGCATAGTGCACTTCCGATGAAGAAGAATGCGAAGCGGAGGTATGTGGTTTTGAACGCAGTCTTCAGATATCTTCGAGGTAGCTTTGTCTCGCCAGCTACCATAGCCATATATTCGGGTCCGACAATAGTGAACGAGGCACTCCAAAGCGCACCGAGGAATCCTTCAAACTGACCCAATGGGCCAGTTGCGATGTATTCCGCGAAAGACCCAGGGTTTTTCCAGTATCGAAATCCGTAAGCGTCGTGTTTCGGATTACCGCCGACCATTGTGATGAATGTGAAGAGGAAGACAATGAGGATTAGGATGACCTTTCCTGTTGCGAGCCAGAATTCTGCTTCACCATACCATTTGACGGTAAAGGCATTGAGGATACTAAAAAATAATTAGTGCCAAGTAGATCGACCGGGTCAGGGAACAGAAACACACAAGTAGATCACGATGCAAGCAGCGACTACTGCTTCTACCGGGATATCATCTCGCCAAAACGTCAACACCAAGTTAAGAGCCGTGATCTCAAATGGAATCAGCAAGACCTCGTAAAGAAAGAAGTTCCACCCGGCCCAGAAGCCAAAGGATTCATCAACCCATTTACCAGCCATGCGAATGAAAGCGCCACTGATGGGCATGAAAACCGCCATCTCAGCCATACAGTTATTGACCAATCCCATCATACAAGAGTAAATTGTGTAGGCCAAAAACAAACTACCGGGCCCACCTTTCGTTAAGCCTGCCGTAATGCTCACGAAAGTCGCCGTACCAATCGAACCACCAATGGCGATCAACTGAATCTGGCGATTGCCCAGATGACGCTTCAGCTGGTCAGTATTGTCAATAACAGTCGCGACATAATTTTTATCGTTTTCGGAGTCGGGAACTGCTTCCGCGACATCTTTCTCGTTCACCCCCATCTCGACTTTGTCCCTGTCATAACTCGCCATTGAATGGAAATGGGTATTATGGCTCCACAAAGTGGATGTAGGAAAGTGAGAACGTGGAGATTTCCAAGACTGAAGAGTTACTGGTAAATGTATATAGCCTGAGCTCTTTGCTGATGCATACCCCGGATCAAAAGTGCGCATCGCCCCGATTTAAATACAATTCAGCCTCCATCATGAATCCCCTCATCCCAAACACCTACCGTCATCTTCCTGCTCGCTAGCCCTCCCGTATCAAAGGCCCGTGTGCCGTGTCCAGTTATCGTTCAAAATATATAGCAGAGTTCTTATTCGCCTTAAGCCCATCCTCTCTACGCCAGCCTTGGCTTGGGGAAACCTAGGGCCACCACTGCACCAATAGCAGCATCTTCCCCGCAACTTTGTCTGAATATCTTCCTATCGCGTGGGAAACCTAATGAGGACAGACATCGGGAGCCCTTCCGATGCTCAGCTCGCTCGAGATAACCCCTGTCGTTGATATCCGGAACGGTCGGTCGAGCCGACGCAAAAGCGTGGCGCAAGATAAAGGCGTGCTCTGCTATCTGGCATGAGATTCGCGCATCGATTGATAAGACAGGGGACTCTAAAGGTTTACTTCAGAGATAGATAAGATGAATGCCGCAGGTCAATAACGCAATTACTGGTTTCAAAGACAGAGATGGCCCCATCTTTAACGTCGTTAAAAGACATTAGTTAACTAGTAGTTAGTATGTATCCACCTTGGCATGAGATGAGGCTATCCCCCTTTTCACTGTCTCTCCCGGCAAACTTTCGCCACCACCGTAAAAGGGGGCGCTCGCACGATCCGGGCGCGGGGAAATTTGCGCGAGGGTAAGATGCCTATAACGAGTAGGTGTGGCAAGGTAGAACTTACGATGCACGAAGGCGGACTGAGAGATACTGAGCAGGTGTATATACCCTGAAAGAGACTCATTCTCGCGATTTCAAGCCGTTTAGGGCCCTCTATCCGAACGATAAATCGCTCATCCCATCTATGGGGCAAACGGGATTTGGAAGAATACGGGAAGGGGCTGAATTTCTTAGAGCTGAGTGTTAGGGCTTTGTGCGTTGCGTGGTCCGAAACTGCGAAACTCCAGCCCCAACCACTCGAAGATCTACAATCGGAAGAGGCGAAATAAGTGGAAAAACCTGCTTGTTCGTAGGTTGGAATATCTGTTTAGGTATAATGAAGAATTTATATATCTCCGCTCTTTTATTTGACACACATAAATCCACAGCCCTCGCGGGCCCGCTCGCAGGCCTTCTTTAGGGCTTGCTCTTCCGTATCCGTCCACTTCACCGTGAGCTCATCCCAAGGCTTGCGCGAGTTGAATTCCTCGCGATATGTTCTGTGCATCCCTTGGAGACGACTGACTTCGCGTGGGTCGCCGGTACCAGTGTAGACGATAAACATGGTACAAGGCGGGAGGGATTCGTAGATGCGGGTGATGTCGGTGACGGTTTGGGTGACGGTTTCCGCAAGAACATTGTCTGCTGGAGCCGCACTGCTGTCTCCAATGCTTGTTGTGGAGGTGGTTTCCTCTGGTGGAGGAGCCAAGGTTGTAGAAGCGTTGGCATTGTTAGGGTCTGGAGCACGGTTGCACCAACCCCGAAGATGTTCAAGGTTGCGGAGGCGTGCCCACGTAAAATCAACACCGCCACCGGGAATCGAAGGGTTCGATTCATCACCGTTGACTGCCGCTGCGACACCATTGACAACGTCATTATCGTCGCGACATCCGATTGAGGCAGTCGCCTGCGAACCAAACCCTCTCTCGGGACTGCCCCAGTCGACTACTGCACCGGTCCGTCCCTCGCCGGGGGTTGCGGTTTTCCCTACACGGGTAGACCGACCAAGTCGGCGGAAAATACTCTCGTTTGATGCATCGCTTGTACCCCAACGCTCTCCCTTCTCACACTTCTGCTTGACCAGCTCAAGGACCGCTCGAGCATCTTCGACCGAATCGTGGCCATTTCCTCCCTTTTGAATCTCCTTGTTCACATACTTTTGGGTAAGCCATTTCAGGCTGCACTTTAGAGGCGGGCCACGAGGATGAGGGTAGATGATGGCAGTATCAACAATGAAAGGGTGGGTAAGTTTGAGTGCAGCAAGGTCGGAATTCAAAGAGTGGCCAATTAGAATAGACTGGGGGGGGTCAATATCGTGAGAAGACGCTGTTGAATGTCGGATAGTGTAGTAGTAACCGGATCAAGCATCTCCTTCGTGATGCCAGAATACTGGGTGAGGTAGTTGGTTACTGGTCGCGAAGGCTGAACCAGCTCGTCCATAACGACCTCACCATCCCAGCCGACAAGACTAATACGAGCCAGTTCAGACTTATCTCCTTCGGTCAGACACATCTCACAATCGAGGGACAAGATCTTTCGTCCAGCTGTCACGCTACCACCTTCAATCTCGGCATCTGGAACAATGCCAGCATCCAAGTCGGGAACGGCCGTGTCCACCCAGCCATCCTCCAGAGCGCGATTGTTGCGCCGACGCGACTCGGCCTCTTGCTCCTTCTCAGCATCTGAACCAAGAAGGGCCGGGTGTAGTGGATATTCGCTATCACGAAGATCCTCCAAAGAACTGATGAACGTAGTGATGGGGGTTCGCCTGAACATTGCGGTTTTATCAAATCGTGCCGGGCGAGCACCCTTGCGGCCTGAGTCGTCTTTTGTCTTCGGAAGGGTCGACATCAAGATGGCTTGCAATGGCGAGTGCACTTTGTTGTATTTATTATCGCCGGGGGCCTTGACAGGCCAAACATGAGGGAACATATCGCTAAGCGGGCGGAGGGGTTCGGGCAAGGCGTCTGCTGAAAGCGCTCTGGGATTATAGCGAGATGATCGGTCTGGGGGTGGCAGACCTTCTTTCCAATTTTGAAAGTCCTCATTTCGTCTATCTTTAGAAGTATCGTTTTCTGGGTCTGTGTCGCCAGAAGTGGCTTTTGCCTCGCCATTATCGCACTCGCCAGCAGTAATCGGAGTGAGTGGGATAGTGCCGTCAAACATGCCGATTTCCAAGCCCGGGACCATCAAGACAACCACCTTGCGCACATGACCGGAGTGTTTGACAGCGATCCATTGAGGTGCAATGCCATCTGCGAAACAGTAGAGAAGAAGGCCTTGGAGGTCTGCAATTCGGATCGAAGACTGCAAGCGCCCTTCAACGTATGTCAGGACTGGGTACTTGGTCTTCTCGCCATCTGCACGCCTCTTCTTGCTTGAGCGCACCATCTCGCCCGAGCTCTTCTTTGTTGAATCGTCGGTCTCGGGGGAAGCTTCGTTTAGGCGTGCGAGTGTATCGGCGACGCCAATACCATTGGGGCGAGGTTCTGCGACGGGGTCGGGGTCATCATCGCGCTTTCTCTTTTGTTGTCCAGGCATGATTTCAAAAATGTCTTCGTCTTCATCCACTGAAACAAAGCAGTCTCGAATCGGCAAACGACTGGGAAATTCGCGACGCTCACGTGGTGATAAGATGATAGGCGGTGGTATCTAGCACGTGATACTCGACCCCTTGGCCGGATTGAGTGATCACGTGCGAAGATCGGATAAGCAAGACCCCGTGACCGGCTTGTACCGAAACTATAATTACGTGATACCCGGCAGTATTGCTTACGGGGTGTGTATCATTGGCTATTATGATAGCGTTAGTCCATACCAAGTTAGCTACTCGGCGGTGAGACGGTACAAGTACTTTTGGGCTCCGTAAGCCCCAGGGTGACCATACAATACGCATCTGATAACGCAGGATCGCCGGAAAATTCACCCTCCACTCTCGTCACGCCATCTTCCGCCCCGGACAACTCTGCTTCTTTCATCATCCAGAGGTATTCGCCCTAAATCAAATCCACTCTGCAAACTCAACAAACGACTCCCGAGGGCTTTGCCTATTTCGACCAGCTCTTCACTTTCCGCTCCTACCACTCCCCTCCGCACTGTCCACACGCGACCCCTCAACGATGTCGTCCCTCATCGAAGTCCCCTCGGAGGACGCCTTCGCGCAGCACATGAGCAATGCTCCTCCCGAGACCCTCATCATCCTCTACTTCTACGCCTCATGGGCCGCCCCTTGCACACAGATGCGCAATGTCCTCAACGCCCTCGCCTCGCAGTACCCCGCCACGACCCCGCCAACAGTCTCGTTTGTCAGCATTGACGCCGAACAGCTGCCCGATATCTCGGAGGAGTACGATGTGTCCGCCGTGCCTTTCGTTGTCTGCGTGAAGAACGGAGAGATTCTGGAATCCATCAGCGGCAGTGACGCTATCAAGGTTCGCGATGCTATCGAGCGCCATGTTGGTGGTGGCGCCCCCACCGATGGTGGTCACAGAGCGCATATCCCTCCTCCTCTCTCGGCGGTTGCCCGTGAGAATGGCCCTGCTACTGCTACCCAACAGCCCGTTTCTACCTCCGATGGTTCGGCTGGACCTGCCGCCAATGCGGTCCCGGTCTCGGCTGACCCCGCTCTCACACCCGAGCAGTCGAAAGAGGCCCTCTTTGCCCGTCTGGGCGAGCTTGTCAAGGCCGCCCCCGTCATGCTCTTTATGAAGGGTACCCCCAGTTCCCCGCAGTGTGGCTTCAGTCGGCAGCTGGTCGGTATTCTGCGTGAGCGCAGTATCAAGTATGGATTTTTTAACATTCTGGCCGATGAGGATGTTCGTCAAGGTCTGAAGGAGTTTGCTGAGTGGCCTACTTTCCCTCAATTGTGGGTTGCTGGTGAGCTGGTTGGTGGTCTGGATATTGTGAGTCTCGTCTCGTCTATCTTGCCTTTTGTTGTTCACTGGAATGCCTTACTAACCTGTTTGCTTTCAAGGTCCGCGAGGAAATCAATGCAGACCCCGACTTCATGGGAGAATACTCCGTCAACAAGCCCGTGGCTTGAGTTAGTCCCCGGATGATACCCTTTACTTGCCTCGGGGCTGGATGCTGTACTTCCGCCGTGATGATATACGTTTTTCCTTGATATGAAAAAAAGAGAGCTAGTATGAGTTGTGTAATTCTTCAGGTCATACGTTTCAAAATAGAGATATTGGACTCGGATGAGTCGTCTTACTTTCCAGAGGAGAAGTTGCCGAGTACCTAGGTATGCAAGGTTGAGTATGCGAAGGGTGATATAGAATGTACTAGTAAGATGAGCACCCATAAACTGAAGTCTAGATCTTCGCCATTGCACCCCTCCTCCGTGTCCCATATTCACCAGTCACCAAAAAGATGAAATGAACAGGACACGATCTAAACCTCAAACGCTATGTTTCTTTCGCTATGCTACCGTCTATTCAATTCGACTGGTCTCTTCCACATTCTCTACCTTTGCACTTTGAGTCTGAGATTGCTGCATAGCAGCAACGGCGATCTGCTTCTCCTTCGCAATGCGGGCCTTGATCTTTCTCACAGACCTCATGGGATCGCCATCCTTCCACTGGGCAGGGAATTTTCTCGCATTTGTGGCGAAGCTGGATAGCAATGCATCCTCGTCAACGTAAGCGCCCGCCAACCAGCGCGAACCAGACGAGGTATTGAACTTATTCCGAGCATGGACGATTCGACGATTAGCGAAAATCACACACTCGCCAGGATTAAGCTTCAGCTGGAAAATCGACGGCTGGCTTTCTAGCAGATAGGTAAATGTCTTCAGCGCGTGTCTCAATTGCTTGAAATCAACATGATTGTCGACGCCCTTTTCTCTGGCTTTCGGAACGGGCGCTTGGAATGGAGGGGAATAATTGACGTTGCGCAGTTGTCCGGTCACCTTGTCGACTTCAAATAGTGGTCGCGTATTGCTGTAGATGTGGTCGTTGTGCATGTATTCGAAGCCGAAAAGTCTTCGGGTCAGTGTTTTGTACTCAGTGGGATAATGTCTTTTCATGATATCGGCGACGCGGAAGGAGTCGGCGAAGAGCGACTCGCCTCCCACGCAGGAATTTTCCAGGCAGTGCAGGAGTTGATATCCGGGCGGCTCGTTCATGTATAGTAGATCCATGTGGAAGCCGAGGTGTTGGTTTGTGTATGCGACGTTCTTGGCTTGCGGCACTGTACGCACGTCCCAGGTCTCTCCGTAGAAAGAGTTCCGCACAGGGCCCATGCGTTCCGAGATCTTCTTCACCAGCTCTCGGGATTTCGGGATATCTTTGATAAAGATCAGGCCCATGCGCTGGAGGTTGCGCATTGACTCGGCGAACTTGGCATCGTTTGACATGTAGTCGTCAAATGAAACCCAGTGTTGAAGGTCCTTCATCATCGTGTCGCCCCAGATAAGGGGGGTGGTAGATTTGGAGATGTTGTCGTGAGTATTGATGGGGCCAGCCATAAGGGTCGGCACGTCCAATGATGTGGTATGAAAGTCGTCTAATCCGGAGACATCGTTGGCCCATTTGATGTCCAAAGTAGTACCATCCCAGCGCATGTGCCGCGGATAGATTCTGGCGGGAATGTCACTGGTTCTGAACGAGCGCTGCTTTGAGTGCGGATCGACACAGCGTGGGCATCGACAGACATCACGCAGGTACCAATATGGGAAACTGGAGAATCCATGGGCGAACGAATACAAGTGCAGGGAATCCCGTTCGGCAGTAAGTCTGTTTGGTTGAATGACCTCCGCTTCAGAGGAATCGTTTCCTTGGCTAGCTCTCTCGTGCACAAATGTGAGGTGACGGGTCTTGTCAATTAATTCCTGTTGCGATGCCTGTTCCATCAACTGGGACAGATGGTCGTGAGCTGTGGGGATTCCCTCGGAATTAAACCGCCTGGCCGAGGAGACGAATGTGCGCCGGGGAAGGACCGTCCGGCCCCGTGCGACCTGGCGCAGTACTGAAGAAGCTAAAGAACGCATTAAAAAGAGGAATTGATGCTCTGAGGCAGAAGAATGAGGGGAGAAATTAGGGAGCTTGTGGAGGGGGAGAACAACATGTGATGCGGTTGACCCCAGACTCTTCGGCCACGCGGGGAAGTTACCCGTTTCGATCGGGGCCGAGGTCCATCAAGGCAGGTTGGGCGATGCCCAAACTACCTTGAATATTCGCATGTTAGGTTCATTCGTAGTTAGAAGAAAACAATTAGATTCTCGCCATCACATTCTTCCTCCATTCCATATAATTGACCAATTATACCAATCCTAGCCTGTCAACTTCGGTATTCACCATAGAAAGCTATTCGGATAATCGATCCTCCGGTTTCCTATCCCCGGAACATGCTTATACCTTCTAGATAGCTCCTATTGAACAATTGAAGAACTTTTGAAGAATGAGAGACGAAAGAATATCCGATTGGGATGAAATCTTGAAGCAAACTTCCGAAGTCAATGGATGGGAATTCAATCATCCAAGTCCACGAATAAGACGGCATTATTGACAGCGAACGCCGCGATAAAAGGAGAGTAATTGGCCGCCTGCATTCAAACCATAGAGATAGTATAACTTCAAAGTAATCACTAGACCCTGATAGATCTATTGATTCAATCGAGCTTCATACAAAGTAGGGAAGCTCAATTATCGTTCTGCCAGTGTCAGATTTGACAATGTTCCATTACCAGTCTCCCCGACCTCTTGGAAATTATCAGTCGACGATTGATCTGTCCCTCAAACTGTCGGCGGTCAAATCCGGGAGAAGATAGCAGTATACATCGACTTCGGCGACGTTGGAGGAACGTGGGGCTTGAAAATCAATGATTTCCAAGTGGATGGAATCGACTTCCTAGCTTCAGTGCCGATGGATGTTACTTCCTATGTCAAGGATGGCCAGAATGGTAGGTTTGAATAGAGTTGGAGGATAGTTCTTCTCTGGCTGACCGATTACAGATATCGAGATTACCGTTGCAACAACACTGTGGAACAAACTACGGAAGACCTGGCCCGCTATCTATGGATCTCTGCAGGTACAAGATATTGGTCTTTTGGAGCCTGTGACTTTCACATACTACGTTCAGAAGCAGATATAAAAATGCTGAGTATTGGTCATCTCGTGCAAATTTGACATCCATGCAGAATATCAATCATCATGATCTTTTTATCTAGCTGTTTGTATGATGCATATCTTGTGCTCTGTCTCGATCGAACAATGTCTATTACTAGTAGATTTTACACATTGACCTTGGAATATAAGAGTTTGATTCCCATTTAATCCTTGGATTTCAGCAATACTAGCAGGATAATACTGAGTCCACCAGATCACACCAACTCCACTTATCATTAGAACCCGTAGCTATTTCTGTATCGCTCCACCCAATTAGGAAGGCAGCCAGTGATGACCAATCTTAGTCATCGACACCTCAGGCCGAACAATCCGGAGTTTACGTAAATCGCCGTGATCTCCATTCCATTCGCCCCCCGGAAAAAGGTACTCAATAAATAACAACACTTCTTTCTTGCACGTATCTTACCATGCCCTCCACCTGATTCTCGAACATGTCGGCTGGCGGCGAACATCTCAAAGATGAGGGTTCCAGACGACAAGTTATTATGGCCGGCGCCACAGCCGGCCTAATCTCACGCTTCTGCATTGCGCCGCTGGATGTCGTCAAGATCCGCCTGCAGCTGCAGATCCATTCACTGTCCGACCCGGCCTCACACCGGACGGTCGTGGGGCCGGTATACAAGGGGACACTTTCGACAATGGGCTCCATTATCCGCCAGGAAGGTATCACGGTATGTTGCCCAGTCAATTCCACCTCAATTGTACCTCAATTTCTCCTCGGGGAATTAGGTGACTAGTTCCAGTACTCAAACTCACATTCTCTCTTCATATAGGGCCTATGGAAAGGCAACGTCCCCGCAGAAATGATGTACGTCTGCTACGGCGCCCTCCAATTCACCGCATACCGCACAACAACCCAAGCCCTATCCCAACTAGGCCCATCACACCGACTGCCCCCCTCAGCCGAGTCCTTCATATCCGGCGCCGTCGCCGGCGGAATCGCCACAACAGCTACATACCCACTAGACCTACTTCGCACGCGCTTCGCAGCCCAAGGCCCCAACCGCGTCTACAAATCCCTCTACTCCTCCGTCGTGGACATATCCCGCAACGAAGGACCTCGCGGCTTCTTCCGCGGCTGTTCGGCGGCTGTGGCCCAGATTGTACCGTACATGGGCCTATTTTTCACGGCGTATGAGAATCTGCGGCCGACGATGGCGCAGTGGGAGTATCTGCCTTTTGGAACGGGCGATGCGGCTGCGGGTGTTGTTGCGAGTGTTTTGGCTAAGACGGGTGTTTTCCCGCTTGATCTTGTGAGGAAGCGGTTGCAGGTTCAGGGGCCGACGAGGACGATGTATGTTCATCGGAATATTCCGGAATATGAGGGCGTTGTTAGGTCTATTCAAATGATTTTGCGGACGCAGGGCGTGCGTGGGTTGTATCGGGGGTTGACGGTTAGTTTGTTTAAGGCTGCGCCTGCTAGTGCGGTGACGATGTTTACTTATGAGCGGGCTTTGAAGTTTATTCAGGAGGTGGAGGTTGCGAGGTGTGAGGCTTGAGGGGGAGATACGAAAAGGGAGGAGATATTTGCATTCCTAAGGTTGCTGCTTCTAGAAATGGGCATTTTATGGCGTTTTGGGGAATTGGGCTGGTTGCTTTGATTTTGTACTACCACTACTACTAGATTTAACTAGAATATCGGAACTGGATTCAATAAATGTGCATCAACTGTATTGTGAATTTGCACGCATCCAGTTAAGTGGTGTCGACTGTCGTCAGACAAGAGGGAGAGAAAAAGAGAAACGCTGTTGGGGCTCAAACGAAAGGGGGTGTCGCAGAAGAGAGAGATAGGTGAGGTAGGTAAATCGGACGTATATCCAAGTAGACAGAATGAAGGATCACAGTTTCTTATGTGCGAGGTTGGGATCGAGTAAAGCGAGTTCGCTTAGTACTCGAGCTCCTCCTGTTCCTCTTCGATAGAGTCGCCGGCGACCTCCTCGTAATCCTTCTCCAGAGCGGCGAGATCCTCACGAGCCTCGGAAAACTCTCCCTCCTCCATACCCTCACCAACGTACCAGTGGACGAAGGCACGCTTGGAGTACATGAGGTCGAACTTGTGGTCCAGACGGCTCCAGGCGTCGGCGATGGCGGTGGTGTTGGAAAGCATGCTGACGGAACGGTCGACGTTGGCCATCGCAGTGTCAGGAACCTGCACGGGCTTCTGGTAGTTGATGCCGAGCTTGAATCCGGTGGGGCACCACTCGACCAGGTTGAAGGAGGCCTTGGACTTGACAGCGGCAACAGCCTGGTGGCATTCCTGGGGAACAACATCACCACGGTACAGCAGGGCAACGGCCATGTATTTGCCATCCTGGGGGTTGCAGACAACCATCTGGTTGTTGGGCTCAAAGCCTAGCGTCACATAGTTAGCATTTTGAACACTCTAGTGCTGGAGGATATTCAATAGCAACACATACACTGGAAGGTGAGGTCTTGGACCTTGAAGCTCTCGTGGCCACTGCGGTTGCTGCCAACGACAGGAGCGTACGAGATCAGAGGGTAGTGGATACGAGGGAAAGGCACCAGGTTAGTCTGGAACTCGTTCAGGTCGACATTCAGGGCACCGTCAAAACGCAGACTGGAGGTGATGGAGCTGACGACCTGGGCAATGAGGCGGTTCAGGTGGTCGAAGCTGGGGCGGGGAATGTCCAAGTTGCGGCGGCAAATATCGTACACGGCCTCATTGTCGACCAGGAAAGTACAGTCAGAGTTCTCGATGGTGCTGTGGGTGGAGAGAACAGCGTTGTAAGGCTCGACGACAGCAGTAGAAACACGGGGCGAAGGGTAAACACAGAACTCCAGCTTGGACTTCTTGCCATACTCAGCAGAGAGCTGCTCCAACAGGAGGGCACCGAAACCAGAGCCAGTACCTCCACCGAAAGAGTGGAAAACAAGGAAACCTTGCAGGCAAGAGCAAGCATCTATTGCGGGTTAGTTTACAGATCGTGGGGGCGGGCTCCGCAGGGTAGCCCGGAGGTGTTGAAAGGAAGGTGTATATATGCATACCAATGACGCGGCGAATGCGGTTCAGGACGTCGTCGACGAGCTCCTTACCGACGGTGTAATGACCACGGGCATCTGCATGGGAATTAGCTTTCGGCTCATATGTGCTCGGTCCCATAGGACCGTTGATGAGGTGCATGTACAGTTGTTGGCAGCATCCTCCTTGCCGCTGATCAGCTGCTCAGGGTGGAAAAGCTTCTTGTAGGCGCCGTGGCGAATCTCATCGACGGGCTATTTTTCATCACAGTCAACCGTTAGCCCTTGTCCCGCTTGTTCCTGCAAATTATTCCGTTTCCCCATACCGAAGGGTCGAGATCAGCGAAGATGGCGCGGGGAACATATTTGCCGCCGCTGGTCTCGGTATAAAAGGTATCGTAGGAGCCGCTGGAGCCGACTTCGTCGGCACGGGACTCGTCGAAATAACCCTTGGGGGTCAAACCGTGCTCAAGCTGGTACCTGTAGGCAAGATTGGACTGAATTAGCATGGGTACATTAGATCAACAAGAATAACAAGCGGTGAAGAAACCTACAGCTCCCAGGCGGCGTTACCGAGCTGGATACCGGCCTGGCCGATGTGCAGGTGCAAGATCTGAGCAATTGAGATGGGTTAGCTTAAATCGGGGGTATAATGCCATTTCGATATGGACGCATTGTGGACTGGTGGCATTGAGCGGAGCCGGGGGCCATTGCATCCATGGACACGGACGGGGGGTTCAGGGGAGGGACAAGTGGGGGAGGTGGCGGCGGTGGTGATGGGGATGTTGGTGGCAATGTGGTGATCAGGCAGTTGAGATCAATGGCATAAATGGACAAGACATACCTCTCCTCGGACCATGGTGAATAAATAAGTCGAGTATAACTTAACAAAGCAGAGTGAAGCAGAAGGGAAAGAAAGTGTTGAGGGAAGGAAATCATGTGGGGCGGAAGTGGCCCCTGAGCAAAGCACGACAAACTGGCGGTCTGCGGGGTTGCTAGTTCATAGTAGTTACAACCACTATTTTTTTTACTAGAAGTGTGTTATTTCTGGTTAATGGAATGCATTTAATGTAATATCAATATCAATGACATACTATGATATGCTGGTGAGACTGGTAGTATATGGTTCATAGTACTAGTACGGAGAAACACTGTATAGAATAATTAGTATACCCACCTAGGCATAGTATTATGTACTCTAGATATCAAGACTAGCACTCCTCCGTGCTTATATTACCGCCAAACATGTGCAAAAATAACAATTCGTCCTAATTGTACCATTGAGCTACCCACTGGCACTGCTCCAACTAGTAGTCTTGGCGATGTGACTGGTATCTCCGTTACTACAAAAATAATACTAGTAGTACCAAGTATGAAATGATTCAAGACACCAATTGAATTTATCTATTAGATAGACAATCGCTTAAAAACATTGCCACAAGTCACTAACTACTCCAGGGCTACTAGTAGTTTCAAAACAATTCAAGTGGATGCGCAACTATTGATAAGTTGCCCTTCCAGCTGGGCATCTTGCCACTTGAAAATTTCAACTAGAAGTATCCATGGTTCTCATTTGGTTCAATTCATGAAAATCGTGTACTTCGAATCAAGACGCAGTATTTCTCAATAGCCTCATTCGGCATGCTTCGCACGATAAAAGTCTTGGAATTCCGACGGGCCTGCCAGCAATTCCTTAGGACTATCAAATTCCACAAGCCGACCATGTTTCATGAGAGCAACGCGATCGAAGCTTTCAATGTATTGGAGACGATGAATAACCGAAATCACGGTCTGAGAAGCAAACTCTTGCTCAATAATACTTTGCATGGTGGCTTCCGTTTCCCAGTCGACACTGCACAGCGGAAGACGATTAGCAGGGGATGTACAACTCCCACAAGAGATGAACTTTGAGCTTACCTGCTCGTCGCCTCGTCAAGAATTAGAATTGGACTTTTCATCAGCATTGCTCGCGCAAGTGCTAGCAACTGTCGCTCCCCCACCGACCAATCCGATACGGTCAACTGCTGATCCAGTTCTCCTCCTTGTGCTGTGTCACCACAGACTTTCTTCCAAAGTCCAACAGTTTCCAGTGCTCGAACGAGACACTCATCAGATATGGGGCTATCTTCAAATCCGCGGTCAAGATTGAAGCGAAGCGTGCCTGGCATGAAGAATGGCTCTTGGGGAACGACGTTGATTCGAGTTCGCACAGCATCGCAGGGGAGTGTGGATAAAGCTATACCGTCAATCTCAATTTGACCTTGCTTTAATTCAATCATTTGTAACAATCCAAGGATCAAGGATGTTTTGCCGCTTCCCGAAGGGCCACAAATGGCAATCTTCTCGCCCGATTGAATAGCTAAAGACAGGTCATTCAGGACCGGTGGAGATTGAGAGCTAAGCAACAACGTTAGCTAGGTTAGAATAAGGAAGCTTGGTGAGATTACTTGTAGAAAGCCGTGATTCCTCGGAAGGAGACATTTCCGGAAGTAGGCCAATTGGGCGGCAGCAGCTCTATACGACGTTGATCCCGGTCCTCAGATGGTGTGTTCTCGAGGAAGTCCTGAATGCGAGAGACGGCGCCGATTGATGTCTCTAACTTCGTCCAGGACTGAATAAGCTGCATCAGGTCCATATTAAAGCTTAGAATCAGATTCAGTGCAACACCAATTGCTCCGGGACTGAACTTGTCTTTCAATGAGACGACTAAGGTGACAAGTATAACGGCTAGAGCCATGACTATACAGTCAAGCACCAGTTGAAGCCATTGCTGAATGCAGAAGAGCATATAGAATGGTTGCTGTGATTGATTGAGAAGCTTATCAAGGCGATCCCGGAAGGGCTCCTGCCATCGCATGGCTCGAATAACGGATATACCCTGCATTGTCTCGACGAGATGAGTGAGGAGAGGTGCTTTAGCCTCAATGTCCAGGAGCCGCACTTGTCGAGAGGTCCGGAGGTAATATCCCTGGACAAAAAAGAGAATGACTGCCAGGATTGGGACGGTTACGGTGAGATATTTACCCATCACACAGAGGATGACAAGTTCCACAGCACAGTTTGCCAGGGCTTTGAATTATTTAGTGTCTGTTCCATTCTATCCTGGGGGTATGTTACTTACAAACGGCCGAGTTGATAGATTCATTTGGAAGATCCAGATCGATGAGCTCCAGGTCTTGGCTAAATCTATAATCTGTGAGTCAAACTACTCTGTGGAACCTTATAGATTCCAGGCTACTTACCTGTTAGTTGTCAATCCAGCGTCGACTTTCTGAAAAAAGCTAAACGGTGCTCTGGTGCGATAACTCAGCGTTAGACGGCGTAGAACTAGCGGAAGGTGAAACCACGTACTTTAATGTAGTTCCTAGCAAGTGGGAATGCATGGAAAGACCGGTATTGTTGATTGCTTTCACAAACAAAGCCCTTGGATAGGTTTATCAGTCGGTGTATCATAAATTAATGGGGCCGGGAGAGTGAAAACCTTACCAAGCTCCAATCATGAGTGTAGTGAGCGATATCGCAAACAGAAGTGAATATACCCCGATATAAAACCCGATCCTCTGATTTGGATGGCTATCATTGGCACTCGACCACTGCTGAAGCCATACGGCTTTTGAGAGTTAGCATTATCTCGATCATACTGGGAGAAGACGAACTGGAGAATCTATCAGAGAACCCAAATAGCGCAACACAGAACACGACAATAAATACGATCGTGTAGCCAGCCGACTTGAAATAGAATATATATACGGACCAACTCCCGTCTCGTCGAAGGGTATTTGCAGCATTGTCATCTTCGGGAATTGCCGACAACATTTCAGAGACACTGGTCATTTCGACAGCTTTGTCAGTGGGGGAACTCTCCCTTTCAGGGTCCTCAGTGCTTTGACCTCGGCTATCTTCTGGTATGATAGAGCGCAGCTGCTCGTATGTCCCGGTCCTAGAAAGTCGGCCATTTTCTAACATCAAGATCTTGTCTGTGAACGGGAGAAGACGGTTATTATGGGTTGCAAGAATAACTGTCCTGCCTGCCTTTCTGAAATGGCCATCTGCCGCAAGTAACCGAGAAGAAATCGCCGCTACAGATCGGGTGTCGAGACCGCTGAATACATCGTCGAGGACCAGGACCGCAGCTCGCGAGTAAACAGCGCGAGCGAGAGACTATTTTAACAGTTAGGTTTTTGCCAAACCCTAATGGATTACTAAGATTGAAATCACGTACGATGCGCTGTTTCTGTCCGCCACTGAGCGTGATACCAGAAGTTCCGGCAATGGAGAGATCCCCAGCAGGGATATTTTGCAAGTCTGTCTCTAACGAGCAGGCCCAGATCACGAAGTTGTACCACTTCTCATCGAATGGTGCTGGGCCAGTGATATTCTCCCGAATCGTGTTGTTCATGATCCAAGGGGTCTGGGGACAGTATGCGACCGTGGAGTTGAACGGCAACAGGGAGCCTTTCTGCAGAACTGTCTCGCCCAGGATACTTTCTAGAAGGGTGCTTTTGCCGCTTCCAACGGGCCCAACAATTGCTGTCATAGTGGCCTTTCTGAAAGTAATATCCAAATCTCGAAGAGTGGGCTCTGAGTCCTTTAACCAGGAAAAGCTGGCATCGCGAAGTTCAAGTACCATCCCAACTGGGGGTGTAAACAAGCCAGTGTTGGATTGCAGCTCGATACCGTCAGCTCCGGGGACAAAGTCCGAGTCTTCGTCCAGCGGTGCCTGGGTGCAGTACTTCTCGATGCGATCAAAACACCCAACCGACTGCCATAATCCCGGGAGTGCCTGGACAAATCTGAGAAGCGGAAATGTCATCAAGGAAATAAGGGATAGAGAAGTGAATGTCCGATTTGAAAAAAGCGATTCGCCGCCAGTAGTCACGGCAATTAAGGAAAATATCACGAATGTTGCGTATGGAGCCAGCGTGAGGGGCAAGTTCGCTGCGATAATTTTATTAGCAGTGATTAATTGGCTACCAATCGAGAGGGTCGGGCCTACAGATTGCAACCTGCCATAGAATGAGAACTCTAAAGCGCTCCGAGGCTTTCAGCTCCTCTTTTCGCAAACCCGAAACACTTTCGAACAACTTATCACTAATCCCTAGCATTTTGACAGCTTTCATATCATGCAGCATGCTAGATACTACAGTGAGCCGTGCTTGAACACGTTCAATCCACCTCAGCTGGGCACCGTTTGAAGTTTTCGATAGTGGGAACGTGGCCAGAATCGCGACTATTATGTTAGTAAGATACGTCTCTCTCAGGGCATTATAGACATACGAGACGAGATGACGGTCGGGATTAAACAAGCCACGCCAAGCTGTCGCTTCAGAAGATAGATTGCGATTGCCACTTGAATGGGGGCCATCCAAGCTTCATGGATCGCATGGAGTCTATAGCTGATGCGCTCCACATCAGTAGATATCAATGTAATAGAACTCTTGTTTTTGAAGTCTCTGGATTGAAGCTTGGTTGTCTGTCGGTAAACAAGAGAAATAAGGCCTCCTCGAATCATGGTGACCAAACGAAGTGTTTGGCGCCAGTAAGCAGCCGTCGATATCGCCATTCCCATATAGGTTATAACGTATGCACCGACCAGTGCCGGTCCATGGACCTGATTTTCTCTGGTTGGGGGCTCACCTATGAAGTCTATCGTTGCCGAAATTAGGAATGGTTGACAGAATTTGAAACCCGTGAGACAAATTTGAGGGATAATCGCGCTGGCGAATGGACCAAGATAGGCCCGAAAAGTTGCCCGGAGAAGGCGATTTTTACCAGTGTAGTTACCTTGAACAGATATTTAGTGTCTAGTACTCAAGAAAGAAGGTTGGAGATATACCATTTTTCCAAGCGGCGAGGATCTTTTTCTCGGCAGGGATACCCTGGAGGGCACTGTCGACCTCGGGCATATCCTTCAACGAAATGATATTTGAGAACCCACTCCGAAACAAAGGCAAAACCCAGATGAAGAAGCTACGAGCCCAGAAGCTTGAAGTACTCTCTTTGCTGGACTCACGATAAGCAAGACGTATAACTTGGGTTTTGTGAATAGATTCCAGGCACAACACCACGATCGTGCCAACGGTGACCAGTGTCCATAAGCAAGCCTGTGTATAAACATCAGGCGTAAGGATCCACAACGATCTCAGTCTGGGGGTGGCGAGTATGCTTGATAAGAAGAAGTATATGACCATGAGATCGGATGGTCGAACCGAACGCTGATCCTCCAACCATGACAGCAATATGGAACCAACAACGGTGAATAGCTGAAGCACGCTAGCTGCGAGTGTAACTTTGGTATGCAAAATTGGAGCTTGGACCTGAAAAGCCATAAATGCGACATGAAAGGCGAATAAGCTTGCGAGGGCAATCTATGATCTAGTTTAGCCCTGAAATGCACTGCGAAAATAGGGTTTAGTAGTATTGTTACAAGCTTTGCAGTCGCCAAGTAATGGGAACTTATTTTCACGGGTGCCCGAAGAAGAAGAGGAAGTCTCAAAAATGCAGACAGCAGAAAAACTGCCGCTGGAAGCAAAGTGAAGAAAACATCCTCAAAAAGCAATGTGAAGTCAAATGATCGACACTGGTCCGAAACCCGAGGGCCAAAGCGATCATCGCTACCAAGAGGACAGGAAAAGGCCATGGTCAAATTATGATGGAAAAATAAAGAACAAAGGAAGAAACTCTTGGAAGGCTGAGCGCGGGGGAGCGGTTTTTGGACCCCTATGAAGTACACTAGTCGTGCTTACTCTATTAAATCACGTCGAACAATTTGACGAGCCTCCTCTCCGGTTTCCGAGCTCCGATGGCGCTGGGCTGCCAATGTAACAACGGCCCGCAGCGAATGCTTATGCCTATTGGTCACGTATGATGTTTTATCAGATCAAATTTCACCCGAGTGGACGGGACGTTGCTGCCTTATCAGGTCGCGGGATAAACCACTAACCAAGGACCAGGAGACAAAGGAGCATTTACAGTAGAAGTAGTCTCTATCCCCAGAAAGATTTAACGCTTGGACTCCCTTTGTGCTTCCTTCATTATAATACTTCCTATAGAAAGTTACCTAGGGGGTCCAAAGAGTAGGAACTCCATTTCCTCTTCAAGTGGCACCAGAGCCTTTTCCTTGAAGACATTGCAGTACTGATCATCATCGAAGTTTGCATCGGGGTTGAGGTATTCTTGTAGGCAGATCAAAATAGCCTGGGAGAAGGCACATGATAACTTCCCATGAGACCTTTCCTCCTTGAGCCATCCTTCTGCTAGTTGGAGAACAAGTTGATCATTTGGTAGGATATTAGTGATTTGATCATCTCCAATCCTTTGCTCAACAGGCCGCCCAGAACTTATTTCAAGCAGCATAATCGCTAAGTCAAGCAAGTTCGAACCGGTTCTGTTGATTGGGGTACCATAGGGCCGTCGAATTTCGGCACCTATTTTTGGATCAGCTGCGATGATTCCGAAGTTGGGTTTTGAAGCAACGCACCCCGATAAAATTCCTTTACTAAGGAAGGATAACTTAGGTCGGCAATCAATGGCATGTGGATGTTTGCTCTTGTGAACACTATGTTTTTTTTACTCCATTTGCTCTCAAGCCATGGTGTATGACTGAGCTGCAAGATCGAAGCTATCAAGGTGATTGCGAGTCCGTACACTTCTTTTATGGGTAGTTTGGACTCGAAGTGCGGAAGCAGGGCCTCGAGAGATAGAGATTGGTGGACGTATTCAGTAGTAGCCTCTTTCAAGGATGATTGTGATTTCAGACACCCCATATCATCGAGGCAGAATACCACAGGTGGATGTGGAGGTTCCCTAATGACTTTGCATAAACTTGTGATGTTTTGTAAATTTGCAGGGTCGTGCTCGTCCTCTGGAACTGATATCGTCACGCGAACTGTTCCCACCCTACTTTAAAGTCACCGTCAGAGCTCAAAATGACAACAAAAGAAAATCCTCAAGTGCGTACCTAGAAGAGAGTTCGTCAATCCTTATCTCAGAATTTAACCACTGAGAAGATGCGTTACAGTCCCCACGAAGACTCAACCCAAAACAAGTCGCCTGCGTCACCAACTCCACGCTTGCAGCTTGCAAGGGCCTCTTCCTTTTCTTTGACCTCACCAGCCGTTGCTCGAGAAGCAGCCGAGCGACATGTACAGGGTTGTTGTCACACCAATTTCTCGAAATTGCTTGATGTACCTTCGTCGCATTCGCTTGGATGGTGCCCAATGATGCAGAAAATTTCAGCTTCTTATGACTCGGTGGTGTCTCATCCTGCAGCTTGTCGGCTCTAGTAGTCCAGGCATCGATCATCCTCGTGCAAGCCTCCAAACGCTCTAGCGCGGCTTTTACTCTGTTTTTCTTCATAGTAAACTTGATCCTCAGCCCAAATTCGAAATTCTTGTGAAGGAACGGAGTGTTGCCGATCTGTGAGTTACAAGAGACAATCGGCAAGAGATTCTTACTTGTGAAAACCTACCAAAGTCAGTGCTGAGTCTATCTTCCAAGGGAGGTGCACTAACCTGCTGTGACCCAGGGATATTGAGACACGCTGCTATCTCGACCAGGATCTCTGACACTTCATCTATGGTAATTATGAATGGGCCGTAGACCGGCCCCAGCCTTTCGCGTAGACCGTTAGCGACGTCACCTTCTCTCCACAATTTGCTTTGGGGATCCTCCATCATCGTGGTTTGGTCCGCGAGGTCGGCAAATGGCTTCAGTAGGAGACGAACGGCTTGTTCGTAAGAGGTGTGTATTGAATATAGCTCTCGGATCAACCTTCCCAAGTGCCGTTTCCAATGAATAAAAGCGTTTGTGGGAGCTGACAAGTTCTCGTAGTTCTCAAGGGCAGATATGATAAGAGGAATGGCTCCTAGGACGAGTCCAGCTGCTTCCACCCCTGTTACCATTTTGGACTGAGGGACGCATACAGGCAACTCGCTCTGTTGAGGAGGTGGGTGAGATGAATCAATACAAAAGAAAAGAAACAAGCCCCTTCTTGCTCAGGGAACCTAGGAAACATTGGCAGGTGGGGCCTCCTGACGCGTCGGCCCGGGAAAACGAGATCTCAGCCGCACGTCTTATGTGGCATCAACCCCGCTCAAGTGCAGCTCTTGGCGCCGGTTCAACGAATGGCCCTTTGCATTCCCTGGCGTCCTTCCCTTATTATGAGGGATTTAATTGTGGTCAGGGATTCGAATAGAAAGCCAGCGAACAGGGTGGATTACACCTCCGAGTATTGAGTCTGGTTTTATGTGAACCTAGTCTACCTAACAAGTTTGCCACTTATCAACCTCGGAGTCGAAGATGAAGGTCACGACAGGCATGGAACAATATTTTCTTTGCCTCTGATCTCAAAACCCTAGCCATGGACGACATCGGTGCCATTTCTATCTCTTGCGCAAGATGCTTCGATACTCTGGCACGATCGCTGCGCACGTCTTCGGACGAGTTTCAGAAACAAATGTTGCCTATAGCAATTGAGAATGAAAATGCTCGTTACAAGATTTGGGCTGGAAATCTAGGCGCCCTACAGAGAGGCCGAAGCTCTCTTGACGCTAGGTTGCGAGACTCGGTGGTGCTACGAGCTGCCGTCCTCAAATTTCTGGCACAGTTGCAAGACTCTTTGAGTAAGAGTACGTTACGTCGCACCTCCTGATATTAATGGCTTGATCTCTTAGTGATGACGACTTCCCAGGTGCCGAGATCACCACAGGTGTTCGCCTACCATACGAACAGTGTGGAGATATCCCAGATGGTTCTGATGACAGAGTTGAGGACAGCAGTGACAGCAGTAGTGATATGGACAGTGGGGAGCTGGCTGAGAGACTGGACGAAATCAAAGATATCATGGAGCATCTCTATAGGCTCTCTTTCAAGATACGCAACACCAAATATCGTTCTGTCACTCAGAAAGCTCTTCTTATAAAAGAGCAGGATTTACAAACAGGGAAAGACTTGTTCTCGTCGTATGCCATCTTCGACCGTCGGCATGTAGAAGAGCGACTTGATCACCTGCGCTTGCGTCCATCATCAAACAAATTTACTGCCGAAATTGCACGAGATTCAAATCACGGTTTATTTGATGTATTAGACGCCGGGGATGGGATGCTACATAGCGACGATTTCCTACGAGATCGCTTAGCAAAGGCAATCACCAACCGAAGAAGGTATTTTGCATATTGGCGCAGACATTCCCTTAAGCTCTCACGCGTTCCGGATGAGCAAGCGGCACCGGACAATCTCACACCTGTCGTGAAGCCTGCGGAACCTATTTCCAAGCCTTCAACCACACCTCCTATCTCAGGGACTCCAGGGCCAAAAACAATGGTTTCAGGAACAGATTTCTCTATGTATGATCATTCACTGGATGACCAGCTGGATGCAGAGACCGTGATTTCTTACGCGACTACGGCTTACGACGTTGACGGAAAGTCCGCCGAGCTGCCTCCGCCTCCTCCCGATGCGGTTAGCAAGTCAGAATTCACTTGCACGTATTGCTGGGTAGTTTGTCCTTCGAAACAAGGAAAAGGAAAGTCATGGCAGTAAGTGTTTAATATCATTGACAGCACAGGAGCATCGTTTTAACAGATATTAGAGAGCATGTCCGCCAAGATCTCCAACCGTACGTATGTACCTACGAGAAATGCCCAGACGGCGACCGCATGTACGCCAGTCGGCATGCATGGATAGAACATGAACGACTCGTCCACCGCCGCATATGGAGATGCTTTAAACACGGTTCCTTCATCTCAAAGTCAAAAAACGGCTTGCTGCAACACTTTTTAGACTACCACAAAGATTTAGATGGGCAGCAGATCGAAAATCTTTTAGATCTAGCCGAGACGACGGTAGCAGATGACAGACGAACGTGCCCATTCTGCTTCTCGATTGGACCTTTCTACAAGGATCTTTACAATCACATGGCGTTCCATCAGGAAGAACTCGCATGTTTTGCGGTTTCACGAAGCCTTGACAGTAATGAAGAGGCAGACTCAGAGAGAGTCGAAGGCATCAGATCGGCCGCCTCGTTGCGCTCCGTTGCTCTAAATTTCCAAGACGTCGATAGCAGCTTCGGCAGCTATGAAAGCTACGGCAGTGAGGTATTACTAAAAAAAGACGACGAACCCCTCATAAGCGCTGCAGGAATAGGGGACGAGGAGGTCGTAAGGCGACTGCTCGAGAATGGTGCTGAAGTCAACGCCCAAGGTGGATGGAATGGTAATGCGCTCCAGGCAGCGTCATACGAAGGCCATGAAAAAGTCGTGCAGATATTGCTTGATAAATATGCCAACGTCAACACCCAGGGTGGGGAGTATGGCAATGCACTCCAGGCTGCTTCACTTAAAAGCCATGAAAGGATAGTGCAGATATTGCTCGAGAATGGTGCCGACGTCAATGCCCAGGGTGGGAAGTATGGCAATGCGCTCCAGGCAGCGTCATCCAAAGGCTATGAAGGGATAGTGCAGATATTGCTCGAGAATGGTGCCGACGTCAATGCCCAGGGTGGGAAGTATGGCAATGCGCTCCAGGCAGCGTCATCCAAAGGCTATGAAGGGATAGTGCAGATATTGCTCGAGAATGGTGCCGACGTCAATGCCCAGGGTGGGAAGTATGGCAATGCGCTCCAGGCAGCGTCATACGAAGGCCATGAAAAAGTCGTGCAGATATTGCTTGAGAATGGTGCCGACGTCAACACCAAGGGTGGGGAGTATGGAAACGCACTCCAGGCCGCATCACAAGGAGACCATGAAAACGTGGTACAAATGCTACTAGATCGAGGGGCTGGTGTTCTCACGGAAAATGGAGCTCTTGATATCCAGTTAACTCCTGATGCATTCAACAAGCTTGGTCGTCTTTACTCTGATCAGGGGAAGGTGAAGGTGGCAAAGATGATGTACCAACGAGCACTAGAATATGGAGAGCTGTATAAAGACGAACATCCCGGCGCAAGATTCCCGAAACGCAAATCAGTGTCAGTGATCCTGGCGAAGGACTTCTCCATTGGGTTGATTTGTGCCATCCCTGTTGAGTTTGTTGCCGTCCGGGCACTGCTCGATGAAACTTACGAACTGCAGTTGGACCTGCACAACAGCAATGATTATGCCTATGGGAGGATCGGAGCTCACAATGTGGTGATCTCTAAGGGTGAATATGGAACAGCGTCAGCAGCTCGGGTGGCCTCGGAAATGGTTTCTATTTTCTCAAATCTTCGAATAGCGCTACTGGTTGGCGTTGGCGGAGGAGCACCGAGCCGGAGACACGACATTCGCCTCGGCGATGTTGTGGTCAGCGCACCCTCGTCCGATATTCGCCTCGGCGATGTTGTTATCAGTGCTCCCTCATCCGGACAAGTCTTGGTTTACCAGTATGACTTTGGAAAGACCATACAGAGTAGGGAGTTTCAGCAAGCAGGGTCTCTAATGGAACCACCGGGTAGTTTATGGGCGGCAGTAGCCGGACTCAGAGCCAGCTATGAAATGAAACAACAAATTTTGGAAGAGACCATTGAGAAAGCTCTCACACTGAGACCACTTCTCCGGAAAATATACGAACGCCCAGACCTGAAGTCTGATCGACTGTTCCAAAGTGAGGTTGTCCACCGATATAGCAAAGAGCCATGCGATCCAGGATGTTGTAATAAACCATCCGATCTTGTATCACGCAAGCTACGTGATGCATGGGAGGACAACCCGGCGGTTCATTATGGCCTCATCGCATCAGGAGAGAGTCCCATGAACGATGCTCTGCTACGCGATAAACTTGCAGCAGAGAAAGGTATTCTGTGCTTTGAGACAGAAGCAGCTGGCCTTATGGATGATTTACCTTGTCTTGTGATTCGTGGAATTTGCGATTACTCCGATTCGCACAGAAATAAGGATTGGCAAGGATATGCAGCTATGGCTGCCGCAGCATATGCCCGAGATATATTATACCGAATCTCTCCGCAGAACGTCAAGCCGCAGGAAATTGTCGCAAAGATTGTAAATTAGACAAACCACACAATAGCTTTTGGAGAAAAAAATCTTGGTTTTCAGGTCAATTAGAATTTGTCATGAAATGGATGATCATTGCTACTATTGTTATGGCACTGGCGCCTTAGTCATTCAGTATCTACCTCCACTGACAAAGAAGATACCATGGAATCGTCTCTCCCTAATTAACTCATCGCTTTTCAACATCCAGCTTGAAGTCATGCCATCCCTTTGCTGCAAAGTCCTCATCCATATGGACCATCAGTCTAACCCTTGCAATACCATGAGCTACCTCCAATGCCTTTTGAAATGCTTCCGTAGACCCTGACAAATCCGTGAACTCTTTCGAATGAATATTCTGGCCGGGCTATATTGGAACGTAGAAAGTACCGTGAAACGAAGGTACTTAGTAGCTGACATTTCCTATGCGCTTCGATGTTAATGACCAGATTGAATGTTGGTTCCAATATAGGACTAACCCGTGTCGGTGCCGTAACCACCAGTCACATATATGGTCGATTCTTATCTGGTCCATGGGCCATTTATATTGGTCAAGATCACCAATTTCCATAGCCGCAATGAGTGATACCCACTGGGGACCTTCGAAAACAGTGACTTCATTAAAGGTAAGACAACTTTAGATTGCCTTGAGAAGGGATTTTGATACACTAAGATACTCAGGCTGTTGAGAGTTTGATTATCGTACTCGACGGAAAAGAAGCTTAAGGGCGTAGGATGTTATGACAGGAACAGTGGAGTAGGAGTGCAGTTTTCGAGATAAGGGGAGAGTTGATGATGCGATTTGGAAAACAAGATCGTACTCCTAGAGTCATTTTTAGTCACCATGAAAATTCTGTCCCATATTCGAAGGAAATAGATATCACATTTTCGCAATTCTTTCAAACCACATCTCGATCTCTCTCGATGTTTCGGAATTGACCGATGAATCCAAATAGGCTGTAACCTCATAATGGAGCAAAAGAAGTTCAATTCCCATTTCCACTATTTGAGACATTTCCAAATCATCAAGACTTTGACTCACAGGGTATAAGATACCCCAGTGAAGCTGCATCGCAGGACGAGAGAACCGCCAGATGTTCATCATCCTTTCGGGGTATTTCTGGAAATACTTCCCAATATACTCAGGGCCTCCCATGATAAAACTTCGCACATCCTCCTTATACAACCATACTGTCAAACTGGCGATAATTGTGAGATTTCCAGGATCTTTCTCACAGTTTCCTTGGCTTTGCTGCTTCCGAGTCTCAAAATCTGAACGACCAAGCCCAGAAGTAATTGATTCCAGCGCAAATCTTTTGATCTAATCCACCGACCAGAGACTCAGAGCTTCTGGTGTATGCAGACTAATGTCGCCTTCGAGTTTGAAAACGAATGGAAAATGAAAAGAACTCAAAGTCAAAATCTTATCGTCATCGTTTCCCTCAATGACGGCTGTTCGAAGAGGATCGAACCCTTCCTGAAAGTGAAACAGCGATATCGCAGAGTACTGCTCTGCTGAGATATGTTGGAACGATACGGTCGAAGCAAAATGCATAGCCATCCTTTCCTTGGAAATCGACTGTAGTAATAACGCTGGGAGTGAGCAATCAGGATCTTTGAGAGTTTGCGACAAGGCAAATGACGTCCGGTTGATTTTCAAAGCCAAATGGTCGTCTGGACCCAGGAATAAAGAGCCAGACTGGGGAATTTGGCTTATCGATGAAGATATTGGAGTCAAGCTTGTCATGGGAATCCCCAGCAAAGGATCGGTTTCTGAGAGGCCTACTAGATCCCAAGGCCTTGATACTATGTTGGCTATGGATAATTGTGAAGCTGGCGATTGTATCATTTCTTGGTCATGCGAAAGGCAGAAGCCAGCTGAGAAAATTTCCTCCATCGTGTTGTCACCCAGTAATATTTCTTCGAGGTCATCCGTAGGCCCGAAGGGGGAGGACGAGATTCACCGGTGGCTCAGGCGAGCGATAATTTGATTGATAACCACTTTGGCCTTGCAGCCCCCTCGGTCGTGGCTTCAATGAACGGGGTTTCAGTGAGGAAATTGTGTTCTGCGTTTGCATCGCGGTGGCAGAAAATACGCAGTCCAGATTTAATCAACCACATCGCCCGCATTCTGGCTTTCTTTCGTCACACTTAACATGTTTCTTGCGGCATGTGAGACATCCTGTTCATAGCAAAGTAATCAGCCATATCAACATGAGCCTCTGCGGGGAAATCTAATAAGCTTGTGCAAGACAACGGATTTCTATACCTTGTGTAGATCGCCCTAGAATGTTTATGCGTCGCTTAACCCCAGCGCGAACAGCTAAATGCGCGTCACTCATCATGAGAGGCGATACTAGTACACTGCCCTGATGGTGGTAAAATTGGTCGTCGGAGAAGATAAGGGGAAGTGGGAACGCTCATGTTGACGATGGATAACTTCTGGGCAGGACTGGTAAGCCCTAGTACGGGCGGACTTGATTGGCCAAGCACACAATTTCCCCCGATTTCATGAATTTGTCGTGAAGAACAGCCAATCAAACGGTAACTTCGTGAATCTTGCCCAATCTCGCTGCCGCTCCAGGGCTTTCAATCCCCTTTGAACTGAATATTGATCTATTGTATGCTTGAACATTACTAAGTCCATGTCAAATGTTTTTATCGTCAAATAGACACTCCATCAGCTCGCCCACTGATAAAATAGAAATTCTCCTCGGTTGAATATGAATATGAAGGCTTTGAAGTCGGACAAAAAACTGAACGTCGTCTCGGAATTCAACCAGGAAGATTCTGGCAAAGAATATGACGTAGCACACATCGAGGAGAATGACATGTTTCAGGAGCAGACCATTCTCAAACAGATCGATCGAGTATCAGTGGAATTCCCGAAGGCCAATTATTCACTACTAAATTTGTCTGCAAATTGATGCCAGTCCTGTTTTTCACATATCTACTTCAATTCACGGACAAGATAAGCTTATCGACTGCTGGCATCCTTGGGGTTATCCAAGACACCGTGAGTTATTCAGCAGTCTTCTCAAAAATACAGTATCTTTTCTAATATACCACAGAACTTGGTGAACCAGGAATTCTCGTGGCTAAGCAGCGTGTTCTACTTTGGGTACCTGGCAGCGAGTTTTCCAGCATCAGTTCTCCTTGTCAAGCTTCCTCTTGGAAAGACCATTTCAATTACTGTGTATGGAATATTTGTGATTCAATTCCTAACCTTGAGTAACGATGTTAGTCCTTCGTCTAGGGTCATTTGGGGCGCAATGATTTCTTTTCACGCGGCCACGCAGAATTTAATCGGACTCTGTATCGTTCGGGTTCTTCTTGGAATATTCGAAAGCGCGATCAGTCCTGGGCTCTCTATTATCACGAGCATTTGGTAAAAGCCTTCTCAACATGCTAGCCGTCATAGCATCTGGTTTGCTGGGAACTCGGTTGGGTATATGACCGGGTCATTAATAGCATATGGGTATGCTCACATGTCGACTCGCCCCCTCGAGCCCTGGAGGGTAAGGTCACCCCTTACATTAAATTCATTCTTTTGATTGACATAAAGAAGTGGCTTTCATAATTTTAGGGGTAGCTACTGTCCTATGGGGCATCCTCGCTTTCTTCGTTCTGCCAGATAAGTCATCCAAAGCATGGTTCCTCACTAAAACTCAGCAAGCTGTTGCTGATCAGCGATCACAACATTACCCATCTTCCCACAAGACCAATAAATGGAATATATCAGAGTTCCAAGAGGCCTGTAAGGATCCGAAGACTTGGTTTCTTTTGGCAATCGCCATTCTCAGTTCATTGACAAATGGCGTCATCTCCAACTTGGGTTATATTAATCTTTCGCTAATCAGATGTAAATATTCATCTAATCTCTGGGGATATTATTTTACTACTTTTATCATCAAGAGCCTTGGCTTCGACACTCTTACAACCTTGCTGCTCGGTCTTCCTTCGGCTGGGTTCCAATTTATCGTCATCATTGGATCCTCTATGGTTGCCCATCGCTTCTGGTGATGTCGCCTCATACTGGTAATGATGGGAAATATCATTGCTTTGATTGGATTGCTTCCCACTCGGCAGTTGGATACATCTTATAAAGGCGGTCATTTTACTGGTGCAGTTCTTCTTGTCGCGTCTATGAATTCATTCCCTTGTTGCTGAGTCTTGTCTTCGGCAATACCGGAGGGTTTACTAAAGAGACGACCGTCAACGCCTGTTTCTTCGTTTGATATTGTGCGGGTAAAATTACGGGTCCCCAGCTCTTTGTCCAAAGGGAGGCTCCCACATACTCGGTTCGTAACCAGCATGCCTGCTTCAAAGTTTAGGTCGCCCTACTAACAATTGTATAGACGGCATTTGATAACTTGTTTGTGATTTTCTGTGTTCTAACCGGCCTGCTAATTTCCTTTAGGTGTATCTGGATTATGAGAATAAACGCAGAGACAAAGCACAAGGGAGGTACATTGAACCCGAGTCGAAGGTCATTGAGGTCGACCGGGATCAGGTTTCTAGCGGAATTGAAATGACTGATCTTGATAATACCGACTTTCGGTACAGTAGTATCCGCAATCAGATTTACCCCAATACTCTTCGACTTTAACTCCCGGACCTTAATTTGAAACACGCTAGCCCAGATATGGTATAATCGTCGATCTCTTTCTTCCCAAAAAAGGAACTGTATCTTACGTGACGTGGGTGAGAACTTGTAATAATGGTATGTATCAATTAATGCACTGTACACGTCGTTTAAGTGGCGATTACCCCGCTCTCATCCTAGATTTTCTTTTTTAAAGCTCCATCTTTGCTTCCCAATCGTGATTTTACCAGGCTTTGAGTTATCTGTTCCGAATCTGGCTCTGTTTATATTCTAGCATTGTTGAATTTTCAATCCCTATGCAACTGACATAATCTTGACCTTTGGACTGCAGAAGTTTTATGGTGTCCTTAGATTTCATATCCAATGTCAGCGGATCGGAATTTGGGATACGCAATATGCCTTCTGGCATTAGTCACCAAAGGTTCACCGGGCTCCGAAGAAGCAGCACAGTTCACGCAAGCAATCGATAGCGATGCGAACTCACCTCATGACTCCGTCGACGATGATTCAGACGATCTAGATGATTTAGCAATGCTAAGTCCCGATGCAGACCCGGAAGATAATCTCACAGAAATGGGGAATCAATTTCTTGACCGGCTTGCAGAGATACTAGCTCGGTTCAAAGCCAAACCCGGCACCAAGTCAAAGCAGAATGTGAATGCGAAACATGTCTGCGCAACTATGATGGTCCGTTATAAGACGGAGAATTGTGTCAAGATATTTTGTGCCAAGAACGAGGGGCTTGATCGGGAAGATGAACTATTTTTAGAGGATTGGAGGTCCCTCATGGAAGATGTTTCAAGAAAAGGTTCGTTTCAGATCCCATCAAGTATTTTATCATAAGCTTTTGTTTGTTGATCAGAATTTGCTAGGGGATTCATTGGGGGAAGCGACGTCCAAAATGTTCAATCTCGTTGAAAAGCACCAATGGCCACGAACCAGATCCTACCTTGAGTCGTTGAGGCAGGCTTGTCGGAAGGAGACAAATTTAGGCCAAGCCAATAGGTTGAAGAGCGGCACCCTAACAACAGAGCGAGTTGCGGCCATTCCAGCCTTACGGATTCGGGAGTGGAATGATGATAATGGACTCAGGTTCGCTATACCGCTAAACCGTTTCCTTAGCGCGGATAAGGAGACCTATGTGAAATCAGACACCACTTGCACTGGTGAGACACTTGTTGAGATTCAGTCATGCGTGTCTGAGATTTTCCAAAAGATCCATTACCTCTGCCAGCCTACATTGGAATTAGAAACCGAGGCCAGTCTACTGAAGGAGATCATAAGTCACATATTTATTCTCTGGAGAGAGCCTCGAGCTCGATTTATGCTCAAGGCAGCCATGAGAAGCCATTTTTCGAGACAAAAAGACAGAGATATTCTAATTTTTCTAGGAAGGATTTCATATGCCACGTGGACTTTTATCGCGATTGCGAAGGGCGATTGCTCTTTCCAATCTATCAAGATTGTACCTGTTCCGCACTGTGGAAATCTAGGCCAGCATGAGCAACAAAAAATGCGACATACGGTCAGAGATGAAAACCCAAGTATTCCTGACGTCATGAATGCTCTAGGTATCGCTTGCCATCCCAGCTGGAAACTTCATCTTGCACACAAAGATGACGATTTCACCAAGCTCTACGAAGAGAAGTCCAACAGATATCATCATCACGCAGAAACTCAGCTCCTGTCTAACTTTCAATACTCGATGTCTTCAGATGACAGAAGCCAGTCACATGGATATATTGGATGTAGCAGGCAATGTTGCTTGCTATGCTATCTATTTGTCTATGCACATGGGCGCTTTGCCGTGCGAGGAACACACGGGACATTATTGCATAGATGGAACGTTCCCATACCCTCTCCGACATGTAGTGGCAGCTCCGAGTCGTTTAAGGAACTACGTTTGGCTCAGGATCGTTTATTCATGACACTAAAAGACCGTCTCCAGAAGATATGTCATGATCCTCCGACAAAGACTAAGAGTGAAGCACTAAGAGCACAGTCCTCGCATGCACTTTCCTCGACAGGAGCTATATGGGAGCGGGAACCGGAATATGATAATATGTCCTATAAAAGATTTCAGTACGTTACTAGGTCAAAAATGCAAATACGATATAGCGTGCTTATCACTCTTTAGGTCTTTGTCAATGATACCGACTGTCTTCAACAACGGCTTGCTTATTGTACCGATTCATAGTAAACCTGGACATGCATCGGTATCCGGAAACCGGTTCAGGAAACACTCGATAGAGATGACACTTACAGAAGCTGAGCAGCTTAAAGATCTGGATATCCGCTGCTCGTTCAATCTGAACGCTCCGGAAGAATCATTTCTCAAGCGCGTCTCTCATCCACATAAATGCAAGCTGTGTAGCAAGTTATGTGAACTTCGTTGCTCAGCCTGTGGCAGAAACTACTGCGACAAGAAATGTCAGTCAAAAGACTGGTTTCGTCATGTCTTCGTGTGCTGTGTCAAGAATAGACCCAATGATTTGGACCATCTTAAGATCTTAACCAGGAGCTGGCTTGCTGTGAGGAAGGACACAATCTCCCGATATCACTTTCTAACTGCTCTATTTCGAGATGATCATATCTGTTGCACTTTTGGGTTCAACAAATGTGTGAAAGAAATAGAAGTGGAAAATCTTTTTTTGCATCTACAACGGCATAGTGAGCAGGTTTTCTTCAAAGAGGCTACAATGTCTTCTCGGGCAGGAGACTCTCGCTCAATTCATTGAGAGCCAGATTCAGTCCCAAATGCAACATTCCAACGCCGAAGACTGCGGTTGCTTTCCATGGTTTCTCAATCTGTATCGATCAGGCATCTTCAATATTCCCAAACATGATAGAGTGTACCTCCATCAGCATTGGGGTATATACGAGCGGGAAAGAATATTTCCAATCGATCCTAAAAGTACTTTGTCCAGATCAGAGCTTCATGTCAGTTCTTTATACAATGTTCTTTTCCGAGACTTCAACAATATTCCCAATACCGGGGACCCAGAGTGGATTAGATTCGGCTTCTGTCACTGCAAAACCAGGGAGCAGAAGAAACTCCTTGCAAAGGCCTACATTCAACTGGCGGCCCAAACATCGCTCAGACAGATAGCAACGGCATGGGAGTTAAACTCACTACTTGAACTCATGTCAACCAATTATGTTGACACCTCACCTTTTGCTTCCAATAAGATTCACCCCAGCCAGCCTTCGCCAAAAGCAATCGGAATCTATCGCCTTATGTCAGAAGTATTGCACAGTCTCAGTGGGTGTTCAGTATGCCAATGTATAAGTGTAGTATGCCCATTGCACGAAAAACACGAATCTTTCCTCTGCAAAGAGTCCGAGGGTAATTACGGATTCCATGCAGTCAACACTTGGGAGCGCTGGCAACTATTGACCTTCTACGCCCATCTCTTTTCGCTTCCGGAGTTTGATCCACGGAAGATGCAAGAAGCAAGGCAACATTCAGATAAACAGGAACTCGATAGATATATCGAGTCTCTGGTCCCGAATTACCGTGGCGAAATGGTGAATGAGCATATGACGGATGCAATGTTTCCCAAAGTCAACCCTAGGTTGGAAATCCGTGGTGAATATCACCCTTGTGAGTGCTTTATTCATAAAGTTCCTATCTCTAAGGGGATAAATCAATCTGTCGCTGCAGACATTGACCGGGTCCGTGACAAATATAAGGAGAGAGATAGAGAGCACAAATTTTTCTGGAAGTATTGTATTTAAAACGAACGAAGTGAGAGAAAGGGAACTAATCAACGTGGATGTACGTGTGCGCGAGACCTTGCAAAAAGAGGTAGCTTAACCATATATGGACTATTTTGCCACGCCCGTCTTTGATTTTCTCTTGTTTTCCTCGGTACCTGCGTTATTGTCGCTTTCTTCGGACTAGATCGTATTGACTTAGGGTTGTAGGGTTATTTGTGCATCTTTCTGCACGTTTACCTACTGTTGCTTCATCCCTAGGTCCGTGCACCTCATCCTGTTGCATCGCGCTGTTTCGTACTACCACCGACAGCCTCACTTTTCAATGCATTTGCCAAAACGCCATATCTCCAGAACTTTTAAAAACCAGCGATGCTGAAGTGGTGGTTTCTCGTGAGAATCAACTTCAAAACAAGTAGTAGTACAGAATCATTGGTTCCCTTTTGGAGCGGGTATCTATAGGGCCCTTACAAAACTACTATCGTTAACAAGAATCTTGATTCTACAGGCTTTTTCTGAAAAGAATACAGTTTAACCCATACACTCTTCGCACTTAGAATTCCCGCAGCGATGGATTATTGAAACATGTAAGTCAAAAATATCAATCACAATTCTCAAATAAGCCTTACAGTCAGGACAAATAGGACGGCACACTAGAATAGTGGCGGTCTTTAGATATTAAGATAGTCTCTTAGATTCAAGCCTTCACAGGTTCTCTTTATACTTTTTTTCCATCTCCCGCCGCTTATACTCGTCTTCTAAGAGCTCATCTATATCTAAGTCTACCAGGCTAATATCCTGGCCCAGTTTATAGGGGAGAAAGATATGCTTGTAGACAAAATATGTAAGCAACTGCTTTTCTATATGGCAAGCAGAAAATGCACCTGCCTTGCCTTGGTCCAATCGTTTTGGTTATAGTTCGTAGCTAACATACTTGCTAAGACAATAGACCTCAACAGTCCAGCTTTTCCCACTAATTTGAATATTTCTGTCCGAGTTTTCAATATATGCCCAGCCACTCATCACTACAATTAGGGATTATCCATACCCACGATAGAGAATACTGACTGTCTTTCGTTTATTAGGGATATTGAAACATATAAGCAGTGTTCATTAATCTGGAATAGAGGTCTTTAAAAAGGAAAATCCTACTAACGACATAGAGCCATATAGCGATTCACCTGAGCTTCCTTCAAGCAAGCGAACAATCTCACGACAAACCTAGTCCTTTTCATTAGTCACCTCTTGATATATAGAGCTATAATATCGATCTGCAATATTTACTTGAAGCAGCCTCACAAAGTCTTTCGGCTATAGGGGCTCTCCGTTCCGTATATATGCTAGTTTCTGGTCAGCTCCGATTTTAAAAGAACCTTTGTGTTCTCCAATAATCCATACCTAAGTATAATACGGCTTCCATGAGAGGAACTCGTCTATGTATATCTCTGGTGTTCGGATCGGCTTCTTTTGGTAATAAAAGATTTACTATTTCAGGATAAGATTTGCCAGCTGCAAGGTGCAGGGCTTCCTCACTATGGACAGTGTATTCGCAAACGCAAAGAATGCCCAGGATACTGCAATGAATGGGAGTTGGTCTTCCGCGACCAGACTAATGATACCATAAAGCGGTTCAAGGAGAGAAATTTGCCCAGCCTCAGATTGGACGATATGAAAGACAGCAACATTCTCAGCTTCCAATATCTCAGTCGGCAGCATAAAATAGATCTACCAAACACCTACAAATTATCCCAGGCTGTCTCCTCCTCCTCGATGATGCGCAATCAGATCTTCTCTTCCTTTTTAAGCGAATGCTTTCCTAGCAATAAGTAGTGCGTGTCCGATATCAATTTGACACGATTTATTCTTTCTGGTATGAGTCTGTTCCCCCAGAAGAGCCTTATTCTCGAGATGGCCCTGTCCGTATGGGCTTGTATTTTTCCCGGAAAGCAACATTCTAATACCATAGTTGACATGGGCCTCATCGATATCTGCTTTCTACCTGTCGCAGGTTTGACATATCTGTTTGTTTGCTGGTTGGTTCCTCTTCCAAGGTTACTTCCGTTGATGCGCTAGTAACTATCACTTTACTATCACTGAACGTTGCCACTTCTTCAATATAAATTTATACTATTCTACCCCGGTCCAGCTAGGTGCAACTCATCATACAAGGTCCTTCCGCATAAATACAGTCTTGGTATCCTATGTTTTCCCATTTTTGTCTGGGACATTGTAGTAGTTTTGCAAAAGTTTATAACACCTATAGCCCATTTACCATATCACCCCTAGTTCAAAACTTATAGACTTGTTATCAATGTCAATATCAAGCTGGCTGCGAACGATTAAGTTTACCTTCGACACCCGTCCATATGTAAACTGAGCAAACTCCTGTCTCAGTTGATCCTTTCCTTCGACGGTATCCAACATCAAAGTCTTAGCGTATAGAGACTCTTGGATTGTAATTCTCTCAATTTAATCTATGGCTGCTTGTCCAATTTCTTGGCCCCGGTGACTAGGTAGAACAAAGAAGGATGTAATCTAGAATACTTTGACGGACGGAATATCGAGGTCTATTTTCTTGGCTTTTTGATTCTTCGAGTCCACAGCGATGTGCCCAATTGGGATGAACTTTCTCAATCTGGATGGTTCAACACTCTTGGAACTAAGGTATGAGATTCGCGCGAGACCTGGGTTGCTTTCCAGATCCAAACGACCCTTAGAGCTACTCCTATAATTTTAGCGGTGGATTTATCAGTGGATCTGATTGAGCGAACACGTATTGATGCGAGGTCCTAGATGCCTCATTGTCTTCATCATGAAAATGGAATTTGAAGCAAGATTGACCGGACACCAAATCCAGATAAGAATGGAATTGTTTTCAACGCTAGAAAAACTATCAACAAGGATGTTTTGACTGAGCTACGCATCTTTTTACAATGCAAGATATCGGTACAAGAGGTAGGACGTGAGCAAGGCTTTAAGAAACGACCCAAGGCCAAAAGCAGATGAACTTTCCGGGGCTGTTACATATAAGGGCTTCTCACCGCTGGGCTTTGGGGCCCAAAGCTCCAGGTTCCTTTGATTAAAAATATATCATAATAACGGGTTATGATATAGTTCACGAGGGAATGGCGCGCGTTTAATCCTAGCAAGATGAGTCAAAAACAAATAGAAAATCGAAGGTGAGTATTGTCGGGTTGACCTACCTTTCTGGGCGGCTATTTTCTCGGACAAATAGAGATTTGCCCAAATCATAGCTGGTCAGATTATTGTGTAATTTCTGCTGGATCCTTGCATCTTTGGTTTCGACTCTTCTGACCGGGATCATCCGCCAGGGATGCAGGACGGCCTTGAAGGCATACAACCTGCGGTTGTCCAGGCTGACATAACGATGCGCACTTTCAAAATTCCGATCTTGGATCACAGTCGGGTAGCGAGCTTGGTGTGGCTCCGTAGCGGTTTCTAACCAATGCTGAAATTCATTTGTTCTTAGCTGGTTCCTCTCAAGGTTCCTCCCTCTTGCATTTGGTTCAGGAAAGGCAGTTGAATTTAACCAGACGACCTCAAGAGGTGGAATTTCATCCTTGATCATCGCAATTCGTGCATCGAAGGAAAGATTTTTGAGTTTGTTGATCAACTCATAGACATTTCCCTCCTTATTACTAAACTCAGCGCTAATAGAGTCCTGGGAAAAGAATATCTCCCCGAGCGCCAGATTGATGTTTGCATCTTGAACAATATCCCCCCGGTTGGGATTTCCGGCACCGTTTCTGTTCTGTCTGACCGGCTGATTGGGGTCTGCTTCGTTGTTCCGGCGAGGATTCTGTTGAATATCCCTCTGGTTGGGGTTTCGCCTACCTCCGCCGCGAGCTTGCCTATTGCGATCCGCCATGGAGCATAGACGAAGAGACGGAAAACTCAGTTTGAGGAGGAAGTTGATGTGAGATATGTAGAGGCAAAATGAGATTCAAAAGACGAAGGCACTCAGCCTTCATCTTTATTCTCTGCCCTGAGCTCAATCCCATTCCAATGTGGACTGGTTTTACGAGGCGACCATCTTCGGGGACACGCTCTTCACAAATCACATTGCGACACGCCGTAGGAGTCCTTAAACCTCCTTGCAGGGAGCAGCCTTTCTAAGAGATCCTACTCGCCCATGGAAACGCGTCGTCGAAAGGCGATCCTTTCAACGCGATCGGAATCAAACTCCCTCGGCGTTATGGCGATATGGAGGGAGAACACATCAAGTAGGATTGCTGCGCTGGTCCACTACCCAACTGCCATCTGGTACTATATTGCCTCTCCAGTTCTGCGCTGATACCCGACCATGACGTTGAGCCTAATGTGCGCTGCCTCCTCAATCAGACTCGGGACATATAGCTTCTCGCAACCACGCACAGGCTTCAGAACATGGGAACGGTCAGCACGCACGAAATCGAGTTTCTTAACAGCTAACAATTGCCAACCGAAATGCTTGCTCCGTTCCATATTCCAACATTACACGCAATCCCTATGTCGAGGCGCGTTGTGGGCGATGGCGAGCAACCTCATATATCGCCCACCGGCGGCTATGTCGACCATTATGCTCTCCCTGGCGCTCTCTACCATGCGATTGATGCCCATGTGTCTTTGGGCCGTGTGCATCAAGATTCCAACGCTGCATTGACCGCAGCACTGCATGGGCACTCTACAGCCAGCTTGTCCGGCACCACAATTCGGGATCCAGTTCTCGTGCACCATCCACATCTCCAAGAAGACTGCGTAGACGGGAGAGACTCGAGATATGATACTCACAGTGGCATACCCAATCCCCATCCTGGCTTCATCATCCAAGGCACAATTGCCCTATTTGGGATTCCCCGCCTAGTGGCTACCCTCCGAATGTGGCAAGGACCGCTACCTGCAAGCAGAATTGATGGTCGTCCGATTCCACGTGTCGAACAAGCTAAATTGGACCAACCGCTACACCTATCGATGATCGAGCCAGCATTTACTGGCTCTCCATTGGACAGGGTGAGCTTTAAAGAGGTGGTGGTCTTCTATCAGAACTGTGAATATGACCCGACCAAGAGCATCGGATGGCACCTCAGCGCTGACTGGGTGATCGACGAGACCTGTGGACCCTTACTGGATATTCTCCAGAACATTCTCCACATCAAAGAGCCTAAACTTCAGATACATGCATGGCTGGGGTTTGACCATGAGTGGAATACGCCACTAGATATCGATATCATCACGTTGGAAGGCGTTTTTAGAGGACTTGATATCAAACTTCTGGACGGCGTGCATTTTACAAGCATTGGAGTCCGGCTTTTTGGCCTTCCAACTCGTATACAAGCAGCTAGATACGACTTTGCTCTACTCGGCGAGCTGGCATTGTCCGTCCCTGGAACCAAATTGCCATTGAAGACGGAATATGAAATTCGTTGCAGCGACAGTACTATCTCACTCCAGGCGGCGCTTCCTGGCTTTTGGGATGATCCTTTGGGGGTCAGAGGTTTCTCGGTTCGTTTTTTACCTTGCTGCAGCAAATCTATTTCTTCGGCCCCATTGATTCAAACTAATGAGGGCCCTGCTGATTTGTGCCAGGTCGGAAACGTCTGGTTCGGGACTTCTTTTGCAATAGGTAGCCCCCTGAACGAGCTGACATTTGAGGCCTCGGCGACGTTCGAATGTAACGGGACCTTGGCAGCCTTTCAAGGCTCATACACTACTGGAGGCATCTTTAGTCTGACGGCCAGGGTAGAGAGGTTTAATCTTGGCTCTATCTGCGACATCTTTCATGCTCTATACGGGGACACTATCTCGATCCCCGATATCGATATTGAGATTGAATCTGCCAGCATTAACATTATGTCCGGTAGAGGACTGACTGTTACCTTGACAGGCGTAAGGGTAACATCCTACGTGGTGCTAAGTGCAATTCTGTCGTTTAGCCCAACAGGAGTCTTAATCCGTGGAGATGTTCACGGAGATACAGTGGACTTTGGAGAAGTCCGTCTGATGGGAGCATATATGCAGCTGGTTTTTCCATCCTCGAATGCCAGAAGTTGTCCTGCCAGTAAGGAAGCGCACAAGCTAGAGGTCAGTTTGGGTGGGAAGGTTTGTTTTATGGATTCATTGACCTTTGATGCCGCCGTTCATCTTTACTCTCGTGGGGGTAGCATGCAGTGGACGATTCTGGCAGCTCTCTCCTCTGAGGATACACCTTGGCCTCTGTCCAAGCTGGTTTCGGAGGTTCAAGATACCTTTTTAGATATATCTCTCTCGCATGTAATGTTTGCTGCAGCGTCTCAGGATGACCCAGAGTTGGGGCATTTGGTGTGCAGCGTCTACACGATTAAAAAAGGTAAAACAGTGCTTCTCACAATGACTATGGCCTTGGGTTCCGCGCACTCAAACCCATTTTCTCCTCAACAAACCGCTGACCCCCCCAACAGGAATCCAAGTATGCGCCATGGTTGAGTCGAAATTGGAGGCCCTGGACTTCCTCACTCATAGCGAAAATACGCACCTGATTCTTCAAGCCGGTTGGTCTCAATCCACAGGCTTGACTGTGGCTTTGACCACTCCCACCTCGACAGCTCTTCTCCTGGGCAATGGTATCAAGACGAAACCAATCGCCCTCAGCCTTCTGACCAGACCCCGCGTGGCTATACAGATTGATACTGGGGCATGCGTGCCTGTAGCGCATTCACCCCAGCCCCTGGATTTCAATCTTGTCGTTACTGCCGACGCCATTGGTGCGTCTGGTTGTGGCGAGATGGATGGATGGTGGGTGAATCCGTTCGGCATCGGCGAGAATGTGAGGGTTGGGCCCAATACTGCGTTGAGCTTGAATATTGTCTACGCACAGCTTGTGACTACCGGGACACCCAGGTTAGTGTGGGCTTGATTACTTTGCCCTATCCTATACTCTTATCTAATATCTTTCAACGTAGCGGATTTGGCCTACGTGGGGGTCTAGCAATCGGAAACAGCACGGCAGAGTTTGCGATGAAGATAAGCGAAGATCCGACAGGTTCGTCCACTTTCCCTCTTCGAGCGAATATTTGACAAAAATAGTTGACCTTTCAACGATTAGAGGAACTGCTGTATGGAGAGGTACATCATCTCAACCTTGCAGATGTTATCTCCTTTGCGAGCTCGATGACGGGGATTCCGATGCCTCCTTTGCCAGAGGACTTTTTGGATTTTGAATACGTCAAGCTGTACATCTGTCCCTTTGGGACGATGCTTGGAACTAGGAGATACCCAGCAGGTTTCCTTTTCGAAGCAAAGATGACTGTGCTAGGGGCTGAAGCTCAGATTGTTTGTCGTATGTTGCCGAACATTTCTCTTCCCACTCTCCCCCTCTCTTGTTCCTCTCACGCTCATTACGCTTGAGTTGGGTATTTGGCTAATGCGGGCCAAGGCATCTGTGACAACATGGTCGAGATCAAAGGCGAAGTTGTCAATCTTCAAGTCGGGCCTTTGATGGTGCGAGGCACGGTTGGCCCAAAAGCGATACTTGACTTCATGTTGAAGCCCACATCACAACATCTGATAATCGACGGGCAGGTTATTTTGTTTGACATGATGCTAGCGATCTATGTCAACGTCAAGGTGCTTCCGAATCCAAAGTTTGAGCTCCACCTGTAAGTCTCTTGTTTTCTATTATCTCGTACTAGGATCCACGATTGCTGAACAGAAGTGCAGATCAATGAATTTCAACCACCTTACATTCGTATTGATAGCAGAACTCGAAATGCGCTCATTGCCCCTTGATCTATGTGGAGTAAATTTTAATATAGAAGCGGATCTCCAGACCGACATCTGTGAATACATTCGAGATCAAGTGATTCAAAAAATTGAAGAGGCACAGAGAGTTGTTCACGGAGAATTTCAGGCGGCGCACGGAGCCACGGAGTGGGAGCAACATGACTTGGAGCAGAAGATCGGATACGCAGAGAAAGATGTCGACAGCACTTTCCGGAATTGGGAGGAGGATAGAGAAAGAGCCATAGCGGAGGCGAGAAGCGTTATTGACAATTACGTGTCACGGCTTGATGAATTGGAGGCGGCCGTGAAGAAGGCCCGCGGGGAGTTCAACAATGCCACCCGTGCGGCGGAAAGGGACCTCCAGATAGCGAATGCTGACCGCCACAGGGCTATGGCGGCTGCGAGGCGGGATGTTGACACCGCGAAGCGGGATGCTGCCTACAAGATCACTAAGGCGCAACGTGCAGTTGACGAGGCGCAGAAGGAGGTCGACTTGGCATTTGCATCGGCAGAGCGTTCAATTGAAAATGCCCGAAAAGAGGTCGGTTCGATCAGGAGAGAGATTGGAAATATACGCTCGGTTATTGATGAGTACGGTCGAGCCCCGTGGTATCACTTCTGGAAGAAGGCGGCCATTCCTGGGCTTTGGACTACAATCGGCGTCCTCGAGGTATCACGGGCGGTCGCCGACGCGGCTTTGGTGGCTGCCAACGCGATGGTCGAGTCGACCAATTTCGTGGAAAGGAACGTGGCATTAGGCACGACGCAGGGACTGCTGGAGAAGGCAAAATCTGCCTCCAATTTCACACTAGAGGTCGCGAGTGCGGCTGTACGCATTTCCGACGTCACCTCAAAGGCGGCGGTAGATGCAGCCGAGGAAACCGTGGCGACGGTTCGTGTTGGTGGTCATTATGTGGTTCTTGAAACGGCCATTGCCAAAGTGGAATCGTTCAAGTACATCGAGCAAGCAACGTACGAAGTGGCTCTCAACACTCTGAACGATCTCAACGGCTGTGCAGAGGCGGTGTCGCACCAAATCGCTAGGAACGCGCTTACCATTGCAAGGGTTGCCCCAGCCTCGATTGAAGTTGCTAATATTACAATAGAAGGCGCCGACGCTGGAATCAACCGGGTGCTGGAGGCCGCTAAAACGGTCTCCGCGGCTGCCTTGGGTGCTTTCCAGATTCATAAAGTCACGTTGTCTGGTTCCTTGCATGGTATGGTCGAACGGACCTGCCCCTTGAAGGCGCATATCGAATTGGTACTTCTGGACAACCTCGTTATAATCGATGCATCCTTTGCCCCTAGGCACCCAGGAGCACTAATCACTGATATATCTGATCAGTAAGTCCTGAGTTCTATCTATCACCCTCCGTCCTACTGGTCTCCGTGTCAGATCCAAAGCACCCAACACGGCCTTGCATTAAGTGTTTTGCTAACCGTCATTATTAGGGTTAATAAAATTAAGCGACAAATGTAGTTTCATCACCTCTGAATATGGGGAATTCTCAGGCAATAAACTTTTGAATGGTTTATTACTCCAATAGCTCTTCTAGTATGGGTTTCGGCCGACAGGCCCTATTTATCATTATAGTTTTCAACCCTCTGTACCAACCTAGATACCTGTCAGCTCATTGACTAAAACCTGTGGTACGAAGTATTGTTGCACCGGTTAGAGACTTGGACACTTTTGACTGGATAAGAACCCTCCTAACATGACATTAGATGTCTGTGTCTGGCTGCAAGTACTGTCCACTACTCCCACCCCCACCCCCGCCGTTAGCCTCTTGCCGTCCTCTTTACCTAATAACACAGCCCTGACCTACATATATACATAAGGAAATGCTAATCTAATATGCCCTAATGGCAGTCTGGGGATCATAATTGGTTGTTTATGTTGTTACCTTATCCTGATAGAGGGAGGTTCGGTGCTGAATCGGTTTGTAACGGGAAAACCTTGGTTTATACTGAGGTAGGTCAGATCTGATACAAACTGGCAGTGTTGACCACGGAGTATACTACTCCGATCACCCCACTTCGTGAAGAATAGGAATCAGGCTCGAAAGAGATATAAAACCTTTGTGACATAGAATTCTTGAGGTTCTTCAAGAATTAGTTTTAATTCAATACAGAAGATACTATCCATCTTGGCTGTGCTACTCTTGCCTTGCCTAGTCAATACTTTAATCCTTACAATTAAGATATGTTAATAGTCTAACTATCAAAACAGACTTAGAGAAGCTAGTAATCTTATAAGGGTAGTATTTAATTAATTTTATTCATAATTAAACCTTTTTGTGTCGATTAAATTTAATCAAAACATAGGCAAATTAACAGTGATTTATAACTCTTTCTATTAGCGAATATAATGAAATAAAACTACTTAAATTACCATAATTTTATGCAACTTCATACACTAGCCTCATAAAGCTAGTATCATCCCATGGGATTCCCATGGGATTCACCTTTTGCCCATAGTCCCATGCCAAGATCCCATAGGACTTACATAAGTGGGAATATCCCACCAATATTGCGGGATTCCCATGGGACCCATGGGAATCCCATCGCCCATGCACAGGTCTAGGTCAGGTACACCTGCAATATATCCACACAGAAGCCAGACTTTGCCCTCTCGGCGCTTGAAGAATGTGTGATTTTGATAATTGTAAAATTAGAGATTTATGTACTAGTGACATATAATGATAATCCTTCTAAAAAGCATGCATACTCCCGCTCTAGTTAGTAGTAGTGGCGGAGAGTGTACTCCGTACACATGTGTTAGCAAACACGAAAGCGGGCGCAAACCTGCGTAGCCAAGTAAAATGATTGGTCACCACTTTCTTTGAGCACCTGATAGGTGCGCACGCATCAAGGCGAGGGGTCTGAGGAGCGTTTAGTAAAGTTTCGAGTTATTTTTCTTTGGCTCGGTGCTTCTAAAGTTACCAGGATGAGCAGGGAATCAAGTAACTACCCCCTCTTTTCGCTATTTCTTCACCGCCCTAGACCGTCAACGTCACCGTCACCGTGGCCCTCTCTTGAGCAGATGTTTTGGGGTGATCTGTCTACTTGCGATATGCCGCGCCGAGGAGCCTCTAGGTCTAGGAGCTGTGCCAACTGTCGAGCTGTCAAGCGACGGGTGGGTGGAAATGATCTCTTATCCCCCCCCCCCCACATCTCTCCATATTGAGTTGGACTGCTAATTTATCCTACCTCTGTATAGTGTGATAAGCAGCTTCCTCACTGTGGACAGTGTATTCGCAAACGCGAAGAATGCCCAGGATACCGCGATGAATGGGAGTTGGTCTTCCGCGACCAGACCAATGATACCATAAAGCGGTTCAAGGAGAGAAATCTGCCCAGCCTCAGTTTGGACGAGATGGAAGACAGATATTTCCTCAATTTCCAATATCTCAGTCGACATGAGATAATAGATCTACCAAACGCCTCCAAATTATCCCAGGCCGTCTCCTCCTCCTCGATGATGCGCAATCAGATCTTCTCGTCCTTTTTAAGCGAATGCTTTCCTAGCAATAAGGAGTGCGCGTCCGATATCAATTTGACACGATTTATTCTTTCGGGCATGAGTCTGTTCCCCCAAAAGAGCCTTATGCTCGAGATGGCCCTGTCCGCATTGGCTTGTATTTTTCTCGGAAAGATCCGCCATAATGAACAGTTCTTTCAGCATGGGCTTCAATTATACAACCGTGCAATTCGGCACATGTCAAATATAATCAGTGGCAATGTGTATAATAATGACATGGTTTACACAAGTGTGGTTTTCCAGCAACTTCAGGTGAGGTCTCTCCTTTTGTTTTGTTTTTTTGATTTTCTGAATGATAGCTCACATTGACCTAGACTCACTATTGCCCGTACACACTTGGAGAATGGATCACTCATGTAGATGGATTATACGCAATTATGAAATGCTACCGCCGACGAATGCAGACAACGCCGATAATCGCTGCGATATTTGGAAAGTGCCAAAAGATGAAGGTGGTAAGCAAGCAGTGATTTCAATTTCATCATTCACCGTGTGATTTACCTTCTGATTTTTATAATAGCTACTTTCGGGCATCGGGCATCTATCCAAGGAGACAATTACGTGGCTTAATGAGCCCAATGAAGGCGGGCCGTGGTTTGGCGTGATCAGGCTTCTAACAGAGATGTCTCGTATCACATCTACTCTTCGGACCACAAATGTCTCTGACCACAAGGCTTACGCAGCTCTATTGAACAACTGTCTTGCCCTTGAAAAAGATCACATGGACTTTTATACTGAAATTGAACACGAAGTAGACGGTGAAACTCCTACATACACCCGTGGTGAATTGAAAACAGCCATGCCGCCCACGGATGATCTATTCGGTCCTGCCTATCGCTTTTCCTCCCTCGAAGACTCCATGCTGCATCTTTTTTACTGGTTATCACTTTCCTCTGTCTATCCTCTTATCCATCAATGCCGTACGCATGCTATGGCTGCCAATGCTGAGTCGCCTGATTTTTCTCAGAGTGACGAGGTTGAGATGCATCGTTTGGTAATTTTCTATGTCAACAAGGCTGCTCGATGTCTTCCTTACTGCGGGCAGGAGAGCATGAGTTCCTTCGCTTATTATCACTTACTTTGCGCGGTCCAGGTCTCGCGCGTATATACTCATGCCAGGGATTGGGGGCGCTTTCTCTGGGCCCAGCATGTTTTCACATTTATTGAACTTTCTGGTTACGAGTATGCGGCTCGGTATCGTGAAATATGGTGGGATTATTGGTTTGATTCACAGAAACATAACACGTGCAGCATCTTGGATTACAGGCAATTGAGCAAGGAGCCCAAAAAGACTATTTATGCGGTCACAGAAGGCGATGTGTCGATTGAGGCTGCGGAGTAAAGTACATACCAATTTGGGAATAGCTTAGGAAACAAACGCTGATTGAACATGACTTCCAAGGTTCTAATCGGGTAACTAAGTTTTGAATAATTACTAAATTTAAGCCCTTGCTAATATCAACTCACTGTGCCTGAGTCTAGAATACTCTTATCAAAGGGCAGAGAAAGGAAAACCTCACATTGCAGATACTTTATTATTTACCTGGTCTGCTGTATACCTGTATATAGTTGAACCTATAGTTTCAACAGCTTGGACTATAATAATAGACGTAGCTCTAATAGCTCGTTGAGTTTTATTATAAAATTTGAATGTGGCATCTCAAATCTGGTGGCGAGTGTAAGATTCGTCTCCCCAAGGTCGTCTATAGCGCTGGACTCCACAAAAACACACATCCCGACAAAATGAACAAAATTCTAATAACATGGTTGACATCGGCCTCATCGATATCTGCTATCAACCTGCCGCAGGTTTGATATATCTGTTTGTTTGCCGGTTGGTTCCTCTTCCAAGGTTGCTTCCGTCGATACGCTAGTAACTATCATTGACTGTCACTGAGCGTTCCCACTTCTTATACTCTTCCACCCCGTTCGGCTGGGCTCAACTCATCATCCAAGGTCCTTCCGCATAAATACGGTCTTCGTGTCCCACGTTTTTCCATTCTTGTCTGGGACATCGTAGTAGTTTTGCACAATTTTAAGACATCTATAGCCCATTTTACCATACCACTCCTGGTTCGAAACCTGTAAATTTGTTATTAATTTCAACATCAAGCTGGCTGTGAACGGTCAAATTTACCTTCGGAACCCGTCCATAGGTAACCTTAGCAAATTCCTCTCTCAATTGATCCTTTCCTTCGACGGTATCCAGCATCAAAGTCTTAGCGCATAGAGGTTCTTGAATGGCAATTCTCTCAATTTCATCCATGGCTGCTCGTCCAATTCCTTGGCCCCGGTGATGAGGTAGAACAAAGAAGGACGTAATCCAGAATACTTTGACGGCCGGAATATCGAGGTCTATTTTCTTGGCCTTTTGATTCTTCGAGTCCAAAGCAATGTGACCAATTGGAATGAACTCCGCTTGTGTTGGTTGGCGTGTTGCTGCATTAATGGACACGGCTGTATCAATCAGCGCATCGTGTGCCCCTTCCACAAAGCCAGTAGAAGAGGGGGCCTATAGTTTCCTGTCAATATCTTCCAACTCTAGGGTTCACACGATATTAGAACATCAAATACCGGGGTGTGTTGATGCGCAAAACTCACAATCCAATAGATACATTTCTCGCCTCTAATTTGCGCATTTTTCCATATGTCTTGGACTTTCTCCATATCCCAAGTGCATTCCACTCGCTGGTTGAAGAGCAGTAATTTATGAGGCTCCGACAGCGGATCCCAAGGAATCAGTGTTAGTCCTGACGTCGAGCCCATTGTCGAGTATCAAGCCTGCTGACGGAGTAGAGGGTGAACAAATTTGCAGGGTTTTGGTTTAGGATGAAACAAGAGATTTGGGGGTCTAGGTCAATGATTTCGGGCGAAGTAAATAGTGGTTTCCATGTACTATTGGAATTGCACGTGAGATGGCGATGTGGGGGTGTCGGTGAAATTCAAGTTGGCCGACTGGATTACACGCTGGCAAGGGAAGGCGGTATTTTAAAAATCTGCCGAGACATTCCTTATCGTGCGGCCCCATCTGGAATTCATGGGAGAGGGAAATCCTCGAATAGTACTAGGTACAGACCTTTGACTATCTTTGGGTGGTGGTAGAGTGTAGATTTGTTCGGTGCTCTCCGTGCGGCGGTAGAAAGGTGGTGGAAACGGTGTATGCTGAGATTATTGGTTCGATTCCCAGAAATATACTATAGTAGTAACCCCTACGGCATTTTGAATTGTAGGCAATTGACCAAGGAGCTTAAAAAGACAGGCATTCATGCGGTCACACCTGGAAGGTAATGCGTAAATTGGGTCGCGGAGTAGATACATAACAATTTGGGAATAACCTAGGAAACAAAAGTTGATTGAACATGGCTCATAATCGGGTAACTAAGTATTGAATGATCACTGAGTTTTGAGCCCCTGCTGACATCTACTCACTGAGATCATCAAAGGGCAGAGAAAGGAATGCCCCACATAGCAGACACCTTATTAGTTAGCTGGTCTGTATACCTGCATATAGTTGAACCTATAGTTTCAACAACTTGAACTATAATGATAGACGTAGCTCGAAAAGCCCGCTGAGTATTATCATAAATTTCGAATGTGGCATCTCAATAAACTGGCGAGCCGCGGCATCCGGATGAGGCATTTGTGCGTAGTTCCCGCCAAGTCAACAGATCCGCCAACAACAATTCTTGCGCCTTTGAACAATAGCCTATAAAGGACCCTAGGTTGGATCTTAATCCAAAACAGATCAGAGAATTCAGCCTCTGACTCTCTATCAAATTATATGACGACATGATTCGAGTTCAAACATCCCATTGTTTCCGACCGCGGAGCTTTGCACCCCTGCAGAGCTCCCTTACCTACCCTCGCTTCCTCTCACAGGCCTCGCGAAAATATGGCTGCCATAAACAGACTCCCTCGACTGAGGAGCCCCTGCAAAAAGGAATCAAGGATAGCACACCCACGCCAACTTCATCGGTACTACGCTCGGCCTTCTGGTCGTGCCGCTCCACATGGCGACGAGCCGGGATCAACACCCTGCGCTGTCTGATCGGGTGCACAGTCGGTGATTTCACAGCCCTATGGACTCTACAATCCTACTACCCTGAACTGGGCATGAACAGCATTATGCTAGCCTCAAGTACGTATTCTCCGAAAGAAGAATCCAGCCCCGGAGCGGAGTAAAGCGAAGCGCCCGCGCGCAGGCAAGAGTTTACGTGAAACGCGGCCGGCTAATCTAAGACGGCACGGAATAGTGGCATCGGGCATCACGACTTCGATTATTCTTGAAACGGTATTGTTAAGACGCGGTGCTGACCAGTTGTCTTGGAGTATGGCGGCGCGGACTGCGATGGGGATGAGTATGGTTTCGATGGTCGCGATGGAGTTGGCGGAGAATGCGGTTGATTATCACCTCACTGGGGGGAGTTATCGCTCTTGACGATCCTAAGTTTTGGATGGCGGCGGTTTTGTCGATTGGGGCGGGTTATCTTGCGCCTTTGCCGTATAATTACCTTCGTTTGCGAAAGTATGGAAAGGCATGTCATTGAAAAGGAAAAGAAGGAACTGTACGATAGTTACGGAGGTAGTGCTCCAGGGTGTAGATATTCACACTGTATCCTCTCGTTGGCGGGAAAAAGAAAAGACGTTTGTTTCAGAGTTTCAGACATGTACATAGCAGAATCTTGACATTTCGAACATCATTTCTAGAAAGAGTCAAAAGTTCATCAAAGTTCATCAGTGGAAAGACCCTGACATCTAACGTGTTTCACCACCGAACCGCCACCACCACCGAGCCGCCACCACCTCAAAAAAATCGCGTCGCGTGTAGCACCCCCATCTTTAAACCACCACTATGCCACCAATTCGTACCGGACGAACGCGCAAACTCATTGAGCAAGAAGGCAGGATCGAACTTGCTATACAGGCGCTAAGAAACAAGAAAATAGCTTCTATTACTGAAGCTGCGCGTGTTTATGAGGTACCTCGTACAACATTACGCGACCGCGTCAAGGGGATCGGTTATCGTAACACCACTCGCGCAAATTGCTCAAAATTGGATAAAATCGAAGAGGATTCGCTTGAGCGATGGATATTGGATCTAGATATGCGTGGCAAGGCCCCTACCTTAGCTATGGCAAAAGAGATGGCCAATATTCTACTTGCTCAGCGCTCTGTCAATACCCCTCCCTTACCACTCGGCAAAAACTGGATATCTCGGTTTGTTGCACGCCGTGAGAAGCTAAAAACCCGGTTTTCACGTCGTTACGCCGCTCAGCGTGCATTATGTGAAGATCCGGAGCTTATTCGCGAGTGGTTCGATCAGTATCGCAACATCATTGCTGAATATGGCATCCTTGACAACGACATCTATAACTTTGATGAAACTGGCTTCGCAATGGGGATCACTAGTACTTCAAAAGTGATCACTAGTCGGGAGTGGCAGGGAAAAAGAAAAGTCGTGCAGCCTGGTAACCGGGAGTGGGTTACTGCAATTGAGTGTATCCATTTGGATGGTGTTCTACCTCCAACGATCATTTTTAAAGCTAAGGTTTTTATATCTGCTTGGTGCAGTATTGTCCCAGACAACTGGCGCTTCGAGGTCAGTAATAATGGATGGACTACTGATCAAATTGGTATTTCATGGCTCGAAAATTCTTTCATCCCATACGTTAAGAAGCGTCAACATGGTGCCTGGTCTCTCCTAGTCATGGATGGCCATGGGAGTCATCTTACCCCTCAATTTGATACTCTATGCATGGAAAACAATATTGTGCCAATCTGCATGCCATCTCATTCATCGCATCTATTACAACCTCTTGATGTAGGTTGTTTTGGTGTATTGAAGCACTTCTATGGTCAGGCTGTGCAAGATCTTGCCCGCATAGGCTCTACAGATATTAAAAAGCTCGATTTCCTTCATCTGTACCCTACAACACGTGCAGCAACATACACAACCTCTACAATTGCTAGCAGTTTTATGGCATCAGGTATCATTCCATATGCGCCTGAGGTAGTACTTTCAAAACTTGAGGTTCATCCCCCGTCACCTACACTACCACCATCACGTGGTAGTGCTAGTAGTCATGAATTTATACCTCATACACCATCAAAAGCTATCAATTTCCGACGCCAGGCAGCATCAATCAAGCGATTACTAGAATATCGAGATATTTCACCCAATAGCGATATATATCAGCAATTGGAGCAGACTACCAAAGGTGCACAATTACTTGCTAATCAGCTTGTAATGCTGACGACTACATATGAGCGTGTAATGGCAGAGAATGGACGAAAGCAGCGAAAAAAGGCCTTACCTAATAAGCAATTGGTATACGAAGGTGGAATGACTGCCGAAGAGATGCAATTACGTCTACAAATTGAGCATGAGCACCAAATGGCAATACCCCCGGTGCCACGGCGTGCTCCGGCAGCTACAGAGACGACGATTAGGAGGCCTGTACAGCGCTGTACTAATTGCAGAGAGCCAGGGCACAAGCGGAATAGGTGCCCGGTTGTGAATAGTGCTTAGTTTTTGCAATATATTATATGGTGGTTGTGTAATATTCAATATATATCGTTGTAATGTAGGTGGGGTGGCGGCTCGGTGGTGGTGGCGGTTCGGTGGTGAAACACGTTACTAGTGCTCCGTACTCCGTACTCCGTCCCTACGGTTCTCCGGTGGAGGTGCCGATCTCTTGTAGCAGGTTTACAAGGCCGTCCGAAAGAGCTGTGATCGTCTGTTCATCATGTTACATTGCCTGCAGCAGTGGCCGGTTGACCTATCGGGTGATTCAATCAGATATCATGGATATGACATTTTGAACGGTACACCGCGTGGCCTTTCCGGCGTGCCTGAACAGCTGCATTCGCTTCGTTTCATCGCCAGAAGCCAACTGGACAAGTCTTTGGAGCCTTTGCAGCCTTTGAAGCGGGCGACGCGGCCTCCGCCCCTCGTGGGGTTTCCTAAAGCGTGCAGTCTGACGGATTCCGCCTTGACTCGTCATCTCCAGGGCTATAAATGTGAGCAACGCCGGAAAGGATCAGGGTTCTATATTGTCTACGACCCCATATCATTATATATGACACTGTTGCCTGTCCCATCGAGGATATTGCATCGGCTTATCCTCCTGGGCATCGCAGTTCTCTCCTATCTGGCGGCAGTGGCTTAAACGCCAAAAGTTCAACGTGGTCGTAATTGGTGCTGGTGGCCCCACTGGCTCCATTCTCTGACGATAGCCTTGGACTTCGGTAATAAAAAAAGATGCAAGATCGCCGCATGACGACGTGAGAACGGAGAAACTAGAGAGAAAGGCTGGATTAGTTCCAATTCCAAGCCAGGAGTTCTTTTCTGTCCCTTTCCCTTCTCTCTCAATTCCTCTATATCCTTTCCTGTCCATATTCATATCATATCCATGTCCATGTCGGGATAACCGGCCCCCCCCTCATTCCTCATTCCTGATTCCTCATTCTTCATTGAATCGGCTGTCGTTCGCCCTGGGGGCTCTTCGCCATGCAGATCCTCTCATGTCAGCGGAGCAGAACCACCATTCTGTTGACGGTCTTTTCGGCCTTGGTCTTCGTCTCATTATTGAGATTGAACCATTCCTCAGAACATTTCCACCAGAATGCTAATATCGAAATCACTCCGGGGTCAATATCACAACCACAATCCCCAGAACCATCTGCATATCCCGCCTCATCCGAGTCACAATCCGAGGAATCATCACCAGAGCAACCATCACTACCACCACCCTCCAACCCTCAACCTCACCACCAATCCCTACCTCAATCCCAACCTCAATCCCAGGCGCAGGCGCCTCAAAAAAATGAAGACTCACCCATCAAACCCGGTCCTCAAAAAGACCCCCAACAACCCTTCTCCAAACTCGAAAACTATGACTGCACAATCGACCTCGACCTCCTCCGCCCCTACAAACCCTATGACGACAACATGGTCAAATACTCCAGATGGGACATCGCTGTTCTCCGCACCAAATCCTTCAAATCCTTCTCTGAAAACTTAAACGTCCCAAACCCAGACACCCAACCAGCCCTAGACCTCGACCTCGCAAACCCAGGCCCAATGGTCCAATACCAAAAACTGCCCCCATCCTCCTGCAAACCCATCATAATCGAAGCGCCCGCGCCGGAAAAAGTCGACGCCTCGCACATCTACGTCGGCTTCGCGACGACAATCGAAAGACTGCACGCCGACATCCCGGCCTTCGCGCACTGGGCATCAAACAACAACCTGCACATGTTCGGCCTACTGGAAGAGCGCGTCGTGGAAGAAGATCTCGGCGACGGAAACGGCACCCAGATCTTTCCCATCGACCGCTCGGAAGAGATTGCCGAGATGGAGGCTCGCGCCGCGGCACTGGGCATTCGGCTTTCGCTCTCGACGTCGCAGGCCGAGTATACGGATCGGTACTTTGCGCTTACGAAGATTATGTGGGAGAATCGGGATCGGGACGGTGTGCGGACGGAGTGGGCTGTTGTTATTGATGACGATACGTTTTTCCCTTCTATGGGGAATATTGTGCGGCGATTGCGGAGTGCGTATGATTCGCGGAAGAAGTGGTATGTTGGTGCGCCGACGGAGAGCTTCGAACAGTTGAAGGGGAATATGTGGATGGCTTTTGGCGGGGCGGGGATTTTCATGTCGATGCCTTTGATTGAGGAGATGATTGGGTCCTTTGAGGAGTGTGATTTGTGGAAGGGGCCTGGGGATCAGAAGATTGCGCAGTGTGTTTATTGGCATACGAAGACTAAGTTGACCTGGGATAAGGGGCTTTTCCAGTTGGATATCAATAATGATGTTTCGGGGTTCTTTGAGGCTGGGCGGCCTTTGCCGCTATCGTTGCATCATTGGAAGTCCAATTTTGATGTTGATATGGTGCCTCTTGCTAAGGTTGCTGCTGTTTGTGGCGATGATTGTTTGCTGAAGAGGTGGCAAGTCGGTGATTCGCGAGAGTGGTTCTTTACCAATGGGTTTTCTTTGGTGAAGTATTCTTCTCCGTTGACCGATGAGGAGATGAATAGTATGGAGTTTACGTTTGAGGAGGACTTTTGGAAGCCCATGGATGATTATGCCTTTAGTCTTGCGCCTTTGCGTGAGATGGATTGGGGGGAAGATCTCGTTTCACTTGCGTGATGCTGTCATTGAAAATGATGGGCAGCGCGTGAGACAGATCTATGTTCATGAGCCGGACTTCTTTGACGAAGCTCGCACTGAGATTCGCGAGGTTGTTTGGAATATCATTGATGAGGAGTGATCATTCAAAGTTCCTTGAATGCACAGCACTTCAGGGCTTGAGTCGCCCAGGAGGCATCTCAAGTCTGCAACAGCTGCATTTGACGTATTTTTCAACCTGGCCAACTGCTTTGTCCCCGCGGTGTGAAAATACGATTCCATATACTTTCTGTGTACATAGAATTCCATTGCAATTTAGACATAACTTTGATACTACTTACCCTGGAGCATTTCTGATCTCACCATGACTTACGATACTGACCGGCCCCACCTTAAATTCCTACAAAATTAATTGGACCCTCAAAAGAATCAACGGTGGGACGGTGAAACCATCTGTTGGTATAGCCTCAACAACAGTCATATTCACGATTTGTATGGTTTCCAGATACAATTTTTTGACGTGGCTCACGTGTAATAATCCACTGATCTTTGCCAACCCCAATTTGAAAGCCTGTTTCATCGAAATTGTAGATATCCTCGGATTGAATCCCATATTTTTCAATCGTACGTTGAAGGCTTTCAAACCATTCCTCCATTGCTTTTTTATCATGCGCACGAAGCCGTTCAATATCAAGGCTTTTACGCCTGCGTACACGATACTCAGGATGTCGTTGAAGAAAGCCTTTAAGTCATTTATCATCGATCGGAGCAGATTCACGTTCAATATGATGATGAAATTGAACCCTCAAATTCCCCACTCCGCGGACGTTGGGCTAAAATACCACGACCTTACATCGAACCCCCCCCATCCCCTTTACTCACTGCCTACATCGCCAACATCGCTGACATTCGGACTGGCTATCTACTTATTAAGGACCCTCGGCCGGAATTTCCATCCGTAATTTCGTCTAAATGAATGCCATCCATAAAGGCCCCAGAAAGCGAATTCAGACTAGAGGGCTCCACACGGTTCTCCCAAGCACTGTTTCCGTGCTCGTCCAGCCAAAGTATCTTGATCAGACCCGTTTCGATAGCCTCGCGGTCGAGCAGGTACACCACAACTTGAAACTCTAGCTCTGTCAAGGCTAGGCCTCTAGATTCTTCGTCTTCTATCTCTTCACATTGGGCCCGCATCTCCTCGTCGTTTTTACCAGAATGGTAAGTGAGGACATCTCCATCGTACCCGACGCCCCGGAAGTCCGTTATTCCCGGTACTCGGACCAGAACTTGTCGCCAGTGATCCAATGATCCGTCATCAAAAGCGTAGCGATTACTGTCGTCGAGACATCGAAAGAGGGCAATTTCATCCTCCCCATCAGCTCTCATATTTTTATATTTCTCCTTTAGGTCTTCATCGTAGCAGGTCTGAAGCCAGATCTTCTGTACGCCAGTATCCAAATTTGCACAAATATTTCGCTCATAATTTGACTGATGAATGCTCAAAACTTTTATTTCATCATTTGTCAAGTCAGACGGCAGACCATTTGCCAAATCAGTCACCTTCAAGTCTGCTCTAGATTGATAGTCCTAATCAAATGTTAGTATACAATCGAGATACCCGGCGGGGGGGGGATGTCAGACATATCGATCTATAAGCGATAACGCTAGATATTCTCACACTAATTCTTCCCATTTCTGAGGGCTTTCCTCTAAACCCTTAGGCCAATAGTCCTATTTCGCATGAGCTAAGATAGTTTGTTATGTAAGGAATACGCTTACTGCGATGTAGTAATCAAATGGGAAAGCACCGTACTCGGCACCCTCGTCAAGTTTATCTTCCAACATCTTGAAAACCTGGTCGGGCAAATTGTTCGGGGGCCAAACAAAAGTGTGTCTCAAGAGGGGTGACCCTGCGCTTAAGCAGACTGGTCTTAGCAAATAGTGCCGATCTTTAGCTCAATTCTTGGCGATATTGGCCCCCTCTTCTTGGCAGGGACTATACGCGAGGATCCGAGTTATTTCATGTTGGATGTTTGTTCAAACTGTTGGATGTGGATATATTCGCCCCTCTAATGGCTCTCGGTGGCCCATCTGTAGGTTGCGGCCCCTCATATCGCAGGGGCCGTAACACCTTAATACTTAAAGATATACAAAGACAGTAGTTAAATAGCCCTCTAAACCTATTAAAGACTATTCTAGACCAGATTATTAAAGATTACTATATTGTATTACATAACACTATACTACTAGTACAAGAAAACATAGCTCTATGTATAATAAATAAGAAAGTAATAAAGAAACATAATCAGTCAACTAGATGAATACCCTGTAAAGAGGGGTTCACTGTTAAAGAAGGCCTATAGCTAGTTACATAACTAGATTTGCTAGCAGAAGTACCTAGTATAGATTCCTATACACCGGGCAAATTACCTGCTTAGGCAGACCAACTAGCGGAGAGAGCTCTGCCAAGGTGTAGTAGGTGTAGGGAAACTGGTCACAGGATAGATTCATATAATAATCGCTACATCTAGTTGAATTAATGGGGTTTGGTTGTGATAATCGATTTTGAGATTTAATAATGAGGCTAGGTGATCGGGACGGCCGGGAATTACTTTAGTTAACTACTTAAGATCTACTCAATAAGCAAAAGCAGTGCTTACTGAGCACTAAAATAGAAAGGGAAAGCCAAGACTTTACATAGGAAATCCTCTGCCTAGGTAGCAATAAGCTCTAGATAGCTAGGTAGAAAAAAACTTGAAGGTAGAACTCGAACAATTTTGGTATTATCCAAGGAATGACTGTATGTGGGTATGATGTATAATGACAGGACAGTAAAAGAAATAGAAGTAAAGAGTCAAACAGACCGACTGGCTTAATCGCAACCTCAATCAGCCAAGTCAGCACATGTGAAAAAAGATGCAGATATAAATGTAAATAACAATGTAAATGTAAATATACGCGAAAGCCAGAAAACAGCCCGCATAAGCATGAAAATATATGAATCCAACCAAATATGTCCACGAAACTCACCATTCTCGCATCATTTCAGCCAAATCAAAGAAAAGCAACTCCCGACCGTCAATACAGTCCGCTCTAACTTTTCAACGCGCAAATCATTGCATATGCCGCTCATCATGATCATGAACCTGCGCTTGCTGATGCTGGTGCAGATGCAAATGGTGATGGTCATCCTCCTGCGCACCCGAAGAACCAGGAACCGGCGCCCCAGGCGAAACACCGCGCCCAGACTCCAAATCGTTCCCATCGCGACTGACACTGCTGCGATGACGGAAGAAGCGATTTCTCGCAGACGAAGCCCCACTCCGCACACTGTGCGCGTCGAACCGAAGGTCGACCCTCGTTCGTGGTCGTAGTCGTCAGATTCGACGGGCGCCGACTGCCCTTGTTTGAAGAGGCAGCGCTGGCACTGGCGCTCCGGCTCGTTCGGCGCTCTTCTTCCTCCTCGGCGAGATCTTGCATGCGCCGCTCGGCGGCTTCGCGGTTTGAGGTCCGGACTACGTCGTCGATGCGCACGGAGCGGTCTTCGAATACGTCGCCCATTACGTCGTTTGAGGAGAGATTCGCCATGCCGAGGGAGAAGTCGACGTGTTTGCGGGATGTGGAGGCGCCGCGGGCGCGGGCTGCGGCCGTGTTCATGCCCTTGCGTAGGATGGAGGGGTGGCGGGCTGTGGTGCCGCTGCTGATGCTGGTGTTTTCCGGGATGGAGTGGCCTGCTTCGCCGATTGGGACTTCTTCCGCTTCGGTGGGATCTTCTCTCTTCAGGGGCGGGGCGACCATTGGTTGGCCGTAGTTGATGTGGACGGGATAGTCGACGTTGGCGCCTTGGAGGTTCATGCGAGGGCCCTCGATGCCGATCTCTTGTAGGGCGATCATGAGCATGCAGATGAATTTGTTGCGGCGCTGTAGGCGGAGACCTTCGTTTTGCCAATTGGATTTGTAGAAGAAGACGACATTTAGTGTGACGGAGAAGTTCTCGGTGACGGCGCGCAGCTCGGTGAGGATGTTGCTCTGGAAATCGCGCTTCTCGCTGCGGACAAACTCCAGCAGGCGTTGACGGAGACCGTCGAGTTGGTCGATGGTTGTGCCGTACTTGATGATGATGGGGACAGCTTCAGCGAGGGCTCCAGAACGGCGCTGGTTGAGAATGAACAGTCCATTCAGATAGCTGTTCGGCGCTTGGACGACGTGACCTTGCATCTTCTTGAACTCGGTGTATAGAAGGGTGATCTCCTTGACGAAGTAGTCGTCACCCAAACCAGCATCACCGGCGTTACCGTAGATGGTGACACGGTCACCGACATCAAAGGGGTGCTTGACAAAGACGAAGATGATGGATTGCAGGAATTCCTGTGCGGTGGCAGAGAACAACCAAGAGAGAGCAAGGATGGTGGAACCGGCGGAGGTGAGAACTCCGGCGGCGGAGGTGGAGATCAGCGAGAGGAAGACAATGATAACAATAACGAAGACAAAGAACATGAAGACATCGTCCAGCTTGGAAACAACCGAGTCCAGATCCTTCAGCGAAGCAGTGATGGATTTGCGCTCACGGCCAATGTCAACACACACAGCTTCCAATTCTTCCATGGAGATATCCCCGTTCATATCGCGATCGAACATGACGAAGGCAGCCTCGGCTTCTTCATTGTTATCAAAGGCCTCCTTCAGATCGCCGGAGAAAACAGTGTCAAAGCCATCACGGACAAAAGTACGGTAAAGGCGACGGGCCAGAACCTGGCAACCAGAGGTGGAACGGAGTAAAGTCAGAATGACTTGATAAGGGTCGCCGCTATTCTTGACTCTGCGACCGGTGAAATCCGAAACAACGCCACCAGCCACATCACCGACCTTGTTTCCGACCTTTTCCGCAACCTTTTGAGCGGCGCGACCAGCCTTTCCAGCATAGTGCAGGGGAGTCTTGGTGCCCGACCCGGTCTGGTCCTGGTCTTTTTCCTGGAAAGCATCGTCATCCTCCTCAATCTGGGCGCGGGACCATTGGTACAATTTCACCAAGCTGCCGATCTGGAATTTGTTGATCTCAATGCGGTCGGCATAGGTCCGCAGGTGGAAGCTGATCGCGATCAGCTGGATAATGACTTTCTCGATCAAGTTGAGAATCGTCCAGACGAAAATCACAATAATGATCTTGTTGAGAGTATTCTCCCAGCTGCGCGTACCCTTGTCGCCATCCACATGGTGGTTCTTCATGGTGGGGAGGAAAGAAATCTCGACTCCAAGCCACCACAGGAACAATGCAAAGTGAATTTCCAGCTGCTTGGCCATGTCACGCCATTTCTTCGCGTTGTTGGTGAAGACACTGGCCACGGCACTGACAACGGGGGGCAATCCTTTTCCAACAATGCGCCCAGCCCAGAGAGTCAACCAAACAATCTCCAGCCAAATGGAGAACCACATCAATTTCACTCCTCCAACACTTGTATTTGGGAATTTGAGGGCGCCGATCAAGAGGGGGATCATAATGAGGAGAACCATGGGGACGATATAGGTGAGATAGCGAACGAGGAAACTGGACTGGTGAATGCGCTTCACAAATGCGGAGAGCTTAGTATTGGGACTCTCGGGGGGGTTTGTAGATCGCGGCTTTCTCATGAAGAGGGTTGGTGGCTTCGTCAAACTCATCGACGGCCTCGCTGCGACGCGATCGGGTCCGGCTGATAGAATGATGGTCACCATGCTCGCCATTTTCGCCCTGGGTAGAACGCGATGCGACACGCTCAGCTTGGAGGAGGGTTAAATCATCCTCGAGACGAGTGGCTTGTTCCCGGCGAGCAGAGGGAGTGCTCATGGGCGGAGCACCATCGGGATAGAGCGCTGTGTCGACTTTGAGGTTGTTTTGGTTACGCGGTTCGGAGGATTCATTCACGTAGGTACCCTCGTCGGAGGTAGGAGATTCTTGAATGGATGAATGTTCACCATGTTGATGTTGTTCTTGAACATGAATAATTCGTTTGTGGTCCACGGGACTTGACATGGTGGCGCCAGGCCAGTAAAGAATGTGGGGGGAAGTGGGTGGCTACGGCTCAACCGTAGATGGATGGAATGTGAATCAGTGGGAGGTGAGAGGAAGGTATTAAGGATAAAATAAGGGATTAGGAGTGTAGATGTGGAGGTGGAGGTGGAGGATGTAAACGAGGGTGTGAAGTGTGGGAGGTGAAAAGGTGAAAAGGTGAAAAGGTGAAAAGGTGAAAAGGTGAAAAGTGAAGATGAGAGAATAGCAGAGTGACCAGACTAGACTACAGTACGGAGTAACTAGCAAGAGAGTAGGAAAGAGTGCCGACCCTCAAGCCACGACGGTGAAACCAGTGGGCCATAGTGGGTCACTAGATGAGATGGTCTGGACCGCATAAATTAAGTGGATTTGATTGAGATTTATGGTCAATGCTATAGTTACCAACTACATGGTACAACTTGACTCTGTAGTAGTGGATGTGAGGTTCCAAGCCCTAACTTGAACCATCCCGCTATACTTGACTCTGTAGAAGAGAATGTCTTCACACTGCATAATAACCTCGGACTACCGTTTAGAGCAATCCCTAATTTAATGCAAATTATGTCCAACATCATGCAGCCACCTCTTGGCGATCTCCACCAGGTGGCGCGGATGGCAAAGGGGCAGCGTATCACAAGCAGTGCTATTTCGAGCCTGGCACTCTTGATTACGCCGGTGGCAGAGGGGGAAAGATTCAGAGTTCACCAGGGTCTAGACTCGAGATTGTACTTTCCAGGGTTCTTTTCCAAGATCACATCAATAAACATCTTACCGTAGGAGATAATCTCAAAATAGAGCAATTCGGGATTCCCAGTCGTGATATCACAAGTGGGTCACCTTTGATCCACCTCGGGATACAAAGAGTCTGACCAAACTTTGTCCCTTTAACGGTGTGCGTATGAAGATTTGAATGGGGGTTACGTAGGCACTGACTAGTATGTATGTGCTCTGTGCTCTGTACCAGCAAACACTACACACTAGCAAATATGTACATGCGCATACAGCGAAGCACAGCAGTCCATCCTCTGTACAAGCGTGAAAGAAATCTGCACCTCCACCCCCCACCACGCACGACATCCAATCGATCGCCCCGATCGGAGCATAGTTGGCCCCGAGCAGTACAGAGTACTAGTATGTGGTGTATGTCACTCCAGTCACACTAGAAGCGGAGTGCAGGAGCAACCGAACAAGCGAACCCACCAAGTCGTGTGCATCTGCATCTCCTTCTGCAATGGGGACGGAACTGGATGGTCCAGTCCGTCCCGTGCGAAGATTGGCTGGCGGCAGGGTGATTGGCAAAATGATTGGCACTGCAATTGGACCGGCCTCATTCGTCGGGTCTGAGCTGCGGGCCCAACCGAGTAAGATCGTCCTTGTCTGACAGCGCCTTTACCCCGAGGCGAGACGGGAAGGTCAGAGTGAGGTCCGTGATGGGCGGGCTGAGAGAGGCATTCAAGTTACTACTAGCAGAGGAATACCGTAGACCAGGAGTGTTTAGTAACGGGACATATGGGAGGTGACTTGATACTGGATTAGGATAGACACCACTCAACTCGAGCCAAGCCCGAGAAAACCACTAGTAGTTCTCATGTGCGAAATAGTATGCAGTACATGGGTACTCTAGATACCCCGTTCTCCATTCTATTCCATTCCAATCCAATCCAATTCAAGGATTTCCTTCCACCCAATGCCCAGATCACAAAATGGCAAAGAAAGAAGCAGAGAAATAAAAGACCTGAGGAAATTGAACTTCACTTTCATTCCGAAACGCCGGGCTCCTTGGCCATACATAAAACAAAAAAAGCTGAGAGCTGATAGCTGAAGAGCAGGAGGACATAAGAGACGTGAGAGGGATGCGCGTATAGTGACATGTCCGCTGGACAGTGCAGGAGAATCGAGAAGAAAGGAAAATGTTTACAGCGAAGGGAAGTTGAATCAGAGATGCAAATATGTGAGAAGAAAAGAAATGGAAAGGGGTCACGAGTATGATGTTGGTGAAAATAAGATCGCAAGGGCCATTGTAGCATGGCAGAACCCGAGGCCTAGAGTGGCCACTCTATCTCTGAGAGGTGGACAGATCGGTACGATAGCTCTGACTTGGTCGTGGTGTCTGGTCGGAATCCGGGTTTGGAGATGGGTGTAGAGGACGGGGTGTAGCTTCGGCATCCGGCGTCTCAGTATAATCAGTGTCGTCAACTCCAGAGCCTGAGCCTGAGCTGAACTCGGCAGAGAGTAGACTGCTCGTTGTCTTCACCTCCGGCGTGATGGGGCCTCGGCCTCGGCCAGCTTCTCCCCAGGGAGGCGTAGTTTGGCCCTGGGGCAAACTCTCTGAACTAGCCTTCGACACAGAAGGGTGGGAGGTCGGCCCGGAATAGATAGAGGTATCGCGATGTCCGAGAGATGGACGGCTCTGGTTTGACCCAAGGGACGAGACCGACGCATTCGGGAGTGAATTACGAGGACCGACTTGTTCATCAACTTCCGACTCCTCGGGTATACTCATCCCCTCGAAGCGTTCCTCCAGACTCGTGCTGGCAGGGGAGCCGAGAGAGCCGTCGTCACTACCGCTTGCAAACTCTCCACTTTGTCGGCGTAGGGCTTCGCGTTCCTTCTTAAGGAGCTCTTCACTGCCGCTGACCACACTGCCTCGACTGTTGGTGCGCATCATCTCAATGCCCAGCTTAGAGCCCGGCCGACGGTTACGACTTGGTGGACTGCGGCGAGATTGGGCGTTGCCAAGCTCTTCGTCCTCGTCGTCGCCGGACTCTGCACCTTCGTACTTCTTGCGCTCCAAAGACTCCCGCTTCGCACGAATGGCTTCACTAGAGCGCTGTTTCCGTGGCGTGAGTGTACCGGTTCCGTCCATAGCGGCCGGTGCACTGGCAGTATGCAGTAGTTGGGGAACAGGTATCGCCTTGGGGTCCGGGCTGCCAGGGTGGGCATCTTCGGAGATCCCTAAGCCGCCGCCGCTTCCCTGCTCCCAGTCGTCATGATTACGGCTGATGATGACAGGGATGTCGTCTGGTTTGATCGACTCCATATCACCAAATACACTGCTGGTCACCGAGTCATCCCGACTCGATCCCCGGTAGGAACTGGGAGGATTGGGCGCGAAGCCAGATGATGCCGAGCTAGGGCTGTCATCGGTCGGATGCGTGCTGGGTCGAGTACTCGGCATTGGCACGGGGAGGGACGTTTGCGATGGGTTGTAATCCTTGGGTGGTGGCTTCCACATGCACCACTTAATCAGAGCCTCGGTAAGCTTGGAAAGTGTAGGCGGTTTCTGGATGAGCGCATCAAAGTTATGTGTCTCAGGTAGATCCTTTAAGTAACCGGTCACAGCGATAATAGGGGTATGTCTGTTTGCGCTGCGCGTTTCACGGACCATGCGTGCAAAGTCTGCACCATTGACTTGAGGCAACTTGTACTCGGTCATGATAATATCGAACTGAACTTCACTCAGAGCATAGCGCACGGCCTCGGCTCCATTGGCAACCGTGATGGTTCGGCAGCGCAGCTTTTCAAAGAGACGCTCCATCACCAACCGTGAAACAGGGTGATCCTCGCAGATCAGAATATCCAGAGGACGGAAAAATGGACCCTCGGTCAAATTGAATTGCGACATTCGTCGTGAGCTCTGCCTCCGGCGCTGGACTTTCAGCAAAGCTTTGGTGCGAGGATCTTCATTGTCCGAAGATGAAGGGGAGATGTCAAATAATTGACTGCGTCGCTTGTGATGGGAAGGCACAAAGGATTCTCTGCTGAGGGAGGAAGACAGTTCACCGCCATCTTGGGATCCAATGGTTTGCGATCTGGCTCGGCTTGCGGGGGCACTTCCATGTCGCTGACTCGAAGAGGAGGGGTGCTTGTCAGGAGAATGAGCTGGCATGCGACTAGCTTTCACGGGAGAAGAGGCGACCGAGCCTAGTCTCAAGTTCGGCATGCGGCTCTGCTCTGCCGATGATGGTTGGAAGGTACCGCTTGACTGGTGTGATGCGGTCGAGGAAGAGCCCGATGTTTTGCGACGCTCGTGGTTATGACCGGTGCTGAACTGGACCAGCAGTGGCGAGGATGGCTGCGAGGGCCGGCTGGGAGAAGAGTTGGCCTGGCTCAAACTCGATGGCGAAGAAGGCCGGTTATTATTCTTGTTTTGAGACATTGTACGGTGAAGCGACATGGGCAAGGGACTTCCATCCAGCGAAGGCTGAGAATTGGTCAAAGGCGTCTGTGCAGCCGAGGACGAATTGGATTGACGGTGCTGGGCCTGCATCGCTTCTTGTCGCATCTTCTGTATCACATCTTTGTTGGCCTTTTCGAGCATGGGCAGATTCTTGAAGTTGAAGCTGCCAAAATCGTCGGCTAGCGAGGGCTCACTGAGTCTCCGGCTGCGCGAGTCACGGGCGTCTCGCACATGCGGGGGGATATGGAGAGGCATCAAGGGGCGCTTCATGGAATTCACCTGTGAGCGGGCCTTGAACAACGCATCGTGAGGTCGATCCGTCTCGGCTGTGGCTGGCATTTGTGGAGAAGGTTGGTCTTCCATTTCCTCTGCGAAAGCCTGGAGGGTCGCGCCGCGGGCATCGAAGTATTCGGTGTCCTCGGGATTTTCCAAGTTAGGAACAAATTCTGCTTTGTCTTCCAACAATGTGCCCCAGTGAATATCGTTGAACCAAGGATGAGCACGAATCTCTGCACCGCCGTTGGGAAACTTTTCCTCAGCATTGGCTCCAATCCGTTCGCGCGGGTTTAGAGTCATGAGCTTGTTCATCAAATCTAGAGACTCTGCAGAGGTGTACTCCTCGGGATCTTCTGGCCAGTTGATCCTCCGGTGCAGGATATTCTCGAACACCTCGTCCGGGGTGTCAGCATTGAAGGGCGGGTATCCAAAGATGAACTCGAACATGATGCAGCCCAGAGACCACCAATCGCTAATCTCATCCTGTCCAACGCCATTGATGGTTTCGGGAGCCAGGTAATCGGGCGTTCCGACGAATCGTCGGTCATGATCTTCAGGGTCGAAAAGAGCCATCACAGGAGGCAGCATGCTCTGCTGTGGGGGTGTATTGTGGAGCAGGGGATTGCTGAATGTGGGTTGTAGCGGATAGAGCTGGGGAGAATCGTCCACCTCGCTCGGCGCGTCATCTTCTGCCAAATTACTGGACAGAATACTTGGTGAATGTGCCGAGGGTTCGTTGAGAGGCTCGTTGAGAGAAAAGCCTCTGAACATTCCGTTAAAACTGTCGCTCCCAGCACTGTCACTGCGATAACCCGATGCACGGCGAGAGCTTTGTCGACTGAGTCCAGCTTGGTTCAGATTGCTTTGGTTCAAACCACTTTGGTTAAGACTGAAATAAGAAGGCTGGCCCACGCTGGTTCCAGGCTCAGGTGTGATCAACGGGGTAGATCCAGGAGAGCCTGCCTGGAAGTCAAACGATGCTGATCGAGATGATGCAATAGATATGGCACGGGGGAATGGGCCCTGCTTGAGCAAGTCCGGGGCAGACTCGTTCGGGTCTTTCAGAACTCGCTTCTGTCGGCCAACTAATCCCATCCGGGAAAGACCAAAGTCTGTTAGTTTCAAATGCCCTGTCTGATCAATCAGAAGGTTGTCTGGTTTAAGGTCACGGTGGACAATTCCGCGGTTATGAAGGTGCTCAACACCAAGGACCACTTCCGCGATGTACTTCTTCGCCCAATCTTCGGGGAGACCGCCAAGGATTTTGACAAGGGAGGCACAGTCACCGCCATTCAGATACTCCATTACCAGATAGAGATATTCTTTGCTTGAAAAGGTCCAATACAGCTTAGCCACGAAGTCACTCTCGCCCTGCCACATCATGATAGCACGCTCGGCCTTGACATTAGTGACTTGATTCTTCGCGATCATGTCTGCCTTTTTCAAAACCTTGATCGCATAATATTCACCGGTCGACTTTTTCTTAGATAAATACACACTTCCGAAAGCACCTTTACTTATAGGTTTGATGATCTCAAAGTCCTTGATGGAAGGAGGTGCTGGACGTGGCTGCTGACTGACTGAGGGTAGACGGGGGATGGTGGAGGCTTGGCGACGTCTGAGGAGGTAGCAGAGGACTGGCGACGATGATGGCGGATGTGATGAGCCAACTCGCTCGCGTAGGTTGAGGGAGATACGATCGGGGAAGGCAAGCTTTCCGCGCCGTGCGAGTGTCGAGGTTTGGGCATTCGTAGTGGAGAGTGTGGGCCAGACACCCGAGCAGGAGAAGGTTGACGACGAGGAGAGCTCGACAAGCCTGGAAGAACTAAGCTCCTGCGTTTACGATCGAAGCTTCGTTCCGAAGAGGGCGAGTCCGTCCGCATAGCTCCCGCGAAAGCGGATGTCGAGGGCATGCTGCCATCACTACTATCACCCGCATCAATGTCAGACAATGGCAAACCGCGGCGAGAGGGCTGAGAGGTTCCTAAAAGGCCAGCAGCACTCTTATGCGATCGGGGGGTTGGGCATTCCATAGGACTGTTTGATCCTGTAGACACTGCAGTAGAGGACGATCGTGTCTCGCCTTGCGGTAGAAAGGGACGATCTGGCGAGTTTCGCATGGACATTGTCAATGCGGATGTGGTTGATTTTCGTGGAGTGGGCACAGCTGGCGCTGGTGGCTGCTGTGGTTGCATCTGTGGTTGTGCTTGTAGTTGTGCTTGCAGTAGGGCTTGAGGCGGTTCTTGACGCACTAGCGACGGCAGAGCCTCAAAGCTTGGTTCCTGTGAAAATGGGCCCTCTCGAGCGGATGAGTAGTCACTGCCAAAAGCGCCATCCTGAGCCGCTTCTTCGTCGGAGGAACAGGAGGAATCACTGAGCTGACCAGCAGCGATACGCTCAGCCTTGCTGAGGGCAGCGGCAATACACTCTTCCACCAGTACTGTATATTCAACGCGAATTCTTTCCGCGTATTCAACGATCTTGCGATGGCGAATAACAGCATCTACTTTGGTCTTGGCGACGGCTTCGGTATCACTTGAGAGGGCTGCCAGGCCCTGTTCCTGCTCTAGTGTGTTGGAACTCGGAGAATGCCACTGAGCGACCTGGGTGATTCTGGACTCGGACTGCGGCGAGAGCGTCCGGAACTCCTCTCCAGTTTCTGGCCGAGATGATTCCTTGATAACCGACATGCTGATTTCTAACGCAGTATCGCAAAGATCGAGTATAAGTTCGACGATGCGCGCAAGAGGTCGTCGAACAGTAAACGAACGAGGGCGACCGGGGCCTTGAACGATGCCCGAAGCCGAGTGGTCTCGAGAGCGAGGAGGTGTCCCCGGTGCAGAGCCTGTATGTGATACGGGAGCCGAGGATGGCGACGAGCTGACTGGTGATGGACCGATCGGTAATCCTTTATACTCCGGTTGGGGCGACGGCACGATATTCCCATCAAGTCCTATCACCGGTCTTCCTTGTCGAGACTCGAGCGCATCTAGTACTTTCACGATCGAATGTCGGTGCTCGTTCAAGTTCTCTTGTGCGATCTGGACATCCATTTCCGCCCGATGCTCCTGAAGGCACAAGTCTGAATGTTTTTCGAACCACCACGGGGTGATCTGACGTTCACAAATTCGACAAAGTACCGGGGTGGGGGCAGGGTGTTTCGCTGGATCGGGTTCGTTCGCTGCTGCTTCTGCCAGCATGGTGAGATAGTTAGCCAAGACCTCCGCTCCAACGCCGAGTGACTCTACCAACTGCGGCGGGAGATCGATTGTCACTTCTCGAGGTTGGGTGAACGGTCGGAGCATCCACATCGTCTGTAGCAATCAGGTCAGCACTGCATATTTCGATGCGATACGGTGGGTTTTCAAGGATCGCATGCAACGTACGTGTCCGGCCTCATCATCTGTCCGCTCATATACCATAATACCCTGACCTTCCATGGTGAGCACATTGCGGTCGACTTCGCCCTGCGAAGACTCCGTTGGCTCATTTGTTTGTTTGTCCTCTCCTTCATCCTCGATTTCGGCTGGGCGTGGCTCGGGTGCGTATTTCAAAACCGAGTCTGGTCCCATCTGAACAGAGAAGCGAATAAAACGACTCCGAGAGTCGTCCTCTTTCATTGCCTCCATCGCATCACAAAAAACATCTTTATTTCCCAGCAGGAGGTCCGATATCAGGCGGCCCTCGACGGATTCCGGGGCCGTGCCTATCACTTGTTTCCATGATGGGCTGACCCATTTGATGCGACCGTCCAGGTTGAGATCCACAATTATGTTCAACGTCTGCTCAGCTGCTTCCTTCAAATCCTCACGTTCCTCCCGCATATCGTCACTCATACTCCGGGTCATTTTCGGGTTGATATTCCGAGCCTCCTGTCTCAAGGCCGTAACAGCCGGCGGCGCGAGGAATTGGGGGGTTGTTGAGCCATTGTCCGCCATGATGAATCGGTCGGACGAGGGGGTTCACGGCCGGGCGATCGAAGGTGAGGTCGGTTGTATATGCGATAGGAATGAAATCAAAGAAAGTCGAGCAGGCTATTGAGCCAAGCAGAACCGTCTGCTGGAAGGCAGAGCGGATTGCTCTTGGGAGAGACGAGGCTATCGATTCATCCGCAACATTAATGGGCCATGGCGCATCCACACAGTATGAAATCAATGGATCCCACTGCGAATGCACTCAAATGACGAAGAAATGACTCTAGAGAAAGCTCAAAGGTGGAAAGTGCGAGGACGGAGGATAACGGAAGCCGTTGTCTATGCGGGGAGGGGGAGAGATAGTCGCGACAAGGCCGACGCGTAGGATCATCGACGTCAACCCTAGAGGCCGACCCAGGGAGGGTGTAGAATGAAATCAGGGGAGATTTTCGGGGTTGGAAAGTAGGATATCGATAACAAAGCAACCAAACAAAAAAAAAAGAAGGGAGGGGAGAGAAAAAAGGATGAGAGGAGAGAGGGGGGGGAAGGAAGTGAGGGCGGTGATTGGCGGCGGGTCGTCGTGCGTCTCTCTTCTTTTCCCTCAGCAAAACAAGCAGAGAGAAGTCAGTGGATGATCATTTCTCATTTCTTTTTCCATATGGTACTCCATACACTAATCGATCATGATTCATGTCGTTGACTTGTGTCTTATCGATCCTACATTCTACATTTACTGCATTCCACTCCGAGGACAAGGCCCAGTCCTAGGAGTATCGAACCACACCCTATGATTCAGCCCAGCTCAGCTCCTTGCTCATGACATTGGATTCAATCTATCAATCTCTCCAGCCGAGCTATCTGAGCTGCAGAAATGGACTCGAGTCTGGATCCAAAAGGTACTTTTGTGATCACAGCCAGAGTCAGAATCAGAGTCAGAGTCCGACTCAAAAAGTCTGATAAACTTGTGGCTGCGCCTCGTTTACCCCCCCGAAGGCAGCTTTGCAGCTTGCAGCTTGCAGTGCAGTACAGTACAAGTGCAGTATTATGCCTTTGCGGGACCTGTGCCTCCAAACATGCAGCTGGCGGATATTAGCTCAGAAGCAAAACCACAAAACCACAAAAACCGAAACTCTGTGGAGCACAAGCAGTGACCTCAAGTAAAAGAACGAGCTTCCCCCCCCCGCCCCCTGCTATGTCAATCCACCCACAGATTCCAAGCGGGTCCGATCCCTTCATGCCATGCAGTCCATTAGGATGTCATTCCGCCGTACTAGGATAGTATCACACCCCAGTTGGACGCCACCATCTGCTTCACGAGACTTCGCTTGTCTCGGGGTCTTCGAGAGCACGAGAGCAGACCCATGGACCCATGGACCCATGGCCCTGCAGATTATTTACCAGAACGTTGCTAACCTTAGAAAGTGGATTAACGATTACAGCATGACCACAACACATACCATACACCACACCCTCCCTCGCTCACTTGCTCACCCCTCTCTCTTATGTTCACCCTGTTCAGTTGAGAGTAGACTACATTGTTCCACCTTTCACTTGTGCCACGCAGGCCTACTTCGTGCCACGGTCCCTTACTGGGTCGTCATGATTCATATCAGGGAAGGAAACTAGAGCAATAAGGAAACGATCTCCGCCCGGAATGTTCGGGAGAGAGTAGAGGGGTGGAAGGAAGGGAAAAGGCCCCAAGGTTCTAGCAAGTTTCCCAGAATTCCCAAGCTCCCTTAGTTTTCCCAAGTTTTGGAATTCGCCGTGGACCGTGGGCGATCTTTCTCCACCGTTTTCTTCACCCCCGGTTTGCGGGGTAGTCACCTGATGCCCATCATATCACTATCGTGCCTTTGATCTTTCGCCCTTTAATGACAGGGATTATATCGTTCGTCCACGGTTGTGGCTCGCTATGGACATGGCTATGGATATGGACATGGGCGTGAGTATGGATGTGTTGCCAAAAGCAGGGGAGTCAGTCCACTTCCCCATGACTGACGCCATCCATACCTCCCAAAAAGTATCCCAATTGGGGTTTTGAGATACTCCCCGAGTGAACTTTATGCTTCTCCTTCCACCCCACCCTCCTTGGGTTCAATGGGACCCGGCTAGCACCGGTCATCCTGCAAGGATCCGCCTCTGAACAGTAGGGAACGTTGGGATTCGTGGGTGCCGCTGTAATCCTTTGCGGCCGGCAGGGAGCTGCATTAGCGGGCCGCGAAGGCCTGGAGGGGAACCGAGTCAATTCGTAGATCTTCCAACTCATTACGTATTGCTGTGAATCATGTCCAGGTGCCCCTCCCACAGTCTTGTTCCCAACTTAAGGGGGGGTGGTCAAATAGTACGTCCCGTGGTCAGGCGGTCACAAGATTGAAGGCTAATCGAACCTCGACGGAACTTAAACTCTGGTTAATATGTGAGTTGGCCTTGCATGAGTGGAGGTACTATCTCAAATTAGTCGATCTAAAACCTAACAGTGTGATGTAAATTTAAGATCCATGATTCGAAACTTGAATGCAAGCCCGTTTGGCCGTGACTTGAACACCCGTGGACGGAGACTTTAACTACCTGAAACTTGATATATAGTTACTGTGTCTCCGACTACGGTTGGAGGATCGCATCATGATCCCAGTGAACTTGGAACACGGACTTGGACACACTGGCAAGTATTTTTAGATCACTGGAACTTGAAGAACTCTTGGAATACTACATAGTATCTACTACTAGCAGGTAGGTGCTAGGTAGTTTTAGAAATAGATGCCTCATCAACGGGTCACGTGATTAGAACTGGAATGTGTCTTCAAGTTCATTATGCCCAAGCCCTGCCACGAATACTAAAAGAACCTGGTAATAATATTTATCGATGCATATCTAGCTAATGCATAAATATAGTAGAATTTCTGTTGGTCATAAAAGCTGGTTAGCTACGTTGTAATATACAGCGTGTAATATACAGCGATGAAATGTTCCCCAATAAGGTAGGCTATTGGCGGCCCCGATAGCCGCCTGAATCGGCAGGTGTCGACAGGCTCCAGCTTTGCCTGCTTTGTAATATCCAAAACCACCCTTCAACCAGCTGAATCTATCCCTTTTAAGAAGTACTACAGCCAAACTGGTAGCAATTCCATCGTCAAATCCGCCGCAGTCTACCTCCGTGCGTGAATGTCTTCCGCAACACCTGCAGAAGATCCCAGTGCTCGACGTAAACGGCCCGCCAGGAAGTATACCTCCCGTGCCTGTGAGGAATGCCGCCGGCGAAGAGCCAAGGTATGCATACCATCACCACCCGAATGTATACGGCCTCCAACATTCATCAAATTACTCATCTTCTCGATAGTGCGATGGTAATAGACCCTCCTGCTCACGGTGTCTGGATCGCGGAATCCGCTGCCAGTACTCGACCGCCGAGGATGGGAGACAGCCCGCGCCTAAGGCGTATGTGGTGATGCTGCGAAATCGGATTGAGTTGCTAGAGCGTGTATTGCACTCGCACGGTATTGATCCAGAAGCCTCAGTCGCACAATTGATGGCCGAAGATGAACTTTCGAACCAACATCAACCAATTGACTCAGAGTGGGCATCTGCTGGCTCGAATTGCAACGTCGAGGACCTGTGTGGTACTTTTGACGGAGCATTGACCCTGGACGAATCATTGAACTTTGATCAGGATGGTGAGGTTAGATATTTTGGTCCTACCAGTGGGAGACTCCTTTTCCGTTCTTCGGCAAATGGTAAATATACCCAATGTCCTTTTGGATCGATTCGTCAATGCTGAGCTGATGTTGCGATATAGACTCTCCGATCGAAGAGGCATACTCAACAGATCCATCGTGTACAGGGTGCTCTACCAATACGCCAGAATTCCCAGAGACTCCCGCCTTGGCTTGTCGATATCAAGGAGCTGGCGAAGTTCCTCCACCGGACGAATCTTGGTTATCAGATGAGCTTCGAGCGCATTTAATCGACTTATACTTTGAATGGGAACAGCCATGGTTTCAGATGCTAAACGAAACAATCTTTCGAGATAGCATGGCCAGTGGCGGGCGGTATTTTAGCCCTTTATTACTGAGCTGTATTCTTGCGGTGGGTTCTCGGTATTGCGATCGAGTGGAAGTTCGGTCTGATCCTAACGATCCCAACACGGCGGGTACAATGTTCATGTGCAAAGCGGAGAAATTAATACAGCATGATTTGAGATGGCCCAAGATCACTACCATTCAATCCTTGGCTATCATGGGCATGTTTTATATCGTACGTTGGAAACGAAAAATTGCGAATCTCAGGGTACCAATTGCTAATTCGATCCTCTACAGGCAACGGGTTCAGATGCAGCAGGCTGGCTTCATCAAGGCATGGCAAACCGTCTTGCCTTGGACATGGGTTTAAATATGGACCCGGCCGTTCTGGCTGGGACTGTCTCTCTCCCGCCCATCGAGATCGAGTTGAGAAGGCAGATCTATTGGGCTTTGTATTGCCATGATAAGCTATCTGCGAGTTATGCTGGTAGAGTTTGCACTCTGCTGGTATGTTATCCCCCTCTGTCAATATCCTTCTTCCATTCCGAGCCATATATCTAATAATCATATAGGATTCACAAGGTGTTGTGAACAAGCCGTACCTACAGTGTGCAACCACCACAATCTTACCTTCAGCCAAGGGAAACGGCCAACTGCGGGCTTATTCGCAAAGGGACGTCGCTAAACTGCACCAAGCTATGATTGACCTTTGCCGGATTCTCGAGAAGATCCTCCACTCACTGTAAGTGTGATCAGCGAAAGTCGGCATGAATCAGGATTTTATCTAACCTACCCCAGCTGGTCCCCTAGGCCTCTCCTCCATGCCCATCAGCGGTCCGCCTTCTTCGATTCCTGCGTCCTCGAACTAAAAACATGGTACTACGATCTCCCCTCGGAAATAAAAATCGACCGATCATCCGGTCCATCCAAGTTCCCACACGCCTACACAATGCTCATGGTCTACCACACAATCTTCATCCTCCTCTGCGGCCCCTTCATGAACAAGCCTTCCTCCCCCTCCAACACGAAAGCCAAAGCAGAGAACCCAACCAGCACAACCCAACCCGAAAGCCAAGACGAAAAGCAAACCCCCGACCACTCCCGAACAACAAAAGCCCTCGCAAGCTGCAGTTCCTCAATCCGTTCCATGTGCCTCATAATCCAAAAATACCGCCACACATTCGGCAGCTTCAAATTGAGCCCCATAACAGCCACATACTGCACTCTATCCGCCGCACTAATCATAATCGAAAATTGCTGCACCATCGAAAACAAATCACCCCCGACCAGCACCACAAAGACGACACCCAGCTCAAATTCCAGCCCAAACGCCTGCACCGACGAATCCACCGCATCAAACCGCAATTTATCCCCCCCACGTCGCCGTGGGCCTATGCATGCAGGTTCTGCGCGAATTGTCAACGTCCTGGAACATCGCCAAGCGAATCGGTCGCAATCTGGAAAAGGTTTATGCTCAGCGCTTTGGATCGGATCATGTTCCTTCTCCGCCTCCGCCGAAGGGGTGTGATATTGCGGCGTATGAGGCGACTCAGGCCTCTGATGCTTATACACCCTGGGATACGAATGTGGCTTCGCTGGATACTTTTGATTCGTTCTTTGATAATAAGAATGCTATGCATCTTCAGAATCCGGTTGCTGTTCATCTTGAGAATCTGCCTCTTCACTCTGCTACAGACGTTAATTCCGCTTATTCGCATCAGCACCAGTATGAGCATGAGCATCAAAATCAGAATGAACGACCTCCTGTTACTGGTTTCGATGGCAGTGTCGGTGTCGGTGTCGACGTCGGCGTCAATGGTCCTGACTTTTCGAACTTGGTGAGTTCTGATGAACTCTTTGCTCAGAATTTGGGATTTGCTTTCGAGCCGGATTGTTTGCCGAGCGATTATAATATGTTTGACACGTTGAATCAGATATATTTAGAGGAGAGATGGTGATTTTAAATCTTTAATGATTGTGACGAATGTGAAGATGACGTTAGAAGTCATAGATGATAATTTATAACACAGCGAACTTTTCCCTCCGTCCGAGTTCGAATCCCGATCCTCTAGGTGTATATTTTTGTAACTTCTGCTTAAGCTTTTGGTTCGCGCTGATCTGTGATTGAAATAATGTAAAGAAATTTCGATCCATCCTTATGGCGAGTGGTTAATGATATCGTCTGCGATCTTCTCTGCTAACATGTCTGGAAAGGTCAGAATTGTAGTCAGAGTGGAGGTTGGGAAACAGTGGTGGATACATACAAACAGTTGACTGGGGATGACCCGGCGGCAAAATAGGGAACGCACTGGCGTCCACAACTCGCAGGTTCGGAAATCCGATGACTCGGGCCAGGTTGTCGACAACGGCGGAAGGATCATCTGGGGTGCCCATTTTGCATGTGCAAGAGGCGTGGAAGATTGTCATAGCTGTTTTCCTGATTATACCGAGTAGCTCTGCATCGGATTGATGCTTCATGCCGGGGAAATACTCTTGTCCCACGACCACTTCTTTCATCGCAGGGTGTTGGAAGGTATCTCGGACACGCCTGTATGCTGAAAGTGCAATTTTCTGATCTGCCTCTGTGTCCAACCAATTTGGATTGATGATTGGGAGGTCAGTCATGCTGGCGGAGCGAATTGTCACATTGCCCCTGGATGTTGGAGCAGTGAGGGATCCGATTATTGTGGCGTACTGATTGGGCCATTCAGGTTGCTGGTTGTAGGGGTCGGAAAAGTTCCCCACGTAGGCAGATGCTGCAAGATACTGATTGAAAATTAGCTGAGACTTGATTCATGAAAAGTGTTGAACTTACCTCGACCTCGGGCCAGTCATCGGGAAACCAGGAGAGATCGCGTTCAGCCTCGGCGGATAGAGACGCTCGCCATGGAGAGGGGATCTTTTCGAATGCTAGATAATCCGTCGAAGGGTTTGTCAACATACCATTGTGAAAGATGCCATAGCTGGCTAGCTGCTCCGCAAACCAGAATGTGCTTTGTGCCAGCATGCTGAAGGTATTGACTTTGACCTGGTAGGATGGACCGAAGAAGACATGATCCCACATGTTCTGACCAACACCTGGTATATTTGCAATCACTGGAATGTCGTGTTCGCGAAGGGTACTTGCGGGACCGATTCCTGACACCATCAAAAGTTGCGGGGACTGAAAAGCACCAGCTGAGATGATTACTTCTTTTCTTGCTTTGACTGTGAAGTCCCACCACTGACTTGCCCTGACTCCGATGGCCCGCCTGTTCTTGTCAAACAAGATTCTCTTGGCTAAGGTGTTCTGATAAATGGTCATCTTCTCCACATGGTTATCGTACAATAGGAAGGCAGCCTCAGAGCTGCTTCTGGTTTGATCATACGGGCGGATTGTCATCATGGTGAATTGATGGCCCATCAGTGTGCCGCTGTTGAAGTCCTCTGCCTCCGGAATCCCCATTGCAGTCAGACCCTTGCTGACCCATCTCGAGAATGGCATTGCATATCGGGGGAATGAAACATGCAACGGCGAACCACTCTCCCAGAAGGCAGACTTGTTGTAAGGAGTGTTTGCATTGCCTGACTGAGGGTCCGGCTCCGTGAACCTCGCGGTCTTCTGGTAAAATGGAAGGACGTTGTCAAACCGATAGCTAGGGTCATTGACAGCCTCTGCCCACTTATCCATCGCGCCACGAGGGGGACTGTTATCATTGTCAGATCCAATCCATTTAGCAATTGCCGAGAATAGAGAGCACTTGCCGGTGGTAAATCATGTAATTGATAGCGGAGCTTGAGAGAACCCATTAGCGAATCCGGTGATCATGGCAAGAGTCTACAGACTTACGAGCCTCCCACACATTTTCCTCGGGCGTAATGAATGTCACGACTGCCTGCTCCTGGTACGGCTTGTGCAACAAATTTCCAATCGATATTGGTTGCGGTCTTGAGGTCGGCGCCGATGCCAATGGCGGCAGCCCCAGGCACACGAGAAGTTGGATGAGTGGACTCGTAATAGTCACCTGCCTCAAGTACGGCAACAGTGAATCCCTTCTGCGCTAGGCGTGATGCAATGGTGATTCCTGCAGTTCCACCACCAACCACGACGTAGTCGAAGGTCAAGTCCCAGGGAGGCCATGCTCGGAAAGAGCTACGGGAGCGCGACTCGTCGGGAGACTGGGTGAGGCCGAGGAGACCGGCCAACACCAGAAAAGTGGTCAAGCGAACCAGAACGGTGAAAAGCATCGAAAACAGGTTGGGTATCAAGCATTCAGAAGGGAAGTATGAAGGAAGTGAGGTTTGAGTCGGAAAGGCGAGGTGAGTTTGTGGTTCTCAGGAGGGAAGGCGTGGATGTGGATGGCTCCTGCCCAACACACCACGACATGCTTGCCGTATTCGGACAATACTAGGGCTACTACTACTACTGCTACTAGTAATCTTTATTGACTATGACCATTGCTATGTAGTCCTAGTAGTACCTGTCTTTTGTATGGTAGTTTTACTTTCAATGATTCATATCACTTTGAGGCCTCAGACTGCCAAGAGATCCAATTTATGCATATTGGATCCATCTGCATGGACTAGGATATTCCTGCATAAGGCTTGCATGAAATGTGTCAGTGTAAGCATGAAAGCTATAGCATATCTAATTGAGTACCCGGCATATACTCGAAGCAATTATGGCTGGAGATGGTACTAGTAGTAGAACTTGGATTCATGGTGGTTGTTGGATGCCTCTAAGTGTGTTGAAGCCCAAAAAGGAGTCGTCTTCAACTTTCTCCCTCAGCTCGAGCTAAAGACTAAGGGATCAATTAGAGTTGGAATTGTCGGACTCCATTGAATTCTATCTCTCGGGGGATCTCTTTACTACTAGTTTACTAGTGAACAGAGAGGCAATCGTTGGAATTTGATCAAAAATACTATGAATCAACCAGAAACATTGATCCCGAATTACTCATTAAGCTACAGTCAATCCCTAGATGGAGAGTCTGAATCCAACCTCAAATCTTCGATATATGATTGATGGTTCAATTGACCGAGTCTATGAGAACCAAATGAGTTACTAGTAATAGTATTCAACATCTTCCCGAGGTGAAGCGGGGTCAAAATGCCCCTCACCTACGTGGCAGTGTTGAAAAGAAGGAGTTACATGGAAAAGTGTCAATGTTCCACCTTAAATTAATTTTTCCTTCCTCAACAATCAATTGAATTTTTTCCTCTTGATCTCTCATTTTCAACTATTCTAATCAAGTATAATTGCAATTCACAATGACGCATCCTACTGTACCTGTCCAACTGCTCGTCTTTGCCAAGCGAAAGGAGGATCTCACAAAGCAAGAGTTTGACGACTACTGGCGAGGTCCTCATGCGAAGAAATTCCTCGAGTTTGAGATTGTGAAGAAGCATTGTATCAGATACGAACAAGTATGTGCCAGACTTCCATTTAAATGCGAAGTTATTAACATCATCCACAGTACCATGACGACCCCACCGCACGAGCCGATGGCGAGAGCGCACTTGGACTTTCACATTCTGGATGGGACGGAGTAGCCTCATTGACATTTGACTCCGCCGAAGGAGCCAAGGCTGTTTTCAGTGATCCTGAATTTCTTGATTGGGCAACGAACGACGAGCCGCGCTTCTGTGCTGGTCCAAATATCGCGCAGCGAATGATGCTTGTTGGTCGCCCTGAGGTTATTTATAGTGCTTAGGGTGATTTGAGACATCCCCGGGCCTCCAATTGCTGTTTCTAGAGCATCTGCCCTATATCACCAGGATCCATGGATGAGAGGCGCGAGAAATATAGTAGGGTACTACCTAGGTATTAGGTGGAAACCCCCTTTGGCCACTTGGGCATGTGAACAACCTATCCCGCTTACACAGGTATTTGGAAAAGATGCTGTATGTATATTACTACGAGGGGGCTACATCAGAAGGTTATGATTCTACTTCCAAGGTTTATTACCAACGACTAGGTAACCGAGTTTGTACCAGTGCCAACTAATATCTCAGTAACTAAGAGCGTACCCAGGTAATCTTACTACATAGACAGGATGGTGTATTCAGATAGCCAAATGGGGTGTCAACTTAGTAGTAGTAGTAGTACCCGAAAAATAGGTCCCTACTAGTATTTGCTCTTTAAACAATTATTTCTAACCCCGGAAAGCAGATGCAGTTAGACGATCCTGCGCTCCTTCTCTTTTTCCTGATTCTCAGGACAGAGAAAGACAGAGGGACTGAAAACAATAAACACCCCGACTGCAACAGCCATTGGTACCATGTCCAAAGCCACGAGATACCATTCAGTGCGCATCAAATGGCCTTTCCATCCACCTGATAGCTCAGCGATTCGGTAAGCGTTACGAACAAACACCATTATTGTCGAACCCCACATAGCCACCATGACCGGCCATCCTGTGATCGATAGTAGCCGGATTCCCTTCGTCCGCAGTCTGAAAGCTGTTCCCAACATCAATGCCACAAAAAGAACGGTATTGCTGAACTGAAAAATAATGCCAGAGCGCATTACGTTTGATCCGTGGTTCAGCTGGTCGTAATTCTGCGCGCTTGATACCAAGACTCCCCCCTACAGTTTGAATGGCCAATGAGATGATGTCGAGGATGATGAAAGCAATCCAAAAGAATTTGGAAGGGATGTGGAAGAGTCTGTCCCCTGTTTTCTCAACACTGTTTCTTATCAGCGACGTGTCTCATCCTTCAAGGTCTCTGTACTCACATTTTGCAAAAAAGGACATAGTCCGCGGCGGAAATGAATACTGGACTGACGATAAGACTGCAGATTTGAATCATGAATGGCATCCAATTTGCGGGCTGGAGTTATATCAGTATCAGCAACGAGTATGCATAAATATTGGGTTAAAATAATTAGTAACGCATACCTCGTAATGTGCCCAGAGCCGCCCGCCCCATCCAATGGCCTCTCCTACAGCAGCGAGGGCAAGGGTGATCATCCAGTAATGTTTAAAATTTCCGAAAATCATTTGAAGAATGCAAGCAAGCGTCAAGGTGCCAAAGTAAGCAGTCCCAAATACAGCCGCTGGCTTGCCGGGTAGATAACCATAGAAATCAGTCGACTCGGCCATGATGAGAACTTGAAGAGAATCGATAACTTTGTTCGGCCATTGTGATTGAGAGCGACGGGCAAATATAGTAATTGAAACCTAGATGGTGCAGCGGAGATTTCAAAATTGGATCAGGCAGCCGGATTTAGAGTCTTCACATCCCGAACCCTTCGATTTGTCGTCGGACTACGAGTGTTGGTAGAATGTCCGCGAAATGGCCGTGTTATATCCGCTGAATTATTTACTAGTGGTGTATAACTTTTGCATGGGAGGGCAGTGTAGCCAATCAGCGCCATGAAATAATGCACAATTAGTCATCAAATGTCCGCTTCAGATGTTAAACCTCAGGTTTCTACCGCACAACCACCGCACAACCACCGCGAAAGTTCCGTGCCTGGCAGCTAATATGTGCTTTCCTTTCTTCCGTCAAATCAAATCACCGTCAGAATTTGGCTTCGGCGTTCAAGGCTAACGGAGAATAGCTCGGAAATCCCAAAAATGCGACTCAAACGAGGACTTCCACGGGAATCTTGCGATTTTTGCCACGGGAGAAAGATCAAATGCGATCGGTCATTGCGCGCAGAACAGGGACTTTCCTCATGCTCACAGTGCGCCCTGCGTCAAAGCTCTTGCAATTTGAGTGACCCTAAGGAGACACGTACCCGTTCGCGTGATATGGAAGCCTCCCGCGGAGGTAAGACGGGCATAGCTTTAGGGGATGGAGGGGCACAGACGGTTCGAGATGGCATACCATCCCACGGTGATAACCTGAACGCTGCCCCCTTTGCTTCATCATCTCATTTGGAATCGCTTCAGCGACAGGAACATGACCAGTCGGATATAATACAGTATCCAGATATCATGTTCGATGAGAACTTTCTTACTCTGAGTCGTGACAACATCTTCTTTCTGGATCAAGTTTTCATGGACGGCAGCGGAGGAGCGGAATGGCCTGCCAACGACCAGGATGACCTTGCAGATAATCAAGCTTCGAATGGTACAATTGCAATTGGTGAAAGCCAGCCAAGCTCGGAAGAAAGATCGCCTTGGCCAAATCGTCTTGCCGATTCCGAAACCATTTTTACTTCCGCGATAAATTGCTACTTCAGGTTCGCAGCACCATGGCTGCCGATTCTCCTGGAGGACGCCTTCTGGGACGACTACCGCAATGGACGTTGTAGTCCTATCATCGTCTCTGCAGTAGCCTGTCGCGGCATGCCCTTCACCACAGTTCCAGACAAATGGAATATTCAGCAGCAATTTGCTCGCGATTTCCGAGAGTCATACCTGGGTGCTCGGAGTGCTGCTTCTGACGATGGTTCAATTAGGCTCGATGATCTCGAAGCGCTGGCGCTCATGGTCAATTTCGAGTACGATAACACGGATACACCGCCGCTCCATTCAAACCTGGGAAGATTGTTTTTAAAGCATGAGTCACTCGTCTTGATGACGTTGCAGGCTTGTATCCACGATCATATTCCCACGAGTTCTGGCTCGACCGTGACGTTGGCGAGAGCTCGGGAGCGACGAGTGCTTCTTTATTGGCATGTCTATGGTCTTGACGCTTTTCACTGCTTGGATCGCAAGCAGATATCTCTGATTCCCGACAAAAACAGAAGCGAAAATGACAGCTTGCCTCCGCACGAGGCTAGGGACTTTCTCGACGCCGTCCTTGAACTTGCAGTCATTGCTCGGAAGATTCTGCAGCAACTGTGTAGTGACTCGGCGAAACGTTGTGGCGTTGAGCCCAAAGATGTGCATGACATGTATCAACAACTCTACCATTGGAGGAACCACACATGTCCTCCGCATTTACGGAGGCATGAAGATAGCTGGGGGGGTACTGGCAACTCAAGATCAAAACGAGAGTCATCTGGCTGAAGTGCAGAGACACATTCAACTCCATCGAGCTGTGTTATGGGCACTAGAAATCAATTGTTTGATGCAAGTTGAGTCTGCTGTATCCGACTTTGGGATCAAATACAGTCGCAAGTTGCCAGCAGGCATACTTGCCGCACGTGTGGAATATGAAAGCCTGCGTGCTTTGAACGACACAATTGCCATATGCCGCTGGCTCGATGTAGATACCATCAGCGATGAGAATGGCATTCAGCGCTCTCTGGTAGATCTAGCACCGTTGGCATTGCGCAATGTTTGCGCCGGACTGTGCTATTGGTCGTGCGAAAATCTGAATGATATCAATTCGACTCAAAAATACAAAACACGCGTCCCTTTTGGCAGGAGGGAGCCCCAACTTGATGGTCAGAATCAGGCAATGAACGATTTTATGCAGAATGTCAAGTTGCTGCGAGATACAGCTGCAAAAGCTACATCGCACAGGGATACGGCGGATGTCCTCGAGCGCCTCAACAAGCAAGTCGCCATGTTGGAGGAAAAGCTGGGCCACACACCAGAAGCTGAATTATGAAGATTCCACGCCTGGCTCGCTGCTTGTGAACGCTATCATAAATTGTGAGTAGACTCAGATTCAGTTGGGCTGGTAGCCATAAAAACCTGAACCACTAACTCTTAGACGAGGCATATGGATGCTGCAATTACCCTGTACGAGTAATACTGATATTCAAGACTACTACCCAAGATAAGATGATTATACCACTCGATATCGCACTCAGATCACATACTCGCCGAGTCAATTACAACCTGGAGCGAGTATAACATTTCCCTGGTGTGCGTGTGGATAAGATGGGGGTGAGTGGGGGAAACCACCAACGGGGACCTGCCGGTAGCCGTCACATAGTCAACTTTCACTTCTCTTCACTTCTCTTCACCTTTCTTCATTCTTCTTCACCTCTCTCCACCTCTTTCCCCTCCTATTTCGATACACTGTCTTCAAAGTTCGGTCGTTGTCAATACTAGCCAGCACTGCAACCAGTCACTTTGATCCATTCAGATTTCGTTTGGGGAAGCACGTTGACTTGACGATATCATCTCTGCCAGAATTCTGTCTTGTTACAAATGATGGAGAGAGTTATTTCTGATACCGACGGAATGAGAAGCATTGAGCAGCCCTCACTGCAGAGCCTCAACAGACGTACTTCGTGCGGTTCACCAGGACCAGGCGAATGGGATTTGTTTGTTCCACCCAACGAATCCAGTATCCCCAGCTCAGGTACGACCATCGAAATAGCATTTCAGACAATTTGCCAGTTCCTCGACGAGAGCCAAATCATCGTGGAAGAGAAGAAGAGCTTTGTTCTGCAGGACCCCGCTGCCGATACCTGGGGAAGCCTGGCCAACAAGGCCATCAGCTTCAACACAAAAAAGAATGGCCCTGAAGCCACCGCATTTGGAATCAACAAACTAAATCCTGGCGAACCTCCGAATTGGATTCAGACCATTATCGGACTTCGACGCGGTGCTTTCAAGCGATGTTCATGTGGAGTTGTACCAGTGCACTACAAGGGACGTCTTGGCGACTACATGGCAACGGTGACTCGAGACGAATACAAGTGTCTGGAAGGATACTCCAGCTGTGAGATTCCAACGCACTCGGATTGGCAGGATGAATTGAATGCGACCCAAGAGAGGCGAGATGTTATTGAACTCTTCAAGTCAGGTATTTCGCTCCCCATGCGGTCGATTGTTTTCGCTCTATACTGACAAATGTTGAAGTGTTCGAAAAATGTCTGGAACTGGAGGCTGATTTGCAACAACGACAAGATGAGATCAAACAATACATGGACGGAGAGGAGAGCCTCTATCCTAAAGGTCTTTCCCTCATGAAAAGAGAATATGAGGACTCGAGTAAGTATCGGGAAATACAGCGCGAAAATCCTAACTGACCTTTCATCTCAGAACCAGGTAATCCGAATAAAAGAGCTCGCAGCACCCAGTCAGACGGGCTTGAGCTTGATCCCAAATCATCGCAAAGCCAATTTGAGACAGACGATATCCCGTTTCATACCAGTGGCAAGGAAGCCGCGCCTTTCGAGGGCGAATGCAGCTTTAACCCAAAGGCAACAGAAGATGAGACAGAGAACAGTACGACCAACGAACCAGCCACCAGTGGCTCGATCTTGCCATCTTCTGGAACATCCACTTCCTTGCCGGGGGAAGCTTTGCAGGCTGGGGCGTCGGACAGACCTCCGACCCCAGTTTCGTCTGCCAGAAACCGGATCAATAGAACTCCGAAGGAGAGGGAGCACGGCGCCCAGTTCATTACCGACCACGTGTTACAGGGATATTCATACCCGCAGATCCGAGAGCTCTACCGGGCTGAATTCGGCATCTGGCGTAGTGCTTCAGCATTGTACAACCACTCCAACAAGGGATATGCTGTCACTGATTGAGATCGCATTCAATCAAGTGGCGGAAAGTGCGGGCGACATGCCATTGTGTCTCAAGGCCCGATCCACATGATGTTCATGATGGTGTTTGGTACAGGTAGTTTCGTCGGTTAATATGTATTAATGATTCGAAGAATAGATCTATTCTTACTGCTAATAAACTACTCCACTCATTTTTCCTTCCAAAGTTCCATCCCAACTTGGGGTAATTGCAGCTCTTTGTACGGACCTCGGGAGTGGTAGATAGTGAAGAACTTAGTAGCTCCCATCAAATTCTAATCTTGACCAGGTACGCAATGCCGTCAACCGGTTAAGGGCGTCGAAACTCAATTTACGACATACATAAGACAGCCAAAGGGGGTCCACTTAGTAGTGCCTCATTCGATGTCTGAGTTCCATCACCCGTGGACGATCCGATCCACCTTGAATCGCTACTCCTCTCGAGCTCAGTTTGCCTAAGCCCCTAGTATGGGCTATGGACTTGGCTTCTCGGCCAAATATGTAGTACAGGTCTAAGATGGTGGAGCCAATGAGAATTCAAGTTTTAGCCTCCACACTACCGACGCTACTGCATTGGAGAAGCGACTGCCGTCGATTACTACCAATCAGAAACCTGGATCGGGTCGAATGCTTGTAGAATTAAAAGGTCTTAGAGTGCATGCTAGTTTTTCTTTTGAGATCTACATGCTGAATCTTTCAGCTTGTACCGCCACCTCCTTTTTCTTTGTTTTCAGGTCTGTGATCAGTCACAAATTTGAATCGACTCGGATCTTAGGTACAAACGTTCTTCCTCGTGGGATATGCGTCCTGGATTTCTCCACCCATATATGCCCAGGTGTCAACACCATGTCCTTGGGTAAATATCTGCTTATTCTTGTTCAGAACTCGGAGTGTACGCCGAGGTCGGGGACACACATCAGAGCGTTTGTCCTGGTACATACCTAGGTAGGCCTATTCAGTCCACATTACTGCTAGTGTATCTAGGTCTTTGCTCTCGCCAACTTGTGACGATTAGAAGTTTTGACAGGAATATTGGAGGTACTCCCTAAACAGGCAAAGCCTAATAGTTGTATTCTAATCCAAAATTTCCTGGATCGCTGCGTGAATGTTTGGCCATTCAAAAAAGCGGTACATGATATTTACAAGATTGGTTTCAAAAAATGTGTAAATAAACCATCAAGCCTGGAAGGTTCCACTGGAAGGTTTTCAGAACATACTCGTTTGTACCCCCGGGATTTTGCCGCCAGTTTAATTTTGCCCCTTTCTTCCATCTCTGGAACCATTTTCGCTACCAATTTCCCAGGCTTCCTGTCATTCAGTCCAGGTTCATGCTGACCGACGAAGATTTTAAGCCTGTACTGGACAGCGATGGAAATATCACCGGCACTATCAACGCAGGTAAATACGTAACACGAAGAAATACACCCTCGATGGATTTCGATCATGCGTTATATAGAAGTCATAGATCTAACCAGGCCTTCTCCAGACCACAGCCATTCAGAAATGCAGACACATCGATCAAACGCCAGAACGACAACCAATAGAACGTAAGCCGAAGTTCCATTGAGAAGGGGGCTTGATCATCTTCCTAATGGACAGTCTCGTGGCCCCAAGCCCGCGCCGCGACAATGCGATTGGGATTTGTTCGTCGAGCGGAAAGAATCAACCGTCAATATCGAGACGTTGCTCGGTTTCTCTCGGGGTATACGCGTCTTTACAAAGGAATTTCAAGCGATTGTACAGGAAAAGAAGAGCTTTATCCTTCAAGATCCTACCAAGGATACGTGGGGCACGATGGTCAACAAAGATCTAGCCAAGATCTTCGAAAAGAAGGGCCCACAAGCCTATCACTGGGACAAGGAAATCGCCGCGGAACCCCCGAACTGGACAGAAACAATCCTGGCTCTGCGATCTGATAAGTTTGGACTTGCTCAAGACGAGGACGGCGGCAATCATTACAAGGGCTATGTGAGGGCGTACAGGGTCATCTTGACCGAGGCCGAATATCGGCGCTTGGAAGGATATTGTACCAGTGACATTCCGACTCGATCAGATTTATCTTGTGAGCTGGAAGAAACAAAGAAAATGTTAAAGGTCATTACTGACACGAAGCTATGTACGTATTCTCAACTCGCTTATGTTGCTTTGATCCTGACCGTCTGCAAAGCCATTAAGGACCTCGCACGGCTGGAAACTGCCCTTATAGCACGGATTCAAGAATTCAACGAAATTATGAAGCCTGAACTTGGATCTTTATTCCCGAAAGAAGCTTTGCCCCCAAAGAGACCCTTCGAATACGACCGTAAGTACTTTGGCATGGAGCTTTATCATGCTCGGCTCAGAGGCGGCTTGCATTGAGGCAGGCCTTAACTAACAGCTTAAAAAGCCACTGATCAGGAAGCCGAGGTGACCAGACGGCAAGCCGCGCGGAGAATAATTTCTCGAAGGACAGAATCTTCTGCTGAAAGCCCAGCAGACAGTGAGAGCGAAGATGAAACTACAGAGCTGCAAGATGCCGAAGGGAACAACGATGCCAATAGACCATCTGCATACTCCCCAGCCTTGACACCACGATCATCGAGACCCGGGGTGACCCTTCACAGAGTTACAGTACAGGAAAGAACGTCCGATGCAGACTATTGGTCGTCTCTTGAATTCCTTAAACAGTCAACGCGAGATAAACATTTTCCACCCGAGTTTCGATCCGCCAATCTCAATAACACCAGAGGCTCAACTCCAAGATCTACCCCGAAGCACGGAGTTTTTAGATCGCCAGAGGAGCTTCAACTTGGTCAAGCGTTTATTAAAGATTGCTTGGAGGATCTTGCGGATTTTAGTAAAGAGGATCAGTGGAAGAAACTGATTCCAATGTACAGAGCAAGGTTTAACGTTTGGCGCACTGTTTCGGCATTGCGAAAGAACAGGCTCTACGGCAGTTGGATTGGTTAGATACGATGACCTAGGAAGTCCTCAAAAAGTAGCCGAATTTGATCCACTTGCATCGATTCATATGGACCCTTATTATGTGAAACTTAATTCCTGTCTTGCTCTCCAATAAATGTTAAAACTGCTCGGTACCTAGATAGTTTAATAGCTCCCAAAGACATGATCCAGCGAATTCCGAGTCTTTTATTAAAAAATAGGGATCATGAAAGGTTGGAAGCTGAATTTATTGCTCATTTGATGAGAAATCAGAGTTTCTTTTAGTCAACGCCCGGATTACTACTTTCTACCACACAATTGGCGAGAAATCCAAGGTTTACCAAAACGATCGTGGCTCAATTCAGCACTTCATTACCTACTAGTTAGTACAAGAACAAATAGTTACCTAGGTAGCCATACATGGATGACAGCAGAATGATTCCCAGGTCAGAGGACAAATAGTACTAGTAGTAGTTCAAGTTCCAAGCCTGGAGGATGATTTACATGTGTTCGAGCCTGGAGTAGGAGCCCGTAAGCTCACCCAAAGCCTTCAAGTGGGAATATGCCGGCGATTCCTCAAAATGGTGATACGCATTACAGAGCATATTAGTGGCCCGAGACAGGCACCCAGGCAATAATCTCCAGGGCTGCTGGCGGTGGTAGCAATGTTTACCACCCGACCATCCAAAAATGAAATTTTAAGTGTCTTACCGCTATCATGGCAGCAGTATAGCAGAAGCACAATTATAGAAAGCTCGAAGCTGGATTTGACGGCCTAATACTTGCAGAAAAAGAACTTAATAACTATGTATGACTCCCTGTGACTGTTACAAAGAGTGCAATTATAAATAAACTTGAATGGGGGTAATGTCACCCATTCCTATGAAGCATCACGTTCAAATTACCAGGAACGATGCTTAGTTCAAAGAACCTGATGGAAATATCCGGTTCTTTTCTTAACGCATTATGCTGTCTTGTAGTTCAACGGGAAATGTCATCTCCGTCCTCATTCCTCCTTCCTTCCTCTTTCCATTTCCATATCCATTTCCGCTCCCTAGTTTCAACCCAATCAACAACTCTAAGTTTTCACATTTTCCATATCATTCTCCGCATCATGCAAAGTGAGTTATCGAAAGCCTTCATCTTCACGCCTATCATGCTAATTCACATCTAATCAAGTCTTCAAGACTGAGTCCCAGGCGGGGTGGTTCGCAAGATTCCCGAAGTTCAATCACAATCCGGACGCCAAGGTCAGCGACGAGTTCAAGCGCCTTGGAGAGCAGCGAGGTTGGAAGCCCAGCTCTCGTACCTGGAAAAAGAACTGGCGTGAATGCTGGAACTACGAATATGATCGTCTCATCGGCCACCGGGCCACTAGCCTCGCTACATGGCAGCAGATGTGCGCCAAGTTGGGCTTGGATAATACCATGCCCTCCATCAGGAAGTGCAAAAAGGTGATCTCATAACCATCCATTAGCTGTGACTAGTAATAGTGCTAATGTTCTCCGTGAAAGGCTTTGTCGAGGGTCTTCGTCAACATAATCGATCTCCTCGAATGCTGGGACAAGGAGGAGCAGCCTCGCCTTTTCAGCAGCCAGAAGGAGCTGTCCAAGTACGCGAAGAAGGGTAAGGGTAAGACTTTCGGCCGCGAGATCGCCAAGCAAGACAAGGTCCTCCGTGTCCTGCTCAAGAAGCTCTATTGAGCTGGTGACACAAATGGTAGGCCAGACCAGCGAGATACAGTCCAAGAAGCATTCGGCATTCTAGACTAGTAGCCAGGACCGATCGCTTCCATGAAATCATACCACTGCGTGATTCAGTTAGCTTGCGAAAGAGTTGCCCAAGTAGGCTCGGAGGTTCAATCCTCCCCAGGGCTGAATACCCTGCATATTTCAAAATTCAAGCCATTTATGTTTTTTTATCAACCGTGAATAGATCAGTAGAATTCGTAGTATCTCATTTGATTATTTTTTTTCTATTTATTTAATACTGTGAGCATATAATTGCACTCATGATAAAGAGAGCTCAATTCCATCCTGTTGTACAATATCAAGCCAGTCAACACGCACGGACGAGCTTGAAGATTTCCGCGCAATCCTGAGGCGCCACAGCTTCTCCAGGACTGACAGCGCCACTTGCACATTTCTGAATCCCCGCGACTCGATCATATCAAGCATTCTATCCCGAATGCTTTTGATGTGCGATTCGTCTGTTGACTCTCCTCCGGCAAGAAATATCGGAAAGAGCAATGTGCATTCGGGTAAACTGCGGGTCGGCATTTGCTCGATGCTCTCGACGATTGCTGCTGCTTGCGCCATTGCCTTTTTCGAGAGCTCTACTGCTTGGTGTGGGAAGGCTCTCCGTTGTGAGCGGTAGAGGTGTATGAATGCTGAGCTTCGATAGGTCTCCGCTAATAATCTCAACGATGTGTCTGTGGATGCTGGGCATGCCCAAAGATTCAGTCTGGCCTCAAGCGACATGAATCTGGTCATGATTTCAGCCTGTTCAAATTCATCGTGAACGCTTTTTGTCTGATGATTGAATGCGAAATTGCTATCGGTTCTGCTTCGTACCGTCGAAATTATCGTCTTGACCTCTTCATTTAGCGCTGTTATTTGAGAAATTATTTCGAGGATCTCAGATGCAAGACCGAAATGCGAGTCTGGTAGTCTAGACTCGTCGAGTTGAAGAAAATGATGCGAGCTTAAGAGGGGAGCTTGATCTCGCGCAACAGCCATGACAATATCCCTATAGGCGAAGTTGCGAAGCAGCCATCGCCCCGAATGTGCGTCTTCGAAGGGCTTCAGTAATTCCGGGGTGGAAGAGCCTTCGAGGACGGCTGTGGGTGTGTTTGCTGTGATAACACCGGCAGCGCCGACAAGATGTTGATACCAGGCGGCTCCATTATCTGACATGATACTCTCCAATGAGCACAGTACCAAGGACATGGCGAGATTGGCCTCAATGTTTGTAGGGTCCGATTCGAGCGCACCGCGTAGATCACTTAATGCTCCACACCGGTTCTGAATAGCGACCTGCTGAAACGAATGGTCCCTCAGCGACAGGTGTGCGGACGACCACGCGATCAGCGTGTTCAGCAAGGGTGGACTGTGCATGGCCATCGGCAGAAAGACTAGGTTTTACATTAGGAATTAAGATCACTGAAAATTGACTGGGGCCCACTCACCAGACAAGAAAGAATTGTTCTCAATGTTGGTCGTTAGAAGATGCGTGAAGGTCTGTGTGTAATAACGGAGAAAGTGCCGGCGGCTCGACGGGGACGTGCAGTCGGCATGTTCATCAACCCAAAATAGAACTGGATCTGGATTGTTGAACAATCGAAATGGGCTGTTTTCTTTGTCTTTGGATAACACCACCGACTTTGCGTTGTGGTTATCTTTCACAACGGATCTCGGCTCTTCCCATTTGCACTTATAATTCAATCGGACACATTCTCTGCACACAGGATAACCCAGATCACATCGTTTTTTGCTAAATATCAGGTTAGAAATTTTCACGGAATTTCACTCAGCTAGACAGGAATACATACCGTTGACGACATGTCAGGCACCCCGTCCTTTCTCGGGTGGTCCCTCGCTTCTTGATGACCCGCCGCGGTACGGGCGGTCGAAGAGAGGATGTGTCTTGCTCCGACATGGCTACTCACGTCACAGACCAGCTTCGAGATAGTCCTATCCAAGACGATCAAATACAAGCCTGGCGCTAACAGCGGAGACTTGCATCCAGAGCAATGATGGGGTAGGAGTCACACCTTATCAACCTCGTGCGGGGAGAGCGGTTTTTGCCGCTTCAATCTTTCCCAAGGTTTGTGTGGAGACCAATCGGAGGTTGTGCGCTAACAGCGCAGAGGAGCCATCCAATGAGAGAAGAGATGATTGGGGATATTTTCCATCATCTTCCTCAGATCTAGCATATTCGGTGTGGATTTTGTGGGTTTTCTGCCAAGCTGCTTATCTTGTCCCTGGGGTGCCAAGTGCCCAGCAGGGGAATTGAACAGGCAGGCTTAGCCATGCGTCTCATCAATTCTTCTCTATTTATGGGCTATGGCCCCGGAAATGATTTGATCTGAGCGCATGCCAGAAGTGTCTGCCAGATTTCCAATATGCACCAGTTTGAAGATGACCGGCAGCTCGAAGCCCGTGGCTACAAGCGTGAAATGCCGAGACAGTTCTCTGTATTCAGTCTCGTTGCCCTTTCGTTTAGTCTGACATGTACCTGGTCCGGGACTGGATCTTCGATGGGCATCTCGATTAAAGAGGGATCAGCAGCGGGAACACTTTGGTCAATTCCGGTAGCTGCCCTCATGACATTCATTCTGTCAGCAGGAGTTGCAGAGCTGGCTTCCGCGTATCCAGTTGCTGGTGCTCAATACTATTGGGCGTTTTTCCTTGCCTCTGACAAATATAGAGCATTTGCCTCGTACATGTGAGAGACTTTGAATATCAGTCATTTGATTCAACTTGAAGCTAATAGGTACGCAGAAATGGTTGGCTGAGCATTCTTGGATGGTGGTTGGCTAGCGCAGCAGCTTGCAATTTCATAGCATCTTTGATTCTATCGATTACCTACCTGTGGTACCCAGAGTATCAAAGTCAGAACTGGCACGAATGGCTGGTCTATATTGGCATTGTATGGCTGGCTGTTGCAATGAACACATTTGGCTCTCAGCTTCTCCCATTGTTCAACCGCTTTAACTGTAAGCAACAACCCCTTGCTCTATAATTTCTGGCCTACTAACAAATTGCAAACAGTCATTCTCGCATGCTCTACTCTGACCGCCACAACGATAACTCTCTTCGTGTGCAGTAGAAACAACCACGCCCCGGCTGAATGGACCTTCGCCGATACAACCAATGAAACAGGCTGGCCTAGCAATGGATTCGCATTCATGCTCGCTGTCAGCAACGCCGTATACGCATTCCTCGGTACTGACTGTGGAGCCCATCTATGTGAAGAAATCCGTGATCCCGCTCAAAATGCACCCAAAATCATCTTGTACCCTATTCTGATTGGACTGGTAACCGCATTTCCTTTTGCATGTGCTTGCATGAATGCGATCACCGATGTTGATGCTGTTTTGAACACCCCATCTGGCCTTCCTTTGATTGAGATTTACTATCAAAGTACACAGTCAAAGAGTGCCTCTTCTATTCTCTTGGCACTTTTCGCGTTTTGTTTCTTCGGTTGCAGTGTTGCCAATGGTTGGTCACATTCTCCTTTCTATCTTGGAGAAGCGTGCCTAATTTGATTTCTTTAGGAACCACATGCTCGAGAACTCTCTGGGCCGTTTCTCGCGACAACATGCTACCATTCAGTAAGATTTGGTCCAAGATCGACTCCACCTTTCAGATACCACTCAATGCCCTGCTGCTTTCTGGCACAGTTATCTCGGTATGTGACCTCCATATTTGTTTTCCATTCAACTCAACTGATCTGATGTGATACTTAGCTCTATGGCCTTATTTTCTTGGGTTCATCTACTGCATTCTCAGCTATGGTGGGCGCAGCCGTTATCTTCTTACAGACATCTTGTGCTCTTCCACAGGCCATTCTGCTATGGCGAGGTCGAGACAATGTCCTTCCTGAGAGACCCTTCTCATTGGGACGACTTGGTCCAGTCATCAACTTTCTGGCAGTAGCCTGGGTTATTTTCCTTGATGTCATCTCCTGTATTCCGACTGAACTTCCGGTGACTAAAGAGAACATGAACTATATCTCGGTTGTTTCGATTGGTCTTACTAGCATTGTGCTCCTCATCTATTTCTTCAGCAAGAAGGGGAAGTACCTTGGGCCTAGAATGCCGAGTGAAGATATCGGCTTGGATGGGAATACAATCACAGGAAAGGAATGTCAGGAATTTGGCGATGAAGAGGCGAAGGACTGTGATAAGGATCTTGCATCGGTCAAAAAACAGTAATTACTGACATGGACAATTGAACTTTGGAGTTATCTTGATAGAGAGCTGAGTAATCAAGTGTGACTTCTTTTCGGTCAATGGAACAGTAGACTCCATAAGTAGTAAGCAACCAGGTATATTGACTTATTACTTCGCAAAATTTGCCCGAATGTTTCTATAGCATTTCGCAATCATTGGAATACTCTGCCGTAGTATCTTAGTGAGCTACTGCGTGCCCAGGAGAATCATACTAGTAGCTACTTGGTATCTTGAAGTACCTATGCAGATACTTACCCAAAGGTACGCAAAGCATGCGCAGATCAAGATCTAGCCTTCATCGAAGCTATGTATGTGGATGATTGGAAGCTTGAAAGATAGCACAGATTTAATTTGTGGCAAATTCAATTATCTGACAAACTGATCCGCAAATTCAGCGCCCAGGCCAACCTCCTCATAATGCTTTCTTGCTGCCTGCAGCTTGCTAAATACATCCTCAATACCCAGAGCAACTCCGTCGCGATCGACGTAGATGTACGCACCCGTCACATGGAAAAGAGTGACCATCTCATTCACACCTTCTGGCACCTCCACTGAAACATTTTATTAATACATGTTTCCCACATATTACCTTAAGAAATGCGGAACTTACGAGTATGGATATCACCAGGAGGCTCGAAGGCATAGCCACCTTCCTCAGCCCACCAATCGTGTTCGAGATAATGCCAGCGGCCCCGCAGTACTGTGGCATGCACGGGGCCTGTATGTCGGTGGCGGGAAAGAATGCCACTCTTTCGAACGCGTAGAATGTTGACGAAATAGCCTTGCGACACATTGAAGCAAAGGGGTCGGAACCAGACGTCCTTTGCTTGGGGAACCCACAATCGCTCGTCGCATTCTAAGTCAAGAACGCCCGTTACCACCAGGTCTTCTGGGACATTTGGTAGCTTGGGGCCGCGGTATGCTTCCGTGGTGCCGTCGCCCTTTTCCATGATGTTTGATGTTCCTAGCTAATTATCAGTATGTGATTTCATTCTCCAGGTTCTTGGTGGGACTTCGTACCTGTCATTATGGATTGCTTCAATTTTTTGTGATTGTTGAAGGGAAAATGTCTCATCGCAAGAGAGAGCCATCACCGGCAGTGCTTCATTTATACCAGTATTCAAGCATGTCCAGCGAGCGTCATTAGCGTCAAGGGCGGCGAACCCGATGGATCCAGATTTAATTCTCGCTCTTGGATCGGTGTTGGAAAAAAGTCACCTTCCCCACCGCGTACCCACGCAGCCGGCGTCAAGGGCGGCTCGGCTTCTCCGGGTCGTCATGTCGGCGACTAGTAGAAAGCACACAAAGGCCACGATATAAAAGTCCCTTGGTGTACCAAATTCTGCGCTTCCTTGATACGTGATCAGCTTTAAATTGAGTCACCCCTTCATCATGTCTACAGACGAATTCGTTGCTCGTTCCCACATCCTCCATCGGACTTTCTCCGAGAGACCCGAGAAAATCGTTAAAGGCGATGGAATCAGCCTAATCCTCGAGAATGGCAAGCGAATCATCGATGCAAGCTGTGGCCCGTCGGTCTCATGTCTTGGTCATTCCCAACCGGAGATCTTCGAGGCCATCACGAACCATCTCCGCGATGACATCGCCTACGTTTATTCTGGTTCCCCGTACACAAACGCCGCTACGGAGGAGCTAGCTGATATCCTACTCGCTGATAAACCGGGGGGGCTTGTCAAAGGCTATCTTCGTTAATTCTGGAAGTGAGGCTACCGACGCCGCTTTGAAACTCGCCGTGCAGTATTGGCATGAGAGAGGCCAGCCGAAGCGAACTCATTTCATTGGGCGGAAACAGAGCTACCACGGCAATACCATTGGCGCTCTGTGTGTTTCTGGCCATGAATCGCGCAGAGAGTTTTATCAGGATTTTATGTCGACGAATGTTTCGTTTGTTGATCCTTGCTACGCCTACCGGATGAAGAATACAAATGAGCCGGATGAGGCTTTTGTTCAACGGCTGGCGGAACAGTTTGAAAATGAGATCTTGAGGGTCGGTCCGAATCGTGTTGCTGGGTTCATTGCCGAGACTGTTAGCGGTACCACTCTGGGCTGTTTACCTGCAGTTCCTGGGTATTTCAAAGCTATTCGAGATATATGCGATAAATACGACGTTCTGTTGATTTTGGATGAGGTATGTGTCAATTTCGCCCCTTTCCTCACTGCGTACATGATAACTTGAGCAATCCTGTATCTGACTTACGATAGATTATTTGCGGAATGGGAAAAACTGGCACCATGCACGCATGGGAGCAAGAAGGGATTCGAGGTCCCGATATCCAAACTATTGGAAAAGCACTCGGTGCGGGCTTTGTTCCTCTATCTGGAGTCTTGCTGCATCAGAAAATCTTCGATGCACTTTCCGCTGGTTCTGGTGGTCTTGCTCACGGCCACACATTCCAGGTATGTTCCTGCAGGCGAAACCACGATCCCGACAATTCCAAGCTAACAGAAGTTAGGCCCATCCACTAGCATGCGCTGCTGCTATCGCAGCCCAGAAAATTATTAAGCGCGACAATCTCATTGAGAGGTCCAGGATAATGGGAGACAAGTTAGAAGCACTCCTCCGCAAGGAAATTGGCCAGCACCCTCTAGTTGGCGATATTCGGGGACGTGGACTTTTCTGGGCAGTGGAGTTTGTTCTCGACAAGGATCAGAAGACGCCATTCCCGATCAAAGCCAACTTTTGTTCACAGGTTGTCAAAATCAGTCTTAAACTAGGTTTGAACATCCTGGGAAATCTTGGACATACTGGAGATTATCAGGTCGATCACATTTTGGTCTGTCCACCTTATACTGTAACTGATGGTGAACTTGAGGAGATCGTTTCAATTCTTAAAATTGCTATTGATCAAACGAGCCAGCCATTTATTGGAGAGGTTCAACGTGAATTTTTGGAGGGGAGGCTTTGAGGTTCCATTCTCCAAACGAAGGGACCATCAACCCGGAGGACGGAAACCATTTGAATTTTTGATATTGTCTGGACTAGATTTCCTGATTCCGAAGACTCTGCATGTGTTTCGCCGTTCGATATAATATTATTTTTACTCTTAGCAATAGTGCTGCATATTTTCATGAGGAACTTCCACTGTCAAGGTTCGAGTGAATCCAAAACTGACTATACGCCGATTGTCAAAGACTCCGTAGTATCAGCCAAGTCCTCTTGTTTAGAAATCGTCCACTTCCCATTTTCGACATTGAATTCCAGAATATAAAGAACTTCCTCCTCGCCATTATACTCGTGTAAAATCTCAAGATTTGGTTCGTCATAATGGCCCATAAACTCCAAGTCGAGTTTCAACTGATATCCAGGCCGCAGCGATTCACGGACCAGAATAATGAAAGGTTCTGCTCGAGCAATACGTCTGCTGCCTTCAAGTCGGACCGATTGCAGGAAAGACACAGGCGTTGCATCAGTGTCGACTCCGGTAGCTATTATCCGGTGCCTATCCTCTTCTTGCGTCTCCACCTTAATCACAAGGCGTCGCCGTAGGACGAATGGGGGAATCGGAAGGTTGAGCTTTTCCATTACCTTTGTCATCAGGACATCTGCTTCGGAGAAGACTCTGAGATCAGTAATATTATCGATAGGAGTTGTTTGAAGATTGCAGATTGCAAGTTTGGCTCCTTTCGTCTGACCAACAATGTCCGGGATACTGTTCGCCGGCATGACTGTTAGGGAAGACCCCAGAACAAGGCAAAGGTCAGCCATTTCAGCATTTTTCTGCGCTAGCTCCATAGCTCGGGCGGGCAGGCTGTCTCCAAAGTTGATAATCGTGTCATATAAAGTGCCGCCGCATCGAGCACATTTCCGCGTTGTGCGGTGGTCATGGTCGCCTTTCTCGTAGGTAGAGACAGCACGGAAGTCTGTGTCAACAAAGTGAGCGATATAATACAGAAGTCAGAAGTGGCGAAGGTTACCCCGAATGTATTCCTTGCCACAATCATAGCAAGACTCCCTGTTGCTATTGCCGTGAAGCTCTGAAATTGTTTCCTATGTCGTCGCGTTAGCTGACGTCAGGGGGAAGATGGAGGTATCTCCGTACTGGTAGTATACCACTTCGTCTGTGAAGCCCGTCACAATTCTGGCTGACCAGGTATTTTAAGATCCCGCGATTCTGAAGCTCTACCAGAGCCATGTGCGACGGCGTTGGAATGGCTTGCAAGGTGTTGGCATGCTTCGTGCGGGGCCTGCCTTGCGCGCGTAGTGTCCAGTTGCCATCAGGGCCACGAAAGTCTGGGATTCCTATGAATGAAGCTGAGTACATCAATCTCATTTGACCTTAATATCTGAAGCTTACCTGCAGATGTTGATATGCCGGCCCCGGTGAAGACAATAAAGTGCTTGCTTTGGAGAATTTGTTCGACCAAGGTCGCGGCCTTTTTCTCAATGGCGCTAGCTGCCTCACGGCGCTCTTTTGCTGCAATTTTGGGGGCACTATCGGCCGTTTTGGGGTATTTTCAGTTGTTATTGTGAAACTCGAGAGCGCGGGGAGATTGAAAGTCAGCGCGCCTCGCGTGCTGACATCTTACCGAAACCTTAGGCTACGCAAGGGGCAATGCGGCTCTGCGTGGGGCCGAGCCCCAACAACATCAACTTGAACTTGGGAACCTTGCATGTAGCACATGTGTCCAAATGGGTACAGTAGTTTTAAACCAAGCAAGGTTAAGAGTGGTAGAATAGTATGTACTGTCAACAAGCCCCCGAATGGTCTAATGGTATTGGCCCAGACCAAACGGGGAGAAACAGATGAGGGGGCTTTGAAGAGACGCAGTGGGACCGCTGCGTGCCTACCTCTTGTTTTTGCTATTTTTGTAGTCTCAGGGCTCAAATCCAGGCCAGTGCAATTGTTCATCTTTTTTCTCTTCCCTTTTGTTTTGTTTGCTGCTGTTGTGCTTTCACCTTGTGCTTTTCCTTTTCTGTTTTTTTTTTGTCCCCGTGACACTGATGGTTTATTCCAGTGGTTGATGTGGGTCCTTATGTACTGATACACACTCCCAGCTCTTCTCTTTTACTAGTACCTGCAAAGGGTTTGGCGGATTTAATGAGACTTTCAGATTACTAGTACTAGTCAGTGTTTAAAATAGTGTGAGCCTGAGGGACTCAATGTTCTGTCACCACGCAAATTTGAGAGAGTTTATACCATGAACTTGGGAGGTAATATCGATAATACACTGCTCGCTACTCTATCTTCCCCCCTCAAATATTCTGAGATTTTCAATAAGAGGAGAAATGATCAAACGAAACATATCATCTTGCATCTCTTCGTTGTCCAGATTAAACTCCTCGCTCCCAGGCCAGAATAAACAGGCTTTAACAACTTTCTTATAATCTGACCCACTTTGTTGCTCCACGAGATTGACAAAGCGGGCCGCCGTCTTGAGATCGGCACATGCTTCCATCTGATCCTCATCCTCAGCAGTGCGTAATACCTCTAGCGTCTGGCACAAGGATAGCTCCACAAGTATCAACCCCAGAGGAAAGAGGATGTCGCTTTGAATCAAGGGAGATGATATCCTCCCTTTACCCTTGCCCTTGCCCCACACATCCCCTTCGTTGCCAATATTCCATTGAACGAATGGGCTATCGATATCGGCACTTGTTTTGAACATGATATCTTTGGCGCGCCAGTGGGATTTAAGCCAGCTCCCATGAAACTGAAGTACACTGCAGGCGAGATTTACTGCAAGCCGAAGACGTTGCTTCCGGGTGAGTAGAAATCGGTCACTTGTGGGCGCTTTGAAATAATTGCTCGACTCTTTTATTAGATCGGACAGCGATCTAGCCCCCTAAATCCGCGGCGATGTTTCGTATATAGTACATATTGTGTCGATGAATATCGTCTGAGAAACACCCGAAGGGCTTGTCGGGATGACAGGTAGCTCCGACACGCGACAGCGTGACGCAAATATCGAGAATTATAGGCGTATCCTTTGATGTTGGAGTTTGTTGGCTTTTTGAATCTTCTCCCTGAATAGAGAATTGAACCTTCTTTTGAACTGACATCTGCCCGGTGACGCAGTGTGGAGGGCAGTTGTTACTGGGAGTTGGGCTCGCCCGGACTGTTTCGGTTTCGGTTTCAACCTCAAGACCGAAATTCCATTTCGGAGGACTATATCTAGGTTCAAAGGAGGCAAATATCATTCGAAAGCGAGCCTCTGCAGAATAGTTGCTTGGTTCTTCGTTGTTGTCAAGCTCCGGGTACCTGAGCACAAAGTGCACGGCATGTCGGTCACGACAGGAACAATTCCAGGATTTACCGCCAATAATTGCGTTATGAAGACTTCTTGCAGACTTTCGAGCTTGTCTCTGACGCATCAGTGGCCGCTTCGAGTGTCGCTTCTTGTGAATGATGGTTCGACGGTCGGACTGTTCAACTAGAGTTTTGAGCAAATTATTGGCGGTATCGAGGCGAGTAAACATTTCGTCATAGATGCTTTTGGAGAAAATATCTTTAAATTTCTTGAGTTCACTTTTGAGCAGTGACTTATTTGTTTGGAGGCTCTGTGGATAAGGAAGTAATGGTTACTTATCAACTTGAAGCCGACTGTATGTCGCACGAGGCACTCACCACTGCAGGCATCCCAATTTCCCACCCGAGTTTGCGATATAAACGATTAAGAACGATTGAGAACTCATTCACTGTCTGGCAAAATGGATCAAAACTTGTGCCGAGCTTTGTGCGCAGGCTGCCCCGCAAATCCTCTCGTTGCAAGAGAACACCGAGCGGGTTCTGGATCAGGTCATCGACTCCGTCTCCGTATTCCTCGACGCCATCTAGCAAGTTCATCAAAGTATTTTCTAGTATTGTTTGTTGCGAGGCGAGGTTAGATCGGTACCACTCAAGCTCTCGGCGATAACGCTTGGCCCCGAAGAGCTTGAAAGTCTCGATTCCTTGAACATAATTGTCTAACTGATTGAGGAAAAGTGGTAGGACGGCGAGAGCAATACCCGCAGCTTCCATTTCGAGACACCGGCGATATGGGGGAAGATAAATGAGTGATGGTAATGAGCAGAGCCTCGAAATAAAGAGGGGTTGGTGTTCTGCATTGCTCAGCTACAACCCGGGCTAGAGACGCATCGGCGCTAAGCACCTCACTGCCCCGCACCTAGAGTCCTCCTCAAATATTCAATCAATTCTATCAACATTTCCATTCGGTCGATTTTTGGCATTGCTAACTGTTCAAGCAGCAGCTCATTTCACATTAAGCCCAGGGGCCGTTTTTGCCCGAGGCGCATTCTGCCGAGCCAGCTCATATCCTGTGTTCATTTATTTCAGTCCGTTTGTTGTCAAGATATATTCAGCTCTTCCTTTCAAGTTGATTTCTAAGTGCTTTCAATAATCACTGCATCCTTTTCTAATTGTATCTCCAGCCCTTTCATCATCTCGGCTGACTTCCAAGGGTACGTCGTTAATTTTCCAAGCCCTCATTTACCGGCCTTGAGACGACCCGCCCAAAATCGGTGATATCCGTTGAGGGGTGTGTCATTATTAGACAAGAGTCTGGAGATGCAAAATTCAACTAATCAAACTAGTGACCCTCGAGATGTACCGGAATCGGGCTGCAAATGAATATGATGCTTCCTTTGAACAGAAATCTCCGAAGTCAGACTCCCCCTCTCATCGGAGAAAATGCGCAAAACAGCTAATTAGAAGCAGGTCTAATGATGAATCCGAAGATCAGCCACAGTCGGAACACCCAGATTATCTAGGCGAGAATCGAATCTACGAACTGATTCCAGAACAAGATGAAGAGCGTTTGCATGAGGTTACCAGGCACTTTGAGAATGAGGAGGCTGAAGTACAAAGCCGAGATGGCGATTTGATCAACTTGAACTACACGAATCAGTCTCCCGGACACATTGAATTTATTCTCCAGTATTTGAGAAGTCTTCGTCATGAAAAGCGCGATCATAGTGAGGCAGAAATCGCCAACCTTTACGACCCAGTGAACCCTCGCATCTGGAACCCACTGGGTGTGGTTGACAAGGAAACGACCAAAGGAGAGAATGCTCTTGATAGCAGTAGCAAGGTTGCTCAAGCACCGCACCGTCCTTCAGCCTCAATATCAGGGATAGTCGTGAAATGCCTTAAAGAGCTCGATCGTCTATGTCGCGATGAGCCTCTCCAGAAACATCCCGACGTGTTGGCAGAGTTGTGGCAAGACGAGCTGGGTCGATTGCGGGTGTGGGCTGCAAACATTGGTGCTCATCAATCTGGACAGTCTTCATTGGATCATCGGCTGCGAGAAGCATCCCATATCAAGGACCAAACCTTGCGCCTTCTTGAGCGTTTACAGAGAGCCATACAAGACGTGGAAGATACTCTGAACGGCTCCGAGTCCGAAGACAACTTTCTCGACTCTGAAGAAGAAAGCGAGAATGAGGAGACTGAGATGCAGTCAATATATCATACTTTGCGTGATACTATTGACAATCTTTTCCAGATGTCGATGTTGGTCCGACGACCAGCGCAACAAGATCGTCTGCTCGGCACCAAAAGATCCGACGCAGCCATTTTTGAGCCTTTTGATAAACAGCATGTGCAAAGCAAATATCCAAACGCAGAGGAATCTGTTATACATCGGCTTGGCCTGGCAAATTCTCAGCGAAGGGCAGTCATGCGATACCGCAAACGACATCACGTGAAACTCGCACAGGGCCTCGATCGAGCCATGGGAGTACAATCAGATAACCGCTCAGCTATATTATCAGATACCGTCGTGACAGATTTTGTTGAAATTCAGCAGAGCAATACAAAGTTTGAGTCGGAATCCATTGCCACCGAGACCTCATACGCCCAAACAATACTCCATGGAGGAGACGGCATTACGTTACAGCCTCCGCCGAAGGCATCTGCTGACGGGACGCCTTTTGAATGTCCTTACTGTTTCCTGATAATCTCTGTCACGGATACAAGATCCTGGGCTCGCCATGTTTTCAACGACATAATGCCATACGTTTGCATTTTCCCAGAGTGTCCAACACCGCACCGCTTATATGAAAGTCGACGAGAGTGGTTCTCCCATCTGCGAATTGAACATTCGATTGAGACTAATTCGGAGAATAACATGGACTGCAAACTTTGTTTGTCCTCTTTTTCTTCAGGAAAGCAGTTGGAGAGACATGTTGGTCGACATTTGGAGGAGCTGGCCTTGTTTGCATTACCGCGTTCTGATGATCCCGATGAAGATGAGGAAATTCTCCTCTCAGATATCTCTGATGTTGCAGGCAATGATTCCGATCTAGACGCCAGGGATTTGCCTGACTCCGAAGGAATACCGAGCAAATTCCATCCCCCGAGCACAGAATTGGGTCTGGATGTGACAACGGAAAGTGCCCCTGGGGTACCTCAAGAGAGAGAAGTTGTCGACAAAGGAAATAATAGTACTACTAGTAGTATACCTCCCAGCTCATTTGCCAGAGCAGATGGCGCCCGGACTAAGGGGAGCGACATAAATCAAATACCCGATCCTGAGAAAGGTCATGACAGCTTGACTTACTCTGCCCACAAACCCCTCAACTCGGTCGGTTTCACTGATATTGTTGAACACATCGACGTGAAAATAGGAAATACTACTGAAAGATGGACAGAGATAAACAATGGCCAAGTCATTGCAGAAGCATTCAAACAGCTGGGCTATAAATACGAGCAGACACCGCGCCATTTCTATGTCTTTGGCCAACTTACACGGGTAAGACTCGCTCTTTTAGTTGTGCGGAGCTATGATAGTACATCTTTCTAACATGACATGGAATTCTAGGAGGACGTTGCTGAGCTGATCGATTTATCTGCCGATATTCAAAGCAGGCGTGCGTTCGAGGATGAAGTGCAAAAAGGACGAGTGGCCGCACCACTGCCATCATCTGCATCATCAACGGAGTCTATTCAATATGTTAACCCATGGCCCTCGTTCGATCAGGCCGAGGTTGAGCTACCGCCGCTGGAAAACAGAGTAATTTCTCTCCTTTCAGAATCCGATCCTATTCAAGTTCCATCAACATCAAAGGACGCAGGGAACGAAATTATTTCTACCCCGAGTCGGACATTACTAGATATTGTATCAGGAGACGTTGCAAGTCAAGGAAATAAAGAAGGTGGCTTTGCTGAAGACGAGGCTACTAGGTTGAGGAAAAAGTTCAAAGTGATACGAGAGAAGGCTCCTCCAAAATCTCAAAGCAGTGGCAGCATCCCATCAGAGATTACAGATCAACCTACAATTAAGGAATGTCTAGAGGCAGCCCGGAATGCTGAAGGTCTTGTGGACGGACATAAAGCAGAAATTCTCGAAGCCGCGATCACCCAATTGTGGACTCGAATGCAACACGACCCCGATGACTACAATCTCACTCGGGATGAGTTCGCTCTCTTCAACTACTTCATCGGACGGTTCCGCGGTTCTACAATAGCACAACGGGCCGTAGCCCGGTTTTGGAGCAACTATTCAAGTGACCTACAAAGCTCAAAAACAACCCTTGGAAGTGATCAATACATCCAATCAGACTCCGCTACAGGCTCAAGTTCCTCGGCTCATTTTGCAAATCGAAGAAACCCCGAGGAACACAACAATGCTCTCCTGGAGATTCCGGCACGTCCATCCTTTCAGCTAAGTACAGTGTCATCTAGGATGAAACTGAGATCCAGTGATTTGCCTAAACCGGTAACAGATATTTTAAAATCCTGGTTCTTCGCGCATGAGGAACACCCCTACCCTACTGAGGAGGAAAAACAGATGTTTGGAGAGCTGACTGGGCTCACGATTCCTCAAGTAAGAATAGCATTCAAGTATCACTCTAATGGCTATGTTCATGATTATTAATTACTTCGCAGGTTAATAATTGGTTTATCAATGCCCGAAGACGGCAGTTACAACCCCTAAGAGCAGCCATAGGAGCAGATAGTGGCACAGCAGACTCGGCCCAGCAGCCTCCTAGTGAAAACCAGACATCTCATTATCAGGACTCCTGGCTTCAATTTGATCATGCCGAATATCCCACCACTAGTTGATATAACAAGCAGTGAGCTTCTTCTCCACCCGTGTGGAATCATAGACGCCGGCAGGGTCAGAGAAATGAGTACTGGTGCCGATTGAAAAGGGATTAAATAGTAGTCATTGAAGAACAGTTAGGTACCAATCAATGTGTACGCTGGCAATCGACAGATATGCTCTGGTAAGCTCCAAATTACTCAGGAATAGGATCCTAGCTCATTAGTCTAAGTGCCAAGAGGAAGATTCAATGAAACCAACTAATGGGAGCTTTCTCTCCAACTGGCAAGATAGTTGTGGCGGTCGGCGCCCCTTGCAGGCTAACCGCTTCTGCTAGGTCCGAAATACTCCGCACAGAAGTAGATAAACTCTGTGTCAGAAAGGTCTCTACTCGATTGCTTCGAATAGATTTCATTATCGCTTCCACGTCATCTTTTGAGTTATGTTTAGTAAGGAGTTCCCGCCATGTCTAAGCCGAAATGGTGATCCTGATCGTGATGTTGCTAATTGCGGGGAAGGCTGGAGAAGTCGTGGAACAAAATCGTCACCAGCAGGAATCCTTACAGTGGAGTGTAAATCTTCCAATTTACATGAATGATTTCATCGCTTTGAGATACGAGGCCACCCCTGAGCCCTCCTGTACATCTACAGCTACCGCTACAGCTATCAACAGACTAGACCGATATTCGCAGTGCGGCATCCACATCCCAGATCCCGATCTCTCTTAATTAATTTGCCGCCCCCTTGCACCGGGGCCGAGTTATTCAACTCCGATCCTGATTCGACGCAAGGCCCCCTACGACGCACATGGGTGCATTTCGGTGACCCGACCGTAGTTATGTCATGAAATAGTAAGCTCACGCCACAGTGTAAAGTAATGGGATGATGTGTATCAAAACTCCGCGGAGGATTTCACAGTACATATGTATTGATTGCTTGGTGTTTGATTTCTAAGGCTGGAAGGAGCCGATCGTAGCGACCAGCCGATAGCCGATGTGGCGTCCCAAAGCAGCAGCAGAACCAAAGTTGATCAAATCCGGGGGGAGCTTGGCACTGTTGCGGGGAAGGAGATCATCTTTGGTCAGCAGGGTATAACATAACATTGTGTATTCTTTAGTTTCAGTGTTAAATAAAAATTAATTGAGAATAAATAAACAGTATATAAGTATAGTAATAAGTATGAATGTACTTGAAATAAGCATACGCGTGGAAGGAAGTACTCCGAGTCTCGATGCGTCTAGCTCATGGCGTGCTATGGCGTATCCGTTGGTGACGCTTGCGTGCTGATGTGCAAAGGTGACCTGCCACGAGGTGTGGTCCGAGTGCCAGGAACTTCTTTAAAGTTATATCTTGCGCCTTGTCCTGGGTTCTGTCTTGCTCAAAAAAAAACAAAAAATAAATTCAAGTACTGTAGTATACCACTATACTACAATACTATACTACTACGATGGGCCGCCTCAAGGGAACGCGCCTGGGCGCCTTCCGCGCATACTTCTTTGGCTTCTTCGTTTGCACTGCTGGTTTCCTCTTTGGCTACGACACCGGCATTGTTGGTAAGTTTACTTGGTACCTGGCAACTTGAACTTGAATGATCTTGCTAACCTCCCTAGGCGGTATTCTCGAATTCGACTCCTACCGCAATGACTTCCGCTATACCGACAAGACCACTGTGAACGCCGTCATGGTCTCCCTCCAAAATGTCGGCGCCTTCATCGCTGCCCTAGCCATCTTCCCCGTTTCCGACCGACTCGGTCGCAAGAAGACTGTTCAGATCGCCATGTCTGTCTTTTGTTGCGGTGTCATTCTCCAAGTCGTCCCCTCCCACTCCTTAGTCTGCTTCTATATCGGTCGTGTCATCTCGGGTTTCGGACTGGGCGCCGGAACCGCCGTCGTTCCAACGTACAACGCTGAGATGGCCCCCAAAGAGATTCGTGGTATGCTGGGATCGGGCGTACAGTGGCTTTTTGCGCTCGGAGTCATGATCAGCTACTGGATTGATTACGCTGTCCAGCGAACACTGCCGGGTCAATCAAAGCAATGGCAGATCCCCGTCGGTCTGCAGCTTGTCCCAGCCACTGTCCTTGCCCTGGGCCTTTTCACTCAACCGGAGAGTGTGCGCTGGTTGGCGAAAAAGGACCGCTTCGACGAGGCTTGGGCGAGCTTAACGTGGATGCGTGCGGATGATGGTGAGTACTAAGTCCCTCATCATGCCGAGCAAAATTCTAACAACACCAGGCCCCGAAGTCAGAGCCGAATTCGCCGAAATCCGCGCCGGAATCAATGAGGAAATTCGCGCCAGCGAAGGCCTGACAAAACGCGAACTCCTCGAGCCGGCTAACCGCTACAGACTCTTACTCGGAGTCTTCCTCTTCTGCGGCCAGCAATGCACTGGTATGACGGCGCTGGCTTACTTCGGCCCGCAATTCTTCAAATTGCTCGTCGGTAACGATAGTAGTCGCTCTCTGCTCATTACTGGTCTGTTCGGTGCGGAAAAATTCATCATGGTCGGGATTTATATCCTCTTCTTCTCCGAGAAGTGGGGGCGTAAACCGACGCTCTGGATTTCCGCTATCCTGATGTCCATTTGCTTTATTATTGTTGCTGTCGTCAATAATACCACCCCCAAGCCGCAGTCGGAGGTGACATCCTCTGGGATCGCGACGGTTGCGATGATTTTCTTAACCAATTCAATTTATCAGTTTAGTTGGGGGCCGGTGCCGTGGCCTTATACTACTGAGGTGAGTTCATTCTGTATTCTCGACGCAATGCCCTGGTTTCTTATCTAACTTTCTCAGATCTTTCCAACTCGCATTCGAGAAATCGGCTCCTCGGTCTCCGTCTCCACGCAGTGGCTCTTCAACTTCCTCTTCTCCCTCGTCACGCCGTACATGCAAGCCTCATGGGGCAGCTATACCTTCCTCTTCTACGCGGCCTTGGACATCATCATGGCCATACTGGTCTGGTTCTTCGTGAAAGAGACCAAGGGCCGCAGTCTGGAGGAAATGGAGACGATCTTCCACAGCAAGGCTGCGTTCGATGTGGAAACTGTTCGCCATGAGGGCGTGCCTGTTTCTAGTAGTGTTGAGGGCATCGACGTTCAGCATAAGAAGTCGCATGATTTGTCGGAGTAACTGATCTTTAAGATTTACGTGTATTTAGCGTTTTTGTCGTGCATCGGTCGCGGTTGATGTGAATAATTATACCCTCCACGCCACGCTTGATGGATGTTGATAAGTGCATTTATTTCAAGGATCTGCCCAGGTGGATCACGGCCTTTGAAGTATTATTAGCGTTTTTTCTATGCTATGCAATCCTCCAGGGCTATAACCTTGGAAGCATCCAACATCCGCCCGCCCGTAGACACACACTGCACACCAACCACCCCGACAACTCAAAAGTCACGCTAATCTCAGATGGAAGCCAGCATATACTTCAGCCTATAATCCTTCTCAGCAGGAGGCTCTTGAAACGACTTTTCCGCAGCCCCTCGCAAGAGAGGAACTCGATATGCAAGTAACTTGGGCAAGGCATGAAGTGAGCGTATGGAATGCAGTGATCTCCCTACCCTCCACAACATAAACGCCCAAGATCCTTAAAATGGTACCGGTAATGACGGCAAGCTGCACAAAAGTGGGATTCTCATTTATCATCTGTAATTCATCAAAAGGCGTATTTTGTCGCCTTTGCATATAGCAGGGGCTTAGGACTCAACAGATCCCACGACCTTAGCCATGACTCTCAAAGCTCCTTCTTTCGGATATCCGAGTCCCAGATCCCGGTAAACCTTAATAGTTTCTGACGATGTATCGTGTAGCTCGATATCAAACCGGCGGACTATATGCGCCATGGTCATGTAAAGCTCACAAAGTGCTAGACTACACGATACATGCAAGTCAGATCAGATACCACGCAGTATAACAAGCTGAAACATTTGCACTTACTTCATACCCAGGCATTGCCGGCTTCCCTTGCCAAAAGCCACAAGGAACCGATGCAGACCCTTTCCCTCGGCATCGGACTCCATCCACCGATCTGGTTGAAATGAGTCAGGATCAGGAAATAAAGTCGGATCGGAAAGGACAAAGTATATCGATTGGCTAACTGGAGTCTATGATATATTATGTTAAGTATCTGTTCGGGTCGGAGCGCTCCTGAGAGCGGAGATAGAGACTCTGAATCTTACCCCAGGGGGAATGAGAAGGCCATTATAAGCCAAGTGTTCTGTAGGGGAGATCCGAGGAGTTCGCATTGTGACACTATATGAAAGCCGCAAGGACTCATTGATTACACCGTTCTAGATTGATCAGTCGGTCTATATAGTCTCCGAGAAATTACCCAGTACTATAGAAAGGGACCTACCATTAATGGCAGCCGCTCAATCTGTGTCCAAGTAGCTTGGCTTGTCGGAGTAGGCATAATTTCTGAAAGCTCTTTGCGCAGTCTCAGGAGTAGTGATTTATTGTTAAGAAGATGGAACATCCCCGTTGATAAAGCCTTTCCGGTAGTCTCAATCCCGGCGGCTAGGATGATCCATCCTTCATCTGAAAGTCTTCCAGCTGTCCTTTCCTCCGTGGGAATCTCGGGATCGACAAGTGCGTCAAAAATGCTTGGTGTAGAGGTTGTGTCACTAGCTGGGTCTTTCAAGAGTTCCATACATTGCTGACGGATGGATTCTCGGACAGCGAGAAAACCGGCAGCTTGGGGCTCTAGTTTTTGCATCAACCACGAAGGAATAATATTTATAACAGTGTGGAGAAAAGGAAAAATACGCAAGGTGTGGAATAGCATTGATGCTCCATCGACCGCTCCTTGGAGGTCATTGCTATTCGCAGTGCTTGTCAAGTAGTTGGTACCGCGACCGAAGGAGTATTTGGTGATAATGTCAGCTGTCAGCCCAGCGAATACAGCGTTCAGACGAAATTCAGTACCCTGGATCTTTTCAGTCTCGAGCCTGGTGATCAAAATTCCGATTTTCTTCCTTATCATAGGCTCCAAAGCCATCACAGATCGCTTGGAGAAGAAATTGTTGACTTTTCCACGGCGCATCCGGTGCTGTTCATGGCCGACCGTAGCAATCATCGAACCTGGTGCGGCAAAACCTGCTACAAACTGAGCGTCTTTCTCTCTTTTCTTGGCGCTTGGCGAATAGATCTCATCGTAGAAGAGTGGGTCCTTGATATGGAGTTCACGTGGATTAAATCGTACGACTGGGCCTATTTCCGTTGGTTAATGACGATAGCCTTGATTACATAGAATAAGCATGATCTAACCGTATTTGGCGTGCATCTTCTCAATTTCCCAGATATACATTCCATGTTTGAATAAGTCGAAGTAATATTCATAAAGAGGCGTGATGGCAGCTATCTTGGGCCCAGGGAATTTGCTCAACGGATGGAAGTAGAGATTGTAAATCACTCTCCAGAGTATATTCACGATAATGCATATTAAAAATGTACTGATGGCCTGAAAAGGAGATGGTGTGGTGCCATCTGTGAGGATCTTCGTTAGGTGTGACATGTATCTCTCCTGTCTCAAGGGGTAGAATGAGCAGAGTGTCGGGTCCTGAGAAATCTTAGATTTGAGAAGTGCCAGTGGTGTGTCTTACACAGTTGAGAAATGCTTGATTTTTCCTTTTGCATGAAAAGGAATATGGATGAGTCTGGGTCAGTGAGGGAGAGATGGCAACATTCAACAAAGGAGGAACATATTCCTTTGAACTTTGAGATCTTCCTGCTAGGGGTAAAAAATTCAACACCGAAGAGAGCCAAGAATTCCGGGGGCTTGATTGAGCATAGATCAGCAATCTCTACTCGCCTAATTGAAAATCCGCGCCGAAAACACCCCTTGCTGCAGCTGCCGAATGCTGAAAATGTGTATCTATTGTAATGGGGGAGAGCGATCTTCAGTGGAAAATTGCTTTGATTGGTCAGTTCTATAATAGTAGGCTAAGCTTCATTAGGAACGCCGGCAAATATGTTCGATTCGGAGATTTTGAGTATATTTAAAAAGACACTTCCCTAGTTTCGTCCTGTTCTGGAAAGAAACGCTTTGTATTCTATTATTTGGTGGTGGTTTTCACACGAGTCCAGACGCTATTCAACCCGTGCGTTATCAGCGTGCAGCTTCGAGCATCCTCCCCCGTCTTACTACCTACACGATGTTTTTCTTCGGGGACAAAGAGGGAATGAATTACTTGTGTGTAGACTAATGTCTGTCAGGTGGACTCATCGGCTAGATAGTCTTCCTGTTCACTCGACATGTGATCAATGCTTCTCTTTTTCCTTGATTGCTGACCGTATCAATGACCGTATCATGCACCTTGGTGATCTCTTTCACCCGCGACTTGCTTGGCTCTTGGTGACACAGCAGTAAGTTGTGGCCCCGCAGCTGGGTGGTGACTGCATGCCATGGAAGAATTAGAAAGTTCTATCAATGCCCGTAGAAGGTATTCGTGCCACCTGGGCAAATGCACTGACCGACTTTTCGTCGGTCAGTACACCTTTTTGTTTGTGAATTTTTTTTCCCCCTCTTTAGATACAAATAATCAATTTTCAACACTATTCACAACCTTTTTATACTATCATTATAAAAATCTATATAAAAACTCTCTCCTAAGACTATATAGACTACCTCTACCTTCTAAAATATCTTAGTTTACTTTTTGTAAGTAGTAGGAATAGTAATATACTACATATATAATGACTCATTGTTAGACGAAGATGTATGTATGATAGAACAAACAGCGTTCCTACTTCTCCTTAACCTCTCTCCTTGCATAAAAAGACTTTGGGGGAAATTTGCTGAGGTAAAAGCAATTTCACAGACCTCGGGATAAGTGGAGCTTGAACATCTCGGGTGGCGTTGATTTATGTAAGGTTTGATCTTCGCATTCATCACGGCTATATCTGTGTAACCACCATTGCAAGTTCGAAAATCTACTTAACCAACTATTATCTTGTCTAAGAGACCCCAGTTCTCTAACAGAGAGCTTGCGCTCATCATATAGTCATTCTTCAAATATCTATATTTTTCGCCGCTCAGTCACCATGACAAAGACCCCTTTTCAAACTCCTAGTGCCCGGTTACTCCAAGAATGCCGAGGTCAGGAGATTACCATCCCTAACCTTCTCGATCTCTGCCCAGGGTGGGAATATCGGCCGAGCCTCTTCACTGCTGATAAAGTTGAGGCTGCCCTTGACGAATGGCGAGAGGAGTGAGCACTGCTTGGAAATTTCATCTTACGTGGTGCAAAAAGGCCTAATAATATTCATTTTGAGATAGATGGATTACAAGCCAAAAATTGCTTAAAGACAATAAAAGAGCTAACGTATCCTTTCTTGCGCTGGGAACATTGCCCGACGCAGATCTCAGAAGCATCGTTACAATAGCCAAGTGGACTGCCTTCGTGAGTGCACCCAAGCTGAATTTGATGCATAAAAATAGAATTAAATCTCTGTTGAAAACCGATAGGTCTTTCTTTTTGATGATGGTATGGACTTATGTCTTGAATGGTCGCTCGTTAGAAATACATGCTCACCGAATCTAGCTCTGGATTATGACGAGTTCAAAGACATGGCTGCGGCTCGTGAGACATATTGCACCGAAGCCGTTAACTGCGTTAAACAATCTATGCTTGCCGAAGATGATATATATCGAGACTTATCTAGCATCGCTCCAGTTTACAAAACTGCATGCTCGTTCTATGAGATAGGTTATGAGATTCGACAAAAGATGAAAAATGGTAATTCGCTGGCGTTTTCTGTTATGATGCTCAAAATGGAGTCTGACTTCTTCTGCTATTCAGCAAATCTCCAGGACTGGATTTGCCACTATATAACCCACTATATCGACTCGGCTATTAACTTAGACACCCACAATGATACCGGCGAAATTCTCGAAGTTGATCGCTACCTTGATCTTCGAATGCACACTTGCGCAATATGCCCTTCTTTGGTTCTATACGTGTAAGATTCACGATTTTGTGTTATAGATAACCTGAGGGATAAAGCCATTAATTAATAGCAAAGCTATGCGTACAACATTGAACTCCCACGCTGGATTTTGGAGCACAATATCAGCCGTCGAATGATCAGACTTGTCAGCACCATTGGCGCCGTGTAATTAACCCACTGCATTTTCTTTCATATCGGAAAAAATCGCAAAATACTTACTCGAATGTTCTTTTAGAGACAATGATATGTACTCACTCAAGAAAGAGCTGGTGAGTCACTCTTATGATGTTCCTCTCCAAGAAGGTATTCTCATTACGTCTAAAGAATGCAGGACATGTAGACAATCTGGTTTGCATCTATGTACAGCAACACGGCTGTTCCGCTCAACAAGCAATCGACAAAGTCGTGAAACTAATAGAAGAGTGCTATTTGGAATTTCAGGCCTTGGAAAGCAACCTACTAGATCTAGTCCCTGCGGCACATGTTAGTGAGACTAAGCGTCTCGTTTCAGCATGGAAAGAGTGCCGTGCTGGGTTGGCTAGCTGGCAGTAAGTTTGTTGTTCAATTTATTGACTTTATAAACCAGATCCCACATTAATGAAGCGAATACTGACTTCAACAAAATAGCTATTCCACTAAGCGGTATTACGGAGATGTTGCTGGTAATGCCGGAGCTATCACAGTTCAGCTTTAATTTTCATACAGCTCTCTATCTCTTGTACCTAGCAGGTCTTGAATTTATGTCTTTCTTCCCGAGGTCGTATCTATGTAAATGAATTGTTTCTAGTTTATGTTAGTACGTCATACTAAAATATTTGAGTGAATTCTTATACTATAGTACGAACACTGGAACTTCGCAATATAGCTTTTAAAATAAGGCTATACTTTCTTGTTTGCCGTGCGCTATGTTTCCGGGGTCGAGCTATTTTGGCAGTATCGTGAAGAAGAAAGGATCATTTTCTTACCAGCAAATTACATAAAACGGATGCATGCGGAGGCAATGGAAGATCTAGCAGTCAGATATACCGGTGAGAGCAATATCCCCCGTTTCATCAGCGAGGGTGATGTCCTGTTCGCTTGGTGGGCACGAGTCGTTCTTCGGGCAGCTAAACCATCACCCAACCAGACAATCAACATGCGAAATACATACTGTTGCAGATCGCTTCTGGCAGATCTTGGCCATATTCCATCCGCTGGTTCCGCATTGGTAACCAACGCCGTCTTTACAACCTTGACTTTCCTCCTTGTTCACCAGGTCCTCGAAGAACCCTTGGGTTTCACCGCCTTCGAAGTGCGCAATTCTTTGGTTGACTATCGATATATGAATTGAAACCATCTTCATACAGCCTGTATTGTTTTCCTTGATGAGGAAGAATTTGCGTTGTTTGGTGTGTGTGTGGAGGGAGGTAGTTCAACACGAGCCAATCGGGTGGGCCGGGCCGATCTTCATTCCGAGAAGCTTCGCTGACCGGAACCCGTCCCGCCCCGCGTCCCGTCCTGGGCGGAGACCACCCTTTGAGAAAGGCCCACCAAGATGGAAATTTTTGAAACTCCTACTCCGTACATGCGCCCCTTCTCCTTCTTTCAAACACCCCTGTTCATACTCCACGTGATGAATCATGCTGAGTCAGAACAATTTCCCAGAATCCTTCCAAAGGTCAGGAAAGGAGGTTCACTCCAAGCACGCATCATCCGTGCTTTTCAGGGCGCTACCAGGTACCAATTGAGTTTTTGCATATCTTATCTATTTTTTCCAACTTCAGCCCTACCTTTGACGTGAATGGTGAAATTTTGTGTTCGAAATGGGTTTCTTTCAGAGCAGCTCTGAGGGGCCTGAGATATCCGTCCCCGAGATTTCATTTCAACAACACGCAGAACCCAGATCAGAGAAGACAGGGACTGCAGAGAAGGACATGGAGGAGCCCATAGAAGCCAATTGTGAGAACGAAGAAGCGCAGTCACCAAAGAAACCCTTGTCTTTCCACTTGGCATTCATTGGCCTCGCCGCCAGTCTTTTTGTCTTCCAGATGGACGCAACATGTCTGGGTATAGCACTGCCTGTAAGCCACCAAGATGCCTCTTTTGCTGTAAACATATTTCTTTGACCATGCAAAGTCTAACCCATATAAAAGACCATTGCCGAGGATTTAGGTGGCTCAAGTTTACAGTCTTTCTGGGCGAATCTGGCCTATACACTATGTGGCCTCTCCTTGCAACCAGTCTGGGCAAGTATCTCTGACGCATTTGGAAGGAAACCGCCTCTTTTTGTATCCATGGGATTCTTCTTTATTGGATCTATTGTTTTCTCCACTGCCAAAAACATGGACACGATCATTGTTGGCCGAGTATTGCAGGGACTTGGCGGCGGAGGAATCGACGTTCTCACCGAAGTTATTCTGGCCGATATGACAACCCTGCAGGAGCGTGCCACATACCTTGGCTTAATGGCCATTCCCGCAGCTATCGGAAATATCCTAGGACCAACTGTTGGAGCTCTGTTTGCTTCCTACACTGGCTGGCAGTGGATCGGATGGATAAATTTGCCTATTCTGGGGCTTGCTACAATATTACTGTTTTTCTTCCTTAAGTTACGGCCGGTCAAGCTCGACGACTCTCTTGGCCATACTGTGGTCCGCCTTGATTGGATTGGTATGATACTAATGATCATCGGTATCACTATCTTCGTGATACCTCTTAGTTGGGCGGGCTCTCTATTCCCGTGGGCTTCCTGGCAGACTCTTCTCCCGATGCTTCTGGGAGTTGTGGTGCTTTTTGGCTTCGGGTTATACGAAGCATACCCAGTATCACCAATCATTCCTCATCGACTCTTTTATTCTGCGACTGCGAATATGACATTGCTGGGAGTGTTCTTCCATGGCGCAATTCTAGTATCGCTTTTACAATATCTACCTTTGATATATCAAGCTGTGCAACTCCAAACTCCAATCATGTCTGCTGTATCCTTATTACCGACTGTTGTTACTAGTGTGGTATTTGCAGCTATTTCAATGATGATGGTCCCGCTTTTTGGAGGATATACGTGGCTCCTCCGGTTCTCCTGGGTCATCCTTACACTAGGTACTGGTCTACTTGCTTTATTCAAAGTAGGATCATCAGAATCAATGCGTTATGGACTTCCGATCTTGTGGGGAACAGGTGTTGCCTTACTCCGTCTAAGTATCCTTCCGATACAGGCGAGTGTCAAGGATATCAATGACACTGGGCTCGCGATCGCCTTACTGCTAACTATTCGCATGTTTGGAGGTCTAGTGGGGCTCACCATTGCTTCAACCATTTTCAATACGACCTTTTCGACATCGATCTCCTCCTCTTCGATAGAGCTTACCGGATCCCTGTCACCCCTTAAGGACGCTGCCAATGCTGTCAGTTTCATTGACAAGCTGAGGCTACTTGATATTTCAACTGCAACCCTTGATCCGGTCTTGAAAGTTTATCTCAAATGCTTCCAGACCATCTTTTATACAATGGCGGGCCTGGCTGGTCTTGGTCTAGTGAGCTCATTCTTTATTGCCGAGATTGACTTGAATCGGAAAAATCTTGGAGACCAACGGTTCGAGGAATAGTTGAATCCAATAAAATGGACATCACAGGCTACCCGGCTTGAAGCAGCTTGGAGTCCGCAGCTCTATTGAGTTGAAGATACAGTAAATAATTTCAATTTTGTTTTATTTGTTCTATAATTGCCATAGATTGTGGTTTACTTTCTAACAAGCACGTAATTCAAACATCATGGAGAAAAAGACATGTAAATATAATCTCCAATTGCTAAACATTCTCATAGTCAATAGTATCCCACTGCTTAGGCTGATTGATAACATCCTGCAACTGCTCCATAGCCCCCTGAAGATGATCTAGCCCCAGATACAATGCAAGCTCAAGATAATCCTTAGTGCACAACCCCGGCGAGCCACGCGGGTACTGCGACCGAAACCCAACAAATCTCTGCGCTCTCTTCGACAAAGCTTTTGCAGTTTCCAGCGTAATAATGAACGGATGTGCCTCTGATGGCGTCAAGAAACTCGGAATAACAGTAAGCTGGATACACTTCCGCTCCATCTCGGTCTTGTTCTCGCCCATGGCATGAATCACCTTCCCACCAATAAGCAAACAATCGCCCGTCTTCATCTCCGCCGGAATTGTCTGCCCCATGTTGCCATGCTGGTCAAACGGCCACTTATTGCTTCCAGGAATAAGTCGCGTCGCGCCCTTCTCCATGAATTCCGAAAATGCAAAGAGGAGGACTAGGATATATAGGACATTCCCTACGCACATGTATTTAGCTCTTCGCGATCAATCAATCTAAGTTACTACAGTATACCTTTGGATTGCTCTTCAGTTTCATCTCTTGTGACAAACATACTACAAGTAGGGGAGCTCTTCGGACTGACCTACTTGGTGCACTACCTGGCGCCTCCTTCGAAGTTACTCAATAGGATCCGAGTCCGTGTAAGGCTTAGCACAGCAACGGTACGATTGCGAGTCGATACTTGAGGAGTACGAGTGATAGATATCACAGACGACCAACGACGTAGAGAACAACTGGTAAGTTGTTTACCGACCTATCTAACCACTCACCGTGACCAGTTAGCAAAGCGTGTAACACTTATTGACTACTGTAAAAAATCTTAATCTATCTCTGATTGGCAGAGTTATAGGATTAATTTTCCCACAAGATCATCTTAATTAGTAGTATTTAGCTAAAAGGAGACTATTACCGAATTAAAAATTACTTCTCTATTAATATTAAATAGTTCGAACATATTTAGATCTAATTAGAAATTGTAGAAAGCTAGCCCTCTAGCTCTCTGGCCTTTAGCCTCTGTAGGAAGCAGTATACTAAGAAAGCTTAATGAATTATTCCTAGGAGCTTACGGACTGCAGCTAGAATTCTATAGGCTGTTAAGATAAATGTGTGTTTGCTCCTAGTAGCTAATATTGCTACATAAGCTTACGGCTGTTCATGATACATACCTTTTTTTTTTGATGTCCTATCTGAGGTATTCTAAAAATGGTGAGGGACTTTTGTGAGGGGTAGTAGTGTGTTGTGTTTTCTTGGGGTACTTAAGTCAGACTGCTGGCTCTTACGCAAGTAATGCTTAAAAAGCAAATTAGAGCACTTAGATCAGGCTTACTGAGCAGATTAGAGTGATCAGAGAGCTGCTTAGAGTAGTCACATAATGATTACTGATCCGCTCAGCACGCTTAGAGACATGCTCAGATCTACTTAGTAGGCAAAAGCGGCGCTCACTCAGCACCAAAATGGAAGGGGAAAGCCAAGACTTTGCATGGGAAATCCGGTGCGTAGGTGAATGAATCGTTTCTAATTTATATTAGTACGTCATACTATACTATTTGAGTGAATTCTTATACTATAGCACGAACACTGGGACTTCGCAATATAGCTTTTAATATAAGGCTATACTCTGTTATCAATTCCACTGGCGGCCCAATGGAATTGTTCTTCCGCTCATTGGGCCACAGTGCGAACATCATAGCACAATAATTCTTCCGAGACAGCGCAGGATAGTGCTTCCCCAAAGTGGAGCAAGGTAGTAGCGTAGGACCAATCATGTCGGGGTACTTATAATACGCAGCCTATGTGCGTGATTCCAGTCATTGTGAAGAATCAGTCCTCTACTCATGTATGAACTGTAGTATCTTAAATATACTAAATTGACTAATTTAAGCTTCTTCTTCTCTTCCGATAGAGCTCATTAATAGCTCCTCTCCAATGCCTCGATACGTGAACCATAGGTAACGTACAGACAAAGCATATGAGAAATTATTTACGAAGTATGGATCCTAATATATATATTACAACTAAATAGAATTTGGTACAGAATTGCCTAGCTTCGCCTTCTATGTCGGAGATACAGAGATACTCTTTCAAATCCTAGTCACTTTAACGATTAAAGCCTTCGGTGCCTGTGGCACATGCCTAAGCACATAACCTAGGTAGCCGCTTATATGTAGATAGTTACGATGGAAGCTTCTCTCCTTCTTCTCTTCTCTCTCTCTCTCTCTCAGCATAATACCTTCACTCAATACTACTGCTATCTTTCAAAGCATCTAAGTCCTTACAACTATTTTATAAAGCTTATAGTATCTTCATAGGACCTATAAGAATCGTGCTGAAATCCTTTAGGATACCTAGGTAGGATAGGATAGAACTAAGTCTTAGTCCTATAGGATATCATTGGATGGGACGTGTGCAAAGGTCTAGTCCCATGAGTCCTATATACACAGGTCTAACTCTGGCAGAGCTTGCATAACGTTTTGATGAAAAGAGTTTGATGGAAGCCCTGGAGGGCAACTTGAAAACTGCAGGCTTCTTGGAATATCAGGTAAGGGAAGGTATACCTAGGTATTGTAGTATACAGCCAAAGTATACAAGAATTGGAAGATTCATTTATGTGATCCGAATCGCCCAGTCCCGAGGTCTATCAAACCCGCTTTGAAGGCTTGAACAAAAGCCTCAGATGTGATGACTAGGAGGATGTTATTGGCGCGCATGCGTCTTTGTTGAAGATTTTGTCCGCTGGCAGTAATGGTGTCACTCTTGAAATTGTGAGATTTTGGAGTGAGGTTGTATAATATTGGTAACTATTATGTACAGACTCCAAGGTTGCTCGGTACGATGAGCCTCTGTCCTGGTTTTCCTAGTAGGTAGGAGTACAAGTCGGACCGAGAGAATCTAGATACAGACTCAGCAATCCACCGGTATATGCTACTACTAGTACTTCTGCCTATTGGAAGTACTAGTACTAATGCGATGTGAAATGGCATCCAGCGTGACCTGTGCAATGCCCCGGTGTGACCTGGGAATTCTCTCAAAATGAAGGGCTGTACACCGGCACCTCTCAATCCTATATGAGCAATCAGCGTTCCAAGGTTGATTTTTGGTGAATCTGAACCTGCACATGGGCAGGTAACTAGCAAGGCTCTTATTCAAGCTTCAAGTTCAAGTTCAAGTTGCAAAGGATATTATTACAGTATAAACAAAATACTAGTACTCAAATACAATCATTTTCCATCACCCCAATTCCCCACACCCAGTAAGCCCATTCCAGCACTTCCCTGGCACATTACAACGCCTTCTTACCTTCATCCTGACGCTGCTTCTCAACGACATACCCAACAGCCCGAGCAATGCCCTCATCAACAGGCACAACAGGAAGATAAGCGAGACGAAACTTCGCCTTCTCAATAGAATAATACCGCGTCATGCACGAGTACCGCACAACCCGCCTCGTCAGTCTCAGGAGTCTTCCCCATAAGACCAAGCACAGCCTCCGCAACGCCCCCAACAACACCCAACAACCCCTCAGGCAACGACCACACCTGCTCAGGCTCAACAACCCGGTCAATAAGCGCCCACATACCGCGCGTCACGTCCCAGAAATAAACAGGCGTGTCGTTGGTGATGTTGAATGCCTCGCCGTCGACGCGCTCGTGGTCTAGAGGCCCGCTTTGGCCCGCATCGTACCGCTCGTAACTGGCTAGTAGTCGGAATGCGGCGAGCATGTGTGCGTAGGCGACGTTGCCGACGTAGGTGAAGTCGAAGAGGTTGTCGTTTTCGCCGAGTTGCATGCGGAGGACGGTGTCTGAGGCTGCGGCGCCGTGTTCCAGGATCTTGTGCGTTACTGTTGTGTCTTTTTCGCCGTGGATGCCGGCGGGGCGGATGGCGGCTGTCACCATTCCTGTTGGTGATTGGCGGTTGTACTTTAGGACGATTTCTTCGGCGTCGGCCTGGTGGGTGTTAGTTTTTGGTCTTGGTGTGAGAGTATTGCCGTTGTTGGCATTGTGGTTTATGCGCATACCTTGGTCTCGGAGTAGTACTCCTGTTGCAGCTTGCCTCGGATTAGGGGCCACTGCTCGTTGACATTGATCAGGTCGCTCTGGGTATCGTGGACGACGGAGCTGGAACTGGTGTACACGAAGGCCTTGCACTTGCCGCCCCAGTCGCCGTGCTCGCCGCCGGCAACTTGGAGTAGGGTACGTGTGCCCTCCACATTCACCTTGTACAGCAGGGGCTTGTTGCCATCTAGCACGGAGGGGGTCGCGGTGTGGATCACGACGTTCGGCTTGGCGGCGCGAAAGACCTCCAGCATGGACTCGACGGAGGTGATATCGCCTTCATAGTAGGTCGCGCCGGGGAGGCGGTTGTGGGAGGTGCGCAGGTCGACGACGGAGACATTGGCCTTGTAGGTTGGGTAGCGCGAGCCTAGGGTTGGGAATTCGAAGCGCGTGTCGTTTTGGGGCTTGGGGAGGGCGACGCTGGGGTCGGTTTCGGAGGGGAAGTTCAGGAGGTGGTCTACCACGTGCCAGCCCAGGAATCCACAGCCGCCGACGACGAGAACATTGCCCAATTCGATATTGCGCTGGTGGGCTGCCATTGTTTTGGGTTGGATATTTTTGAGATCGGGATGAGGAAAAGGGGAGTTGGATTGGATTGGATTGGAGGTGGGTTTGATGGGGTGCGGTGCCCACCTCCGGCCAGGTGGCACGTGCGCCAGGCTATCTACTGCCAAGCGGCTTATTTAGTAGTACTAGTTCATATAGTATAGCATGGTATAACGCATATGATATTACTTCTGGACTGTTTAATGAAGATGGAATTCTTGTATTCAAGGCTAAATTCGTGGACAATTCATAATTCGTAAGCAACTCGCAACTCCTATCACAGGAGGTATTCACCATTAACTATCTCAACGAGATAGATCATCTTAGCCCACAACTCATAGCAAAGGTGTATTGAATGACAATCAACCTAGATTTAAGCCAGCTCAGATGTACAGCTATTGAGGTAGACGTCTGCCGAATATTAGCTGACATGATTCAAAAAGGGGATATGTATTGCCCACTCCGTAGCCTCCGAAATGCTAGCACGAAGCTTTCGATTGTAGAGCCTCTGCTCTTCCTTAGAACCCCAATAAAGCCTAGTCGCTTCTGGATTCACAGTCATAAGGGGGTTGTATGGCGGTGATTCATCTTCTAGAGTGGTGATGATTCCTTCGATATGGCGCGACATTTCTTCCGCACGTGCCGGGAGATAGATCAAAGCACCCTTGGGCGAAACACGGATGTGGAATATTGGAGTCTCAAAGAACACCCGTGGCTGCTCGACCGGATGGCGAGGACTGATGTAGATCTTGATCCGCAAAACTCCACCATCGAACCTGGTCATTGGTCGGCCGAAGTACGTCAGTCGCCATAGAAAAGGGTTGTCGTTAACCATCTCCAGCTCAGCCATCGACTCCGTGATGCGGTGTATTTGAGGCACAATCTGGCCATGCTGTCCACGAAGGTTGACTGCAATACCAGCATCTTTGGCAACCAGATCAACTCCTTCCGCAGGCCATAGGAAGGTTTCCTCCATCAGCCTCGTCTCCAGGGTGTTGAGGCGTTTCCGAAGGTCTTGGTAGTCCCAGTGGCCTCTCATCTCGTTCCCTCCACTCTCGAATCGGGTTAATGGGAATTCCACCTTGTCTCGCTTTTGGATCGAAATATGCTGGCTTTGTTCTTCGATCGTTTGCTTGTATTGTTCTAGGTACCATATGAATCGCTGCTTCATGTAGTCATCAACTACTCCTTGGTGCCAAGTGAGAGTCGACGAACTCGCTTCTGGTCCGAATTCTTCACTCAGCTTCAGTATTCTTTCCAGTGGGTCGATCACTGTGAGTCGTAAGTTTTCGTGGCAGATCTGTATTCACTTGTGTCAGTTCCTGCCCGTGGTTTCAAATTTCTTTCTAGGGTCCAGCTCTCACTTTTGAATTGTAATCTTGGACGTGTTTGTCTTCGGATTCGAGTTTGGCTTTTTCGAATCCCGGCTCGTTGTAGTAAGGATCTGTGGAGAGCAGGCTCTGGATTGACAGTAATGCTGACTCCAATCCTTGTGCGGGTGACCATTGCTCGCCAGATTTTCCAGGCCATGTTCTGTCGCGTGTCACTGTATCAGTATTGTCCTTGCATTGGCGACAAACTGGGACCTACCCAAGAATAGACCTGTGAGGTATGCCAGTGGTTAGAATGGAAGATCGCCTGTAACAATTTGAAACTGAAAACCTACAGGCAAACCTTTCCGCTGGCGTAAAGATTCGGCCCGAATCTAGTCTGGCCACGATTTGTGGTTTTGATGGAGACTCTCGGTGGCTTGGCGGGGTATTCTATATATACCTGCGTCAGCCAGGATCACGACACGGGGGAGTGGAGACACCGTGACAAACCGGGAGGGATTTTGATCGCGAACTGTAGTTGTGATTAGGGAGATGTCTCAAAGATGAAGGGAATTAGCGACATACTTGGTAGAAACCATAGGCGTAGGGGGTGCCGGGTGAGCCAATCATCAAGGCCCAGATGTCGCAGATGTCGCGCTCATTGTAGTGCACCGTCATGGCTGTCCTCAGAATTAGCAGGGAAGAGTGTTCTTCGTTCAATGAGAAACCAGTATTTTCTGACCAAGAGAGTCACCATTCTGCAAGAGTCGAAGCTCCTATCACGATAGGTCAGTGGGGCTCATAGGATTGCATGGGTTATGGATGGTGTATTTACCCGCATCAAGCGGAGGGTGCACTGGTCCCCCATGGTGTTTTGCGATGGAAATGTGGATAGAGCGGTTGACAAGGAATAGCTTGAAATGTTAGAAAAGGAAGAGAGGATAAATCATGGTGGTAGGTGAGTATGGTGAAGGTAAAGACAAAGGGTGGCAGTAGGAAGTAAAGAGAAGAATGGGAAAGGGAAAGGGAAAGTGAGGTGGTATTGACTTGGCGCAGTCAAAGATTAAAGTCAAGCGAGAAAATATTAAAAAACAAACGAACCCCTGATCAAAACTATCTGAACACACATTAATGTTAAGTCAAGTTGAAGAATTGACGTCGTGTTAACATCAACCATTAAAGAAAAAGAGTGGGTAGGTTTAGTCCAAGGGTTCACTATTGCGGGGCCGTGGTTGGTGGTGGTGGTGGAAGTAGGGAGTAGTAGAAGTACTAGTAGCAGTAAGATACTGGTTAGTACCAGGACTATTAATGCAGAAAATTGCAAAAATTACAGAAAACATACATAAACATAACTGGACTATAGGGAGTAAATACTAGTAAACGATGTATATACTACCAGGTATACTTCTACTAAGGTAGTAATACCTAGGTAGTAACATACTCAGGCTCTCCCGCCCAGCCTTGCTATAAAAAGACACTTAAGATGATCAACACAATACCACCACAAATGGTGTATTGAGTGATTGTATATATCCGATACCGTTTATAAGTAAAAAAAGAATCTTCTTAAGATAATAACAGCCACAGTAGTCATACAAATGTCCTGTTTGGTGGTTATTTCTCTCCCCCAGTAGATCCTCACGTGACCATCAATAGGGGGGCATCTCCATCCTAAGATGTTCATGTTCATTTCCACTCCCAACTCCATCTCCATCTTCATCTCTGTCTTGCCCTACTCTCCTCCCACCCACCCCTCTTTGATCCTTCTTTGGGCCCTTTTTCTCCGCCCCACATTCTCACCAACACTCGTCTACCCGCGCATGGTGGTGATCTGTCGTGCCGTGCGCCCGCTCTCGAGAGCTCCCCTCGATCCCCCGCGTCCAACTAGCTTGTGCGCGCTAAAAGAGGACCCTTCCTCTCCGGCTGAAGTCCTTCTCAATACCCACCTCAACCTACCTTCTGATCTAAGGTGACCACTCTCCCATTCGGCCTAATTCTCGCTCCCTTTCGACCTTCGATCGTCTTTGTTCTCGCGCTCCAAGTGGGTGGCTACATGGCGTAAAGTGTGAGTAAACGCTGATGTGGGACCCTTCGAGAGACTCGGCGCCTCTGCCAGATCCACGCTCTTCTTGCTAACAAGACCCTCTTTTTCCTAGAAATAGTACGCGCTCAACTTCTGTCAATTCTCTTTCTCTATTCCCATCGCGCTCTCTCTCCCCCTCGCTGTTCCCTCTCGATACAATATACCCAGTGTTTACTTGACACTACCCGACCACTCCCCCCCCCACCGTCTCTCGGATTCCCTTGCATGCCATCTCCGCCCTTCCACCGCTTTTGCGACTCGATCATATTGATTCTGAACGGGGGACCATCATGCCCCCCCGGTGAACTTCCGGCTAGCCTGGTCGCAGGCAAGCCCCACCCCACGCTGAACACCTCCTATGGAGGCAGCTACCTCTCCAAGAACACACCAACCTCCCCCGAGGACAGCCTGATTCCATTCGACTCTCCAACTACCCGCACCGCAGGGAATAGCCCGTTGAATCATAGCCCATTGAACAACAGCCCGCTGGGTCAGGATGATGTTCGCTCAGGTCGTGGTCTCGAACCCGAACAGCCTGGTTATCGGGACCGCTCCGGAGCCCGTGATCGTTCGCGCACCAACGGGCGACCTCACAACAAATCTCCTGGCTCATCTCGGTTATGTCAGAAGTGCAACGAGCCGTTGACCGGCCAATTCGTTCGAGCTCTCGGTGGTACCTTTCATCTGGAGTGTTTCAAGTGTGATGTAAGTACACTCCATGGGGGACGATACGAGGGTTGAAATTCTGACCACAAGCTGACTGTACTCGAATTTTAGGACTGTGGTGAGATTGTCGCCTCCAAGTTCTTTCCCGTCGACTCTCCAGATGGCAGCGTCCAATATCCCCTCTGCGAAACCGACTATTTCAGACGTCTCGGGTTGCTTTGTCACGACTGCGGCGGTGCACTTCGTGGATCCTACATAACAGCTTTGGAACGCAAGTATCATATAGAACATTTCACATGCTCAGTCTGCCCGACGGTATTCGGTGCTCAAGATTCGTACTACGAGCATGAGGGCAAGGTGTACTGTCACTTCCACTACTCCACTCAGTTCGCTCAGCGCTGTCACGGCTGTCAAACCGCCATCTTGAAACAATTTGTCGAGATTTTCCGCAACGGCCAAAATCAACATTGGCATCCCGAGTGTTACATGATCCACAAATTTTGGAATGTGCGGCTGTCACCCGCTGGTCAAACGTGGGAGCCTCCTCCAGTGGACGTGGATGCCAGCCCGGAAGAACGTGAGCGTATTCGCCACGAAGAGGACACAATGGAAGAGAAGGTTTACAACATTTGGAGCACACTTTCAACCTTTGAAGAGTCCTCGGCTGCTTGTATCTCCGATATGCTCCTGCATGTTAGCAATGGGGCCTATATCGATGGTGTTCTCATCGCAAAACGCTTCATTGGTCATGTGGAGATTCTTTTCGGTGCTGTTGATGAATTGGCCAACTATATCAGATCCCAAGGAGTAAAAGGTCAGCTGACCTGCCATTTATTTCGTCACTTTCCGTCTTTCATGCTAACCCGGTTCCCTTAGATCTTTCATATGGCCGCGAGGCGAAACTTCTTTGCAAAAAGATTGTTGCTTTCTTCTCTCTCCTGTCCAAAACACAAGAGACCGGTGTTCGAAAGCTTGGTGTCACCCAGGAGCTACTTTCCCTGGTGACTGGACTCGCCCACTATCTCAAACTCCTCATCCGTATCGGTCTGCAGGGCGCTCTGAAGCTTGAGCGTGAGATGTCAGCCGCTGATGGCCTGCACAGTTTCCTGGGCCACCTTGGAGATTTAGAATCGCTCATTCCGCCCGAAGATGAGGATCAACCAATTGACCTTACAGCCGGAGTTGAGGGTCTGGCTGACCAGTTGTCTGATTGCTGCATTTCTTGCAAGGAGCCTATCGACGATGAATGCGTTCTTTGGGGAGAGAAGAATCGCTGGCATCTCAAGCCGCCCCATCTGTCCTGTTCCTCATGTGACAAAGACTTAAGCATCGACGTCTCAGACGCTTTGTGGAGCGAAGATAGAATGCTCGCATACTGCTCCGGGTGTGCTGACCAACAAAACCTCGGTTCGAGTGTCCAAGGCGGTTTCATCCAAGTTTCCAAGTTGCAGCAATTCGTCTTCCTGCTGAGAGTTGCCCTTGCCCGTCTTCTCGCCGTGCTCCGCGCAGGCGGAACCCTGCCTCAGTCTGGTAAGTGCCCTGTTTCCCACTGAGCATGTTACTCAAGTAATTCCCACTAACAAACCCATAGATGATCCTAACTTCGAGAACGAGAGCAGAGATGGCGCACGAGCTCTGCCTTCTAATGCTCGCCACTCGTACGTTCGCCACTCTATGTCTCACGGCGCTGGTGGGCCTCGCGATGGCTTCGAAGAGTCTTCCTTGGAACAAACTGTTGGTGAAATGCGCCGCCTGCGCTCAATTCGCAACGAGCGCGCCCTCTCCACAACCTATAAGAAGGCTCGCGCCTCACGGATAATCGACGGCCCCGAGGGCAGAAGTGCGCGACCTGGATCATCAGGTAACGATGGGAGTGGCCCCAACGGACACGGCTTTCAGATCGTCGAAGAGAGAGATGCCAACGGCGAGACAGTCAAAGATCTGACATTTGGCAATCAGGATGCACTCACATTGGATGACATCCCACGCATTGTTGCCGCGGAGCAAGCCAAAGAACAGCGCCCTAATGCATATAGACATGCCGGTACCAAACTCGTTGATGCAGGTGAGCCCATGGCTAGGTATAGGCCTAGTCACGGGCGTAACATGTCTGACGGCAACATGAACAACTTGTTGGCCGAGCCATCCACTCGGAATAAGCGTTACTTCTCGGAGCTTAGCGCTTTAGAGTACTTTATCGTCCGTCATGTTGCTGTTTTGTCTATGGAGCCGCTGCTGGAAGGTCAGTTCTCTATGGAGGAGCTGCTTTCTCTAATCGAGTCCCGGAAGCCAACGGCTTGGGGTATCTTCGGCCGCGCATTCAAGGACGAAAAGAAGAAGGGCAAGAAGAAGGGTGTCTTCGGAGTTAGCCTGGACTCCTTATTGGAGAAAGAAGGGACTGAATCCAGCCACGGTGTGGGTCCGGGTGCTCTGCGGATCCCAGCTGTCGTCGACGATGCGGTGTCGGCAATGCGCCAAATGGACATGTCCGTCGAGGGTGTCTTCCGAAAGAATGGAAACATCCGACGACTGAAGGAGCTATCTGAGATGATCGACAACAGATATGACGAAGTCGATATGAGCAAGGAAAATCCAGTCCAAATTGCGGCCCTCCTGAAGAAGTTCCTTCGTGAGATGCCCGACCCACTGATGACCTTCAAACTTCACCGGCTGTTTGTTACGGCACAAAGTAAGTAGCCACGATCTAATCCGTATCTGATATTTTACTGACCTGTTCGCTAGAATTGCCTGATCCCGAGAAGGGCAAGCGAGTGCTCCACCTTGCATGCTGTCTTCTGCCCAAGGCCCACCGTGATACGATGGAAGTTCTCTTCACTTTCTTGAACTGGACATCATCCTTCTCCCATGTGGATGAGGAGTCTGGAAGCAAGATGGATATCCACAATTTGGCTACTGTGATGACCCCTAACATCCTGTACCCTAACACTAAGAACAGCACGGTGGATGAGAGTTTCCAGGCCATTGAGGCAGTCAACGCTCTTATCACGTACAATGATACCATGTGTGAGGTAAGTAGTAGCTCGACCTTTAAGAATGAGGTTCTTTTCTTTCTAACATTTTTCCAGATTCCGGACGATCTCCAAGGCATTCTGAGCGACCCAACGCTTTTTAAGGAGAACGCCAAAGTCACGACGAAGGAGATTCTCAAGCGGTACGGAGACATTGCTCGTGGTAGCTTCTCCCCTCGGCCAGAGAACGGTGGTGAGACTTTCACAATCACCAATTCTAACCGCAACAATACCACGCCCGCCGCTTCGGCCCGTATTGAAGGCGATCCGTCCCAGGATGCAGCCTGGCCGGTGCAAAGCTCGGTTCGACACGTTGGAGGGCCCAGCCATTCTCACTCGAATAGCAACGCCCCGCAAGCGCAAACCGGATTTGATTTCAACCCCCCCGCAGCCTGCCTACCATCGTGAACGCAGTGGCAGCAACGGCAGCCAACCGTCTGACGGACAACAGCAACAAAACCTTTCATATCGGACTCGACCCGGTCAAGGCGCTATGGGTGTTACTGGCTAGGCTTGTGTTTTCGTTTTTTTCTTCGTTCTCGTCTGCTTTCTGCACAGCTGCAATTCTGATACACCATTCATCGATGACCTTGATTCGCATCAATCAACCTGGCGCCATACCTGATAGTCCGTGGTGTACTTCATTTCCCTATTATACTTCTTCGGGGGCTTGATTAGCGTTTTCTTTCTCGTTCTCTTTCTTGTTTCTCTTCATCTCGACTGACAGGCTTGGTTGACGGAGTTCTCTTCTTTTCTCCTTTCCCTTTTCTTCACTCTCCTACCTGCTCTCATACCTGATACATCAAAAATTCCCCAAAAGTGATCAACGAGCTGATTTTCTCCGATGGATTGGTGTCTGTGGCTCTCCATCGTTTACCCTTTTACCCTCACGCCAAGACTGCGTCCTCGTTTTTTTCTTTTCTTTTCTTTTTCTGTTTCTTTCTCTTTCTTCTTCTTTTTCCTATTCTCCGTCTCTGCATCTGATTCTGGGGATCAGCCTCACCATACCCACTCCATTCCATACCTTAACTACTCACAATGGAACCCATCCATCCTGCTTTCATTTATTGGCCGCCTGGCACATTTTCTTCACTGCTCATTGCTGGGCCAGGGCTCCGGGTTTACCTTGGTTCTTTTTCTTCTTTTCTTGTCTAGCTTCGCTTTTTATTTCTTTTTATTTCTTACTTCTCTCTACGGCTTCTTTGCTTTCTCCTCCGACCTAGCGGTTATATGGTTGAGGCACCCCTTTCCCTTTCCCGATTTCCTTCTGTCGCTTTTTTTTTCTTACTTGCTCGTCAATCAGCATGACTGCAATGATACCTGTGCTGAGTCCAATGTAGCTGTCGCCTTTGGTTATTGTCTTTTTGCTTTCCTCTCATAGCTTTAGTGATGGCATGTAGAGTTGCTGTGGTAAATAGTAAATACTACTAGTAGCTTCTCAGCTGTGCTTGTTTTTGTGTGTAGACTGTACCCTCTCTAGCAATAGACAGTATCATGTTCTGCGTAGCACTTTCTGACCTTTGAATCAAAGATTCGTCCAGAAGTTCCAAGATCCAAGAAGTCGAGATGTGCAATGTAGTTTTCCCAACACGCACCTTCGCACTATCCCCACCCTCAAGGGGGTGAGCGGCCCACACGTGATCCACTCAAGAAAAGAAAAATTCACGCAACGCAAGGTTAACAATTTTCAATATTCGTCATGGTTTTCTCGCAAGATTTCAAGACTGAATAGTCCATTTGCAGTCAAGCCATTTCCTCATTCCCCGTCCTTCGTGGACGAACAGCAGTCTAGTGCCTCCGGGATGTGAACAAAGCAAAACAATCGAGCAAGAGTGACCAAGTTCCCTAATCCAGTTAAGAACTCGGCTGCTGGTATACCGATTCAAGCCACCTTATTATCTAATCTTAACGCCCCTATGGCCTAGTGGTATGGCATCGTTCTTATGTTGGTATCCCCTCAAGGAATCAATATGAACTTGGCTAGCGAAGTGCCCCGGTTCGATCCCGGGTGGGGGCATTTTTTACCTCTTTTCTATACGAACTTGATTTATTTTTGTATCTTGTATTACTTTCGCTTTGGATTTTGAACTCGTTGGCCAGAATGGTGTCATTTCATACAAATTTTGTAGAACGAAGAAGAGTCATACATGGATGGCGGGGGTGCGGATCTATTTAGCTTCCATGAAGCTCAGGGAACGCTGTTGGTGATTCTTTAATACCTATCAATCATTACCTGCTCTCACCTGGGCATCATGCTTAACACGCTTATTTCTTGATTATGCCGACGATGATGACATTCAGACGCCTTCGCAAGTTTTGGCCCGCTTCCCTTTCATAGTATAGTACACGCAATCTATCTTCGAGCGGATCGAGAATTCCACCATTGACGTGCTGGCCACGTCAAAGCACCCGCCATATCATACGCCCAACCAGACCATCCCCGTACTTGCACAGCCGTATTAACAGCCGTCAGCATCCGCCGAGTAAAGATATCCGCAGGATCCATGTCATGTAGATAGCACTCCCAGACCGGTCCCTCTAGTTTCTGGGAACCATCTCCGCTCTCAGGGTATTCGGGCCCAACGCCGCCAGTCGAAGGATCAAGCTTCAATTTCGGCCCTGTGACTAGCGATCGACCTATACAATCCCTATCCGCAACCAAATATGACGCTGCATCGACGACATCCTCGCTTTTTCCCAGCGGACAGCCTGCCAGCAGCGCTCGCGGTGGCGCTTGCATGAATGGGGTATCGGTGTAATATGGACAGACAATGTTCACCCGCACGCCGGCGCTAATCGGAGCTGAAATGCGCAGACACCGGAATAATCCCAGAATTCCGTGCTTGGAAACGGTGTACGGCGCTTGTGTCATGAGCGGGTGTAAGCTTGCGACAGATCCAAGAAGAAGGATATGTCTATCTCTTCGAGATTGATTCTCCGAGTCCGGGGCACTGGCACTGGCACTGGCACTGGCACTGGCAACATCGCGACAAGGCTTGGAGTCGGGATTCTTCGGTAGAAAGAACAATGCCAAATGCACTGTGTACATCACACCGGTGATATTAACATCAAGGGTGTTGAAGCTTGGAGCCGGCGGGCTTGGATCATTCAGGTAGTCGACCTTGGGATTTTCAAAGACACTAGCCTCGCGTGCATCGTTGATACCTGCGTTTGCGACGACGGTGTCGATTCCGCCGTGCGGACTTAAGCGGAGGGATTCGCGGAAGAAATTCACTTGCGATGTCCATGATGTGACGTCCAGTTGGATGAAATGCACGTTCGGGTTCTGCGTTTCTTGTCGGATTCGTGCTGTGACTTCTTCTCCGCTTGGGTTTATGTCGCCGAGGATCACGGTGGCGCCGGCTGCGGCCCAGCGTGTGCCAAATGCAGCGCCGAATCCTGATGCGCCGCCGGTTATGAGGATTGTTCGGCCTTTTATGTTGGCTGGATCGTAGCTGAGGTCCATTTTGAATTTATTTGAGACTCTGTTGCCAAGGAGGATAAAGGACAGGTGCTGTGGGTCTGTTGAGGAGCGATTTGATAGCAGGACCCAGGGATGAAGCGTGATAGTAGAGGTCACAAGTGATTATTCAAAGAGGGTTCTGGAATGGATGAATCAATAACGAACAGATTCATGCCAGTGTTCAGCTCAACGAGTCTGGAGGTCAAATGTTTGAAGTGGGTCCCTAGCTCCGAACTCAATGACGGCCTCGGTGGGATTGGCCAGAGTTACGATTCACCGATATGTTGGGGCTGGATGATGGGGTGAAAATTAGCGATCTCACACTCAAACCCCCCTAGTAGGTTCTTATTTCCTTTTTTCAAAAAAATAATAATGATGGGAGTATTGACACACGGGCTGTGCAGAGGGGAAGGACAATTAATGACAGGCTTGCTAAGGAATATTCTTACGAAGCTACGACGCTGGACCCTCGACATCTACGGTTATGCCATGCCAAGGTACCTAGGTACCTAAATGCTCGTTGGGGTTAGTGTGAAGGCCATTTTGTAGATCTCTTTCGGATATTGCTAATTATAACGCCTCGGTTGATACCTAATTTTTAAGGCTATTGAAACACCTGCCCAGGTGATCGGCGATTCTAATCAGCCTTGCGGGTTCAATCTTCAATCTTCGACTACTCATCACAAATCGCAAACTCGTGCATTTAGTTGGGTTCATTGGAAGAATACGACAAGAATTGAACCAATGCATTAATCACTAAGGATTTATATCATTCGTTGCTCCTCATTTTGCCACGTGATATCTGCCCCGCCTGAACCAGCCGATTGAATTGCCATTCTTGCACTATCCATCATCCCTTCCACTCATGCAGTGCCCGATGCTAAGATGCCGGAGGATCTTTCGATCCTTCAAGATGAAGAAATTCAAGCCAAACGACCAATCCGATCTCGAAATGGGTGCCTGACGTGCCGCCGCCGCAAGAAAAAGTGCGATGAGAGCCGCCCATCCTGCGCAGGATGTCAACGTAATCATCTGGAATGCCAGTGGGAGTCTAGTGACTCCCTCCTGAAGCCAAGAAGACGCTATAGAAGACCAAGTCTGGCCGAAAACTCAAACTCGCTACCTGAAGAGATACAAAGGAGGATGAACATTTTCTTTGTTCTGACGCCAGACCTTGTCTATCGTTTGCTCGGCCACTTTCTTGACGATAGCCCGAAATGGTTATCGACAAGAACAGGCTCGCGGAGGACTGACTACTTGAAATGGTTATCCCCTGCCATATCGAACAGTCCTCTGGTCTTGAATTGTATTCTCGCTATAGCCTCGGCAGATCTGCTCAAATACGACCGTGGCAGCCGGGAAATACGTCGTGTTGCTGTCGAGTACTACGGAAAAGCAGTTTCTGGTCTCAGGACCGCAATCAATGATGAGATGGCTATTGCTTCACCCTCCTATGCATTTGCCCCTGGTACGAATCATCATTCTCATGTATTACAGTCACTATGCTAATATGCGCCCACAGACTATACGCCGCTTGCGGTCCTTTTTACTATGCGTGCACGAGGTATGCAAACATAGCTCCCAGTTTGCTCTGCTACAGCTCTCCTGACTGGCATTTATAGACTCAAAATTTCACGGAAAGTGAGAGAATATTGCCTCATCTCAACGCAGCGGTATTTCTACTACAAAATCGTATCTCTCACCGAAGTACAGATATCGGCATGCGGGGCTTCCTATTTGAGACTTTCTGCTATTTCTTTTCTCTCGCCTCGTTTTCACTCGGATCCAAGCTACCTCTTTTTCAAGCCTCTCGCATATTTAATGAACCAATGGTAATCGAACATCTTCGAACTGGTCATATAATGGGAACTTCACAGCACTTATTCATCGCTATTTACCGCGTCTCGAGCCTCGCTCAAACGCTGACATCTGGAAACCCCAAAGAAGTATCTGTTGCCACATCCGAACTTGCGTCATTAGATGAAGATCTGGCATCCAAGCATCCAAGACCAGACTTCGGTCACAACATGAATATCGAAGACCTCAATGACGCCGTGACATCGGAATTATATCGCCTCGCGTGTCGGATTCATATCAAGAAACTTCTTGTCTCGTCTGCGCCTGATGAAGAGTCCGCAGTATTCTCAATGGTCGAAGATTTCATCGATAAATTGCGACTTTTGCCTTCAAATTCGCCGTCACAAAGTATCCTGAGCTGGCCATTGGTCGTGGCTGGATTTTCAGCGACGACTAGCGGACAACAACGGATCATCGTCGCGAAATTGGCTCAGATACACGACGAATGGCAATCTGCTATATTTTCCAAAGGCGCGGCATATCTTCAAGAGAAATGGCGCCGCGACAAATACCTGAATCATTGCCATCATGATTCGGATAGTACTTCAAGTTCAACCAGATCTCGGCAGACATATGATGAGATTAGAACAACCTGGGAGAAATGCCCGGTCATTTTAGCCTGATGTTTTCGCAAACCTCAGTGCATGAACTCTCCAGCTTCAATTTTGTATATAGACTTGAAAAATCGGCAACTTGAATTATCTGGCCGAGGGTTATTTCTTATATTCCGCTGGAACTTCCTTGAGACCTGCCTTTCACATCTCGATCCACAGCGCGGCTATTACTTTCTGAAAATGGTTAAGGCCTTAGACTAATCTTCTCCACCGAATATTATGTGGTTGGATGGGATAGAGCCCCACTTGGAATGGATCCAAGATTCCCCAGATCAAGACCTTCTGGTGAAAAACGGTAAAATCCTTAGAAGACACGAATGGTGCCTTTACAATTTCTGTCCAGCTGTGTTCAAGTTCAACTGCCAGTGAATCCCAATAGTGACCCACTGTGGATCTCTTCAGGGTCTCCCTCCTACATAAATTGAAGATTCCCGTCGCTTAATTCAAAATATTTGCGATTTCGTTCTCCTCCTACCGACGCCATGCTTTCGAATATTGACGAGGATGAGAACTTGGCACGCATGCAGCGAGGGGAGCTATACTACGCCTTCACGCCAAATTTAGTTGCTGCGCGCAAAAGATGCGGGCGAATTGTCGGTCAATTGAATCGCGCAGGCGATCTTTCCCGACGAGAGTTGGCAGAGTATTGGAAAGGGTATGTTTTGTCTCGTTCCTAGAATGGAAAGCCAGTATTTTGTCGCGAAATTCTCAACTTGATGCCACGATGAAGGATTGGCTAAGGATGGGTTTGGAACTCACTAACCATGTATAGAATTACGGACGATCCTCGACCTCTACCGGCACCAGGTTTAACAGACGAAGAAGAGGACGCAATTCTCCATGAATATCCCTGGATTGAACGACCTATCAACATTGACTACGGAACCAATATCAAAGTCGGCAGCAACGTGTTTATCAACTTCAATTGCACTTTTCTCGACACATGCACCGTCACCATTGGAGCGCGCACCCTCGTCGGGCCAAATGTGTGTTTCTTCAGCGGCACGCACCCTTTAGATCCAGATTTGCGCAATGGTACCAACGGACCGGAGCTAGGTGGTGATATCACGATCGGTGAGGATTGCTGGATTGCTGGTAATGTTATAATTTTGCCAGGCGTGACGATTGGAGATGGCTGCACGGTTGGTGCGGGTAGTGTGGTTACAAAGGTAACGTACAGGGATGATAAAAGCTTGCAGTTTTGAATACTGAACTAATATTACATCTTTGTTTAGGATGTTCCGGCATGCCATGTTGTGGCGGGGAATCCTGCGAGGATTCTTCGCAAGATTGAGCGGAGTCGTCCGCCAAAGCCTCAAGGCGATGTGCAGAGCTCAAATGGAGTTTCAAAGGAGAGTGGTGGTAGAATAGATGGTTGAGATTCAATTTCAACTTATTAGGTCCTTCAATCTTAGACTACTTGATTCATTATTGTTGAGTGCGCTCATGTACGGAGTAACCACCTGGGCACCCGGACCATATTAAAGAACAATATACAGGTATCCTACCCAGTGATATATTCAGCACCTTGCATCGGTAAGAACAAGGGATTTTCAAGGTAGCATAACTTCACTGAGCCGTAGACTACCTATGAAATAGTAGTGCCTAATTTTGGGATGCTGCCTTGCCGCTGTGCAGCGTCGTAGTTCATAGTAATAGAAACACTCAATGTTACCACCATGGTCATGATGGCAGCTATAGACTCCCGGGCTACATTATTACATGAGTACAAGCAAGTATCCGAGAGTGAATAATAATCCAGATGTAGCAGGCACAAAGGCCCAAAGTAAAATCAATACGAAACACTTATTAAGAATCTATCCCATATGAAGTGGCCAAAATAAACCCAACCAACCCCAAACTCCATAGCCATATTGAATCAACCGCATGCTCGTATTCTCGACAAGGCTCCAACGCTGCAAAAAAAAGAGATGTGCTTCTTTTCTAATCAAAACATTCTAAGGTATCGAATCAACCGACGGGATACTCACACACGCTTCCGGAGCGCACGAGTTCCACGGCCCGATGCCTCTACCGCTGCGGCCGCCGGGGCGGTGGCTTTCCGCACAGAAGCTGCACTGGCGGCAGTCTTCTTAACAGCCAATGATGCGGTCTGGGCGCGAGGTACGGCGGGTTTCTTTGTAGCGGGTGCTCCTGTGGTTGCTTTGCGGGCACCGGTGGCACGAGTAGACTTTGTGACAGTTGTGCTAGATGACGCGGTCGAACCATTGCTCAATCGGCGTTCGCCTTGACGGGTTGCCGGACGAGGCAAGGGGGATCGAACGGAGCGGGGACCGGTTGCGGCACGGGTACCAGCCTTCTTTGGTTGCATGGGCTGCATGCCATCTCTAACGGTGGAGGTTGTCGCGCCGCGGGGGCGTGTTCCAGGGCCCGCTGCGCGGAGTGGGCTTGATGGCTTAAGTGGAGAGGTTGGACGCGACAGGTATGAGGGCTGGCCTTTCTCAGGAGAGGCGCGGAAGGGCGATTGTGGGTATGTGCGAGAGTTGAGAGACTTGGGGGAAAGAATGCGGTGATCGTTGCTGCGCACTTCCTGGGAGACGACGCGTGAGCCCGCTGCCTTGGGGTTATTGCGGCGCTTAGGATTCTTCAATCCCTCGGGTGTGCCAGTTGCGGGCGCGTTCTCCTTATCAGAAAATCCTTCGTGGCTATTATTGCTGTTAGCGGGGTATGGGGAGTGGCTTGATCGGTTGCCTTGCCTAGTGCGTCGGGCACGACCAGCTGGTGATGCTGGGCCCACGGAAGTGTTGGTTACCACTCTGCTCTTCGTGGGCGAGGGCCTTCGCAAGGGTGATGTTAAGTTGTGGGCGGTGTGCTTTTTGTAGAGTTCACCCATGTTGGCTTTGCGCAGAGAGATGGGGATGCGGTTGACGCGTCGTTCAATGCGGGCACGCAGGTCATTCGCCTGAAGAGCATATTGAGATCGAAGCTTGCGAGCTCTTTCGGTGACTGTATAGCTGTTAGCAACTGTAATAGAGCGCGCTTTCTTCATTCCCACGCACTCTCGAGCTGTAGGTTATCCATCAATGCCTGCTTTTGGGTCTGCGTCAGGCGTAATTTCTTGGCCGGGGGGGCCTCTGGGGGTGGCATCCGGCGCGTTAATAAACTCGGGGGATTTGCGCTTCAGGGAGGTCATGGTGAATATTGTGGAAGAAGCCGTGGTGTTGGTGGGGAAATCGAAAAGTTTAGTCGTGTAGAGTTGCGAGGGATCGAAAGTGCGGAGTTGCTTTCCACAACAAACAAGGTGCGCGAGCGGAAGTATGCGGCAGAATGTGAGCTTGCCAGACCTCTCGTCATCAACGCCGTCCTCGCATCGCAGCCTGCTCTTCTCCGTTTCAAACACCCTTTCATTTCCTTTCCTAATATACCCGCCATCATGTCGCTCGAAGCTACCATGATCATGTTCGTCAATTCTTCCATCCCGAGCTCGCATCCCCGCTAACCCCTGCCCGCAGTGTCGACAACAGCGAAAGCAGTCGCAATGGAGACTACACGTGAGAAGCTCTCGACCCCATCCCACCTTCGCCGCATCGTCTAATTCTCGCAGATCAACCCGCTGGCAAGCCCAGGTCGATGCTGTAAGCATCATTCACAGCGTCAAGATGCGCGTACACCCACAGTCGGCGGTTGGCCTGATGAGCATGGGCGGCAAGGGTCCTGAGGTGCTATCGACCTTTACGACGGACTTTGGCGGTATCCTTGCTGGTCTCCATCGCACCAAGATTCACGGCACATCGCACTTGAGCTCGAGTATCCAGGTTGCTGGGGTAGGTCTTTGATTCTGGCTTCTTTGTATTGGTGGTGCATTACTAACGTCTCTCTTTCTCGTTCTTGCTACTTCAGTTGGCACTGAAGCACCGTTCCGAGAAATCCCAACGCCAACGAATCATCGTATTCTCCTGCTCCCCCATTGAAGAAGATGAGAAGACACTGGTCAAGCTGGCCAAGAAGATGAAGAAGAATAACGTCTCCATCGACGTCATTGCTTTCGGAGATCTCGAGTCTGACCAGACCAAGAAACTGGAAGCTTTTGTGGATAATGTATCGAGCGGCGATGGCTCCTATCTCGCTATCATCCCGCCGGGTCCTCATCTCCTTAGTGAGGAGCTTCAGCAGACCCCGATCTTGGCCGGCGAGAATGCGGGTGCGGCGGGTGCGTCCGGTGGTGAGACAGGTGGCGACGCTGGTGGATTCAACTTTGAGGATGCGGCCGAGGATGACCCCGAGCTCGCCTTTGCTCTCCGATTGTCATTGGAGGAGGAGAAGAACCGACAGGAGAAGGAGAAGCGGGACCTCGAGGAGGCAGAGGGCAAGACGGAATTGGGTGGCATCCCCGAAGAAGGACATGGCGAGTCCAGCAAAGACAAGAAGGACGATGACAAGATGGATACTGCGTAGATCCCTATCTTCTCTTCGTCCCTGGTTGAAATGATTCGATGCATACCCGGCGTTTGCTTCTTGTTTTTATGTTCTCCTGTACACTCGAGTGTCGGCTCCTAGTCTAGCTACTTAGCGGTACTATAGATGGGCACATTCGTCGACTGCGAAAGGGAAATATTGATGCGATTGGTATTATGCACATTCTGGGGTGATCATGATGACATTCATCATCCCCCTTTAGATCCAACACAGTAAACTGATCAAAGATATGTCTAGTTCGTAAGGTCATCAGCCCAGCCCTCTGGGGTATACAACTATTCCACTTGGTCCCAGCCCACCGGGTTCATGGGTCATGTTCGTCCTCTCAGCCACGCTCCGAGATGCCTATCGAAAGCTTCGCACCGCACGGGCATCTCGAGCTGGTAGAAGGGGTTCTTCATCACGTAGTCCGCGTATAACTCATAGATCTTGTTCATAATAGTGTCCACACTGCCGGTCAGGGGGTCGGTGAAGAGGAAGGAATTTTGTCCCGGTCAGGGTCTGGAAGCACGTCAAGCGAAATTTGTCCGTCTCGAGGAATTCCAGGCCTGATGTGGGGACGCCCGGGTTAGGATAGCTGTACCCCGATGTAGCGGGGGCGGTGTTGCCGGGGGACGAAACGGCAGGAGAGGTAGATGGGGGAGCGAGTGGGAGCTTGGGAGTGATCGTGCGAGTGATGGCGTGTACACTGCGATCAGCAGGTTAGCTTGTGAGAACGCATGACAGGGGAAGGGCATCTGGACTGACCCGTGAAAGGTACCAGCGAGCACGAGGTAGTCGTTGGTAGAGAGCTTGCGCAGGCCTGGTTGAAATTCCCGCTGGTAGATCAGACCACCGGCCTTGTTGATAACTATGAGAGAGAGAACAGTCCTGTGAAGTTCAAGTTGTCAGTAGCGCATTCGTGGTGTTTTGGGGTGGAACGGGGCGCACATGATGTGAGAACCCAGCGACGTGGCCGAGTGAAAGTAATTATCAATGGGAGTTACTGCGCATGCAGCATTTCCAGTAAGAAATAGTGTAGTATTATTGAAGACGAGGCGGGTCGCAATTGAGGTAGGGGAAGTAGAAATGCGGATGTTGGATGTTGGAGGAGCAGAAGTCGCGGGGAGTTTTGGCCGAAGCGGAGTCGGCGAGTCGGCGGAGTTCCACCGCACGTTACTTCAAGTTGCCTTAGTTACTAGTCGTACTACTAGATTGAACAGAATATTTAAATTATACCTTGTTCTACTGGCATTTTGAAATGAATTTTTCTACATTGGGTTCCAACAAGAGGTTCAACTTCTAACTTGAAGGCCGAAGTTCCAAGGTTGACTCAGGTTGGAGGCTATAAAGGACTAGCAGTATATTTCTACTCTAAGACTACTAGTACTATCAGTAGTAGTAGTAAAGACTCCGAGGTTCAACACTGGCACCCTCTGCAACTGCAGTGAGCAGCGAAAACTCATTTAAATCCTGAAATTGTATATTTCGAGATACTTTAGCTCCTATTTTTTCAAAATACACCCCTATATAGTCACAATCTTGCTAACCTCAACGATGCTCTGCAATTGAAGTTAGTATCAAACACCCAATTTTGAACCTTGAAACCTTCAAGTTGAAAAATAGTACTAAAAATAAGGGGTACAAAACTTACTGGTTTGCCTTTCTGACTCTCCGTTTCAAACGAAGTGCTCTCGTATTTCACCGACCCTTCACCACCCCTACCACCATCCTTAACATACCGCAAGTAATCCGGCGCACCAGGAAAATCCGTATTATCCGCAATCGCCAGCGAACCCAATCTCCATAGTCCCAAATCCTCAATCAACTGCAAATCCGGAAGATAGAATTTCTCCCAGTGATCAAAGAAGGCCATATCAACACTGGTAACTGTCCCCTCAGCATGCAATTTCTTCAGAGAATCCGAGCCAGGTCCCTCCAGGACATGCACCACATCAGCGATGCCGGCCAAATCGATGAGATCTCGCGACAGGGTGACCATTTTGGGATCGAGCTCGAAGGTGTATACGTTCACGTCTGCGGGGACATTCTCGCCATGGATATCGCGGAGTATAGCTCCCCACGCTATGGCAGATTTGCCTACGAAGGTGCCGAATTCGAGAATTGTGCGGGGCGCGGGCTGTTGTGCTTCTAGCTGGGTGCGGGCTGCGTCGAGTTTCTTATCTTTGAAGATCATCATGTGGCCCTTTTCGGCGGCGAAGGTGTCGATTGCGTTGGCTAGGGCCCAGGGATTGTTGGTGAAGGTGGAGGCTGGCTGGGTGAAGATGTATTCGCGGAGTTCATCCGCTCGCTGGGAGAACATGTCTTGGAGATTTGAGGGGGGGCATTTTCGAGAGGCGGGCAGTACTGGTGATGTTTTGAATAGAAAAGGAGGACTGGGTGTAGTATATGCTGATGGGAACTATGGCGAGAGCTGAGAGGAAGAGGAGAGTCAGGTGTTGTTGAAAGAACATGCCCATGGATGATACGTGTTTCCAAGTCCCCTTTATAGGATGGGAGAACCAGGCAAATACATAATCAGATCTACCTTATATCGCCATCGGCGTTAATGGTGATGTACGCAAGCTGATCTTCCGGTGGGGGCATGTTGGAATTGTCTCCGAGCGGATGGCGCTGACCCGGAGATACTCATAAATAATCGATTTTCGGCGTTCAATTGACCTGTAAATCATTGAAAAACACTTTGCAAGCAGGTGATTATTTTATAATATACAGAATGTCCCGGTATAATGATACCCATCAAGTCCTTGAGGTTGTATAGATCAGTGGTTCATCCCCGAGATGCGTAAGACCGAGGCGTAGGGCCGATAGTCGGCTTTGAACTCCCAGTGTGGATATCTCGGCCGACTCTAAGTAGATTTTCAGCCACGAAGACCCGGGAATATAGAATGATGACGGCTCAAAAGTTAGCAGCTTGGAAAAAAGAAGGTTGGGTGAATTGAAAATTTGATCGGCAATCTGACAAGCTGATTTGAGAGTAGCTTAAAGCGGGTACATCCAATAATGGGTGGTGTTCTTCAACATGCAAATAGAGCAAAATGAGCATTGAAATGCATAGGAACAAGTCAATATGGGTTCAATTCAATTCAAGATTCTATAATCTAATCCAGTGGACTCACGAAGCCTGCCAGCTTCACCTACTGACCTTGGCCGGTTGTATTCTCGTCAAGAATAACCCAAACAAGCTCATCGAGCTGCTGAAAAAAAAATTCAAGCCGCACACCATGACGGCCCATATTGCTGACCAGCCATTTGATAATACACACATCACCGTTTGGTAGTTGGCGCAATGTATCCTCTTGGTGTAGAATTTTTCATCCAGCCCAGGTCCATTGATCCATGTAAGAGCCCTTGTTCGACTGTGGCTCATTTCCTTCCTTATCACCTTCCTGCCAATGTTGGGTTTCTTTGCAGACATCAGGCATATCATCGATTAAGTTCGGGCACGGGGTACCCTACCTTAAGGTAGACTAGGTGCGAATGAGCGGGTTCCTCGGAGCTTCTCTTCCATGACTATTGAAAATCTCCGGATAGGCGTTATGCTAATAGGTAGTGCTTGATTTCATGGTAATATGTATTCTAAAGAAGCGGATTTCTCTTGGTGCCTGATGTCCCAACTAATCCATTGCTTGGCCCTCTGTTACCGTTGAGATACTAGTAGCTTATTCTGGATTAGGTGACAAGCTCCGAAGTGATGCCGTGTGGGGGCTTGCAAACTCTTAGAATCAGATAAGTCTTTTTATTATACTTTATATTTACTATAGCCTACCCTGAATTGTTTTTGAGGTTACCTAGGTACTAGTATTGTTCGAGTTACACAAACAATATAACTTTAATATAATTGTACTAGGTATTAGGGATTTGTGTAATAGTGTATAGTTGTTACCTGATCTCCAGGTGGACAGACAGAATGTACGTTAAATCAAGTATTGGATATTTTATGCTAAAAGTTACTCTGTCGCATATTTATCCTACCTGAGACTAATTTTAATATTCCTGTCTCTTCTTTGATTAGAGTGGCTGAAAATATGTATATTATCACAGCAAAGGGCATCTAGAAACAGGACACTTGGCTGGGTTCGCGTGTTTTTGCTCACCGTGGCTTCATGTGTCTTCGCTGTGCTACATATTAGCCTCTTTTATTCTATTGATTCAAGTTATGTCACACACAGACCACCAAGGCATGTGGTCTTATTCTTAGCTAGCAATTAGGACATCAATAAAAGTCAACTTCTGTAACTGTCTAGCTCATTGGCATTAGCGTCCGGTATCCGGCATAACATAACTATCAAGTGTGCCAGTAGTCATCTCCTTCCTCCGGGAAGCAATGAGACATCATGTTCTTCCGTACTTGTCTTGGCAGAAAGCAAAGGTAAAGAAATGGAATAAATAACGCGCTGAGTGGAGAATGGTGGATCTGTACGGAGTACATGGATCGGCAATGCATTAAAGAGGATAACTAGAAATGGCGCCGCCTATTCGGGGAAACTCTGCGTTTGTTCCCCATCGAGCTGAGGTACGCAATCAATCAAGCCGTTCTCAACGGTGGGGTTTACGAGGTGATACATAGCCCGGGCGAAGTGACAAATAATCACTGATTAGTCGGGGAATGCCAATTGCACTCTTCTCAGCCCACGGCTGATCGTGTTCCGCGTTTCAGTTGGGCGAATCTTTGTCTCGGCGACTCCGTGCGCTGTATCGTGGGGGCTAAATTTACAGGGGAGGATCATGAAGAGAGGCCTCTTTGGCCATTTTGCTTTTTTATTTTCTTCTAGGGTATCGGTACTGAAAGATTAATTGGGCGAGATCATATCGGAGCACTCAAGGCCGGGGGATGGAGCGCGAGTGGGAGTGCGACCGGTCCAAAAATGTAAATGGCCCCCAAATCGCACTTATTTCCCTTTTTAAAATGGGCTACGAAGAGGGGTTGCATCATTGTGGCAGCATTGTGGTAGGGAGTATGGTAGAGCATAAATTCATTCATAGATTGCAGAGCAGTCGAAAGTGAGTGGTGATGGGATTAGCCCTAAATACTTCAAAGTACACCAGCCTCGTCCTAGTGCGGGGGGCATCACGTTGATTTAAACATGAAGGCTAGCAGATTCCCCAGATGGAACGAATTAAGGTTAAATGGGGCTCCGAAATCCGAACAAACGTTCATCGCCTTGACAGGAGAGAGGGGAAAAAGAAAGAAAAAATGGCAGTTCCTAGTCTGTGACTCTACTCCACCGCGAATTAGGAATGCCCGAAGAGGAAATCTCGACGACGCCGCAAGGCTGGGAAGCCGGAGATATTCAGCCATGGACTGGTTTGCCGAGTACCACCAATTTTATCTATGCGAAATTGCCACCGGCACTTCATGGACTGGTTCTGTCACGTCTCCTCGATGTGTCCCGGGGTTTATTTAGTCAAAAGTCACCCGGGGCGGTGCCAAAGGACTGAATCTGCAAGAATCAAATCTAGATTGCAGAGGATGCAGCGCTAACGTGGCCCTTGGACATACAGAATCGAGGATCGGGGATTGCTCGGTGCGTGCGCTGAATATCTGTATTCGACTGTGATCAATAATCGACTGATCTGTTATTTTTCGACCTGAAACTGCAAGTTGATAGTTATACATACTGAATTCAAGTTCAAGTTTTAATCATTCGATATTCTCGTCATTTCTCTGGTTGCGGATTGCTATAGAAACTCCCTCGACTTGACATGTGTGCATTTAATGGAGTCCAGTGCACATTACCAGCTTCGAAAAGAACCGGAAGGCGCTAGACGATCTGTGCAGAAGCATGGCAGCTTTTACCCCAGAAATGCTCGAAATAGCTTCACAACTTGTGCAGATCCAGAGAGGAGCACATATTGCTTTACCCGGCCGATTTGATGAGGGCCACAAACTGGCACGGATATTTCAAATCGCACGAAGCATGCGAAAAAGTCATCTCAAACGCCAAGGTTGGGGTGGCTTGACAAACAGCCAGACGAAACCGGTGGACCATATGGCACGACTTGGTGGAGGAGATGTGCCAGGAGAAAAGAGAAGATTCAGCATGCGAGAGTAGGTAAAATTTCGTCAGAGGCTTTCCATTGTCGCTTTACGGAGCTTGGCTTAACGTTCTATTCCTCCACCCACCTGGGCACGAAACCGATTTATTTTCTCCTAAGACAAAATGTGCGTACTAGTAATGTTCCCAATCACGCCAGCTCTCGAGGTCTACTCGTGGCTACTCTAGGTGCGCAAAGTATTCTGTAATAAAAAATGTATTGTATAAGCACTTATGTATATGTATATATCGTGAGTCATACCCAGCCTCAAAGCCCAGGCTTTTATGAGGGGAGAGAAAGAAAAGAGAAGAGAAATCCCTGTATCAATACAGCGTTCCGAATCGAATCGAATCGAAACCCAATCGAATAAAACCAGCAAGCAGATGCAGACCAGACCCCACCAACACTAAGCATAGCCACAGGGGCCAGAATTCTAGTTCCAGCCCAAAGCAATAGCAAAACGGACGGAAAAAGCAAACGGCTTGGATATTGAGCCAGCAAATCCTGATACTCCAGCCAACTAGCACAGTGTCCATTCAACTCCAACTCAATTATCCCCCACCAAAGAACCCAACCGACACCTTCCACCAACAATCACAAGAATCCCCTCACGAAGCCCCCACTCCCGTAACGCCCCATCCTCCCTCTCCTCCCCAAGAGCAACCCTCTCCTCCCGCTCAAAGTGCCGTCCAACATGCTCCATCCGCGCATCCCAGCTCCCCTCCCCACTAAAAACTTCCTGACAGAACCCGCAAGAGCTCCGCTGCGGCGCCTGCCGGAGCCCGAACCAGCATCTCCGCCGAACCTCATCGAGACTCGTTTCAAAGGCGGCCTTTTCCGTGGCGCTGGGCATCTGCCGTGTGCTTGTCCAGGGGGCGTGCATTCGGCGGTGGTGTTGGGTGAAGAGGTCTTTACGGTTGAAGTCGTTTGGTTGGATTGGGGTTGGGGAATTTGCGCGCGAGGATGCGGATGTGAGGAATGTGTTTGTATTTGTGTTTGGTGGTGGTGAGTGGTGGATGTTGCATTTGCCTACGTCGCATCTGTAGAAGCCGAGTTGGAGGTGTTGGGATGTGACGTGGCGTTTCCATTCGTTTTTGGAGACGAATGTGCTTGGGCAACCGTATGGTGCGAAACTGCATACGAAGGTGCGTGTGTTGGTGGTCTCGCCGGTGCTGGTTATGCCTCGTCGGCGGGTGCGGCCTTGTGTGGAGGTTGGTCTTTTCGCGGATCCTTTGCGGACTCGAGAGGTTGATGTTGTTGAGGTGGGTGTAGATGTACTAGGTTGGCGGCCGCCGGAGCGCCGATTTGAAGAAGAAGAAGAAGCGAACGATATGCCCTCGACGGGGACTGGGGACGGCCATGATTGATCGGGTGTGACGTTGCGGTCTGATTGACTGCCAGACCAGGTATCAAATTCTGGGTCGTAGGGAGATCGGTGGTCGGGTTGAATCTCGAATATGCGTGGCTTTGCTGATAATAAGGAGTGGTTGAGAGATGTGGTTTCGATGAGTGCATCCGCGGGGAGATAGCCGGTTTGATCATCAACGCCAGTCATGCTCATAGTTCTGGTATCCTCTTGCCGGAATCCAGGCGATGCGAGGCAATTCATCCCAGGTAAGCTGCCGCTGTTGCTGCTGCGCGGACTTTGCGGGTCGGAGATAGTGGAGATACCACTATTCCAGGGCTCAAAACGACTTGGGTCGGTATAAGTCAAGTCTGGAGGCATGTAGCTCATTGCGAATGATTGTTCTTCGGTTTTCCACCATGGCTGCGCGGTGAGAGCAGCGTCGCGAGCTTTCAAGTTCCCTTGTTCGTCCCTGGTTATAGGGGACAGTTGGTACTGGTAATGCGTCGCACGGGTGACAAATGGGTGGTCGGCGGGGAGTGAGGAGTCATATGGCTCGCAAGACGGGCGGGAGACACCTGTCATAGACATAAGGTGGGGGCTGTCTGTGAATTGGGTGTAGGAGTCCATGTTGCCCAGTATTGGATAGATGGTCAGGGAAACACAGACAACTAACTTGAAGTATTGGGGGAGGATAGTAGGGTTCAAGTTCGGGGATCAGGGGAAACGGAGCTAAGGCCGGTATATATAAGTTAAACGGAATTTGGGCGTGAAAGCCAGCTTTCTCCCGAACCATTCTGGCGGGCCCACCGCGTTGCATCAATACAGAAAAGTGACTGAGAACCAAAGCAGCATGACGGCCCTAAGATGAGGTGGATCCGTGGGGCGGAAAATGAGCCTCAACGAAGCCCCGTGGGTCGAGGCAGTGGAAAAACAAAACCTGACTACTCCGTAAATTGACGGGCTGAGTCAAGATGAATCAAGAGCCTGCTGAGCAAATGAGCGAAGAAGCGAGTAGATGAATAGGGTCAAAATGATTGCCTCGATGTGGGTGATTGAAGGTTGTGATGGCGATCATCTCAGAGTTAACCTGCAACGAGAGTGTCGAGCAAAACAGATAATTAAAACCCAGAGAAAAAAAAAAAAAAAAGGAAACAAAAAAAGAAAACCTATTTTCCTTTCTTTTTTTTAGAAACTCTTTCAACTCTTTTCCAGTCAGGAAAAAGGAAAACGGGGAAGATCGATGCACTAAACCACATCAGTTTGGACCCCAAACTCACGACCCACGAGTCTGTCGATCTCGAGTCATGCCCACATTAGCTCACTGCTTAGTATGCATCCCAGAACGATGGGATTACATACCTGCCGAGAGTAGCTTAGCCCAACTGACTCAATGAAGCAGACCATGCGAGATTAGGGCAAACTCCTGCCCCTTTCGGGCTCCTCATTGAGATTAAGAGGGACTAGTATAGGGTTCCCCGTGTTGATCGGCCATCGAATGATCAGTGCTTTTTTCATTTTTTCTGCCCTTTTTCTCCTTTCTTTCCCGTCAGCCCTGGCCTCGACTCGATTCGATTCGACTCGACTTCGGCCGTTGTGGATCCACTAGACAACGGGGATCATGAAGCCAATCGTAGCCATGGCATAGCGAGAATCAAGTCTGAAGCGAGTTGGAGTCTGTTGTGACCAGCTTGTCGGTTTCTCTAGAGGAAATCTTGGGATTTCATTTGATTTCATTTGATTTCATTTTGGCATTTAGCAATTTTGCTGTATTCGATCTTGCGCACCCCTCGTTTGATTGAATCCTTCGAGCCTGAATGGGGATTTCTTAGCCGAATTGTCAGACCCGGAGCCCCCTGACAGCCGTTATCATTATACCGAGATCTTCATGATTTTGGCAGACTTCATTCCGTATCGATCTGGAGAGTAGTATCGAATCGCGTAACGAGTTTGTTCGGTTCGGCCCCCACCGGGACCATGAAAGGTGGTTATTTCAAATCAGATCATCGGTCTCCACTGCTTCCCCGACAGCACCCGGTGGACCGGATGGACTTCACTGCCTTTAATCGCACATTGTACATTGCCTTAGCCCTAGCTGCTTTTGGCTGGCTGGACCCATTTCCATTTCCATCTCCGTCTCCCTCACTCTTATACTTCCCTGGCTAATTCGACCAAGATTGGTGCTGGTGCTTATGCTTATGTGGCGGGAGGCTTGCTGCCTCCTTTTTCCTATCTCATACAAGTGCGCCCCATCCTGAATATTGAAAATTTTCGAAAATCATTCTATTGCATAGGAATGGCTGGACTAAAATAAAATAAAATATAAATGTAAATATATTATTGTACCGAATCTGTCATTTTTCTTCTTCACTCCTCCTTCACCTTGCGGGACCACTTCTTCGGAACACGTGCGAGCCAGTACAGTAAGAGACCTCCCAGAATATTGACTCCGATGTAAACGAAGAGCAGGCCGATGTTTCGCCAGTGATCCGAGAACTTGATGTTCAGCTGAAGCAAGAACTGGTCTGTGCTGGTAATTGAGCAGATTTCACACCCGGATGTCGCATTCCCATTGAACAACTTGGCTTGCGCCAAATCCACGTAGTCGCCCAGGTATTCAACGCAAGTTTGGCCCTTGGGTGGATTGACCTTCAGCAATTCTATGTCTGAGCAGGTTGCTGTACTTCCAGATAGGCCGGTTGATAGGACCGCCGAGACGAGATACGTAAATGGCGACACGCGATACATGAAGATCCAGAATTTCCCTAGTTGGGCGGGACTCGCGAGAACACTGGGTGAAGCTATTAGCGAGATTCTCCGAGGTTCATTCGGCCCCACAGTCCGCCCGCGGCAGAAGCTAAGATGCTTCGGAATATACGGAGTGCGAAACTCCATACAGCGAGGGATGAGATGAAACGCAAAGACAATCACTTACCCGTTGAAAACAAGACACAGAGAAAACATCAACTGGGCGATATTACTACCAGTGTCCGGCTGTTCAATACCCGCAATGATCATTGAACTAAATGTTGATGTGAACATCAAAAATATCAGGATCAGTAGGAACATGGTACCGCCCCGGTCTATTGTCTCGCCCGCCGGAGCGTTGCGATATAGCCCGATCGGGTAGTACCACGAGAAAAACACAGGCAGAGCCATGATGATGTTCCAGGGAAGCTCGACAAAAATACTAGCCAGCATGAAGGATTTCCAGGAATACGCCTTGGACGGTCGTTCGCGCACCTCATAAAGTGAGCGCTGGGTGCAAAAACTGGGCATCATCTGTTGGACAAGATTGGGGAAGATGACCAGAAGCATGAAGATGGCAAACATCTGATTTTGGAGACCTTGTTGAGTGTTTGGCATTCGCCAGAACGTAAAACCGATGAAAATGGGCTTATCAATGGTTAGTGGGAGAGTGATAATCAAGGTTCTACTAGGAGAGGAATACTTACTGGAAACACACACATGGCGGTCTTGGAATAAAGATATCCAGGGCTGCGGTAATACTGCTGGAACATTCGTCGAATGCAAATAAGGAACTGGTACCAGATAGGGGTTGCAAACTCCCCATATCCAGCTGTCGGGGGAGGCACCGGCTTCTGTCGGAGCTCAGATTTCATGTCGGCTAATTCCTTCTTGATCTGGGTTCTTTCTGGGCTTTCCAGCCAGACTTCTGCCCAGTCACGGTCCGCGTGAGAACCAGGAGCAGCACCAATAACCTCAAGCATCCATTCAGCAGGATTAGCGTTCTTGGGACAATCGATGGAGCCCTTGTTCTCGAAATATTTGATCAGGGTTTGCATGCGTGGTCCAAGATCGCCAAAGTACACAGTGCGGCCGCCCTTAGCTAAAAAGAGCAGTCGATCGAATTGAGACATCAACATGGCGGACGGCTGATGAATTGTACACAAGACCGCTTGGCCGTGGTCAGCAAGCTTTCGCATCAAACTGCAAATCGACCAGGCTGTTTGACTATCGAGACCAGAGGTAGGTTCATCAAAGAAGAGAAGCAAGTCGGGCTTGGCCGCAATTTCAACACCGATAGTCAACCGTTTGCGTTGTTCCACATTAAGGCCCTCGCCTAAAACACCCACGACGGCCTCAGAATACTCCTCCATGCCAAGCATCTTGATAACTTCTTCCACATAAGCTATCTTCTCCGCGTAAGGAATGTTGCTTGGCTGCCGAAGAAGGGCACTGAAAATGAGAGCCTCGCGTACCGTACTTGTCTCGAGATGCAAGTCCTGTTGCTGGACATATCCAGTCTTTCGCTGGAAGGAGCCATCTCGTGGCCTTCCGTCCACAAGCATATCACCGGTGATGACACCCATCGTGACACGGTTTGCCAAAACATCCAGTAAGGATGTTTTACCTGCACCGGTAACACCCATCAGAGCAGTCAGAGTTCCGGGCTTCACCCATCCGTCCACACGGTCCAGGATACGGCGATTTTCACCCTTGATCTTGATATCGTAGCAAACATCTTCCCAGTGGAAGATGGCAGTTTGTTTGATGATAGCCGCTGATCCATCACCCTCCTTATCCACGATCTCATGCTTTTCAGTCGAAGGTGCAGCCTCGGAGTCATCCTGACGGGCCTTTTTGGCAAAGGCCGGGATCTTGCCCCGTGGGAAAACCAGAACCTCACCCTTCGATGGCTTGGCTCGAATGTATTCGCTCGAAACAACATAGATGGTCAAGAATCCGAAGAAAAATGCGACCAGAATGCCAAAGTTTCTCCACATATGGCCCTTGTAATAATTGAAGGTGGTGTTAATGTAAGAATCTCCGTCAATGTAGGTATCCCCAGCAAATGCTCCTTTCATCGAGCAGATCCTCGAGCTCTGTGGTGCTGAATCGTAGGAGCCACCGGATGGGATATAGGTGGAACAAGGAAATTGACGGTCGCTGAACTCGTTGACAATCAAGCCTTCAAAGGCGTACTAAACGTATGTGATTAGCGTGCTTTTCTTCTCTAAATAGGTGTACCGAAGATACCCACAGCGATTGGATTCAAATAGTTCAGCCACCGGAACCACGGGTGCATGTCTCTGACTGGAATGGTAAATCCGGTGTAGATGACCAAAATCATCATGAAAATCGAAGCCGGAACCATTGCTTGAGCCATCGAGCGAGATATAGCACCGATAGACCGGAAGATGTTAGACATCACGAGAGTTGTCGAGAACGAGAACAAGAAGAAGATGAAAAAGTGACCAGCAGTGCGTCGAAGATGCGGGACAAAGTAAATGATGATGTTGAATGCGATAGCGATCAGGATTTTTGACGGCAGCTCAACAATGTAAGACCCGATTGCTTCGGCAGATGGATGATAAAGTGCATACTTGTAGTGCTTCTCTACAATTGGTCGTTGTTGCCATAGGGTCAGAAGCTCCAGGGAAGAAGCAAAAGCATTCATCAGAATAGCGAAGAATAGAAGTGCTCCACGCTGAAAGAAGCTGTCGGTGTTGTTTTCCAGATTCAAAAATACCGTCGAGATGATAACGCCCATGACGCTGTTTCCGATCACGGAGGCAATGGTCATACTCATGTCGCCTTGCAAACGCAAAAATCCGCGCCACAGGCACAGACGAGCCTGTTTGTAGTACGAGATTGTGTATGGAGAGGATGCCTTGTTGGCCTTGGACTTTTCGGCAGCACGAGAACGAGAGAATGATTCGAATTGGTCACCTTTGAGCGGGTACTGGTCATGTTGGGCTTCAATCTCTTGGAGAAGGGTTTTCCGCTCTTCACTCTCCTTCCAGCGCCTGGCAAACTCGTCTGCGGTGCGCGGCACGAGATGCTCATATCCCGGCCGGACCCGGCGCTCTGAGGGACTGGAAAGGGAAGTGAGGAAATCGGCATCGGTTTGTCTGTCGGGGCATTCGAATCCCATCTCGATAAAGAAACGACGGGCATCGGTGGACTTGCCAAAGTAAATTTGGTGGCCCTCGTAGAGCACCACGGCCTTGTCGAAAACATCGTAGATCGACTGACTAGCCTGGTAGATGGCGACGACGGCGGTGGCCCCACTGTACTGCGTGGAGAGACGAATGTTTTTCACGAATTCCAAGGCCGTCGAGCTATCCAACCCACGGGTACTATTATCCCAGCATTGCAGGGGACTACCGCAAAGAGTGATCTCGGCGATACTGACGCGCTTGCGCTCACCACCTGACACACCACGGATATACTCATTGCCCACCTTGGTGTTCATAGTATGCGAGAGACCCAGCATGGCCATGACCACATCTCGTTTATGCAGGGCATATTGGTCCCGGGATACTCCGGGAGGTCGGTTAGACGGAGTGCGTGCATGGGCGGCAAAGAGAAGCGTATCTCCGACACTCAGCTGGGGAAAGTGAATTTCTGTCTCTGCCTGGTAAATGACCTCACCACGGAATCGGGAGTGCATTTCATCCCAGGAGATACCTTGATACTGCACATCGGTGCCATCATCGATGAAAAGACCGTGAGTTTCACCGGCAATGGTTTTCAGCAAGGTGGTACACCCACTGTTGCAGATTGTTAGCCCGGTTCTCAACTCGCCGCGAACCTGTTCTCGAACCACACGAACACACACAACTCTTGACTTACCTGCCTGGGCGACCTAGTACCACGAGCATTTCACCGGCGTTGACCATGCCTTCAAAGTCGCGCAAGATGTCAATGCGGTGCTTTTTTCCGTAACCAGCATGAGCCTTGGCCCAGTTGAACATCTTCAACCAGGCATTACCAAAGGTGATCTGGTAATCGGCACCGGAACCATATCCAAAAACATTGAGATTGCGGAAGGAGACACCAGCGGTGCGCTTGGGGTAACGGTTCGGGTCACGAGTCATCTGAAGCATATTGCGCACCCATTTCAACGAACTGAATTGATCCGAACTGGGATCTAGCGAAGGGTCCTCGGTGGGATTGAGGAAGGTATTGATCGGCTCATTTTGGCCGTTGACGGAGCTAGGCTTTTGAGAGAGGTTGGAGAATGAGCGAGCTATGGTGGTGATATCTTTATGTCTGATATCATCCTCGACAGCCGGAGTCGAGGAATCTTCCTCGGAGACTTCGTCGGAGGTCGTATACTCCTCGAAGCGATGGCTGACTGTGTGAGTAGTAGCTGCATCATGCTCCGAGGGAGCTGGAGCTGGAGCTGGAGGCTCAGGCGCAGCCATGGTGACTGAGGAGATACCGTACGCGAGGAATTACCATGGGTAGTTCCAGGTGGATATGCACGGTAAATAGTCGGGGGTGATGGCGGGGAAGGGGACAAAGCGAAAGAAGAAGATAATAAGGAGAAAAGAAGGGAAGAGGAGAAAAGAAAGTGATAGAGGGAGGAAAGAAAGATGAGATGAGATGAGATGACGCCAAGGCCATTGAAATTACGCTTTTGGGCAAGAACGGATCGCGGATCGCGGGAATTGGCCCATCCGAATGGAAGGTGCGACTGGAGGCCTTGCAGTATACGCAGTCTACAGTATGGTACAACTACTATACTCTGGCAGTGTTAAGGTAAGATTCTCAGTGAGAGTACCCAAGGTAATGCTGTTACCTGTTTCCTGACACTTACGCTCGTTTATCACGAGACTATCACTACTACCACCTTCTCCCTCACACTCACACTCGCACTCGTCTCCCACTTCATACAACATCCCTTAGAGGGCAAAGCTCACATGGAAATCCGAAACCTTAACTCATTCGATGTCATTCAAAACATGCATATCTTCACTCTGATTGGTCCCGTATTCGCGTATACGTCCCCACCATTGCCCCACGGCCCCAGTCTGCATTGACTGTTTTGGGGACGGCTCCGACTGCACTGCCGTTGCTCTTTGGTTCTTTGATCCCCCGTATTCTGGTACGATATACGGAATACGGACTACACTTTCAGCATATTGAAGGACAGCAAGACTGATGTACCCGGGCACCCTGACCCTGCTCATTACAAACACATACCCTCGTTGGACTGACCTATCGGCATCAACGTCTCCGGTATATCGACACACCGTTATATTGCTTCTTTCATCTCGGGACTACGGACTATATCTCATCAACCTCCGATTCTCCTTTCCTTTCCCATTCAATCCACCCCGATCACACGCCCTCATCAACTGCAATCATTCCGCACGGCTAACTATGTAGTATCCACTTCCACTCCCCCTGAATGTGCCAGTCATCCCTAACCGAGCCCACGTTTGAGTTAGGCCCGCAGGACGATCTGTCTCCACGACGCACGGTCCGGAACTTCAGCCACACCCGCCCCTTGACCTTGGCCTTGTCCTTGTCCTACACCTTGACCCGGCACCACTTGCTCCCGCAGCCGAACCGTCTCTGTGGCGCGGAGAACCTTACCTTGACCAGATATGGCCTCGGCAGCAATCTGTCCGTACGAGTGACCCGACACATGGAACGCAGTCTCGAATCCATCACGCGGCACCTCACCCAAGAACGATCGCGACCCGAACCGATCAGTCACAGCGTAGAAGCGCCAGATAGCAGTTTCCGTGTCACCGTTCCATGATACATACACCGACGTGCCAGAGGGAGTCTTCTCGGCGACGAGGGAGGGCTCTTCATTCGGTATTCCGGTCCAGTTATACTTGAATGCGCGGTAATTCTCGACTCCTTCGCCCAAGGCGCCGGAGTCCATGTATGCGTGGAAGATGGGCGTGCCGTCTGCTCGGAATTCAGTCACCGCGCCTTCAGAGCCCCAGTTGACTAGTGCGTTTCCGTTCGACAGCAGCTGGGTGCTTCCTTGGGATTTGGCCAGAAGACCGTCTGGGGGCTGGAATGCCTGAACCACCGAGGCGGTCCAGGTGGCCGTGTTGACGGAAATGATTTTGCCTTGGGAGAATGGGTGCGTGTGGACTTCGTGGCCGCGGTGATTCTCGGTTCCGTGGGCGGAGTTATCGAATAGCGAAATTATTTCCTCGTCGCCGTCTCGGGAGACATATCGGGCATGATGCTGGAAGCAGAATGCGACGTTGGGTCCTAGGTCGAAGTCTGAGCGAAGCCCGCCTAGCCGCCAGATGATTTCACCGGTGGTTCCGTTGATCTTGTGTACAGCGCAGGCGTCGCGAGCGGAGATGAGGTAGTCGCCAAAGATGTCCTTGTCGACGGAATTGATGTGGAAGTAATCCCATGCATCCGACGAGTTGTAGCCAGAACCGGCTTGGCCAGGGTTCAGGGGGAGAACAGCCTCTGTTGTTGATTAGTACATGGGATATACGGTGAAAGCGAGATCATCATTTGAACAGAGGGCTTACCATCAGGAGTGACATGGTCGAGGCTGGACCACTCGAAGAGCAACTCACCCGTCTCGATATTCAATTCTACCACACGTTAACATTGACTCAAGCTTGACTAATCAACAGCATCAAGAATCAAGACTTACCCTGAAAGATGGCATCCACGATCCACTGCTGCTCGGGGCTACCACCCCAGCGACTCAAGTCTGTGGGGATAGGCTGATAAACCTGAAGCAAAGCCGTTTTCTCATCGATGATATGAAACTCATGCTTATCCATAAGCTTATGGTTGCCAGCGCGCAACTCACGAATCGTCTCATAGTTCTGATCCAGAAGAGTCGCATGGCCATGACCATGCCCATAGGCCGGGTTATGGTCACCCTCAAAGCTGAACAGCACATCCTGGCCCTTCCATCTGGCAGCCTGGAAATTGGTCGCCCAGATCGAGTAATAGGTATACCCGGACCAGACGAGTTCGCCATCATCTCGGAAGATATATGGGGCTTCCTGGCGGGGCCCGTGGAACTGGGGCTCGGCCCACTGACCCGGGAACGGGGCGACGAAGAGGTATCCCTTGTCAGTATCGTGGGATGCGGGGATGGTGATGTTCAGACGTGGCGGGGCGAGGTCCGTTCGCGACTTGAATTGCCAATCTGCAGCGGCGAGGGGTGCCAGTGCAGTCACGTAGGTGATGGCTTCAAGGAGCTTCATCTTCATCGTGGTGAAGGGGGTTTGCTAGTAAACCGGCGATCAGTTTCCATGATGGCGGTCATGTTTTGCCAGCATAGGGTACATTAACCTTAGGTGGGTATTCTGCACTGAGAGGTCTTCGACGCTCTTTTAGTTTGCTTCAATTTATCACTACTACTATAGTAGATGGTGGACTTGGAGACTTGGGGTGATCAGATAATGGGGGGGAGGGTTGGATATTTATACGAAGTGGTGTGCCAACACGTCATTTCCTTCAGATTGCTGCAATTAAAAGTATCCACGGTTCGACTTGTTCCTAGACTGCAGTCAAAGCCAATGTCAATACAGAAATGGTTCGAATATGTCATAGTATCTCGTAAAATCCCGTGGTGAGAGCAAATCCACAAATGTCGTGCTTGGCGATGGACACTTCAACCTTCCCAATTCAGTCCCCGCTTCCCTTCCGACATTCTTCGGCTGCTCGGCAAGTTTCAACAGTGCCAAGTGCCAAGTGCCAAGTACGAAACACCTGACATCTCTTTCACCTGGGTATTCTCCATCGATTTGATCTCAATTTGAACTCGAATTCCAAGGTTCTCACCCAATTGGATACCCGCCATGGCAGTCATTGAAGACCCCGAGATGTCGAACCCGACTCCCACAGAAGAGCAGCCTCTTCTGCCATCCGATCCAAGTGATAACTGGCGACCCGGGCATGGGTTTCTTTGGATTCAATTCGGTATGTCCACTGGCAGATGAATGACCCCGCGCGGGGAGGAGTTTTTGTTGCGGCCACCAGTCCAGTCCAACCAGCAAGGACTCGGAATAGCAAGATTAAACGTGAAACTAACTATTCACCAGCAATAATGTCAAACGTCTTCCTCTCCGGCTTCGACGGCACAATCACCGCGTCCACCTACGCAATCATAAGTTCCGAGTTCAATGCCGCGAACACAGCTTCGTGGTTGACAACCTCCTACCTAATCACCAGCACCGCCTTCCAGCCTTTATACGGTCGCTTCTCGGATATTCTCGGTCGCAGGGCTTGTTTCTTTACTGCGACGATTACCTTTTTGGCTGGGTGTTTGGGCTGCGCTGTTGCGAGGGATATTCTATTCTTGAATCTCATGCGCGCGTTGACGGGTGTGGGTGGGGGTGGTTTGATGACCATGGGTGAGTCTTGTCGCTTGCGCGAAATGAGACGTTATTTTGTTTGTCTAACATAGCCTGATAGCGACTATTGTCAATTCGGATCTTATTCCCTTTCGTCGGCGGGGGATGTATCAAGCTGTGCAGAATGGGTCTTATGGATTCGGTGCTATCTGTGGTGCATCGTTTGGCGGGGCGATTGTTGATTCGATCGGGTGGCGATGGTGTTTTCTTGTGCAGGTGCCTGTTTCACTGATGGTGCTTGTTCTGGGCTACTTTGTCCTTGAATTCCCTGCTAAGCAGCACCATCACCATGACTCGGCTGCTCAGCAGAGTCAAGGCATCTGGCACAAGATTGATCTGTCGGGTGCTTGTTTGCTTGTCCTCGCTCTCTCGAGTCAACTTGTTGGTCTGAGCTTGGGTGGCAATGAGCTTCCTTGGACTAATGTCTGGGTTATCTTGTCCCTAGTTGCCAGTGTGGTCTTCCTTGCTCTCTTCGTTTACGTCGAGGCGAATACCAAGGCCGTTCCTCTTATTCCGTTGAAGATGCTTCGTGGCGTCCTTCCAGTCTCGACTCAGATTGCGAATGTTTGCGTCGGGATGGCTGCTTACGCTGTAAGTTCTCGCCGGGTTGAAGAAAATTCAGGTCGTGTTACTAACTTTGAAACGATAGTTCCTCTTTACCATCCCGCTACTCTTCCAAGTCATTCTACTGGACAGTCCCACGAAAGCCGGTGCACGACTGGTCATTCCATCCCTCGCCACCCCCCTCGGCGGCCTGATTTCCGGGATAGTGATGTCCCGCTGGGGAAAATTGGCCTGGCTCGTACGTACCGGCGCAGGTCTGATGTTCATCGGTAACCTCCTCGTCACACTACTCCGTTTCGACGATTCGCAGTGGAAGTACTTTGCGTATATCATCCCAGCAAACCTCGGACAGGGATCGTTTACCCGGGAATCTTGTTCACCTTTCTGGCGGCATTTGATCATTCCGGTACGTCGACCACCCTCACCACTACCCCGAATTAGAGTCGCGAGTGGGTCGTGGAGACACTGAAACTAACCAATTTTCATAGACCACGCCGTCTCCGCCTCGACTGTCTACCTCATCCGCTCCCTCGGAACAGTCTGGGGCGTCGCAATCACCTCAGCCATAATTCAGAATACACTGAGCTCAGGCCTCGCCGAGGCCTTGAGTGAAATACCAGATAAATGGAAAGTACAATTCCGTCCACGAACCGCCGTGCCAATCGTAACCACAACATGAAAGAACCCGCTGACCCAATTCTTTTTCTTTTCATAGGTGATTGACGAAATCCGTCACTCTGTTTCGGCGATCCATGATCTGCCCCCAGACGCCCAGATGGCCGTGCGCCTTGTCTATTATCGCGGTATTCGCCTTTCATTTGGCGCATCGGCTTCGTTTGGGTTCATCGCTACCTTTGCTGCCCTGTTCACTCGTGGCAAGGGTCTGGAGCGAGCTGGTGGGGAATAAGGGTATTAAATGTCCTTCCTCTCAGAGCCCACCAGATGTTCAATCAGCGCGGCTCTTGCGCGTCGAGGAATGAAATTCTGATGGGTGTCTTGGTAAGTTGGATTGTGGGACCCAATAGGCCTGGGTCTATGGCCTTGCTTGAGAGTTGCGAGGTGGAGCCGAGGAAGTAGGAGGGGTCCTTTGTATGTCGATGATGGCTTAAGCCTGCTTCGGTAGAAAGGTCTTGCTCGAACTGGCAGTTGGTTACGGAGGATAGATAGGTAGATAGGATTTAGAGTATTTAGATGGTAGAATGGAGTGGTTCTAGTCCCAATATGCCCCCTCGAGGCTGGACAGGTGAAGCTGCAGCGGGGTTCGGCTGGGATGGGGATCCACTGGGGAAATAAAATGATTGAATTTGGGACCAATTTCCATGAATTGGAGATTTGGCTTTCAGATTTCTTATTCTTAATCCAGCTAAGGCCGTCCAAGCACTTAACTCTGCACCTTCCACAGTCGTACATCGGCAAGAAGACCCGGAAGTAAAAATATCATGATGATTCCAAGGTTTAGCCATTGCGAGTATGTACTTCTAGATAGAGATAGACATTCACAATCTAAGAAAGAAATCCCCCATCTACTAGCAGTATCTCTTAATTGGTAGTGAGAACTGCCACGCTAAGGTTAGGCAGATTGAAGCTGAATTCTCCCTTCTTGCCGGCCTTGATAGTGGTCGTCTTGCTGTTGACGATGTTCGCGCCACCAACTTCGTTCATGGAGAAAGCGTTGGGTGCGGTCAGGATCGTCAAATCCGCCTTGGTACCCCGTCCGACTCCTGAGAAGGTCAGTGACACTGGAACATCCTCGGTGCTGTTGTAAACAGCAGCCTTGAAGATGCGCGAGTTGCTTTTGCTGTCTAGACCGGTGGCGTAGTACAGGGGGCCAAAGGCATCCTCGGAGGTGGCTGGGAGTGTGTTTGTCATGTGGTTCTTGTTAAAAAGCTAAAGCTGTCAGTTAGTACATGCCGTTTGGTTAAAGGGTGCTTTGTTTGACTTGCATCATAGACATGGAAGCTGGTTGACTTGGCGGTGTCATCAGGGTTGGCATTGAAGGAGAGCATAGTCGGGGACCATTGGTAGGCATCCAGGTTCATCAGGAATGGAGCCTAAAATTTGTTAGTGAAATTCTCACCTTGTGAATACCTTTTCGCTGGAATTTCTCACATAGGTTGTTCCGATAATCTTGTCTGCGTTTCGCTCAGCTCCCAAAAGGAAAACCGCCTCAGAGACAGAGGCAATCCACCATGGGTACAAAGAGAAGTTGGTGTCACTCCAGTCAATACCCTTGCCGCCGTTGTTGAACTCCGTGGCGGCAATCTCACCAAGAAGAATAGGATGGTCGGGGCTGTAGCTGTCGAACATGTCGAACTTGGTGACGAAGTTGTCAGGGATATCGTACAAGTGGTAATCACCACCAGCCTTGCCCTCGAGAGTCATGTCGATGGTCGAAGCTAGAACTTGGATATCGGGATACTTCTCCGTAATGGCATCGTAGAAGGCGGCAAATCGGTAGGACTTGTAAGATTCCAGTCCGCTGTTGAGATTGTCCTCGTTTCCGACCTCGACGTATTTGATCGTCCATGGCTCGGGGTGTCCATACTTAGCACGCAGAGCACCGTATTTTGTGTCCACCGATCCAGTCAGGAATTCGAGCTCGTTCAAGGCATCTTGTACGTAGAAGTCAAGCTCATCCTCGGGGACTAGTTCTCCATTGAGAGCCAGACCGGCCCAGACGGCAAGGACTATATCATTCCTGATTAGTTTCTTCGGATTCTATTGAAACAGGCAGCTTGCCCAGGGGAGGAAATAGCTTACTGGGCTCCATTCCGAGGTCATCACACCATTCCATATACTCAACTAGACCAAATCCACTGGTCTCTTCATATTGCCAAGTTGTGGCACGGCCAGGGCGGTCCTTGAGGGGACCAATGGTCTCATTCCACTTCCAGCGGCCCGCGATGGTATCTCCTTCCAGGTTGTTTCCACCTGGAAATCGGAGGAATTTCTATCATCGAAATAAGTATTCGGAAATAATTTTTGTACCAAGATAATGAGATGACTTACAGGGCCAAGGTCCTTCAGGGCCTGCATCAGGTCGCGTCGCATGCCATTGGGACGATCGTTCCAGGTCGGTGGGAATAGACTGATCAAGTTGAAGTCAAGATAGCCATCCTTTGCTTTCTATTTAGGTTCATTGTCAGTCATTGTCCATAATCACTCTGCAAATATGAGTCTCACCGATCCATCAAATGACACCGAGAAGGTGTTCTTAGTGTCAGATGCCTTAGTCTTAGCCGTAATAGTAAACTCATGTTGCACCCATTTACCAGCAACACTCTTGGACTTCACAGTGGTGCTAGCCAGTGTTTTTCCGCTTGAGGAGGTGAGTGACGCGGTAAAGGAGCCAGAGTAGGAACCCTTGACATAGAAGGAACCCGAATATTTCTGAGGTCGCACGTCGATTCCCCAGAAACCGGCATTGCTGAGTCCCGCAGTGCTGCTTCCCTTGACCCGCACTGAGGTGGGGAGAGCAGAGGAGAGTGGATCACTGAGGTTCTGCAGAGACAAAGACGATCCACCCACAGCTGTCCAAGCATCCAGAGATGATGGGAACTTTGAGCTGCCTTGGAATGCTCGGTTGCGAACTAGTTCTGCGTACAGGCCACCTTCACCGCAATGGTTGATTTCCTGAAACAAGCTTGGTCAGCGTGAGCTGGATTGTTTCAAACAGGACAATTTACCTCTTCCATTGCTCCATATTGCAAATTGGTAGTAGCGTTACCACCCGACTTCGCAACAGAAATAGTCACAGCCGCGCTGCAGGTAGCCAGCAGGGGCAAAAGGATATATTTTTGTAACATGACTCAATTGAGAGCAAGGGCAGATGTAAACTGCGCTAATCCTACCCAGAATTGACTGTAGACACATTGAAACGAGGAGGTCGCATCGCGAGTATTTATGCCTGTCGGTTCCCAGCCCCGAGCAATGCCTATTCTGCGGGACAATTTACCCTTGATTGTGGCCAAGGCCACCCCCTCGTAGTCCGAGATCACGATCTGGGAGGGGGTGAGGAGTATCGGAGACGATCATTGCCAAAGAGAAAACATCGTCCTGCTGCTAGTTGAGAATTGCCGACGTTGAATTATCCGCATCGGGTAGATTTCCGTGGGGAGGTGCTCCGGACACTGCGAAACCACTCTAAGTATGGGGAAACATCGGCAGAACTGGTTAGTTCAAGACGCTAGGTATGATCCCTGTGCGCTCGGGTGATTATGTCTGCAGTACCACTACATTCGATCAAAAGCCAGGGTCGAAGGTCGGATTGAAGTTACATGACGAAGGCGGTGATTCTCGTGAGCTATTGGTGTCTTGTAGTGCTGCCAATGATTTTCGTCAGCGCCATGCGAGAAATGGTCTGCAGGTCCCGTTGGGGGAGCGTCATGATTGATGGGTTAAATGAGCTTGCTTTCTCCGCATCTCCGCAGCTGCAGAGCCTCCACTTTTTGGTACCTGGCCTGATCCAACAACGTTGCGTGATGTAATTGCCAAGGGTCGTGATGTAAGTATTGATGTGAGAAGTAGATTTTGGATGGGAGGAGGAAATTTAGAAATCATGATAGACGTCATTGAAAGCACCGAATCTGCTTTTCGGCCAAGTTATTCTGGGTGATCTATAAAGCCGGTGCCTACATTTTCGCGTGTCAAACAATAATCACCACTCAGTTCACAAATGACCCCAAGGACTTATCGGAGCACAAGAGGGGTATCCGGAGATTCCGATTGCAAGTGGACTACTACGCAGATACCCTTCAAAACAAGTACAATTGCCAAGAAATTAAATTAACCTTGGAAGGCATCTTTAGAGACAACTCCCAGTATGTTTCGTCAAGGTCCTAGAAATCCAACATGTTGCCTCTATTTCTCCACGCCATCAGTCTCGCCAATCCGCACCACATACTTGACAGCAGATGCCTTGCCAGCCTGCAAATCCAGCATCGCTCCTTGAAGCCCAGCCAATCCACCAGGACGTACTTCATATGGATGCCCCGAGAACCACCCCTGTGCCAAACCCCGGCCCATGAGCTGATAAAATGCAGCTGCAAACTCCGTATCTTCAATGGTCTTCCCTGGTGAAGCAGGGGCGTGAATATAACCAACAACTGCATGAGTGACTGAAATTCCCTCGGGCTGATAATCGATACCAGGCATCACAAGAGTGAGTTGTCCGGGTCCGGTCATGACTGTGCCAATATTCAAATAGCTTCCTTTCTCCGACACTGCATCGAGGGCATGATGAATAGGTTTTCCGCCAGCGGCGGCTTTGATATTCTCTCGTATGCTATCATCATCTTGACGGTAGTCGATGATCGTATCGCCTTTCTCGCGATTAATCAGGGTTTCGACAAATGCACTACCTCTACCCGCGACAACGATTAAGGGGTGGATGTTGGATAGCTGAGCGAGCTTGATGGCGAATGCTCCGACCGCAGTCGCTCCGCCATAAATTACGTATGGAAATGGCTCGCTGGTAGGGTTCCAGGGAAGAGGCAGGTTCGATCGCTGGAACATTGCGACGGCCGAAGTCATGGCAGCTAGGGGGGATTGTTGATGCCTCTGGTTGTGGTTTAGAAAGTTTCATTCTCTTCTAAGATGAACGTCGTTCAGGAACACTTACCCTCGAAGGAAGTATGCCCAGGAATGTGGAAAGTCGAAACACTCGGGGCGATCGCGTATTCTGCCCAGCTTCCGTGTGGTTTCATCACCTGGTGAAATGCGGCAACCCTATCACCCTTGTGAAATCCTAGGACATCATCGCCTACTGCTTCGATATACCCAGCAATATCGTCACCCTGGTTAAACAGAGCGCCGTCTGGTGGCCAGCTCAGAGCCATTTTCCAGTCTTTCGGATTGGATCCGGACACGACCACGCGAATTAGAACCTGACCGGCCTCGGGAACGGGGACTTCGGTGTCGCGGATGGTCACCGTGAGGTGCTTGTCGATAAATGCTTCTTTCATGGTGCAGCGATAATATGAAACACGTTGAAATTCCAGTGATTGATTGGCAAACAGTAATACGACACCTCCAGGGCTTGAGGGAGGTAAATAATATATACAAGTCGGAGATTGCGGCGTTAACATGGGGCGTACAATTAGGCCACCACACCAGTCAAAACTTAAAATCCGAGATAAATAAAGGTCACCTGGTCAAAGTTCCCTAGCCAATGAGTAATTACCATTGGCGACCATAAAGTATCACTGGCAGGATGCGAAGGCTAATACGGTCAGGCCAAGCACAGCCGAGTGCCTTTCATATAAATAACGTGTTTCACCACCTAGTTGGCAACTTCACCTAGTCGGCAGCTCCAAAACACATAGTAAATATGATAAATTACAACTTTGTAACTCAACAACAATTTCTATTTGGAAGGTTATTTTAAGGCATAGTATTCTAAATAATATTACTAACTATCTTGTAAAATATTCAATCTAAGAAATATTTTAATGGTGTAGAAATATATATTTATCTCTTGAACGAATAAATTACCAGGTATTTTTTGGAATTTAATAAGATATCTAGAAAAGTCTAAAAGAAATCCTACTGAGCTATTCTCTCCAGTAATAAGAACCTATATTAATAATTATAACTTAAAATATCCTTTTATTGTTGAGATATTCAAAGTCGTAATTTATCATATTTACTACATTTCATGGGGCTGCCGACTCGACTCGGTGGTGAAACACGTTATTTGCTATCTTCAAATGGTATTTAAATTCAAGCTACTAGTAGAAGCAGGTTGTTTTCTGATATTCAAAATTTGTTTTTACCATCTAACCTTGGAAGTCTGTATGACGAAAGCTCTGAGCAATCAATCCATCAAAATAAAGAATATGTAGTAGTTTACTAACTTGAATCTATAGTTACACCCATGGACCTGGGCAGAAACCACGTCATTTAAATATTTAAATCTAGATTGTTACCTAGGTATGGGGGCTCACTACTTCCATACCTAGGTATCTCATTGAAGCTTCAAACCCCGAGGTTAGAGTTATTTGAACAAGACCATGTAGATGAACCCGAGGATCCCTTGCTAGAAGCAATTATGCTCATGGCAGAACCGAAAGTACCGCAATCATCAGAAACTTTGACTTTACCATAATGATAAAATACCTCCAAACCGACGTAAGGGCCCATTTGCAAGATAGTTGCTCTCTGCCCTGTTTCCGATTACCGTATAGCCACATACAACCCACTGGCAGCAAGGCAGCTATGAGTAGTACCAAATCGCGAAAAATGGGAATGCCACTAGCAATCAAATCTTGGAGTATGTGCCTATATACACCAGAATTTGTCCGCCGGGTGGGACTTTTCTATCTAGTTCGACTTGATACAGTCCGACGATCTTGCACTAAGTCCGTCCTATCAGTATAGACGCGCTCGGAATCAGTTTTATCTCTTTACTCTTTTTAATTCTTTTTTGAAGTCTATTTGGCATGACGCCATGGCTTTTATAGTCAGTCTAGCCCTGAACTGCACAGCTGAATCGACCCGCGTATCTGAGAATACGCCGCTACCATTGCCCCCCTCTTCTCTACGTACTAATAGACTCATAGATAGACAATAAGAAGCTATATAAATGTGATTTTGACTTTAGTACGGCTTTAGTTTCTTCGACTTACTACAGGATACTAATTCTCCTCCGGCGTCATCGCAACCTGCCAACTGCTACACTTCCCTTACATTCACATACTAGTGACTACAGTGGATTCCTATGTCTTATGCCCGCCCACTAAAGTTCATTCAAGATATCTGATTACCCAATGCTCAATCTGACCCCAGTGACGATGCATTCTTGGCCACGTCCGCACTACTCTCCTCTGGAGTATGAGTGTTAGATAGTGCTGTCTGCAGAACGTCAAAAACAATGTAGCCTTGATCTCTAGGGCTACCATCACTATTTGAAGATACGAAGCTCTTCTCGGCCCTTTGGATTCGCTCCCTCACTCGTCCATTCAACCCCACAAAGGCCACTTCAGCATCTGGGCCGGCCCACTCCTTCAGCATGGATCTGGTATCTGCTAGAGCCTGCATCCCACTTGTGTCGATGTGTGTGACGCGCGTCATATCGATAATTACTGTGCGGACATGGGGAAGGAAGCTCTCCTCGTTGTTTGTTGTGCCTGCTTTCTTGCGCTGCTCTTCGATGCGTCTAGCTTTGGTATCATTCCAGAGTCTGTTGGTGGATTTTTCCGCATTTTGGTAGTCCTCTGTGGTCCCCGAAGGAGTTTCATGCGCTCCAGAAGTATAAGAGTAAATATACTCGGTAAACTGGCGCGTGATGCGAGCGGCGTTGGGATAAAGGACTGAATCACGCAGAGCAAATACAACCGTATCCTCGGGAAGCCGTGAGGGCAATGCGCTGTGTGATGAAGCTGGGTAGAGCTGTGAATAGTTGTCGTTTGTCACCATGTCCACTTGGGCGAATGCGAGCTGGAAAAGGACATAGACGATGCTATACCCAACTGCGCAGGCAATGCCGATCTCAACATCCACAAAGAGTGTTACCCAGAACGCAATCATGCTGCCGACGAAATCGGCAAAGGATGTCTTCCAATACTGCCAGAAAACCCGGAATGGTAGGATAATCTGCCAGACGGCGATGATGATGATGGCCGATAGTGTTGCAGAGGGGATCCAGTAAAAGGCATCTGTGAGCTTGTAAATGCTGACCAGAACGCAAGCAGTCGTCGCCAGGCCACTAAGAGGACTCTTCACTCCTGACTCTGAATTCACTGCAGTACGCGAGAACCCCCCCAGTGACAGGCATGCTGGAGAAGAAGCTTCCAACCAAATTAGCCACGCCAATATAGCTGAGCTCCTGGTCTTGTTCGATGACATAGCCGTGGCGACGACCAAATGCTTTACCGATAGCAAGATGCTCCAATGCGGCTGCTAGGAAAGGTGCGATACTGCGGCCTGCAGTTTTGACGAGTAGTTGCGTATCAGGAACAGAGGGAGCTATGATTCCTGTGCCAGTGACTTCTGAAATTCCGAACAGGGGATCGCTCTTGTGTGACTTATTTACTCCCCAGCTGATTGCTGTAAATATTATGAGAACAAGAGCGTTGCGAGCAATGGAGAGATACCACAGGCTTCGATACTTTTTGCCCCATTCGCGACCGACGAATTGTAGGACGAGTAGTAAGATGATGCTTGAGAAGCCCATCAAAAATGCGCGCCAATTGGTGTTTGGTAGTCGTTGAAAGAACACGCGAATTACGCCAGCGGTGTCACTGGCAGTCTTCCCTTCGCCAAATAGTCCCTTGAGTTGCTGGAGAACAATCGTGATTGCCGCGCCTGAAACGTAACCAGACAACACGGGGAGGGGAATGAATTCAAGGAGGAATCCAAGTCGAAAGAGTCCGAGAATCAATGAATATATGCCGACCCAGAAAGCAACTACAGTGGCAACAGACTCGGCTGCGTAGCCTGTCTTGACAAGATCTGTAACGATTTCTCCCGTGAGAAGACCCATTATAGCAGTCGGACCAGCAGTGACGTCTAAGCAAATTTATTTCAATACAAAGCTCTTTCCGACAAAACTAAATACCGGACAAGGCGACTGACCTTTTGAAGTTCCCATGATGGCGTAGATCAAGGTCGGCAGCCAGCTGGACAGGAGGCCGTAACGAGCAGGAATGTTTGCGACTTTGGCATAGGCAAGGCTTTGGGGAACGAGTAGAATACCGATCGTGATTCCTATCTCGTTCAGTGCAAATTAGCAATGAGCACTGAAAGAAGAATTGAGCCGTCGAGTGGCACCCTACCCGCAACCAAGTCACTCCATAACCACGAGAAAGAATATTTGGAAGACCACTGTACAACCGGGACCTTGGCTGCTAGATATTCTGCAGAGGCCTTAGGCAACCTCGGAAGATAGACCTTTGTGAGACTGAGAAACCGATTTAAATTGTCATCGTTTCGTGCAGCCTCTCTTAGGTCCCGAATTCGAGGACCAAGCATTTTGAAGCCTCGAGGGTTGTATATGAGCTGATTATTGATAAAAAAGGTGGCAACTCGAAGGGTAGGTGTCTAATCTCATACTATTCCTAACTTGAACGGCAAGTATGAGCCATTATGAAAGAGCTTGCGAGCCCTTGGTGAATATAACCAGCACATTACGATACACTCGGGTTGAGAAGGGCTGTCTGACATTTCGGGCAATGACCGACCAAATAAGTCTTAAATGAGGGTCGGATGGCGTGACGAAACATCTCTTGGCGTTGAAATATATCCCCCAAAGCTTGAAATGGCCATTCCATCGATCACAGAGAACAGGAAAGAGCGAATTAAAATGAATTGCGATGTTAACATCCCGCGTGGTGATTTCGCCACGTACAAATACTCCACTTTGCTCCACGCCCGGGATTCCCCCGATGGCAGCACGCAATTAAATATTTATATTCGCCAACCTCTATCTTATCAGAAAAAAACATCCTCCAAAGGTCATTTCAACATGAAGTACCTTTCAGTTGACGAGAGACAACAGTTAGTCGGGGACTATTTTGCCCCTCAGGGGCTGTATGAGTACACGAAGAGCCTCCCATTCCTCGGCCGTGTGAAGAGTGACATCTCTACGTTGGTCGCTGGTGAATGGACTGAGCTTAACCTAGACTATGAGGTCGGCGCATCGGGACTTGCAGATGGCGCCTGGATTAAAGCCACCTTCAAGTTCTACTCTGTAAGAACAGCCACACCCAGCCCACAAGCTGAGATAGAAGTCAACTGACAATATCACCGCCAACTAGGATTGGGCTCTTTTCCAAACCTCAGATCCCACCAAGGAAAACTATGTGAGCGCTGAGTATTTGCCCAATGAACTTGTTAGTGGGCAGTCAGCTGCGACAGTTCAATCGCTGGGAATTCGTTTTGATCAAAAGGGCCATGAAAGGCCCTTCCAAAAAGCCGTCATTGTGGATGTTCAAGATGGTTACCTCAACCCCGGTGATCGTATCCGTATCCGACTTGGTGATCGCCGCTTCGGTGGAAAGGGTACTCGGGTACAAACCTTTATTGAAAAAGACTTCCGATGGAGATTTTACATTGATCCTGTTGGAACCTCGTGAGTACTCGATTACCCTGTGGCACGGCGAGTGATGGGGAACTGACTGTATTGCAATAGTCGATTTGCACCAATTCAACCCGACATTTCTTGGAACATCATTCCTGGACCACCTCATCGCATTCAACCGGTCTCGCCGAGGTTAGTACGGCCTAATGTACCATTCGCAATCCACGCCCACGCGGAGGATAAATGGGGAAACGTGACTCGCGACCTTCAAGACCTGACTTTCAGGTTAAAGGTATCAACCGACGACTCTCAAGTACTATTCGAAAGGGAGCTCTCAGAGTTGAAATCGGGCTGGACGAATGCCATCTTTTCTGACATCCAGCTGGCTGCTGAAGGAGACTACACAGTGGACATCTCGCTGAACGCCAAAGACGGCCCCCTTCTGAAATCCAGTATTTCCCATGTCAGTGTCTCCTCTGATTTGAACGTGCCCAAGATTCTGTTTGGTGATCTGCACGTCCATTCGGATGATACCGTTGGTACCGAGAACTCCGCCTACAACTTTTCCTACGGCCGAGAGATTGCAGGTTTAGATGTCCTTGGGTACACTGCAAATGACTTTCAAATAACGAAGGATCACTGGGATGCTACGATAAACCTCATCAAGTCCCTCAATGAGTCCGGCAAATTTGTCATCTACCCTGGTACCGAGTGGTGTGGAAACTCCGCGGCCGGGGGAGATCATAATGTGGTCTTCTTAGAAGATCCCGAAGAATATCCGCCAGAGTTTCCCTATGATCGACACGGAAACGTTGCGCGCTCATTCGAATGGTCCGAGCACGGTCCAAAAGATCTCGTGCCGGGAGCTTGGCCTCTGGATGAGTTATACGCTACTTATGCTGGAGATGCCGAAAAACACCTTCTTATTCCTCACGTCGGAGGACGCCGATGTAATCTTTCCTGGCATCATCCTAACCTCGAGCGACTAGTCGAGATTGGCAGTGCTTGGGGGCAATTCGAGTGGCTCCTTCAGGATGCTGTTCAGCGGGGATGGAAGCTTGGAGTGTCTGCCAATTCTGATGAACACCGCGGCCGATGTGGTGGAGGTGTTTCTGGCACTGCAGTCTTCGGAACCCGAGGAGGTTTAACGGGAATTATTTCACCTCGACTCGACCGAAGCACGGTAGCTAAGTCCTTGAGATCGAGGCATACCTTTGCAACTACCGGACAGCGTCTGGTAGGTCTTGCTTCTGCTAGAACCAAAGACGGAATTGCTTTACAGGGCGATGAGATTGACGTTTCTTCCAACGAGAATTTGGACCTGGATTATCACTTCCTCGGTGAAAAAGGCTTCTCGTCCATCGAGGCGTTCGATGCATCTGGTCTGATCTGGAGCCGTCGGCTTTGGTCCGAGGGTCAAACCAGCCTGCCATCCATATTGAGAATCACATGGGGAGGAGCAAGGCTGTATGACCGCTATCGGGAGGCCGTTTGGAACGGCCAAATCACACTTTCCCAGGATGCTGCGGTGGAAAGGGTACTCCCCTTCGGTGGATTTGAAGACAACCCAGAGGATTTTGCTCGAGTTTCTGGAAACAATACAGTGGAATTTTCGAGCAAAACTAGCGGTGACATTGATGGTGTGAACATCTACCTCAAAAGCAACGAGACACCATCTACAATAACGATCTCTGGCTCGCTTGGTGGGTACGTCAAAGTCGGAAATCCATTGTCTGGAAACCCACACAAGCCTCAACCGAGCTTCAACATTGAAGCAACTTGGGAGGAAGTCTCGACTGTCTCTGATGGAAAATACGTTGACATCCGAGGTGGTGCGGGTCTTTTTGTTCGAATTGAAGCCGTGCCAGACCTCAATCTGCCTCGGCGAGTGAAAGGAACTCTCTCGCTTCCTCCCAACTCTCAAGAGTCCCGCTCTGTCTATTTAGTGGGCCGAGAATGGAGTAGTGAGAAAGTCATTACGAGCCCACTGTTTATTAACTATAAGTAGGGGTAAATCGTCGCGATACTATAATGAGAGTATTCTACCACGTAGTCTAACAGATGTAGCCATGAGTCTGCAGGTGCACTCTCCACACCTTCACTTAGAACATCTTGAGCATGTTTGCCCGAGTTCTCCAAGGGACGTTGTATAGTATAGGCAGGTCTCGCTCCAGGGCAAAGTATCGCCAACGGTCGTGGGCCAATCTACACGGCCCATGGGGACAGTGGCGGTGTGATGGACTCAGGTGGCTTTGAGAAGATACTGGAACTACATATGAATCATTCCAAGAGAAGTGGAAAGACAGTCCATTTTCTTTCAATATACATTGATCATAGCCAATCCTAAATCCGCCCGATGCGCTCGGGTCTTGCCAGTCCCCTTAGGTCACGGTGAGATGAGCAGAATCTGAAATTTGGGGTAGTATGTGCAGTCTGCAATGTATTCGGCATGAATTAGTATTGATTTCTAAAATTAATATCCGTTAAACATGTAACCCAGCAGTGGTTTTCCAGCAAATAGTTGCAGTGATTGGAGGAATGCGACCATCACCCCTCTTTCTGGACCCCCTTCTTTGCATGGAATTTGCGTCACACGGGATAATTAATGAAGATTTCGTTGGGCGCGTGTGCCCAAAGAGGTGATATTGATGGTGCACAGACATTAGTTCGGTCGAGTGGGCAAGCTAAATCACCTCAAGTCACTAAAGATAGTAAAAGTGGGCGCTTAGAGACTGCCAATCACTGGCCCCTTCACACCCTCCCTGTGGCCCGAGCAATTCGTCACATCAACAACTCCTCTGATTTGTTGTGAGTCAAGGTAAGTCCTCCCAAATGAACCCAGCCCCGCTGTTCATAGCAGACCAAATTTGCTGGGCATTTGATTCCCCGACCAGGAGTTGACACTGGGCGACGCGCCCATACCGCATTTGCACCAATTAACATGTTTTCTGGTCGCACTTTCGGCCTTCAATAATCATCCAAGACGAGCTAGTGGTGCCCAAGCCTGCAGTAGCCCCACCTGGCGACCGTGAACAAGGATCGACTCTTCGTCATGCACATCACCCCAGGGCCGGATACGCGCCCACTCGATTATATAGACCTTTCTCACGGCCCGGGCACTTCATAGGAGTTCGCGTCTTTCTTTTCGTCATATTCATTCGTGTGCTTCATGCTCTGGTAGCTTGAGCATTTTATTTCTATTTGTTTTGAAACTTTTTTGACCCGTTGATCGGTGTCGATGCATTTTCCTGCTATTTGAAGATACCCATTTAGAGCCTCTCAGCGGTATCCGCACTCACCCCTACGGCTTTTCTTACCTTGTTCTTTTTTTTTCTCGTTTCATCTCCAAATTCAACTAAATATCCAGGTGGATACTCAAAATGACAGAATTTGTTCGCCCACCTCGATTTCCGCCCGTCCGGCAGGCCCGGGGGACGGTACTTAATACTATAATCGAAGATACGCGCGAGATCCTCGGTGAAAAGGGCGCTGGTAGCCCTCCTCACACAGCCAAGCCAGCGATCAGCCCCAAGTTGACGCTGAAGACAAACGGACTCTACGTCCCGACACATGCTCGGCTCGCACGTTTATTGTCGCCTCTTTCTGCGGACACGACTTCCTCATGCTCCGATATGGAATGGCAAGAACAGATGCAGGGCTTCGACGATCTATACGATGCCACAGATGATGAGGGTAGTATGGACGACGATCACTCCACGGATATTAGTGTCAGCGACAGTTGCTTTTCCGCGCCAGGGACCAGGCCCTCCAGCTTGGTGACACCAATTACCCGGAATTCCGTGACCTCAACGGGGAGTAACCGCAAACGCGCGCTGACCCTGGATATCCCATCGTCGCCCTCGGCGTGGCACTCCGTGAACGCATGCAAGTTGAACTCCCCCATCCCTCCCACTCCTCCGCCAAAGATTCCAGTTTCGCCCGCGGCACTCTTGATGCTCGCTCGATCAGTACCTGCTTCGCATGCCCCGCCCTCGCTTGATGGCAGTATATCCTCCGATCAAGAGTCTAATCTGAGTGCACTCGCTACTCCCGATACCCACTCGCTCCCGGATACAAATTGGGATGTGCATGATGTCCATGTTCGACCTGATCTTGATGGAAATGAACGTGGGGACCTGCGAAGCGAGGGCTCCAGTCCAAATATCGAGGAAGTTCCAATTGCTCTTGAGAATCCCCATGAGGACTGGAGGAATGTTCTCGGCCAGTTCCCTCGGATTCCTTCAGCTTTGGAAAACGATGCGGTAGACGAGCCATCTCGAGAGCCAACTCCATCGGATGGTGGCCTCTTCCTACCCGACAGTGCCCTGGCTATGCTTCAGCATATCCCTCTCAACGGCACACCCGAGGCATGGTCAGAGACCTCATCAAGTAACGATGAGATGTGGCAACTTCAAGCACCGCCTAGTCGACCACGCAGTGCTGAGGGAGCTACCCCGGCGTCGGATTTATCGTCGTACAGCTTCAGCGAGCTCAGTATTCCATCTCCGGGCGGATTCTTTGCTTCACTTGCCCCGCGGGCCCGTCACACCTGGTCGATTCCGAATCACAATCACCCACCGACGTCTGCCACTGCCGAGGGTTTCTATAACCTGCCATGGCGCCAAGAGCAAGGTCAAGTCGTCGAGCAGGTCATTGATTGGCCTGACCGTCCGGAGGAAGAAGATCCAGACACTGCCATCCGCGACGGTGATCCTCTGACTGCAATCCGGGTCCCCTGTGACACACCGACTCAGGTTCAACAAGCTCAACATCGCGATAGTCCAATGAGTGCAACCTTCGAGGCAGTCCAAGAGATTCCTCGCTCGGCAAATGCGTATGAGTACGATGAGTGTTACGACAAAGACCTGCAAGACCGTGCTGCCGACAACCTTGACCGCACTAGTGTCTGGCTCGCGGCTCAAGCAACCTACATGGCTGTCTTGAACGAGACCAACCCTGTCAATGAGATCGAGCCAGTCAAGACCCCAGATGTCGAGTATGAAGAAGTGCTTCGCGATGCCGATGCCGGCCCCAAGAAAGCAGTTCGCTTCGTCGAAGGTATACCAGAAGCCATCAGCCCCCGTCCACCCATCCTATCTAGCAAAGATTCGATCTACTGGCGAGGGTTCCAGTCAATTCGGCAACGAGCAGACAAGATGGATGGCTTCCTCCATCGCAATATGCGCTTTGATGCCATTCAATCATTCCGCCTGGGATTGATTGATATGCACATAAATTGTCTGACAGGCAAATATGAGCTCGTCCGCGCCGAGCGACCAGCATACAAGGGCCCGTTCTCAAAGGCTCCCCGGAACTCGATCATCACCACAGTCCTCGCCGAGAAAGCTCAATTCTCCAAGCTTGAGAAGGAGCAGCTCGTCCTGGCCCAGCTCTGTCAACCTATGTGGGCGATGGATGCCATGCGCTCTCTCAATGGCGGGAAGCTCCTCACCAGCCCAGCAGCCAAACAAGTCAATCGAAGCCGTCGGTCATCCAAGACCCCCGATGGACAGAAACGAGCAATCCGCATCCTAGACCTCGGTGGCCACTCCTCTTGCGAGTGGGCCTGGCATGCTGCACATGAATTCCCCCATGCAAAAGTATACTCAGCCGTCACAGAGAACCAAGTCGTGAACACCGGCATCAAAGGCCCCCGCAACCACCGCACTGTCTCGGTGTCTAAGCTTTGGGAACTCCCCTTCAAGAACAGCCAATTTGATGTCATCAGCACGCGCTCCCTGCACGCTCTCCTGAAAACCGAGTGTCCAACCGGTCTCGACAGAGACGAATACGATTTGGTCTTGAAGGAGTGCCGTCGATGCCTCAAGCCCGGCGGATATCTGGAATTCATGCTCTTGGACGCAGAGATCTCGCATCCGGGTCCGCTGGCCGCGGCGTCTTCGGTCGAGTTTGCCTTCAACCTCCGCACTCGCGGCTACGACCCTGCCGCGTCGAAGAACTTTCTTTCCCGACTGCGCGGCACGGGGTTCGTCGACATCAAGCGTGCATGGATGTATCTCCCCATGGGCATGGAGCCCAGCGAGCCGCAGATTCCGCGCGAAGCTCCTGCTCCGCGTGTGCTGAGTCAGATCGAGGAGTATGAAGCTGTTCAGGGTCCGGTTGGTAGTACGGGCGATATTGCGAGTATTACTGGTGTTTTGGGTGGGTGGATGTGGGAGCAGTGGCTTGTTCAGCTGCGGATGGAGATGGGTCGGGATCGGGCTAAGTTGTTGGAGGGGATTGGGGCTATGTTCGATGAAGGGAGGAAGAATGGTGCAGGCTGGACCTGCTTGTCTGGATGGGCTATGAAGCCGAAGAGGAAGCGCGTTTCTCACCACTAGGGTGAGGTGAATGATTCATGTTGATACCCTAGCTACTTGTGCCCTGGTGGCCGTTTAATGTAATCCGAGATGAGAGATGCCAATTTAAGTCCTATGTAAAGTATATCCTCCGTAAATGATTGTCTAGTTCCGAGGTGAAAAAAAAAGTGACGTCCCGCATCCCTTGTAAAACTACTAGTGCTAGTAACTTCAATGGCGCAACACACCCCCAACCTTCGAGTTCGAAGTAAAGAAAAGCTCACTGGCCAATTTCAGCCTTTCTTATCTATATAGTAGTCTACCTCTTAGGTAGCTGGTTTAAACGTTACCATATTGATTTGGCACTAAATCCAAAATCCGAGATGCAGCTGTAGATGACTAGATGATTTGGCAGAGATCAGAACCAGGCCAAAATTCCAGATCTCTTAGGCCACCACAAGGCAGTCTCATTTCACATCTCTGTTTAGTGTTAAGTCACTAGCATCTCGCCCGACTCACAGCAAGACCATCTCACCACGCTACTCGCATCGAACTAACAAGGACTAACCTCTTGGCGTCCCGCAGACTCAATCCTGAAGAAATACAACCGGGGCGTGACTCAAAACTTCACGATATCGATGCTGAAAGATCTGCAATACGTCATGATGGAGATCTCATCGCCGCCAAGGGCAGGTGTAGCGTGGCGTAGGGCCATTATGTAGTCAAGCCGGTCGGAAGAAGTCGCCTTATCTCGGCGCAGTTGCACTAGATCTGCAGAGCACACATGCAAATGTGAGTCTTTCTGAACAATTGGTAGCAGATTGTCGGTCATGCAGGTGGACTAAGCTTAATAAGAGCATGGTCCGCGGCGCGATCTAGAAGCTACCCGGGCGATTTGGGCGATCTATACAATTTAGTAACCGCGGGAGCCAGGGAAAATGGCAGTAATCTTAGAACAAAGATCCGCAGACCTGTGTCGCGATATTCCGTTTATTATTGCGGAATTGTTGCTGGATGTACGTGTTATATCGCACGTCCCGCCCTGCTGGCAATTGGATGTCGCTGATTGTCGCTCCTAGGTGATTACTATCATTACCCCTCTCCAGGGCCTGTGGTGGCGTAATCTCAACGAGGATGGCTTGAAGGCACAATTTGGAAGCTGTTGGCGAAGTCCGATCGTAGAGGATCTGGTGTGGTTTCTTTGCGGGCTTTTCTGAAAGTTAAGTATACAGCATTCGCGGTGTTTGTGAAGTCACCATGACCGAGTCATGCATGAACCTTGGTCAAGATGTATTGTAAATTAACTGAATATTGTAAGTAGATCTACGAGTAACTACTCCGTAAACCTGTCCATTTTACTGCATTTCTCGTCCCGGCAGGGTCATCCCAGATAGGAGAACCCGAGAAAATGATCTATCGATGATCTCAACACGTGCAGCCCAGGTGACGATCCAAGTTAATTCGAGCAATTGTGTGTCGGAACAAGTCTCCTTCAAAACGGTTGGGAGGTCTGGTCTGGTCTGGTCTGGTCTGGTTCGGGGCGTATGTTGGTGGGAAGAGTAGGGCCGGACTACAGTGCGCCGAGGTCGTCCCCGCTCTGGTTTGGGTAGGCAAAGGAGCGGTTATGCCGGCTATTGAAGCTCGTGGGTTGCCCCTGGGGTGTCTGGAAGGGGATTAGTGAGGGACAGCACTGCAGCTAGCAGATTTTTATTTAGGTTGGGCGCAGATTTCCGTTCGCTGCGTTTCCGATTATCCGTTTGCTAAGTACGGAGTACAGAGTACCGGGGTAAGGTGCGGCTTGCAAGGGGTTGGCTGGGGATGAATTTCAGGACTTACTCTTGTTTATCCTTGGAGATGTAATTTGTGGCAAATGTTTATACAAAGAGAGTACTAGTAACTATACTCTGTAGTATTTGATTGGTCTATTGAATATAGCATTTGGTATACTTCGGAATCGATTGGCGGGTGGAGGTCGGCCCTTCGCCGACTTCCAAGATTCGACTCGGATTCCAGGCGATTCCCCCAATCATCTTAGATCGACGCACCCCTGTCGATGGTCAGCCGACATGCGGAATTTTAAACACTAGACCCGGTTGGTGAGAGAGCTTGGGTTGGGGAAGGGGTCTTTTACAAAGTACTCGTATAATCCAACTTTGAAGTGTAAAACGGAGTAGTTGACCACGGAATCACCGAAATGGGCAATCCAGCAAAGCGGACCAAGGCAAGTCCAATATGCGGACAATGAATGGAGGTGAACAGAATGTCGAATCCACCTGGTGGGGTTATTGCAGCAAAGCTAACGCGGGATGATTGTCACTGCCAATGCCGCACGTGAGGCTCGGAGCCCTTATCACCGGTTGCATCATTGAAAACTTTTGGTTTCGTGCCGGATGCGGCGATTGGGAGAAGTGGTAAGTAAAGGGACATAATTGAGGGCATTCATATGTATTATTCAGGATGTATTCCGTAGGTGTATTAGTATTAATGCCAGGGGTACGTATGGGGATTCCAAGCATCTTACGGTGTACAACGGAGTAAGGATATCCACCTGGGGGGGGTTGCCACCGCATCCAATGTAAACAGAGCTTGACCTCGACATCATCTCCCCTCCTGATCTTTCTTTCCTCCACATCCACTTCATTCACATCCCACTACCCCTCCATTCCCCTTCACAATGACACCTCCCGCTATTATTGCGCCCTCCATCCTGAGCGCCGACTTCTCCAATCTCGGCCATGACTGTTCCCGCAAGATGGAGCAAGGCGCCGACTGGTTGCATGTCGACATCATGGACGGCCACTTCGTCCCTAACATGACCATCGGGTGCCCTGTTGTCTCTCAGATTCGTGGCTGCGTCGATAGACCCCTTGAACCCTGCGCTCGCGGCACTTTTGACTGCCACATGATGATCATGGAGGTAAGGAGCTTCAGCCCCGCTATCGGCAGCTTTTCATGCTAATCACCACCCATCCAACAGCCTCACAAATGGGTCCACGAGTTCAAGAAGGCTGGCTGCGATCTCTACTGCTTCCACTACGAAGCCGCCGTCTCCTCCGTCGCCGCGACCGATCCCACCGACAAAACCACCACCGCCCGCACTTCTCCGCGCGAATTGATCAAGTACATCCACGAGGAGGGCATGCAAGCCGGTATCGCCATCAAGCCCGATACTCCCGTTGATGTTCTCTGGGATATCCTCGATAGCACCGATGTGAACGAGCGACCAGACGTGAGTCCCCCCCCCTGCTCCCGATTTTATCCTCCGCACCTCCAGCTAACATTTACTCCGAATTCCAGATGGTCCTCGTCATGACCGTCCACCCCGGTTTCGGCGGCCAGAAATTCATGGCTTCTGAACTTCCCAAGGTCTCCGCTTTGCGCGCCCGGTATCCCGATCTTAACATCGAAGTCGACGGTGGTCTGGGCCTGGGAACGATCGACCAAGCCGCCGAGGCTGGCGCGAATGTCATCGTGGCGGGCTCTGCGATCTTCGGTGCTGCCGACCCAGCTGATGTCATTGCAAAGCTGCGCGATGCTGTTCAAAAGCGTCGGGGCATTGAGGCATAGGACTGAGCTTTACTGAGCTCTTTTCTATTCTGCTTTGCGATGTGTTCTGATTTGCCTGGTGGCTATTTATTCCATGCAGTAGCCCCGCATTGACGCGGGGTTGCGCATTGCATGCTCACATACATTTACACAAAAGGGGTTTGGGTGTTTTGATTTGCGATATTGGGCCGCGGTTGGGTTTGTTCTTTTCTATTCGGTTCGGTCTTTTTTTTTTCCATTTATTTACTTTTACTGTGCTGGACTGGGATCTATGTGATTGTAATCATGAGCTACGATGAGCAATGCAATGCAATGCAACGGTTGACTAGATCCTACAACTGAGACTGAATTGAGCGATCGCCAGGATTCTCAAATTGGTATCTCACTAATGGTATGCAAATGGTACATTGCCTCATGTACAGTTTCATCAGTCGTAAATGGTATCACCTTACTTACTCCTTGCTAGCAGACGGGGCTTCGGTCTTGGACGCATCCTCGGAAGCATCCTTGTCCTCTTCCTTGTCCTCCTTGACGTCCTCCTTGACGTTCTCCTTGACATCCTCCTTTTGGGCATCCTCCTTCTTTCCCTCATCTTGTGCCTTTTCCTTCTCCTCTACCTCCTCTACCTCCTTGGACTTATCACTCTCAACAGCTGGCTTCTCCTCAACAGCTGGCTTCTCCTCAACAGCTGGATTCTCCTCAACAGCTGGATTCTCCTCAACAGCTGGCTTCTCTTCAAAAATTGGGACCTCCGAATGCTGCTTCAGGGCTGCCTCCTCCCGCAGCGCCTGCACATCACCAGGTTGGTGATCACCCGAGATAGACTGCCGAATCTCCTTGACAACTTTATCCTGGTCGCGCTCATCATTAGCAGAAATAATCGAGCCACGATGATGCTGCACAAGGCCCAACATCTCCGCATTCCCGACATGGAAGTTCGCCGACGACATAGCTGCATCTTCCGGAACCACCATGGTAGGTCTCTTCAGGCCCTTGGGCGAGTCGGGCGCGGTATCGGGGAGTTCTGCCGCGACGGAGCCTCGGTGCGCTTTGGTGAGTGACGTAGCTGTCGGTTCCTTGGGTGTTTTCTTCTCGTCAGCCTTGGTCTTTGCCTGCGAGGCGGCTTCCTGGCTAGCTTGGCGGAGGGCTAGGACGGCCATTTCGTCCTTCTTTTCTTCCTTTGCGGGTGGGCTTTGGATCTTGATTGTGGAGGGTTTGGGGGTCTTGGGCTCGGGTTCGGTCATGGTGGTTGGGGTTGGGTTGCTTGTTGCGGGCATACCGCCCATGTCTTGGACGCTGTTTACCACCATGCGCAGTTCGCCGAATTCGTTCCATTCTTCGACTTCTTCTAGGTCCTGAGAGGAATTAGTTTGTGTTCGTATAGGTTAAGTGCTGCCCTGTCAAAAAAATTTGAAGATGAGGGGCAGAGAGGGAAATGTGGAGGGGAGAGGGGCATGCAGGGGTCCAGGGGGGGGTGGGATTGGAGGACGCGAGGGGTAGCATACTCCGACAATATCTCCATATTTGACTAGCCCGGGAAGTTTCTTGCCCTTGGAGCGACGACCCCAGAGTTTGCGGGCGGCTTCGTCTGTTGCGACATCAATGGCTCGAAAGGGGAGCTTGTTGGCCTTGAGAATGGTCTCAACGCGGGCAGTCGCGGTGACGATGTGCGACGAGCCCGCAGTGAGGGAGGTGTAAAGGTAAAGGGTTGAGTCGGACATTTTGATGAACAGCAGAACGAGCTGGAGAGAGGCTCAAGACTCCACAAGGAAGAGGAACAGTGACAGTAACAATATCTGAATGATTAATTGGAGAAGAAGAATGGCTTCACCGTTGTTTGGTTATGACGTGGCCGGTCACGTGTTTACTTGCGGCTTTACTTTGACTCTTCTTTTCTGTTTTCCTCTTTGATTCCACCTACGCAATATTTCCTATACTCAAAATATACTCATTCAAGCTCTTTCTGAACACATACCCCCCCCGTGGTTCAAAAAAATCATTCCCATATGCAGTACTGGCGGATGCCCCAGCGTGGCGATTTTGACGTCAGCCGTCCCCGCGACCCTGGATTGCCTTGAAATTCCAAGGTTGACACTCGGGTTGGATGGGACTACGAGCTGGACTATCTACTATGAAGAGTGACCGCAATGAAATTTTCTGGTTTGGATTCGTTCAACCCACGTGGTTGCAAATATTCATTTTTGAAGAGCTCCCTGCTCACCCTCACAGCACTTAAAGATCAGCCATACTATATCGACTCGGTGGGTGCGATCGTCTTTATGATCCACTGTGGTAGGGTTTCGTATAATGCATAACGCTGGAAATCTCTCTCTGATTGAAGAACAGCAAAAAGTACAACGAAAGGACGGCTTGAAGTTTGGGTTTTTATAGTCCACCCTCTCCCAATGGCGAATGTGGGACTGTTGTGCAATTTTCCCGATATCATAAACTTTGAACTGGAGGAGACTAGATGTCTTCAAGTTCCATGGTTTAATTATCCCGTTCGAGACACATTAGGTAGTTTATATATGAGAGCTCGGAGCTTTCCCTCAGTTTCAATTCCAGTTGAACTTCCAGCCCTAGAGGGCTTCCAAGGTTGGAACTTGAAATCGCGACAATCTTGAATCTCTGTGGCCGCTTCAGGTTGGTCCGAACTCTCGATTTATATGGATAAAGATAAACACGGCATGGCTCCCTTTTCAGGACATCTGATCTAAACATTGGAATTTGAACATTTTGATGATTCTGGAGAATCCATGGCTAGTTTCAGGTCCTCTTTTTCCGATATAACAAACGATATTTGATCTAAATGGCTTAGTGTCATATACTATGTGCTGCACCACTCTGGACACATCATGATATTTTGAACAGCGATATTTCAAGTTGGATTGCGGACGTCTAATTCCGCGCCAGCTTGCCTCTTCCGGGGGTCAAGTGCCACTGGCAGGGGACGCGTGAAAAATTAAACCCCATCGTTGCCAAAGTATTCGACTTGCTCTACTACCACTAGTAGTACCCATCTAGGTATCTACCAGCATGGAACTGCTAATGATACCTGCTCCTATTAGTGTCCGTTTGAAAGATTCCCGTTATCACTGTGAGCGCATGGAGACCGATCACTGTCCTTCAATAGACTTGGGGATCTGATTGGAGCTTCTCGTGTGGAGTCGAGACGCCTGATCCGAGCGTTATTTATGTATGGAATTAGATTAATTGTGTACTTCTGGTAGTGGTAGAATTTAATGACGCATACAACCCTAAATGGTCGATTCGAAATTGCAATGGCTAACACTTTAACTTGAAGATTTCTTTTTTGAGGCCACTCTATATACTAGTATGGTTCAAGTTCCCAACTAGAATCCCTCCCAGTGTCAGTGGATGTTGAGATTTTCAAGGTGTTGCATACCATTTGAATGTTCAAGGAACCTTGTATAGTATACTAGTATTTTTCACCATCCATGAATCATGGTCACCGAAATAAAGCACAGAATTCCAAGGTTTCAAGTTGTCTTCAAGTCCATCACATACAACCTTGGAATGCAGCTCTTATCCATATAAAACAGACTGGAGAGCTATGCTTCAATACTGCCCAGGTGGTATGGATTTTCATGCTTGCTTATCATTGTAGTCTTATGGCCTAGATGAAAATTATGGGCCCACTGTAATTTCAAGTAGATTCGACATAGAATCAACAGAAGCGTCCCATAGGTCAGGTTCTTAAGCACTTGCCTGAATGAAGCCTAGCTATGCTCTGAGTAAGAGATCAGAGCACAAGGCCATTTTCGAGACATGAACACTTGAGTTGAGAAATATTATAAAGCTTCAAGTTTCACGATGAATTGCAGGAAATAAGCGAGCCGTTTTCGACATTGTCATTGATCCCGAAAACACTGGTCATAACAATTGGATGGCGAACTGGTAGGGATGTTGAAGGTCTTGCGTCTTGGAAGGACGCGAAGGGACTTATTCTCCGCTTCGAGCCGGATCGAGACGAAAGACAGCGCCAAAGGGTGGCAATAGTGTGTTATTTGTCCCCATATCTGAGTGACAGGGGGCGAAAAAGCCTCTGACCTACTTATACTGTACTCCGAGTCTGTATTCCAGCGCAAATTCATGGATTTCCGTTAGCCTCTATTCCAGCGGAAATTTGCACCATATGACACAGATAATCGATGACTTTTGGGTTGAAAATAGGGGTTTTCTTTGTAGAGGCGGCCATTAGTGTACCTTCAGGCATGTAAATGAACATGCTCGGGTATAATGATGGTTTTGAAGTAGGCTGTGCAGGGTTACGTGTCCAATGAAGAACCCCCACGGTGCGGTCAAGGCTTCCTGGAAATTTTATTTCAGCAAGATGACTGAAAAACTTCGCACGCTTCATTCAGGCCGCAAACCGATTTCTTCATTTATTGGACATATCGAATTCAAGACCCGGGATAGTTCAGGGCTCCTGTTTCGGGACCAAACTCAGCGTGGATAAGGAGGTTAGGCGATCATATTTCTGGGAACTTTGTGGTCTCACCCATATCCGATACAGACTAGACTTAGGCAATACTTGCACCCCTGGGGTGCTTCCGTGGCGAACAAAGCACCTTTAACTCCGCTGCCGCAAAAGGCGTAGCGGTCTGCCTCGCCCGAGTCTGCCTTGCGCTGGCAAATCCCCAAATTGGTATGGATCATTCTGTGTGCTTCACGCGACCCCCTGGCTGCAGAAATTGCGGTCCTTTGTCATAAATTGGAAACCTTGCCGCAATGATTGTTGTGAGCTCGCCAATGAGCAAAGCCCGCGGCATCGGAAATGTCTTCTCTAGCTGCAGGCATCAAGCCACTCATAAGCAGGTGGGTCCGCACAGGCCGCCCAGCTGGGCTGGGCTAAGCTGCTCAAATATCTCGATTTCACCCGACCATCTGTTCATAACATTTTCGGCGAGCGAAGAGTGTCATGAGAATGTCTGCTGTTCAACTTCTCTATGACCCAGCCAAAAGAAATCACTGAACAATGATCTCAAACAGTTGAAGAAACTAATATCTTTCCTAGTGTCATACTTATCTTGGTTCTTATTTTCATACGTTTCGAAGTCAGTGTATTGGATGTTGAACCATCAACATGCAACTATCGTTTGTGAAAGTGATTCGGCTGAACAAAATTTCTTCATTCATCTCACGTTCAAATCTCTCTCTACTCCACCATATAATGTGACGCCAAAATGGAATGCTTCTATTCATCCCCTCTATTTCCTCATATCTATCGTTGCTCACCTGCAAGGCTATGATTTTATTATATATCCAGCACGAGGAAACGAACGGTAAAGCACAGCACACCAAGGACTAATTGGACGAAATCAGACGGTCTACCATTATAGGCACCTGGGCAGGCTCCCTCGCTTGTCAGATAACCATGAATGAATGGACCTCAACGAGATCTCAAACGACATTGTCTTCCCAATCGATCTATCATCAAACGTCTTCGGTGAAATTTTTGAATACAAACATGTTTAGGCAATTTTAATAAAGTCACAGTCAAACCAAGTTTTGTCCATCCTAACCACACTCCCGGTTTTACACACAACATTTGAGAAATCAGACGCAGACGCAAACAATTTTGGATTTATATGTGCCAGCTCAGGCACCATGGTTTAGTTCATGACCGGCACGTATGTGCTCCATCGCTTTGTCCCTGCGCTTGAACCTACCCCCGCAGAGAACGCAAAAATACCAGTCGTGGGGAATGTGTTTGATCTGGATATGTCTCCAAAGGCTGCTCTTTTGAGTGAAGGGACCCCGTGAGTCACAGGATCCCCAACCGCATAGCCAGGGACCGGGGGCGCGAACACTGTGCACTGTTAGTCCGGGAATCCCCTGGGAACTGTGGTGATGACCCTGAACGCAAACTCACTGCTCAAGCATCTGTGGAGATGCTGGTGTTGCTACTAGCTCCTCATCCGCCTGAGGCTGCAAGTTGCTCTCCTGAGGCACCCCGCTTATCCTATACATTACGACACCGCTATTGCCATGGGCGAGCGTGACGTCTGGCTGGTAGGTGGTAGCGTGTCCTATTTCTTGGTCAAGCCCTCCGTCACTGATGACATAGGGGTTGTAATTAAGGGCTTGTGACACAGGCAATGGAGGAATGACACTATGCGCCATTAGCCTAAGAATCTCCTGGAAACTGCGATGACGGCCCTGGACGCAAACTCACTGCTCAAGCATCTGTGGAGATACCAGTGCTGCTAACTCTCCCTCTGGCTGCAAACAGTTCCCTTCAGACACCCCGTCCATCCCATACATTACGACACCGGCGTTGTTGTTGTTGTTGTTGTTGTTGTTGTTGTTGCTGTTGCTGTTGCTGTTGGCGAGTGCGATGTCTGGCTGGTCGGTGGTAGCGTCTCCCATTCCTCGACCGAGCCCTCCGCCACTGATGGCACGAGGGTTGAAATTGAGGGCCTGTGAAAAAGGCATCTGGGGAAACACACTGCCATTGAATCCTGTCGATGTGTCATGTTCAACTGAGAAACGGCTCTGCATGAACCCCGATCCATTCACCTCCCCCGTCGGTACCACCATACTCCAACTCGGCTGCATCCCATAAACTTGCGTCCCGTATGACTGAGCTCCATGTGTCTGATACATAGGAGGAGGTGGACGAGGTGGAGGAGATGCGGCAGCGGCGTGGTAGACAGGAAGACGGCTGGCCGGTGCCGCTCGTTTTGGCAATCCAACACCGTCGGCGGAATCCTGATTTTGACCACCACGAGGGTCAATTTCACCAAAGTTCTGAAAAGCCATTGTTCGAGTTGAAGGGCTTCGTCAAATAATGGGGAGTAGATCCGTTGGGACTGGGGGGGCTATCTGGGGGGTGCTGGATGAAGGGGAAAGAAGGAAAAGGCACGCGGCACCGGCACCGTCACCGTTCCTGAGCTGCCCAGGTACTGCAGGGCCTGAGCCACCTCGTCTAATCCTTTTTAACGGTAAAGTACAATTAAAAATCTCCCGGCTACAAGATTTTCAAGTCCAGGTGCCAGTCAGCGTTCAGATGAACAATGTTTTGGTTTTCTTTTGTGACAATATCTCCGGTCCATCTTATATACCCTTCCTTCACCAACAACCGACTCCACTACCTTGCCCAGGCGATTTCTGCTGCCAGTGGGGATCACCGCTGGTTGCACCTTGTGGATTTTTTCCCTAGACATTTTACCCCCCCTCTCCCTCCCCAGGCGGGTGATCCGAGGGAATCGAAACCCTTTGCCCTTGCGGTCGCTGCTTTAAGGTGGCATCCACTTCGATTGAGATTGTCATTTTGAATCGTTCACAATGAGATATCCTTCAATACCCGCGCGTTACCAGTACCCTTCAACTCTGTCCGAAGATATGGTCGATCAGACAGCTTCCACGATTCCTTCGTTGATGTGAGCATCTATGACTTCCAAGCTTGGGTTATGTCTTCTCTCATTCAAATATCGAGATTATTTGAAGAGGTGTAATTCGGAAAGCTCCACCGTGACAAGCAGGAAATCCACTTCTCTACAGAACTCTGGTAGTGCACATTTGCAAGCTTTGTTGTGGATCCTTTGCTTGAAATCTAATGAGATTCAGGTCCACCTCCACACATAATGCCGTGGAATGGGGTCTAGATCCTTGAAAGCGTAGCATTTCCTGACGGGTTTGGTTCGGACTCTCTGACGATACGGTTCCCACGCCTGTACAGAAGAGCCCTCCTTGGCTGACCCTGTGCTTATTCGGTATTCCCGGCAAGGTGCCGCTTGGGTCTAACTTCCCCACTCCGAGGGACTCAGATTAAATTATATTTTAGAGTTATAATTTCTCGAACATGTTTCACTGGATACTCATGTAGCACAAGAATATACCGAGGCAAGCCGATTCCATTTTCAATCGATGATTTTTCTTCCCACGACTACAGGGCTTGAGCAATTCCATCCAACGCATTGTGAGTCCGAAAGAGAACATGTATCACACGGCTCAACTGATACTAGTATCTCACTTTCCATGACTTCCGAGTCCTTTGTTAGTTACAACCAACTGCTTTTCACTACTCTTTCATGGGCCTGATTCCCGATGAAAAGGCGGAAACATGAGCGGCTTCATGAACTTCAAGCTGTCAGCAACTTGAGCACGCTAAATCTTCAATTGCAGCTTTTTGGAATAGGATGGGACTATTTCAGAGCTTCAAAACCAGACATTTCCACTCTCGTTTCAAGCCTCTCTCTTGGGCCTGCCCATTGGCTCACGTTGGGGTCAAAACTCTGCAAGCTGACGTGTTGAAACGCCGGTTTATCACCCTCTGACATATACGATGGGCAATACATCAGTAGTTTGCTGGCTTGCATGAACGCATAAAAGATAGATTTTTTGATTGGGTGTACGCCAATACAGAGGGCTGAATACCGTCACGGGATTTCACCTCTCGCGTGGGGAGGTAGCTAATCAGTCGTTGTAAATACCGACCCGGGGTACTCTGTGGATATGTGGTGCATGGTAAATTATGTAGGGTAGCGTATTGAGGTGAAATACTATGCAGGGTGAAATACGCATGACCAAGTGGCGGGCAGCTGTAGCGAAAGTCCCAACAAATGATGAATGTGAGAACCATACACACTGGGAGGGCAGACCGGGCGGAACAGTCACCTCACCTGCATCATTGGGTACGAGCTTGATCAGTACCCAGGTGTGAATGATCCACAGTTTCTCCGATCTGAATACATTCCGTCAGGAATACTATGAGTGTTCATAGCATCATGAAGACTATTGTTCGGAAGCTGGAGGTCTTTTATGAACCTTTGAATATGCCAACAACTTTGATAATACTAGTACAACCCCCCATTTCTTGGCTCTAAGAGGGGAATTGTGAAATATTCTCTAGATCCCATTTCTGAGAGACTAGTAATGAGGACAGCTATATACGCTCTGGGGAGTCAAGGAATAACTTGAATGCTCTTCTTTGATTCAAGGCAACTCCTTTCAAATTTCTGTCGAGCAGTTTCTTATTGCTAACCTTCAGCCCCTGTTCGGAGTGGAAAAGAAACATAGACAGGTGCTCTATCATTCTTTATCTACTGTTTTCACCTTCTCTGCCCTCCGTCCCACTGCAGGTCGCAACAAAGGTACTGATACCACGATCGCCATCGCCACCTAAGCGTCAAGCCTTATTTTTCTTTTGACACATCTAGCAAGTAGTGCAAGACGTGTGGCTTGAACACAATTTCTTGAAGCTTCAAACGCGCTCTCCCAACTTGAAGAGCTCTGTGATAAAACTCGGCATCAGCACCGTGACGCCTACCAGTCGAAGTTAGACATTTAGATGGTAACAGCATCGAAATAGAGATAGATGAAACCTAAGGCTAGATATAGCCTGGTATTAGTGTAGTAGGTTAAATTTCAAATACAATGCTATTGATTTGTTGTGAAGCTGAGCCACGTGGTAGATCAGTGTTATACAAACCTTGGAATGATCGTTACTCCAACTCCACGCTCCAGCCTCAACTCAGCCACGCTTTGGGTATCACTGCAGCTGTTCTTTTGCCTGATGAGGCTGAACACCATGCCTCAGGCCTCTGCTACATGTAATTCATCAACCGACGGACCCCAAAATTTTCCTGGCATCACGAAATATCGCTCATTATGGTTGATCCGCTCTCTGTTGCCTCAGGCATTGCCGGGCTACTTTCACTTGGAATTCAGGTCACCCAATCCTTAGTCAATTTCTACACAGCATACAAGCACCAAGACGCCGATGTCGCAAAGATAACTCACAATATCGAGAATCTTCAGGCTCTTTTTAGAGCACTTGATGTCGCAGTCGAGGAACGCCGCTCGCGGCCCGACACCAAAGATTTACTCCGGGAAGTCGACAAGGCAGTGCAAAAATGTGCGGAAGTTATTACCGACCTCCAAAACGAATGTGACCGCTTCCACAAAGACTCGGCCGCTGGTTTCAAGGACCGCGTTAAAACTGTCGGGCGCCGTGCAGCCTATCCCTTTCGGAAAGGAACCCTGTCTCAACTCGAAGAAGACGTCGGTGTCATACGTGAGAATCTGTCATTTGCGATGAGTATTCTGCAGCTGAAGAGCCATACTATGATTCAACATGACATATCGGACATCAAGTCGATTGTTGAGCGAATAAATGCTAGCCAAGTCTCTTTCGCAATTCGTTCCTGGCTTAAGGCGCCGGATGCATTTCTGAACCATAACGCGAACTGCGCTAAATGCCATCCAAGCACTGGTCTCTGGTTCGTTAATGGCCATAAATTTCAAGATTGGTTAAAAGAGGAGAACTCTTTTTTATGGCTGAATGGTTTTGCGGGATGTGGAAAATCAGTTCTCTGCTCCACAGCAATTCAGTATTCCTTTCATCATATGCAGCAGAAGGATGGTGCAGTAGGAATTGCGTTTTTCTACTTCTCATTTAGCGATGAACAGAAACAAGACGACAACGGCATGTTACGCACATTACTTCTGCAATTATCAGGACAGCTCGGGCGAGATGGAGAGAGAGATCTAGAGCAACTACAGGAATTATATCGTTCTGGATCGCCCCCAGTCAATGTGCTACTTGACTTGCTACAACACCAGCTCAAAGAATTCAGTAACGCTTATATTTTGATCGATGCTCTAGATGAGAGCCCACGGGACTTGAAAAGAGAAGGCGTTCTAAGAGCGATAGAAGCGATACGCGGATGGTCAATACCCGGTCTTCACTTTCTAGTGACAAGTCGTAATCAGTTGGATATCCGGGAATCTTTGAACCCTTTGCCTGTTCAAAATATTTTGCTTCGAAACTCAGAAGTCGACGAGGACATAGAAAGCTTTGTCTCCCATCAGCTCGAGAACGACCGGAAGCTACAGAAATGGAAAGTCCGCCACACTGAGATCAAGGAAAGGTTAACGGCAGGTGCACAAGGAGTGTAAGTATTTAAGGATGAGAGACTACAACATGATGACCTAAATCTGATTAAGATAAAATATAGGTTCAGATACGTTGAATGCCAGTTCAACGCATTCCGGCGAGTGCGAAACCGGAACCAGCTCGACGAATGTCTGCGCAGCCTGCCCCGTGATCTCGATGAAACATACGAGCGGATTCTTTGCAGTATACCTCATGAATATGTGGACGATGTTCACCGGGTCTTGACTCTACTATGCTTCTCCGCCCGCCCTCTCACGATATATGAGTTGATCGATGCTCACGCCGTTGATCTACTAAATGAGCCACCGCGGCTTGATCGTGATGGTCGCTCGTACGAGCAGCATGATCTTGTCGACATTTGTCTTGGTCTTGTTGAGGTCGTGGTCACAAAAGATGCCTCAGCCAAGAAGGAACAGACTTTGATTGCTCGTATAGCACATTTCTCTGTTCAGGAGTATCTTCAATCAGAGCGCATTCTACAGCAAGGCTCCAAGTCTTTTGCCATGCAAAGTGCCCCCGCGAATAAGGAAATAGCCCACATATGCTTGGTGTATCTCCTGGAGCCATCTCTCTCGGCCGGGATATTTGATGTGGCAAATACAAGCCTCCATTTCGCCCATTTCGCAGCTAGGCATTGGTTTGATCATTATGCGGGTTCTGAGGAAGGGCAAGCTGACGTCGAGCCACTAGTTCTGGAGCTTTTGGCAGAGAATAGAGCGGCCTTTGTGACATGGATAAAGTTACATGATATGGACCAAACATTAAATATGAAAAAAAAGAATCGGCTCTACACCGGCCCCGAGTCCGCTATCGCAGAGTCTCTGTATTACGCAGCACTTTTGGGATTGGAATTCGTTATTCACAGCCTCCTGAAATGTGATATCGAAGATACTAGGAAGGCATCGGATGCAATAAATACTCATCTCGGATTTTGCGGCAATGCACTCCAGGCCGCATCAGCCAATGGCCATGAAAAGGTGGTAAAACTGCTACTTGATAAAGGTGCCAATATCAATGCCCAAGGTGGTGTTTATGGTAATTCACTCCAGGCCGCATCAGCCAATGGTCACGAAAAGGTGGTGAAACTGCTCCTTGATAAACATGCTTATATCAACATCCGAGGTGGGCAATATCATAGTGCACTCCAGGCTGCATTAGTGAGAAATCACAAAAGGGTGGTACAACTGCTACTTGATAAAGGTGCTAATACCAACGCCCAAGGTGGTTATTATGGTAGTGCACTTCAGACCGCAGTAATCCATTGTGATGAAGAGGTGGTACAACTACTACTTGATAAGGGTGCCAACGTCAACACCCAAGCTGGTCATTCTGGCAATGCACTCCAGGCCGCATCGGTGACTGGCAAGATAGTATTGCTGCAGATGCTGTTGGATAAAGGTGCTAATATCAACGCACAAGGTGGGAATCATGGTAATGCACTTCAGGCTGCATTAGCCAGAGGCCACAGAAGTGCAGTGCAGCTACTACTTGACAAGGGTGCCAACATCCATGCCCAAGGTGGGGTTTATGGCAATATACTTCAGGCCGCGGCATTCAATGCTGATGAAAAAGTGGTACAAATGCTACTTGATAAAGGTGCCAACATTAACGCCCAATGTGGTGCTTATGGCAATGCACTCCAGGCCGCATCGGCAACTGGCAATGCGATATTGCTGCAGATGATGTTGGATAAAGGTGCGAACATTAACGCCCAAGGGGGTTTTTATGGCAATGCGCTCGAGGCTGCATTAAAAAATGGACACAAAATATTAGTCCAAAAGCTGGTGGAGGGAGGAGCTGACCTTGATTTCAAAGATTCCAAAAATGGGCGCACATCACTGGTACGAATGGTGATAGGCGGCTACCCTGTTATCAACAAACCTTCGCTCTGGATAAATAAGGTTGGGCTTGATGTGAAGGACAATTGTGGTCGAGGTCCATTCTTTTATGCAGCCTGGTACGGATATGCGACTTTTGTGGGCGCGATTCTCACTGCTGATGATGTTGACCCGGACCGGAAAGACCATTATGGATTAACGCCGCTATCAGTAGCTGTGCGACACGGCCATACGGAGATAGTCAAGATGTTACTGGCTACGGGAAGCGTCACTTGTGACTCTCGTGATTGTTTTGGACGGTCCGTGTCTTGGTGGGCTAAAAGGATGGGGAACCCAGATGTTCAGGAATTGTTGGCGGACCATTCCAAAATCCGAGGCATACCGATATTTGATGAGAATTTTGATGAATGGTCAGCACCCAATCACCCTATAAGAAGATGTTGTGATTCCTGCACCTTGGATATAAGCAAGGACACTGTCTACTACCGATGCAACATTTGCGATGGGGGTGATTTTGATGTTTGTATCACGTGTTATGAACTCGAGGGACGTTGTTTGCAGGACGGTCATTACATGTTTCGGAAGGGGAACGATGGAGTTTTAGATTAGTCCTTCACGGGGTACAAAAGTGGGACACACCTGGGTACACGCCCTCCACTCTTTCGTTGCCAGTTTCAAGTTTCAAACTGATCACTACGTCACTAGTACTAGGTACTAACTAGTAACTATTTATAGGTAGACCTGGAGTATTGTTAAATTTATTTTGGTTAGTTTGGGCGACAAATTTCAGCATATACCTATGTTGTCGGCTATGAATGTCATGTAAGGAACTTGAAAGAGATGATGGTACTAGTATAGACGTTTTTATCCAACTTGGAAGAGCAGCTCTGTAAAGCCTCTGCAAGAGATTTAGTTTTCATGTCTTGCGCTGGAAAGTGGGGTATCATAAGGCGAACCCGTAGAGCTCTATGGACCTCAGGGCCTTCTTCAGGCCTCTTCCAGCTATCTCATGATGCGTCACAGTAGAAGTGCTGACGGGTAAGGGGTCTTTCTTCAAAAACATGATCATGGGGTTGGAAATTGAACATGACTGAATAACTTGAATCAATTTTGCATTCGTCTCTTAGACTTACAAAATTGGTTGTCCAGAGTTCACTGATATTCACCCCACCTGGGCACTTTCAGGAAAACTGAAATAGATTGATCTTTCTACGCGTGTTTGAAATTTGAAAATTATTTACTGAAAATGCAATCCGTTCTACGTTCTCCTTTTTCATTCCCATTCCGAGAGCGAGCCCCAACTACTCGGCCTGCTTTCTGCAATCCCGCCAAATGGCCACGACGCGCCTCAACTTGGTCAAGCCGATAACGAGGAGGGCTATAGTAAGAAATGATGTGATCTCGAGAAGGTATCGTGCTAAAAATTTAGAGCAATGGAGCAATAATTGTCCTCGATTATTTTGGTATACTGTGAATCCGAGGATGTTCCTCGCCAGTGCTCCTACCAGTAGTACGGGGGTAAAAAGGGTATTTTAGTTTCTTCCCTTTCACAATTCATATTCATGAATTCAGTAAGTGAATCACAAGCTTCAATGGCACATCGAACTTGGAGTTATCAGGTACTTGGGTAAATTTCTTTCCCCATAACTGGCTTTGAAGTTGTTATTTAGGGGCTCAAGCACCTCCTAGTAAATAATAACGCACACGCCACGTGAAACACCTGGCATCAGAACAGGTTCCAAGAGAAACCTTGAAAGGATCTGAAATGTGGATAATCCAAGCTATTTTATACTAGTAATAGTAGTTCTGCAGTTGTTACAACCTTGGAAGATGAGGATAGAAGTTGCAAACTGGAGATATCTGGACATTTTATTCTATGGTTGGATATCGACAAAATAGACAAAGGACTTCAACTTGAAGTTCCTCGAACCCTCTGCGAGGGTACTTCTTTGTTGAAACGCCACAACTTCTCGATGGATCAACGAATCCGTTTTCTGTGGGTAGGCACGACCCACCACTCGACTGTCCAGGCACATCTCTTCCAAGTTTTGATGTTACCGATGTCCGCTTTAACTTGCCCGAATAGCAAAAGTTTTACAATGCCAAAGAATATGTTCACTAGATCTGTGAGTCACTATCAGACTACGCAAAGTAAGACTTGGAAAAGGCATCCAATGGGAAAAGTGAGAAAGGAGAAATCAAGGCAAAGCGCTATTCCTACACCTGGGCATGCAAGCGACAATCTACGCGGCAAACCCCACGCGATCAAGTCGCACGGCCTCCAACCCATGACCATGCAGGAGTAGCAGACTTGAAAATCCGCCCAGCAGGCCAAGCACAATGACCAGGTCCCCCGAGATTAAGCCCAGGTAGATCTAGTTCCAAGGGCTCCTATTGCAACGCGATATGCGTCTATGGCCCAGTCGGAATGTTTGTGCATGGACCCGTGATATGACAGGCTGCGCCTCGATGTAGAGAGAGCCCGCGGACTGGTCTTGGACTTACTTTCACCTAGGTTTGGGTCTAGATGCTTGGATTACCTGGCCTCACCTTGACCGACTTGCAGATAATAATAGACATTGTTCGAGATCGATTGAGGCCTTGCGGGAGGAAATCCAATGCGCGTCGCAAGCAAGAGGCAAGGATTAGGCTCTCGCGGCCTGAATCTTGCCGGTCGTGCGTGTGTTTGTGCGTGTGGGATGGAGGGTTGGGTAGGTTATATCATGTTGTGATATGGTGAGCTGAGACTTAGCGAGTGGGAGATGGCGTGGTAGTTAGGGATATAGTAGGCAGGAGAGCTCCGCGGCGTGACTTCCAGACTAGCCTGGGCTTAACATTTGGGCCGAGAGGCACTAAGAAAAAAACCTTGATGACTTGAATTTACCCGGCAGTCATTGAGGTACTCTGTCCTCCGTCCTCCGTCCCCGTAGAACTTGCCTATACTCAGCCTCGAAAGCCAAGAGGCTGACAAACATCCCATGCTCAGATAAGCGTGTCCCCTCGCAGCAGCGCATACTAAGACAACTGGCTGGAAAGACATGCCACCATAGCCACCATACCACCAATAGTAACCTCGCTCGGTATTCCACCTTCACTGAATGGATACATCGTGTCTCTTCGGCGCTCAATGACGAAATCAGCCGTGTTCAGTCTTCACCCGGGGAGGTCAAAACAGTATGAATGTCCGATTCGAAATGTCAAGCTGAAACTCTCTCCCCCATAATCTGTACTGATCACCGTTGCGAGGGATCGAGCTGCCTCGCTGACTCGGGATGGAACAAAAGCGCACGAGAGCTGCCCGAACATGACACATCAAAATTGACAGATAACAGTCACCCTTATTCGGTCCTGGGGATGCTTACCGCTCCACTTCTGGAGGATCGACGTGATCACTGTGGTTGAGTTGAAACTGCGTCGATCCGTCGCGAGGCTTTTCGCTCTTCCGCCGCCTATGAAGAGCCGCTTTGGCAGCCTCGGTGAAACGCAGCGGCAATCGCGTTCTCGAAAAAGTATTTTCTGCAAAGTTGCGACATGGACCCAACTTGGAAATGAAAGAAAGGATCCCACAGTGGATGTGCTCATGGTAACCACGATGGAATCACCGTCATCGTGGAGAATGGAGACTATGTGTTCGTCACTCCATTGGACTGTCACTAGTGCGCGATCGTCCGGGCCCAAACCCCCTGAAATTGAGACCGGCGGGCCTCTCGGTCACATAGGCGGTGTTAGCGTTTCGCACTATTGTGTGGAAGTGTGGTCTGGTCAAGGCACAAAGATAGAGACCATCGATTATACAGATCAGCACGCGCAGTCTCCGTGTTGCATGTATGTACGGAGTACGGAGTAACGGAGTACTTAGGCTATGTATCTAAGGCGGACCATCGTCCCTCGTGCAGGCCTGTCCCGCGGTGCTGGAGACATTTCCCATAGCCACGGACAACAGTTCTTTGCCCGGGCAGTTGGGCGCAGGGCACCCTCGTCACCTGCAGGGCCCGACTGATGGACCAGCTGCAGGACGACGTGGCATTCGAAGAGACGGTGGGAACACTGGGGGGGGGTTGTGCTCCACGAGATGGTGGGTGTGAACTCCGTCAGCCCCATCGGCCACTCCAGAAAGCCACAAACAGTCATGGAGAGCCAGAGCAAACTTCTTGGGACCAGGGGAGGCATGGGAATACTTGACATGGGGGCATGGCCATAACTGTGGTAGGCGATGGAGGGCTCCCGCAGTAGGCGCTTTGGGGGCTGCATCGTAGAAGTCTCAAGTCTCAACGCCGCAGCTCAGGGGCTCCTGTAATTCGTCTGCGCCGCCAAACACATCAAACGCACTCAAACACACCAGCCGGGTTGTCCTCGGGGCGATCCGGTTCGCTGCCTCACTTTGAACTGTTTTGTCCCCGTCACCGCCCGAGCTGCAGCTTCACATCGACCAACCAGTCGCACAGAATGCATACAGAATCAGGGAATAGTCAGCGAACGGTCCTGTCACATCCCCCCGAGTGCGGAAATGGTTACAGAGTAGTCCGTACAGACACCACCCATCAGGACAGGACAAAATGCAGAATGAGCCACCTGGAAGATGGAGCCACTGGTCTCCCGTGATGGTCAGATCGTATTGGTAGGCAGTGCCCCCGGGGTCCAGACCTCTGGCCCACTCGATGATTGACGTCCCCAATGCCGTCTTGGTCTTCGATAGAAACCCTTCTTCGTATAGTAGTGTGGAGATCCTAAGAACGTCCTTAGGGGCCCGGTGCTTGGGGAATTCCTCCCGGGACTTTTGCATCAATCCTTCCCATCTTCTTCTTCTTTTTTTCCTTTCCTCCTCATGCTGCCCAATCCGGCCCATCTATATGTGCTGTGATATAATTCTGACTAGCCTGAGATCCATGATCCATCTCTTTTAACCCGCGCTCCGCCTCCATCGTCTTGTTCATCTTATCGACCCGCCGATCTATCGTCGCATCTCGATAAGATCGGTTTCAAGACCATCATCGTAGGTTGTGCCAAATTTCCAGTGCAGAGCGCAGAAGCTCGTTGGCAGTTCTCATGCACTGACCATGCATATAGATACTACCTTTACCCCGGTTCCAACCCCATCCTTTGCATTACTGATAAACAGTCCCACCAACGACCAGAGGCCCCTCCCAATCCTCGCGACATGGCTCTCCAGGCCGACGAGGAACTATTCAAGAGTGCCATCTCTGGGTATCGCGATGCATTTTTGGTTCGGCACTCCCACCTTCCGGAATCCGAGCGCAATAGGCTCTGGAGCCAACAACTCAGCCAGTTCATCCCCGTCGACCAAGAAGACGCTGCGCTTGGGAAACCTGGCAAACGGACTCGACAGGATGCCACCCCGCGGACACTCCCTGGTTCTGGCCCTCCGCAGGCAAAACGACGAGCCACCGTATGTGTGACCTTGGTCTCTTGCTCCTCCTCTTCCCACTCCTCCACTGTCCCGTCCTCTCCTGCACTTCTTCCCTCCCATCGCCAGCCCAGGATTGACAATTGGCAGAGCCCGGATCTCCCCGTGACCCATGAACTGCGGCGCGCACTTTCGCAATCGTCCCCTCGGGATGCGCCCCGACAGGGTGCGCCGCTCTCGAACACAGGCCAAGGCTCCTCTTCCTATCGACACACGCCCATGGTGCGCTCGCAGAGCCAGCAGATCCCCGTCTCTTACCGGCACCCGCCGGCTGGGGTGACTATGGGCAAGCGACAATCCTTCGGACCGGGCCAAACGAAACGTCTCGATCATGTCGATGAATATTCGCCGTCCGAATATGCGAAGCACTTGGATGACCCCGACAACCAGCCCCAGCCCTACAGATCCGCTCTGTCTCTGGGGCTGGCGACTGGATCGACTGGACCGACCCCATCTCCGGTAGCTGCAGCTGCAACATCTGGTGTATACCACTCTGGACAGGCATCCCCCCCCGGCTGATCCTTCCTCGACGGCCGTTGAAATGACTCGGAGCGGAACCACCGATACCATTATCGACAGCTTTGACATGTTTCGGTTCAACTCGACAGGACCGCGGGCGGATTTGGACCAGACGTACTCCATCCCGCCGGAGTGGGTGCCCACGGCCACCTCTGGTATCTCGTATCAAGACTCTTTCCCTTCATCCCTCTATCCTGACTTAGATCCCACCACCTCTTACCCATTCTCCTACCCCAATTCCACCCTCTTCTCCACCTCTGCACCCACCACTACCTTCCGGCCACCAGTGCCACCCGCATTCATCACCAAATCGGCGGGTATGAGACCCTCGCTCTCAAGCTCGAGCTCCGACTCGGACGAAATCATGCCACCCTCGCGCGCGATCCGCCGAACCCAAGAACAAGTCGCCCATGCAGCTCGACCCATCGCCCCCAAGCGAGAATCACATGACAGTATACACAGCCAACCAGAACCCAGAGACAGCAACACGCACAGAATGCTCCGCATATCATCCACCGACGGCACAGCCAAAGAAGTCGCCGCCATCCCGAAAGCCTCGGTCCAACGCCCACCCCGGATAAAGACATACTGCCATATCTGCAACGACCAACCAGAGGGCTTCCACGGCGAGCACGAACTGCGCCGACACATCGACCGCGTCCACGCGCCCGTCCGCAAGGTCTGGGTTTGCGTAGATATCTCGCCCGACAAAAGTTTCCTCGCGAACTGCAAAGCTTGCCGCAACGGTAAACGGTACGGGGCAAACTATAACGCCGCAGCCCATCTTCGCCGCACGCATTTCAACCCATGCCAGCGCGGCCGCGGCGGTCGTGGCAAAGACAGCGAGAAACGCGGTGGTAAGGGCGGTGGAAATCATCCGCCGATGGATGTGCTCAAACACTGGATGGTTGAGACGGTCGAACAGGCCAATGAGAATACTCCGTGTGATATGCTTCCCGACGGATTTGCGGATGATGGGGGGTATCCGGCTTCGTTGCCGCCGCCCGATCTCACTTCTGATGCGGCTGCGATGAAACGCGCTGTTGCGGGAGGTATGGCTGCGAAATCGCTGGGCGAGGCGGATATGCATGCGTCGGTGGGCATGGAGTCAGCGCTCATGCATGGCTTTGAGGCGTATCCTGTTTCCGCGTCGTTTGACTTGGATGCGACTCTTGATACGCCGTTTTATCTTGACTCGCAGCCTCTGTCGTCTGAGTATGATTCGTATGTCATGTGAGCTGATCGTAGTGCTGTATTCACCCCTCCCTTTCTCCCTTTTTTCTTTATTTGCTTTTTCCGCTTTTCTTGGTTCTGGTTCGTGTACTCTATTTTCCTGGTCATATTATCGGTTGGATTGGATTTGAGAATTGGTTGTCTGGTTTAGGATATTGGAAAGGAGTCCGTGATAATTGGTTTGGTCTGGTTGGTCTTGGAAGGAACCCCATGTTCTGCAGCGTATTTGGGTCATTGGTTGGATGGGTATGGATATGGATATGGAGATTTGGGTTTATATTTTGGTTGCCGCTTCTTTTTTTTTCCCGCATTTCATTCCAGGTCATTTGGATCTGGCGCCGCGCTCAGCTACTTCTCACGACAGGAAGTATTTTGTGAATCTCCCATCCCGAGGTATTGAAGTGGCCGGGAGCTGCAAATGAGCTTGTTGAGAGATGCGCTGGCGTACTGACACGATGATGATGAGCCACTAATGATGTATCATGAATAATTAATGACATTTTCAATTTCTTCGAGACCAGTTGCACAGGGTCGTAGTCTCCACAATACTGTACGATACACAGCCTTGCAGTGGAGTCTTACTATTAGTTAGTAGTAAGTACACCGTACTCGCGGTAAACTGGATGGAGTGTTCAGCAGAGTCGGAGTACCGCCACAGGGCAGCCACAGGCAGCAGCAATACAGGCGGTCTGGTCCAGCGTGGACGATCGACCGAATGGGGGTAGTTCGTGCAGCAGGAAATAGTGTGAGTGGTGGGATGCTGAAGGAAGTGGGGAGAAGTGGAGGACATAGTGACACGGTGGCGGGTGGGAAGACCAATCATGTGAATCTTAACCGGTCAAGTGGATAAGATTAGCCACACTAGTGTGGCTGACTGCGTTGGCTTGTACTGTAGGGCTGCGTTGTGGCTGGGGTTACACTGTATTTACTGTACTGTCCTCCGTGATCCTTAGTAGCCCTGTAGATTGGACTAGTAGGATATTTGGGAGGAAAACCAGGGATCGGTGGATCTAGGCATCCATCTCGGGGGTAGTTAGGCACAGCCATTCTATTCTAGAATCAGCAAATGCCTCGTATATTGCTACCCAGGTATGTAGTATCTTGTCTGTATACAAAAGATAAAATATAAAATACCAGTTCAGCCCTGCCAAGCCAATTCCGGGCCGAACAGATTTCCGTACTTTCCCTGCGTAAATACAGAGAAGGTACTACGTACTCCGTACCTTCCCCCCCCAAGTCGATTCAACGCTACCCGGCCTTCGGTAAACTTCGTCTCCTCTTCTCCTCTTCACCTCTTACCTTACCTCCTCCCATCCAGCTTCATCTTCGTCCTTCTTCACTGGGCTCTCCTACTTCACTCAGCTGAATCCTTGTCGACTTCAAGCCCCTTTCCTCACTTTCAACCAACCAAAACACCCCAACCAGGTACGCCCCTCCGATCTTTGTTTCCCCCCAGCGCCGGTTCTCCTGTCGCGACCCCGGTCTGGTCCCCGCCTTTGGTCCAGATTTGGTCTTTTTGTTGCCAACTCTCTCTCTCTTTGAAGCTTCATTGCCTAATGCGCTTTCTTTATCTGATAGGTCCTCCTCCGACGCCATGGCTTCCCAAGGTTATTACGGCCAGCAGCAGCCCCAGTACCCCCCCGCAGGCGTGAGTCGACCTTACATCTCCCTTCTGCTACCACATTTCGCTCGCTTTTGTCGCAATCTGCTCGAAGTTTCCTTCTCCGATCAACAAGGACTGGCGCATCGGTGAATCAGAGCGATGGCGATAAGACCGATATGAGAGACCATGAGTGCGTTGAACATTGCGCTGATTATTATTCTTGGATAGTTACCCTCCCCAGGGTGAATATTACCAGCAGGGTCCTCCCCAGGGCGGCTATCCGCAGTACCAGCAGCCTCAGGTAGGCCTTCCCCAAATCTTGTTTCGACCGCTAGCTAATTGTCATGTTATAGTACCCTCCTCAGGGCCCTCCCCCTGGTCCCCAATACGCTCCCCAGCAGCAGGACAACAACAAGGGTAAAAGTGGTGGTGGCCAGGGCTGCCTCGGTGCCTGGTACGTTTAAATAATTAATCTCCCAGGTTGCGCATAACTAATTTGATATGTCTCTTCTAGTCTTGCAACTCTGTGCTGTTGCTTCGTGTGTGAGGAGGGTTGCGAGTGCTGTGCTGAGTGCATCGAGTGCTGTGAGATGTGCTAGACTTGACCGCCGATGACTCTTGACGATACTTTTCTTCTTCACGGCGTTCGCGTTTTCCAGATCCGCCCAATGGGTCTCGGGGGCAGATTTTCTTGCACACCGCACTCTTTGGATTAATCTATTTCACTTCGAGATATGAGTCCCTCGAGGGATTTCTTGGGAGTCGGTACCAAACATTTTAGTTCCTATTCTAGCCCTTGTTTTGGCTCCTTCAAGTTAATTTGATATCTTGCTCATGTGTTTATAATCATGCGCCATCCGAATCCCTATATTCTTCACATGGACTCTCTATTCCTGAAACAGCCTTCTTTTAACATCACCATACGCTTTTTGTAGGTCCTGCTCGCGGCGCCTCTCTTCCATAAATTGCAACCAAATAAGATTCCTCGGCATCCCTGGTGCTTACCTAGGTATCATCTCCAGAATGTTCCCATTCGAAGACAATTGGTGTTTATTCCCAAGTAGGACTGCGAGCGCCGATCATACCTACTAGTAATAGCTGCCACTCATATGAGGCAGTCGGAGTACGGCATTACATGTACCTAGGTAAATTCCACGTGGGCGCTTAAATTGCTAAATATAGCCAAAAGACAGCGGCCTCTCGCCTGGCCTTCAAGAGGGCATACTAGTATGCCCAGGAGGATATCGCCTCATTCTGTGAATGGGCTAAACATGTCAATCTGCATGTAAGCGCCGGACAGGTACATCCCATTCACAGCTAACGATATCTCTATGCCACTGGCAGGGAGTCTAAGCACAGCCCCCCCCCCCCGGTTGCGAAAGCGCTACATGAAATACAATTTGTACCCCTCCTGCATAATCTGCCCAGGTGGTAGCTATCTCTTTTTAATGAAGTCGAATACTCCATCATGGGCATGGATCAAACAACCCCACCTGATCCTAGAGATTCTATCCTAGGGATTCCAAGGGGCTCTGCCTTCTCTCCATGGATGGCGTGGGAGTGCGGGGACTGTCAAGTTTGCACATTCTCCAGGATGTCATGGGACAGTTGAACGCAGAACGCGCAGGAAATGTAAAAAATTGAAACGTAGTGACATTTTCGATCTCATCGGGGGAACTAGCACGGGTGGATGAGTGTCATGCAAATTCCTGATGCTCCAATTTGAATCTACTAGACTAACCGTCACTCTCTATAATCGATTAGTCTCATTGCAATTATGCTGGGGCGACTGGAGATGGATATTGACCAGTGAGTGCATCGAGGCCTACAGCTAGCTGATGAAGACTGTCTTCAGCGAGAAGGTCAACAATCTCCCCGTAGGTTGATTGGGGAATATCAAAGCGCAGTACGATAGCCAGAGATTAAGGTCCGCGATCGAAAATGTAATCAGCCAGCCCGGCGCATCTACCAATGATTCAATGGATGATGGGGTCACTCGAAGATGTCGAGTTTTTTTTCATATGGCAGATTATTCAAAATAAGATATGATAACGTCCACGACTTATGACTACCTTCACCATTGGTCACAAAAGTCGCGCATTGGTTCGGAAGCCATCGGGTAGCGATGTGATGTTGGTGGGAAGCCTGAGCAACGAGTCGAAAGACCAGAAAACCGAAGATACCTAATAGTAAATGCGAAGGATCCGAAAGATCAACAACTCAATGTTTCAATTTGCAAGGAAGACATGTGTACGATAAAGAGTTGGCTTTTTCTCGGTGGTATAAAATGTATAGATCTATGCTTTCCTTGTGAAACCGATTGTCTTAGTAAACCAAGCGGTTCTCGGAGCGATTTAATTGTATTCAAGGGCTATGTACTGAGCTCGGATAGAGTAGTTATTCATTTAACCATACATCATTTACTACTAGTAGTATTAGTACCTCCTCTTTATACCCACAAACTTCACACAATGCGCGTGAATCAGTATCATTCGTTCATCCATTTCTCGTACCTCCCCACCTTCAACAAGAGGTTCTAGGGCGAACTTGATTGGATTTGCTAGATAGTAATGAATTTTAGAATTGTCTAATGATTTTGCTGTTTATCAGTACTACCTAGGTAGTAATACATCATGTTTAGTAACTTCCAAAAAAAGGTTCAAGTTGAATTCTAATACTAGCTCTGTACTGCCTAAGTAGTAGTAATGGTAACATACCTAGGTATCCACACCTGGGCATAGTATATTCCAAGGTTAGTGCCAGCCCCAAGTCTAGAAATGCCAGTGTCTTGTAAAAGAAAAATTTGCCCTGCCCATATGTCCAGGTGTATCAAACGTTTAACAAGATGATTGGAAAAAAATTACTTGCAATTGCTAGTATGATTTAATCTCCAGAATAGGAAATATTTATATTCAAAAAAACGTACAGCTTCTGCGTTGATGTTCGTACGCTGCCGCGGGATTCACGTGACTTGCCGACTTCATAGCGTCTTCGCCCTTCGACGTCAGTTGAGGTTGTCGGTCCACGCATTTTGATCGCAAGCGCAATTGAATCTTGGCTTGAGGGTTGATTTCGCCAAGTGCAAACTTTTACTTTCCGCTAACCTCACCCACAACCGTGCGCCCATCGCCGCCATCATGCTTTTCTTCAGGTACCCCTCCTAACCAGCCCATCGCGCAACACGGCAAGCTTGAACGCCGCTAACCAAATATCTGCTTCAGCTTCTTCAAGACCCTCACGAATCAGACCGTTACCATCGAGCTCAAGAATGACATTCGCATCCGCGGTATCCTGAAGTCAGTCGATCAGTACCTCAACATCAAGCTCGATGATATCGAAGTTTTGGACTTGGACAAGTACCCGCACCTGTCATCCGTCAAGAACATGTTCATTCGTGGCAGTGTTGTTCGTTATGTGATGCTGCCCCGATCAGAGGTGGATGTTGGTTTGCTGGAGGATGCTACACGGCGGGGTAAGTCAGGCCCTTGATGCGACCGTTGGGGTTGTGGTTGAGGTTCACCCGCCCGGCTCTTGATCCCTTCGGAGCATCTTTTGTGGATCATCAATTGCGACCGCTCATGCTTTCTCGTCGCGATACCTGAAATTCTACTAACTTGCTGTTCTTCGCACAGAGGCCGCCAACCAGGCCGGCAAGGCCCGGTAAACGACTACGATCTTAACGCTACGCCTCTAAAACCGCTATAACCATTCAAATAATACCGCCTTGACGCTTTCTCACGATATGATGTCCTTAGGCTAGGAAGATCGGGGACCTGGATCAGATACCCCCAAGTGAAGGGAGGGGCCGGAGCACCTGACAGGGCGAGGAGGAATCCAATGATGTAGCATACTACGCTATACTCCTCAGTTGGCCTTGGACTCAAGATCTATCGCCTGGGGGTCTTGAAATGGAGTGACCCTGGCCATTTGCGAAAGTGATCCTGTGTGAACCACTTGGTGGCTGATTTGTCTGCATTGCTCATGATACTGTGCCCAATACCCTTTAAAACACACAAACTGGTTTCGAATTATCATTTACTTTGATCTGACAATCATGTATCGTCCCAAACTGCATGGACTGTTACAAACTGTAAACCTGTAGAATTCCCATTTGCGACCAAAGTGTTCACGTGACTTCGCGACGGGCAGCGCGACGGACTCGACGCCACCTTTTCTCCCTTCCAGAACATGCATTTCGACGAGGCCAATTTGTACATATTATTCACAGGACTACCTACCGGAAAACATACGCCCTCGAGTTGACAGATCACATTTATCATTCGCCTTATTCCCAGCCAAACCTTTCTGTCCTGGTCCACTACCATCTACTCAGCGATGGCAGGTTCTTTTGGGAGGAAAGCCTCCACTCCGTCCAAGGGCTTCTCCGCCAAACCCTCCTCCGCCAAACGCAATAGGAGCATCACGACCTTCTTTCAAAAGACCGATGGCCCTCCCGGAGCTACTTCACGCCAATCCCGAATTACGCAATTTGTGACTACCTCACAATCCCCGAGCAGTGGCCGTGGAACCTCAACCCCCTCCCATAATGGAACCGGCGCCAGAAACGACGCGAATGGACTGTTCCTGGAAGATAGGAAGGGTTCAAACAGGATAGGCAAATCTGCTGCTACGGACACGACGGAAAGGACGCGATCACGAACGCCCGACGATATCTGGGACGACGAGAACGAAACCTCGGAGACCGAGGACCTACGATACCACGAGAAAGAATCATCTGTCAAGCGTCAGAAGGTTGATACTGCGGACGCGGCAGTTGATAACACAAGACTAGGTTTATCGACAACACCCAAAGACTCGGTACTAGCAAAGAAAACGAATAAAGGACCGTTTATCGACGAGTCCGACAGCGAAGATGACATGAATGCCTACCGCGATTTGAACGAGGCAGCTCCAGCACCGAATGATACGAATAATGAAATACCATCTCTGATGAATGACGAGCTTTCCAAAGACCTTGCCGAATCCGAGCAGCCGCCGCCGGTAAGAGACGCCACGACTTGTGCAGGAAATGAAGGGTACATGAATTTTGACGAGCTTGAAGAAGACGGATTTATAGGAGAAGAGTTTTTGGACAAACCCTGGGAGAACTCGGATACAGAACAACCGGGTAATGGGCTTGAGTTTGGTGATACCGATGATTTAATAAACGGCGAAACGAATCCTGTGTCATGTCCGATTTGCCAGACAGCCCTGCTTGGACACGATGAATCTGTATGTTGTGATTGCTAACTTGATATTCATCCTTTCGGCTGGTCGCTAATTTATGACAGGAAATAACTGTACATGTGAATGATTGTTTAGACGGAAAGCCCACTTTGGAAACATCTCCTTCAAAAACGCCACGAAAACCACTATCACCCATGTCAGCACCTCCACAACTACCTGAAGACCCGATTGATAGCGATAATTTAAGACGAACAGAAAGAGCTGCAATTGCACGACCTGCCCAGTGCGACCCATATTCTCAGAATGCCAGTGGTGGAGGATCTGCTTCTGCGTTCTCCAAAATGATGGCCGGCAACGCCGAGGATTCCGCTTGGGCAACGGCTGCTTCAAACGAGGTCTCATCTCGTGGCAAGCAGGCTTACCAGAGGACTTGTCCATTCTACAAGATTCTCAATGGATTTGCTATCACCGTTGACGCCTTTCGCTATGGGGCAGTTGAAGGATGCAATGCATATTTTCTCAGCCATTTCCATAGTGACCATTACATTGGTCTCAGTAAGTCTTGGTCTCACGGTCCGATCTATTGCAGTCGACCGACGGCCAATTTGGTCCGCATGAAACTACGAGTCGACCCCAAGTGGCTGGTTGACCTAGATTTTGAGACGCCCACAGACGTTCCTGACACAGGCGGCGTGCGAGTTACCATGATCCACGCCAACCACTGCCCAGGTAGCTCATTATTCTTATTCGAGAAGACCTTCGGTAACGGGCCCAACATACGCAGAGAACGCATCCTCCATTGCGGGGATTTCCGAGCTTCTGCAGACCATATTCGGCATCCAATTCTCTGTCCCGACCCCATTAACCCGGTTACTGGGAAGCCGCGGCAGCAACGAATTGACAAGTGCTATCTTGATACAACATATCTTGATCCGAAATATGCGTTCCCCAGTCAAGAGAGCGTAATCACTGCCTGTTCTGAGCTTTGTGTCCGCTTGAACGACGAAGCTGGCGTCGGCACCGACACGAGTCAGATTAAAGCACCTGGTTTAATGAGTAAGTTCTTATCTTCTGTGACCACCGCTGGCAGTGATCGTAAGAAAGATCAAGTCTCATCCACCGGGGGCCGGTTACTTGTCGTGATTGGCACCTACAGCATTGGAAAGGAGCGTATCTGCATTGGAATTGCCAAAGCACTGGGGTCCAAGATTTTCGCCACGCCGCCCAAACAGGCAATATGTGCCTGTTTGGAAGACCCGGAACTGTCGGCTTTGTTGACCAGTGACCCGCGCGAAGCACAAGTCCACATGCAAACACTGTTTGAACTCAAAGCCGACACATTGGCTGATTACCTTGACAAGCTTAAACCGGCATTTTCACGGGTAGTCGGGTTTCGTCCTACGGGATGGACCTACCGGCCCCCCGCGGGTCGTGTGCTCACCAACCCCACGGTACCTACGGTTCTGCGTGGCGAACACTGGCGGACCCCATTCACGGCCCAGGATTTGACACCCCAGCGTGGGAGTACGCGAGAGAGCGCGTGCTTTGGGGTTCCCTATAGTGAGCATAGTTCGTTCCGGGAGCTGACCATGTTCTGTTGTGCACTCCGCATTGGCAAGGTCATTCCAACGGTGAATGTGGGGAAAGAGAAGGACCGAGACAAGATGAAGGTTTGGATAGATCGATGGGAGGGGGAGAAGCGGAAGAATGGGCTGTTTCCTGTGAGCGAGTGGTAGGGAGGTATATGAGCAGCATACACAGATTATCTACTCAGGCTATTCAAGCCATCTACTATCTATTCATGTCAGTTATTTACATATCTACTCCGTCGTATTCTATTTATGCATCCTTGGATGCACAGCTTCGATATCCATCACGTGCCCTCACGAGACCACGCCAGTTCGCACCTCCTTCCCCTCAGTCATCGCCTTCGCCGGCAGATCCTCATCCTTTTGTCAATCCTTGACTTCTGATTGATCATTTTCGTCAGAAAAATGGAGTTGCTGAGCTAATAACCGAACTCGGGCGCCAACACCGGCACTCACTTTACTACCATAGGTAGCTGACTGGCTGGGATTCCCCACATCGCGCCCATCCCCAGATACCGATTTCACTCCCGTTGACCACTTTGACCTCGGGGATGATGCTGCTCACCGTCAATGACCCCTCGCCATAAATACTCCCCCGGTTTCCTTGGGAATTACTTTCATCATGGATTGACTGCCAGCTCGACAATTTCCTGGACCTTTCCTCTCGCACTAGTTACTCTTTTTATCTTGTTTACCCACTTGGTTGAAACTTGAACTTGATCAACACACCGGCTCCCCGCTCCGATCGGCCGTGCGTTTGCTCCTTCGAGCTTCAGCTGGTGTCTTCCTTTTTTTTTCTCCAATCCTTGCATTGTTACGCCCGTTTCCCCAACGCACCAAGCGTCGCTGTAAATAGTCGCCATGTTGGTCTCCGTGGAAAATATCCCCTACATTCTGCTAGGTCTGGCAGCGGCCTACTACCTGGTGCCTTACTTCCAGCGCTGGCATTTGCATGACATTCCCAGCCCGAGCTTGGCTTCCTTCACCAACCTCTGGGTGCTCGCCCAAGCCCGTCAGGGTAAGCGCTTCCTGTCTGTCGATGCGCTGCACAAGAAGCACGGAAAGCTTGTTCGTATTGCGCCCCGCCATGTCTCTATTGCCGATGATGCCGCCATCACTCAGGTCTACGGTCACGGAAACGGCTTCCTGAAGGCGTATGTTCCCCAAACCCCCAATTAATCCTCCATCAAATTGCTAAATGTTTGCCAGCGACTTTTATGATGCTTTCGTGTCCATCCGTCGTGGTTTGTTCAACACTCGCGACCGTGCAGAGCACACCCGCAAGCGCAAGACTGTTGCGCACACTTTCTCTGCCAAGTCCATCGGTCAATTCGAACAATATATCCATCACAACATCGAAACTTTCGTCAAGGAATGGAACAAAATGTCCGACCTGCAGGCCAACCCCAAGACCGGTTACGCCACCCTCGACGCCCTGAACTGGTTCAACTACCTGGCTTTCGATATCATCGGAGATTTGGCCTTCGGTGCACCCTTCGGCATGATTGAGAAGGGTCAGGATATCGCTGAGATGCGCAAGAGCCCCAATGATCCTCCGAAGTATGTCCAGGCCGTCGAGGTCCTCAACCGTCGCGGTGAGGTTTCCAATGCCCTTGGCTGCCTGCCCGCTCTCAAGCCCTTCGCCAAGTATCTCCCCGACAAGTTCTTCACCCAGGGTATTGAGGCCGTCGAGAACCTCGCTGGTATCGCCATCGCCCGTGTCAACGAGCGTCTGAAGCCCGAGGTCATGGCCAACAACACCCGTGTCGATCTGCTCGCTCGTCTCATGGAAGGCAAGGACAGCAACGGCAACAAGCTTGGCCGTGAGGAGCTGACCGCTGAGGCCCTCACCCAACTGATCGCCGGTTCCGACACCACCTCCAACACTGCCTGCGCTATCCTGTACTGGTGCCTCCGTACCCCCGGTGTTATCGCCAAGCTGCAAAAGACCCTGGATGACGCCATTCCCACCGACATCGACGTTCCCACCCACGCCATGGTCAAGGATATCGAGTACCTCCAATGGGTCATCTGGGAAACCATGCGTATTCACAGCACCTCCGCCATGGGTCTGCCCCGTGAGATTCCGGAGGGTGCCGCTCCCATTAACATCTGCGGTCACACTTTCGGCCCCGGCGATGTCCTCTCTGTCCCCAGCTACACCATCCACCGCTCCAAGGAAATCTGGGGTCCCGACGCTGAGGAATTCAACCCCGAGCGCTGGTCTCCCAAGAATCTGACTGCTCGCCAGAAGGCGGCTTTCATCCCCTTCTCTCACGGCCCCCGTGCCTGCGTCGGCCGCAACGTTGCCGAGATGGAACTTCTCGTCATGGGCGCTACTGTTTTCCGCCTCTTCGAGTTCCAGATTGAGCAGGATGGTCCCATGGAGACTCGCGAGGGTTTCCTTCGCAAGCCTCTTGGCCTGATTGTCGGCATGAAGCGCAGAACTCATGCTTAAATTCATTGTTCATTTATTTCTCTTAAGGAGTGTGGCAGACTCGGTATGAATACGTCTGGATAAAAGACGCGAAGGTGGAGTCTGGATTTTGCAATCGTGTTTTGTTAATACATTTTCATCTTCTTGATCTGCCCAGCCATGTTGGTTGCTGGTGATGATGTGCGATTATGAGCGCGGGATTTGATTAGATTAGTGATTCCGCTCACGAACTGTCACGTTTTTCCTTTGGATATCTGCTTCCGATGGTATGAAGCAAAATTGTGTATATATGATGCCTGTGCATACTTGAATTTGCATATTTCATTTTTACTATCTTTCTACTTTTTTATTCTACTATTTTAGTCCTTTCCAAGGTTTTCATCCCGGGATCTCAACTTGGAGTCCCAGAGGAACCTTGGAACTTGCCAAGCTGTCCTGGGATAATGGGTAATCTCCACCATGATGCTGCCGATAATTTATTCAACATGCCCAGAGAGATTCAAAGACTATTTGACTCTTTGCGGCGCTCCAAAACAGCTTGTCACCCTTGGAACCCAATGTTTCTGCGGCCCCTGCGTGAAGTTAGTATTCTATTTATACATATTGCCACGAAGTTTTCCTTAACGATGTAGGACACATGGGCATTGGGTATGTTGCTAGTAGCATACTACTTTTAAGTATTATATGAAATTGAATGTTAACTAGATTACAGGCGTACAACAATGTACAAATCCATAACTGAAACTTGAAATCACTCGATTGAAAAAATAAAATTCATTCGTTATTCATGAATTGAGTACGAAGTACTACTACTACATTAGGTCAAATTATCCCGCCGAGTAACCGCAAGTAAACCCCCACAGGCATCACAGTGCCGTACTAGTATATGAATAAACTACCAAGTAGCCGGACCGAACGTTTGACCCTCAGCCAGGGGAGTACGGATAGCAGTATCCTGCGCATCCATAGTATTGGCCGCAATGTTGGTTCCCCACCAGGCTGGGAACTCAGTGCCAGTCAAGTTAAGAGTCAAGAAGATAAGAATGGTACAGAGAGCCAGACCAACGTCCAGACCCGCAGAAAGGACGTAGTTGTACTGCATCCACCATCCGCGCCAGCGGTCACGAATCCACTTGTTGAAGATGAATCCGACAATGCCCCAGCTGAGGTAGTTCAGCGGGGTGGCGGGCGGGATGAGACCGGCTCCGCTGAAGATGAGAGGGGCGTTGAGGTATCGGATTGAACTCTTGGGCCAGGTTCGGGCGCCGAAGTAGATGACGATGGGCAGGATGAGGCCCGCGATCCAGAAAAACATGAGTGGGGAGTAGATCTGGCCGATGGAGAACATGCGCTGCGGGCCGATCACGCCCCAGATTACGGAGGCGTTGAAGAAGACGCGGCCGTTGGGGCAGGTGTAGTGGTTTGGTTGGTCGCTTTGGCAGACCTTTTTGATGGTGCCGAGGGCCCAGTTCATTGTTGCGATTTGGACGAGGAGGGACCAGACGCCTGCGACCATTTGGGCTGTGAAGGTTACTCGCGGTGGGAGCTTCATGTAGTGACCTGGTTATTGTTAGAATGCGTGAAGAGAGGAGAAGAATGGGGGCTGTAATGCGGATTCTTACCGAGCTTCAGATCTTGGGAGAAGTACATTCCCTGATACATGCTCATGTAGCCGTAGGTCTTGAAAAGCATCATGGCCATGGGCTTGCCGGGCTGCATGTATCCGATAATGAACTCAGTGAGGACATTGAGGCCAATATCGATGTTTGTTGAGGCCTTGACGATACCCAGAGGAACGAACCAGAAACACGCAATGATGAGGGAGACGAAGAAGGCCCACCAGCTCAGGTGTGTTTCGTACCCTTGAGTGACGCCAAGTGCGATACCGATCATGATGAGAGTGACAGCTCCGTACCACCACATGGGGACGGTCTTGAAACGCGCCATCAGGCGACTGTGCACATCCTCAGTCTCGGCACCAGCCTGGCGGAACCGGGCCCAGATGTCAGATCCGTGGAACAGACCAGTGTGCACAATAACAGCGATGATTCCGGCAAACGACAGACCGTAGCACAGGGTGAAAGTGGTTGACAAGAAGAGCGGAGAGTATTCCTTGTACTTGACCGGGTCGAAGGTGAACTCTGGGGTGAGGATCTTGCTGACATTGTAAATGTTACCAGTGTTGTCATAACTCTGGGAATCACTGATTGGCAGATATTCGGAGTAGAATAGTCCCTTGTAGTGGATACCGGCAGTGCATATCCAGAAGAAGATCACCATGCCAATCAAAGTGTTGGCAATAGCATACCACGGAGCAATAAGCGGACTGAAGTTGAATCCAGAGATTTGGGTCCAGTCAAAGGTCATGGGGAGCAAAGATAGACCAGTCCAACCGCCAAACAGCTGGTTGATGACAACGTTGTTGGGCTTGATCCAGGTAACCCAGGCGAAGACACTGAGGAAGGGGGCGATGTAGCCGGGGAACCAATACCAGCAGAACGACGCTGTCATCGCAGCGAGGAAAAGGCCATACCGGCCAATCTTCCAGCCAGAGACCTTGCGGGGATCGGGCTTGGAGTGGTCGTGAAGAGCGGAGAACAGAGCAGTGTTGATCAAAGTCGATGGCCAGATCATGGCAGCGGGCTGGACCAGGAATTTGGTGAAGAAGCCAGCCATGCCGAATCCTAGCATCTGTGTTGAACTGAATTGATGAATCAGCATACAAGCTCCACGGAAAGTATAGCGTGGGAGATGACTTACATGCACATGAAGATTTCAAAAGCCCATCCGAACTTTTGTCCGTAGAATGCGCGCTGCGCTAGAAGGACATCCGTCGCATATGCAGCACTGGAAGTATAAAAGTTAGCATTTCCAATGAGCCCTCGCAATGAAAATAGAATATAAAGACTCACCCGCCACCAAAGGTCGCATTAGCCATAATGACCACCAGCGTATGTTCCTTCTTGCTGAAGACGCCAGGATTAAGATTGCAATCAATACCGAAGAACTTGAATTTCTTAGCGGGCATGAATTTCTCCCACGCCTTACCGACGGGGTAAGCAACGACCTGGGCGATGTAGGATGGAATGACAATGTATGGCTGACGCATAGAGAAGAGCATGTTAAGTGAAGAGCCGATCGTCGCAAAGAGGAGACCAATGACCCAGGCACGAATAGTGTTGGTGTGGCCTCCTTCGTCGACATTGGGGACTGCGGAGCGCACTTCCGGATAAGGTGAGTTGTCGAGGACTTCATGGGCAATTTCGACTCGGGTACCCTTGTCATCTGTAGCAAGAGCTTCGTCAAGCTCATCCTCGACCTCATCTGGCATGTTGGGGTCCCAGTGATGGTGAGCCTTCAGATTGCGCAATTTGGTCAGGACATCGTCATTTGCGGTGTCGTCAATACCGCTGGCGATAGCGACGCTAGGCTCTTCCTTCTCCATTGTGTGAATGGATGGTCAAGCTCAACTTGACCAGGGGTGGGACTTGAAGTGAAGAATATGGGATAGGGGGAAAGCAAGGGGACAAACGGAGAGGTGGTAGGGTATTTATTTCCTTTGCACCTCAGTAGGCTGTTACCCAACGCACGACTAGTACTAGTAAACCATGTGGTTCTTCCACGGATTCGTATAAAACTAAAGCACTAATGCACTAGAGCATCAATGGAAGAGTCCCGACGGTGGTCCGCCTTATCGTGGATGGTCGAGATCTGAGACCAGGTTGGGAACAACAGGAGTGGATGTAACCTCAACTAAGACGCCAGATGGGTTAAACACACCGACGATATCAGAAAAGGAACTCTGATTCGAGGGAATGGCGAGTGGGGAACCTATTTTTCCCAAAGAAAAGAGCTAAAGTGGCGTATAAACTTGGTCGGGGATGAGAGGCGAGCAAGAACGAGGCGCGAGTCCCTACGGAGTACAATACTAGTAGATAAACTGGGAATTGCCGTCGAATAAACCAGAGGAACAAAGTGAGCAAGACCCAATGACAACGACGCAATCGGGATCTTGTTGCACGATACTGGCCGCTCTCAGACCATCTTCATGCACTGGCGACTCCGGGCCAGTCACAATGCTGCGATCCTAGCTGAACCTCCCTTCCCCCATTCCTCCATATTCCCCAATTATAGAGAGAGTCCACTTAGAAGCTTGGCCACTTCGACCCCGGTACACATGTGGCGTTCCTGAGGTTACTTTCTTCCCCGCGCTCAGGGAAGTTTCCAATCACAGCAGCTGCATCCGGCGATGGATTTATCCAGGCGGGAAGTACGGCATTTGATGGCGTGGCCCTCGCGCCATTGCACGTTGCCGACGCTAGAAAATCACTGATATGCAATAACGTAGACAGACGTAATCGTGGATTCTTCTTGTCGAGAACCCCGGGAAAGCCGAGGCATTACCACGGAGTGTCTTCGGGGAAACACAAGCGAAATGATAAAGAGACCCGCTCAAACCTGGGCAGGTTTAACTTTGTAGCTTGTCAGAGATAAGCCAGTGGGCTTTGTGGGGACAACTCTTGGAAAGTCTTAGGCTGGGTTCACCTTAGTGTGGCCCTTATCCCATTAGCCTTGTCTTTAGTGTTGTTGGTGAGTGGCTGGCGGGTGGCCCACGCTAATCCAAACAGTTGCAAGCGTGCCATCGTTAAGCACAAATGCACGGCAGACTATCCTGGTTGGGCCATGGCCGGCGCCACTGTTGACAAGGGGGGGTGGGTGACTAGAGAGTACTCCGTAGCAGGTTGGTCGAATGTGCCACAGTTGGTCATTTATCCTATTATATCCTATCACGCCCGCAGTCCGTCGGATCATACTAATCGAAAGGCGGGATATCATCTCCTCGGCAAATTCGATAAGACCAAAAACCCTGCCAAGAATACGCAAAGGGGGCCAGAGATTTGACAGCGAATTGTGATTCCAGTCTCGATCACAATCGCATGCGGTCGGCCTGGCCCCTGATGCATACATATTGTACATGCAATGAACGATTTCCCCTGTGTTGTGCATAAAAGGCGGCGTCCCAGCCCATCCCTTCCATCCCTGCGGATCTCTTCCTAAAACAATCATCAATGAGATGCAATGGAGAGGCCCTACGAGACACGATCGACCCGCAACCGAAATGCGGGGGAAACCAAAACCTCCCGTGCGTCGTGGAGCCCGAAAAGTCCAACTCCAAGGAACCGTCAGGCGACCTGGAGCTGAAACTCTCAGGCAGTACCTTTTATTACTATTGGTGGGGAACGAGGAACCTTGGAATGTTCGGTTGCAATCAACATTCCAGGGCAAGGGGGGGCGTAAGCCGGCGGAGCCCAGAGGAACATTCAAACAAGATTTTAGAATCTCACCCGCTCCCTCAGGACCCTGTGGCGATAATCTGACTCAGGTCAGGTTCATGGCTGATCTGATGGCTGATATCTGATATCTGACATTTGAAATTGTTTTTTTTTATTGAAATCTATCTCTTTGGCTGGAGATTCTGCGAACCTTGCAAGTCTGTTATTGCCACTCCACGGGGTATTGAAAGTAGGTAAAATCTCGGTAAATCATTAGACTTGGCGTAATTGATGTGGATCTCCCCCCGGCTTCAAGCTGCCCGATTTGCATCCGCTGCTTGTTTGTCTTTGTCTAACGGTCCTAGCGCAGTGGGTGGCGGACTAGCCAAGTGAGACAACCGTCTTTTTTTCGCGCGTAAGAATGGCGCCGCTAAAATCGCCGGGTTCGTTCTATTCCTCTTGGCTCTACCAATGTCCAAGAGCCAATCCTGGGAAGAACGGCTATCGCAGGGCATCGCTTGATTTCCCCGCGGTATCCGATCATGATATTGATATTGATATCGTAGTCATAGTCATACCCGAACGGCAAGCGCAATGACCCTTGCGATATAATTGAACAGACGTTGGCGGCAAATGCCGGATAATCGTGGATATAACCCTATCTAGTCTAGACTATTGGTAGTAGATACCGGAAAGAGTAGGGTCGGGGATTTCTACCACATGGCCCCCAATCATACCACTAACCCTCATAGAAGATTTGCGGGAGCCCAATTTGCAGGCAGTGGGTCCAACGAGAACAACGCGTCGTCGCCAAGAGCCCATTCGAAATCGGCTAGAAACTGCTCGTCAAGATGAAAAGCGTTGTTTTGTTCCGGCATGCCAGTAGATGGCACCATGCCACCGGAAAAATCGCGATTGGCGTCTACTGCTGCGCCTGCGCCTGCATCAGTTGCGACAGAATAACGTGAGCGCATAAAGACCTTACCATCCGAGGGTTCTATGATTGATCGCATCGTCCGCGACGGGGGATCGAACTCGTCTCGCCACCACCAGACTGTGTCGAGGATTGGGCTGAGGACTAGTCGGCTGCGGATCCGGAGAGCTGTGTACTCGCCGCCGTCGGCTTTCCGGAACGCCCTGCTGCTGTTCCAGACAGAGTTTAGTATGGTCACGGTCTTCGCAGCCATGTCCGCGCTATCAACGGTCATCTGCTTGGCCATGTTGATGGCTGTGAAGACTGCTGCTCGTGCGCGCGTGGTTTCTAGACCGTGCGAGGCCGTGTTACTTTTCAGAATTCGAAGAAGAGACGTTGATGCCAAGAGGATCGCAAAGCCCATCTGGACTGGGCACATCGCCAAGCAACCAAGCCGATCTGCAAGGGACTGTACGTAGTCGATCAGACTGCACGCGGTGACCAGAAGTCGTGGATAGAAAGCGCTTGAAACTAGAGTCTGGATTTTGTAAAGATGAAATGTCTGGATTGCTAGCCGGCAAAGTCCAGTATCGAATCTCTCTTCATCTGCAATATCATATGTTAGCATAATGTGCTTTCAAGTAACAATATCGAAGGGTATATACCAGTCACGGCTTGAAGCTCTAATTCATCTATCTGTCCTTCGTAGGTGCGAAGAAGGATATCTAACGCGCGTTCCTGGTCCAATGACATGGAGCGCATCCCATTTGCCAGGACTGCCTCGCTGCATCGTGCAATGAGCTCTTGGCAACGAAGTTTGAGTACCATCCAAGGCGCAATTGTATCGAACAGATTTTGGCGTTGGGCAGGATCCTGGGAGAGACTGACCAACGCTCGAGGTAATTGTCCCTTTGTCACGCATACTCTAAAATCAAGATTAGTGATACTATTAAAATAAAATAAAAAAAAAAAGATTTAAAATTGAAACTCACCTTTGGTACACAATCACAGAATGCGCCCACAGCTCCGATCTCCGAACTAGATCCGCCTCAGACGGCGCGGGCATCTTGACACGCGAAAATTCATGGCTGGACATCGGTATATGCAAGCCATTCTGCATGGCAATATGCAACAACATCCCACTGAGCGGAAATGTCACATCTGGATGTTCACCCTTTGGAAATGGCCAGGTTAGCAAGAGCAAGAGGCCTTGGATAGTATGCCATGGCGGCGAGGTCGATAATGCAGACAAGAATGCCATCTCTATGACGCTCCGTGCCAAAGCCATTAAGAGTGTTGGATTCCGCGCGTAGGCTCGACATGATACGCCAATTATACACCAGAAGAGGAAGGGGGATTGTGTGTAGTATGTGTTTGGTCTGGTTTGTGGGTCGAGAATGGGTAAGAATTGAGCGTAGTGGCGGAAAAATCTGCGGCACTCATTAGTCAACAGGGATAAATATATGTCGGGGAATTATAGGATCGCACATATGAAAGAGATCGTCGATCTCTTCCCCCCTGACCTCGACACCATGTAAACTCCGAGACCGGGTTGTGTCCCCTTCCAATGCCGGTGCCGGGGCCGGGGTTGACGGAGATATCCCTAAGCCATTTGGTGCAAGAAATTGCGGTGGATATGATGGAGTTGGTATATTTGGGGTTCCGGACATTGAATCACTGTTTGGCTCGGACCTTGGAGCCATCTCTGCCGCTGCTGTTAGCAGGGCGATGGGCGATGGGTGCGGGTCCGCTGGGTGCGAGGCCCGGAGCTTGCGGCGGAGATTTTCAGATTCCTCCTCTAACTCCGACATCCGTCTGGTGATGTTGTCAGCATATTGAATGGCTTCTATGGATGGGATGAGATGTACACACTTGCGCTTGTGCTCTCGTCTGAAGGGATCTGAGATGACACAGTTTGCATTGACCTTGCGACACCGGGTACAAGGCTCGTCGGGGTTTAGATAGACATCGCATTTTGCCTGTACTCAGAGCAGTGAGTGGACTTGAACTAATTCAACTGCAGATGGAAATAGCGCCTTGTGACAAGACACGATTAGTGGGCACCTTTTGCTGGCGGCACTCAGTGCACGCCTTCTTCCCTTTCTTCAGTGGCCTGCGCATGTCTTGGTTAGTGCCTTGAATGAAGTAGAAGAGTGGACCTCCTTACTCTGCCATCGAGGGATGTACACCGGGATCTCCAGGGATTTAGACGCCGGTGGAGGATGCGTAATGCGTGACCGGGGTGGTAGTGAGAGAAGTGAAATTCAGAAGAAAGCCGGTCCCGGGATTGTGCGGCACCGGCCCGGGGGGAGACAAACGCCCGACTATAAAACTGCGGCCTCCTCCAAGCTTTGATTTTTATTCACTTTATATTTCTCCCTTTCCACTATACGATGGAAATTAATGTGTGTTGAAAATTACCATCTTTCTTTGGAGCAATACTTGAAATTATGATTTTTGAATACCCCCTGCAAGCCTGTGTGAGTCTCGAGCTTGTAACTGTTTCCACAGAGGCAATCTGTTCCACCAGCAGGGAGGCAGGAAGGCACTGGTAGCATCTATTTAGATCCGGGTGGACTATTTTTGAGGATTGACAGTCTCGTAGCGAGATGTACTTTCTGGTCACAGATGCGGGTGGTACAGCCCCATATTTTGTACAGGCTCAGGCGTGAATCCAATTCGACGGGTTTGCGTACAAGCAGTAGACAAGTAAGAGAATCAAGAAAGATGTAGGATATTGTTAGATAATCCCATGTTCCAATGATGTTCTCGGGGACCTTTAAATACTAACTGGTTGTACCAGAGACTGCTAGTATTCCTAAATGATCCCCGGTAGGCGTCTGGCGATGTAGTACCAGTCTTCATGTCGTATACTCGTATTCGGCATGTGTATCTGGTTCAATGAGGTACCCTTCCCAAAGTTATTCCAGGGTTACCTTGACCAAGCATTTTAAAAATTTACATGTACCAATATAACTCGACGCAGAGAGTGAATTCCCATTGCCATTGCCAGATTCCAGACCATATCGAGTGGCTCAGCGCCACCATCGAGGCGACGTGATGTTTTCAGTCTGACATCACTGCCTCTTTCTCCGCTATATATACTTTCTGCTGATAAAGTTCCTCTAATGCGATATATCCAAGTTGCTTATTAATAGCATATACTTGAACAGCCGCAATTGTACATACTATCTTTCGGCTGGTCGATAGTCCCGCCACCTCGCCACAATGACCTTCGAGATTCCTTCCGTCTCCGAACTAAAGCATGCCGCCGAGGACGGTCAGCGCATCACCGCTGCCGATGTCTCGTCTATTTCCCAGGCCGAAAGTGAGCTGACAGGGCGCGGCCCGGTCCGTGGAGGTCCAGCTGGTAGGGCAGGAATCCCGGGCCACCCCATGCCATCCCGGCCCGCCCTTTATCGGACTTAAGGAAAAGACCGTGGATCATGATTTGATGCTGACTATTCCCGACATCTAGCCACGGCACAAAGTATCGCGATGAGACAAATGAATTTTGATAGCAAGCTGGACGAGGTTTCGCGTAAACCTTCTACTCAGATTTCACAGAGAGATGCAAAGGAAATACAATCGTCAGAGGTAGGAGGCTCTCCGACGCACAAGCTAAATTTGACTTTGAATCTAGTATCAAGATGAATCCTGATACTAAAATAATTGTGCTTACAGGGACGAGCCTTCCACCGCGCACCTGGCTTTGGATCTGTAGCCTTGCAGGTTCGCTCGATTGCCAACCAAAATGAAGTCCGAGATGTACCTCCTATCATGTCGGATGTGCCAGTATATGTGACCAAGGACGATGCACGAGAGGCACAACGGGCGGAATCGCTGTTCTACGGCGGTGCGATCCCGAGAGGTGGGATGGCGTCGCAGATGCAGGTAAGTGGGCAGTGTATTTTGGCTGTATCATGGCTCATGATCGCATTGACGAGATTTGTAGAGTGCGGCGGATAAAGTGGAACAGGCGCGACGGGGTATTATTTAGGATAGCATACAAGACAGCAAAGCAGAGCAAACCAGAATTTGATGCAATTTGAATACAATCGCCGGATTTGGTAATAAAGTCGGCCAACAGGACCAATCCAGTATATGTACTAGTGGACCTTGGGTCAGATAAATGTGGATTTACCCGAATCTTTGAATGGTTTTCTAGCTGTAAGCTTCCCCTCACCCGGAGTTAACTGCGCTAAGAGCGATGATGACGGAATTAGGCAAAGCATTCAAGAAATTGAGCACTCGTGATCGTCTGTGCCGAATAACCGATTTATTTTCAAGCTAAACTCGAAATGATAACTAGTACCTTTCCCCTCTTCTTGTGCTTCGTGGAGGGAGCATAAAAATCATGGATCAACTATTTTGATATTGTCACCTCTGTCTTCAGCCCGCCAACCCGATGGCCATCATCACACGAATCTTGTCCCACGCGGCAAACAAGCCCTACCGAACGAAAGATCTAAAGACCGAGCCCCCATTCCTAAACGAAGACGGACATGTCGATTTCGGCCCGAATGATATCGAAAACCCCCGCAATTGGTCCTTCCGCCGGAAAACTTCCGTAACCATCGCCGCAGTCCTACTAGTCGTTAATGCAACTTTTGCCTCGAGTTCGCCGAGCGGCTGTTTCCCTTCCATCTCAAATCATTTTAATATCTCCACCGAGGTTACTGGTCTCACGATAACATTGTTCTTACTGGGATACTGCGCCGGTCCGCTCATTTTCGCGCCGCTTTCCGAATTCTATGGCCGACGATGGATCTTCTACATCACTTTCAGCAGCTATATGGCATTTAACTTTCTCTGTGCCTTTGCGCCGAACTTTGCAGCGTTGCTTATCGGTCGCTTTTTAACTGGTACTTTTGTCTCAGCATGTCTGAGCAATTGTCCTGGTGTCTTGGCGGACTTGTGGAATCCGTTGCAGCGCGCGAATGCAATGGCAGGCTTCTCAGCGATGGTTTGGATTGGACCTGCTCTTGGCCCAGTCGTCGCCGGATTTATTCAATTGAAAAAGGAATGGCAATGGAGTTTCTATGTGCTGTTATGGTTGGGCGCACCGACTTGTTTGGTGATGCTAACGATTCCTGAAACCTATGCGCCGATTGTTCTATGCAATAAAGCGAAGCGAATCCGAAAGGCAAAGATTCCGGGATATGAGACCGTGAAAGCGCCCGCGGAGGAGAGTGATCGTACTCTCGCTGGTATCTACAGGGTCGCCCTTGTTCGACCTTGGATCATTCTCTTTGATCCGATCTCTTTGTGCTGTGCAATCTATTTGGCCTTTGTTTATACCCTGCTCTACATGCTGTTCACAATCTACCCGATTGTCTTCCAGGAGAGACGAGGTTGGAATTCTGGTGTCGGGGAGTTACCGCTGGTTGGTACGGTTGTCGGCGCGTTGATCGGCGGTGCGGTTGTTTTGGTTGATACTCGGATCCGACAGAAAAAGGTCGATCGAGGAGAGATTAAAATGGAAGATGCAGAGCCTGAGGATCGACTACCCCTTGCTATGATTGGAGGTATAGGGTTTGCTGCGTCCATGTTTTGGTTTGCATGGTCGGCCGAGTTCAAGTGAGTGACAGACCCTAGTGTGTTGTCGCATGAATAAAGTCCTAATCTCAACAGTTATGTCCACTGGATTGTCCCGACGCTGGCTGGGTGCTTTCTGTCGAGCTGTCTTCTGCTTATATTCGTTGCCTATCTCAATTATCTGGTAGACGTGTATATGATGTGAGTCCACCGCGGGGACCGCCCTCCTGTTATACCGCGATTCAAACTGACAATTTCGCAGGTATGCCGCATCAGCTATTGCCGCGAACACAATTGCCCGATCCGCCTGTGGTGCTGCTGCACCTCTCTTCACAAATCAGATGTTCCAAGCGCTCGGTGTGGGAGGTGGAGGTAGTCTCATTGGAGGAGTGGCTGCTCTCCTGGCGGTGATTCCATTCCTCTTTTACAAATATGGCAAACAGATTCGGGCGCGAAGCAAGTTCGCACCGACGATGCAGAAGCGCGTACAACCGCAGGATGAGGAGAGTGCGCCGAACGAGGATGGGGCAATGGACAACTCAAAGGAACTTGAATGAATTATTATACCCAGGAGTACTCTTTGGTCTCCAAGAACATAGGTAGTTCAAAATTGTTAGTAGATAGTATGTTTTCTGAGCAAGGGTATCCCAAGTAGCACAGACAAGGTCGAGAACTCAAAAATAGGCGAGGATGGCAATGCAGGTCGAATATCAAATACCGTACAAATTTATTCCGAGTGGTCCCGACAAGAAGAATGATAGAGCCGGACAACACAGAGCAGGATGCATTGAACCCTGTCCGGAGGCGCTTGTGCACTTGTAGAGCATCGTGCGAGGCTTTGTAGTGCAGGGGATACCCCCCGACCCGCTCGACTCTGCCGATCACGGTGGTGGCCTCGCTGTTTCTCCGATACTCCCTGCCAATGCCAACCCTGGCTGCCCCACGAGGATGGTGGGGGTGTGAGCTTCGAACCGACAGGTCCGATTCCGCCTCGTTGGAATAGAAATAGAAATTCAAATTCAATAGTTTCAATGCATATGCAGCTGCAGCTCCTTATGCACGAGAAATTGTCATCCTGGAACTCCGGGTTGGACTCCGATATACTAGTATGCGTAGCATGTATCAGACACCCCACCATGACCGACGAGGGGCAATGATTTATCAGAATCCACTCTAGCTCTTCTAAGCCGACCGCATTTTTTTTTAATCTCACAAAGCTCGAAAGGATAAGTGGTCCCGTTCCAGTTCCAGAACTGTTTGGGAGAGTTCTGTGATGCCCCGCAGACCCCACATTGACTCCAAATCCACATATTCTTTGAGCCACGAGGGTCAATGGTACAGTATCGACAGGAAAAGGTCTGGACAGAAGAAGGATGCAGGGGTCGAGAACATGATCGGAATGGAGATTGTCAAGATATGAATAAGCAAAGGAGCGAGGGTCCGGGCCCGGCGAGTCAGACGGTTGAGACACGATGGTTGAGCAGGATTGCGGGGCTGGTCCCGCATTGATTGAGCTGTGCCTTTTTCCTGTTGAGTTTAGTGGCTGGCAAGGTATTTGTCATGATGGGGAGCTGCGTGAGTGGAAGAGCGAGTGCGAGTGAGAGTGGGAAGTGTGAGTGTAAGTGTAAGTGGGCAGTGGAAGAAGCTAGAAGAAGAAAAACAGAGTGCCCCTCCGTAAGAATTCCGTAAGAACTAGGAGATTTGGAATTGTCAATGATGTAATAGCAATCAGCAACAAACCAGAGGCGTCTCTTCCCTTTAAATACCCTGGCTGGTCCCAATCAATCCCAAGGTTTCCATCTTCGTCTCAACTTCCACTCTTCTACTCCTCATTGAGCACCTTGTGAGAATCAAACCACCCTCCACTCAACCATAATCAACCAATCATGCCTCTCTCCGGTCATTGTCTCTGCAAGGCGGTTACCTATACCGTTGATCAGGATGCTCCTCTGATTACCGCCTACGATCACTGCGATGACTGCCAGCGCCAGTCTGGCTCCACCTACTGTAAGTAGTTCAGTCTTGATACCTTCTGCATATCCTCCAATTGGAGCACTAGTATCGAAGTTACTAACTCACTCTAAACAGCCCTGGTTGCAGTCGTCCTCAAGGATAAGCTGACCATCAACGGCCCGATCAAGAAGTGGACTGGCAAGGGTAGCTCCGGCAATGATGTGCACCGCCTCTTCTGCTCCGACTGTGGTTCTCCCATCGCCCACGACCCGGATGCCGCCCCCGAAATCATCGCTCTGAAGGCGGGTACCCTGTCTACCGAGATCAAGCAGACCCTCAAGCCCGACACCGAGATCTGGACCGTCAGCAAGCTCCCCTTCTGCCAGGAGCACCTCGAGAAGCCATTCAAGCACATGCCCGAGTAAATCATACAGCTCGACCATACAAATCAATTCGCCATTTTTGATGACATGCTCTCTTCAATCCACTCGGTCTTGTCACATGCGACACCGGAGTGCAACCAAAAGCCGAAAACAAACAAACAACATCCATGGATGAAACATAACAACATAACCCACGAACAGCTAAATAGAATGGCTGCCAATGATTGATGATGATACACGAAATAGTCTCAATATGACAATGCTCTAATTCCGGATTTTCTTCACTCTTTCTCCGAAAGTTTTCTTTCTGCTCTCGCGGGTATCGGAACATTCCATTCCAAGTAGGCTCGAACAGCGGCAGTATTCACGTCGGACCAGCCGGGTAATTGTGCCACAGATGCACAGGCTATCCGCCATCGTTCAACAATCTCATAATATAGTAGCTACTATGGCCAGGTCAAGCCTGTCTTTTCATTTCTATCAATACATGCCTTCGATGACGGATAGAGTATAATTCACCATGTCAAGTGGCACTCTGTTTGTCCTCGACTCGCGCACCGGCTTCAAGTACGACATTCCCATCCATCGGAATGCAGTTCGCGCGCTTGATCTACAGCGCATCCGAGCGCCCGACTTTGCAGCTCATCCAGCAGACCAGATATCGCGTGGTCTTCGTCTGTTTGACCCGGGGTTACAAAACACTGCTGTAATGGAATCGGCTATTAGCTTCTCGTTCGCACCTCCATGCTTCCTGATGTCATACCACTCACTACTAATAGAATATCCAGGGACCATGAGCAAAATTCTTTAATATTTCGGGGGTACACCCTGGAGCAGCTATGGGATGCAGACTTCGAAGACATGTTTCATCTTTTGATGTGGGGCACATATCCTTCGGAAATCCAACGAGTAGACCTGAGTCGGAAGCTGGCGCAACATATGAAGCTGGTACCAAACGCCGTCCATGAAGCCATTCATCTACTCCCGTATGACCACGTTTACATACTCTTTCTTCTAACTGAGCAAGACCGTGACTCGTTCTAACCCACTGGTCCTGAATAGCAAGTCCACTTTACCGCTGCCGCTGATTCTTGCCGGCCTCTCAGCATACATAGCTTCTATACCCGACGTTATGCCTGTCTCAACTAACGCGACCATCTACCAAGAGAACCTGGAGCATGGTGACCATATTATACTCCAAACTGTTGGCTGTTACGCCGTCATATTCTCCTTAGTCAGATGCCATCGTAATGACATCCAATACCAACCTCCCTCAAGTGACCGAACATACTACGAGAATCTCTTTATCATGTCTGGACTAACCGATTCGACTACGCAACAGCCCGATCCAGTTAAGCTGTCGTGCTATCGTCGATTCTCCCTTCTCAATGCAGATCATGGAATGGCGCTTTCAGTGTTCTCTGCTCTAGCAACCGCCTCGGCCCTCACAGATCCAATATCCTGCTTGATCTCAGCCATCACGGCTGCTCACGGCCCGCTGCATTTCGGTGCTACCGAGTCCGCGCAACGGGCACTGAAAGAAATCGGGAGCCCAGGGAACGTATCCACATTTCTGGACGAAGTGAAAGCAGGAAAACGAAAACTATTCGGATACGGCCATCGAGAGTATAAAGGGGTCGACCCACGCGTCGCCTTTATCCAGCGTATCTTGAAAGACCTCCCCGTAAGAACGAACCCGCTCTTTGAAATCGCCGAGTCGATCGAAGCGGCAGCCAACAAGGACGAATATTTTCGATCACGCCATCTCTATCCCAATGCAGACTTTTATGGCAACTTTGTCTTCACGGCTATCGGCATTGAGACAGAGATGATTCCCGCGGCTATGCTGAGCCATCGCATTATGGGAATTATGGCGCATTGGAGAGAGTACATGGGTATGCGTTCGCCTAAAGTCACCGGTCCTCGGTGCATTTTGTCTCTTCAAGCTATTGACCATGATAGTGACACGTGGTAAACTTCTTCGACCGTCGCATGTCTATTCTGGTAATATGGTGGCCAATGAAACACTTTCCGCCAAAATGTAAATCTTTTCAGGATGGAAAAGGTGGGGTGTCATCATGGATTTGTGATTTGGCCCGCATTGGTAGCCGCCGTTCTTTGAGAGGACTGTACCTTTTCTTTCTCGAGGTATTCCACATAAACTTCATTGGAAGTTTGCCCAGGTGATTGAAAAACCACACTAGTGAAAACTTGAATATATTCAATTTCTCTCATTTGACGGGATGAACAATCTAGAGAACCCTCAAGCCTGCTGTGAAAATGACAGGCTACTACATACTACTGCCTCGGAGTCGACACCTCTGCTATCTGCTTCAACTACTACCCGACAGTATATCGTTTTCACTAAAAGCCAAAAGCGACTAATTATTCTCGCAGCAGCACTAGCCTCTGCATTCTCTCCCTTGTCTGCAAACATCTATTTTCCAGCTCTCAACTCCATCGCAAAGGATTTGCATGTCACCCCATCTCAAATCAACCTGACCATCACCACATACATGGTAAGTTAAGCACAACATCATTCATAATCCACTCGAAGTGTACAAAAATTTATAAATAATCTAGGTATGCCAAGGTCTCGCACCCACATTTACCGGCTCTCTAGCCGACCAAGCCGGTCGTCGACCCGCATACATCTACTGCTTCATCGTCTACATCGCAGGCAACATCGCCCTAGCAATCCAACACTGGTATCCCGCTCTACTTCTTCTACGCGCAGTCCAAAGCTGCGGCAGTAGCGGAACAGTGGCCCTTGCTTCCGCCGTCGCGGCCGATATAATCACACCGGCTGAGCGCGGTGCGTATATGGGCATAGCCTCGCTAGGGAACATTCTCGCCCCCTCGATTGGTCCGGTTCTTGGGGGCCTCTTGAGTCAATACTGGGGGTGGTCGGCGATATTCTGGTTTTTAGCAATTCTATCCAGTTGTTTCTTTTTACCTTTCGTGCTTTTCTTTCCCGAGACATGTTGGGGTGTTGTTGGTGATGGCTCTGTGTGTCCTCCTTCCGCGTGGAATCGACCGCTTTGGAGTTGCTTATTCTCGAGGAGAGATTTAGAGAGCGATGGCTCAGTTCTGCCGTCGCCGCCTCTAGATGGTTCGGAAATGGGTTGGAAAGTTCCGAATCCGTGGTCTTCGCTCCGATTACTCTTCGCTCGTCCGGTCGGGTTGTTGCTCTTCGCTAATGGGGTTGTTTTCGGGAGCTATTATGCCATGACAGCTGGGATCCCAGCTGAATTTCAGAAAGTTTATCAACTCGACGATTTCGCAATTGGGCTTTGCTTTTTACCCGCTGGTCTTGGTTCGTTGTTCTCTGCCGTTCTGAATGGCTTCGTCGTGGATTGGAATTACCGTCGAATGAGCAGGGTGCCAGGAGAGACTGCGAATAATGGCATTAAACAGGATATTCTATTGTTCCCAGTGGAACGAGCAAGATTGCAAATTTGCTTGCCTATGACTGTAAGTTTTGCCCATCATCCTTGCAAGAATTTGAAATGTTGAGCTGTTCCTGTTATTTAGATCCTCGCGGCAGCCTGCATTGCAGTGTACGGGATACTGATTGCTCGTGAATATCCCCTGTGGGTATCATTGCTGATGGTATTTGCAATCTGCTTCTGTATTACGGCCTCGTACAATGTCATGAATGTACTAATCGTGGACCTGTACTACTCCACCCCGGCGACTGCAATGGCAGCAAATAACCTTGTTCGTTGCTCACTGGGCGCGAGCGCGGCTGCTGTTGTTAATCCGTTCATTAAAAAGCTAGGCGTGCAATGGACGTATGGAATTGTCGCGGGAAGTTTGCTAGCCGTAACCCCGTTACTTATCCTTGTCTATGCTAAGGGCTGGCGCTGGCGCCGAGTGAAAGCAGGGATGCAGATCTGACATCTAGGCAGTTATGCGGCCAATTTTGCACCGAAAAGGGGAAATTTATGATGAACACCCTAGACTATATGATCTAGCCCTTTCGCCCTGTTAGTTTCAAATAATTAGTGGCTCAGCCTCTTGCTAGCAACATGCTCTCTGTCAATACAGCCTTCAGCTTTCTTGTGCTCCTTGCACACATGAGATTGTCCCCCCTTCCTCTCCAGGGCCAACGGCTGTCTTTGCGATACCCTGATGGGGAATGGATTGTTCCAGGATCGAACCTTGACATAAGGGGTAAGGGTGGAGTTGCCGAAAATGAGTCAATTTAAGTTAAACCTTCCAGGAACGAAATCAATGCCAGAAATAGGCACCCACGGCCTGTGCTGCCAAAATCATTACATTATGCTTTCGCTGGATACGGACGTTATCATGCCCAATACTGGGACTCAGACGATAGTACTGCACTGGTATCAACCGCATCTTACCTTCAACTGTACAGATGGAAATCATCATGAGCAGACTAGTAGTCGCCTCATTCCTGACAATAATTTGAACCATACAACGGACTATCCCGCGCCGTATATTGGACCCCGGCCTCCGCCAAACACGCACCATCGCTACGTCTTCCTGCTCTTCGCACAGCCACCAAACTACGAGTTTCCGAAGTGTTTCTCGCATATTCCTCCCAAGACACCCGAGGCACGTACAGGCTTCGACCTCCGCCAGTTCATGCATGCCGCCGCGTTAGATCCGCCCGTTGCTATCAATTACTTCTACGGCCGGAATCACGCTTCGGATCATAACTGTCCGCCGCCTTCTTCAAGTGTGACCACTACTTCATTCCGATCGGTGACCTGTACGACTCGTCGGACTGGGGTCTGAGGGCAGATGTGAAGACGCGGAGATAGTATGAAGATGTTTGACAATCGTGTACTATCTTGGGGCCTTTTACTCTGTGCGTGTCTGACGATGACTGACAGGGATCGAGCAAATGATCTGAGAATGGATGAGATTTTATTCGCACGGCTCGGACCACGAGTTGAGAAAACTTTGATCTCGTATGACGTTGGCTTTCCTTCTCGAAGGGCTAGCGGGTCTAGTCATTATAGCTTGCTTAGGTCTTCAATTTCCCCTTTGAAATTGCACAGCCAACCTTGGAAGTTCAATATCATGCCCAGCAATTTTATGATATACTATGAATGTGTAGCTTTTCATATCTGATACATGTCCTGAAATATCGCTGAGATTATACACGCCAGACTCCATCAACCAACACATAACCTTCCAGGCGTGACGGTTGGGTTTCAACTAGTGCTATCCAGACAACCGACCACATGGGTGTTTGAATATCATCAGTGAACTTGAGGTCATTCGAACGCTGTTAGACGAGCCCTGCAAGGGCTTTCGGGCTCCACTCCATCTAAACTTTGCCCCCCCTCACGCCTTCCGGCGAATCGCAAGGGTAATCCCGAAAATCCCACGGTTTAGCCTCAGGGTCCTCATGACCGAGCCCCATTCTGTTCCCCGTTGAATAACGTGATCTTGACAGCTCAGGGTCACCTAGACGGCGATTCGCAGTCATAGACCCCGATCAAGAGCACAAAAACGGGGAGCACGCGTGGTATCCTGAGTGGTCGGGTACCACAAAGCTATTTGTCATGCGAGGGGCCTACGGATGTAACTTTCTGTTTCTACAGGTCCCTTGTGAGTGGTGCTCAGAATCATGTATGACCTGCTGAGAAGTATATTGAACACGAGTGAACGATAAAGATGCCTGTTTGCGGGGTAAGAGATCTGGTAGATAAACTTGAATGCTCTTCGATGGTGGGCGTGATGTAGACTGACTTTTTGAATACAAAACTCGGGGTTATTCGGCTTGAACAAAAAGGAACCGGAATAACTTTGACATAGCCTTTCTGTGTTATATCTGCATGGCGACCGATATGAGCCTACCGAAACCTTCACGATCCAACGCAGGGCAGTTGCCCAAAAGCGTCAAGGTTCGATCAACGTGTAATGCTTGCCAACAGGCTAAGATTCGATGTAGCCATGAGAAGCCTTCTTGTCGTCGGTGTCAGAAGCACAAGATTGACTGCATATACAGCGTTTCGCGGCGACTGGGCCGCCCGGCGAAAAAGAAGGAACGTATGGTCATGGACGAGATGGATAGCAGTTCGACGCATGTCATCCTCGAGCAGGATCGTGAAAAGAAGACTCGAAAGCCCGCCAAGAGAAAGATTCGTTCTCAACAGTCAATCGCTACGACGCGATCTCGGGCGGGCAGCCCTGCAGAGACCGGCCCAGCCGACGAGCAGACCCTAGCAGAGAGCAGCGTAGATGAGTATTCCGGTGCGTTCAATGGTTAAGATCTTTCCCGCGTAGATACAAGCATTGGCTCATTTACTCAGGCTTCGAACTTGGTATTACGTCTGATGGCTGGCTCCAAGAGTTGATGACCAACCGAGTAAACGGGAATGCGGACAACGCTTTTACAGATTATAGATATGACGAGTTTGGCTTCGAAGAATTCGACTCCATTGCAGGATGTCTCATGCATTCAGATCCACTTGCCTTTAGCGGAGCGGCAGATGGTCAACTCTCAATACCAACTGGCTTTGACTTCACTTCACCTCCTATGCAACTCGAAAGCGAATTTAATGAGTTCCAGAATACTCCCACTACAGAGCGCATCGAAGCCCTGACTCTAGAAAACCCAACCTCGATACAGTGGCCCTACGATTCTACCCTCAGAGCGAACCCGCTACCCTTCACAGACCCTTGGTCCGAAGACAAAATGGTACCTACAAGTATCCTAGTCGAAACAGCGGATAACAGCAACGGTTTACAGTCCTCGGGCTTCAATCAGAACGAGGCCTATTCGCCCCAGGACACCGATTTCCCAGTTCTACTGGAGGCTCCGGCGAACTTCAACTGCGGCTGCTACAAGCAGGTTATCAGCGAATTGGTCAGATTCGAGCTCAAAACCGGACCCAACGGTCTTTCCAGCATCGACAGCATTCTCGCATGTCAAAAGGAACTATTATTACAAACTGAGTCGATTTTACAATGTAAACTGTGCTTTCAGTCCGAGGCTCAGGCTAATGCGCTCATGGTTATTATCGTGATCATTGACAGTCTGCTAACCACGCTCGATGCATCTGCTACACCCGGCAAACCTGTCATCTTGGAGGCCCTTCCAGATCCAAATGCACAAGTGGGTCGCAGACAGAAGGACGTCGGAAATTGTCTCAAATCTCATATCGATACGTGTCCGTTGCTAGTCGGTGGATTTCAGGTGCCTGTGGAGGAGAAATCATGTTTCATTCGGCAGGTGTTACAGGCGAGGCTGTCTATGCTTTTGTTAACGGTGAGACGGATTCGGATGTGCATGCAGCAGCAGCTTGCGGCGGCGTTTTCGCGGGGTCGACTTCTAATGATTATGGAGACGGATAGGAGATTACAGTTGATCATGATGAAGATAAAGATGACCGTTGGATGAGCGTTGGGACGTAAATGTCGCTGTCAATTGCGTTGCATAGTGTCGCATCACTTCCGCGGGGGGTAGATAATTGAATCATTTTCGAATCGGAGCACCCCAGTGCCCACCAATAGACGGGTTCCTTGTTCGATAGAGTTGCCTATTTGTTGAGGGGTTTCTGCATAGGCTAGGCGTAACCATCTAGTAGATGGTCTCACGGAGAATGAGCACATTTGTTGTGTATCTCGAAAGATACCTCGGCTCAACTATAGAGATCGTGATTGTGAATCCGGGCTTGGTGGAGCTGCAGTATTCCATTTCGACCTTTGAGTGACTGCTTTGGTTCGAAAAGTCGATTATTTTTTCCAGAATAAAGACCACCGTGTCGAATTTGACAATCTAAGCCAATATTCTGTGAGGGACGTCCCGGGCTTACGCTTCACAGTACGGAGTACTGCCTGGTAATCTTCTACCGTCGCGTAACAAAAATTACCCCTGCAGCGTCCACCCCTTGCGATCGCTGAATGAGAGTGCGAGGCGTTTCCATTAAGAGTCCATTCACCCAGAGACGCACCAAGTAGTTGGAATCGATTCAATCAACCGCTTCCTTTCGAAAATCCTGACAATGGAAAACCCATGCAAATGCTCCTTGGAAGCCCTGAAGATAATGGCAGATCTGCAAAACGTCCATGCAGTTGTCGACGTGGAGACGATTTTGAACCTCACGCAGCGGGTGTGGTTGCATGGCAAAACTATGATTCAATGCGAGAACTGTATCAAGACGGCGCAATCATCCATATTTACTCTTCCCGCACTCTCGGAAGGGTGCCTACCGCTTCTCGAAGCATTGTGTGCGGCATACGATATCTCGACTCATCCCGGATTCTTCGACTCGGCTATGTTAGCTTTTGACCAGCCAGCTTCTTCAATTATCTGCATTCGTAGTCAGGCATTCCTGGGACGGACTGAACTGGATGATTATGAAGCTCGGTTGTTGGTTCGTACGTTGCTTGCGCGCGACTTGATTCGTTTTGTGGAGTTGATGGAGGCTCTGAGGGAGGTTTTAAATATTCTATTGGAGAATAGTCACGTTAATCGGAATTCAATGGCCACGCTTAGAGCCTGTGGGTCGTCGGTTGAATCTACTATCAGTCGATTAGCTGTCCTGATGCAAGTTGTCGAGGGGACTGCGATGCCGGGACGTCATCAGGGGGGTCTTGATATTTGTTGAAGGTACCCATGCGGTGGCGTACGGAGTTGGAAGGATTATTGGAGAAATGAAAACATCGGGATGTGAAGGGTTTGGGTATGGGTATGCTTTGTATAGTTATTAGATAGTTTAACATATGTTGCATAACGTGGCTTTCCTGAGTATGGCAAGGAAAAGGCAACTCCCCTGTGAACCAGTCATGCACACCAATCTATACTATTATCCCGATGTCCAGAAGATCCTCTCCTTTAGCCAAAAGTTCGCCGTCTTTATGCCCCCCCAAACTCGCTCATAGACACCCACCCACTGGCCCCAGCCGATGACCTTGCCGACCATGGCCTCCTTGATATCGTTCTTGCTGACCTTTTCGGGATTGTCAAAATCAAGAGGAGCGTCGAGAGCGACAATAGTAAAAACGTAACGATGAGAACCATGGCCAAAGGGAGGAGCAGGTCCACCATAAGATGTTCCCAGGGGGTTTGGCACAAACCGCCAGCCGGCATCGGTCCGGCGGTGTTTTGCGTTCTCCGGGCTGACTTCCACGCAGGCCGGAACCGCAGTCGTTGCAGATGGAGGAATATCCCAAAACAGGCCGTGATGTATGACAAGGAATGGAATCGGGATGTCGATATCTTCGCAGATTAAGACATATTCTTTGGCTGGCGAGGTGCCTTCGGGCATTGACCAGCGTAGCTCTGGATGACAGCCGACGCCATCCTCCGCATACCCGGAGTGTTTGAGAAGCATTGTAGAGCCCGAAGGACCACATTCGGGTGCTTCAAGGGTCATATTTGGATTGGGGATATTTAGGAAGGCCGGATGGTGGATGATTTGGCGCGATTCGTGGTCTCGGAAAGGGTAGAGCAGCCGGCCAAGGCCATACTGTAGGTAGTGAAGGATTGGCATTGCTGCGCAGTTTTTGTGTTTTTCTGCCAAATAAACTGTCGTACACGCAATATTATTGCTAGGAATAAGTTCTTTGTGTAGCAGCCCGGGTATTTTGCATCAGAATAAAAGAAAAGTCCAAGCATTTGAAGGGTAGAATACAATACAGCGGCCCGAAACCGGTCCGGAACCGGCATGGCCAAAGCATATATAATCTGGCAGCATCTCAAAGATAAAAACTGACTATTAATTATTATCCAAATAAATCAGAGTATGGGATGGGAGTACACAATGACCATTGAAAAATAAAATAAAATAAAAAAGAAATGGTAGCGAGGGGATTCGAACCCCTGCACCTCTCGATACACGAATACTCCGGTCCTGGGGAACGGAAGCTTATAGCTTGAGTCGTGCGCCTTAGACCACTCGGCCACGCTACCAGAAAGACGATTATGTAACTGATTGGAGGTATGATGTTGCTGCGTATCTTATAATAGCGTATGCAGTATAAACAATGCTAGTTTATAGTTCACTAGTCACTATACTTATACTTATACTTACACTTCTTCCCAGCCTCTTCTGTGGCAAAATTGAAGAGCTACAACTTATAATTAGAGCAATATATAGGTAGGTAGCTATATGCATTTACCTAGCTTCAAGTTAATGTTAACTACTTTGTATACTCGATCTGCACAATGACCGCATGGCCCCGCCTGCCGTGTTTCCGCCCGCATCCGGCTTCCGAGTCCTCAATCCTCACGAATCTCCAATCTTTCCAAGGTTGACTCTTCTTTCTTCTTTTTTTCTTCTTTCTTCGCTTCCCCTTGTTCCTGAACCCTCTCCATGATCTGGTCCACACTCGCTGCCCTCAAGACCGATCCCGCTGAGGAGGCCCGGGCCCAGGTTCAACAGCGACCTCCCCGATATGCCGGTGAAGATACCACACCGACCACCCGCAGGGAGATCCTCGGTTGGTACGCCTATGGTATCGCCGCTGAGGTCTTTGCTGTTTCGGGCGTTGGTATGAACTTAATTCCCTTTCCAAATTGACTTGCCATTCTACTACTTATGTGGTATACTGCGTTACACTATACTTTCCTATTTGCCCCACTATAGCAAATATAATATACATTAAAGTTCTTTGCTGCGACCATACGGAATGGACCTCGGGATAAAAGCTAATTGATACGATTCGCGCAGGATCATTCCTCCCTTTAATGCTGGAACAACTCGCTCGCGAACATGGCTCTTTACAAGATACTCACCGACCGTGTTGGGGCGACAATGCACCCGACGAGAACGCGCGGAATGGCGAACAGTGTGTCATCGGACTCATGGGCCTGCAAATCAATACCGCCAGCTTCGCGATGTATACCTTCTCGCTGGCTGTGCTGATCCAGGCGCTGACTTTGATCTCGTTCAGCGCTCTGGCTGACTATGGTAAGTCCGAGTCCTCCAGTTCGTTTGTTTACTTATTTACCATTACACTCTCCACTCCAAACTTTCAACTTGAACTAATCCTCTTGTACCAGAGCATAATCGCAAATCGCTTCTCCTGGCCTTTGGCTTCATCGGTTCCGTGACTAGCATGCTATTCGTCCTCATTTGGCCCTCAATATATATACTCGGCGCCATACTAGTCGTTATCGGGGTGACTTGTCTCGGTTCCTCATTCGTGGTATTGAACTCGTTTCTCCCCATCCTCGTCGCAAACGACCCCTCCGTGCAAAACCCCGAGCACCGTAACAGCGAAGAACTATCAAGTTTCAATCGCCGCGAGGACGATTTTGACTGGAACGAATGGAGTGATCAAGACAGCGTGGATGGAGTCCATGACCACCACCAACAACGAAGCGCCAATCCCGAATCACATTCATACTCCCCCGACTCGGAGTCCGGACTGAAAGAAGACGGAAAGCCCAAATCAGCATCCCCGGAACTCCAGCTCTCAACCCAGATCTCCTCCAAGGGCGTCGGACTGGGCTATCTAGCCGCCATCATCGTGCAGATTCTCAGCATCGTCATCCTCATCACTGTATCCAAGACGTCTCTCGCGAAAGCGTCGGGGACGTGGCCAATGCGTTTCGTCCTGCTCCTTGTTGGTATATGGTGGTGCGCGTTCACTTATCTAACTGGTCGTCTTCTTCGACCTAGACCCGGTCCTCCGCTCGACAGTATTAATTCGTCCGGCACTGGCGCCAGCGGTTCGGCAAAATGGCGCGTCTGGTTACGCCTAGTCGGATTCTCGTGGAAATCCTTATGGCGAACTGTGCGGATAGCGGTCCAATTACGCGAAGTCATGATTTTCCTAATCGCGTGGTTTATGCTCTCGGATGCACTGGCGACGGTTTCCGGGACGGCAATCCTATTCGCGCGCACGGAGCTCAATATGAGCACGACTGGTATTGGCCTTTTATCCATCACGGTGATTGTTTCTGGAATGGGCGGCGCGTTCATGTGGCCGAAGGTTTCGGCGCGATTTGGTCTTAAGTCTAACCAGACTATAATGGTGTGTATTGCGCTGTTTGAATTGATTCCGCTTTATGGGATGCTGGGGTATATTCCGTTTGTGAAGAGGTGGGGGGGTTATTGGGTTACAGCAGCCGTGGGAGATTTTCCCCTTGGCGATTGTGCATGGTGTTGTTGGTGGTGGACTTGCGTCTTATTGTCGGTCTTTCTTTGGATTGCTGATTCCTCCTGGGAGTGAGGCGGCGTTTTATGCGCTTTATGCGGCGACGGATAAAGGGAGTTCGTTTATTGGGCCGGCAATTGTGGGGGTGCTTGTTGATGCGACGGGACAAGTGCGGTCGGGGTTCTTTGTTATTGCGGTTTTGATTGTGTTGCCGTTGCCTTTGGTTTGGATCGTTAATGCGGAGAAGGGCCGGCGGGATGCTTTGGCGATGGCGGAGAAGTTGAAGTTTGCGGAGGATGGGAATGGTGATGGTGATGCCCAGGAGGAGGAGGGTTTACTTTCTAGGAATAGTTAAATTGGATGGTATAGATTAGAATGTAGATTTATGACTATATGATATTACTAGTATACTCTATAGTGAATATGATGATTGATGATCAAGTTACGAGAGTAGTAATCCGTTGGTTTGATGCCAGCGCATTGGACTAGATTGGCCCCCAAACTCTGACGTCGTATTCGGAAAGTGATCACGATGTTGCCTCGGGCGGGGTTGTGTCGGCATTTATGTAAAGAAGAAGAGAAGACTTGCCAAGTTGTCCGTGCTGGTCTGACTGTACTCCGTAATTGGGGTAGGATACGAGATGCAAGCTGGGCAGTGCGTGCAGTCGAGTCAGCAGTCAGCCTTGCTCACTGGCTGGTCGCCCTCAGGAATGAGAAAATGGTCAAAGTGGAGCGTCATGATCGGCAGGGTCATTGAGGCTGTTCGGTTTCTCCGGCCCAATTGCCTATCTCATTGGTATGGCGCAGGTCGAAAGGGCGATGACCTTGGGATTGCCCCTAAACTGCCCCCAAACTGGCGCCCCAAGGACGAAAATCCTTGCTGGAATCAGTAATTTCAATGCGCCGCCAAACGGTGGCCTTACCCTTCCACTCCGTAGTCACTCCGTAGTGTGGATATAATCCTGGCGGATCCCCGGAACTCCGGCCGCCTCGCCCAGCTTTTTTAGTAACACATTTTGCTTAGCCTCGACAGGACTGGACCCTGTTCTTTCTTTTTTCATGGTCCAGGCTTGTTTTGTCTTGTATTCCCATCCCAAAGCTTGTACCTCCAAGTGCTCGCAATGCTTCGCACTTCATTAGTCGCACTTTGTTTGCTCGGAGCTCACGCGCAACCCGTTCAACCGGTCCAACCACGCGCCGCTTCCGTTGTCCCAATCGACAACTGCTCCGCACTACCGAATTACAACAACGCGACCAACACCGCCGGTCCTTGGAAGATCCGCGTGGATGGGTGCAACAATGGCAGTTCACAGGGCTGTCGCATAGAGGGATTCGCTGCTGGCTGCGACGTGACGCGGTCGGCCGATGAGAAAGGGATCGAAAAGGGTGCAGTAAGTATTTCTGTTCCTTGCAGCTAGCAGCAGCAGGCTGGCCCCTAATTTCCGGATGGCACCGGAATGCCCAGGTCAACTTACGACAATCCCGCTAACGCTACCCCTCTACAGATCACCATTGTCGACAACAATGACGCAAATACACTCCTCCGCTGCAACGGCGCACTCAAAACCTTCGAAGCATACGTCCCTTCCGGAGCGGGCGCACCAGATTGGCATGCGATTGGCATCGCGGAGGGTACCGACACGGCGCAAATGGAATGGGGGTTTGGAGCAGAGCACACTAAGCCTGTGCAGGCTTACCGACAGTATGTGGGCGGGACACCGATTGAGGGGATTTTCTTGGGCTCAGAGGGACGGACGAGCTGGGCGGTACTCGATTCTGGGTCTGGACTGAGTGCGGTCAATCATCAACCATTCTGGTTCCTGCGATTGTTGGATTCGAAGACGGAGACGGAGACGGAGAAGTGGGCTGAAGAGATGGAGACACGGATTCGGATTGATGGGAGTTAATTGGGCGAGGGTTGTCATCGCATCGCATCGCATTGCATTGCCTTGCCGTTCAAGGCCGGAGTTTTTGTCATGTTATATTTGGTCGGATACCCATTTGCATATAGAAGTATACCCATAGGTAATGAAGGAGATGGAAGAACAAGAAGAAGAAGTAGTAGAAGAAGTAGAAGTAAAAGTTGATATCATTCCCTTGTCTTAGTCAGTATGTTATGTATGGAAGGTGCAAGGGGAGCACCTTCCCGGAAGACACTCCCACTTCCACGTCATCCCCAAAACAGGAAATAGAACAACACTTGCATTTGAGGCAAGTACGATGGAGATAAAGTCATGTGCCTCCCTGAAGGTCACCTCCATACTTCCTCTCTTCACTCCTTACCTCCTCTCATCTTCTCCATCTACGCTACTCCTCACTCAGATGATCTTCCCCAGATCGCCAGGGGCACTAACTGTTACCTGCATACTGGTACTACAGACTACGATTTCGATCATCACCACACATGAACTGATTGGTTGATTGATTCCCGATATTAATCTGATCATCTGATCCCCATTTTACCCGGCTCACTGCTTCCACCTCCCGATCAGCCAAGGAGTGACTGCATATCCGGCCCGACGTGCCACGTTCAACGCTCTCAATTGATTAAATATGACTTGACTTCGGAAAGAATTGGGAGCTCACCGATTTCACGGCACATCCTCCGTACCTTGATGGGCTTAGGCTCTCGCTTCCTCTCCATGGCGTCGCCTCCCGCCCCCTTGGGGTCCAATCATAATGCCGCATCTCTCCCACTTTCCATTCCCCAGAATCAAAAGAAGACTTAATCACGGTCGCGGGGAAGCACTTGACCCAAACGATCCTAGCAGCAGCTATCTCACTCTCATTCTCACCTGTGATAGGTGCGAAATTGAGAGTCTCAGGTGCTCGTCCTCAACCTTCGCATTCCGGAGCTGGTCTAGCCACAATCCTCCCCGTCCTTCTACTGGTTACACCTTATACTCTCTCGGCGCCATCCCTGGTTCAATTAGCCTGAATACAGTCCCTGTTGGGTCTTTGCCTATGTTGATATTTCTCCACGCGATCTTTACACCCCGGCATGGCATGTGGATCGCCGTGGCCAGACAATGCCCGGATCGACCCATGCATATATAGCGCTGGCCCTGGTCGCCTGTCTGCCCAGCTCCGCGTTCTTGGTTGTGCGACGTAACACCCTTCGACATGTCGAACAATCCCCAGACCCAGACGGAGATAGCTCTTGAGAAGTCGGCCGCCAATCATGTCGAGGATACACTAGGCCACGGCGCCATCGTCGAGGCAAAGCATGCCACCGACGAGGAACATTCGCAGACCCTTTGGCAGGCCTTGCGGGAGAATCGCAAGGCTGTGCTCTGGTCTGTCGCTGTCTCCATGTCCATTGTGATGGAGGGCTACGATACTATCTTGATGGGTAACTTCTTCGCTTATCCAAGATTTCAAGAGAAGTATGGTCAATATTATGGCGAGGAGATCGGCTGGCAGGTCTCCGCGCCCTGGCAGACGGGTCTAAGCATGGCTAGTACTGTTGGTTGTATTTTTGGTGAGCTCCAAACCCCCCCTCCCCTGTTTGTCGGATTGTGCTAACCTACCCTGCAGGTGGTATTCTAAACGGATGGGCGGCATCGAGATACGGATACCGAATTGTTATGGTTGTGGCCCTTTTTTTCTTGACTGCATTCATCTTCATCACCGTCTTCGCCAACTCCGCCGCCGTCCTTCTTGTCGGTCAGATTTTCTGTGGTTTTTCTTGGGGCGTGTTTGCGACAATCGGACCTGCGTATGCCTCCGAGGTGTGCCCAACCAACTTACGTGGCTACCTCACCATCTATGTCAACATGTGCTGGGCCATTGGTCAACTTATTGCCAGTGGCGTGCTCTATGGGCTGGTTGACCGTCCCGATCAATGGGGCTATCGCATTCCCTTCGCCCTGCAGTGGATTTGGCCAGTGCCTCTGATGGCAGTGTGCTGGTTGGCCCCGGAGTCTCCCTGGTATTTGGTTCGGAAGGACCGCTTTGAAGACGCCAAACGCAGCATTCGTCGCCTTGGTGGATCTAAAACCGAAGATCAGATCAATGGGCAACTGGCGATGATGGTACACACCATTAAAATCGAAGCAGAGATCGAGGCCGGCACCACGTATTGGGACTGCTTCAAGGGAGTCGACCGCCGCCGCACAGAGATCTGCTGCCTTACCTTTATGGGTCAGATTTTGTCAGGTAGTACATTTGCCTACTCGCCCACTTATTTCTTTACACAAGCTGGCATGGATCCCAGCAAGGCCTTTCAACTGGGAGTTGGATGTACCGGAGTGGCCTTTGTCGGGACTGCACTGTCATGGTGGTTGATTACCTACTTCGGACGACGCACACTGTATGTCTGGGGCCAAGCAATCCTATGCACGCTGCTCTTCCTCATTGGAATTCTGAACGCTTCTACAACATCCCAATCCGCCATGTGGGCACAGGCCTCATTCTGCTTCCTTTGGCTTTTCACATACTCTCTCACAGTCGGCCCAATTGCCTACTCCATCATCTCAGAAACCTCCTCGATCCGACTCCGCCCTCTCACCGTTTGCCTGGCGCGTACGGCCTACCAGATCACAAATGTCGTTTCCCAGGTCCTAGAACCATATTTCATGAACCCGACCGCGTGGAATGCCTCGGGTAAGACGGGTTTCTTCTGGGGCGGCACCGCACTCATCGCCTTTACATGGTCGTACTTCCGTCTGCCAGAGCCTAAGGGGCGTACGTATGCCGAGCTGGATATTCTATTCGCTACCAAAGTGTCCGCGAGGAAGTTTGCTTCTACGCATGTTGATGCTTATGCGGTTGGCGTGTCGCCTTCGCAGGAGGGTCTTGTGACTAAGGAGCAGAAATCCGAGGTCACAGTTACGCAGTAAGCTGAGTACTAGTAATGGTTTATATGTTATATACAATCTTAATGAGATGATCCCGATGTCCACATGGATAGATTCTACTAAGAGTCGACCCTTTCAAAGTTCATACTAGTACCACACACCTTCCAACGCCAAATCTGCAGGCAACGGCTGCCCTAGTATAACTTAGGCTCCTCGGTAGCTGTGGACTTGTAGATTGCGGCTCTGGCAAACCTTGAGAACGACGTTTGCTTAAAACTAATGAGGCACCACGACATTCATAGGTACATGTGAATATTGCCCACGTCCCTACCAGTGGACAGGAAATAGTACCTAGGTATATGTGGGGTAATAACTCATTGCTTAGCGTATTGGACGGAACATATCGGGTGGAACCATTTTCTCCTTCACTTCAAAGGAACACAGAAATTTTCCATCGAACGTGTGCTGTAGCTGCTGCACGTCGACAGGCCAAAAGAATTCGACGTGGAAGTTTGGCACCTCAAGCCCGACAATATTCCGGAAAAGCCCAATCAACTTACCATCGGTGAGCAATAAATGTGCGCTGTTGGTCCTCTCGAATTGCCAAGGGGATAGTTGTAGATTCTGAAGCCCTTCCATACCCCTTATAACATCCTAAGCGGGCGCCTAATAGAAACACACATCTCCAGGATACCATGCTGGGTCACCGAGATGTTCTTTCTCTTGGGAATGTCTGTTGGTTTCCCACAAAGCCTCTACTAAGCAATCTAAATGAAGAGATCGTATCTTATGAAGACATTGCGGCAAAATTGTAGCTTTGAAATCTGCAATTGTGCGGGTTTGACGAAAACTTCAGAGTGTTTTCGGGGTAAATTATGTCAATGGATTCCGAGTATCTGTTAATATCGGCCATGAAACAGAAAGATTTATGGGAGGCATCCTTCTGCAAGAGCATAGTAGCCCCATTACTGCCGGCACCTGAAATTTCAGTCCCACTTGATTTGGGTCCAGTCCGTCCTCCACATGCGGCATCCAATTGATAGAAGTTCCATCCACAGCGGTTGATCCCCAGCACCTATGCGCCCAGCTGGGTATTTCGGGATTCCACCATCCAAGCCCGTGGTGCGCCTATAGATGCGATTATCTACTTCGTAGGTAGAATTTGTAAATAGAGATTAGTTGGCATCCGCTACTAATAGTCCACACGGAATGACGTGCATTTCAACTTGAAGATATCCTAACTTCATTTCTACAGGGGTGAGTATAGAGTATGTATACGTAGACATGGCCCGGACTCGGAATAGTTCAGGTTGCAGAGCCCTGCAATATGAGCGGAGGACTCCCCACAGAGATCTAAGTTCCATAGACGGAGTTCTACTTACTAGACTAGTATCTACCGATCCAGAATATCGGGACTATTAATTAAAAACGGGGAGGGTTCGCCTGCGAATAAAGTGCAGAAATCATCACGGGACATACTTCATCCATCCCACCGGGAAGGCAATTACGTAGTAGTAACTGTTTATTTTGCACGGGAGTACACTTGAGGTATACTAGAGTACGGATCCGACAAGGCTGTAAAGTGGAGAAGAAGAAAAACTGCCGACGAGTGTGAAACCGAGGCCAGACCCGTGGCTTTCGGGGAATTATCTCGCTTAGGCTGGGAAAGGGATGGGGCCGGCCGATTGATTGACCCACTGTATGTGGCTATTCTGGGTGCAGAGAGTGGACGCTAGATTTGATCCTGGTGGTGACTAGCGAACCCCTGCAGGAAATGGTTTCAATGGGTGGTGTTGTGTGGATTTGTTGACAAAGTACGAAAGAGTGGTGTTTACGGAGAATGGTCGGGAGATTGCTAGAAAGTACTGACATTATTCAGATGTCTGGGTGATGGAGGCGGTTTGGCATGGAAATAGTAACTCGTCAATTGGTATCTTAGTAGAATAATTATACATGGATAGGGATTATGGGGTATTAGAATGTGTCGTTTAGGGATGTTCGATTCATCCTCATGCCATGTGCCAGCCTGTGTCTGTGCATGCATGTGCATCTGGACGGTCGTCATGAATCATCGCGCACAGACACCCGCACCGATCGCTCGACTTTCCATCCTTGATTCGGATTGAGATCTTCCTCGCTACTGCTTCTTGGATTCGGTCGCTGCGTCCCCATGATTGTCGTTGTCACGCCATGGTAGTCGTCGGCGTCGGTGCCGGTCCAAAGCTGGTCTGCGCCGTCGCCGTGGCGAGACCGCGAGGATTTGTTCTGCGCTACGTGGCTCGACAAGGGAAATGAGCCGGGGCGGGGGCGACTGCGTGAGGCGGAGGAGCCATCGCGGAGGAATCGGATGAGGGGGCGGAGGGTGGTGAGACAGCCGGCGGTGATGCCAAGACCGGCTTCGACGTTCGACCAGATGGAGATTTGATAGGTATTGTCTGAGAGAACCAGGTTAGTGGGGGTTCTTGGTAGGTTAAATTGAATGTTTTTTTTGCTCTTCCTTTTCGGAAGCTGCCGTCAACTTACATAGAAATTCCGTGTCTTGGTAGTGGTGGACAAATGGAATGCGAATAATGACCGCTGCGGAAGCACTGGAAATAGATTAGCGGTGGGTCTAGGCGCAAGAGGCGGAGTAATGACGAACATGCAACCAATGCCCAAAATGCCGACGATGGCGGTCTTGGTGCGGGAATTCATGCGCAAATTCCAGATCAGGGCGACTGGAAGCAATCCAATCGTAAGATCGGTGATGGCGGCTCCGATACTATACAGATATGCGATGCCGATGAGGACATTCTTCGCGACGCAGTGTCCGGTTGGGGAGAGTTGGTGCCAGAAGTGGTCGACCGGAGTGCATTGGAATATCGTGAAGAAGAGGAAGATCAAACCAACCACGGTGGCTAGCGAGATTGCGGCGTAAAGGATATAGGCGTGAATCCGATCAACGGTGATTCGCAGGAGGGTGATGATGATTGAGATCTTAGCGACAACACAGGTGATTACGTAGAAGATCTGCCCGAGCCACCAACACTAAAAAGACGTTAAGATCTATGTTTGCACCATGTCGCATGGTATTGAAAAAAAACGTACCAGCAGCGCGCGATTGAAATGATCGGGATAGGCTTCAAAATATGCCAGCTTCCGGCCAATTCCGTTCTTCGCTCCAACGATACCACAGACTGCAAACCCCAAATTCAAGGCCTAGAGATGGACAGTGTGAGCTTGAGTTTCCCAGTGGACTTTCCAGGACCGGCGCGCCGATATAAGATATCGCCCTCGCGGCTCGAAGGAAGACTTACCATCGCAATCACCATAGTGATATCATCCCACCCGAAAGCTCGCACAACCCGGGTTCGAACGAAGATTCGTAGACAGACGCTGACGAGCGAGATGGCGAAGAAGACCGAGGTGACGATGAGAATGGCATTACTTCGGGAATCGTCATTGACAGCAGCCAGAATGGCGGCCTCGGCGGCCTCCTTGCGACTTTCAGCATCCATGACGACAGTATGGAGCCATCCGCATAGAGGAGCGAGGTGGGAGATAAGAGTGATCGAGGAATGGAGGCGGGAGGGGAAGGGGAGGGGGGACAGAGATGGGGTCCTCGTGGTTTTATTCTCCTAAGGATCTCCGACAAATCTGGGACGAAAAAAAGACTGGAGCTCCAGATTCTAGACAAACTTGGCTCTGGTAAACTGGGCACGCGGTGCCGACATGCACAGCGGAGCCCCTGCGTGAAGTGGCACGCATCTTTCGGTTCGGGTGGGGTAGTATTGCCCCCCCCTAGGGCCGAGTCTAAATTCCATCGATCGGCACGGTCTCGAAAGAGAACTCCATCCCGCGGTAGTTTGAGAGGGCGGAGAGCCGAAGGTGTAGCATTCCAATGGTTGATGGAAGACTTGGTGCTCGATACTCCGAACTCCGTTTCTATCCCAAGTGCCAAGTGGGGAATGAAGTAAGGGCACGATACATATCATCAATGCACGAACCGTCAGAGAATCAGACTAGGAGGGATGGTGGATGGAGTCTAGTTGCAGGGTTGATGTGCCGTGTGGGCGGACACTTTTTGCCCAAAGAGCAGGAGAACTGGTGATCGCGACTAGTGGCGATGGGTTTCAGAAGGGAGCCGCACCCCCCCCCTCCACCCAACACAATGACTTTCCCCCATTCCCAAGCCCGCCGCGCAGATGGCGTTCCGACCTAGGAGATTTCTCCGGTTGGGTGGAGGTCTGCCCGAATGTGGTGAGAAGAACCAGGGATGAAAAGTGGAGGGTTACCGAATAGCCAATGGTATAGATTCTTGGAGAAGGTGACATATGCCATGTCCTATTGATGAAGGAGGGGAGAGTTTGCAAGAGAATTGGATTGGAGATTTCACATGATAGTATGGCGCCAAGCATAATCATCAACGATGGACGTAAACCATTAAACCATTGAAATCCGAATGATCATTTTATGGCCTGGAGAACGCGTAGAAAGGAAGACATCAAAGGTACGTACCAGAGCCTAAAGAGGACTAGTGTCAGGGCTAACCCTCACCTCGTGCACCTTCCCCATCGGGCAATGCCAGATGCATTATGCATATCTTCATACTCCGTTCATACATGGTTCTTGTCATGTTGCGTTGTACATTGTTAGTATATCTCGTGAATAATATAGTATGCAATGCACCATGGTCCATTGTCTCTACCGTTCATTCTCTCTTTCATCCACTTTTGCCGAGAACCAGATCTTCCACTATTGCAAATCCGTCCGTGCATATCGACTATTGACACGCTATCTATGCTATGGAGGAGGCTTATTTCTAGGCATGTGCAATTGTATCCCCGCCCGCGGAGATCCGATCGACGGCCTAAAATACCCCCTACAGCCGGCTAACAGTTTGGCTAAATAACAAATGTGCTCAATTGAGGGGATTTGGAGATCTTCGGGGTCTTGCCAAACTGCTGGGAAACTTTATTCAAGTTGCATCCAGTTTTGATAGTGGTACCAGGGAGGAGCGGGGGAGTTTATTGAAACCCTGCATGAGTTGATCGTCACCATTGCATGCCACATGTTCATGCCGAACTTTCCATGAGGTAAGGAGTTGTTGGCATGTCCCTTCCCATGGCTTTACTTCGACCGGTTCCGTCAAGCCATCATTCATCGGATCCGTGGCTCTGGGGGCCAGGCCGCCATCTTTGCGGAGTCCGCGCTTAACGCTTCGCCGGTTCTATGCAGACTTTATCTACTTCGGATAATGGAGTAAGGAAGCAGACGCTGCTGCCCATTCGACCTATTCGACCCACTCAGCCCCTTCCGGAGAACTTGTCCACGCGATGTCCACGCGAGGTCCGCACCGTGAATAAAATCAAGGGCCCGTTCCAAAGACGTCGCAAGCTCGTTAGAGGCTCGTGGGTTTCTAGAACTTCTGAACCAAGGTTCTGAAACAGAAGCGAAGTAGCTAGCGAAGCACTTGTTGTTTGGTCATTACACGTGTTTCGACCTTGCTACGCGGAAGTGGGAGTGAGTGGGAAATGCTACTAGTAGGCCGGAGTGAGTGCGCTCTAGAATCGTAGATTTTGACCCCAACAATTATTCAACGGATGGACAGGGGTATCGATACTGATATTTTGGAGATCTTCCTACTTCGTACTGCGCCCTATTACTTGTCAACATAGTACAAATACAATCGCATTATAGGCAAATTTTGAACCCATTATTAGGACACTTCATGACGTGGGCTCTGGCCTTGGCTCCATTGGTCAACCTTAAATTTGCAAACTATCCAATTTCGATGGCCAATTAATGAGACCGAACAGTAAAACTCGAGTCGACAGCACAAAATTAGGGGAACATCAAACGGTCAAGCAGAAATCAGGATAGTTATAAAGTCTATTCATATTTAATGGCTGGAACTAGTTAGTACACTGTACTCTATATATAGCTAAAGCTACTCTCTATCCCTACCCCGTAAACACTTCAAGTTAAAGCTGAGCTCATTTATGAGGAAGCAGACGCAGTGGCAGACGATGATGGCATACCAGACATCGATCCACTGGGAGCACCACCGCCGCTATCACCACCGCCGCCGCCAACAAACGAGCTGTCTGAATTCTCGTGACCGCCATTGGCATCGTAATAGGCCGCAATACTGTAGTACGAGTTATCGGTGTAATCGGCAGTCGAGTTGATACCAATCTGGATCCACGCGAAAAGGCCATCGTCAAGGTCCTCGCCCAGGTACATATATTCGGGGAAAGGGTCGTAGGAAGCATCGGCCTGGAGGACACTCCACATATCATCGGCATTGGTGGTGACGGCTTGCGTGTTGCTGGTGTAGGGGGATGTCTCCTCGACAGCGCTGCGGAGGACCTCGTTCCAGAACAGTTGTCCGATATGAGCGACGCTGCCGGTGCCCACCTCTAGAGTCTTGTTGGGGAACATGGTCGCATTCAGATGGGTGAGCAGGTGAGTGTGAGTGGCGCGGCCATCATAGTGTCCCGGGAAGATACTGTCGAAATTGACCACGCCCTCCTGGTCGGTCTGTTGGATACCGCGGAGGTAGGTGCTGTTCAAGCCATCGGCGGCATAGTTACCGCTAGTTGAGATACCGCTGTACACGCCAGTAGCATTGGCTTGCCAGATATCGACCAGAGCGCCGGGGACTGGGCGACAGGTATTGATGTCGATGTACTGCACTTCCAGATGGACATCGACGCCGTCCGAGTACTCTTCTTCCTTCACGTTCTCGCGAACGACTTCACCCCAGACGTAGTAAGGGCCGTCGGTGACGGTGGGTGTCAGAATGCACGAGGTGTTGGCGCCGAAAACGGATTCCTGGTTGATCAGCCCCTGGTGGTAGGCGTCGGTTCGGTTGTGGTCGATTGCCTCCCACTTCTCAAGGGCGGCTAGGTTGCGGCGATACTTCTGGGGGGCTGTAGAATATTAGCGACTCGATCACTGGGTCGGATTGGTGTCTATGGAAAGATCGTACTCGAGGTGATGCCGCGCTTTTGGCGTAGCTTTTGAACGGTGTGAGCACGACGGGCAACGTTGCGCTTTGCCAGCTCACGCGCGTGCAGGGTGCTCTCACAACCACCCAGCGATCGCTTTCCAGCGGCAGCCATCGCATCGCGAACATGGAGCTCGCGCTTCAGTACATGTGGGTCGTGCTTCTCGCCGGGGTGAGCGACAACGGGGGCGGCGAGGCAGGCTGCTGCAATGGCCAGGACCTTGGCTAGTTGAACCATGGTGAAATTGGGTATTTCAATGGAATGCCGATAGAAAGCTTGAGTCGTGAGTTAATTCTCATTCTCGAGGAGGCCATAGCAGCCGTGATTTATACGGCACAACCATCAATCCGTAGTTTCCTTGACGCGTCATTCTGAAGACTAGATCGATCCGTTGAAGACAGCATTTGATTGAGAATGCGCTCGTTTGGCCGTGATGAAACCGGTTAATTGTTAGGTCAGGGTGAATTCCTCACTCCGTAGATATTGGTGCTCTTGGCGCCACGCGTTAAGGACATTTTGACAACGGCTCGAGTAGATGAGCCCCACAGCCTTTTACCCTTGCGGCATGATCATCCCTGGCTGACGAATGAATCAATCCTCATTTGCAAAGAAGCTGCTCCACCACGGTCTTTGTCAGCGGAAATTCTGCTCCGGCGGAATTTATACAGAGTTGAAGAAGAGGAATAAGAAGGGGAAGTGCTTGGCACGTTGACGGCGGGAGGTGGAGTGACGAAGCTTAAACGCGTCAGCCACAGTCGATATAAACTCGAAGCACCCAGCGAGCAATGGTCCATCCGGACTGGACCTGGACTTCCAAGGTTCTAATAAATTCGTTAGTAGCTAATGCCTAGGTAGTGATTGGTTGGCCACTGAAAGCTGTTTCCTCAGATGTCAAAGTCGCTCTGGTGTGCTAACTAATATTGATCAACTCCAAGGTTCGTCGAAGTCGCATCTCAAGAAGTTCAAAGTTATCTTTCCCCTTAACTCAATGTCTTCTCATTGGTACTAATATATCCGGGAAAACTTTCTCTATATTAACCTTGGAATAGAACAATCAATACCGACGCCACAAGCTATTATGAAACTGGGGCTCACACTTTCCAGCGGGGCGTCTCATATCTCATACACCTCTATTATCAATCAAAATATCCTGGGGTTTCATTGGATATGTGGCTTCCTTTTAGTGCTCGTGGTAAATTTACTGGATGTAAAGCACCGTCGTAGCCATCTAACAGGCCACGATTCCGGTCGTATACTGTACATTGCTTGCACCTCTGTGTTAGCTCCCATCGTTACAAGCCGGCGGACGTAGAGTTAACAATCTGTATGACTCAACCTAGTCTACAGGTACATGGAATTGCTCTGAGTCTCTATTGACATATCCACTGCAGAATATCCATTTTCATTCCCTAGAAATCAGAAACGAGCTGGAGTCATATGAAGTGTTATGTCTGCCTCGAAAATAATCTACCGGAACTCTCCTTATATGAGACGACGGTGAGCTTGAGGCGTTCTCTAGGTAAAATCTCGAAAAGATCTCAAAATTCTAGACCTCGGGAATGGGCATCCTGAAAAGAGACGATGTGATATTTTAGGCATCGGCGGTTTATATTTGAGGAGAAGGCGGATTTTCGATAATACCCTATAGCTAGTTGCACATAATTGGCTACTTTACGTAATATTTAACTAGTTGACTACTATTACTCAGGTATTGCTTTTAGCACCATGCGAGCGAAATCTACGCTTTGGCCCCCAAACTCGAACGAAAAAGACCGAATGGAACAGGCTAAAACAGGGGGCCTAAATCTGTTAAATCGGTAACCTCAAAGACCGAGCTGACGTCAGATCAGCGTTCAATCTTAAATCACTCAGGCTTGATATTTAAACTAATTCCGGCCTGTTCCGTCCGAAAACATCTTTTGTTGTAACACATAACCATCAAGATGTCTGAAACTACCGGGACCCCGCCTGTCAAATTCACAATCACCCACCACCGTCAACCGCAACATACCCACGAGGCATTTATCGATTGGATAGTGAATGAGCATTTGCCTCTTGCGATTCCAGTGTTTGAGAAATATGGGGTCATTGATTATTCTCTTGTGCGTAGATTTTCCTACCCCCTCGCGAAATCATCTACTAGCTATAACTAAATATTCTATCTAGTTCGTTACGCCGCCGCCTCTGAATGATGGCTTGAAGCAAGAGATCGGAGGTCTTAGACCGACCTGGGACTTCGCTGAGTGTGACTGTTTTATTGAATATACACTTCCCAGTGTGGAAACCATCAAAAATATCATGTCGGATCCAGAATGGCAGGTTGCGGTTAAAGACCAGGATCAATGGGTTGATGTCCCGAGGGCCTTGGTATCTCTGGGATACCCTACCACGTACTTCCGGCATGGGAAGGCTCTTAGCATATCTAAATAGTCCAAAGCCTGGTATGCAAAGAATCGAGTTAAGTGACATACAGATTGATCATACTTCATGTCCATAAAGCAAACATACCACAATCGGCAGTTGAGCATTAAAACCTTGAGATATCTGAATGTAGTGGTTTTAATTCTATAGATCCTCCGCGAGCTGCTTGCCATCGATTACGGAATAGGTCTGGAATTTCGGTAAAATATTTATGGCTTGCCAGCAATCAGCAGATAATATTACGGGTCATAAGATGACCATTTTTGAGAGAGCCAAGATCGCGCATATGATGACATGCATTGCTATCATCACCCCAAAAGGGAATTTGTCAAATCAAGTACCAGATATGATGATGCCGGGTAGATTTGACGTGATAACCAATTAGAATAGAATGGTGGTGAGTCCATGTGTAGAAATGCAAATGTGCAGAATTCGGCGAGTGTTAATAAGCTTGCCACTTGCCCTCGTCAACTGGAAATTGAGTTAAAAATACATTATAGCCCTGTTCAAGTTGCTTGGCTCGATTGTACATAGGTAATCTTATTAACGCAAATACCTAGGAGCGGTGATCATTGACATTCAAGTTGACAATGGCTGTTGCCTAACCGTCTCTGTGATGTAGTAGCCTTGGAATGAGGCACCGCAAATTCCTGTATCGCTGTCCCTGCCCTAAGGAAGAACATGCCTGAAACTGAAATCATCAAGAATACTCCTGGAACCCGTTTTTTCACGGCCTTTCAGCGCCACGTCTATATGTGCTACTGGTCAGCCCGCCGGAGATCACGGAATTGAAATCTTGACTGCTGCCCCGATAGTCTTTGGCCAGCAAAGACACATCATAATTGGGAAGTTTCACCAATTTTGTCAGTACTACCTGGTGGCGTCTCATATTTCCCTCTGCGGGCCCTGTTCACCGTAAATGCCGCTTCATCTGTCCGGCTTTACAGATGGATCTGGTGCCACCCCGGATCGTGTCTGGAGCATATGTAAATCGACATGAATCACGAGAATACATTGCACTGTAAGCGCCCGAATGCTATCGTTTTTTTCTCTGGATATCCATGGATCGTTGCCAGTTAGTGACTTGTTGGATCGAAGACTTGAGCCTTGGATCCTTGAAATTACAAGGAAGATTCAAGTTGGCATTATGCTAGTAATAGTAGCTTAAAACCTATGACTAAGTAGTATCAGGTAGTACCAATATAAATATCCCACGGTTTGTCCTTAATTCACGATTTCCAGAAAATTTCATATAATCAGATTACACCACCCTTGAATTTCTGCGGCATAAAGGCTACAGACCGACCTAGGCACACTCAATCTTGAAGATACTGAGCAAAAAAGAAGCCGAAAATGTTCTATAAAATCCCGCTGATTACAAGTCTTGGCATCTTTGCCAGTAATGGCCTGGCAAGCCCCCTCTTCCCATTCGGCGATCACTCAAGGGTAAGTACAGCACCGAACCCACATGAAAAGTAACTATAGAAGGCTGAATACAGGATATGAAATGAAAGATTCAATATTGTAACGATCATTACCCTTCGAACTGCCATTATCAGAAAGTCCATGAAAGACAGTGCACTAAGCTAAGCCATCCGTGAGTTGACTGGACCCCTGAAGAAAGTTTCGCGTTTGCATGGATTAGTTAATATCTAAGAATCTAGTGGAAATGTCCGCTGGGTCGCCGCTTGGGATAGTTGCCGGATGTATAGGTGAGTAACCGTCCGTGATTAAAACGGGGTTTACTCACATTGGATTAGCAACGATAAATGCACTGGTGATTCTAAGTCGAACTTGGATGTCATCCCTATGGTATTCGATTCTCCATTCAACGGAAAGGCTATTTATTGTGACTAGAAGAAAGCCTGTGAGCTTCCAAATGATGTCTTGCGGTTACGAAGATAAAGAGAAATTCGATAATGTAGTCGGCTTCATTTATGTTGACTCTATATCCGCATATAAAACCACAAATTAAGAAAATGACAAAAGGGCTACTACCTAGGTATTATGGCTTCAGTCTGCAGTAGACAACAGCATTGAAGTCTATCACACTTCCGCCTCCTCTGGTTTCTGATCCACCTCCGAGCTGGTCGGGGTACTACTGTCCTCCAAATGTTCTGGGTCAAACATGGACTCCCTCATGAATGGACTGCGACGTCTGATTTCCGGACCCTTGAGAACGAGGACTACCGGAACAACCGAGAGAGCCACGCCCACGAAACCTAATAGCGAGCCCGCCCATCCATAACCAAGGGTCTCGAAAAGCTGATAGGAGGCAAGTGGAAGGAAGGCGCCGAAAGTGTTGCGACCCAATGAGGCGGCCGATAATGCCGAGGCTGCGTATTTTTCGTACGCGTCCGTCAGGTAGTTGACCACAGCCATATAGATCGAATAAATTCCCACTCCCGTACAGCCGATACCAAGAGTTGGAACAATCCAATGAATCGAACCGTTTCCGACGCTACCCCAGCCGTACCAAAACAATCCCCCTGCAAAAAGAAGACTTCCTGGGATCGACGTGTACAGCCGAGCCTCTGGGATTGGCCTGCCGGGATTGTCGCGGTTGCGCTTCGCAGAGTTGAGATAGATCCAATCTTGAAGGGGATTTACCACGGTACCAATCACGGCCCCCGCAGAAATTGCAAGTTGGACGAGGCCGGTAGTAAACGTGCCCCATCCATAATTATGACTGAATGTCTGACTGACGCTAGAGAAGAAGAGGAACAGAATTCCCCATGCAAAGCTGACCCATAGTGTGAAAAATATAACAACAGGCTCGGTTAAAAGCATCCGTGTGGGTCTTTCAAATGAAACTTGCACTAGCTTTAACAGACTAGTTGTATTGAGTTCGGATTCTGAGTAGATTGGTCGGCCAGTCTCCCAGCGAAGTTTCTTGGCGCGTTTCCGGAGAATGACATCAGCTCGGGTTTCTCGGAGGATAAGGTAAAAGACCGGTATCAACGCTGCATTGTAGATGATTTGAATATAGAATATCCTATACATGGTCAGAGGGATCCAATTGCAGAGTCATTTTGTTTGCCTTACCATCTCCAAGGATCATCTTTATGGATTTGCTGGATAGCCGAACCAACAAATGGCCCGAGAGCGATTCCAACCACACTCGTAAAGCCGAACAACGACATGGGCAAACTCCGAGCCTTATCGCCATACCAAACATCGCTGATGCTCCCACCCACGATATTAATCGACACGGATGAAGCCCCACCCCCGAAAAAGCGAGTCACAACGAGCGTTGCAAAGTTCTGCGCAAATGCCGATGGAAATAGCGAGACCACTAGGAGAAAGTAGGATACAAAGTACCCTGGCATGCGCCCTGATGACTCCGTGAGCGGGACGAAGATCAGTGGCCAAAACGCCGCCCCCATGTTCCAAGATGTAGTAGCCCAGGCTAAATTGGGGAAGGGCTCATTCTGTACATGGAACTTCTCTGCCATATAGTTATTTCCGGCACCATATGATCCAGCTGGTAAACCTGTCAAAATGGAGCTAGGAACGGTCAGTCAAAGGGACAATTGCATCCATCGACCCCTCTTCAGTTATGGTGAGTTACGTACATAAAACAGATTGTAATTGTCAGCACCCATTTATATGTTTTGCTCCAATTGAAACTGTGACTGTCAGTTTCGACGGAAATAAGCCGGTACTAGCAACGGAAAGAACTGACGGGTTGTCGGGGTCATTGGGACCATCCCAAGTATGGATTTCGACATGTTCCTTGTCTCGCAAGGGATGCTGCCCGACATTGCCAATGTGTGAATCCCGATGAAAGAAAGAGTGAAGTCTGGTAATAAAATTATACGTTAGAGGCTTGCTTTTCGATCGGAAACTTTCATGGAAATAATCCATACCTTGAAAAGAAAGAATCTTTGAATGAATTGTGATGTAGCGTGCTGGCAGTAGACGATCTGTGTAGAACCTGACCAGTAGAACCAACGCGAGAATGACGGATTCTCTGTGTTGGCACCTCTGCTGGCACTTGGGGAGGCACTTGAGGGGGCAGTTGGGAATTTGATTCATCCATCATATCGAGACCGCACTAGCGCATTGTATAATGCAACTAGTCTGTACCCCGGGAAACGGCAGGTCATATTTCGAAAACCCTGAGAATGGCTGACTTGACGAGTATGCCTTTTGTCTCTGTCTAAGCGTCATGGCCGGAAATGTGGATCCTTTTGGGACGAGCTTTGGTAATTAATGATGGAGACCAGAAATGAAATTCTCCTTTATTCCATCATTCATTATCCATCATCCTCAAATCCATTTTACCAACCCCGAGAGAATGTTACAAGGTTGAGCGGTGTGTATTCGAGTCCCATTTGAAATAAGTTCATGCCAGCCAGGTCGTTTGACTTGTTATACTAGGCCTAGATCACCGCCTTTCAGCCACCCCTTTCGATGATAGGTAGACGGGGAGATGCTCACTGGGATTCCGTTCGGCTAAAGCTAAATTTATCCCTGACTGCGATTTAGTCTGGAGATTGCTGCATTCCCCCTTGGCGTTCACCGCCGGATTCAATCTTTTCATAGTCCGTTACCCCATCTTTTGTTGGATTGTAGTGGGGCGATCGCCCGCACCGCGCGATAGGACAATTATGGAGTAGTAAGTAGTAGGACTTCTGTCATTGTTCTTACTTGGCTGTCACACTATTGAATCTTCGGCATTGAGCCGAGTGTGGTCTCATTACTGCGTCTTTTTGTAAAATTGATCATCTCCGGCATGCCGATACTTTGTCGAGAACCAGTTTTACGTCAACGAGTGGGCCGACAGTTGTTCAGTAGTCATGACATCACGGTCCGATGTCATCCGAACTGGTCAAACAAAGCAAATCCCCCAACATTCCACGTACTTCTGGGAAAGGTTGAAAATTGAAATGGGGGGGCTTCCCACGAATCGAGAGTTAATGCAGGTGAGGGGCAACACGACAGGCCTAGCTCGGCCCCGAGCGCAGCAGGTTCTACAGTGGAGAGCGTATCACAACAAAGCATGGCAACCAGGATCTGGCACTTATGCCGTCATGGTCAGCCAAGGATTTGGAGGGGCAGATGAGGGGAGAACAAGGCATAGATAACCGACGAACCTTGGGAGCTTCGAGCCTGAGCTTTGCTTGTTGGTATTTATTGACCTCAACCGCCCCCTTTCCGTCGTAAATTTTTACAGAATCAATCCTCCCATCCTACTCAATTCTTTTCTTATTCACTACACAACCCTCCACCAACCAAAATGCCTATCCCAGTCCCCCAAGCCGACAGTATCAAGGACCTTTTCAGCCTGAAGGGCAAGGTCGTCGTTGTGACCGGTGCTTCCGGCCCTCGAGGCATGGGTATCGAAGCCGCCCGCGGTTGCGCCGAGATGGGTGCCGACCTGGCTATCACCTACGCCTCGCGACCTGATGGCGGCGAGAAGAACGCAAAGGAATTGTCTGAAAAGTTCGGTGTCAAGGTTAAGGCCTACAAGTGCGACGTCGGTAACTGGGACAGCGTGGATGGCTTCGTCAAGTCGGTCATCAAGGACTTCGGCAAGATCGATGCTTTTATCGCCAACGCTGGCCGCACCGCCAACTCTGGTGTCCTCGATGGCTCCGTCAGTGACTGGGAGGAAGTTATCCAGACCGATCTGAACGGCACTTTCCACTGCGCCAAGGCCGTTGGTGCTCACTTCAAGGAGCGCGGCACCGGCTCCTTCGTCATTACCTCTTCCATGTCCGGTCACATCGCCAACTTCCCTCAGGAACAGACCTCATACAACGTCGCCAAGGCCGGCTGCATTCACATGGCTCGCTCTCTGGCCAACGAGTGGCGTGACTTCGCTCGCGTTAACAGCATCTCCCCCGGATACATCGACACTGGTCTGTCCGACTTTGTGGACCAGAAGATCCAGGACCTGTGGAACTCGATGATCCCTATGGGTCGCAACGGTCAGGCTAAGGAGCTCAAGGGTGCCTATGTTTACCTCGTCAGCGACGCCAGCACTTACACAACCGGCCACGATATGGTCATCGACGGAGGATACACCGTCCGGTAAATGGCTCATGTACATAATAAAAACAAAAACCTGACTTCGCTGGGTCGAAGCAGGTTCTTCGAACCCAACTAGCTTCCCGTTGCAGAATGATATCATACTGAATTAACTTATCTTGTTTATTTCCCCGAAGATGCCCCACAGTGCTTAATCCTAATCGTCACACCGGGTTGCCGCCCAGTGTGACTAGAAAAACTTCGGCAAGCCGAGCCTGTAGACAAGTCTGATGACATGAAACCTTGGAAGCCTTGGAACGCACGGTAGGATTTGACTACGCTAAATTTATTCTTCACAGGGGCGCTGCCACCATGCTCGCAGATGATCGAGACCCTACCCCGCCAGCGGACCCGCAACGCTCGTGGTGATCGGAGCCTTCTCCACAAAGATTCCAGACCAGAACCAATCCTCCGCAGCCGTGTCAGTACCGCCGTTGTCAAGTCGCAGTTGTCCAATGTGGAAGTCCGCCGAGTTTGTGGACGTTGAAGCGCTAACCCCCTTCACGACCTGCGTGAGGGCGTTGGTCCCGTTGGAGGCCCACAGGCCGACCGTCTTCGCGTCGAAGTCAATGTCGTAGGCGAAGTTGTACCAGTGGTCGGCCTGCAATTCAGTTGACCAGTGCGTTTCACTGCTCACGCACCAGCGAAGCGTGTTGTCTTTTGTAGCCGAGTCGCCGCTCAATAAACCGTATTTGAGTTCCGTGAAATGGCTCTGTGGAGGACATTAGTGCGTGCATTGTTGATCCCTTCCGACTGTGACTGTGACCAACCTCGAAAAATGCGATCTGGTGTTCGAATTTCGGATTTGGGGCGTTAGTTTCGTTCGTCGAAAGCGAGAAATGGTAAAACAAATGGCCACTCCCGAGGTCGGCTTTTGTTTGAGGGATCAGCTCGCTGCGCATCATGGGTTGCCCATTCCAGGATGATGTTCCATCCTATCAAGGTTAGCAGGTCGCTTTTGTCTAATGGAACTTTCAAGTTGGAAATCGTACAATTGTGATTCTGATTCCTTGATCGTCACTTTTATCTGCTGGGTTCTTGAACCCTTCTGACAGCCCAAGGTAATCGCTGGTTTGTCCATTGCCGTGAATATACCACTGATAATCACCGATTTGGTTGGACCAGGACCCTGTTCAACTTTGAGTTAGAATGGGGCTTGCCAACTTGAATTTGCCATATTGATTTTCTTACATTCGTCGAATTCTTTCACTGTGGATGAAGAATTAAAGAAGCCACTCCATAATACCTCCCCACACTCTGCCGCAATAGGCATGACAGCCCAAAGGAAGTACTTCATGTTGACGACTGACTTTTCGAAAAAGCGGTAATAGAAAATACGATGGAATTCACTTCCTATGTGTCCTTCCTTCGACCCCCTCCTTATATCCATCTTTCTTCAAGCGGCATTCCGAATATGAAACGGGGGGAGTGGCTCTGACAGCAAGCCGTAGTGGGGTACTTGGCGCATAGCGAAACAATTTGAGGTCTTATATAGATTCATCGACAACTTAGTGTTGACAAGTTTAATTACTCCCCCCTTTTGTGATCGCCGGCCAGTCTCCCTAAAGGGGCACGGGCCGAGGAAGTCTCATGTCTCCGACCCTGAAACATTTGGCGTGTTGAAACAGCGCCAAGAATATGCCAAACAGATATTTCGGCAGACCGAACTTAATAGACGTGAAAGTGAATAATTTGAAAAATAAACAGGGTCTATTTCCTAGTTCGACATGAAAATAGCCAAAAACAATCCCATCCATCGAAACTAAGTGTAATCGGCAAAGGATTAGCTAGAGTCCGCGCATGAGAAACTAGCATTGTTAGAATCCGCATGAATAGCCTTTCCAGAGACCCAGAGGCCCATTCCACACTAGATATTTGTTAGATAGGTATCACGGCATTTTTCATACCGAGCACTTACGAGACAACCGCCAATCGCCACGATCACCAAGTTGAGACAAGTTAGGAACATCTTCTTCCAACTTTCGCGATACCGACCGAAATTGAGGAAGAGCCAGAATATGCCACTCAGACCATCTATCATTATGTTAGTTAAGTTAAACCTTTATCATGATCATGATATTTGCAGCACGACTCACAAGTAAACCAACTCGCGAAAAGTGCCGTCTGGGGGGAGAACGCAAGTTAGTATTGCTGAGTCGAATATTTTTTGCTCCTTGCTAGAAGAGCACTTACTATGAGACTGAGAAGGTCGTTGAAAACAGGTATAGCTTCCGCAATAATCCATGCGATAATCCAAAGTACGAGACTGATTCCGACCCATGAACCAATCGAACGAAAGCTTCGCTTTTGCATATGATCTGTTCCCCGGAAGACGCGAACGTAGAGATACTTAGCTGCAACATGGCCATTGATTACACCAGCGATAACAATCTGACGCGACGATTAGTATGACCAGGGAGGAAAAACTGGGCGGCTGTCACTTACGGTCGGGATGGCGATTCCATAGGCGATTTTGGCCGTGATCGGACTGGTAGAACTGAGCGCGGGAGATTTCACATCTTTTCCGCCATAATAGTAGATTACGATTGCGGCAACCGTATACATGGTCGTGTCTGTCGCCTGGAGTAAATATAATGTTTTGGGATAGTCTGTCGGGATTTGCATCTCTGAGATGAAGCCGAAGAAAGCCACATGGCCAGCTATGTTCCTTTCGTATTAATCTTAGATTGGAAAGTATGGACGGTATAACATACCATATGCGAACACAATATTTGTCACTGCGAGGAATCCAGTCGCGACATCGATCTTCGTGGTTGCTTCAACCTTTCCATCCCCAGGGCGTTGGATAGAGATAGCAATCATTGTGATAAGGACGGCGCTGTCAAGTGGCGTCAGTATGCGAAGTGGCTCCGGCCTCGGGAGTAAATTTTTCTTACGAAATGATACTTGCGAACGCTAAAAGATTGTTAGAATGGGTTGTTAAACCTTGGAAGACTCGGAATCTTTGGGGTTGGCTAACACGCAAATGAGAACCAAGACACTTTGCGCAGTGTTCTTGGGACGGCAAAGATAAATGAAATGATCATGCCGACCACACCAAAAACAATTGAACAAGTACCGTGTCCTGTGAGTGTATTCATCATCACCGTAAATGTTAAGATATGACTTCCCATGATGAAAATGAGAAAAAGCAGCTGTGCAGTGCCGAGGAATTCACGGCCGAATCGGGGGAGACCGATTCTTCCGAAAAGAACTTCCCCAGCATCTCCCATCGAGTGTACATGTGGGTAGCGGAGCTTGAATTGGCCCAAAGTATAGCCTGTGTATGTGGCCAATAGACCTAATCCTACGATCAAAATAATAGCGCTATTATTATGTCAGAAGGCGTTTAGGGTGATTTTGTTAAATCAGAGGGAATCACCCACGGAGCAAGACCCAGCGTAGCGACTGCCGATGGAAGAGAGAGAATTCCAAGGGAAATGGTCTCTGCGATCATAACTATTGAAGAGCATTGGCTTTAGAAATGGAAAGTCTGCGAAGAGAGGACTTGGAGAAAGTTGGGTCTCGGCCGGATTCGAGATACGTACTCATTCCGCATTGCCTGTATCGAGAAATCTGTTAGATACTAGGTAGATATTTTGGGATAATTAATTGGTCAAGACTGAGCTACGAACCACCAGTGTAGAGTGCGATATCTGACTTCTGCATATTCCTCATCTCCGAAAGGGTTGTCATGTTCTGCGGGAACTCGCTCAATATGCTGCTTTTCGGCTGCACCGGGAGTATCGTCATATTTTTTGGACTGGTCGCTTTGGACCGGAGCGCGATATGTCTGTGACATTGTCGTGGATTGCATGTAGAGTAAATCGAGCCTCTAGTACGTCTGCGAAAACAGAATAGCGACGGATAACAGTTGAGAGGTGACGGGGTAAATGTGAAGGGAAGAAGAGGGAGAAATGAACAAGCAAAAGCTCAGACTCCAATTCCCAGTCATCATTCAACACTGCAGTCAGAAGCCATCCTGCCAGTGGCACATTTACTCAAAGAACTCGTCTCCACCCGGCCTATGTCACATTGCGGGGAAACCCCAAATCAAGCATGGTGAGGGGGGCCCAACCAGAATGAAGCTACTTCCTTAACTCAAGGGAAAATATTAGGAATGAAAACTACCACTAGTCATAAAAAAGTCATTTGTGACGCTAAGGACGCCATGGGCTGATCTCAGCCAAAGGCTTGAATGCGCCATCCGAACTCCTGAGGTCCTTGTCATTGGCTCTTGCAAGACAAAGGTCGGAAATCCGGTTCTCCGATTATACAAGGCGTCCAGTTCTGAAGCCAAACAAACCGAGAAATATGTAGGTACCTAAGTAGTTAGTATTGGATACTATTCCAGAACTGACTTGGACCTTTAGGAACGTGTGTGGCCGCAAACGAGGAACATCCAGTAATCGGGCGGGATGAAAATGACTTGATAAACTGGCCATGACCTGGGAGCATGTTTGAATATTTTTGGCCCCAACGTGCCAAGATTCAAAAGCAGGCCATGGTTGCGTCGCTAGTCGCCACTAGAGTGATGTTTCATTGGAATATTGAAGGAAGGGTACAGGGAGGGGAAGTGCACTTGGTTACTTCGGCTGGGGGCGGATGTTTGTGCATCTTCAGGATCTCCGCGGAACAGCCTTGGAAGAACCTGGGGAAATTTGGAGATAGCATTTCTCAATCCACGGATTTTCTCTCAATTCTTGGTTTGAGTAGATCTGAGAGAAATAATTCAAAGTTGGTTCTCGGTTCGCTTTACGTGAAACTGGCGATCTAACTTTATAACCTCAATGAAATACAGGCACATATTTGCGCATGGGTTAACCTTGGGAAATGGGGTAGACTGACTAGTATTACTAGTACTTTTGATCTATGGTCAGCTTGCAAATGGAGTGTAGGTCGATTAAATTTCAACTTGAAATTTTGATCTACTAGGCCATACTCTCACCCATTTTAACGCCAGCGGTGGTAAGTAATTTATTCAACTATCTTTCTATGCTATTATTTGTACTCAGTCACTAACATGTTCATTTTTAATATAATAAGAAATGCGAAAGGTTGGTATTTATCCCTACGTCAACTTGAAAAAAGAAGGGCATGTGGTATACAGCTTGAACAGCAAATGTGACGGTCTGACCTCACATGTCACTATTCAAGTTTCAATAGCCGCAATATTCCAACGTGAAGGTTGCAGCCTTTGCTTTCAGCCTTGTAATTTCACGTTCTCGAATACTAACTACTACTAGATATATACTATAGTTGCTAGTAAGGTAGCTACCTAGGTACCGATCCCGGATCAAACCAACAGAAAAGGGATACATCTCTCATTCCCCAGATGCCATTCCAATCCCTTCGGCACCGTGCATAAGTATACCGATGAGTCGGAGGCTGAAGGGATCAAGACCCACTAATAAGACCCAGTTCCGGGATATTTCACCATGATAAATCATGTTTGTGCGTGAGGTGGGGTAGGTTCGACCCGATCGCTTGCAGATGGCGTTGTGGCTTGTACCTGAACCACCCCCACTTCAAGACCAGCTCCCTTCGGGATTTACCCTTCTTTTCCAAACAAACCATCAACTGCAACTATCCCTTTTGGCAATCCTTCACAATAATGCCTGTCACTCTCACCACAGCCAACCACTCCGCTACGAAATGGAAATACCCGAAAGTAAAGACGGCCGAACAGCTGCTCGAGCGCTCATGCCCAGAAGAACATCGCCGCTGCCAGAAATTGATACAACATTCCTTTTCAAACGGGCTTTTTGACACTTCTCATGTATCTTCATCTGAGCATGGATTTGTCTGGGCTGTATTTCACGCCTATAGCTATCATCACCACTTGACGATACGGCCTGAAGACGTCTGGTTCTCCATTCTCACGCAACTCAGTTTATTCATCAATGCGCATGCGGAGGATCTGCGATCTTTGTTTGTCGCGCATGAGGGTCAAAAGGAGCTTACAGTAACGGGTCTTGGGACGATTGAGAATACCGACTTTGGTGCCCTGGCCTTGCATATGACGAAGTTGATTGAGGAGAATGTTGTTGATGAGGAGTTGCGAGCCTGGATTATGCCGGATTTTACGACTACGACTGAGTCGGACAATGTGGTTGCGGCTATCTTGATGATGGGCGCTTTGCAAAAGTACTTCTCGTATAAAATGATGCTTTTGTGTGGGATTCCATCTGTTACGCTGCTAGGTGAGAAAAAGGACTGGACGGCGCTTGTGAAGAAACTTGATAAGTTACAAGAGCTAGGCGATGAACCAGCACGCTTTGCTCAGCTTCTTCGTCCGGTTTTGAATCATTTCGTTGCGTCCTTTGAGTCTCCGGAGTCACTCAGCGTGCGGGACTTTTGGAGTAAATGTGCCGACAAAGAGTCTATGGGCAGTGGACCAAGTTACTTGTCAGGGTGGATTTCAGTCTTCTGCTTCTGGGATGAGAATGGGAAGATGATCTATGATGAATCAATCTATGCAAAGACTACGCCAGAATTCGAGAAGCGAAACACTGAAATGGGGCTGGATGACGCTTTATCACGTCGTGTTGATATTGATGATATCCCATCTGGGTTCTCCTCCGTGCCAGTTACTGTCGATGACAATGGGGTCACTCATCACACTACGATGTTAGCTGGACTAATCGGCATCCAAGCTAAATCAAGTGGTGAAGTTTCAGCTGAAGGAGGTGAAATCGATTCGATTCAGCCCTTGTCAGGATGGTGGATGTATGAAAAAAGGCCAGTGGATGAAGATGACCAACAGGCCAGTGAAGCCTAAATAGCTGCAGACCCTGCAACTCATCTGATAGGAGACGAGTCTAGTATGAAATAGCCTGGCGAGTTTGAGTGACATGAAATGAACATGAGATACCAGTGAACCATTTCATTTAATCCACCCTCCTCCCATCGAAGTCTGAGCCACCTTTCCCCAGAAACCACCTTGCCCTTTCCTTGACTCGTCCATCTCAGCGCGAAGAACAGGATTAATCCCCTTCTTCTTCATCTTCTCTTGCTTCTCAAGTGGGATTTTGTGCACTGGGTGATCTGGTCCCGGCTTCTCGTTTGGATCGTAGGGTTTCGAGGGGGTAATGCCCCATTTCATCGCGGCGGCAGCAGCAGCTTGTTCTTCCTGTGATCTGCTTTGTCTGGTATGGCTTGGTGCTTCGGACACTGATGTCTCGCTTTGGTTGCTGGGCATGATCACACTAGGCTAGGTGGAATCAAAGATATGCCTTTTTATGTTTTGAAGAATCATAGCACTATCTGGCAAAGGCCCATGCAATCTCGCGTGCTCTTATAAGAAACCATCGACAGTCAGATTGGGGGTGCGTCAGATTGCGCCTGCTCCGCCCCACCCGATGAAGTCATTCGATGGGGCGGAACCAGTCTGTGGTACTTCACTTTGGCGTAGAAAATGATAGACAATTTCGTGCTGACATTTGATTTTTAAGATTGGTGATGAAAATCTCAAGGCCTGGTCAGTTCAAATCCGAACAAATCCATCACAGACGGCTGGCCATTGTCCCAGGTATCCAGGATAGCATTAATGTCTTGTGCCTCCGGGTGGGTCAAGTAGTCCATCATATCGACGGGGAATCCCTGGGATGACTCGAGGGATGGCATTATCTCTTGACGTGGGCCATTTGGTAACTGTAAAGAGTCCTTTTCTGCGGTCGGCTTCCCGCCATATGGGCTTTGATTGTCAACTAAGCCGCGAGCTACCCGAGAGAAGGCAAAGCAGATTTTATAAAGTCGCGCCGAGGCATCCGAGATAGCTTGTATGGGGTGTAGAGTATTGACCACGGTTTCCAATAGGTCGAGGTCGACTCGACTCTTCGCTGCGACGATATGGAGGAATATCACGATGAAAGGGGTAAATGACGAGTAGAGCAGGACCCTGCGACGTGAGCAGGCATTAGTGAGTAACAATAGAGATAGGAAATGAGAAAACAAACCAATTGGCATAATCTGCGACTGAAAACCGGCTTGACTGCTGGTAGTCGGAAAAGCATCGTAAATGGCTGTTTAGGCTCAAGCGTGCGGCCTCGAGGCATCGCGTCTCGATTTCCCCACCGATTCTTGCCGTAAATGATGCACGGAGCATTGTGGTGAGTGTAGAGTAAAATGATAGATCCCAGATCCGATCGCACATATAGAATAGTTCCTTGTTGTCAACATGATCTGGAGTTATCTATCGTAGACGGTGGTCAGAAAAGCTGAAATTTGCACATAAAGAATTTGGCTTACCTCTTTTCGGCCCCTGTTGCACTCCCGCAGAGCTAATTCAAGGTCATTGATGCACCGAATGCGTTCTGATTGCCCTTTTCTGAGACCTTGTGCCGAATATAGCTGATTATATATCTCAGCCTGTATTTCGCTGAGCTTAACGATAAATATGAAAGCCGAGTCCCATGGGCGGAAAGCTAGATTCTCCGATAGCGGAGGGTAGCGACAGTCAATGTCAAAATCGGGGATATACGATGCTCGACCTAGGAACAAGGATGCGGTGTGATCCATCATATAAATTGTCCAGAACAAGCGACGCTTATCATCTGCATTGCCGGTGTTGTCCCTTTGGTAGGTGGATTCACGATGGAGGCCTAGCATCTGGCAATGCTGTGCGGCGCTTGCAACCAAGTTACTCCCCAGTACTGGGTTTGCCTCGTCCTGAGCCTTGATCGCCTACACTCGGTGCGTTAGCAAGCTCCATTTCAAGCTCCAGCTTCTGATTGGGTTCCTCAACTTACTCCCATGGCCAATGCCAGGAGGTTCTCAAAGCTAGGCACCGCGAGAACTTCGGCCGTCATCAGGCTCACTTCGAAGCTCTCCTTGCACGTTTTTAGATGTGCTTCGAGGTCAAATTGCTCGCACAGGGTATCCTTAGTGCAGATACACTCCTTCAAGACGAAGTAGAGAACCCCATGCATGGCCGCGATGTCACCAACAGATACTTTCCGCGTGGGGAAATAGACTGTTTGGCAAAGCTGTTCTAGCAGCAAGGGATTATTGATGGGGTAGGAGGTTAAGAACAAAGGTTTTTGTACTGGTAATGTCAGCCTGTCGATGGCTTCGAAGCGAAATTGGGAGAATTGTGGTATTTTTGAGGACCATACCTTGGAATCTACGGAGCATTGTGACGATCATTTCCGCAGGTAACGGTAGATAATTTGCTTTCGAATGGGTATTAGTGTCGTGGATAAGTGGTTTATTTTGCGGATTGGAACCAAGGAGGTTATTGATGGAATCCAGAGTTGCACTCAGACTTAAAGCATCAGGTCCGCAACTAGGATGTGCGAATCTCTCAACAATCTCCTTTGCCTGGGCTGATTGACTTGCAAACGAAGACTCGCCTTCGTAGAGTGGGGTTGGGACACTCTCGATGACCGTGTCCCCGGGACTGGTCTTGTCAATGACATTGTTTGGTGCATGACTGGGCAGATTTCCCGGCGAGGGCCTTTGGGACAGCTCAGCTTCAACGGTTCGGAGACGACTTTCCAAGAATTGCATTCGTTCTTCCCTGGGATACCCTGTGAGCTCAAATAGCGCAGCAGGAGTTCGATTCTTCTCTTACATGTGCAGCATCCGATCGGACCTCGGTGCTTCTTTGCGGTCGGATTTCTGACAAGAAATGCCAGTTGTGAGGCAGTTCGAGCATGGAAATGTGCGATCACAGCGGATCTATAAATCCGATCAGTCATTTCCCATTATAAGTATGGGGGATCAAGTTAGGATTGGAAGGAGTATACCTTGCGAGTCCGACATCCTTCACACTATGGAGACAATTCCTGGTCAGCTTTTCGTCCCTTCAACGACCACCACCACTCACTGCTTTGGGGATCAAGGCGAGTCGTTTTCTTCGACTCTGAATCGTCTCCGATCGAGAGGTGTCCATGTCTGCTGAGTGGCAGCCGCTGGTATATTGCAAGTGCAAGAGTTGTAGAGGAAGAAACGGCGGAGTCCACGCGCCCGCGCATTCCGCGTTGCCGAGGCTGGCCCCACAACTCCAGCCAATCATATCGGGTCAACATTGAAGGAGGAACAACATCTACTCTCCGTACAGTTCATGACCATCCTCAGATCTACTTGCTTGGGATATGTTGTAAGTACCGAAAGGTTCAAATTCGCTTCGTTTCCTATCTGGGTATATTCCGCAAGTACTAGTAGCTAATAAGTGAGACAACGAATTGCTAATCCAAGCCAACACCGATCATACCAAAAATAAGTAAATAAAAATAAATCGTGGGCTCGTTTCGTCATTGTAGGTTCCCCTTGCTTTCTCTCTAGGTTGGAATGAAATGCTGCGAGTCCTTCTCCTGTTGAGCAAAGCTCTCCGGGAAAGGCTGCGATTCCGCCAATAATGCCGATCGCCATGAAGCACAAGCTGATGATAGACCAAATGACACCCCAGCACTGAGAGGATCCTCCGTACTTCTTAGCAAAAACGCTGGCGTCAGAGCTGTTTACTTTGCGCAGGATGAGATCGTCGCACTAGAAGGTGTTTATGTTAGCTTTTTGGATCAATGGTTGGGTAGCGGGGTCGGGTTCATACAATATCCCAGACACTATAAAGGGCGGACATGACACCAATAAAGAGCTATTCAGGTTTGATTAGTGCGGGTTCGGCAAAAGAGGATGAATTCTCGGGGTTGTTTAAACGTACCACGACCCATCGCAGAGCCTCGCCATGAGCAATGAACCAACAAGCCACAAGCAATCCCACAGCCAAAAGAACGGTCATGATGGTCAGCCAGTCTCGTCGGGCCCACCACAAAGTCAACAGGAAGCAAACACCGAGGACGATGCTGGCTATTTTCGAGGCGACAATATCAAAGCCAGCGAAAATCAGGAGGGCGCCGATAATGGATGAACCGAGATAGCCAGCAGGGAGGGTGACGGCACTCATTCCTCCTTGCATATGGGTAACACCACCCTCGTGGGGGTCCAGACTGATTGATTTGACTCTGCCACCGGTGCAGCAGGCGGTGATAGCATGGCCGAACTCATGGAAGGCGATAACCAGCATCTACACGAAATGGTCAGATCAGGCAGCCATTTTTCAAGGGCGGAGAAAGGAGAGAAGCAAGAGACCTACCTTGAAGGGCCATAGAACCCAGCGAACATAGGGAAGATTCCATAGCAAGGCGATGACCACGACATAGACGGCCATAATACCCAGAGTGATACTTTGGGTATGGTTGACGGATAAACCCCGTTTCGCTAAATGCGGGGCCGCCTCAACCGCTCGTTGCCCGAGCGCCTGGTATAAGGCTGGCATGATGAATGATATGTGCTGTGGTGATTTGGGGTATAAGCGCTCAAAAATCGGGAGTGAAAAGAAAATGAAGTAGTCGCAAGAGACAGCCGGAGCCAAATTTAACGAGGGATGAAAGATGAAAAAGATCAAGGACGCGCGGAATGGCGAAGACGCGCAGCCCCGTCTGTGGCTTGGCATGGTCCAATGGAGGCTAGCGTGTGGCTCAAGCCTAATTTTAGTTCGCTTTTTGCCATTTTGTTCAACTTTTGTTTCAGCCCTGTTGCCAATGTCGATCGCAGGCAGCAGAATACAAGCAGTCTTCAACTTGACATTTACGGTATTCACATTCGTCAATCTCAGGTTCAACCTTGGATGTTCCAGATACCAGGACTGTAGACTAAGAGTTTATGAGTAAACAAAGCAGCACGTGACTACTGTTTACTTGCGAAGTATAAGGCGGGTCACCGAGGTAACCCACACCGATGTCAGTACTAGTTAGTAAACTACATGTTAAGAGCCAGCTCTGGAGGAAGATGATATTGTCGCAATTCTACTTGTAGTTCTCCCTCCGACCTTGGACTCAACACATTACTAAACCACTGGCACGCTTCAGGTGGAAGATTCACGCAAGACTCCGAATCCCGGCCGAAGTAGCCCCGAAAAAAGGCAATATATATTTTACCTAGGCTGTGTCAACATCCAAGCATTTTTATCGTCTTTTTGAAATCGAAGCCCCGGAGGTTACCTATCTATCTAGGTAGGTAGGTAAGTATTTCAAAAGTTACTACTAGTACTTGTTGGTAGCATGAGAAGATGTCACTTCAAACTTAAACCTTCATGCTGGAAACCGTGGACTAGGTAGACTCCCCTGGAGGTTGTATTAGATACTTGCCTAGGTGTACTATCAGGGTGTGCTTGACTAGTATCGTTCAAGGCGTAATTACAGTGATGGTGATCCGGCAATTGAATATTACCATTTTCACAAATTGGAGATTAAAACTGGCAACTCAAATGAAGTTCAAGTCCGCAATATATCCGTTCCCATTCGGTCCATTCGATCGCGATGGCCCGCCAAATGCAACCTTGCATTGCCGCGACCCCGCAAAACCCACGCTCCCCTTTCACTCCCATTTCCCTTCTCCACCCCCACGCGCCCCCCATCAAATGCCGTCTTGCTTTAAAAGCCCGAAGGCCCAAAGCAACACCCAAAGAATGGAAGACTCTGACGCTAAACATATCGTTCAACCTCGACCATCACCGACTACGCGGTCGCGCCACCACCATGGTCGTCCTACTGCCTTTGCTCTCCTTGCTGGGGAGTGTCGCAGCCCAGCCGATAAACCAAGACAAACCTAACTACCACGACGATACTGGAGTCCTAAAACATGTCAACCCCATGATCGGCACTTATGGGACAACCCCCAATGGAAACGGAGGCATGATCCCATCGATATCAACACCATTCGGCATGACGCGCTGGACCCCACAAACACGCGAGAATTTCATTTCACAGGTCCCCTACGGTGCGAGTGATCGCTTGATGCACGGTTTCCAGGCGACTCATCAGCCTGCGATCTGGATGGGTGAGTCCGGCCAAGTGGTGATAACTCCGGGAATGGGTGATGTGCAGCCATTATTTCAGAACCGAGGACTTGCTTTCCGGAAAAGTGACGAGCGGAGTACTCCATATGTCTATGAGGTTCTTCTCGACGCGGCCCAATTGATGAATCGCGACTGGAATGCTACGGCGGAAGCTGCGGGTGATGGACCTGACCCTGGTGGTGCTGGCACAGTGCCAAGTGATGTACAGGAAGGGAGCAATGGCCGGATACGGAAGCGTCACGAGGAGCAGGGTATTTTAGACAGCAGAAACGAACAAGCAGAACAGTACCGGCGGTCAATTCAGGTGAGATGTCCTGCTGTGAATTTTCTCCTTCGGACTGGAAGTTCTAACCGCTCTGTTATAGGTTACTTTATCCGCAAAGTCTCACGCTAGCCATCTCCGATTCGACTTTCAGAGTGAAAAAAATACACCGAATGACGAAAAAGTCTCTCCTTGGGTCTTTGTTCAAGTTTCTCGCAGAAATTGGACCGGAGAAGTGCATATTGATCCTGAACGAAAGGAAATCTATGGGTACAACACAGAGCGCCAAGATTATCTACTGGGACCCGATCATGCCCCATCTTTCAAAGGATTTTTTGTTTCCCAATTCTCGGAACCATTTGCCGCCCAGGGTGTCACGAACGGAAATGAAACCGAAGGGGAACTGGAAAGAACTGGCAATTTTACCGGCGCCTACGTCAAATTCCAGAAAGATACGACCCGAGTCGAAGTTCGCACCGGTGTTTCCTTTGTCAGTATCGAGCAGGCCCGCAGAAACCTGGAAATTGAGACCCCGACTAGTTCGACAATTGAGGATACTGTGAAGGACGTCAAGCAAGTTTGGCTCGAAAAGCTTGGTCGTGTGATGATCGAAGGTGTCAACAGGACTAACTCCGACCAAGACCCTCGCACAATTTGGTATACTGGCTTGTTCCATTCTTTGCAATACCCCAGTGACTATTCAGAGCCGCTTTCCGATACTGATAATTCTTCGCGAATTTTTTACTCCGGCTACACCGATAGCGTACACACCAGCGACGACTCATACTATCAGTCATGGTCAATATGGGATACTTATCGGGCCGAGCATTCCGTCTTGACACTATTTGCCCCCGAGAGAGTGAACAGCATGATGCGATCTCTACTTCGTATCTTCGACTGGTCAGGCTGGCTACCTATGTGGGCCAATGTCGTCGAAACGAACATTATGATCGCAACCAATGCAGATGCAGTGCTTGCCAACGCACTCGAGCGAGGGTTCCGTGACTTCAACATCTCCAAAGCATGGGAAGCCGTGAGAAAAGACGCCTACACTCCGCCCGAGCATGATACCGAGCTACTATACTACGATCGCGAGCCTTTTACCCCCGTCGAGGCCCGCGCTGGCCTGACCGCGTATATGAAACAAGGATGGGTATCAAATGACGGGTGGTCCGAAGCCGGAAGTCGCACTTTAGATTATTCCTTCGACGATTTCGCATGCTCTGTTGTTGCTCAGCATGCAGGCGTTGAGCAGAGCGCAATTGATGCCCTACGCACCCGCAGTAGTAACTACAAGCATATCTGGAACAACGAGACGCAATTCATGCAGGCTCGCAATGCGAACGGTAGCTGGGCCAATAACACTTGGGGTTGGACAGAAGGAGATGACTGGGTCTACACATTCGACGTCATGCATGATGTCCAGGGCCTAGCCGAGCTATTTGGTGGGCCCGAAGCCATGGCCAAGAAGATGGATACATACTTCCAAGGCGGGCATAATGATCAAACAAACGAGCCAAGTCACCACGTCCCCTATCTTTACTCCATGCTCGGCTACCCCGAAAAAGCCGCAGACACAATTCGCGAAATTGCTTGGTCAAATTACAATGCCACTAGCGGAGGACTTGGCGGAAATGAAGATTTGGGTCAGATGAGCGCTTGGTATTTGTTTACTGCGCTTGGCTTCTACCCCGTCAACCCCGCTAGCGACGAGTATGTCATCGGTACCCCATTTTTCGAGAAGGTATCGATCCGCCTACCAGCTGGTGCCGCAAATGGTGGAAGGGCGACCAAACAATCGGAAAGGGTTCTGGTTATCAGTGCGCCCGGGGCCCCCAGCAAACCGTATATCAACAGCCTCAAGATCGATGGGAAACGTATTGACTCGCCTATCATCAAGCACAGCGACATTGTCGGCGCGACCCGAATCGACTTTGAGATGAGCGGGGACCCAACAACCTGGGGCACGCGCCCTGTCTGGTTAAACAGCGGATGATCGTTTTATCAGTTTCCAGGCAGAGGAAATGTTCGATGCAAACTGGACCTGGCGCTAGTCCGAACAAAGAAGGACCATAAGCAACAATTTTGGAAGTTTGATTGAATACCCCAGATAGATACCCAGCTGTACATTCTTATAGAAGTCATTTTTAACATATGGCCGGAGCGCTTCTCCATTTTAAGGTAATGGGCCGACCTGATGGTGTGATTCAATTTAAGCATCGATGTCGGCATCCCGTGCAAGAATGAGCCAACACCTGCAGACGGAATATCTCGCCGCAAAGTCAATTCCTCGCCCGTGACAATTTAGTCAAACTCATTCGTCAGGTCTTTACTTTGCCATTTTAGCGCTCATAGCGTGCCTCCTGCGTCACTTTGGCCCCGCCAATCCAACAACGTGGAGTCCCCACAGTTTTTCGGGCGGCGCGGGAACCAGGAGAGATGCCGATTCCCTCGACCCTTTCCTCCGCAAAGTCGTGGCTAGGAATCGATCCGAGTGGGTGTATTTTTCAAGATCAGGTTCTTCACGGAAACCTCTGCACCCTGATCGCATACTCCGATATTCTTTGAAGAACGTGGGGTGCGGCAATGCATTTAGACGACGAGCCGGACTTTTACCGAGCGGTTGCTCGATACGACCCGAGTGGATCCGAAGCAGTGGGGTTAAGTCTGGAGAAACAACCAACGATACCAGGGCCTGCAGACGATCGTCATTGCAGACCTCCCGAAATCATCTCTGCTTCTCCGTCATCGAGATTAGTGAACGCCGTTGACGGGGAGTTCTCCATAGTGGAGCGGCCTGCAATTGGGATCTCGGCAGTTTCGGAGCAACTTTGGAAAGTAGCGCGATGCAGTCAGCTTCAGTTAAATACTACGACGAGGGTCGCGCTGCTTATTGTTCTTCAGCCAAAACTGCCGTTGCAAGATGTTTGGACCAAAGGCTTTGATCTGGGCGACTATCGCCGTGCCCGCCCTAGCGGCAAAGGCCTCATTGCACTTGGGTAATGGGTTTGATTTGACTGTCGACAAAGACTCCAACCACCTGTCTATTGCCCGTGGAAATAGTTCCATTTGGGAGACTGTTGCTGGGAAGCCTTTCCTGAGTGCCTCCTCTGGCGACGACGTCGTCGTCGGGGCAAGTGGTGCATTCAACATCACCGATGTTGATAACGACAAGTGTACCGACCAGCACATCCGTCATGTTACTCAGTCTGCCTGGGGTGGCAGTGTCAACGACAAGGCTGCCGTCGTCGAGGGAACTCTTTCCGGCTGTGGCGACGAGTCTGTCGACTTCAAATTTGCTGTCTGGGTGCCTGCTGAGCTCTCAGACCGTGTTGCCTTCCATGTCGATGTCAAGCCCGGTTCCTCCAAGGATGCTGCAACCAAGCTGTTCCTGACTTACGCCTCCTCAAAGTCCGAGGACTTCTACGGACTGGGTGGCCAGGGGTCCTTTGCCTCCATGAAGAACCAGTCCGTTCCGATTTTCTCGCGTGAGCAGGGTGTTGGCCGTGGTGACCAGCCTACCACTGATCTTGAGAATGCGGATAGCTACTTCTCTGGTGGTGACCAGTTCACCACCTATTCTGCTGTTCCTCAGTACATCTCTTCCCTCGCCCGTGTCTTCCACCTTGCCGAGGAGAGCACTGCGTACACCAAGTTCGACTTCAAGGATCTTGAGGCCGTCACCGTGCGTTATGCTGCCCCGACTGTCGACGGTTACATTATCCAAGCTGAAAACATGCTGGACGGTATCACCAAGTTGACTGAGTACACTGGAAGAATGGCCGAGCTTCCCCGCTGGGTGGACACTGGTGGGTCCCCTCCCGATTCCTTACAATTGTTTGAAGAAATTCTAATCATGTAATAGGTGCCGTCCTCGGTATTCAGGGTGGCCAGACCAAGGTGAACAGAATTGTCGACCAGGGTCTCAAGCAGGACTGCCCTATCGCAGCCGTTTGGCTCCAGGATTGGTGAGATACTTCTAACTTGGTTTGATAATATCTTCGTACTAATAACAAATAGGTCTGGTACTCACTCTCAGAGCGTCTCCTACATGTCGCTCACTGTCTCCCGCCTGTGGTGGAACTGGGAGTCTGACGAGAAGCTCTACCCCACCTGGAAGAAGTTCGTTCAAGAGCTCCGTGACCAGCACAACGTCCGCACCCTGTCTTACATCAACCCCTTCCTTGCCAACGTGAGCTCAAAGCCCGACGGCTACCGCCGTGACCTCTTCCTCGAGGCCAGCGAGAAGGGATACATGATCCAGAACGCCACCACCAACTCTACTTCTATCGTCTCCAGCGGTCCCGGCATCGATGCCGGAATCGTTGATCTCACCAACCCCGCCGCTCGCAGCTGGTTCCGCGATGTTCTGATCGATCAGGTCTTCAGCGCGAACGTCTCAGGCTACATGTGTGACTTTGGTGAATACACCCCCGTTACCAAGGATACCCGCTTCTACAACAAGAGCATCGACCCGATGTTCTACCACAACCAGTACCCCCGCGACTGGCCCAAGCTGCACCACTCGCTCACGAAGAGTGTCTCCAGCTTCAAGGAGTCCATCCTGTTCCAGCGATCGTCCGCCCTGGGATCTCAGCGCTACATGAACCTCTACTGGGCCGGTGACCAGAACACCAACTGGGGTCTGAACGACGGAATCAAGTCCTCCATCACCGTCATGGGCCACATGGGTCTTTCCGGTTTTGCCCATGGTCACGTCGAGATCGGTGGATACACTACCACTTGGCTCGAGAGCGGTGTTGTCAACCGTACCGCCGAACTCCTGGGTCGCTGGGGAGAGCTCTCCGCCGTTTCTAGCGCTGTCTTCCGCTCGCACGAAGGAAATGTCCCTCAGCTGAACGCTCAGTTCTACTCCAACTCCACAACCTACGCTTACTATGCGTACAACGCTCGCATGTTCCGCAGTCTGGCGAAGTACCGTCGCAGAATCTTGGATACCGAGAGCAAGAACCTTGGCTGGCCTTTGCTTCGTATGCCCGTCATCTATCACCCCAATGACGTCAAGGCGAAGAGCATTAGCTACGAGAGCTTCTACCTCGGTGCCGATCTGTATGTTGCTCCTGTTGTTGACTCCGGTCGCACTAGCGTTGAGGTCTACCTGCCCGGTAAGGAGACTTTCACTCACGTTTGGAGTGGGGCGAAGTATGAGGGTGGCCAGACTATTCGTGTCGCTGCTCCATATGGTAAGCCTGCGGTCTTTGTGGTTGGCAAGCCCCAGCACAATGATCTCAAGGACTTCCTTGAATTTGCTCGCAAGGAGAATGGCACTGTCATTCATGTTTAATTGATATGGAATTTATGATATTAAGAATGCCGGTTTTGGTCGGCTATGTGTATGATTTGAAAACTTTACTATAATTATAGCAATGCATTTTTTTTTTTTGACATTACAACGCCTAGAGGAAGAAGAATATTCACGCTTACCTGAATGATTTAGACGAGGAATACGGAATTGCCATGGAAGTTGTCTCATTCCACCTGGTCAGCATCCAAACTTCGGAGTCAACTATGTATTGACAAATTTAACTTCCTCGGCCCCGTCGCTCCGCTCCGCATAAATCCAACCTAACGTTCTTTCGGAGAATTTCTTTAGGCAAAATACCGATGGCACGAGGTTATTCGATCTGTGCTCAGCGTCCACTCCACTGATCTGCACACCAAATGCCTGACGATATCGGCAATTACCGCACGGCCTCGCCTCAATGTTACATTTCCCCTCACCATCAGACCCCTTCTAAGAATCTCCATTAGGAAATTTCTTTAGCTCAAAGCGCAGAGCTTTATAAGGTGTCCATGAATTTATCATGTTTGAGTCATTCATCCCGTCGATAATTTACTTCAACAAAACAGTCGCTAGTTATGAAGATGCGGCTCCGCGGCGCCTCTGTGCTTGCTATGCTCCCGCTGGTGAGCGTTGGTCTTGCAAGCAAGAGTGAGACATCTTCTGGATGTGAGTACGAACCAATATTTGCCACGAGCAAATCATTTTAATCGGTTTGTCTAGTGCTCCCCCTGACATACGAACCATTCCCACTCGGCAGCATCACCCCGAACGGATGGTTACGAACCGAGCTCCAGGCATCCGCGGATGGTCTTGCAGGTCATCTCTTTGACTTCTTCCGATATGTGAAGAACTCTTCCTGGATCGGCGGTGATCAGGAGTACAGGTAAATGCGACGTGCATGGCGACTTTGAACAGCGGACTGATTCTTGGGCATACAGTTCATTGAACGAGGCACTTCCATATTGGGTCAATGGATTAGTGCCACTCGCCTATACGCTGCAAGATGATCGTCTGATAGGCCAGGTTTCCACCGTTGTCGACTCTATCCTGGACCGTATCCAGCCAGATGGATGGATTGGACCCGAGACTCTCGCTAGCGGCGAGCGAATGATCTGGGCGCGAACTCTCGTTTTCCTCGGATTGACCAATCTCGCTGATGCGGATCCGAAATACGAACAGCCCATTGTTGACGCGCTTTATCGGTTTAACGGCCTTATGAATTCTATGCTCAAGAACAATGGAACTGGCATGATCTATCATGAGGGTGATAAGGTGTCTGCTGATGATTATGTTTGGTTCCAGGCTCGGACTGAAGATATGATTGTCAGTTTGCAGTGGATGCTGGATTATCACCCCGGTAACCAGACTGAGATGTTGAAGGAGAATATTGAGATGATTCATCATTGGGCTTCGAAATGGGAGGGATGGTACTCCGAGGGTAGTTACATTACAGAAGATCTGAACGACCTTCCGCAGTCGGTGACTACAGATCAATGGCAGTTCCTGCATGGTGTCACCGTTGCTGAGAGTAAGTGGGATGTCTGGGAGATTGTCACTGTCTTGATGCTAAATATTATTTCCCAGGCCTGAAGTTCGCAGCTGTTTACCGGCGTTCGAATGCAAACGAGAGTCTTGTCACAACTGCAAAGAACGGGGTAGGTGCTCAAAATTATGATTGGCGAAATGTAACTGACTGACCATTCTCAGGTGGATTGGACATTCAAATATCACGGCGCGGCATCCGGTACTATCCTTGCTGATGAGCGTCTAGACGGCCTCAATCCCTACTATGGCTCCGAGTTATGCACAAACGTTGAAACCATCTACTCGCTCGCCTACAACTACTTCGCTCTCGGAGACTCCTCGTACGCAGATCGGGCCGAGCTGGCCGCATTCAATGCTCTTCCGGCCGCTCTCTCTGGAGATTGGTGGGCCCATCAATACGTGACCCAGCCCAACCAGCCATATTCCAAGAACCTCACAGACGAGCCGTTCTGGAATACTAATTCCCTTAGTCAGACCTTTGGAGTTGAGCCTGACTATCCCTGCTGCACCGTAAATCATCCGCAAGGATATCCGAAGTTTACAATGTACAGCTTCCTCAAGAATGGAGATACTGGAATTGTCCATTCCTTGCTCAGCCCGGGCCAAGTTCAAACACAAATCCAAGGGAAAAAGGTCTCGGTGGACTGTCAAACCGATTATCCTTTTGGCAATACCTTATCCTATACTGTTGACAGCGATATCGACTTCGAACTATATCTTCGCGTTCCAGAATGGGCCACCCAAGCCAAGATCCAAGGATCGCCAAATGATGACGGCGCATCCAAGGACCCAAAGACAGACCTTATCAAAGTCAACATTCCATCCGGAACAACCAAGTTCACCTACGAACTAGGAATGGACCTTGTCACCGCCGATCGGGCCAATGATACTGTCGCTGTCTACCGTGGAGCCCTCCTCTACGCACTGCACGTTCCTCACACTAGCACTTCCGGACCTCCCAAGTTCTATGATACCCAGAAGGAATACCCCGCAGGAACTTACCCCAGCGATGCACAAGATTATGTTCTTTTGAACTCGACCGACTGGAACGTGGCCATCGATCCATCGACGCTAGAATATCACCCCGGGTCGGGCGGGTCACTACCCTCGCCTACATTTGAGGATGGCCAGCTGCCAATGTACATCACTGCCAAGGCTTGTTTGATCGATTGGCCGATTTTCAGGGTGTGCCGGATTCGCCTATTCCCAAGAGTGAGCGGTCTTGTCTTGGGGATACCTTTGAGGCTACTCTTCGTCCGTATGGGAGTGCGAAGCTGCATATGTCTGATTTACCGACGATTGATCTTTCGGGGAAGTGAGAAGATCGTGCTGGTTTATGGGGACTTATAGCAGCGATTTATCCAGCATCGATAGATGGTATTAGTGATGAACATTATCACGGTAATCTACCTAAATGTTGACTGAGTAGGTACCCTGAATTGTGCATAGGTAGGATAAAGTTAGGAGCGCTGTTGCTGGGGATATTACTAGGAGTACCCTGGTTACCAAGGAAATCATTTTGTAATAACCATGAAATTGAAATAGAATTGATGGCGCGCCGCATAAAATCCTAGGAAAGTATAGCATAGGGCAAGATAAAGATAGAAATACAGGTACTCAGTTACATAGGATGATCGATAGACGCAGCAAATTTCATTCACTATTCCATTTTCAACTCGGGTGTTCCGATCTGTCCTCCGAGGGCCTTCACAAGCCAAAGGCGTCATCCAGCAGGGCACTCTTCTTCCCGTTGATCGCATTAAGAAGGTCCTGGCAAAGCTCGGATAAAGCCGAGGCTTCTAATTCCGACTCGTTTCCTTGCATTTTAGCTCGAATATTCGCGACCTCCATGGGCATCTCATCTTCGAGCTCGAGGCACATGAATTCCGCAGCCATGTAGGTGGTAAGTGAATGACCGAGTGACCGAGCGTGTTCCACTGCAGAATTCCACCGATTGATGTACTGCTCGGGAGACGAAAATTGAGTGCGGCGATTCAACCACAACGACTTGATTGCCTGGGGGAGAAGTCCCGTGGAGGCATGGGCAGCAAGCTTGATTAACTTGAACATCTCGTCCGCGTATCGAGGGAGGGGGCCTTTTTCTCCTTGTTTGCGGTAGAAAACGAGAACGTAGTCGACCATATCGTTGGCCATCTGACCGAAAAGCCATGAGCGGACGTTAAGTGACCAAGCTCTCCATTTCGCGTAACTTGCATTCTCGGTTGATGGGCGGGACAAGTTAGATATGACGCTGTCGATATCAAGGGCTTTGAGAGTTGCGTGTACTTGGGCAGACCAGGAGGAGAAGTAGCCGTCTTTTTCGAGTTTTGAAAGACTGGGAATGTTGACTTGTCTGATCTCTGGAAGTTTTGTTGCCTGGGTGGTGGATGCGTCTTTTGACACACTGGATGTCATTGTGGACAACAGTAGAGTTCTTGGAAGGTAGAAGGAAGGAGGACTGAGCTCGAAGTAGGGCAACTTTTGGAAGTGGAAACCGGGGAAGTTGAAGGTGAGAGATTCAAACTGGAGGGAGGAGGTTGAAGAAGGAAAGGTTGAAGCTTGGATCCTTCCAAGGAATCTTTGTTTATCTGTTGATGTTTGGAGAAGTCACGAGTGAAGGTGAAGAGGAAGGAGCGATGTGAAGCTGCCTAATTGGGACTCAGAGTGGACCAAAGCTGCCGTTTCTAGCTTAGTACTACTACTGTATAGTACTAGTATAAAATGTATACAATTAGGTTGTATACATAAGTATCTCTTTAAGACTTCACAAGCATCCACTTAATCAATATCCAGTATGATCTTGCTGTTTCTTGGAACTTCATACACTCGTGTTGTACCATTTGCATCGCATACTTCGATCTTGGCGTCGAAGGTCGAGGTCAGTTCTACTGCGTCTCCAACTGCCCAAGAGATATGCAGCTGCCCCATACGAACGGCAAAAGTACCAGAAAGTGTCTGCCAGTGTTTCCTACGAGGCTCAAACCGGATCGTCTCATATCCTGGCGCCGCTGGCGTGATACCTACCACATTCGCCACGAAGTCATGAATGGGGACTGCACTCCATCCGTGACAATCGCTGCGTGGCATGGCCTCGGACTCGGCCCATGTTGTGAGATTCATGTCAATCATCTCGCGCCACGGCTGCAGCAGGGAGTCATGGAGTCGATCATAAAGCCCCGTCATTTTACATGCTTCGAAGACATAAAACGACATTGCATATGAACAGCGAGCGAAGCTTGGATCATACAGAGCTCGAAGAAGAATTTCTTGTGCTGAGTCTCCGGTGAGGGCGCCAGATAAAACAGCAAACACTTGCGCGTGTTGACTGCGCTCTTCAACAGGGCTATCTGGTGCATCTACCAGGAATTTACCTCTGAAACAATGCTGTATAACTGCTTGATTTAACTGTGAGGCTCGCTCACGATATTCAGCGGCCGTGTCATGACGAGATAGAAAGTCGCACAGAGAAGCAGCTCTTTGCAGCGCATAGGCATATATCAAACTGCTGTAGGTGAGAACACCAGAGCGGCGATACGCGGGTGGAACAGCCAGATTGCGGAAGTCACCATTGGCAGCTGAAGACCACTCTTTGGTCCAATCGACAAATGGCCAAACATCCCATTCAAAGCGACCAACTAAGCCATCACTATTGATTCGCTGGTGGAAATGGTCCAGTATGCCATCGACTGTGCCTAAGTATTTCCGGACGAGGTGTTCGTCTCCGACATACATCATATGGTCGTATATAATGAGAATCCAGTAGAGCGAAAAGTAAGGAATGTTGACGACTGGAAATGGTGCAGGGAAATGTGTCTCGATGAGTCCATCCGCCCGTCGACTTGAATAGAACTCCTGCATACACTTTCTTGCTAAAAGATCATCGTGAGATATTTGATAAGTGAAGAAAATCTGCAGTCGTGCGTCCATCGCGAACTGATTCTGCTCGTAGAATGGACAGTCTTCGTAGGTCTCGTGCATACAATTTTTCAAAGTATTCAAGCTGATATCCCATATCTTCGACATCTCCTGAGAGGGGAACTTCGAAAAATAAGTCTCAATCTGGAGAGGATAATGGAACGTTCGAAAGTTGAAACTTAATATTTCAATCGGTGCTGTGGAGGTTTCGATTTCGAGTTCCACATAGCGGAAAGTACGAAACCAGAAAGGTTCATAGATCATTTCCATATCCGAGGGGCCTTCCGGATTGATATTATAATAATCGTCAGGTCCTATGAGATCTCCAGAGTGGTCGGAGCGATTTTTCTTCCTCCGTGAGAAGGGATCGGCAGATTTTATGTCTGGAGGCTCTTCGAAACACTCAGCACACCGGACACGAATCTTTCCTGCTGCGCCTCCCCGGAACCGAAGGTGTAGGGAACCAGTAGTAAGCGCTGCGGAATCAAAAGTCACGATAACACGGCTATTCGCATCAATTAGGCGCGGTTGGTCGTGGAAAAGCAACCTGTTCCACTGTTGTGCCTCATCTTCGGAGGTTTTACCACGTTCAATGGTTGATTTGAACTGCATGAGAACCTCTGGGAAATGGGGAATAGATCTTTCCACGAGTCGTCGGGGCTCCATTATTGGAAGCATAGGAGCTTTCATGGAGAACTTGATGGCACATATCCAAGTACAATCATCGAACTCAGCATCCAACCACCCGAGATCAGCTCTTGATCCGTCAACCCTCTCGTTGGTAGCTATGAAAGATGGACCTAGCGCAGGGTTCCATGCTTCCTGGAAGGAAATGCGAACAGCCTCGTCGGCTTTGCAGCGCCATACCTTATCACTTGAAATCATGGGCTGTATTTATTTGTTAATTTGCATTGCATGGCAAGGAGGTTGAATGTCAATGTGGTACTGACCAGGGTCGCAGCATGTAGAATGAATCCCGGAATAATCCCTCGGGTGAGAGACATATTGCCTGGGTAGATTACAGAGTACCGTAATACTTGTGCAGCGATAACATTCTTTCCGATTCTACAATATGGTGCGATATCCACTGTTTCGTAGTTCCATTCACCCAGATGACTTTTGGCCGGCCCGAAGGATACGCTTTTCCCGTTGACAAATAGCCGATAGCGTGTATCTGCAGAGACATTGATGGCGATATTGTCAGGAACTTCCTCAAGTTCAAAGCATAGTCGAAATTTTACTATTCGGGCCACTTCATCTTTCTCATCCCAATCGGGAATCCATATCCAGCTGGTTTCTTCACTCCAATGGCGTGCCATGTCTTTGATTCAAAGCCTGGAATTAGGTCTTCACTTTGCAGGAAATGTTCTGTGCGAATGAATAGAATGGTAAACCTGCCTTTGGAATGGAGTTATTCCTCTGTTATGTCACGCAAAAACTGTCGCCTGAGGCATTCAACGTCTGGGGCTCCGGTCTTGACCAACCCGAAGCCCGACCAGTCCACATGCCGAACCATCTGTGCATGTGGTTGAACCTGTCGGCTCATTTTCCATTGAGTCTGTCAGTTCATATAGCCTCCAATATTAGAGTGATAATGGTATGTGAGATTACTAAAAATAGATAGGAAGAAGTCGGACAACAATGTGATCATTGATGCCTGAGGCACATCAGCCTAAACCAAAGCTTCCGCGTGACAACATGGGGAACCGTATAAAGGATCATCCTAGTGAATATCAAGGAGACTCGCAATTTCAGGAAATACGGAGTTGTAGATGATTCACTAGCGAGGAATCTAACGACTTGAATGTGTAATTTAAAGAAGATGGTGGCTCTTATAGTACCAAAATATTGACTTATGGTTAGGTCCTTTCTAGTTTATTTTCTTGGTCACAGTATAAAAATCTGTGATGTCCGGACCCAATGTCCGGTATACTGCAAGGCCCCATTCTTAATGTTGCCGAAGTCCCCGGCGGAATTTGTAGGTCAATTTTCACCGTGCTTCCACCCGTTTCGTGTCTCCAAGAGCAGGCTAACTTGCCAAAGGGTATTTCAATAGCTCCCTGCGCATGAACGATACTCCCTCCAGTTTGAGGTGCGATAAGAATATGTCGCCAGCCAGGTGTTTCCGCTCGAAGGCCAACCAAGCCACTGATAAACCAACCAGAAATGGCTCCAAGTGCGTAATGATTATGTGAGAGCGAGGCCTTTCCATCCGGGGTGTATCCTTCCCATGATTCCCATATCGTGGTTGCTCCACGGTCGACTGCGTGCAACCAGGACGGTGAGCTATTTTGAAGGAGCAAACTAAATGCCGTGTCCACACGTCCAGCTTCACAGAGGATAGGAACAAGATCACCCGTGCTTAAGAATCCTGTTCCCAGATGATGATTGGCTTTTTCAACAAGCTCGACCAAACGATCTACGGCTGCTTGTTTCTCTCTTTCGGACAGCATACCAAATTTAATCGCTCTCACGTAGTCATCTTGTTTATCATAGCCGATCCGTGACCCTCCTTCACGTACGAATGCTGTGCCCCAGGCAGCCCTAGCACTCAAAGCCAGATCTTTGAAGTATCGAGCGTCTTCTATATACCCCAACAACTCCGCAGCTTTGGATAATATTCGACTGGACTCTGCAAAATAGGCAGTTGGAACAGCAGCATTCGGCCACAAGAAGAGGTTCCCTAGCATCGGTAAGAGGCCAGTCTCGCCAGGCCGTAGCCATTCACCCCAATGGAACCTTGTGTCAACGATGTATTGTTCTATGTCTTTTGAGCAACCCCATAGCCACCGAGTCCAGCTGCGATTTTTCTTCGCTGTATCTTCGAGAAATCTCACCCAAAGTTTCATGCTGGTATATTGTCGTTCTAAAATCGCAGTATCCCCAAAATGCTCGTACATAAGCCAGGGAAGAAGTACAGACACATCGCCCCAGCCAACAGAGCTTGCCGTGAGTTTGGAGAGAAATGTGACACCTGAAAATTCCGAGTCGCCAGATGGGATAAATGGAGGAATGCGACCGTCTGCCCACTGTTCCGTCGATAAATTTCGCAAGTACCGACGAAGGAAGCTCTGTACGTCACTCGCCATTAGTACAGCGGTTGCCGAAAATATTTGCAGATCTCCTGTCCAACCGGATCTCTCACGGGTCGGGCAATCAGTAGGAGTGTCTGTAAAGTTCGATAAAAAGCTCCAAACCGTGTTCTTGTAGAGCCTCTCTAATCGAGAATCTGAGCACTTGAACTCAGTAATTGAGCCTAACTGCGACGAGACAACCACTCCTTCCACGTCCGACAGCGGAACGAGTTCCTCGATTCCAATGATCTCCAGGTATCGGAATCCATGAGTACTAAACATTGGTTCAAAAAAATCACAATCGGACCCTGACAAAATTACCTCGTCACGTTGAGGCTGGCCTTTGCCGACAGGCTCGATATAGTCGATATCAAGCTCGCCATCTGGTGTCAAGACTTCGCTATAGGTAAGAATAGCCTTATTGCCTCGTTTTCCATGAAGCTTGATCCTGACGTATCCTGAGAAGTTTTGACCAAAGTCGATTAAATTCTTGCCACTTGAAGACCACCAGGACTTTTTCGCCGGCAAGCGACGAATTTCATCTACTCTCCCTGTCTCCTCTGCTATGAGATTCATAGTCGGTTGTTGCAACACTTCAATAGCCTCCCAGGACCTTTTCTTTGAAGCATTATCCCCAACATGCTCCCAGTCGCTTGAAATCGTAAAATCCGCAACCTCTCCTGCCTTAGGATCGGAACGAACTATATGACCCGTACTCACGGTCCAGCTTTCGTCTGTTGAACACGAAATATGCTCGCCTGTTTGTAGTTCGATCACCAGTAAACAAAAGAATGCTAATTGGTTCCCGTAACAGTTTCGATGGCCAAGTCCGCCGTTCTCTCCACGGAAATGGCCATCAGCGACAATGGCGCCCAGTATATTGTGGCCTTCACGCATGGAAACAGTGACATCGTATACTTGATATTCAATGCTGTGATGGAATGGTGTCCACCTAGGGACTTGTTGTCGGCCAACAATATTCACCCCATTAATGAAAAACTTGTACCAGCCCAAGCTTGTCGCATATAGCCTCGCTCGAAGTATTTTATCCGGTACATCCACCTTATGTCGGAAGTAAAGGACGTCTCGGTCTTCGCTTTGTTTCGGAATCGGTTTACGCGTGACCCAGTGGGCGCTTAGCTCAGATGATCCGATCAAAAATGCAGTCTCGAACCAGCTATTTTGGCTCCATGACCCGTAATTTCCGGAGTGGTTATATAAACGTACTCTCCAGAAATAACGTGAGCACGAGGCCAATGGAGATCCAGTATATTGAGTAGACCAAGGGAAGCAGAGATTATGACTCCACTGTTCCATATCAGTTTAGTCGTGGCGGTAAATTGCTCGGAAGAAACCTGAATCTCATATGCAGACTGCAAAACTGAGTTTCGATCGGAGAGAAGTTGCCATGAGAATTCGGGTTCAGGAGAGTCGATACCAAGAGGTTCGGACAGAAGATTGACTCGAAGATTCATTGCTTGTAGCGCCATGATGTTGAAGGGTTTCTTGGTTGTTCCAGCTCAAGGCGGACTGCAGTATTTTCGTAATTCACAGCTTTTAGGAGGCACGAAGTCTCTCCAACAGTTCTAACTCTCCTTGTCCAAAAATTCGGTATGCATTTCACCGAAACATCCCTTACAGGAGGCTCGGGCTTTCGGACTGGGTATAAAGCGAGCAACGTAGCGCAGACCTAGTTTTATCTCCCCCACCATGAAATATGCCGGGATTCAAAATCGGCTCCACGAGCTATTGTACAGGGATATCAACAATTTTGACCAGGATTGGACCGGAATTAGATTCATAATATACTTTCAAATAAGGCTGACCTGAGCCATAGTGATTAGTAAATTGAACGTTGGAAATATTATCCACGAATATCTCATCACGAAACACCAAATACGATCATTCCTACCTTATCCTTCTCACAATGGCAGCCATAACTCGTGCCAACTTTCTTGAGTACATGCGTGCTTTCAACGCTCACGACTTTGAAAAACAATATTCATTCTACGCGGAGGACGTGACACTACACATCCCGGATCCCAAAACGGGAATGCTCTACGGCAAAGACGGTATTCGCGGACACTATCTTCCACTTTTCGACGTATGTGACGAATACGTCGTTCCGATGGTTGTGATGAATGATTCTCACAAAGTCCTTTTGATCATGGAATCGTACTTTGTGTACAATTCAAAGCTGGAGGGCGTCTTCGGCTATGCGGTGGAGGAGGGGGACATAATAAAAATTCGCGTCTGGGCTTACTATGAGATTGAAAATGGGAAAATGCAGCGAATCGTCTGCAATCTTTTTCAAAAGTGGTTTCTTGGGAAAGGGGATATTCAAGAGTTGATTCGGGAGAGCGAAAGTCGCGCCGAGCCTGATTTGAAGATTTTCAATTATTAGCTCCCACATACTAGGTAGCGGGTAATTTCTCCAATTCTCAAATTCCACAGAAGATCAGATCTCCGAAAGTGGCACATCCATGTGTACTTATCAAGCGCTGTATATGCGAATGACTAGGATATCTACATGGAAGGCAATATGGATGCCTAGTATTTTAACTACCCGTTCGACAAATTCTTGCGATTTAACGGTTTTATGAAGTGACCTTTAGTATTAGTGATATAGTAGCAATTAATACAATCGTCAGAATTCTCTAGTCAGTAGAAAGTAGGAAATTACCATCATCCTCTCGATGGCATTTTGAGAAAACCTTTCGTTGGGTCCTTGATGCCTGAGGCAGCAGGACTTCTGCTTTGCTTGCCTTCCTTTGATAGCTTATCATCCACACACATATTCGCATGCATCACTAGTTCATAATTCTGATATTGACTAACATTTTGTTTTTTATGGAAAGTCTATCTTTCAAAGACTATGCTCTAGGGTTCTATCTACGGTTCCCCGTTTCTCTATCGCAAAACTAAACTTTGATCTGCAGGGATTCGGGAAGTGGAGGGACAAAGCTACACGGCTCCTTTTAAACTACAATGGCCGGACTCGGGCTATCTCACTCCGTTGATTAGGGAAACCGCAATCTCAAGGGCCCTCGCGATCTTCTGAATCCGGGGTAAATGTGGACCTCGGGAGCAGAGCTCTGGGGAAGTTCAAAGTCATTGACCCTTTAGGGTTTCATCATTTTTTAAGCTTTTATAGTAAGTGATTCCTGCTAACTGGCTCACTTGTTTTCTCTCTTACTCTGAGAATCTATCCCTTCTACTTTACCATTCGCAAGATCCCTCAATAAACTCCAGAAATGACACAAGCTTCCTCTACCGAGCCCCAGGTTCATGGGAAGCAAGATGAATCAGTTCACATCGAGAACGTTCAAATGGGAGACACCTCCTCGCCAAGCAAGCAGAACTGGCAGGAACCTATCAATCTCAGTATATGGGAAGAACTCTCATTAAATCCTAAGATCATAGCGATATGTGTCTTTGCCAACGTTGGTGCTATGATGTATGGATTTGACACGATGTCCTTGTCACTTTGTTTATCCATGCCAGCATTCCAGTGAGTACTGATACCCCAATCTCCCGAATTCAATTGACTTCACGATCTCATGGAACACCTTTTGCCAGGGACAATTTCGGACAAATCACATCATCTGGCAAAGTTATTCCCGCATATTGGCAGTCTTTGTGGAATGCCTTGGGGCAGGTCGCTTGCATGATCGGGGCTTGGGGCATTGGTCAGATCTCAGATGCCTTCGGTCGCCGCCTATGTTTCTTCCTGGCTGGTCTAGTCTCGGTGGCCGGAATCGCCGTCCTATACATTTCTTCCACTAGCCCGGTATTTCTCATCGGTAAGATTGTTACAGGCCTGGCTCTTGGTATGGCGTTGGCTACTGGTGGAAGTTACGTGTCTGAAGTCGCACCGCTCCGCCTTCGAGGTATAATGCTCTCAGCATACACCTTCAGCATGGTGAGGAAATGTCAACAAATAATCTTTATCGATGTAGACTAAAATCGCACAGAACCTCGGTCTGCTTATGGCCGCTTCCATCGCCTACAGTAGGCTTAATATCACCGATTCATCCTCGTATCAAGTATACAACCTCGACTTCCATTTCCTTGCATATAGGCGGCTAATACTTTTTGCAGGTACTCTTTTCTATCGGTTGGATATGGCCTGCAATTTTGATTGTTTTCGCTTGGCTTATACCCGAATCGCCGAATTACCTTGTTCGAAAAGGCGAGAACGAAAAGGCCCAGAGAGCACTGGAGAGGATATTCAACGAGACGAGGGCTGTTCCTCTCTTAAATGAAATGGTAAATGTACACAACCATGAGAAGCTGATTGCAGGAGAATCGAGTAACAGTGGATTCGTCGATTGCTTCAAAGGGGGCAACTGGCGACGCACAAGAATTATTCTCTATTGCAATGGGCTGTCGCAGATGACCGGCGCAACCTTTTTGTCCAATGGCCCATATTTTCTCATCATGGCTGGAATGAGCTCGTCTAACGTCGGTATGATGGTCGAGATTGGACTAGCATTTGCGATCATGAGTTCGATCTTAACTTGGTTTTTTCTTGGAAAGGCTGGCCGTCGTACCATTATACTTTTTGGTATCGCACTTTCAGCTTTGTTTTTTCTTCTTATGGGCATTTCAAGTTGCTTTCCTTCTAGCCCTAAAGCACTTTGGTGAGTATATCTCAAATAGATCTTGATAAAGGACGGCTTCACTAGAATACTGCTGACACTCATTCAAGGGCTATCGGAATCGCTCTCGAACTTACCTGGTGGACAATGGGACCAACAACTGGTCCCGCCATGGCCATTGCGGGAGAGGTGTCTCAGATCAGACTTCGTGCCCAATCGCAATCCATTGGGTTTGCGTTCAATTACTTCTTTTCCACTGTCTGGAACGTCGTCGTTCCATATATGTTCAATGCGGAAGAGGGAAATCTTGGAGGGAAAATGGGGTGGATCTTTCTTGCTACCAGCGTGCTTAGTTTTATCATTGTCTATTATGAGTTCCCGGAAACGAAGGATAGAACCTACGAAGAGCTGGATGAGATGTTTGAGATGAATGTGCCAGCCTGGCGCTTCACTGGCTACCAGCGCGAACCCTGAATTTGACAAGTACTTGATAGTTTGGAAGAAGGTGCCAATTTTTGTACTCCAAGAATGCAAAAACCGATGAATCCAGTTACATGACCATCTGGCTCAATCCCGGTGTCAATATTTATGAGAAGGTCCCAAGTTCCTTGCCTCGGCGTCTTATCTGATTACTTGGTCCACCTGGGCATTGCATGCGCTCCAATATCCTGGATAATGACTGGTCAACAATTCGACATTGCATGTATTCATCTGCCTGTATTTGGAATTGCCGGCATGAACGCACAGGACTATAAACGATGTGTCGTCGGTAGGTGGATCACTGGTTACCTAGGTACTCAACTAGGCAAATGTTTCGCCTGGTACCAGTCCAGGCCCCCGGGGTGGCGATATGTAAATACTAGTGGATGATTTTTGATTCTAGCATGACGATGCTAAAATACCAATCTAACCAATCCACTGATATCGCATTAGATTACTCCATCAGAGTTCAGGTCTTTGAAGACCTCTAGTATTTCGAGATTGTTTGCATAATCGAAACCCACTTTCCGATCAGGAGGAGGATTGCTAACTATAACCGTGGCGCACTGGTTACTCAATCAGACAATTGTTTCGCGTGTAACTTGGTTATAGGGCGAAAGGTAACTGTAATTTAACTCCACTGTGATTGTGTTACTTGAATGCGAACACTAACCTGCCCAGGTGCCCATCTTGTTGGCAGTACTAGTTCTATTGGAGTGGACTACAGTACCTCGAAGGTTGCTTTAAGGGGCCGGTATTTTGAACCGAGGTTGACCCTATAGTATATTGGGGGTCCGGTATGGAGGGGTGGTTTTCATAAAGACTGCCCAGGTGGAGTAAAGGGCGAAGTTCGGGTTGCCAAGGAAAGGCGCAATGAGCACAACGGTGTGAACGATGGACCACCGAGGATGATCTGCTCTGGTTTGCTCTGTGCTTTGCTGCCGGCCCCATACTACTCAGAAAGGAAGCATGCGGGGGAGAGCATGTGAAGAAGCTAAACTCCTAGAGGCTTTGGTTAGGCTTGTGCCTGGCCGGGGTAGAATCTGATTGGTCCAACTATGATTTAAAGCGGACTTCATGTGGATCTCCATGTTATTCAAAAAATAGTCGCAAAGGTTTCCGATTGCGGTATGATTGGCGTTGACCTCGGCTCGCCTGGGCGTGCAAGATGTGCTTCATCTTTTTAAAAGAGAGATCACCCCCTACCCCGGATCCTGAGTAGATCATGATCTCGACGTGAACAGAACATCCTCGAAATATCCCATCATGGCCGCCTACCTCGATCTCATCCAGCAATATTCCCAAACCGCCCTGGCGGCCCTCCCCCAACCGGCTCAACAATTGCTGCTCAAGCCCGTCACACAAAAGGCGCTGGCCGCCATCGTCGCGTTGGGCCTGGTGCGCCATGTCAACAAGACTCTCTCTGGTTGGACACTGCAGAACTGGACACGCAATGAGAAATGGGTCTCTTCCCGTGAACTCATCCTCTTGACTGGAGGATGCAGTGGTATTGGGAAGCAAGTCATGGAAGATCTGGCGAAGACCGGCGTGCGCGTCATCATTCTGGATATCAACGAGCCTAATTTCACTCTACCATCCAATGTTTTCTTCTACAAGGCCAATATCACCTCCTCCGCCAACATTGCCGAGGTCGCCAAGGCCATTCGCAGCGACCACGGCGAGCCAACTGTCTTGGTGAACAACGCTGGTGTCGGTCACGATGGAACTATTCTCGAGGAGCCCGAGGCTAAGATCCGTCAAACCTTTGAGGTCAACACCATCTCGCATTTCCTCATGGTGAAGGAGTTCCTCCCCGCCATGGTCAAAGCCAACCACGGCCATGTCATCACGATTGCATCTATGGCCAGCTTCGTCGCTCTTGGAGAGATGGCCGACTACTGCTGCTCCAAGGCCAGTGCACTCGCATTTCACGAGTCCCTTCGCCAGGAGCTGCGATACTGGTACAAGGCGCCTAATGTGCGCACCAGGTGAGTTTAGCTGCTACTACTACCCCCAGTATTGTTTGAGTGATCCCCAGCTAATCCAATTCTTACCAGTGTCATCCACCCCATGTGGGTTCGGACTCCGATGATCAAGATGCTCACCGATCACGAATCCCAATTCCGCCAGCCTATCATGACCGTGCAGTTTGTCTCCGATGCCATCTGCAAGCAGATTCTCACCCAAACCAGTGGGCAGATTATCCTGCCGGCCAGCCAATCCGCCGCCAGTTTGGTACGTGCCATGCCTACCTGGATCCAGGAGGGAATCCGAACTTTTGCCTCGGGGTCACTGCGTCGTATGCGCAATGTGCAGCCTTATGAGAAATAAATTCAAGTTGAAGTTGCGAGGGGTCTACCAGGGTTGTGCCAGGTGACAATTGGCGAGTTGTATATAGCCGGGTTTCGCACCCGATGAGACATGTTCTGCTCTTTTGTATTGATACGAATATACCATTCTGCGATTTATATGCATTACCAGTGTACTACTACCTAGGTAGTAGTAGTCTATTACTATTACCTCTAGTATATTACTGTCAAGGTGTGTAATGCAGTGTTACGCGAGATTCCCGCGCGGCTGAATCGAGTCTGACTATAATGTGCACTGTCCACATGTTCATTGGGTACTTTTGACGAGTACTAGTTAGTTAGTATTTGGCAGTCACCCCTACTTAGGTACTAAAAACTCACTCTTAACTAATAGCTGATGAGTCCGAGGGTATTCGATGACGCAAGTTCATCTTTGCCGGTCTCCGCACGGCAAATTTGCATTTCTCCGACGCGCAACTCCGCACTCCGCACTGCAACTGCAACTTAAACCCCAGACAAGCTTAACTCCTCTCGAGAGGTTCAAGGTCTCCTAGTCCCCTCTTTTCTCCTTCATAGTTTTACCCTACCGTCAAAATGCCCTCAGAAACATCCCCCCTCCTCGAGAATGGCGACCGCTCCCCCCGTCGCGTTCACCACGGTCGCATCGCTCACTATCGACATACCTCAAACAACCCCTCGATCCTCGCCATGGCGATCTCCTCCTCCTCTTCTGCTACATAATCACTGGTCTTCTCGACAGTTCCGCCGTCTTCATCTGGGGCTCCTTCGTGAGCATGCAGACCGGCAACACAGTCTACTTCGGCCTCGGCCTTGTCGGCACCGACGACGACCGCTGGATTAAATCCGGCGTATCGATTGCAGGATTCTGTCTGGGCTCGCTGTGCTTTGCGGCTTTTCATCGCGTGTTTGCGCCGAGGCAGCGCTGGGTGCTGATTGCTTCCTTCACAATCCAGTTACTTTGTATCGTTGTCGCGGCGCTGATTGTGACGATCTTCCACTCGTCGCGTAATCAGCCGTTGAGTTGGTTGGTTCTGGTTCCGATTGTTCTGGTTGCGTTTCAGAGTAGTGGGCAGGCTGTGACTAGTCGTGTGTTGAAGTATAATGCTCTCACTAGTGTTGTGTTGACGAGTGTTTATTGTGATCTCTTCTCGCACCCGGATTTCCTGTCGCCGAAGTTGGTGAGGAATGCCGAGCAGATGCGCAGGGTTGGCGCTGTGGTTTTCTTGCTTATTGGGGTTATTCTTGGTGGTTTCTGGGCTCATAGTGATGTTGGTATGATGGGGGCGCTGTGGACGGCGGCGTTTTTGAAGGGGTTGATCATTGTTGCTTGGATCTTCTGGAACAAGGAATAGATGGGGATGCAGTGTGCTGGTTAGAATTTCGGGATCCCTTAATTGTGAAGAGAGCCCTGAAGCCATTGTGAACATATCCTCTAGACTCGCAAGAGGTCAGAATAAAGATGCACTAGCCAAGAGTAGAGAGATAACTTGAACCATTCCGAGCCTTCTGCGCGATATACTCAGCCTAGTATGCCCAACCGGTCTTTGTACCTAGGTTTTGGCGGAGGTAACTTGAATTTGAAGTCATCCATGGATCAATTAGCAGCTCACAATTTAGTGACCTGTCCTGCCCACTAATAGTCGCAGGACTTGGTCTAACTTACAACTAATAGTACTAGTAACTATCAGGAACTTCGTACAATGCATGAAGCGCACTCATTTGAGAAATTGGAACAATAAAGTCAGATATTCTATACAGAGAAAATGAAATAGGTATGGACAGAGATAGGAACTAAATGACAGGATATTATCGGTCGAGCATTTTCGCCGACCGGGCGTATATAGATCGTAGTTATGCAAACCCAGAATTAGGTAGAGTATGCCCAAGCAACGCCGTCCCGCAATGGAATAAATGTGACAAGGAAAAAGAAAGGGAAAGTGGTATCGTAGAGAGAGAAGTATCGCTCGTGAGGTCAGACGCGCATAATGAAGAGATTATGGCTTGGAGAGTTGCTCCTTGCGGAAGAAGAGTAGGAAGCCGGCGCAAATAAGAAGCTGGCACGACAAGGCAATCCAGAACCAGGCATTGGCAAGTTCACCAGCGCCCTTGGTCATGTCTGGACTGATGGGGCCAGGGCCCACCCTATTGGGGCCAAATGCACGAGCACAGATGGTGGCGATGGAACCAAGGACTTGGGAGGCGATGAGAGCAAAGCACATGTGGACACGAGTGAGTGTTTGCAGAAGGATGACACCGAAGCCGAGACCCTGGATGGAATCGAGGACTCCGAGCCAGAGCCAGATACTGCGAGATGCCAGAGCACCAGCGGTATATCCTCCGCCAACCCAAGGCAAGTAGTAACCAATGCCCGAAATTCCCCACCAGATCTGGATGAAGCGAGGTGCACCGAGACCGCAGGCGAAGACGGGGAGGAACCAACTGTGCCTCTTGGAGAACTTGCTGACAATGAAAAGGAATGCACACCATACGACTCCGAAGAAGACGATGCACAAAATCACAATCTCCCAGGCGTGGGTGTGTTCGGAGCTCCACAAGAAACTCCAGTTACGACCGTATGGTGCACTCATGAAGAAGTTTTGCAGGATAACCGCGACGAAATTCCAGAGAACGATCTTGCGACGGAAAAGCGACTTGTAGAAAGAAGGAACCTTACCAGGCTTCTGACGGTAGTAGTTTGGCAGTCCAAAGACAAGAAGTAGACCCATTGCCCAGAGGAAAATGGCAATTGGGTAGCAAATGGCAGACATCTTCCAGGTGTTTGAAAGCATGGTGTCGGAGTTCAGAATACCTTCACTAGAGGCCTTGGTAAGGGTTGAACCCCAGTACCAAAGACCAATAACATAGGCTTGTTGAATTCCCTGAATAACACAGGCGCGGAAGATCCAAGTCTCCACTGGGGCACCACCTTCATCACCGAAGTTCGATGCGAAAAAGATGGATCCACTGGAAGAAGCAGCGGCGTAGCATCCACTTCCGATGTTCTGAATCCATCCACGAGCGAACTCATCGGCTTGCCAGTGAGCAGAGCCGATAAGGAGGAAGGCAAGACCATAGAAGAACCAGGGAACAGACAGACAAACGACGCATTTGAAGTAACGGAACACCAGCCACCAGCAGACAGAGGTAATGGCATAGGTAGTAGCGATACCGTACAGCTTCTCGGCACTTTCACCAACCTCGCCAGTCAGCAGTGTGATCTGGTAAGAATTGGCTGCGATGATTTGACCAAGAGCGAGGAAGATTGAGTAGACTGGCCAATCTCCAATCTTGATTTGCATCCACTTTCTGAGGCCAGTGGGAGGAACGTAGTCCTTTCCAAGCAGGAACTCATCATCGTAGCTATCGTGACTCTCACTGAGAGCGATATGAGAAAGACCCTCATCGTTGTAAGACTCTGCGGCTGGCGATGCATTGTTTCTTCCACGGAAGACGGACGGAGTTGGCGATTTGGGATTGTTGCGACCAAGTTTGGCATTACGGAATCGATCAAACCATTCCTGTTCACTCTTGATCAAGAACTCTTCAATACAGAGGTCGGCCTCTGAGTTGGATCCATTCAGATCCTGAAGCTTTGCCTCGAAGTTGTGGTAATATTCACCCGTGCCATCAGTGAAGAATGGATCAACCTTCTGCAGCTTGAAGTCCTTCTTGTTACCCACAACGGAATCAAGTGAGAGAACAGAGGCATTGCTGTATCGGTTGGACTCGGAGAAAGGTTTGGAGGGGGGAAGTAGAAGCTGATCGGGTCTAGGGGAGCCAGGGCTGCCAGGGGGAATGAGGAATCTGGCATGCGTAGACTCTTGGCTGTTGCGACGAGTCAGTGAAGGTGAAGGCAAAGCAAACGCTGGTGTTTGTCTCTCGGCCGCTTGGCGACGACGTCCCTCTTCAACCTCAGCTGGAGTCATGGTGTATTCATCATCACCATAAATGCTGTGTGTCATCTCGTCATCACTGGTATCACTAGGTGTGTTGGAGTTTTCATTCTCGTGCTCATCAACGACGCCCTCAACTGGATTGCGACGACCACGGCGACTGCGGTGACCAGGACCAGAACGGACACCCAGGGAGAGGGAGCGGTTCAGGCTAGACTGGGGCTTCTCAGTCTCGTGCGGGCTAAGATCTCTGCTATAGCTCACGACCCTTGAATCCAAGCCAGTGATCTGGTTAAGAGTGGAGTAACTGGCTTCGCGGGAATGCATCCCCGGCATGCCAGGGGAAGGAAGCGGGCTCATTGAGAGTGCATCCTGCTGGATGGATGCTCCATTCGGTGTACTGATTCCAGAAGAAGTCAGAGGACGTCCATGTCCCTTGGCGACCTCTCGATCGTGGACTGCGATGGCCGTGGTCTGCAGAATCTCAAGATCCTCCACCCACTGAGCGACGGGGAAACGTTGCTTAGCAGACCTGGCTCTCATCATAGCGCGGGTGTCTTCCTTTGAGCTGAGTGCAGCATCGATTGCAAGCTTGAATTGAACCAACAAGTGAGATGTCGAGGTCGATTCCACGTTATACCACCAACCAGGCATCTGACCCAAACCACCAACGCGGGCTCCAATACCGAGGGCTCCCTTTCTTCCGAATTCCACTGCAACCAAGCCGAATGGCTCATCACGAGAAGGAATAAGAGCGAATTCGGCACCGGAGAAGATGAAGGGTGGAAGGGCAGTGAATTCAGGCTTAGAGAAGACACGGCCGGGGTAAACCTCCATCATTCGAGCAAGCTTGAGAGCGGCGAATTTTCCATAAAGATCAATCACGGGTCCGATACAGATAACCTGCACGTTAGGACGAGCCTCCAGGACTGCAGGCATGGCGTCTGCAATGAGATCAACACCCTTCTGCATGGACCAACGACCAACGAACACCATAAGGTCAGCGTCGGGGTTTTGCTCAAGTCCAGCCCACTCCTGTGCTTGACGCTTGAGCTCTCCGCGGCCGGCTTCATACTCGGCATCAACAAGAATGTCTTCATCCTTGTTCTTGATGGGCTGGCGGGTCCACTCTCCAACATCCGATGGATCAGGGTTAGGGAGATTTCCCACTTTGCGGAGACCCCAGAAGATAGGGTAACGAGCATACGATCGCTTTCCGTACTTCTTGGACACACCAACAGCGCCGAAACCTTGTTGCTGGACTCTGAGATAACTAGCGCCTGCGTGAAGCAGGTTGAAAACCTCACCGAATTGAACGTAACGCCGGGCAACATCTTCTTCGAGATTGAAAACATCGCAGACCTCACGTCTTTCCTTTTGGGTACGCATCGGCCAGAGACCTTGAAATTCAGCGTTGTGAAGCGACAAGCAGGCCGGGATGGTCTCGGGAAGCAGATAAAGAGGTGCGACTGAACCGTGGTAATCGTTGATATGGTAGAGATCGATAGGGAAACGTTTGATCGCCTGAGCAATACACTGGTTCCAGGCGGAATAGTATACTGCGCTGTCCAGGTCATCCATACGTGCCGGGTAGGGCTCGGACTTCGATTGCTGGCGGAAGACGGGGGCGTCCAAGAGCACGTATGTGATATTCTTCAAGGTGTGATATTGAACCTGCACCTGGTATTCACTGCCGAGGATCTTGACAGTCATTGGATCTGCGACCCGATCGACGGGGTAATCAACACCACCGACACAGGGAACAACCCAAATCAAATCCTGGTGACCAAGAGTCTTTCCCATGAGTTGGGCCATGACACCGAGACCACCGATCTTGATCTTGATTGCCCAATCCTCGATATCGTACTCCATGGTGGCGATCAAAACCATACGTCGCTTGCCTGAAGCCGCAGCGGCTCCAAGAGCAGTGGTACTCTGCATGAAACCAGATTTGTTTGCCAGACGCATAAGAGGGTTCACATAATTACCTCGGTCGCTTGATCCAGAGGGCTTCAGCTTCTTCAAGAAGACCATAGGGCCAAGGCGCGACTTCTCGGTTACACCGTTCTCATTGAACTTGACTTTGTAGAAGGACTTCATGAAGATGTATACACATCCAATACCAGTAAGTACCGGAATGATCCAGAAAAGGACGAACATGACGATTTGAGGAGTCTGTTTGCCAGCGGGGATGAGATCATAGCGCTGAGTGGCGTCGTTGACATACAGCTTCCATGACAGATATGGTGATGGCGGAGGCTTGGTGATGTTGAGTAAGGTACTTGACAGGGAAGACGGGGGCATGCGATCCAAAATGTTATCGCCGTCTGCATCACCAAGGACCCAGCTTTGATCAGGCTTTCCATCAGGGTTGACACCCCAGACGTTGATCTGACCAACAGCCGGCCATTCTGAAGTAAAGTGATACTTCCAATATCCATCTTCAGTGTCAAGCTGAATGCTGTTGTCAAGGCCACCGTCATAGCCGTACTGATTGTACGGTCCATTGAAGAAGGCGTGAGGAAAGCGACGTGGAACATCAGATTTCCAGTTTGAATCACCTTCTTGGACGTAATCACTGCTTCCAGTCAAACTGCTCCAGTATTCAACACGGACGTGGTTACCCTTCCAAGCTTGCTTGCTGGTACCAGACCATGGGAGAGCTTGGGCACTGTCATTACCACCAGTGTATTTTCTCCAAGAAGAGAACGTCGTACCCCAGTTGGTGGAATAGCGGTACTTTTCGGCTCCAGCAGCGTGATGCTGAATGAACAGGGTGTCGTTGTTCTCGTGCTGATGCAACAAACTGGTCGAGTAGTTGGCAGTGGTGAACACCATGGGGTTATCGATTTGGCCAATACGGAATAGAAAATGGTCCACAGCCCCTGTGAATGAATCTCCATCCGCATTGCTCGCATTTTTCAGAGTCACCCGGTGAATACCGTTATACACACCAGTGAGGTTGGCAGACCAAACAAATTGGCTAGGAATTTGACCAGTCCAAGAAGTTTGGGTGGCATCGATGGTTGTGCAATTCACGGTCGCCTTGTCAACCTTGGCAGTGTTTCCTGACTCGGTGGAGGAGTTCAACGAGAGACTCTTAGTAATGGAATCGCAGTCCATCTTCTCGGAGAAGTACAGCGCTATGGGCAGGTCCTCTGACATATTCGGAGCGACAGTGGAGAGGACAGGTGCATCGTGACCAGGAGTGAACCCAGTGACCATCGAACGAGGTGTCTTGAATTGGCTTTTGGGGACATAGGCACGGAACTCGTATCTAGTCAAGGACATCTTGGGAGCACATCCATTGTACTCCGATGAGCCATTCAGTCCAAGCTTCTTCGGACTAGCCTCAAGCTTGATCTCGTCGTGGGGGTAGAAGAGGTTCTTCACTGTGGTTCCTTCATCGAATGGGGCAATCAATGCAGTGTCATTGTCGGAGCAATCGAACTTCCAATCGATTGTGCGATTGGTGTTCTGATAAACAAGCCACACTGGCTGGTTATCTGTGTCCGAACCAAGGTCTTGGAGGTTAATGTTGACATCTCGAACAATCGACCAGATACCAGTCTCGGTTACCGTGCCGTTCGAACCGGGGTATTGAACGTCTTCGGTGGACTTTGAAAGAGTGGTGAGTGTGTAACCATCGTTCAAAACAGGAAACAGCTCGCGAAGTTGATACATGTGCTTCATGATGTTGCGCACAGGGTGACTTGGGTCACGATGATCATATGCAACAGATTCATTGTGGCATCCATAGCGAGCAGATTCGATAGGCCACTGGTAGTACTGGCCGGAGTCCAGGGCAAAGCATCCATGTGATCTCCAGGCTGTGGCAGGAGACATAGCCTGTCGTCCATAGATATAATTCTCCGCAGTCGCATCGAGAACATAGAAAGCTTGCTCCTCGCCCCAAAGTGCCAGAGGGATTCCGGGAAGAAGCAATGTCGTGATGAAGGATCCAAGCAGTTGTCTCTGGACACCATCCTTGATTGAGGGCCATCGGAAAACATCCTGGTTAGTTGCCCCAAACATGTGTCGCGGGTCAAACTTTCCAGTGTTTGGGTTGATGAGGTCGTTCGTTGTCATCATTGTGTTCCAGGCTTCCACCCAGTCCACAGGAAGATCGAAACCAGCGGCTAACTGACCGTCCATTCCCAAGAATCGTGTCAGCATACGGTAGATTGAGTAGTGAAATGCAGCTCCGTCAATTGCTTCGTGGCCGATTTCGCGGAGAAAGTATTGCGAATCAGACTCATTGGTCAATTTCATAGCGTCGATCGCATTGTCTGGCACTTGGTTTGGCTGTCTGCCACGGCCAAGATAAATGGAACCGAAGGTGTTACCACCAGTGATTTCACCGGAGATGAAGAAATTCTTCTTTCCCACAGCGCGTGCACACTCGCGGTAAGCCGCTGACATTTCACCAAGCGCTTCGACGGTAGCTTGGGTTGCCTTATCGTATCGGAAGCCGTCGATATCCAGAGAAGCAATGATCATGCACGAGTGCTGAATTAGTCTCTCTCGCACTGTCGGTTCCCACTCACGAAGGCGATCCTGCACCGACGCGAATTTGGCAAGTTGACGTTTCCAATCAGGGTACACACCAAAGGCTTCGATGTCACCATATTGATCAAAGTCACTATCGTAGCAGCCGACGAGAGCAGCGGTCTGAGATTCGTTGACAGGGTATCCGTTTTCGAACCAGAAGCGAGGGTAGTTGCAGGAGTCGTTATAGGAGTTACCAATGTCGAAGTCGACGTAGCGACGCTCTGATTTCCATTGGGTCTTGTATTCCTTTTCGTTGAAGGGGGTTGTTGTGTTGAGATGTCCGTCGAAACCGATCAAGTCACCCATACTATTTTAGGTTAATTAGCAATTGGGACAGAAACAACCGGTGTTTGGAGGGGACTCACGTTGCGATCGTATTGTCGAACACGACATACATGCCGCGCTTGTGAATTTCGGTGATAGCATCGCGCCAGACCTGAAGCGTGCCGTAATGTTGGTCTAGCAACGTTGTGTCCAAGGCAGAGTAACCATCGAAGCCCCAAGGTTGATTCATTAGGGAAGTGCCGGCAAGGTAAAGAGCCTATCATCAAGTTAGAATGAGACCCGACATTAGCTATCGGAGATAACACAAACCTTGATACCCATTCCTTGCAGATAGTCGAGCGTGTCAACGAGTCCAGCAACGTCTCCTCCATGGCGCATTTGATTAGAGCTAATATCGTGCTCAAATTGTGTGCCGTTGATGTTATCGTTTGTGGGGTCGCCGTTGACAAAGCGATCAAGAAAGAGTGTGTAGAATGGGAACCGCCAGTTATCTGGAGAAGCATGGTATTTCCCTTTATGATCTGGCCATTCACCCCAGTATTCAACGGGATTTGTCGCATCCTTGTTCGTGTTGAGGTTATATTCAAGAAAGGACTCATCGTAGGGCCAGCATGAAACTGTTGTGGCTAGCAGCGCCAATAAGCCACCTGATATTGACCACCGCATGTTATATGGTAGGAACCAAGAGGGCTCCTTTCTCTGAAACGAAACAAAAGATGAGATGTGTAAAAGTGAGAAATCTCACTCTGCGGAGAAGATGGGGGATCTCAGCCTCTGGGGTCAACTGCAAGTATTTCGCCTCACTGTGCCTGACGACCCAGCGTACTGGACTGTGAGCACCTGAAAGAAGGTTCAAGCTGATTGTGCAGGGATACGAGACTCGATAACACCACCAATCCGTGAGAAATAAAAATATATTCAAAAGAAGAAAGCGAGGGTGCGACAAGATAAGTCCAAAGCAGATAATGAGACAGGAACTAACCGATCTGACAGATTATTGGCTTCTAATTTTACATTAAGAAAGCAAAGCCTGGAACTATTGGCATTTTTACGCGAGTTGAGACATTTCGAGATTTAAATTTGAGAATAAATGTAGTTCGCAGCATCAATACCCATCAGCTGGCTAAAAATGGCATGTAAATGTATTTCACGCCATAATACGAGATTTACAAGTGGTTTGGGAGTACAACCCCGTTTAGATCCGCCTCAATGTAGAGGAGATACTCATTTCTCGCAAGCCTATTGGACTCGATGAGCCAGGAACCCACCGGGTCCATGCAGGGTGGAATTCTGGATGAGTACCGAACATGTCGGGGTGGCTGTCTCACGTCGGCATTACCCGCAGAGGGTAATAGAAGAGCTTACAAATGGATATACAGGGTCTCTTTATTGCCCCAGCAAGAATAGATTCGGACTTGGCCCGTTACAACGATCAACTCAGCCTGAAGTTGACGCTGTCACACGAAATCCACCCCGAAATCCTTTTGTGCAATGTCAGATCGTTGGAAATGAATCCGATCTGACGATATTAATGGAATATTCCATTCAAACTAATTAAGAAATATTTCAATCTAATCTATTGCAAAAAGCAACAAAATGATTACATTGAAGTTCCAAGGTTGTCGGTATATCTCGTATTCTCGGAGTGCCGAAAGCGTGTTAGCTCGACCCGGAAGAATCCTCCCGCGTGGCTGTTGGACCGATAACAAGGAAACGGACCGAGAGCCCTACGGGGCCCGGAGGCTGCGGTAATAGGTGGGTCACAATGTTTCACCGATTTACGTATTTGAATACAGATTCGCTTTTCGTTCCATTTCTGGCATTCCCCATTCGGGGTGGTAACATCTGATTCACAACGGTGGAGAACGAAAACCCTGAAGAAAAGGTACAAGAAAAATATCCACTATTGGAGAGGCATCAAGGTTCGAAACCGCGGTTCTAGTCAAATTTTCTGATTGTCAGAGATTTAAATATGTATTTTTACAAGATTTGTAAATATGAATAATGTGCAAATTGATGTGAATTCTTGATCGGGCTGTTTTTTGCCTAAAACTTTCAAGCAGATCGTGATGAAATTCAATTACATACAACGTGGCGTATTTGGCCGATCCTTGAGGCTTGAGATAAGCTTGATAGCGACAGCCACTGAGATATTGTGGGGCCCTGTATCATTGGCCGTTGTGTAAAGTATGTATGTACACTGTATGCGTAACAAGCTCAAAACGTTACCTGGTAATCCAGGTAATCCTATGGCTGCCGGGGTGTCCACCCTCATTGGATTAGATACACTCGGGCTGCACTCTGGTCTTAACAATCACACAGTCAGGGCGTTCATGCCACTGTTGCATCGTCCAATTTGGTATCTTTTCTCAATTGGCCAAATTGGCAGTACTGCAGCTGTTGATAAGGTCTGTACCTGGCAAAATGTGCTTGGCTTTTTAATGCGAACCGTAGTTAATTCCACCCACACGGTAACTGTCAATGTCTCTGATATGAGACAATAGACTAGCCATTGCCAGGTACCCGCCGGATAAAAGCAAAATCTTCGCTCTCTTGTTATCCTAAGCTCTCTTGGCCGCCCATGTTTAGCTTCGCTATCGAGGTTTGTGGAAATGAAAATAAGACACCCCCCTACCCAAACTATGGCAAGTTGTCTCGGGCCCTCGACTATTCTAGATGGGGCACGAAAGACTCTTGCGGAATCATAGAATGGAACGAATGGATCCTTCTCTTTGCTGTTATCCGAGATCCCGGACCTCCAGATTTCCGACCTAAAATAGATGGGAAAAAAGTAGTCACGGAAAGCAAATTAATTATATTTTTCGCGTCGATTCTGTAGGATAACTGAAAGGGGCCATACTGGAGGATCTCAGCGGTAATGATAATTTCCCATCATAACTCTACACTATTTGAAACTTCCAAATTATGAATGATGCTATCACGATCCCAAAAATTGGCCTCGGCTCCTCAGTGCTAGTACCAACCCTGCACGAGATCCATAATAGGCCAAGTTCCAGGGTTCAACGCCGAAATCAAGGAACTCACTATTGCTAATAGCGAGTCTTGTCCGACCCTAGTGTACTATGGATCGTCACGATTGTGCGGAGCCCTAGTAGGTCTTCGGTCTTTTCCTGGCCCCTCCCTAATTCTTCACCTCCACGAGATCAACTCTACAAGTCCACTCCGGGGTAACCCTCTTCACACTCATTTGGCACACAACGCACTTGCACATTCATTTTTTTGATCTCATGTCACTCATTATCAATCTAATTCAACCATCCTTCTGGGTCGTTTGACACACTCTTTTCCCCTTGAAACATTTGACCGACCCAGATACCCCTGATGAGCCACAATGCGACCGAAAGCAGATATGTTCCAGTTAACGAGGATATTTGCCCTTGGTTGGATGATTCAGCTCTCGGCCGCTGCAGGCATTGCTGAGTGGAAGTCTAGATCGGTTTACCAGACAATGACCGACCGTTTCGCGCGCACAGACGGATCAACGGTTTCACCATGCAACACCACAGCAGGTCTCTATTGTGGAGGGACATGGAAGGGCACAATCGACAAGCTCGATTATATCCAAGGGATGGGATTCGATGCTGTCATGATATCCCCTATTATCGAGAACGTTGAGGGTCGAGTTTCCTATGGTGAAGCCTATCACGGATACTGGCCGGTGGATCTATATTCACTGAATTCACATTTTGGAACTCGACAAGACTTGCTGGATCTCAGCGATGCTCTCCATACCCGAGGAATGTATCTCATGATGGATACTGTCATTAATAACATGGCCTATATCACTAATGGGAGCAATCCAGCCACCCATATTGACTACTCGACCTTCACACCCTTCAATAATTCCGATTACTTTCACCCATACTGCAAAATTACGGACTGGACCAACTACACCAATGCACAAGATTGTCAAACCGGAGATAAGATCGTACCTCTTCCCGACCTTTTCACAGAGCATCAGGATGTTCAAACTCTGCTCGAGAATTGGGCACAAGATACGATGCAAACGTATTCAATCGATGGACTTCGAATCGATGCCGCCAAGCACGTCAGCTCGGGATTTTTACGCAACTTCGACAAGTCAACGAGCGCATTCATGACAGGAGAGGTCCTTGAGATGAGCAGAGATATTATTTGTAATTACCAGCACAATTACATCCAAAGTCTCCCAAACTATCCAGTTTACTACGCGATGCTGGAGGCTTTCACAAGAGGCAATATCACCCGTCTGGCAAACGAGGTAATCGAGATGAAGGCAATGTGTCCCGACGTGACAGGCCTTGTTTCATTTTCAGAGAACCACGACGTTGAGCGTATCGCTAGCTTCAACGATGATATCTCGGTATGTTATGACTATCACAACCACCTTCGAAGCATCTTGTCTTACTCCTAATTTCTCTATCAGCTCGCGAAAAACATCATTACCTTCACCATTCTTTTCGATGGTATCCCAATGATCTACCAAGGCCAAGAACAACATCTCAAGGGCTCTGGCACTCCATTAAATCGGCAGGCTCTTTGGCTATCCGAATATGATACCGATTCTGTTCTATATAAGCTTATTTCCAAGCTCAATGCTATCAGGAGCCACGCCTCAAAGATAAGCAACGACTACATTGACACCCAATCGCGTGCCGTTTTTGAAGGTGGAAGTGAGCTTGCCTTTGTGAAAGGCATCGAGGGGCTTCAAACTCTCATGGTCCTCTCCAATCAAGGCAAAGCCGGCAAGCCCTATGCTCTCAGTTTGCCATTCGGCTTCAATGCTGGCACACAAGTCACCGAAGTGCTTAATTGCAAAAATTACACTGTTGACAATCAAGGTGAACTGAAGCTCGATATGGATGCAGGCGAACCTCGAGTTTTCTATCCCACCAAGTACATGGGAGGCAGTGGTCTTTGCGGACATTCATTCTCTAACGTCACTCTTGCGGAACTCAAGTTGAGCTATTCATCGACCAAGTCTCTCGCGAATCCTACACGTGTAAGCCCGACCGGTACAATTTTGGTTTCACTTGCTCTGTTGCTGCTTCTTAGTATTGAAAAGCTCTTTTGAGTTATGTACGAACACGTCTCATGTCTCGTTTCGCTGCGTTTCCTTTTCCAAGCTTCATGTAAATACCTACTTCTCGTGCTTGATGTATTACTATCCCCCCAATCTCAATAATTCCTTGTACTAGTACCAGTACGAGTACCAGTTCTGAATAAAATCTTCTTAAACGCACTGCAAGGTTTATAAAAATTCAAACCCGCTGAAGCATTCGCATTTCATTTTGTAATCTGGAAGGTTAATTCCTGACCACAAGGTCTGGAATCTCACTCTCTACCTGGCTCTCGAATCAGCAAATTTTGCGCCGTCGGCTACCATTCCAAAACGTATATTCGCTAAGAATATGCTTATATGCGTATTTGTGGCGGAAACCGACTTGGGAACTGTTCGACTACCCCCAAATTTTTGTTGCCAATTTCTGTTGACCCGAAGATAGGCACCAACTTGAGGGCTCCTGCTGCTTTGCTGGCGATCGGACATGTATTGTGACAGTAAGGGAAACATCCGAGACATGTAAAATACAATAATCTCGGTCCTTATGGGATTCTTGATGGAGCGCTCCACTGGTCGAATTTTCCACGCCCCACAACGCCTACCCCCGGGGCCGCCCACTTCATGGACCCTAGAATAAAAAACATTAACGGTGATCTATTTGGGAATTTTTGAAATTAGCCTGAGACTAATTCTAATGGACCACTTGGCATATCCACATTGCTATCCAGTATAACCAGATATTTGCTGGATTGTGATTGTCTCCCCATATCGAGGATTGAATCTCATGCGTTGTTAGTTACAACACCGAAATGTCGTTGTTTCTTTCGTGTTTCAGTCCGAGGCGCCGACATGAAAAAAGAGTGCTGAAACAAAAAGAAGGTGAGACTTTTCTCAAGCACAGCACAGCTTGATCTTTGAATTTGACATATCGAAAGACGCAGCAAGATTTCTTGACCGACTACCTTCATGGAATACATCAGATAATTCACTCATTTTGCAAGCATTCGAGTGGCATGTCCCCTCGGATAAGCGTCATTGGTATCGCTTGAAATGCCTACTCCCAGAATGGCAAGCTATGGGGATTGATCACATATGGATCCCGCCCGGCTGTAAAGGTATGGATCCCAATGGCAATGGGTATGATATTTACGATCTCTTCGATCTTGGAGAATTTGATCAAAAGGGTGCCATTTCGACCAAATGGGGGAACTTTATAGAATTGAAGGACATGATTCGCGAAGCGCAGTCTCTTGGAGTCAAAGTGATTTGGGATGCTGTTCTGAACCATAAAGCTGGGGCAGACTATTCTGAAAGTTTCCAAGCCATTGCCGTCGACCCGAAAGGTACGATCCTCATATTAAGGACTATTCGAGCAGACTAATCATAAAATCACAGAAAGAAACAAAGATATCGCCAGTCCGCAGGAGATTCATGGCTGGACTGGGTTTGATTTCGCCGGTCGCGGAGACAGATATAGTAGCATGAAATATCACTGGCAACATTTTACTGGTGTCGATTGGGACCAGAAGCTGGAAACAAACGACATTTATAAAATACTTGGGCCTGAAAAGGATTGGGCATCAGATGTTTCGACAGAGAATGGAAATTACGACTACCTCATGTTTGCCGATCTTGAACACTCGAACCCCGAGGTCTGCGCCGATCTTCTTCACTGGGGTTCGTGGATCACGAACCTTTTGTCCATCGGTGGGATGAGGCTCGATGCTGCGAAACATTTCTCAACCCGGTTTCAAAAGAAGTTCATTCAACACGTTCGAGAGAACTCCAATCCAAAGTTTTTTGTGATAGGAGAATACTGGACTCCCAATGTGTCTGACATTCAAGACTATCTGGAGAACCTTGACTACCAGGCTATGGCATACGACGTGCCTCTTCTGAAAAAATTTTCCACTATTTCAGAAACTCCATACGCCGATTTACGTACTATCTTCAATGATACTCTGGTGCAATCAAGACCTGGCCATGCTGTGGTAAGATACCGACGAGACAAGCCGTTTTTTAATTGCAACAGCTAATAATTTGTTTTCTTAAAAACAGACCTTTGTTGCCAACCATGACACGGTATGTACCTTATCTAACCAGAAATTGTTTCTATTGTTCCAAGAAACTAGCTGACAGTCAAAAGCAACCTGGGCAAATGCTCGAGGTAAGCCGGATCACTCACTTGTCACATCGGACCTGGTACGGTCGCGGTGTTGGAAAAAGCTAATATTCGCCTAGACGCCCGTCGCCTCGTCATTTAAACTAGCGGCCTATGCTCTAATACTCCTCCGAAAGGAAGGTCACCCCTGTATATTTTACGGTGATATGTATGGGCTGAACGTCGAAGGTTCAAAGGCGCCGGCATGCGACGGAAAGCTCCCACTTTTGGCGCAAGCACGCAAGCAGTACGCCTATGGGGAGCAAGAAAGTTATTTCGATGAACCAAATTGTGTTGGTTCGTGTTGCTCAGCCCTCGTGTTCTTATCATGGTCTCTAATGATGTGGCAGGGTTCGTGCGCTACGGAAACGCCAATCACTCCGGCCTGGCCTGTCTTATCAGCAACGGCGGCCGAAGCAGGAAACGCATGTTCATTGGTAGGCGGTATACGAACACACAATGGATAGATATACTAGGCCACCACGACATGCAAGTTGTTATCGACAAACGAGGCTATGGCAATTTCCCCATTAACGCCTCATCCGTTGGGGTTTGGGTGGAAGCTACTGCTGTGCGACGAGATCTCTTGGAAAAGAAATTGTACGCTAAGTGACCCTCACTCCAGCTGAGCGCTCATTCTGCGGTATTATTTACGCTAATTCTGGTTTCTTAGGACTTTGAATATTTATGACATCTAATGTTGGACGTCGGACCCGATCTAATGTAGTATGGGGGTGGAAGGGTAATGTAGCATCACAGAAATAATTCTTCTTTACTTCAAGAACCGTACGGAGTTCAAATCATGGGTAATAAAAAGCCAACTCAAGATCGATCACGTAACTTGGGACAGATGCAGAATACCGCATAATTAACCCGCATATACGGCCGTACGGCCGTGTGCAGAGTAAGACATTTCGTCCACTTGAAACTTAGCCGGTCCAAGTTCGGGAAAATTCTGCGCGTGGCTTGACCGCCGGTGATCCGAAACTGCAGTGCATTTATACCATTTACGCATGTCTCAGTATGACCCAATAAAAACAGAGTTCTCACTACTGATAGCCACATGTGGCGCCCGTAACTTATTTTGGTGTATCAGGACTGCCACTAGAGAATCCGTGTGGCTTTGGGCGGTAATTGGCCAATCGAGATGGCGCCTTATAGCACGCAGATCTCGCGGGCTTGGCTCGGCAAGATTATCTCTAGATTTGATTAGGGTCCAAAGTCTATTTATTACCTAGCTTGGCCTCAGAATTCACGATTTATTCAAATTACTGCCATTTTTTATACTTGAAATGGCCCTGCCAGGATATCTTACAAGAAAAAGTATTTCCTTCTGCGATCGCGACCGGCGCCCGAGTTTGGCCGACTATTTTTATCAACAGCGGATCTTGGCTTGGCAGTGCGAGATTCGGTGGAGTCTATCAAAACCAATCTTTTTCCTTTTTTGGATTTATTCCACACATTTAAATAAATATATATTTAAATAATTCGTATGGTATTTTGTTTCAGTGATACCTAGGTATACAACAATACACCAAGCGGCTAAATTGATACCAGGTACGGAGTACTGAGGGGCGTTGAGGCAAAGTCATGGTGATACATACACACTGGAACTGCAGTGACACCTCCTTTCACCGACTCACGCCACTCACGTCGGAAACACGCGATTACGACGTCTGACACAGGGTCTTTCTCGGCCATGCCGTCGAACTACTACTAAGCCCCAAGTGGTGGGGTTCTGCGATGAAGTGAGGTACCATCTCGACAACGCATGTATGCATGTATCCTATCATCAGAAGGCGTATGTAGGAAGTATTGAGTCTCTAGAGGAATTTCCTTTCGGGGGTGAGTAAGACTCAATGCTGCCCGGCGGGGGCGAGTCCCGTATTTTTCCACTGGGGCGACTCGGTTCCCCATCCAGGGTCCAGTTTGCTTCAGAGACATCTCAGAGACATCATGATCAGGTACCAAAAAAAATATCGATTAGAGGATCCTGCATTGTGATTCACAGAATTAGAATGGTAGAACAGGTTATGGGATTAACTAAAATTTTGCCGAAACTATTTTAAGCATTTTTGTACATTTTGACTGGTTTTGGTTCGTGCTTATAACTTTGGTCTCCCTAACGCTGTTCAAGACATCATCTTCCAATTCACAAAACTTACACATTGTTTGATTCTACTCAAAATCCCTCTTTATTTTCACTATAATATCCATCACCATGCGTTGGTCTATTGTTGCCCTGGCCCCTCTGGCCGTCTCCGTTGCTGGTAAGTGAAGCATGACTGCGATTGAAGTATGGTGTAGGAATACTAACTTACTCTTTCAGCTCTTTCCGTGGATGAGCCCAAGAAGGGAGCTGAGATTGATTCCTCCAAGTCCTTTGTTGTGAAGTGGTCTACTGTTGAGTATGTTTCTTTCTATTTGACTTGGGGATAAACGACTAAACTATCAAAAGGTCCGACCCTTCGAGCTTCGATATCTACCTCGTGAACAACGCCATCTACCCCAGTGTCGACAAGAAGATTGCGACTGGCATCGATACCTCCAAGGGATCCTACACTGTTGACAACATCGACATCTCCGCTGGGTATAGTGCTCCAGACTCCTCGATCAATGATGACTCAAATCTAACTTAGCAACAGCCATGGCTACCAGATCAACCTCCTCTCCGACTCCAAGCTCAACACCGGAATCCTCGCACAGTCCCAGCAATTCAACGTGACCGGTGACTCCCACAGCTCCTCTTCCACCACTGTCACATCATCCTCCTCCTCTTCTACCACCACTGGTACTTCGACCAAGGATACTACCCTCAGTGGAACTCTCGTCAAGACCACTTCCGATGGTACTGCTATCACCACTGCCACTTCCGCTGGCTCTAGCACTACCTCCAGTGGCTCTGCTTCCGGCTCTGTGACTGGAACCTCCTCGGCTACTGCTACTGCCGCCCCCAATGGTGGTGCTTCCCTTGTCGCTCACCCCATGGCCATCGCTGGAGTCTTCGCCGGTGCTCTGGCTTTCGCTCTGTAAAGGGTGTTCAGCCGGATACAGAGGGGCCGAACTCATCTCTTCAATTAACATGGTCGTGCATATAAAGTACGCGATAAGTTGGAGGCTTTTGTATCTTTCATAGATTTCTTTTGTTTCTTGTTTTTTTGCTCTTGTTCTTCTAACATACTGAAAGGCGAATGTTGCCCTTTCCAACATCCTCGCTTCCAAGGCTGTCTTCAAGATTCAACATGCTCTTCTTAATTTAATTTTATACCTAGTTAGTAGACGAATAATAATCTGAATCTACACCCTGTTGATACTTATTACTAGTAATATGTACCATGTGCCTCAGGCATCCAAGATCGTGTTTCAAGGCTCCCACTGCCGTACCTAGTATCCCGAAGTCTCCGCGGCTCTCTTCTAGATTTCTCCCTTTTTCATTCGGCGGTAGACTTCAAGCTCTTCGTGACTATCATGGAATTCACATACTACTACCTATTTAGGATATCACCTGCCAGTGGGCATGATGGTGTGGGCGGTGCCTGTCCTGGGCCTGAAATTGAACCAGGTACCCAGTAGTACCACACCCATGGTTATATATCGTCCGACTCAGAGTCGTCCTAGTACCTGGGGATTCTTCAACTTCAAGTTTCAGCTCAGATGACTCAATAACCTTGGAATTTCAAGTTACTCATGCAAATCATACCCATTACTAATATTTACTAATATTAATAACCTTGGAACTACCTAGGGTACTAGTAGAAATGTAGTCAAGTGAGTTTGTCTGGTGATGGCCGCATGTGACCCGCTGATTGGCCCGTGACTCTCCGCATTTCTTTTTTCTCCGACTTCGACTTGATATCTTCTCTTCTGCTCTCTCCTCACCTCTCCACACCTTTCCACCTCCTACCCATTTGCGAGATCTACTTCAGATCTCTGCATAATGTCCAAGGCCACTTTTGCCGTCATCGCTGCGGCAAGTGCCGCCACTGGCGCCGGAGTCACAGCACTGTTGTACTCCAAACCAACTCGGCCTCAACAACAACAACAACAACAACAACAGCAACTCCCTCCCACTCCTACCAGCACTGCCAAAGTACCGTCCACAATCCCTACTCCCACCCTCGCAACCAAGGCCACCGGCCCCGTTGATCCTGCCGGTATCCTCCAATATGGCTTCCCCGGCCCAATCGCCGACGAACTCAACACCCTCCCCTTACACGGCGCTTATGACCGACGAACCCGCAACCCATCCTGGGTCGCCGAACACATCACGCCCGAATCTCTGGCCATGAAGAACGCAGACCGCAAACACAGCGCCTTCGCAGAAGACACCTCCATCCCAGCCATCTTTCGTGCCAAACTGTCCGACTATTTCCGCTCCGGCTACGATCGCGGCCACCAGGTTCCTGCCGCTGACGCGAAATGGTCCCAGGATGCCATGGACGGCACTTTCATGCTAAGCAACATGTGTCCCCAGGTCGGCGAGGGGTTTAACCGCGACTACTGGGCGCATTTTGAGGACTTTGGCCGCAAGTTGACGGGTCGGTATCCTTCTGTTCGTATCGTGACGGGGCCGCTTTACCTGCCCCATCGTGACCCCGATGGGAAATGGCGCGTTAACTATGAGGTTATTGGTACGCCGCCTAATGTTGCTGTTCCGACTCATTTCTATAAGGTTATCTTTGCCGAGGATGGGTCCAATTCGCCGACGAGTAAGGTTGCTCTTGGTGCGTTTGTGTTGCCGAATGCTCGTATCCCGAATGATAAGAGTCTTTCGGATTTCGAGGTTCCTCTTGAGGCGGTGGAACGCGCGTCTGGTCTGGAGTTTGCGTCCAAGTTGGATCTTGGTCGGAGGAAGAGGTTGTGTCAGGAGGTCAAGTGTGAAATCACGGTTCGTGAGTTCAACAATGCCCAGAAGAAGCGCTAAGAGTTGCGCTGGTGGGTTTGGTGGGTAGTTAGGGGCGAGACTATATTATGTCTTTTTGCCATTTCAAGTGTATCAATACTTCTTTTGGGCCCAATGGCCTTGTATATTTAGGACTTCAGTCTTGCATAGCTGGGGCGTTTAACCCTCACAGGTTTATCCAAATCGTCTCAAATCCACTGATATGGGTCAGGACCAGGTAGTTCTGATTCTTCAATTGAATTCCAAGATCATTAGCATTAAAATGATTGCCGTTAAATTTAAAAGCGCTGCATCGATGGGGGTATTCGCAGTTAAGGTGGTGCAGAATAAGCACAAAATAAAACAAAAGCAATGGCCAAAGAAAATGCCAAAAAGAAATCATCCAAGGCCAATGGGTCCTCGTACTAGCCATCAGTTCCGCGCGGGATATTTGCATCTACGTGCTGGTTGTCTGGCCACCAGTAGTCTTCTTCCAGCGCTTCATCCGGTGTTTCCACCAATTTGCCAGCGGGGGTATCGTTGGGAACATCATTGGGAACATCATCAGGGATACTCTGAGGAACCTCCCCAGAGGCTTCCACTTTGAGTTTAGTTGGACTGGGCCCTGGAGGCGGTTCTACACGGCTTGGTGTAACCGGTCCGTCCTCATCATCGTCTGAAAGTGTCAAGTCTATGACATTGGCCACTATAGGCTCCGCGGCAGGTTTGTCTTTATTTTTGCTCGGGGTGAGCTGTTTTGCCCTCTTGGCCCTCTTGGGAGCAGGAGCACGGGTCACTTCATCGCCACTGCTGATAGATGTATGAGACCTCTCGCGCTTCCGCTTTTGCAAGCTTTCTTGGGGGCCTGCGGACAGTCCGGCTGTCCGTTGAGGTGCGGCTGGCTGAGACAGTGCTGGCAGAGGAGCTTTCGACCGGGCATTTTTCGGACCGTTGCAAGCGTGAGCAAGGTTGAATACCCGCTGTAACTCCTGTCTGGAATGTTCATCGAGGCCATTGCGGTCCTTCACTGACGGGCCTTGGAACTGGCGGAGTTGGTGCTCTTCTAGAAGAGGCGCCTGCGCTACGCTTTCCGCAGGTGCATCGGCATCAATGCCTCGTGGCCACCGCGCAAATGGACCGGAGTAGTTGGGGCCTTGCACTGGGCCATAGAGCGGATTCATGGTGAGTTGGCGTGTGTCCAACAGATGACGCGCAACTTCTACTCCTGTCAATTCAGGTGACTGTTCCGCTTGGTTGTCGCAAGCTTCGTCTTGAACAGGTGCGTACTCGAAATTGAAGAGCCTTGGCTCAGGGTCCGCACAGGGACCGGATGACAAAACATGAACCCCTCCTGCAGTATCACCCACAAGGAGATGAGCATTGTCGGGCGAAAAGACTGCACGCGTGATTCCATCATTGAATTCTGCAACATTGGAAACCAAGGCGTCTTCAGTGGCGCGTCGAATGTCCCATTGTTTGATGAAGCCATCAGATGCACCTGTGTAGAACTGGTCGATCGATGTGCCCCATAAAGCAGCAGAAACACCCACGTCGGCATATTCCCGGCGAATTTCGTGATTAATTGGGTAATCGGGCTGACCATGCCGTAATTCGTGAAGTATTTCACGCTGATTGCGAATATCCCACACGTAGGTGATTCCATCTGTGCAGCTAGCAGTCACATGGTAGGATCCAAATGGAGAGAAGGTAGTCTCATTGATATCCACAGCCGGACATCCAAAAGAAAAGGTGTGGACGGCCTTGGTTGCTGAGGGCACGTATGCGTAGAGGTTGACGAGCGATTGAGATCTAGGATCATAGGACTTGTGGTCTCTCATCGAACTCGCTGTCGCAAATATGGGCATCGAGGGGTGCCACTTGATGTCGAAAATGTTTTGTGAGTCTGGACTAAGCTTGATTGTGGTTGTGGTCACCGATGACTCTTCAAGCTTCCACATGGCCAAATGTCCATAACGAGCGACGTGAATATCCTCTACGTCATCCGTCCGTTGTACCATACCACCGACGACAAGGTTCTTCGTCACGGGTGTATTCCCCCAGATGAGGTTCGTGGGGGATAATTCCACGTTCTTCTGACCGGAACGAGAAATAGGTAGGTTTTGATAGGAGACAAATGGGCCCAAATCCCAGAGGCGGAAGCCGCTCTTGGTACCCGTGGCAAGTAGACGCGGCGAATATTTTGAAGCAGCCATAACCTCGACTTGAGCGTCATGAGTGAGAGTTTGGACACAGGAAGCCCCATGCCCAATATCCCACATTTTGACCGTCTTGTCGAAGCTCCCAGAATATAGCTGTTCCCCGACCCACTGTGTGCTAGAGACGGTTGCGAAAAGACGTGAGTCCTGTGTGCTGTGTGGATTTTCACACTGTACCCAGTGATCGGGAAGTTCCGTTAGTGAGTTCCGCGCCAAATCTCCCAAAACCAAATTATTGCCTCGATTATAGTCACCGCCATGTGTCGTTGCTCCTGCGGAAAACCGAGTGCCATCCGGTGACCATGCCATGCTGGTAATACCGCCTGAAGCTCCCTTCCAGCTTCGCCAAGGGCTTAGCTCCGAGAGCCTGTCATTACAGGCATACTTGTAGTAGGAATTGCTTATGAATCGACCTTGCTGTCGACTACGGAGGAGATTTCCAATGTTTGGTCGGTCACGCAAAGCCCCGCTGCCTATACTTTGCGGAGTCTGGGACTCTATGGGGATCTCGGGGGTATTTGATGGCATGGGAGAGGATGCCCCATTATTGTCACCATTACCATTCCTCCTGTCCGCGGCTTCTGCTGGTTCCAATTCCAACCCGACGAGTGCGCGAACATTATAGGTGATCGGCTCTCTCCTGGCGCGGCTGGAGCGCCGAGGAGGTGAATCTTTTGTGAGCGGGGCGGGAGAGTCCGAGGAGGCTCTGGACGACTGGTATTCTGGGGAGGATTCTCGTCCTCGAGTACGCTGGGGGGGTGATTGTCGCCGATGACCTTTTCTGCCGAGCACTACCCGATTCCGAGGAGGAGCCTCGTTCGCCTGTAGGCCGAGGGTCAATCAGCCGAGAGGGAATCGACTGGGGAGTTATGGTCGGTCGAGGGGATCGCTTTTTATGCCGAGAACTGCCTGGTCGTTGGGGTTGGTATTGTATTATGTTGACGGGGGTCATCTGATTAGCGTTGCTGACGGTAACAGTCTTTCGAAGTTGGTCTCTGGGAGCCTGGCGTGGAGTTTCATTGCTAGGTAGTCGTGCTGATGAATTGATCGGAGTGGAGGTAGGGGTGGGAGTAGTAGAGGGGAGAGATTGGTGCGGTGCTGGAGAGTTGGTGTTGACAGTTGCGATGGGGGGTGTGGATGGGGCCTCGTGTGGAACAGTTGAAGTCGAACTTGACGTATAAGATTGAATACTGCTAAGGCTAGTATTCCATTTGGCAGTGCTGGTAGTGCGCGGGATTTCCGTTATCTGAGTATTGGGAACTTCTCTCCATGGCGCGAGTGTTGATATCGGAGGTGTACTGCTAGTACTATCCCAAAGATTGGTGGCGAAGAAGCAGTCTGATTGACCTTTAGGGGGATTACTGGATCCCGCAGTAAACTGATATAGCAGCTGTTCGGCCTCGAGGGGGATATTTCTCGGTTTCTTCGGTGGCAAAACGCGACATCGATACAAAGAGGACGCGTCGGACATGGTGATGTTGAAGTTCACGACTAAGGATGGCGATCGGGATTAGCGCAACTGTGTGAGTAGCAGGAAGCGCGTATGGAGGCGGAGGAGAATTATACCATATCGCGAAGAGAGGGAGAACCACGCGCCGGTTGACGAGAAGTAGTCAAGAGGGCGAACTTGGGTATTGAACAAACAATACTTGCAGCTGGTCGAAGTTGAAGCTTGAAGTCGAAAGCAGTTAGAGAGCGGTGGCCTCAGGCAGAAACATAACAAACACTATACTTGGCTATACTTAGATAGTTATTTATTTATTGATAATGGAATAGTAGACATTAATTATAAATAGTCTGATACTGGTGACTTGATCCTCCTTCGATAGGCTGATCTTTGCCTTGTTTTATTCAAGTGTCGAGGTTATAGAGGTAGATAAAGGCTTCGGAAGTTCGGATGAAATAGGTGGAAGGCATATACTATTTAGTTCATACTACTATGATCTCCAGTATGCTTTTATTGAACTGAAAAGAAGCTCTCAATACCTAGCTAGGTATGTATTGCACATGTACTGTTATTAAACGTTCCTGCCATTCCGTGAAGTCTCTACCCTCTGTCCAACTTGAAAGACCCGGAACAGAATCATGAAATAGGCCGAGGCTTATATTGACCCTATCAAAGTATAAAGGATCACTACTTGTCAACAACACACAATTTCGTACAGGACGATCTCAAGTTCACTTGAAACTATATTCCAAAAAGACGTACCACACTGCAATATTCGAGTTACCTACATCAATGGTATAGTGAAGCCCTTTGGATACAAAATGCCCCGACTAGAAACACCATGGAATGACCTGGGTAGCCATGTTGAAGTGGGTCCCCCTCTTACTCGAAAGATAAACCCGAGTGATTGGAAAGTCCAGAGGAATTGGATATCGAATGGGCTCTAATGTCGAAGCGGAAGTACGGAGTTAAGGGTCCTCTGTGAGATTAGTCTTGCAAGTATAGCAAATGCAGTCTAATGTATTTTCCCCATAGTGATTCACTTTGGGAGTTGTAGTTTAACCAGTAAAATAGTAGATCACTGATTTGTCACTTCAATACTTAAAAAGTAAGTTTCCACACGCAATCTAGCGGAATATTGGCGGGATACGTACCACCGATGCTGCCTGTTGCCAAGTTGGGGGCCGAACATCTCAAGCCAGAGAGGTATAAATGACCTGGCATATCCTGTATCTATAACAATTTGACTTGACACAGAGAAGCCTCGAAGAATAATCTCATCCGTCGAACCTCATTGATCATCTCCTCATCCATCACCTCCAACCATGCCGGTTACGGAGATTGCCTTCCTCCATCTCAAGACCTCAATACCATCAACACCCCTCAAGGCTACTCTTCTCGAAGCACAACGGGAACAATCACTGTATTCAGGCCACCGAGTCAGTTTCCTGCGCTCGCTTGATGACCGGAGGGACTTCTTCCTGCTTGGTGGTTGGGAGTCGGTAGAGCTGCACTGTGGTGAATGGATAGCAACGGAGATTAATCAGCGGTTACTTGCGAAGCTGAAGGACGAAGTAGATATTGGGTACATGTTTCATTTGGATGTTGATGTGAGTTGATTGCATAAAGCTGGAATCGAAGTAAGACTAAGTCTTAGACTAATCTCCCTCCAGCCCTCTACTCCCATTCCGGTATCAGCACCAGTCATCGGGGTAGCCCGCTGCTTCGTTGAGAAAGAGAAGAAGGGGGACTTCGATCGTCTTTTTAAAGCTGGCTTGTCCGATTTGGAAAAGTTCACGCCGAACTATCCCTGCTTTGGGGGATGGAGAATTGACAAAGAGGGTGAGGATGAAGAGTTTGTCCTGTTGACTGGATGGAGTTCGGTGGAGCATCATGAAGAGTTTTACAAGTCTGAGTTATCGAAGGAGTTTGCGAAGACGAAATCGTTTATCAAGAAAACGGAGGTTAAGCATGTGCGACTAGAGGACTGGGCGTGAAGGGTAGTTGGGGTTCTCTTGAGCGTACTGAGAAATTGAATAACAACGCTTTTATAAACAGGCTATCTATGTGCCTTGACCAAAGTCGAGAATTACCATAAGTACATGGAAATTATTGATATCATCCCCTCTATACCGTCTCAATCCCCTTATCCAGCACTTGCTGCACAACATAATCCTCCATCTTTTCGAATCCTTCAACAGCCTTGCCATACTGTTCAAAGACACCCTTCTGGTAACCATCCGCAATCTTCTCAACGAACTGCTCCTCCTGCCACCGTTGGCCAATAAGGTTCTCGAAAGTCTGACCGGGCGCTCGTTCCATTCCCCAGACAGCCTTATACGCAGCACCAAGGGCACAGGCATTATCTCCAATATCCAACTTGTAAACACCTTCCACGCCGCCGAGAATCTCGCCCGCGATCTTGGCGATGGCTTCGTTCTTGGATCCACCTCCGACCAAGTACACTCGGCGTGGTTGGGCGGGGAGACCGTTCCCGGGACTGGAAGTTAGACCGCGGGAGCGCAGGCGGAGGGAAAGGAATTGACTCTCGACAATGGCGCGGGCTTCGTCGTGTGGGGCGGTCCATCCGGAGGTGGTTTCTTGTAGCTCCCCTGTCTCGGCGTTGTAAGTGAAGCGCCATTGGCCGGATGGGAGGTTCGGGACGATCTCCGGTCGCGGGAAGAAGAGACCCATTTTCATCGGGTCGGTTGAGCTCTTTTGTCCCAATGGCTTGCTCTCCAGAGCGATCTTGTCGAAATTGGCCCAGGGCTGGGTGGGGGTATCCTTGAGGGAATCATTAATCGCGTCTCGTACATATTCGCGGGCCAGACCGCCGTTTTTATAACACAGCATGAACATGTAGAGACCGGCTGTCGTGGGGTGGTTGAAGAAGTGGGTGGCGGGGTCGGGCATGTAGCTTGGGGTAGACATGAGGAAGGTTGTTGAGGTTCCGAGAGATACCATCGCGTCGGAAGGTCGGAGAGGGAGTGCGAGGATGGTGGCTGGGTTGTCGCCGGTAGCTGGGATCACTGTGCAGTCGGGGCTGAAGCCGTAGCGTTGTGTATAATATGGGTGAACAGAGCCCAGGTGTAGTCCTCCGTCCTCGGGCACCTCGCCCAGCTTTTGCTTCAGATCATTGAGTTCGAACTTGCCGGAGCACAGCTTGAGGATCTGTTCATCGTAGGAACCCTTCTTAATATTCCACAAGTTCATACCGCATACATCCGAGATGTCAAAAGGTGCAATGTGTCCGAGGAAGAGCGAGGCAATGAATGAGGACACCAGGGAGATTCGAGCTGTCTTGCTATAGACTTCGGGATGCTTCCTCGTGAAGCGGAGAATCTGGGGACCTGTGAATCGCTAGAAGAGGCAAATTCTATTAGCTTGGTTTTGGAATCAGTGCTATAGATCACGCGGTTCTCACATGGTGGGCCTTGCTTCCAGTCGCCTGGGCCAGTTGCTCTTGACCTCCAAGGGCAGCATCGAATTCGTCGCATTCTTTCTGGGTGCTCGAGTCCTGCCAGTTGGGACTGTAGGGATGAGAGAGGGCGGCGGGGAGTTGATCTTGAAGAGACTTGGAGGCATCCAGGTTGCGAAGGATATTCTCTGCTTCGTTGCCCCAGTAAACACTTCCATGCTGTTGACCTGCGCCGCTGATACCCTTGACCCGACTGAAGTCTAACCCTTGCTTGCGCAAACTGTCGAGGACGGTATCCATAGCCTGTAGCCACAAAGCAACAGGAGCAAAGACTTCATGTTCAGCTTCGTTTGTCATCACACCCTTCTTGATGGGGAAACCAGTGGAATCGGCATCGAAATCGAATTTGGCGATGTAGACGACTTTAAGATCGGAATTGACGACCAGGCCCTTGAGCTGCTGGGTTGACAGGTCGAACCCGATGTAGAGGGGGGATTGCGACATGTCGACTGGTATGGGAGCTCACAGTTGGACAATTGCAAATGGAGGAGACAGGGGGAGGTGTCAGAGTAAATGTAAGAGTAAGAATAAGTGTAAGAATGGGAGTGGGGAGTGATTTGAATAAAGGCAAGTCAATCGCGGGGGAAAGTTGAGTCGGGATGATGTCAAAAGGTCCACACCACTTCGGGTTGAACTTGCTCTTTTAGCCGCCAATGGGAGTCACGGGTGTCACTGCTCCGTACTAGTTTAGTTAGTTAACCACTCCGAACACTAGTTATTTTTACTATATCGTAGAGTAAGCGTGTTCTCTTCATATTGTGGATCCTTCTTATTTTTCCGTTTTAGGTTTGCTCTGTTCTAGCGGGGCATCGGAGTTCTGTCCGGCTAAATTGCTCTGCTAATTCTCGGTTGAATACTCTACTAGTTAACTCTACCCCACACAAGATATGGGTGGGGGGGGATGGGGAATGGGAACAAGGAAAAAATGATTAGTATATCACATTTGCTTATCATTGACCAGTACCTCAGCGGTATAAGTTGGAGCCTTACGCTCTTTTGCGATCCGTAGAACACAGCCACCAATATCAAGGAGCTTGAAACCGTAAAAAATGGCCCCGAGCACGATTGCACGAACAGCTAGGATACAGGGCGACGAAAATGAGAACGTTGAAACATGGCCACGGATCGAGTTCTTCGGTGAACTTGATCCTGTGTAGAGCTGAGCTTTTGGCTTGAGACCTTCCGAAATTGAGATTCGGGAGGGGTTGACGTAACAGGCTTTGGTACTCGGCTCAATCGCCGCCATTGCTTCGAAAAGGGTCTTTCGGGGTAGATAGAGAGAGAAATTGAGACGAGAGTTCAGCGAGCTTCCTTTGGGATGCCAGAGCGGGCAGGTATGAGACGGAAAACCCAGGGGAGAGACAGAGTTGTCTAGGTATTCCTTTGCCCTTCGCTTTGCCGCCCAATCTCGGAGTTTTCAGGCTGTGTAGAATCTTTGTATTCTTGAGATTCAATCGATTTATCTTTGTATAGATGTAAACGATCCTCGCCGTCAACCAATGTCCGTATCGTGGTTTCATCTTTTGTATAGCCGGACCTTTGGAATCCAATAGAAAGACGTAACTTCATGGCTCAATTGCTCGCCGATTTCCATTTCCAGTTCTGGGACCCTCCGCTTAGCCGATTTTTACCATGCTAAGTCTCATAGTTATACTTCTTCAAAGACCATCGTCGCCGACAAGAGCTACGGCTTTGTAGACAGGGATTCAAGGTATCCTGAACGCCCGGATAATTGGCCCTGGGCCTCGATCAGGTGCACGGCTCCATTGGTGTCGAAATAGGCTGGGAATAGGACGCGAGGTTGTCTGACTGGGACTGTCTTCGCGATATGATACACTTGGTCATTCGTCAAGCGGGTAAATGATAGCGGCGGCAAAGCTGGTTCCTATCCGTAATCTGCTTTTCCGTATCAAAGATTTTGGATCCAAATGGGCGGTTGGATTCAAACGAACATCTGGTCTGCAGCAGGCTGAAGGCTTGTTGCTGTAACTGGCTCCGAAAATGGAGGATCATTGATCGTGGGTTTATCATAACACTGGCTCCAACCCATATAGCCATACACCCGAAAACCAACAGGAGAATAATCGACTTGTGGACGATTTCTCCAACCCACGTAGAAGGTCTCGCAGTGTCAAACTACTTTCCCTGTTTTTCATGCTCACTGGAGGCAGTGCAGTCCATGTGGATGTAGCTCTCGTTTGCCATCTTGACCGGATAAGACTAGCGCTGGCAATGATAACCAGGATGATTGCCCCACCAAGGCGGAGGCTTCTGTTCCTTGTTGTCGGCATTGAAGGTCACCCAGCTTGGAGCAACAGTGTGATTCTCATGCACTACAAGTCAGGTCCATGTCTCCATGTGGCGTAACTGGCCGATGTTGCTGCGGCTCCAAGAGTTCATCGATCTGGAGAAGGGTTTCAACTTGGAATTGTCATGGCTCCATGGAGAATGAAAATTTATTGATTGTAGGGAGACTCTGGAGTGTTGGAATGAAAGTAAACAACTTGAAAGAATCTGCCAAATGAATCCCATTGGAAGGGGGAAGGTGCCGGTGGTGGGGGCTTTCGGAGCGAGGAAGGAACGACGGACGATATACACAGGCCCTACTAGTACTAACTACCTAGGTACTGATAAAATACCAATACTCGTTGTAGTACAGAGAGACACCAGTACAGAGGGAAAGATGTGTAGGATTGGAAGACTCGGACTATCCAATCGTAAACTTGGGACTTATATAGACATAGCAGCTTAGACTGGCTTTGCCTGTGCGAAATGAGGCTCTGGCCTTGCCCATAGTCTCAAATAGATTGGAGTGGCGTGCATAAATCACAGAAACGCCCGCTTATGCAAATTTTCATCGTAAGTACGAGGTATATACAACTTGAACATAGACAAATTACAGCGATAAACCATTGCTATCGCTTTTACTGCAGGAACCGACCCAGCGGACCGCCGACATTCTTCAAGTCCAAAAGGAATGTATCATGTCCAAACATCGAGACATCTTCGCCCAGCTCGATGTGCTCCACGGTTTTATTGCCGCCTGCGCGGAGGGTCTCGGCAATTTCACGCTGCTGCCACGCGGGGAAGAGGATATCACTGGCCACTCCCATCACGAGAACCTCGTGGTTCTTAAGGCCGGCCAGACCGGCGACGAGGTCCCGCGGGGGTCCATCAGGGCTGCCAGAGACAGCTTGGTCTGCGGGTGGGATAGAGGCGGTTACATCGGGCTGTTCCTCGTAGGGCTGGTCTGGGAGAGTGAGAGTGCAAGTGGGATCAGAGACTTTAGGTGAGATGCCTCCCTTGGCAATGCGGGATTCTGATTCAGCACGGCGGCGACGGGTCTCTGATTCATGAGCGTGACCGAGATCGAACAGGTCCATGGCCTTGGATACATAGAGAAGACTGTTCGGGTCAAACTCTAGGCACCACTTCTCGCCAGCATGGTCAAGGTAGGTCTCAATCAAGAAGTCTGGGCACAGTGCCGGTTGCTTGCTGGGATCGGCACGGTGGCGTCCGAATCGATTCTCCCACTCGGGACCACTGCGGTAGGTGACCGTTGCGATCTCTCGGGCAAGCTTCATGCCGGAGTGAGGAGGAATGGAATCGTAATAGAATCCACGTGCCCAGTTAGGATCCATCATAAGAACCTGGCGCTGGGTGTGTCGCATCGCGATGCTGTAAGGATGGCTGCGTGCACAACCGCTGATGCTGGCGATCTTCCCCACGCGCTCCGGGAAGAGGACGCCAGCAGCCAAGCTTTGCATACCTCCCATACTCGAGCCCACGGAGGCAGCGAGCTTCTCAATACCAAGCGCATCGAGCAAGCGGAATTGAGCGCGGACCATGTCATCCACGGTTAGGATCGGGAATCGTGTCGCATACCGTTCCCCGTCGGAGGGGTCGGTGGAAGAAGGTCCAGTAGACCCGAAGCAGCCACCGAGAACGTTGGTGCAGATGATATGGTACTTATCGGTATCGAGAGGTAGTCCAGGCCCAATGAACTTCTCCCACCATCCGGGGTTTGGGTTGGAGGGGGTGCTGTGAGCATGGCTCGAGGCGGACAAGCCAGTGTGTAGAAGGATCGCATTGCTCTTGTCGCTATTGAGTTCACCCCATGATTCGTATGCGATGTCGAATTCTGGCAGGACTCCACCCCAATCCAAGAGAATTGGCTTGTTGCTGTGAAATCGTTCATGTTCTCCGGCGGTGTATGAGGGTTCGGGACCGGATTCGAGCGAGCGAGCGGAGAGTAGTGCAGATCGTGCTTCTTGCGCATCGAGACAAGGGAAGGACATAGCCGGGTTAGACGAGTCCTTGGGCGCGGCATTAGTCGAGGAAAGGCGCGAGGAGCTGGTATATTTCAGCTGTGACTGCGACTGCGACTGCGACTGCGTCAACGGACGACGGGCTGCGGCGAGGATGGAGGAGTCGCTAGGTCGCCATTGTGGTACTCGCACAGAGCGAGATGCATTCCGGATAGCTCCGTGGAGCGAACGCATTGTGGGATATTGATATCGGGTGATATTCGAGAGGAGAATAACAATGGTAGAGGTACAACAGCAGTCGGAGGACGAGATGGTTATCAAGCAAGTGGCCGCCTATAAAATTAGGCTACAAAACAGCCCAAAGAGGGAAGCGGTGGCACTATCCAACATGGCGTCATTGATCTGGCTTCTGATTGGTCGGAGCTCCCCGTGACCTCCCCCGACTTCGGGTTCGCCTTTCCCGATTGGGAATTCTTATACTTCCCCGCCCACGGAGTACTTTGGTGTACTTCAACAATAGGACAGGGAATTCCGGTGCAGATTGCTCATTTGCGATTTGGATTCGGAATTTCACGATTGCTGAAACGTGAAGCAAAATGCCAGTGCGCAACCTCAGTGAAATACCGATTGTGATCATCATGATGATGTTCAAAAGAGAATTATGTATCTATTTTCATTCTTTCATTCTTTTCATTCTTTTCATTCATATCGATGTGTCTGAAACTATATGATTCGCTAAAATACATGTTCTACTACCTCCGTAGTGGCAGACCTCTAGTAGCTGCGAGGTAATTGGAGAACCTTCTCACTCACATAGTTGAGAATCATCTCCCGGCTGACTGGAGCGATCCGAGGCACGAAGCATTCACGCAGGTACCGCTCAACATCATACTCCATAGCATAACCCATACCACCATGCGCCAGCACAGCCCGCTCACAAGCTGTGAAAGCCGCTTCTGCTGCCAGATACTTGGCGCTGTTACAGGCAACACCGACAGAGTGGAAGGGCACCGAGCCGTCGTTGGTATCGTATAGGCGAGCAGCGTGGTAGGTCGCCAGCTTGGCGGCTTCCAGCTTCATGTAGGCATCGGCAAGGGGATGAGCCACACCTTGGTTCTGGCCAATGGGTCTGCCAAAGACAACTCGTTCTTGGGCGTACTGTGATGCCTTCTCTAGAGCAGCGTATCCCAGACCCAGAGCTTCACCAGCCAACAGGCATCGCTCGGCATTCATGCCATGAAGAATGATCTTGAATCCCTGATTTTCTTCACCGATGAGCGTGTCGGCGGGGATTTGGTAGTTGTCGAAGAAGACTTCATTGGCATCGACGGCGCGACCGCCCATTTTCTTGATCTTGCGCATGTCCAGACCCGGCTGGTCGCGGTTGAGATCGATACAGAAGAGGGAGAGACCTTCGCTGGACTTCTTCACTTCCTCCAGCGGAGTGGTTCGTGCAAGAAGGATCATCTTAGATGCGACCTGCGCGCAAGTAATCCAAATCTTTTGACCGGTGACGGAATACCCATCGGCGTTCTTGCTAGCCAGGGTCGATAACTTCAGAGTCTCAAGACCGGTGTTGGGCTCGGTGACACCAAAGCAGGTTCTCCAAGTGCCATTGATGATGTTGGGGATAGTTGTCTCCAACTGCTCCTTAGTTCCAAACTTGGCCAGTGGTTGAGTGGCATATACATTGGCGTGAATGGCCTGCGCTCCAGCCATTCCTGCGCCAGACTGGGTGATGGTTTGCATCATCATTGTAGCCTCAGAAATTCCTACAACGAATATCAGCATTTCAGGCCCTGGCTATTTCGATTATTTTCGCAGGAAATATACCTAATCCAGCTCCTCCGTGCGACTCGGGCAGGGCAATTCCAAGCCATCCATCCTTGGCCAAAGCGGCGTGGAATTCTTTGGGATCCTTTTCAAGTTGATCGCGTTCTTGCCAGTAAGTGTTGGGAAATTTGGAGCAAATGTGGGAGATGGCCTCGCGAACGGTCAATTGTTCCTCTGTGAAACCTGTCATTTCCATCAATTCACGACGAGCCGAGGTCGAAAAGGCCGAGCGCATTGGCAGACGATTCCGTACAGTGTTGGAGGCTTGCAGGGATGGCGAGGCTGCCGCCCATCCTGATCGGACTAATCTTTGCCATTGTGGACGAGACATGATGTATGAATATTGATGGTTGTTGTTTATTCGCCGGTCTGCATGCTCGTCTTAAATGATGTCGTCGAAATGCATGTAACCGAGCATATAGCCGACTCGGCTGTTCGGGCGCATGGCGCTTAATAAACGAGGCAGGGCGAGAGAGTCAAATAGAACAAGAAGAAGCAAACTGTCGATACTTGCTCTATCAATTTTATATTCTGATTTCCCGATTTTCGTAATATGAGGGGACTGCCACTTCTTCGTGGGGCGCATCCCTTGAGGGCGTCTCTTCGTCCCGCCAATTCTTCTCTTCTTCCTCTTCCACGTCAACATTTCCATTTGCAATACTCAACCACAACTTCAAGTGGTCACCGTGCGGCGCCTCTAGAGGGAGTTACAGTGGTTAGTTTGGAGCAGGCCATTGCTGCGCCATTCTGCACACGACAATTGGCCGATCTCGGCGCTCGTGTCATCAAAGTTGAGCGACCTGGAGTTGGTGATTTTGCCAGGCAATATGACACGCGAGTGAATGGAGAAGCCTCCCACTTCATCTGGACCAACCGATCTAAAGAGAGTTTGGCGCTCGATTTGAAGAACAAAAAAGACCATTCCACGTTGATGAAACTGTTGGAGAAGGCAGATGTGCTCGTCCAGAACTTGGCTCCCGGTGCTGCTGCGCGATTAGGTCTTTCTCACAAGTTACTCAAGGGCAAACATCCTTCACTGATTGTTTGCGATATCTCCGGGTACGGCCAAGATGGCCCGTATCGTGACAAGAAGGCATACGACCTTCTCATTCAGAGTGAGGCTGGTATGCTATCCGTGACTGGCACTGGCAAGGAGCCCGCCAAGGTGGGGATCTCCATTGCTGACATCGCCGCGGGAATGTACGCCTACACCAACATTCTTTCAGCCCTGATTCAGCGCGGCAAAGACGGTCAAGGCTGCAAAATTGATATATCCATGCTCGAGAGTATGATCGAGTGGATGGGCTTCCCTATGTACTACGCCTTTGAAGGTGCTGCTGGTCCAGTCCCCGCGGGTGCATCTCATGCCTCCATTTATCCATATGGTCCATTCGAGACAGGAGACGGGCAAACAGTCATGCTCGGTATACAGAACGAACGGGAGTGGGCCAACTTCTGTACCGAAGTTCTTTCCCAGCCCGAAATCGCGTCAGACGAGCGGTTCGCTAGTAACTCACTACGGACACAGAACCGCGATGCTCTCAGAGAAATTATCTGTGATAGCTTTTCAAAACTCACAGCAGAAGAAACTACCGAGCGACTTGATAAGGCTTCAATCGCTAACGCGAACGTCAATGACATGCAGGGTGTTTGGAATCATGCTCAACTCAAGGCCCGTGAGCGATGGACCCAAGTCCAAACACCAGCTGGTGTTGTCCCAACCCTTCTGCCGCCGGGATCAACCAATGCGGCTAACAAAGGAGGATTTGGTGCTCAGATCGCATCAGTTCCGAAGGTGGGGGAGCATAACCAAGCTATTTTGGCCGAGCTGGGGCTAGAATAATTGCCAATGTCAAGATTTCGTCCCGAAAAGGACATGCTACGAAACTGCCCAGGTGTACATACTACATACATAAATTTGATATACTATTCTACCATATACTACGAGTAATCCTGATGGCTGACCCAATGCCTTTACGGATATTGTGGAGAAACTTTGAAATATCGAGGTTGCAGCAAGCTCAAATTGAATAATCTTGGAAGACGACATATCAAAGATTCCTGTAAGCAGTTCAGATCGGCCTGTGACATCCGAAACTCAGTTTTCTAAGGCGGAGAAATTTGCGAGTGTGGTAACGTGGGCAATCTTGTCACTTGGTGTTAGGACAGATACGGTCCCCGTGATATCTAAAAGAGGTATATCGGTATATATGTTCTTCACTAGCCATGTTCTGAACTCGGTCGCAACAAGGGAGTCTACCCCATTTGAGCTGGTCGACTTGGTAACCTCAATGTTGTCCACCGGAGCTGCAAGCAACGAGGACAATTTGTTTCTTATGTCTTCTGAAATGGCAGCAACACCTTATTCTAGCGACTTGCTTGCTTGGATTAATTTCCGAACATCAAACACTCGATTATTCTGAGCAGTGGTGGGGAGACGGAGATGAGTGAACAATGGAAATTGCAGGAATGCGGGGACTGGAACGCCCTCGTCGAGGTACATGGCCTCCGAACTGAACCCGGCAGTGAACTGACAGGCCTGTTCAGCAATTCCGGAGCTACCTCGCGCTTGCATATGTAAAATGTAATCCAAAAGATAATGGATTTCATTTTCCTGCAGCTGTTCCAGTCCGGCTGTGGTGTGTCGTGCATATTCCGAACCCTCGGCTACAAACCCAATAGAATTGACGGCTCCAAGATCGAGACTTGTTGCAGGTAGCCCAATTGAAACAAGGTATTGGGCTGGTGCGTCCTGGAGGGTACCCCCTGTTGCATAGTTTGCTTGACTATTTACTCCCATGACCCCGTTGAGCGAAGAGAGCATGATGAAAAATCCAAGTTCTGCAGGCAAGATTTCATGAAGATTCCAAGATCCTTGGATTTTGGGTCTCAAGGCCGCCTGCCAGGCATCGTGTAACATCTTTCCAAACATCGAATCCTAGGTATTAACCATAGGCAGTAAGTTATAAACTCACAATTCCACATGATTTGTATATCTAAAAGCTGCAAACATACCTTCAGTACCATCGCACATTGAATACATCCTTTGATTGGCGGGCAGGAGTTGAGATGTAACAGGAATGCCTCTTCCAAGGAATTCTTGTTGGATATGTCGCAGGAAATCATGGTAGCCTCACAGCCGGATTCTTGGAGATCCTTGATCAACCCCAGATGTTCTCGCTTTCAGAATGGTCCGATCGGGACAAGAAAACAAGATGCTTCGCTCCATGGACAGCCATCCATCGTGCGATGCCCCAGCATATTCCATCCAGTCCTCCCGCCAGAATGTATGATGCGTCAGAATTAAATTGGTAAGATGGAAGTAGCTCCGAAACAATAGGAATGGGGTCGTCTTCTTCGGAACTCAGAATAACTTTCCCCATTCCACTCCCACTTTGCAATTGTCGAAGTGCTTTTTCGATTTGCGAGTATTTCATAACTGTTGTCGGTTGTGCTTCACGTATACTGCTTTGAATGAGGAGACGCATGGCGTCTTGGAGAAGCTTTCCAATTAAAGAAGGCTGGTGGGTCATCACAATTGGAATCTGAACACTCGCCGGTGTCATATTGTGCAAAAATGGTGTCAATTCCATGTGGCCGAAACCCTGGGTATCCTTTCTCCCCAACTCAATAAATCGTTTCAGAGGAGCGATGTATTCCCAAGATTTTTTCAATGCATCTCCTGATAGAGAATTAAGAATCACATCGACGCCTCCCCCGTCGGTGACTCTCATTAAGCCATAAGCGAATGTAATGTCTCTGCTGGAAAATATGTGAGTCTCGGGAATTCCATATTGAGAATAAGGAGCCTGACGCTTTTCGGGCGTGTAAACTGTGGCGTAGATCCTGGCTCCAAGATCGTTTCTCCCTCCGAGAGACGAGCGATCTCTTGAAGAGCATAAAGCACTGTTATCCAGACACAGGGTATTCCAGCAGCGATGCTGAAGTCCAAGTCTCCCGGCAGATGAACGGCGAATGCATCATATACTCGCCCATATGTCAAGAAACAGCCAGACCCAGGCCCACCAAGATAAAACAACTCGGTCACCGGGCTTAAATCTGCTCACTTTGCCACCTACTTGGCTCACAACGCCCGCAGCTTCACCACCAAAATCGCATGCAGCATATTCCCCCATTGCAATCATAACATCACAGAAGTTCAGGCCGATTGATTTGAGTTCGACCTTGATGAATGTTTCCGTTAGTGGCTCAGTATGTAAATCATCTGTGACCCATTCCAAAGTCTGCAAGAGACCAGGATCTGAGATGGAAAGTTTCACTGGTCGACCTGTTTTCCCGAACGGTATCAAAACAGGATCGGGGCTACTGATGCGAACGCACAAGAACCTATCATAGCCATCTGCCTTCAATAACCTGTTTGTATAGAATATGTCTTCGCGCAGCATGTACTCCAAGTTGGCTCTGTGACTCTGTGGATTACCGCAACTGGCCTGAGATAGAATCTGCTAGATTTTTTTCGGAGCGCATTTCATCGGCAAGAGCGAGGCTGACGAGGTTCACATTATCAGCCTCTCGCTCCAGTCTTACAGTCCGTAGACGACCATCGATTGCGTTCATTCGCGGCTCCTTGGCAGGATCTCCAGTCACCCAGACAAGGGTTTTGCAGGTGGAAAGGAGGGATCTCAAATCGAAGTACTGATACTCTTGGACATCTGCGATGAGTGGCTGTTAGATCTCAAGGAGGGCAATATAAGTTGTTTCAGGGTATAATGGCTCCCCAAAAGTGACAGAAGATGACTCGAATCCTTGATTCTCAAACACGCCTTGTAAAGTGAAAAGCAGCTCGGAGTGTGGAAAACCAGGCGTCACAATGGACTTGATGATGTTTTTCGTATCCTTCGGCTCTTCCATAGCAGTGGCAACTAGGATACTCTGCAAAGTCAAAACAGGCTGGGGGAAACTGGGAAATTCAATATCGACTCCTGAAAATTCCGAGTCTTGCAAAGCACTGCTCCATTCAGAAGCTAACATCATGGGCCCCAATTTGCGATTTTTCACAACACTTAGCCACCAGCCAGGAAACTGACCAAAGGCTCAAGGAGTATGCGGGAGCGGAGTGATGGGTGGAATTACCACATGATACTAGTGTAATATCGCTTCGATTAAGCTAGTAGTTCTACAGAATTTACTACGTTTACCCTCAAGCAAATTTAGCTCGATCTAAGGTTTATCAGAAACTGCTAAGAAGGTACCGTACCTAAGGCTGTGCCTACCCGGTTTACATGCCAGCCATCGCAGCGTTTGCTCACTGGCAGGGCACATGACCCGCTGAGTCAAGCTATTCCCGGGCTTAATATAGATAATTTTCAGGCAGTTTAATACTCACTATACTCTACTTATTCTCTCCTTCCAAACTTCGGTATCTGACCTCTCAGCAGAAACTATTGAGTTGCTGACTTCGTGGAAATTTACCGAATAGAACTGGACTGTCTTGGCAAATTCGAGTGGACTTAAGACAGGCTTGGCAGCACCCGCGGGGGGCCGACAATTTTTTTTCATCTGCTTATTTCTTTTTCCCGCATATGTGTCGATATAAAGCTCTTGCAACCAAACAGTGACAAGCGACAACTACAGCCAACGCACACAAATATGAATGAGCTTCAGATCAAACTTCTTAGTTTTCCTGATTGGGGATATGTTATCTATCGCACTACCTACACTGCTGAATCCAACACTACTTTCCCTCACGCTATAAGATATATCGAGGCGTGTGTAAAAGACGAGCTCTTCTATCCAGGCCCACAAAAGGCTCAACCAGGATACGATAATACTAGCCTTCGCCAAGTCTGGTCTAAATACCAGTCAACAATTATTGAAGATCCGACACAATTTGATGGAGTTTCTCTTGAGACAGTTCGCGCTCATTTTGAGACCTGGGTCGATAGCCAAGGAAAACGGGATAGGTTCAACAAATATCGAGTGTGTCTAATTGTTGACGAAGAAAGTCTCCAAACACTGAAAAATGCACCGGTGGAAAATGTTGGAGATGATGATGAAGAATTGCGAATTGTCATCGCTTTGGAGGCGTTTCCGATTATGGACTCGTTAGATACCTTCCCTGGATGGATGAAATGCTGGACACATGCACTGTGGTTTCTTTGGGAGAATATGGGAGATGGTGATGAAATGAGACGGTTATACGATAGTATCGATGACTCTCCCACTGAGGGCGTTTTTTGCGGATGATCGATTATGTCATAATGCTTTGTATCATAATTGCATTGGATACTACTAAGTACCTACCTAGATCACACGTGGTAGTAGGCTTCTTCGAATACACTACAGATTACTAGTATATGATTGGCTTGGTGTTAGTCCATTCTCGGCCTTACATTTTAGGCATTATACTGACTTAGCTACGTACCTAAAGCGGTTAGCGTTTATCTTTACTCTACTCAGAGTCAGCTTAGTTGCTTGCTTGAGCGAGGAAGGGTAATCGTGAAACAGTATGTAGAATGTGTGTATATGATGATATTGTTCTCGGAGGCTAAGTTTTTTTTAATTACTTCTTTAATTTAAATCTATCCTAAATTAATATTAAAAATAGGGTAAGTTAGGTCTATATACTTAGAGTAGGGTTTATTAGATTTAGAAGTAGAGTTTCAGTAGGTAGAGGAGAGTATTCTTAGTCTTAGATAGTTAAAAGAGAAGAATTAGAATTATAATAATAATCTAAGAAATAGGCTAAAGACTTATAACTAGGTAAGACTTTAGATAGTAATCGAAGAATAGGAAAATTAACTAATAGTATATATAAATAGTAACAGAGACTAATTCTTAAAGAAACTTTAAGAATAAAGGAAACACTATATTAAGTTATTTAACCTAGCTATCACATAAATCAGGCATAAATCGGTATCGAATCGGGCACGAACCCCTAGCGTAGCTAAGACAAGATCGGGTCACTACAGGGAATACAAAGAGAGTTAGTTACTTCTCACCGAAGCTCACCCTCTTTGACACAAGCCCCGTGATAACAAGGTTCTTTAGTTTGTAACTTCGAGCCGCTACTCTTAGACTTCGTAGAATAATCACAGACTATCTTAGCGTATCGATCGGATTCGGTTCGGGGTTTTAATTAGATAGAACAGTCCTAAGTAGCTGAAGCGTTGCGTAAGCAAAGCAAGCGCGCGTCTGTACAACCTCAGGTATTCAGGGAAAATGGGAATGAGAATGAAAATGGGGTGAGCTTAATACTATGTAAGGACTCAGATGCTCAGAAGGATAGCTGTAGTATTGAACGAAGGTATTAAGCTGAGAGAGAGAGAAGAGAGGAAGGAGAGAAGCTCCCATCGTAACTATCTACATGAGCGGCTGCCTGAGTCACGTACTTAGTCACGTGCCTCGGGCACCGAGGGCTTCGATCGTTACAATATAAGTGGATTGCACAACCGCGACATTGCCATGAATCTCAAAAATAATAACATTAAGTTTGCTAAAAACTTAGATGGGGAGCTATTTTGATGCTAGCAGTAGACTGTGGCACAGTTTTGGATTTGGTCTTGAGATGCTAACCAAAACCGAATCGATTTGGTGTGCAGTCTTGAGATTCTAACCAAAATCTAACCGCAATCTACTCGGCGGAATACCATGGACAGATAGATATTCGATATAAATATGTAAAAGTATTTAACATAGAGTCGGCAATTTGTTCGAATAAAAAGTAAAATCACTCATTGCTCCCTGAAGGAAGCCGTTTTTTGTCCTAAATGGATAGAACAGTGTGTGCCCTTCTCTGCAATCGTAGACCCCAAGTGCAATTCTACTCAGATTCCCTCAAAGATAATATCAGCGGATTCAGATTGCAAAAGAGGTTATCCGGGTCAAACTTTCTTTTAATGGAAAGTAGTCGATCGGCATTGACACCAAACATTTCTTTAGGCGTCTTACCGTCATCTAAATGACCAGATTAGCATACATTTACGCAATTCTGTCGACTTTTTATAAAAATTACCTTTCGTATATCCAACGAAGTTCGACACGAATGATGGATATTCGTTTTTTGTTCTCTCCATTTCATCCACGCACATCATTTGAATAGTCTCGCCCCAGGAAATGTATTCAGAATCGTTGGCGGAATTTTTCCACTGCAGAATCAATGCTCCGTTCAAACAGTCATCACGTCTAGGGAATGCGGTGTCTGTCACAGAGGTCTTGCAAATTCGCGTAGGATCGAAGAAATCAAGCTCGAGACAACTTTGACGTAGATCAGGTTCATTTTTTAATTTCGTTGTAATGGCCTCTAAGAGCGAGGAGGCAAACTCAGCTCTGAGTGGTGTAGACAACTGGACCCCTAGCAATTTTTTTGGACCTCCGGGAGGCACCAACGCGTTAAGTAGCGTATTTGCTTCCAAGTAAGGCTTCGCCTGCATACTTTCTTCGATGCAAGCTATGCTGAGCAGCATCTGGAAATGGTGCCTGCCTTCTTTTTCGGAACCGTTGAAGAATAATACAGTTGTGATGAGAGGTTCTTGATTATCAGGTGACAGTGAGAAAACGCATTGTGCTGCAGCTTTTCCATCCACATGGAAAAGAGCAGAATTGAGGGCCTGAACAACTTCTACAAGTTGATTTGGATGGTAAGTTATGGTACCATTCCACACCTCGTTATGTTGCGAATATCCTTGGAATACAAATTCGACCACGATGGCAAAGTTTTGACCAGCTCCGCGAAGAGCCCAGAAGAGGTCTGGATTTTCTGTCGCGGAAACATTCAGTATAGATCCATCGGATGTGATTACTTTCGCTTTAAGAAGATTGTCGGTTGCAAGTCCATACTGCGGAGTAAGATACCCATACCCCCCCGAAGCGTAAGCCCTCCTACTCCAGTTTGGCTGACTGTTCCTCCAACTACAGCTAGATCATGTATAGCAGCTGCCTCGTTTGCATCATTCCACAATGCCCCTCCCTCTACAGCCAACGTCTTTGTTTCAGGGAACACGGTCACTCGGTTGAGGCGGCAGAGATCAAGTAAAATACCCCCGTCAGTCGACGCGGAGGTGTCTGTTGAATGACCGCCACCTTTGACGGCAAAGTCGATTTGGTTTTTCTTTACGAAAATCACAGTTCTTGCTATGTGATCTGCCGTCTCTGGTATGATAACCACTCCCTTGCACAAGAATTAGCAACCACAAGCGAGGGTACTCCAAAGAAAGTCTGAAAATACCGGTGTTTGATTTCCAACACTGGACCACCTCTTGGTGCTCGTGCTAAATTCACAAGAGCCCTGTTTAAAAACGTTTGATCCGAGCTGCAGTTCTAGCTCCTGGATCTGAGCGAAAGAGATCTTTGACTGCATTTTTTCAGTTAAGTAGAAAAATTGTTTTGCGCAGCTTCTACTGAAACTCAAGGATTAATGATTGTGCCTGTTCGTACTCCGAAGTACATCGTCCTGAAGCTATATAAACATATTGATGTGTATGGCTGAGTTATACAATAACTTGGTGCACTCCGAGTCTGGGACCAATCCCATGACAGAGACTGTGTAATCCCTACAACTTCAAGTTGGAAGGTTCCAAGTTTCATACAAGGTTGTATGAACGCAATAGGCCGCTTTGAGCTCAATCGACAACAAGAAACGCCTACTATCAGGTTCAATTTTTAACTCGGTTACGTGTTTATGATGCTATAAACGTCATTTAAATTGTATTGATGACCTCTCGCAGCCAAAATAGAAATAATAAAATGCTTGATATGGCTGTAATGGGTCACCTGTCGCTACGACTTTGTACTTGAACGCATCATTACACCGTAGAATCAGAAAAGACCTGTCCGCGCTCCCTTGCAGAAAGGCAATATGCCTGTACACCGTAGCATCAGAAAAGGCCCGTCCGCGCTCCCTTGCAGAGAGGCAATATGCCTGTGTATTGTAATGTTGGTCTCTATATACTATGTGCATGGGACGGTGAGAAGCACTGTTGATTCTTGGCTGCGTATCTTTAGGGGGCGGTGTGTGGTGTATGTACTATGTAGGTGAGACTCGGACAGCGTTGACAGCAAGTATGCCTCGTCACGTGCGGGTTTGACACGGCAGGACTGCGCTTTGACTCGTCAGATTTAATTTGATTGATTCTTCATGCGCTTCGCGGCCTAGTGTACGGCTGCATGCAGCAAGTATATGTATACTGAATTAAGCTGCACGCATATCCAGCTTGCCGACGATTTGCAACCAAGTTGCCGGGACCACGTTTTGACCCTTGGCACCCACAGAATGCATCAAAGCGTGATTTTCCTAGCAATGGTAATTTTGTTGGAGATGGAGAGCAAATAGGAGATATAATCAAGTCTGGAGTAATATTTGCCACTTACACATAACTCATATTGGCACTTGACAAATTACTTAATCATCTACTATTTCAGGCAATTTGGTGTACTTTCCGCGATATCTATGTAATAGAGAACTATCCCAGTTCGTACCGACATTTGGTAACCAGTTTACTAAATTCCTTAACTAGTTAGATCATGTATTAATATTCATAAATTAGGTGGAAAATACGATTTATCAAAAGGCAACCGAAAATATCTATATTCTGACAAAAGAAGCTGGCTGCCTTTGATCAGCAATTTGCAGCCCAAAGAAACCTTATATCAATGCACTTACCTTTCATCATTTCATCATTTTCTGCATGTTTCCTTGTTTTACGTGATATCCAAAACCCTGTTATGCACAGTCTCCGTTGAGTAGCAATGCGTCGAGGCAAGTTATTTTCCCTTTTTGCTTTTGACTGCGAAACCCTAAAAACCCTAAAGCTATTATAGTCCCCAAAGGTGCTAAACTTTCCCTTGCATTCGACTGTCGAAATAGTCTCTTCTGACAAAAGAAATGGCTTTATGGCAATTGAGAGAATTTCTATATTCATATTTAGGCCTTCTTTATTGTAATTACAGATTTGGAAATATCTTAAAATTCTAGAAAATCGGTAATGTAAAAATCAAAATTTGCGTGTTCGTTCAACTTCAGGGCTTAAAACTCTCAGTAACCTCATAATTTCACCTCCAGACTCAGTTTGACATGGAAATAATACAATTTAAAGACTAAAGTCACCTCTGTTTATCCAATAATCCACAAATCTCCGTAAGAGGTCTGCATCAAGTGTCTTATACCTGATGTCGGGGCGGTCGCTCAAGGCCCGAGTAGTATTTTTTGCATCGTAGATAGGATTGTACGTGCCGGTTTGAATGCGACTATTATTTCCCAGGACCGATTCCTGTAGAAGTGGCACCATAGACTCCAAAGGATTTCCTGGGGAAGACTTTATCTTCTCGACCCAGTCATTGTAAGGTACTTGCTCCACCGAGAACCCAGCCTCATTGATAATTTCGCATGTTCGTTCCATGCTTACCGACTGTGTAGGGTCTGTCGAAACCAAATGGTAAGATCGGCCTAGGTTATCCATCTTGGATGCTATGTGCAGTATGGCAGAACATACATAGTCCACTGTGACCCACTCCAGGCGCTGGCTAGGGAGATATGGAAAGTTTCCACATCGAATGCAACCCACAATCATGCGAGCAAAGAAATCGTCAGGATTGCCGATAGCTCGAGAGCGATCCCCAATGATAAACCCTGGCCGATGAATGACAACTGGAAGCCCACGCGCCCTGGATCTTTGAATCATCTCTTCCACTACCCACTGACTTTGAGAATAACCCATGTCGTAAGGCAATGATCCAGCGTGTCTTGATAGTGGTTCATCTTCAAAAACGCGTTCAGTCTTGTTGATGAAGCCAGTGACGTTCCACACATCAATAGATGAGACGTACTGGAGGGACTTTCGTCGACCCTGTACCGCAAGTCGTATTATGTTCTTTGTTCCGATGACGTTGGGCTCATAATGGGCTTCGTATGGTTCACACCAATTGACACGAGCCCCAACATGAAACACAACACTTGCCCAATTAGCGAGCCAGTAGAAATTGTCCCTTCCAATTCCCAGATCATCATCTGCAAGCTCGCCATCGAGAACAATGACCTTCTCCATCATTTCTGAACAATTTTCCCACAATTCATACTTTTCGAGAGTCTGTCGAATACGGTCCTTCGCAGTCATGCTCCCACGATGTCTGGCAAGGCAAGCAACTTGTTTCACACAGGGCATCGCCAAAAGGGAACTCAACAAGTAAGCACCCAGGAAACCAGTTGCTCCAGTCAGAAAAATACGACCCTCCCCTTCCGATATCCAATCAGCAGGAGCTGCAATCTCGTCAGCCAAATGGGAATCACGCTCCCACTTCAGCACCTGCGAGTGAGAATCGGGAGTCTCGAGGAGAAACATTGAGTAAAGCTGGAAGGTTCTTGAGTAAAGGTTTTTCATGGAGTTGAGCCATTGTTATCGAAACACCCGTGTGGTGCAAGATTTCTCCAAGGAACCGAGCAGCCTGGAGGGAACTCAACCCAAGAGAGAACACATTGTCGTCGGGACGGATATGCGAGACACCAAGATAGCTTTTGATTTTTGATTGCAACCATTTTACGTTATCTCCACCGGTTGGTTCGGTCTGGGATTCTTCGCTAGAACGTGTCTCCACGTTGTGATTTTGAGTCTGCCCTCCCTCTGCCAATGCCTTTCGATCAACTTTGCCAGCCGGCGTAAGGGGAAATTCCTTCCGGATATCGATAGTATCAGGAATCATATAGGGCGGGAGTTGCTCTTTGGCCCATTGAATGATTTGGTTCTTTTCGCATCCACGACTGGCATCCTCAGGAATCACGTATGCAGTCAAAAGATCAGAAGTCTCAGACGTGCTTTGGATGACGGTGCATGAGAAAACCTGTGGGTGTTTCTCTAGGGTACTTTCAATATCCCCGAGCTCAATTCGATTTCCATCTCGTTTGATCTGATTGTCTGTTCGGCCAATATAATCCAGAAGGCCGGTGGAATCTCTCCACTGGCCAAGGTCACCTGTTCGATAAACACGAAATGATTCACCAGGTTCCCCGCCCAGGTCGCCGCTATCTAAGTAGATGAATTTTTCGTTTGACTCATCAGGCATATTTAAATAGCCACTTGAAAGCTGAGGCCCGGAGACACATATTTCTCCTAGCTCTTTTATGGCGGTGACAGGCTTCATTTCTTCGTCCAAAAGATGTATTTTGGTGTGTCCAACTGGCCTGCCAATGCTAATATCATCAAATTCACACTCCTCCAAATCAATGAGATGAATCGTGACATAGATGGTCGCTTCTGTGGGTCCGTATATATTCCACAAATGCTCTGGCGAACCCCCTTCAAGGACTTTCTTTACAGCCGCGGCATTCGCTCGCTCGCCCCCTAGAAAAACGTTTCGCTGGCCCGAAAACGTGTCTGGCATGACATGTGCAATAACATTGAAAATAGCAGCCGGAACGACCATCGCTGTTACTTTATTCTTGTCCAGGAAACCTTTGAGGGCGAGTGGGTCGGTAGCAATGAGTTTGGGAACTTTTACCACTGCGGCCCCGCGAAGAAGAGGCATCCAAACTTCTAGGAGCGATAGGTCAAATCCAGGGTTAATGAATGCGGTCATTCGATCTGTGTCATTGAGAGTCGGTCCAGGAAAGTAGTTGATTGCATGGAGAATACTAGCGGCGCGAATCTCGATCGGCTTTGGCTTCCCTGTTGACCCAGACGTGAAAAGAATATGGCTGCGATGTCCTTCTGGACACCCAGCCTGCACGTGTATTTCTTTACACTTCCCTATATTGCCCTCCTGCTCCAGGATTTCTTCCACGGTCAGGACCTTGGAATCCGTAAATTGCTTGGCGAGGTCTCGATTAGTGACCACAAGATGAAGGTCAATATCACGAAGCATATCCGAGACACGCTTTGCGGGCATGTCCGGATGAATAGGCACGACGGTTCCTCCAGCTCGCAAGATGGCGACTTGTGAAATACTCTGCTGTATTCCCGGATGAAGGAAAACACAAACAGGCTCTTCATTTGCGAAATCCTGCGCTTTAAGAGCCTGGACTAGGAGATCCGCTTTTTTGATAAGGTTTTCGTAGCTGATTTCACGATCATCTTCAATCACAGCGATTGACTGAGGAGCCTCATTGGCAACTTGCACTAGGATACTCTCCATTTTGTAAGAAAGGAGGTAGTTTATAATACTAAAGTATTTGAGGTAAAAAGAGTTTTGATAATATCGAGCTCAATAGTAATAGATTGATATCTTTCGTTGTAGAGAACTTGGATGATATTGATGATTGTTATTTATATTCGAACATATTATTATGAGCCAAGCTCTATAAATCTGGTATTTCGTACGTTTTCTACTTCATACTACGCACTGTATTCTTCTGTGCATGATTTTGAGGGATATGCCGTCATTTCGCAGCCCCAAGCGTCTGTAGAACATCATATTGCCATCGCTACCTTGGAAGGCAAAAACTTTTCCTTGAGAAAGAAATACTTGATCCATCAACAAGACGACGCGTAATCTTGTATTACATCAGGTTCAGCAAGAAGAGTAGTGCTTGCACACCGCTCTTCCTAGAATCGATCTGAGAGCTCGTGGGAAGCACTCAATAGCGTGGCGATTACCAGTTAGAGAATGCAATGCATTAGCCTTAACATATTGCATCCTCTAACTGGGAGGAGAACCTTGAATCAGCACACCCACATGCCATTACATTTCGTGCTTTAAATTTCTGTGTCACTTTCGGGTACAATATCCCGGGGATATTGTACCCGGAAAACTTGCAGGAAGTGCGAGGCTTCTAGGTACGACTTCTAGCAGGATATCCATCCACGGGTGTAACATTCACTTATCAAGATGGTATAAATAGACTCTTTCCAAGGTTAGGTAATTATATTTCCAAGATACTATTCGTTTTAAGTCCCAATAGAGATGCATTCCTAGAATTGCTAACTAAATTGCGTGAATGATATTGCGATCCCCAAGCTGTCTTATCACCTTCTACCTTCAACGTCGATCATACCCTCGACCTGTTTCTAATCCTTTACCGGAATCCAGGTGGATTCTTCCTTGAGAGGTTGACGTAGGATAAAGCTTTGCTCTTCGTACTTGGTAGTAAGGGATGAGCCAGAAGGTTCGAAGTTCAACGTCGATCATATCCTCGACCTGTTTCTAGTCCTTTATCGGCCTATGAAGCCACCTATTATTACTTCTAGTTTCTTGAAAATGTCATCATGATGATTTTTAGGGTTCTATTTACCCTGAAAATTTCTCAGAATCAAGGATTTCTCGTTTAGATTTCCTGAACAGTACCTCAATTCATGCTTCGGTATTATGATACAACCTCACATCGGATGGTAGCCGGTAACTGGTAACCGGAGAAATGACTCTACATACTAGGACTTTACCTAATGTGAATATTATGACGCGTTTTTATTTACGATGATGCATCACTAAAAGCTTATGAATAATGAAAACATCCTCATTCGCGTTATAAAAGGCGTTCTGGATTACCATCAGGACGGGCAAGGTATTCAGGATTAAAGCTTTGCTCTGAATATAACTTCGTCTTTCAGAAGTGATTGTACGTTTCACAAATACTCTTTCCATCTGCCGTGCATTTATACATTTTGATACTGATTATACTGATTAAACTAGATTCATTCTTCTAAAACAGTTTTCTCTACATAAGCCATTGCTTCCCATTTATCCTTTACAGCTACGCAACCCAAAAATGCACCAAGGACAACTTCTTTCTCAGCGTCTGCTGGCCAGCATGAGGAACCTGAAACAGAGCAAGGGGAATATTATTTCTCCACCCAAACCGAGCCAATTCGAGGGAATGGTTGATTTTGGGTCTAACGACACGCTTTCTCTCACAACTTCTGGAGCTCTAACAGAAGCCTTCTTGAGCGAACTGAAGAAAAACCCCGGTTTCAAGGTTGGGAGCACGTCCAGCCGTATCTTTGAAGGCGGGAGTAAATATTTGGATGATCTAGAGAAAGACCTGGCTCAGATTCATAGGGCTGAATCAGCCCTATTTTTCGGCTCTGGATTCGACGCCAATGTTGCGCTTTGGTCGACAATTCCACGGGAAGGAGACTTCATACTCCACGACAAGTACGTGCACGCAAGCATTCACGATGGTATGCGACGAGGGAAAGCAACTACATATTCGTTTCCCCATAACGACTGTTATGGCTTTCGCCGCCGCCTCCAAAGCTTGGTCGATGAACATCAAGACGTGGCTGAAGGCAAGGTATTTGTTTTTGTGGCTCTGGAGTCTTGGTATAGCATGGATGGCGATGCTGCTCCGGTTGAAGAACTTCTTAGCATTGCCAAGGGAGTACTCCCTCACCAAAATGCCGTTTTTGTGATTGATGAAGCGCATTCCAGCGGCCTCCTGGGTCCAAGAGGAGCTGGATTTGTGACACAGCTGGGGCTCGAAGAAGACTTTCATATCCGTGTACACACCTGTGGCAAAGCTCTGAGTTCCACAGGAGGTAACTCAGCCTTTCCCCAGACCTTCATTTTCATTGTATCTGACTTTCTGCATAGCGGTCATATTGGCCAGCTCGGTTGTTAGATCAGCCCTCCTCAGCTACGCACGGAACTTGATATTCTCTACAGCTCCTTCATTTGTGACATTGGCAGCTGTAAGAGCAGGATATAACCTGATTACAAGTGAAGAAGGCGAAAAGGTGCGTGCTTCCATTTCCCATTGCCACATATTTTATCTAATGAAAATCAAAGCGTCGCCAACAGCTCCAGAAAAACATCCGTCTATTTTATGATAACCTAGTAGGTGATTCTGAATGGGCAAAAATCAAGCGTGAGGAAATTATTACTCTGCCCACGGAGAGAACCCAAAAGCATAAGGCCGTCCAGTCACCAATTATAGCCCTTGTGACACTGCCAGGCAAGGCGAATGACCTGGCAGAATATGTCCGACAAGCTAAATTCTGGATCAACGTCGCGCAGCATCCAATTGTGCCCAAAGCACTGGAGCGGGTCAGAATCTGCATACACGCTCACAACTCAGTTAAAGAGATCAAAGGCTTGACACGAAAAATCCTGGAGTGGGCTAAGTCTCAGCATCAGCATCAGCCGCCTTCGAGCCTCTCGTGGAGCCAGCAAAGGTCAAAACAGGCTGTTACATTGGTCGGTGCAGGAACTCAGGGTACTCGACTAGCTTATATGGTTTGTCCCTTTGCTCATTGATGTTTCTTCAACAGCAACTGATATAGGTTTCTCTTCAGTGGTCAAAGCTTGGAACAACCGTCTATCTACTCGATGAGAAATCGGACAAACCAAAAAAAGCGCTCAATGATGTCGTCGAGCTTCGATTTAAAAGTTTGTCATCGGAGAAGTGGGGAACTATACTAACTGGCTCCTTTGACATGATTAAGACGGCTTTAGAGTCTTCGTGGTTGGTCATTGAAGTAGGAACTTGTGTATTCCCTACATTGAGTGCTGCTAACTTTTTAAGTGTGTTCCTGAAAATCTCGAGAAGAAGCGAGCGGTACTGCAAGAGCTCGATAGCCATGCAAGCCTCGAAACCATTATAACCTCTAACTCAAGTAGCTTCACCATCGCCGATATACTAAATGACTCGGAAATTGTTGACAGAGGTCGGTTTGCTAATCTTCATTCATGTAAGTTATGAGAACCATCACATAGAATCCACTGCATAATTCCGTTTATTAACAGGGGCCGTTTAATAGACTGGCCTCCAGAAACAAGAGGTTGGTGCTTAATGAGAAATCAAATTGTTCATCACTAAAATTCAGCAGTGGTCGAGATTATGGGATCGGAAAACACTCATCCTGAGATAATAACCAAGCTCATTCAGGAAACGAGAGCCCACGGCTTCGACCCTTTTCATGTTCGTCACCAATCTACTGGGTTTATTTTCAACAGGTTAGTATCGATTTTAGCGCCAAATAAATCGTTTGCAATCATGCAGAGCTAATCAGAAATCAGAATCTGGGCAGCAATCAAGCGCGAATCACTTGCTGTATTGCAGGAAGATGTGGCTTCTGTTGAGGAAATTGATTCCATTTACAAAGCAATAACCGGATGTCGTAAAGGACCCTTCGAGCAAATGGATATTGCCGGGTTGGACGTCATATATGATGTTGAAGATCACTATACGGCCGTTAAAACACAGCTACCGGTGGGTCCTAGAGATCTTCTTCACCGCATGGTCTTATCTGGAAAACTTGGGGTGAAATCCCGCAGCGGATTTTATAGTTACGAAGAAGAGAAGCAAGATCCGCAGTAGGCAACCTGCTCTATGATGCCTCTGGCGGAACTTCACTCCGGCCCTCTCAGGTTATTCAAGGAGTCGATAAGCCACTCTTATACATACAGTACACACATCAATATTGGTTTCCATGATTTTCAAAGCGGTCCTCTTCGTACATTTATTTCTATTTACTCTACTTCAGAATCTTCAGCAAAGCAAAGAGAATTGAATGATGGCTAGAGATCGGAACTCGAGATCCAACAGGAACATTAATTTTCTCGACTGATGAATCCCCGTTTTGACTATTTCGCATTTATATTTATTATATTGACAATCTGTTAATGCATGAAGAATCAAAATATAAAATTTACCTTATGATAACTTGAGAGCCACGAGAGACTTTGCGAGATATAAAAGGTCTACTTGAAGAGGTACTTGGGACTCAGGGATACTATATAAACAACATACATATTCGGGATAGACTCGGAGTTATGGTGTCGTAACACACCGCATCGGCATGATACAGACTCTCGAGAGCGTTCAACAGCTCTCATTCACCTTCAATCGATCATCTGATTATATTGGACATGTTCAGTACTAGCCAGTATCTCAATTCCTCATCCTGACAGTCATAACTAGGCCTAGACTGCGGCACTAACCGCAAAGACCGCGGTTAACCTAAAACCTAACCAAAACCGCAAAATTTTTCCGGTTTGGTCTTGGTCTTCAAATGAAAACCGCTGCAGTTTTGCGGTAAACCGTGGTCTTGTAAACTATATAAACATGCTTAGCCTCGTGACCTGCTGGGTAGATAGATTTTTATATAGTTTTTTTGATAATTTTGTTGTTTTAGTTATATATAAGAGCTCTGACTAATTTTTAGACGAAGAGTTATCTCTAGGATATACGGAATACAGAAACTACAGAATAAAGAAATTAGATAGAAGAACAAATTAAGAAATATAATCTAATAATATTTAAGCTATAAAGGTGCTAGTTGGAACCCCTCTGGTATTTTAGACTTCTTATAAATCTGTATTACTTGCTGTGTATCTTTATATTCTATTTAATTATCCTATAAGCTAGTACTTCTAGAATATGTTTATTTTTGTGTCTCTTCTGATAGTTTCTATCTATCTTTCTCCTCCTTCTTCTTCTCCTTTCTTTTTCTCCTTCTCTCCTTTCTTCTCTTTAATATTACTAATTAGATCTCATACTAGAAGAGGGGTTATTAATCCTCTATTTTAGTTAATTATTACTGTCTTACCTTCTAGTATAACCTTTTTTATAAAGTTAATCTCTCTCTTTTTAACCTTAAACTTTATAGTATATAATTATAGTATTAACTCCTTGATAGTATTATTATTATGGTAACCCTATCTATAGTAATAAGTATCTTAAGTATAGTTAAAAAGATACTTAATATCTATACTACTTATAGGATTTAAAAGAATATCCTAGACTAGTATAGTTAGTACTAGAAACTTTTTTTAATATTTCTTCTAGAATAAATAGGACTATTATAAAATAAGACCTAGATAAAATTAATATCTAAGATAGGTAGATAGATAATTAGACTTATCATTTATAAGATATTAAACTAGTTTATTATTATTCTCCTTCTCTACTAGTATTTCTACTATATAAAATAAAGTCTATAAGTTATATAGTATCTTAATTTTCTTAATACTCTTAGAGTTCTACTAGATATTAGAGGATAATTCTTTAGCTTAATCTGTGAGTCCTACAAGCATCAGGGGATGTCTGAATAGCTTCACCGATTGCCAAAAGAGGAAGTTATATTGGAATATTGGTCTTGAGCTTAGTAATCACAAGATGAGATGAAAGAGATCAATAAGAATGATGATCAAGATAGGTCTGCTGGGGGGTGCAGGCCCTTTTTATGTTAAATTTCCTGGGCGGTAAGCCACAGTAGACTAGACCTGATTAGGCCTTAGGCAGAATATTATTCATCAGCGGTGTTCGACATTTCTGTGCTCTCGTCTTCGGATGTTGATGTCTCGGAAGCTTCAAAGTCGCTAGGCTCTTCATCCTCGAGAGGTCTAAACTGGCTATCCATGATGGGTTGGTTTTTTTGGTTCTGCTGTGATAGCTGACTTATAAGTACTCCTGACATATATTGTGGGCAACCTGCTCGCGCCCTTATAGATCTGAAGTGAACTTCAATCTACAATAGCTTTCTACAAAGCGAACCCTGCCTTATAATTGGGTGTAGAGTTGCGACACCTCTTCATCACCGCCCTGGTGATTTTTGAGGCCACCGCCCTCTCCGCCACCACCATCACCCTCGCCTGAATTTCCCTTGTCTGGATTTGCCGGGCTGATCTTGTCCATTCTGGAAATTTAAAGCTCATTATTCAAGTTTACTGGCTCTATACAATTTGCCAACTCACGCGAGGCTACTAGCACGAAGAGTTTCCCGTTTTTCAACTACTTACTTCGGGGTATTACCCTTGGTGAAAGCCTAATACGTGTAGTATCACGCACTGCTATTGAATTAGCTTTTCTAAACGCATTTTGTGGGTACATTTGTTTATTTCTCTACTATACGTGTTCAAATTCCAAAAAATACTATCTGATTTCGACACGGGCTTGATGTCAGGAATTATTTTAAATGAGGACCTATTGCTGCTGGTGGCTAGCCTACACTCTACCTCATTCTTAGTACTGTGGGTGGTGAAATGATCTGCTACTCCGGGGGTTATTGTCTCGTTTTTGGTTAGGATTGGCTCAAGTTTGATACAAAATGTAACTGCAAGTTGGCCGTCACAATGTATATCTGTTGTCCCTCCCAATTACCCTCTTTATTGTGCTTTGTGGTGACTGAAATCCCCTGAAACAGACGAGCCTAGCTGGATTTTAGCCACTTCACTTACTCGTATACCAATAGGGCTTTGCGTGCCTAATAACGAGAATGTTCTGCTGCTGAAAGCCCAGCTGGCAGTAAACCTCAGGTATTTGATATTTCCACTTGACCAAGAGTTCCAGGTCCCCAGCCCTGATAGTATCGAGCTGTTAGTTTTAATCTCGGGATATATATACATCAATATACATATATATACTTACAAAAATGTCAAGGAGATTCTTTAAATGTTCAGAGCCAAACACCATTTGCCGATTTCGCAATGGAATCCCCCGGTAAATTAGACTGCTCGAGCCGGCCGGCAAAGCGAAAGCGTCAATCTTCACTGAGAGAGCAAGATACCCAACCGGACTTTCAATGTGATATGAGTAAACTTAATTTCTTGACACGATGCAAGCAAAAGGTGAAGCCATTCTCAGCTTTTACAGTACTTTAGCTTACACTTTCTTCAGACAATTGGAATCTGCAAGAACTACTCTCTCACAGGGGAATTGAAACAGATCCTACAAAGCACTCCTCAAAACGCTCTGATGGCCCTTAGCATGCTTGATCTCTACCTCTGTCTATGGGAGTTTTATGTAATAGACTCCGCCCAGAGGATCCGTCTGGAAGATGAGCATCGCCTGTTGCAAGACTCCAAAGACTGGCTACTGCGCCAGAATGAACAACTGGTTAAAAACTGCAATTGCCAAGCTCTATTGCTTTGGGATCGTCAACAGGCCTTTCGAAATATGCATGAGGGTCTGGCCGCAATTATTCGTGGAAGTGAACGAAGTCCTTATCAGCCAGGAGATCTACCGTAAAACACAGCGACGATAGCGGCAGCCTTTTCTTATTTTTGGTCGCAGATTATCTAGTGATTCATATTTAACTTAGTGATTGTTGAGTTTATACAATCTTCGACAATTTTGATGCACGCTTCTGTCGCCCATAAACATACTCCCTACTAGCCAAAGACTCTTAAGATAAGGCATGCCAATCGAAGCTAAATCAAAGGCATCTTTGTATCAAGACTTGCGTAGGTTTAAGAAGCGGCTGCGAGCACAATCACAGCCATTCAACTAGATAGTTTTGCCCCTTTACGTTGTGTCATCTCCAAGCTTCCAAGGCGGACTTGAGATCGCTCAGGGACGATATCATTGGAACTTTCTCATACTGTATGCTACTCACCAAAAATACTTCCACACCCAATTTCGATTGTTTGTTCGAATATTTGATTTCTCCATACTATTGGCAGTCACAAACACAATACGTTAATGAAAACACCTCCAACCTCTCTTTTCAACCCCTTTACCCAGCTTATACATTGGGTGAATTGAAATTGAATCTTATTATGTATCACTTCGAAGGTATGATATGCAAAACCATACATTCACTCTCTCACGTCTCAACGGAACCGAGATTTTAGTAACTCCAACTGTTAGTTTGACAACAGATTCAAGTGTCCATTATACAATAAAGTGAAGCTCTGTCATCAATAAAGATTCCGCTGTCAGGTAGGCCTATGCCAACTTTTATTCATGGTAAACAATTTTTCACAATAAAATGAGGTAATAGGCCATTTCTATAGCATGCCAAATGAGATCCCGCCTGTGCCTCTCTTTTTAAGGTAACCTCGAAAAAAAAATGCACTATATGAGCATCATACAAGTAGACCTCGCTAGTTTATACCCTCATCTCAGCTCTAGCTACTTGGTTCCGATGGCCACCGTACGACCAGGAATAGTAGGGTCCGAGGTCCAAATCTAGAAGTCGTGGGCCGTAGCCAAAGTGGAGTCGAACCATTTTCCTCACCGTTCAACACATGTTGGGACTCGTACACACTATCCAGCAGAGAATTAGATTTAAATTGCCTACCAAGTGAGAAAGACACAAGATCCAAGAGCAAAGACAATACACTTACCACGGCTATAGTACCCAGCCGGTAATCAAGATACTAGAGTATCTCCTCTTTAATATTGAGCGATCCCTAGTAGTAACGAACGCACATTCCAACTTCGCCCGCCTCACCGTATCCTCGAAAAATACGGAAACTCAAAATCTGCTCTTCAATTAGTGGGCAGCTTATATTATCTTCACGAAACACTTATATCATATCTACCAAACCAAGGATAATCCTTATCTAAAAGCTATTATCTCCAGCTCTTCCACTACTCAGGATACTCTAGGATATCATCAGTTTTATAATATAGGACGAGTAATAGTACTACTAGTTATAAGAGAGCGGTAAGCTTACTAAATACGCTTTCGTACTCCTACAAAATATATAGTTTTTATACTATTACTTCCCGCCGAACACTGGCGTTTACTAGTATTTCAATTAGGGACAAAACACAGAGGAGACTAATATCTTCTACTATAAATAATACTATACTATACTAGTTCAGATAGGTTAGTTGGCCATAGGGGCTAAGGATTATTACTAGTTAGTATACTAGACTGCTCGAAATAGTACAATAAAGTACTGTCGTTAAACTAGACTATAGACAGACTAGTATACAGATTATCTTCTTAGGGTACTTATCTTCCTAGTCATAAATAGCTATATAGAATATAGGGAGTTAGAAGAACACCTGAGTATTGTTATAGGGTATCTAGAGCTATAGGTATTAACCAGAGCTAATAGACTAGTCAGGTAAGACTAGGATATTAAGTAAAAGTAAACTATTAGAAGTACTCAAGATAACTTCATACTGATTGCCTTTCTAAGGTCTCTATATAAGAAAGAAGCTAATACAGGCTATAAGACTAAATACTGACTATAGAAGGATAGCCCTAAGTAGATACTAATAGCTAGAACCTTTTCTCTTAGCTAAGTAATATATAATAGTACCAACTATAATTACTATCAGGAGATAGTAGATAGATAAGATTACTTATAGGTAGTATTATCAGATTAGTGCCTAGGTTATAAATACTATTAGAATAAGTGTACCTACAGCCTAGAATATTAGTTTAGGGTATAGTAGATTATTATAGATAGAAACTTATAATAAGTAGAAGAATATACTATAGAGTAGCTAGGAGAGATAACCTATAAGATAAGGCTATAAGTGACCTATAGATAATTGAGTGTATCAGAAACAGATAGCTAATCTATTAATAAATCTATATAAGAGCCTATTAATCTAAGAGTATTAGATTAGCAGGAAAGCTAAAGTTAAACCTAGTATATAATAGTATTATATAGATTATAGTAAGGCTACTAGCTCTTTACTATATAATTACCAAAGAATTAGCTCCTAAGGTTAATACTATAATATTTGTGGTAAATAAGATAGAGACTATAATAGCCTGATAAAATATTACTATGTCTAGCTAGTTAAACATGTATAGTATGGAGATAAATAAAAAATACTTCTATTGTTAGGGTAGGTAGATGTAAAGTAAGTACCACAGATTTCTATTATATTTACTTTATATCTATAGCCAGATATATCTACTAATAGTATATAATAGCCAGATAGAAATTAGTAGTATACTATATACTGTATAAAGCTTAGATTTTAAGTAATAGAAAAGCTAACTATATACCACTAATAAAGTCATAGATATGATAAAAGAGATTTATATACCTAGAAGAGTAGTTTAGGTTATCTATACTTAAAGAATCCTTATTATAGCCCAATATTATTGTTATATCTTTAAAACTATATATTTACTTAACGTATTAATAATTTGAATACTATCGTATAGGTACTATAATCTTTTAGCTTCTTATATTATAATTATAGACTATAATTATTTGCTCTTTCAGTTAGTATACCAACTATTCAGTATTTATAATTATCCTGTATTAATCTACCTTATAGAATTGGTTCCCTAACTTAAGCTAATTCTATAATTATCCTTAAGATCTTACTAGGATTCTATATTTTGATAGTCACCAGACTAAATACTATTTATATAATCACCAGAGCTAATTTACTCTCTTAGAGTTTGATTTTATCCTTTAAGCACCCAAATATATTCCTATATTCTTTGTATTTACTCTTTTAGCTCACTATTTTACTACTATAGGTAAATCTTAAATATATTAGTATTAAAATAAAGTTAAGAGATCTCGAGATAGGCTTAATTAAAGATAGAATTAATATCCAACTTAGTTTATAATAAAACTTCAGATATTCGAATATTAGTAATTAGTTACTCAGGCTAGCAGAATAATAACTTACTTTAGTAATAGACTTATATCTATACTAATAGATAGTAAATTCTTTAGTTTTATCTTTAGCTTATTTTACTTTAGGACTATTATAGAAATCTAAGTTAGAGAGTCTTAAAGCTTAATAGTTTTAGATAATAAAATTAATATAAAAGACAAACTTAAAGAAATAGAATTTGATAATTAAGTAGTATAGTTTCTAAAGAATATCTACTAGCTATTTATAACCTTAATTATATTAATCTATATAGACCTACTAAGTACCATATAATATTTATAGTAGAATTTATACCCCTAGAAGCTCTTACTACAGTTCCTAGGGCTATTGAATACCGTTCCTAGGACCTATTATATTAGTTCCTAGGGACAAACTAGTCCTAGGAGCATTATAGGCTATTCCTAGGACTATAGTATAGACTCCTAGGAAGACTTCTAATAGCCCCTAGGAGCTATAGAATATCTCCTAGGGGTATTTTTGGACCTAGGAGATAGAAGTTTTATATAGAATCCTCCTATATCTTTTTACTTCTAGGAAGTAGCTCCTTCACTCTAGGAATATAATACTACTATATTCTATAAGAGACTACACAATTAGCTTTTTACCCTTACAATCTATCTAAAAAAGATATCTAGTATTACTAGTTTACTACACCTAATTCTTTCAGAACTAGTACTAAATTTCTCCTTACAAAACCTTTAGTTTAATATCATTATAGAGGCACTATACTCTCGAGATAATACTAAAGAATCACCCCTAATAATTATGTCTCTTATCTATCTTCACTACTAGTTAACATCTTCCATCACCCAATCTGATAACCAATCTCCAAAATTTAGCTCCTAAATCACAATCAGTTTAATATTATCGTATTTCAATAGGGTAACATAAATATACTGGACTCAGGGGCTATAATACTTATTACTTTAACAGAGACAATTTAATTATACCAGAGAATATCTAAAGCCTCCAGAAAGGGTTATATTAGAAGGCTAGTTTAAGGTATAGGCAGCTTATAGTATTATTCGTTATAGTTAGTACTGATTTCTCTTAGTAGATTCCAAGGGTGTATTAAAGTACTATACTAACACTTTAGGCTTAAGTAAATCTATCAGTAGCTATCTGAGATACAAAGATATAAAATATTTTGTAGATATAGTATACAGGAGAGTAGTAGCTAGATACTTATATACATCACCAGTTCGTTACTCTCCGCCTTACTTTTAATTAACGTTTTTATCCACATCATATCGCGAATCTTTCGTAAGTATTTATTGTATTCTCGGTAGACCCTATAGTTCCTAGTAGCCAGTACTTTACTCCTAGGAACTAAGCTTAGTAGTACAGTATAGTTACATCAACTTAGAGATTATATTACCTAATTAAAATAAATATAATTCAACTTTTACCTATATAATAGATACTGCTCACTTCTCTATTTTATTCTACTTCCTATTTATAATAGATTTTTTAGTTATTATAGATACTATTCCCGCCACCTATATATTCCTTATAAGTCTTATTCAGGTTATCCAATCCTACTATACTTACTCCCAGTACAAAGTATATTAAAGGGCTAACTTAGCCTTATCCATATCTCTGTGTATCACACTCACTATTCTTATATTACTAAGGTAGAGCAAAGCAGGTATATATTAGATACTAATTCTATCTGATATAGTAGTAGTATTCCCTCTAGTATAGATAGTAAGTTAAGAAATAGAATCTACCCTAAAGCTTTATACTGTTCAATAATCACAGAGCCCAACTTATACTTAGTAGTATCTTTATATACATTTCTTCTAGTGTTGTATCTACAGTATACTATAGCAAATTATTACTCTCTATACTCTACTCGCTATATACTCAGGCTTGGCTAAATTTACCGCTACAGTCACTAGCACCTTTCTTGCTCTATAGCTCCATTTAGCAGTACTATTTCTTCTCTTTACAGATTACCTTAGTGCTGTATATTAGTATTAGTGGCAGACCAAGCACAATCCACTAGATTCACGGGTACAGACTCATATTCAGTCAATCTTATACTATATTTCGGCTATAACTGTAGTGTAGCTTATGATTGTGAGTTTAGCAGCGTTTCTGGGCACTTGGCTAGTTCTATAACAGGCATATCTTTGAATCCACTTAGTGAGGGTCCTTATAATAGATTGCTGACATACATAGCCTAAGGTCTTAATGCTGGTTCTTATTATGTCGCTATAGACAATCATCGGAGAGATGTTGCCGCAGAAGACCGTATGGGGGGTTCGTCTGGATAGTTTTATCAAGAGAAACGATGAGGCAGTTAATAAATTTAGAGAAAGAGACTATAGAAGATTGCTATATATTGTTGCTATAAACGTAAGTCACCCTGTTCAAGGCCAAAATTGACATTGTAGTGATACCACCGGCGCCTCAAGCCGATCCTTTCATGCCAGACTCAGACGTAAATACCCGGAATCTTTCGATTTTTCCAAACTTCATATCCATCCCGGCTTCATGGAAGCTCCTCAAGTGCTTCTGGCGGGTTAGCTATATTGCCCACTGGGCGAGTGTTCCACTCGGAAAGGATGTCAAGGAGTCTGCGCCGAGAGCTATCTAGCGACTGATCGAAGGCATATAGCTGAGCAAGCTGGTCTTCTTGCTGCAGCCTACGACGGTGGCCTTCCTGGCAAAGCTGAGTATTACTATTTCGTAGCTCTTGATTCGCAATCTGGTTGCGGCATTCGACCTCGATCTTCATCAACTAGATGCAGTTGCCGCCTTTCTGAATAGCGATCTGCCTACGCCTGTATACACCTACATGCCACAGGGTTTCGCTACACAAGGACGATGTTGGAGACTTAGAAAAGCGCTATATGGACTCCGCATCTCGCCGAAGCTATGGCAGCAAGAAGCATCGGCAGTATTGACGAAGCTAGGCCTGGTACTAGTACCTGAAGACCCCTGTGTGTTTGTCGGAGCTGGAATTATTGTCTTCTTCTACGTTGACGATATCCTTGTTGCTTCACACCAGTCTGCGAGGGATAAAGCTGCCTCTATCGAGAAGGAACTTCACCAACATTGGGAGCTTACCGATCATGGTGACGCAGGCTGGTTCTTAGGGATTCGCATACTTAGGGATCGACAGCATAAGAAGCTTTGGCTTTGCCAGGACACATACATCTCAAACATGGCAGCTAAGTATAACCTTACAAACCGACCACCAGTTTCGACACCAATGATGTTGGAAGAATTGAAACAGTTTGATGGCACTGCACAACAAGGAAGTATCGATATATTCGCGCAAAAGATTGGATCTGCTCAATATTCGACCACGATTACACGCGTTGATGCCGCCAAAGCGACAGCCAAACTTGCGCAATTCATGAAGAACCCTGGACCAATACATCTCCAAGCAATCGATCGAGTAATCACCTATCTCTACCACAGTCGTCACCTTGCTATCGAATATGGCATCAATAGCGGACGTCCATCCGTCTAATACGCCTCAGATGCCTCATTCGGTGATAATACAGGTCGCAAAAGCTCCGCAGGTTACATTTGCCAGGTATACGGAGGTCCTGTTGATTGGAAAGCCTCAAAGCAAGCGACTGTGACAACATCTACAACCGAAGCCAAATTTCTTGCGCTATCCGATGCTGCGAGATCTATACACTACTGGGAGCGCCTATTTACACGAATCGGTTTCAAACTAGATCATTCCATCACCTTGAAATGTGATAACCAGCAAACGGTCGATCTAGCGAACAACCCTAGCGGAAAGCTCCATACGAAGCTTCGCCACGTCGATATACACGGTAGCTAGGTGCGTCAGGAAGTGGAAGCAGGACGTATACGTGTCGAATGGGTGCCTACAGCGAGTATGGTGGCCGATGGCCTCACCAAACCGTTGCCACGACAAAAGCACGAAGCCTTCGTCAGGATGTTGGGGATGGCAGAATACCGAAGGACTAGACAAGAACGGTTAGCTTAGTTTAGGTAACATTCCATACAAAATAGGTGGAAAGATACATGAAAACAAAACAGATTTCTCCACTATTCTGCGCGCGCGTTACACTAGGCTTTCACCATTTCTGACAATGGGCCTCTCTCCGACGTACACGTGTTGGTGTTGTATTGAGCTATATGGGGACTACATAGACACTAAGTGAATAGCCTACTATCTCGCAGATATGACGAAATTGATATAACCTTCGAGTCGAGACCTTGGACCCTTGGAAAGCATATGGATTCTTTGAAGTCGCGGGTAAAAGCACATCGACTAGTCAATTGAGTCTATGCTGTAAAATAGTTCTTTAAATATTTCCAGGGGATTTGTTCCACTACTGACTCCAAGCTGATTAGACAGATGGTGTAGGCACCCTAGGGAACTCCTCCAAGGCAACTGGATCTGATCGACCCGCCAAGACATGTAGGGGCCATGTAGCTCCATGTAGCTCATGATTGCCCCTCTTACCAACAGGGGGCTGAGGAGTCTAGAGGAAAATTGACCCTGGTGAGAAGTAGAGAGTTAGAAAAGGAAAAAGGAAACTAAAGATAGCGGAAGGCGTGGCGATCCCAAGATCCACACATCTTCTCCATTGCTCGAAAGGTGCGCTTTAGGTGTGCCAGTGCCTGTAGGGAGGCCTGATTGGACCGTGCATCATAACTTCCCACCTCGAGCCTCACACTTCCCTCCTGCAAACGCCCGCGACCGTCGGCATATATAATGTGGAATGTGCATGGGAATCCCCAGAGGACTCAAATTGAACTTGAACTTGAATCCTTTTTACGACTTGTCCCTTGAACACCTGCAGTGGTTGCATCCCTCGTGAATATCTAACGTTATCCCTACTCCCGAATCCTCTGAAAGGAACTTCAGTCATAAAAACCCTCGGCCTCTTTTTGGGGGGGGTTTTTGTTTTTCATTTTGGAGAGAGCCGCCCGCTACCTCATCTACAGTCATGCTGCGCCATGCATCTGATGGATCAGACTGCAGTGCAGCCTCGTTAGAAGACCAAAGTGACAACCATCGGAAAGGGCTTTCTTCCGCCATCGCCAACAAAGAACGCGTGTCGCAGTCGCAATCCACAGGAAAGCTGGCCTGTGACATTTGCCGAGAACGTAAATTACGCGAAGCCTCTCCGAGAGTGAACAAAGTACCTATATGCTGATTCCGATCTACAGGCAAGGTCCGTTGTGACCGGAGTGACCCGAAATGTGGTCGTTGCGCGCGGCTTGGCTACGACTGCAGCTACCAGGGACGAAAGAGATACCGTGCAGTTCAAGCGGATATGCCACGCCAATTATCGGAACTCCAGAATCGATTAGGTAAATGGCCCCAAATCTCGAATGAATTGCAACCTTGCTGATCCTGGTCCGATGGTCTTAGCAAATGCAGAGGCGCTCCTGCGCACAACTCCCCCCCACAACATCATTTACTCCCACCCCCACTACTATTCGCCAGACTCCGTCCCACGTCGACTTATGCTGGCTCCAGAGCCATGTAACACCTCCAATGGATCGTGCCTTTGAGGGCCTGGACATGTTAGCGAATTTGACCGAGGACATTCCCGATTTCTGGGGAGTAATAGATCCGGCGCTGGGCCTGACTCCCGACGCTCTTCCACTGCTATCCGGTGATACGCCTCGGCTACCCACCCCATTTGACACAGGTTATCTCCATACTGCGGACAGTCATTCCATGAGCTCTACTTTCGAACCCTCTCTCTTTTCGACGCATGAACTAGAAGAGCCGATTTCGCCACCCGAACTCGCTGCCTTGTACTGTATTTCTCATATCCTCTCTGACGAGAACAGGAGACTAATAATCGACTTTTGCCCAGGCACCAAAAGTACTTTGATGTTTTTTATCCCGTTCTGCCCATTCTAAACCAATCACGATTTCGTCAAGAATGGACCCAGGATCCAGTTTCCCCCCGAATTCGGGGACTAAGTTATGCCGTGGCCCTGATCGGCTCGATGATTGCCCCAGAGTACGCCCACCTCCAGTCTCCTTGTTACAACAATGCCCGCAAATATATCGAGCTCTGCGAGCGCGATGATGATGAGACAAACATGATGTGCTTGAATGCCTTTCAAGCGTTAATATTCATCATTCGTTACGAGCTAACGAAAAAGCACTTTGTTCGCGCGTGGATGACCCTCGGCCGTGCTGTTACCCTTGCTCAAATACTCGACCTGAGCAACATCGATGGCGCGCCCGCGGATCGACATCAACGCGCTGGATCCCATAAATGCCCCATAGAGACAGGATATATTAGCAATTTGCGTGATCCAGCCACGATGGAGGAAATTCGACGTTCCTTCTGGTCTTTATACATCTTTGAGAGTTATGGGAGCGTTCGTACCGATAGACCTTGCACCCTAGAAGAAGAAAGCCTGAGTATCTTTCTCCCATCTCCGGGTGAGCTCAAACAGAACTTTCTGCCTAGCCCGATGCCTTTTATCAGCGAACCAACGAAATTGACTGGGGTTGGATATCTGACCTCCTTCGCTGCGGTGACCATCATGGTCAAGCTAGCCCGCATTTGCTTCGAGCACGTGAGTATTGTCTCTCGCAGTGCCAGTGACTCTGGCTTCTGGGATCGGCACTACCGCCTGGTGAAGACGATAAATGACTATACTGCCATCTTCCAACGATACCTGACTGCGAAGGCTGTCCGGGAAGATCCATTGGCATTTTCTCTACACCTCAATCTGTGTGCAACACATATTAACCTTCACGAGGCAGCGATACGCAAGGTTGAAGATCAAGACCTGCCGAAGCTTGTTGCAGCCGAAAGTCGAAAGTGTAGTGCTGCCGCGGCATTTAAGATTCTTGGAGCCATTCGCATGAATTGGCCTGTGCAACGGTCGGAGGTAAGTTTTTGTTTCCCAGTGCTTTATGTAATGTCAGCTTCGTGTCCAGTCTGACTCATTGTAGCGCGACCACTTCACTCTCCAAGCGACGTTCATCGGATGGCCCATTTCCATGAGCCTCATTGCCCTTAGCCGCAGTCTAGCCAATGGTGATACCACTCCGATCGGCATAGTTGACTCTCTGCGCTTGCTACGTGCTGCTCTCGATCAAGTAGAGGAACCTGATGGGTATTGGCACCAAGCCAGCGGTGCTGCAGTGACTGCCTTGGCGAAATGGGACGAGCAACAGCGCGAGTCTCGCTCCGTTGAGTGATTTGAAGTTACTGGACATACCTTGAGCGGATATGAACAGTAATCCTTGAATTTATCCGGGAATAGGCTAATCTAGGTCATATGATATCTCAAAGTAGATGATATCAGGGCTCACGGAGAAATTGTATCGACAATTTTATAACTAAAGGTTTGAGCCAGCGGAAGGATGTGATACGCCTACTCACTTTGTGTTGAAGTTGTGACATGCTATTGGGTTGATAGTAGGAGCCAATTCCAATTCCATAATTTGCTCGCACCCGCAGACGTCTCTTGTGAAAAATTTCAGAAGATATTCTTCTCGGTTCTCCATAGGGTAATCTTGCCTCCTTTTCATTTGTATATACTCAAATGAGATGTCTGGACCCCAGACCACAAATGCTGGGAATCACTAGGCAAAAGCCACAACAGCGTCGAACCCAGGCACAGAAACAGTCCCATCAGGAATGGCCAAATCTGCTGTAGCTCTCCATTCCAAGCCCACCATGGCTGCACTCGCTTCGATTGTTGCTTGCGCTTAGCCAGTCCCTGCTTCTTCGCCTCTGCGGCGATAGTATCCTGCCATCCGAGAAGACCCTTCTGCTCAGGAAAATCAACAAAACTCAATTTATTGCCCGTGCTGCACAGACTAGCAATATTAATGGCCAGCTGATCCAGACCAATCCACGGGGTGACCCAGCGCTGCTTGATGTAAAAGTACCACCCGTCAAATGCCTGCAGGCGCGTAAGATCCCCACCGACCTTGACGATAGCCTTGACGCGCTCAATTCGCGAATCCTGATACTCCTGCATCGCGGCGCTGATCTCTACCGTTGACGGTTTCTTATTCGGGTGTCGGTGCAAGAGTGCATGCAGTTGATTGGCAATTGCGACGCTGTCTTCCATCGCCGTGCATCCGCCTAGTGCGGAGTTCGGCGTCACCTTGTGAATCGCGTCGCCGGTCATTACCGTCCGGCCAAAGAACCAGTGGTCTAGAACGCCTTCTTCTAGTGAGATCAGCTGGGCTTTTGTTCGGGTGCGCCATAGTTCGCCGAAGACGACGGACTCGCAGATTGGATAGTCGGCCAGCTTGCGGGCCAGGGCCTCCATGTCTTCTTCGGTGAAGCGCGCTCGATTTGGCCATGTGCACTGCTGATCCTGAGGGAGCTTGCAATGTGCGATGTACGAAATAAAGGTTGGCTGACAGAGAAGGAGGAATGAGAAGCGGTCATTTGAAATCGAGTGCATGTCGTGTGGGCCTAATCCGGGGATCGGGGGACATTGGGCTACGATGGCATTATAAGTGGTGACCATCGCTGAAGGAAAGAAGGGTTAGCCTTGAACTAGATGTTCGGACTGGAATGTCGTACATCGCTTTTCGGCGGCGGTGATGAAATGTGGAATTGTTTTGTTGGCTTTTTCCCACATAATCTCACGCACCTTGCTGTGCACCCCATCGGCTCCCACGACCAGATCTCCGACAAGCTTGGTCCCATCTGACAGGATTACCTGGGTTGATTCTGCTTCTTCGATGATATCGACGACACGATGGCGCTCGAAGACTTTTGACTTATCAGGAAGGCGATTGTAGAGGATCTGTAGGAACAGCTGTCGGTTCAACGTGCGCGTATCGTATCCTGCACTGGACAACGAATGTTAGTACGTGCAAATCCCCATCTATAGGCCTTAATTCCAGCATTTACTTACTATTTCTTGACCATAGGGAAGAAGTCGTTTTCTAAGAAGCATCGTCCGTCTGGAGTGCGGTAGTAACATCTACCCATGGTCGAGCAACTATCCAGCACATCATCCTGAATACCGAGTTGATGCAGAATCCGACATCCGTGAGGTTGAATAGTAATAGTTGTTCCGAATGGTGGTGCAACGACGCCTTTATCCAACACAAGATAGTCGATTCCGGCTTTGTCGAGGCAGTGGGCTAAGGTCAAGCCAGCCACGCCAGCTCCGACAATAATGACCTGGAACGGAGGCCCATATTGAGAGGGAGGCGGGGATTCTGTAGTACGGGCAATCATTTCTCGGTCCCTTCGCTTGTAATGTCTCTCTAACCTTGCTCCTTCGTCATTGTTGCTTGAGACGGCGGGAATGCACCTTATGAGGAGGGACAATACCTCCCATCGAAACGGTATATTGCGACAGATACAGTCGGTCTATACCCACGGGGATTGATACGGCCGACACTGTGTTTTCAGAAAGTCCGCGCTGCCCGTGTTGAAACCGTGGTCGAGAAACGGCCCCCTGCGGCATGTACATAGGTCGGAGACGGAGTTGGGGCGGCCGTCCATGAACAAGGATCAATTAGGGCTCCCGTCATTCCCGTCATTCCCCTTCACGATCTTTCGACTCTACTAGTATACTTCTATATTATGATCCCTGCCACGCAGATTCAACAGGTATGTGAGAGAAAAAAATGCCGCATTGTACAGTGAGCCATTTGGTCCAGATGATTCGACCATCCCCATACCATCTTCTTGCCCTCGGCATCCTTGGTGTATCCTCTATCTGGGGGGTTCATCGGGTACTGGGGCCACATGTTTGATAATTTTGATACAATAGTGGCCACAGGACATCTACCCGATGGGCGTGTCATGCGAATGAGCTACACCGGGATTGACGCATTGGATCATCAAATGACACCAGTGATAGCATTCTACGAAGTCCTCAGTAATGCATTATCCTTAGGTCCCCGTCTTCTCTTTTTCGACATCAATTTTGTTGTCGTCTGTACCAATGTCTGGGTCATGATTGAGAGTCGCCGACATGGTGTGCAGAGCAATCTTTTGAAATAGTACGTGTTGTGTACAGCTGAGCTGTTGCCAATGGTCGCTGGCTAACTGCGCATACATAGCCCGTTTGCCTTCATGGTCATATGGAACTTTATTGGCGCTGCTCTGATCCAACCTCATTATCTCTACTTCATTGTCCAAAACAACCTTACGCAGCGAGACCCTACGATGCCCCGACACGAAGCCATCGCACTTTTTCTCACGACTATCTTCGCTATCCTTTGTCCATCTCTCATCTTTGCCCCAGCCTTGCTGGGAGTAAGCTCCTGGGCCCATCATGGACTAATTGCCGTTTTCCATGCCACTCCCATACTGCTTGCTATGATTTTCTATCTCAGCATGCAAGTCTTAGGCTCTCCAGTCGGTCGATGTCTGACCAGATCTCGAACTGTAACCGACCCGAAGATCCACCCCGATCAGCCCTGGCTAGTAGGGTCTTATATCATCGCAGGCATGGCATCAGGGGCAGTGCATCTATTCACCATGATCACGGGTTTTAAGACGCGTGACCCAGACGCAACCCTTTCCCGGCTCCTCATTCCAACCTGGAAACGACTTGAGACGGCAAATACATTGCCATTGTCATGGACTGGACAAGGGGTTAATACATCCATCGCACTGAATATGTCTACTGCGCAAAGAGATAAGACCGCCGAGGTCCTCGAGCAGTTCCACCTTTTTAGCCAATTTGATTGGATTGTGGTCTCGCTGGCTTGTGTCGTGTTTGCTTATCTCCTATTGTCTCGAGCTAGGAGGAGCAGGTCAGTTGGAGGAAGTATCGATACCCTGATCTCCAAAATGTCGGATGTTGAAAATAGAGACTTGGGTCTTTTGCTTGCTGGGGCGGTGTTGTTGGGCCCTGGAGCGGCTGGATCGTTCGGGCTGGCGGTGCGAGAGACAAAGTTGCGGCAGCAGTGGAATCGGGCTAGGAAAATGAAGTAAATGAGATCGGATGCGTATTGGGGCTGTGGCTCTCAGGGGGGATCAGAGACGTATTGGGACTTCAGGCAGTATAGAAAGACTTCAGTGACCTTGCCTTGACTTTCTGGTCTTGAAGCCGAGAGATATAAATTCAACGAGAGATTTTTTTAGAGTGGAAGGTTTTGTTCCAAAGTTTATTGAAGTTTATTCTTAATTTGCGGCGAGCCTCCAATTTATGTTGTGGGTTGATATTTAGTCCAATACTAGTACCTCTGGTTGACTTCCAAGTTTCAACTTGAACTTTCCCAGCGTAAGATTTGGATTGTTGGAATATATTTGAATTTTAAAGTAACACTACGCATGACAGCGAGTTCCGCGTTATGATCAGATCAAAAACTTCAGATCATAAACCTTGGAATAAAACTTGAATCTTTGAATATTAAAATAAAAGCCGTAGAAATTATGAGCTAGATAAGAGAGAAGTGAAAAATTTGACTTGGAGGCTTCCTTGAAATGCAAAAAGCACCTCCATCTATATTATTGGTGCCAGGTCTCAACAATCACAGATCGCCAGTATTCGTAGATTTTAAGCCTCTTCGTCGCCGGAGCCCGCTCCCTTCATCTTTGTTTTCTGAATAGAGCCAATCGGTTAGTTTATATAATTGGGTTTCAAGTAATACCGACAAGAATGAAGCTTACCCCCAAAGGCGGCGTTAGAACAAAACTCAATATACCAGCCACCAAAAAGAACAACCACACATTGCTCATCGCACTGGTAATTTGAGGTGCGACCAGTGCTCGCTCCGACTCCGACAGTGCCTTGTAGGTCCGGCTACTCGTGCCGGCAACAAGGTTAGAAATGTCGGTTGCATTCAGCTTGGGCATCGCGTGTGACACTTTTTGAATTGCAATATTCTGATAAATTGATCCACAGATTGCAAGGAAGATGACCATACCAAGGTCTTGGGCTATATAAATAGATTTCACGGTTAGTTTGTCTCATTCTTGGATTGAGTAGGCCCAAACTGGTGTCTGAAATTCTCTTACAAATAGCCATTGCGCCCACGGCATTCGCGATGTCTTTTGGGGCAACGAGAGATTGTACAACGGGGAACCCAGCGACAACGTAACAGCCTGCCCCAGAGCCGATGAGGATTGAGTAGCCATATATTTTGGCATTGGGTGTGTGAATATCTGCAGTGTCTAGATTTCACGCTTCTTATTAGCAGGAATTTCTTTTGCGCGTTATGGTGAAAGCGAGAAACAAAGAGTAGAAACGAACACATTAATGCCGTTCCAACAACGACGAGAGCACTGCCGAAGATATGCCATGGCAGAATATAAGGCAGCTTCGGCATGAATGTCCCATTGGCCATGGCGAAGACGACCATGGAGATGATGAAGGGAAGCAGGCGAACTCCTGCATCTAAGGGACCGTCTCCCTATCCGCGAGCAAACTGTTAGCTAATTCTTACCCACTGTAGTAATGGTACACCACATACCCGTGAGAACTGAAAGAACAATGGAATATAGTAGGTCATTGCCTATGGCACCATTGTCAGTATCAGATAATTTTGTTTTTTGTCTGACATAGAACGACAAACCAGCACGACACCCGACACCAAGAACATCTGCACCTGCAGATTTACCAAAATAGGTCGTCGGAGGAAATGGGCTGGATAAAGACGGTTGTCCTTCTCCACGCCTGGATGAAACTTTGCCACGGCAATACAGACGAGTAGAAGCACTCCAGCGACAACCCACAGGGCAATTTCATTCCCAGAGCTCCAAGGATACAATGTACCACCAAAAGTGATCGCCATGACCAGGCAGGCAGCCCCTGCAAGAAAAGTGGTTGTCATGACCCAATCTATCATACGGCATTTTTCTGACCAGCTTTTGAGCGGCTGGGGGTCCACACTTGGGACAAGGAAGAGGTAGGCGGGAGCGAAGAAGGCTCCAATCGGGAGGTTTATGTAAAAGGCCTAGGATAGTGATATGTTAACTATAAGTACAAAAACGCGTCAAAGGACGTGAAGACTCACCCATCGCCAGGTTGCAGAACTATCTGCAAAAGCGCCGCCGACCTATCAATCGACCGCCACGGTGAGTCGTGCTCTGGACTAGTACGTAAAAAAGAAACAAGCCAAGACTGGACCTACCACCGGACCTAAAACACTTCCGATTCCCCAGATAACAGTGCTGCCAGCCATATAAATCGGTCGCTCTTTGAGTGTTGTCAACATCGCCACAAAGCTCAGCGTCCCTGAGTACATCCCTGATCCTCCCACGCCAGCGATGACACGACCAAGCACGAGGGCGGTCATATTCGGTGCTGCACCACACACAGCGCTTCCGATTTCAAACAGTAAGATATTGAAAAGATAGACATATTTGGCGTTGAACACTCCGTAGACCTTACCCCACGGCAAAACGCACATGGTACCGAGAGCAAAGCCGACTCCGATCCATGGGAGGAGGGAGACTTCGCCGAATAGGTCGAGAATCACGGGCTGAATGTCAGCAACCTATGCCAATATATAAAGTGAGATAATTTCTCGCGGACAGGTCTTATATGAAAAGTTAGTGAGAGGGGCATGAGCACTCACGATAGTGTTGTCCAACGCGAAGAGAAATGTTGTCGAGATCATGGATGCGTATGCAATTGCCCACTGCACGCCTGTCAGCTTCTCTTTTTAATTACCACATATGATTTTGGAGGGATTAGCTACCTTCCACCCATGAATTGGACGAGGCGATGTTTCTTTAGGGATACCATTCTCGCTAGAGTCGGTGCTAGCAAGCATACCATTGCTACCCTGTTTTTCTGAGTCCACATCCATACCAGGCACACTTTAAAGAAATAATAAAGGTTGCAGAGCTTATGGAAGTTACGAAAAATCACCAAAGAATCATAAATGGAGCGATGCTGCCTCTATGGGTTGATATCAAGTTTATATAGAATCCCTCAAAGGAAGAGTTAGGGCTCCGAGCGGCCGCTCCAACTCCGTGTCTTGGCGCCCCACCAGCCGCCCCAAGTCCGTGTAAGCTCATCCTCACTCGTCACTCCTCGTTGTGGAGTCCATTCGCCTTTTTCGATGCCACCGTCTTTACCTCTTCCCTGTGAGCTGTCAATTCCTCGGGAACTCGTCGTGAATGAGTATTCATATACTCCTGGAGCAGCCCCCGATAGTCCTGCGGTCGGTACGGGACGAACCACTCCTCAAAAATAGTCTTCTTCCGACGGGGATTGAGGCCAAGATCTCTCATGAGAATGTCCAAGTACTAATCCATGCAACAAACCCCTGTCAGAATTTGGAACCGGTAGTATATAATGACTTAAGGGGCGATGGGTGGCCGGCTTACCGAAATATAGTCATAAATGAAATATGAGTGCTTCTTCCCCTGTTCAATATATCGCTTTCGAGTCCACGCATTGAAGGTCGCTGCCTCTAGCTCCATTTCCTCCTGGCAAGGGATGTCCATCCAGTCGTTTAGGAATGCAAACCCCCCACAATGCTTGAAGTTCCACTGCCAGTGGTGTGAAGGCAGAGTGAATGTGACCCGGGAAAACGATGGATCTGTCCCCTTTGGCCGCCAATTCAGGAACAATGAGACGACGGTAGTGCCGATTTGGCCCCTGTGTGTGCTTTCTCTCCTCAAGTGCCTCGAAAGGCGAGTTCTTCAGGATGGGTAGCTGGTTGTTCACCTTCTGCTCGGCCTGTGCGTCCAGTACCGTCCACTTGGAGAATAACGAGGAGTCGTAATGGAGGCCTAGTTCTTCCTGCAACGAGGGGCTGAACGTATCATATCCCTTCTCAAATCCGGTGCAGTGAATCACAATGTCTGTTGGCACGGAAAAGCCGTTCTTGAAGTTGACAACGTCCAGATGCGAGAGCGATTCTATCTCCGTGCGGTGCACCGTGACATCTCCCTCGTGGACGACTTGCCAAAAGTCCGGTACGGTCGCTATTCCGACACCTCCACTGCCCCAGAAAAGCCTATATTCAGTGACTGATTAGCTGTGGGAAATTTGAGCGAGGTATACAAAAGAAAGCCGTACCCGTCTGTGTGAGGCCAGGGCCGCAGATGCTCAGTATGCTCATCATCGCCGAAGCGCGCATATCTACCTGCCAGAGCTGTGGCAAATTGCCAATAGACACGCATAAGTGATCTTCCAATCACGCTTCGCTGCAAAAACCCATCCCAGAGTCCATTACAGCTCATGATGCTGGGGCTAAAGCTGGATGCGAATCGAGTGGAGATGTGATCCGATATATGCCACAGTCCCATGAACGTCGGGGCGAATATGGAAAATGCCCCAGAGGCACTCGGTCGGATAACCCAGTCTACCTTCTTTCCTGCTTTGAGTAGTTGGTAGACGGTGTCATAGGATGATTTCGAGGCCCCGACTACAGTCGCTCGCTGGATCGCGTCGCTCTCAATCAAGGACAAGTTAGAGGCGATGTCTAGCGAATGGATGACAGGTTTGTGGAAGCTCTCTCGTGGTCATTCTGGTCTGATGGGACTTGAATTGGCGCCCGTGGCATAGATCAACTTCTTACATTCGATCTGGCGAGCCCCAGAATGTGTTTCCACTATCCAGCCTTTGTGATCGGCATTGCGACGCACGTGAGACACTCGAGTCTGAAGACGAATGTACCGCATCAGGTCATTATCTTTGGCAAAGCTGGCCAGATAGTTGTGGATTGCTTGTCCGGATATAAAACCATCGGGCGAGATACCCTCATTCTTCATTGGATAGAACGAGTACTCAAAGAGCGGGTAGCTAATCTGCGCGTAGAGACTGGGATAGATACGCTCCTGGCTCCAGATCCCACCGATAGTTTCTCCGTCATCCAGTACAACAAGATTGGTCTCCGGGGCAAGCTTCAGGTACGTCTGCGCTGCCACCAACCCATACCAACCTAGCGAAGTGAGTGGAAAGCCTGGACAAACGTACGAAGGGAGTCGCCAAAACACTCACCAGCACCCACAACAAGGACGTCAACCTGCTCCATGATTTCTGCTGGGTAGGTTATTGGAATGGTGACACGTCGGAGGATGGAATGTGGCCTGTTAAAAATCGCAAAGTTGGCGAAGAAATTCCGACCCGATTGCTCTCGATCTGGAATAAATAATCAAGGCTACTAGTAGTCTTCCTATTTTGGCTCTTTAGCCAGGATTTCTGCTATTTTGAATTTGCTTTTATCTGAGGCACTCTAAGTCTTACTACTCGTTGAAAATCAAAATCATCTGAGTCACAAAACGAGAAAGCTGATTTCCTGATCAACAAGTGTGTCACCTTTCCCGACAAGAACACCTAGGTAATGGAGTAACCACAGGGTGAATGTCAATATCAGCACCGGTCTGTACCTACGACAGGAAGCTCTCTGTCTGTGAAATTTTAGGAGGTAACACCCTTGGTCTCACAAACGAAATATGATCGATTTATCCCTGCCAATAATATGTGGACGGGGCATCCCCAGAGCACCTAGCCACGGCATGCTCCCGTGGGTACTACGGGTCCCCGCCGCACGGAATAGCACTTCTGTCCCGAATGACTCGATCGCCCCGCGATATTAATACCATTGAAGCGGCACGAAGCCGATTGGTGCTGGGGGCATAGGCTATCCAATGGCCATGTAGGTTGGTTTGAGTAATTTGAGTGTTACCAGTATCAGATTTAGACTCATTTGTGGGCGAATTCCTATCTCGCGTGGTGGATAGGACCAGAAGGTCGATTGACCATGACTAGTATACAGCACCTAGACCTGCCTATTGATGTCTTGCCTGTCAAATGCCAAGGGTGGCGATATGCTGGAAATATTAGGAAGCAGCTCGTATTTATCACTATATCCTTTCGGAAGTTGACCGAGGACAGAAAATGAAAGTACATGACCCCTTCGATTCATATATCCCCGAGATGTCTATGATCAAGTCCACGGGTAGTAACCTGGAAGAGATTATTTCACCTCCTGAAAAGAAATAGTCGTAAAGAGACTTAAATTGAATGTAGGCAATGGGGGTCAGAATGTATAACCGAAGAAATCCCGAGCTGTACTTTTCCCAACGACCCGATGGCCACTCAACGATCCTTCAATGCCACTCTTCGTGATCAGATCATTATTGGCAAGTCAAACTGGTAGATTGGCGCTTAATCAAATGCTGAAATCGGAGTTTGCAACACCAATAGGGGCTCATGTATTGCGCAGTGATCGGATCCTAGTCCTTATTTCGCCGAAAATCCCCAATGATATCGCACCAATTTACTATAAACCCACATCACAACACCTCCCAACGACCGAAAACCGGCAGATGGCACGTTAAAAATAAAGAAAATCATACGAGTCGAGATCTCTCATTTCCGTTGTCGCAAGAATTGGCATCTGGGCTTGAATAAGTGAAGCCGACCGATATGGCGGTTGTACCCAATGGAACAACAGCCACGCAGCCGCGATAGTCTTGGAAGTTCAGCCGTCCCCGCCCGCCAAGCGCCAAATCCTTCCTTTCAACGTCAAAGCGTCTCTCGGCAGTCTCTTCTTGTTGCTGTAACCAAGCTCCGACAGCTCTTGGCCGAAGCTAAATTTCTTTTGGACATGCCTTTGCGGGATTTATCGGTCAACTTCCGTATGTCTTTGACTGTGGTGCACGGGGTTGAACTGGCATGACAGGGGGTGTGTATCATGAACTTGGAGACCCATGGATGTCCATGTGGATGACACGCACCCCGGATACTGTTCCTGGCCCCGCCCCCGGATTTGGTCCCGAGGTCCTTACTGCTAGTATAAATATTCCCCAGATTTTCCCCGGAGACTTAAAGCTATAGCCAACTCGATCAACACTCCTCCTACCAATTTCGACCCTCTGTACGAAGACCTGCTTTTTCCCCCTTTGACACGCCCATTATGGCCGGGGCTAAGAAACCAGTCAATATCTTTCGACTGAAAAATACTGGCGAGCCGAGCCAAATTTTCAACTGGAGACTATGGTTCGCTGTCATTTCATTTGGTCTTATGGGTGCCGCCCGAGGTGTCGATGAAGGCTTGATATCGGGCGCGTTCAACTCGAAGGATTTTCAGAAATACATCAACTACGACTCTTACAGTGAAGTGGAAAAGACGAACATCAAAGGAGATGTTACCGCCATGGTGCAGATCGGTTCTGTCGGTGGGGCTCTTTTGTATGTTCTCCCTCATCGCCATCGAATCAGATTTTGGGAATTTTCTAATTCAATGTAACCATGCAGTGCATTCTTAGTTTGTGACCGTATTGGCCGTATCTGGGCTACTCGCCAGCTTTGCGTTCTTTGGATTATTGGAATCGCTATCTTCATGGGAAATGGTGGTAGTTTGGGTGCTGTTTACGCCGGGCGGTTTATTGCTGGACTGGGTGTTGGTCAAACTGTTGTGGTGGCCCCTGTTTATCTCGCTGAGATCGTATGTTATTTTCCTTCCTTTGATCTCTTAGACACTAGCTGACGTTATTTACAGGCACCTGCTTCCGTCCGAGGTCTTTGCACCTGTGTGTTCACTGGCTTCGTCTACCTTGGTATCGTGCTGGCCTACTTTGCAAATTATGGCTGTGAGCTCAATATCGGCGATACAACTCATAACCGATGGGTATGTGACAAGAAGATCCAGCATATCGACTTATTACTGACAGTACCTAGCTTGTACCGACCAGTATTCACATAATGTTCGCAGGAATCATCTTCATCCTCTCATTCTTCCAATACGAATCTCCTCGTTATCTTGTGAAGCGAGGCCAACACGAAAAGGCGATCGAAAATCTCTCAAAGCTCCGTGGTCTTAATCCAGAGCATGAGTACGTTGTTAGCGAATTCACTGCCATCCAAGCAACACACGAAGCCGAGCTCGAAGCCACTATGGGATCCGGCCCGATCGGTGTGATCAAAGAGGCTTTCTGCGTCCCATCGAACCTTTACCGTGTCTATTTGACATTTATGGCGCAAATCCTGTCCCAGTGGTCTGGTGCTGGTAGTATTACTGTCTACGCACCGGACTTATTCAAATTGCTCGGTATTACAGGCAGTAACGAGAGTCTGCTCGTCAGTGCGATTTTCGGAATTGTTAAATTGGTCGCAGCGATTGCTTGTACCCTGTTTCTGGTCGATGTTATCGGACGTAAACGTGCTCTTCTCATCGGCATTACACTCCAAGCCATCTCAATGGTATACATTGCTGGCTTTTTGAGTGCTGTTCCTGAAATGGGTGTCGTCGATGGCTTTGAGCTACCAGCAAACAAAAAGGGTGCCAGTGAAGGTGCGATTGCAATGATCTATCTCTCGGGCTTTGGATGGGCCCTGGGATGGAACTCTATGCAGTATCTTTTGACTGCAGAATTGTTCCCACTGCGGATTCGTGCCCTTTGCACTTCTATGGCGATGACTTTGCATTTTGCGAATCAATATGGCAACGCGCGCGCCGTGCCTAATATGCTTTTGCCTACCTCCCAGGAGGAATTGACCCCAAGGGTACTTTCTGGTGTTTTGCTGCTATCACTATCATTGGTGGCGTTTGGGTTTGGTTTAGCATCCCCGAGACGGCTGGTCGCTCTTTGGAGAGTATGGATCGTCTCTTTGCGTTGCCGTGGTACAAGATCGGAAGATATGGAAATAAAGATGCCGATGAGCGTGATCAATTTGTTGAAGACAAGATGGAAATGGTTGCTCAATCCCAAGGAACAGCTGAACATTCCGAGCGAGTCGATAAAGTCGATCCTTCAAGCCGCGTGTGATCAATTGACCAGTGTCGTCCTTGATTGCTCATCGTCGACTCGAGGCCGGGCGAGAATGGACCTCGGGACATAATTTTCCATCCCAAGATACCTACCTAGGTAGGTACTGCTGAGAACTGGTGGTGGTGTCTCCTTGAGGACTTCGAGTTTGTTTTGTCTTTGGAGTAGCTATTTATGGCTTAACGAACAGTTCAGTAGTTACAAATGAAACGATGTCTTTAATTTAGGCCATCATAAATGATTTCCATAATTCATTCACATGCAAATAAAATGCGGCTATATACATCAAAATTTCCCAACCGATCTATATGAAATCCAATCTTAACACCAAAAACAGGGCTGATAATGAAGTAACCAAAACGAATAGTGAAATAGAACTAACTTCAGAGCTCAACAAACTCATGACGAAGAAGCTCATCAGTCTTAAGCTGACCCAAATAGCCGGAAACCTTAGTGGTCAAGGTATCAATCTCATAGCCAAAGTACTTATAGGCTGCCTTTCCAGGGAGACTGTGACCGAAACGCTTCACACAGATACCGGCATCTGCGTAGCGCTCCCATCCGTTAGGTGCGTAAGGCTCGATCACAACGGCCGGGATTCCGCGGTGACGTCGGAGAACATCACGCTTGTACTCGAGTGGCTGCTTCTCGAACAGACGCTGGCAGGGGAAACTGACAACGCGGCTGGCGATACCCTGGGCCTTTAGCTTCTCAGCCACTTCAAGAGCGAATGAAAGCTCGGCTCCAACACCAATCAGAGTGACAACGGCCGACTCATCCTCGGTGAGAACATACGCACCGCGGGCCACTCCATCGCGTCGGGTTTGAGATAGTTGAGGGAGAGTCTGGCGGGAGGTGGAGATGATAGTTGGGGTCTTCTTCGCTTCAATAGCGGCAGTCCAAGCACCGGCGGTTTCCTCGCTATCGCCGGGACGGATGTATAAGAGGTTGGGCATGGCGCGGTACAGAGCAGCAAGCTCAATAGGCTGGTGAGTGGGTCCATCCTCGCCCATGCCAATGGAGTCGTGGGTTGCGACATGGATGATCTGCAGGTGCTGGAGAGCGCCCATCCGGACGGCGGGGGCGGCGTAGAGGTAGAACATGAAGAATGAAGAAGTGACCGGGATAATTGTATTCGGGGCGAATGCGGCCAGGCCGTTGGAAATGGCAGCCATGGCATGCTCACGGACACCATAGTGAATATAGCGACCGGAATAGTTACCGTTAATGCCGCAGGTGGTACGCAGGTCGGGCTATCCTCTTGTCAGTCCTATGCAAAATCATTGTGAAGTCACGGTTCAAACTTACGTGTTGGAAGTCAACCTTGCCGGGCCAGATCATGTTGACAGATGGGGACAGATCGGCAGTACCGACCATGAAGTTCTTGCATTCCTTGGCGATAGGGTTGAAGACCAAACCGCTGGAGGCGCGAGAAGCAGTTGGCTTCTCAGGGAAAGAGCTGGGGATGTGCTGCTTCCAGTCGGCCGGCAGCTCACCTCGCACACGAGCCTGGAATTCCGCTCCGAGCTCTGGGTTCTGAGCTGTGTAGTTGCTCACAAGCTGGTTCCACTCCTGCACATGTTGCTCTCCGCGAGCAGGGATATCCTGGAAGAATTGACGAACAACATCCCCAATGACGAAGTGCTGCTCGGGGTTGAAACCGTAAAGCTTCTTCATTTCAGCGACATTGTTGATGCCAAAGGCGGCACCGTGGGCAGTGGCAGTACCGGCGACTGCGCTGTCAAGGCCAATAACAGTGCGAACATTAATGAAAGTGGGCTTCTCCTTGGAGGCGCGAGCTTGCTCTAAGGCACGGACAATTGCCTCGATATCGAAGCAACCATCCTCGACATCAATGACGTCCCATCCACATGCACGCATCTTCGCATTGACATCCTCGGTGTTAGTGAGGTCCACAGATCCATCGCAAGTAATCTGGTTATTGTCGTAAATGACGGTCAGGTTATTAAGTCGGAAATGACCGGCGAGAGAGATGGCCTCGAGACCGACGCCCTCCTGCAGACAGGCATCTCCGATCATGCACCAGGTGTGGTTGTTAACAACGTCGAATCCAGGGCGGTTGTAGGTGGCAGCCAAGTTCTTGGTGGCCATGGCCATACCCACCGCATTCGCGATACCCTGACCCAATGGACCAGTGGTCACCTCCACACCCTCGTGTTCAATCTCGGGGTGACCGGGGCAGAGAGCGTCCACTCGGTCGGAGTGGTAAGACTTGAGTTGGTCAAAAGTCATGGCCTTGTAGCCGGTCAAGTGGAGGAAGCTGTACTGGAAGAGACATGTGTGGCCTTCGGATGCGATTGTCAGTACACTGAGTTTTGCGAGGCGACCAAGATCGAGAAATAGGGCGCTTCCACGTACCATTGGAGAGAACAAAACGATCACGGTTGAAGAAATCCGGGGAGTGTGGAGCGTAGCGCATCACGTACTTCCACAGCGAGACACCAATTGCAGCCATGCCGATGGCACCACTGTAGTGGAAAGGTTAGAACGCAGTCCGTTTGCGCATTGATAATATGAGTATGAACATACCCAGGGTGACCGCCGCTGAACTGTTGGCATAGATCGGCGATGAGCAAACGGAATGTCTTGAGGACCAAGTCATGATCACCGGACAGCTTCTGCACCAATGGAAGGGCAGAGGGCGCAGCCTTCTGGACTCCGTTTGTTTGTGTCATGATGGAGTGAAGGAAGTGCGGAGGAGAAAGAAAGGATGAGAAGAAGAGAAGAGACGAAAAAGATGGAGATTTCCCCGCCTCGCTCCTTCCTCGTTCCTTTTAAAACCTGGGGAGCTCGGAAGGTCGCACCTTCCCAACTGGGCTGCGTCGACAAACATAGCCCGATTAGGAAAGAATGCTAAGTTCCCCATAAAAGAGGCAGCCGCACCCACCGCTGATGTAATCAGTTCCAGTTCCCCCGCATCCCAATTAGGAAGTGGCAACCACCCACAGTCACCCGCAATCGCCCCTCGCTCGGCCCGATAATCGACTGCCGAATGTCTTCGGAGTCGGGGCTATTTCTACCATTTCTGGTACCTTTTACCCCCCCCCCCCCCACATTCAAATCAGTTCCACACAATTAGGCGGGTATCAATTTGGTCATATTCATATCCAAGCACTAACATCTTGCACAAAATCAAAGTCATTACCTACTGCAAGTGCCCATTATGAAGCTATCGTACATCGTCTAGATCTTGTAACATAATGAATTTACTCCTGCACTTCCAGAATTTAGCTGGTCAGAATTGTCTGAGACAGCCATTTAAGCATGTCGCCCTATGGTGGCTAAAATGCATCATTTTCTACGGTATCCCGGCATAGATCTTCGAGGATTTGGCATTTCTCTCTCAGATAACAATAATAGTTCCCAGCCGAGTCCTCGCGGTGACCATAAGACTTGAAAATAAGATGTACCCAGGCACGAGATCTTGGAATTAGTTTTACTAAGAATTGACTTTACTATATCCCGAGGTCCAGGGCTCTTTAAGTTGTCTCTCCCTCCAACCTTGGAAATGACCCAACTACTCCTACGACCTCAATCTCAAGGCAAAGCCTTTAGCTATACATACTGCTAGTGAATGTGCTTGCATGTAGCTGATACGCAGATTGTAATACAATAATCGATCAATCAATGTCTCCAATCTCTGGGGGACGAGCATAATAAGTTTCCCAATCATCACAACTCCGCATCTTGTGAAATCCTGGCAGTACTACCCAACGCCAGGACATTTTCATCCAGCCGACATTGTGCAGGGTACACCCCTCAATAGGCTCCTCTGCCTCAGTCTCATGGCCATTAGCAATGTCCTCTTCATCAAGTACCTCAGGCTCCCATTCACCATAAATCATGCGAACAAATCCTGTCTCATCCATGTCAGAATCCTCAGGGACATTTAAGACTGATTCCATAGCTTCCTGGTCCACTGCGATAAAAAATCTGTAACGGCCATTGGCTGCACGATAATTTTCAGGAACATCCTGTTCCTCTTTCAATGAAGTCTTTGCCCATTGATTAAAGTGCTCACGTAAAGTAGCAGCTGTCGCGCCCTCAAAAGAGGGGTTTTCCAGGACTGTTGGCATATATGTGTCAAGGAGATCAAGGCCGTTGTAAGACTCAAGGTGATTTGTGACTTCGTTCAGGAAGCGAGCCATGAACTTCTCCCAGTCAGAGTTGTTTTGGTATGTGCATCGATAGATCACAAAGCCCCATTTTTTGAATCCGTCCTTCTTGAGCAGCGCCTCGATAATATCCGCCTCATTCAGACCGGCACTCATCGCGGGAGTACGTTTTGAGGGGATCATTATTGCTGAGGGTGTGGTAATGGTATTCCGGAAATGTGATGGTTTATGCGCGGGCTGCGCGAGATGTGAAGGGCGGCAGGTAATGGGAGCAAGGGCGAGAACAAATCTTCGACGGGCGGAAAGGGCAGATTGGCCGTGAAAACGTGGAGAGCAGACATTTGGAAGAAGTCTCCTTCCAATCATGGGTGTGAAAGTCTCTCCTTGGTGTTTTTGTTATGAAATGACGGGGGGGGTAAGAAAGAAAGGTTGGATCGTTTAGGGAGCTGGGCATGGCTTAGGGGCAAGCAGGAACGTTCCAGGGTTGCAAGGTTTAAAAGTGGGGATCCAATCGGGCCCGCATGCCCCCAGTCCAGCTGTAAACCTGTGTAAACCTGTGTCTGTCTGGGTAACAGGAGAAGTGGACCTGCGGATAATATTATCAGAGCGAAGCATCCAAAACACCAGGCCAATCCTATAGCGTCGATCAGGGGTTGCTAAGATATAACGGCGGCTCCAGTTCTAATACATCACACAAGATTTTAGGAAGCCTGGACAGTCGCGGATACATGTGGATTTGAATCCGTTAGGAGAGTTCAACAAATCTCCACCTCCTTGTCTTTTATATAAGGAGGCAAAATTTTTCAGATTAGGTTAATATAACGGGAAAACCTTGGATCATGTTGAGATAGATGACATGAATTGGCGGTGTCGATCACGGAGTACACTATTCCGATTACATCGCTTCGTGAGGGATAGGAATAAGACTTGAAAGAGATATAAAAACCTTGTAATATAGAGTTCTTGAGGATCTTCAGGAATTAGTTTTGTTTCAATCCGGAATATACTGTCCATCTCGGTCGTGCTATCCTTGCCTTGCCCAGTCAATATCTTAAACCTTTTACAATAAGGATATATTGTAATATCTGATTTTGAGATAGTAGAAAGTTAAAATACCTTTACTCTAGTAAGCTATACTATAATATAAAATGCTAGGATAGATAAACTAATTCCTATAAATATAGTTATTCAAGGTAAAAAAAACTATATAGTTAAGTAAATACTTAAGGCCCTAGAAGAAAGCAACATTTTGGAGAAATATAATTTTATACTATTTGACTATAAAAAATTAAATACTATATATAACTTACTTGATAGTAGTATCTATAGATTATTTAAATATATCAGTTCTACAGAGCTATATGTAGCCTCCCAAAAATCTCAAGGAATTCGCTGCTTTTTGTGGTGAGAACGACTTGCACTTCATTTCGGATGGGATATATGCTTTCTCGGTTTTCCCGAACCCTACAATTCCAGAAGCGACTTGATTCACTTCTATTCTCAATCTGGACCTGCAAAATCTCGTCGACCCGACCCGCATGCATGTTCTCTATGGCGCGAGCAAAGATTTCTGTGCGAATAGTTTACGAATGGGATTCGTCTGCACAAACAACGAGGGTATTATGGAATCAATTTCTAGTATTGGGCAGGTGCTCCCAGTTTATCAATTATGGCTACTTGCTAACTTGGGCCGCGTTTAGTATATTTTCTTGGTCGCCTCATATCCTACAGGATACCTGGGCTGGGATGTTAGAAGACCAGCAGTGGTTGGACATATCCATGGCGCAAAAAACGGCTTTCGTGCTAGATAGATACCAGACGATCACGAATATTCTTTCTCGGCACGGTATTCCGTATTTTGATATGTACGCAGCAGATGTGAAATCACACTTGTGGCACGAGCTGATCCTTCATTGGGAATGCAGATTTATTTCTCTGGGTTGATCTTCGGCATCCACTCGTGTCGAAATCTTCAGTTCGGCATTCGGACTACGGCGCATTAAAAACCACATCCCCAGGTGCCTCCTACAGCCTCGAACTCGAGCTGAAGATAGCAGATATTTGTATGGAAAACGGGGTCATGATCGCTCCGGGCCACGTATATATGGCGGAAGAATATGGTTGGTTTCGAATCACGTTCACCGTGGGACAAGATGCATTGGAAGAAGGACTGAAGCGTTTTTTAAAGTCTGTCGAAGAGATGGAATTGAGAAGTGAGGGCTGGAAAACAACATGATCGAGCAAGCAATAAATTGGCCCCTGGTTCTTTTTATACATGTACCTGGGTATCACGACTATGTAATTATAACCTGTTGAAGCTTCTTCTGGTGCCTATTTATGCATAGAGAATGCCATGTCTGACACCATGACGGAGATCAGGGCAGCCTATGATGTATATTTATTAACCTGTTTGCAAAGAGCAGAGTAAAGGCATACCGGTGGCAAAGGAACTCACCAAAGATAGATCAAAATTTTCAGCGACGATCACATCCAGCGTCAATCGTTTGGACAGCTCCCGGTCCGGTACGCTTGTGGTATATTTACCAACTGGGGGCTGATGTTCGACTCTGTCGACGCTCTCTCGGATATGCACAAGAGTCCTATCACCGAGTGAGACTATCCAGTTACAATATAATGCATTCGTAGACCGAATATGCAGTGTGACCATTCTGTCCGCATCTCCCTTCACGTCTTGGGCCGCAGCATTTCGAAATGTCATGTCAAATCGATTGACCCAATAGGCACTTGTTCTATGGGTACTTGCGATCTCTGAATCTTTGTTTGCGGCTTTGCTACTACCACTACTACCTGGTAGTCGAACCAACCAGGGGCCTCGCTTGCGCCACGCGGGTGTCCAAATCTTTTCACATTCGAATAATGGAAGACCTGAAGAGTCACGGATATCTCTCACGCCTTTTCTATGGTAGCTGGGACCACTGGCTGTAAGGAGAGTTGTGTCATCGCTATCAAACTTGACAGCATATTCATCGATGGCCTTGGTGTCGTAGCGGGGTTGAAGATATAGCCGGCGCTCGAACTCGCTGATGTGCTCCGGTCGCAATGCTATATTGAAGGGGGCGGGTTCGATATTCCGATTGAAACTCATAATCAATTTGAAGTCACAGGTGGTATTATCGAGGTTGGTGGGATTGGGCTACACATTCTGGGACTAAAATAATTTCGAGGCTGGGATGGGGGCGAAGTTCACAGGGAGAGGTCTGAACACTATTAGGACTAGTTTATATCAAGGTCGGGGGCCAGATGGAATAAATTAGATAAGTTAGGCCACGAGACTCAAGAAAAGACCCACATTGAAGATCTGTCAAATCAGGTTTAAGTTCACCTCTATTTAATACATTTTGGTGGGAAAGTTAACTGGTCGTTACTAGTAGTGACGTCAGTAACAACGCGAGAACGAACTCGAAGTATACAAAACCTTGGAATGATCAGATCGAACAATAATGAAGCTTTCACAGATTACTACTACTATTAGTACCCATGACAGGTGGTTTCCCAGGTTTCTGATACTAGTAGTAGCCGACAACCTTGGAACTTGAAGCTGGGCAGGTCTGGATCGAGGCTCTGCTCAAGTCCAAGTTTGTACCCAAGGAGTAATAACTAGTAGTAGCGATATGTATTAACTTGAAGAGCCTCGAATTTTATTAGAATCGAAAAGCAACTTGACTTGGAATTCATAAAAGATACCTGGATCGACTACTTTAGTATAGGTGAATCGGAGATAGAAGAATTCAAGTTCCAAACTTGAAAGGCCTGTTAAGTTAGCCCTGGAGTGTATACTCAGATTTATCATACAGAGTAGTAGAGCCTTTAAATCACCGACATTAAGTTCCTTGCTACTAGTACTAGTACGCTGCAAACTTTTTGCAAGAAAGAAGGTCCAATATATTATAATATAATATAATATAATATAACATAAAATTAAATAATAGCATGATTCGGATGCACATACCCTACTATATGCCTAGTAATGCTGCACTTTTCGGCCACCTCCGCGGAACTTCTGCCCCGCCAAGCGGATTCCTTTCCACTCCAACTTCTCTCCTCTTCATCTACTCCTCCACCCCTGCTGCACTCCTCCAACTCGATGGCCCCCGTCGAGGATACCTGCGCCTCCTTGCGGGCGCAGATCTCCGCCACAGAAGCCCACCTCGCCGGGCTCAAACGCGACCTCGCCGAAGCCGAGAAAGTCGCGCACAGCGCGCGCCCCACCAACGATTATGAGAATGCGCCCAATTGCACTGACACTGAGACTGGCACCGGTCGGTGGCCACTGCTAAAGGAGGAATATAAGCGATATGGTCGGCAGATGATTGTATCTCAGCTTGGTCTAGAAGGTGAGAAACGGAGGCGCGCCAATGGATTTTGACAGGTGACTGACATTGCGCGCCATTGAACAGGTCAACTCAAACTACGATCCGCAAGAGTTCTTCTCGTAGGAGCTGGTGGCTTGGGATGCCCGGCTGCCCAGTATCTCGCCGGTGCAGGCGTGGGCACTATCGGGCTGATTGACGGCGACACCGTCGAGAGCTCGAATCTGCATCGCCAGGTGCTGCACCGCACGAAGAATGTCGGGAAATACAAGGTGGACAGCGCCATTGAGGCATTGAGGGAGTGAGTGGATAACAGTTCTCCTGGCCGCATATACCATACCACATATGAGATCGTTCTTCTAACGGTTTTACTCTGCCATGCAGACTCAACCCCCATCCGACGTATATCCCCCATCGAACACATCTTACCCCCGAAGACGCCCCCGCGATCTTCGCCAACTACGACTTCATCCTCGATTGCACCGACAATCCCGCGACGCGATACCTGATCTCCGACACGGCTGTTCTACTCGGCAAGACTTTGGTTTCCGCATCTGCATTACGAACCGAGGGCCAGCTGATGGTCCTGAACAACCCGCCTCGACCCCCCGGAGATCCAGAGGGAGGTCCATGCTATCGATGTGTCTTCCCCAAGCCACCGCCAGCGGACAGTGTTGTCAGTTGTGCCGATGGGGGAATTTTGGGACCGGTGGTTGGCACAATGGGAGTTCTACAAGCGTTGGAAGCCATCAAGGTGATCACAACGCCGTCCCCGGATAACTCGAGCTCGACGCCAAAACGCGAGTCACCGTCCCTCCTGATCTTCTCCGCATACTCGAATCCCCAATTCCGCTCTATCCGCTTGCGTGCCCGCCGGGCTAACTGTGCTGTCTGTTCCGGTGATGCCTCAGTTACATTGGACACGATCAGGTCCGGATCTACCGATTATGTTTTCTTCTGTGGTTCGGCGACCCTTCCCTCCTTGCTGGCGCCTAGGGAACGTATTTCGCCGAAGGCCTACCGCGAAAAACACTCCCAACCCACCAACTTAGAAAAATCCATCATGATTGATGTGCGTGACAAGGCACAATTTGGCATTTGCAATCTGGAAAATAGCATCAATGTCCCCATCAGCAATATTCTTGCTTCGAGGGCCAATCCTTCCCAGGCTGAACTGCCCCCCTGGGTCCCCGCCGAGCTGGCCTCGTCCGAGTCGAAAGATCCCATCTATGTGGTGTGTCGGCTCGGAAATGACTTCCCAAATTGCCGTTCAGAAGTTGAAAGAGTTGGGACTGGACCAGAATGGACAACGGTACATTGGAGATATTCAAGGTGGATTCCGGGCATGGCGGGAGCAGGTCGACCCCGACTGGCCGGAGTACTGAAGCAGAAGATGGAACAGATTGTATGTATCTTCACATTATCTAGATCGAGGACAGATCTGCCAGCACCCCACGACATGAGTCATTTGGCAGTCCAGAAATCGGCCATGTGGGAACTGTGCAAAGCATGGTAGCATTTCCAGCCCCGGGTAAATGTGGTAATTGTGGTAGAGATCCACTCTCCGTCACTCTTTTCCACTTTATTCCATGCTGTCCCGCTCTGTCAGCGCTTCGACCTTCTCGGGACCCTTTCGGAGACCCGATCGGGCAAACGGGGTTACCGACACCGGCGGGGTCAACGGCGTTAAGATGGTTGAGGTGGTGAGGATGGTCCAAGGTGGCTGAGACGAGGTCCAAGCCGAATATTCCGATTACCCGAGTCTCCGAACAACCTGGAACACCATGCTATACCATGCTTTACCATTGGATGATCGGATGAATTGTATATTTTATACTTCATCTCTTTCCCCGCAGGCCTTACCTAAGACCCCCACCGTCCCCAAGATTAGTTAGTACATTACTAGTATTTTGTGCTGGCGTGATTACATCGCATCATTCGTCAACTCATTTCGTTCCTATTTATTTGATTTCCCTCATTCTCCTCACTCCTTTCTCTCCTCAATTCCCAAACATCAATCCCATATACCCTCTCCCATTCAGAATGACAGACCTCCCTGAAATGCAGTACCGCTTCCTCGGCCGCACCGGCTTGAAGGTCTCGGTCATTTCACTTGGTAGCTGGCTCACATACGGTGGTCATGTTGGCAATGGTATGTGCGAATATACAGGGCTATTTCCACCAATTAATACCAAACTATCCTTGTTCACTGCTAACTTTTCATAAGAAACCGCCTTCGCCTGCGTTAAAGCCGCCTACGATGCCGGCGTCAACTTCTTCGACACAGCCGAGGTCTACTCCGGCGGACAGTCCGAGGTCGTTCTAGGAGAGGCCATTAAGAAGTTTGGTTGGAAGCAGAATGACCTGGTCATTTCCACCAAGGTAGGGCACCCTCCAAGTTCTTTCGAGCCATTGGTTGATCCCTGATCTCTGGCGGAGGGTTCGGCAACTCACTAACATTCCTAGATCTACTGGGGCAGGGCAAACGCCGCCAACCCCAATAAGCCCCTCAATAACAACGGTCTGTCCCGAAAGCACATCATCGAGGGCATGAACCTGTCTCTGCAGCGATTGGATCTGCCCTATGTGGATATTGTCTACGCGCATCGTCCAGACCGCGACACCCCCATGGAGGAGATCGTTCGTGGATTCAACTACCTCATCAACAACGGCAAGGCTTTCTACTGGGGTACATCGGAGTGGTCTGCCAGTGAGATCTCCGATGCCTGGCGCATCGCTGATAGACTGGGTCTCATTGGCCCCGTTGTCGAGCAGCCGCAGTATAACCTTCTTGTTCGCGAGCGCGTAGAGAAGGAGTACCGCTGGCTGTATGAGGCTCATGGGCTGGGTCTGACTACTTTCTCGCCTCTCAAGGGTGGTGTGTTGACGGGCAAGTACAATGATACCTCTGCGCCTCCGGCTGGTACGAGACTGGCGGAGTCGGAGGATGGATATGTGAAGAACCTGCGCACGACTGTTGGTGATGATACCTGGACCCGCCAGTTGAAGCAGGTGGCTGCGCTAAAGCCTGTCGCTGATGAGCTGGGTGTGTCGACGGCTCAGCTGTCATTGGCGTGGATTCTGAAGAATCCTAATATCTCGTCTATGATTACTGGTGCTTCGCGCCCGGAACAAGTGCTGGATAATGTTCGTGCTCTGGCGTTAGTGGACAGACTGACTGATGAGGTTATTGAGAAGATTGAGAAGGCGGTGCAAAGTCAGCCGGCTGTTGAGGTCAGACGGTTTTAGATACAGGTGCTGGTTAATTACTATGATGCATGATGCATGATGTATGATGAACGAGAAATCAAATCTGCAAGAAAATTACTGTCTAGAATTTCAATATCTGCGAACCTTGGAACTACTAGCAGAATTTACAATTCCTCGTAATGGTGTATCCCCCACCGATCACTCGAACACCAGATATCATTATCATGACGGAATTTCACAGTTAGTGTATGTAAATCCATCATCTGCAATGCGACAATCGGGTAAAACTCTTCCAGGATGCCCTCTAGGGCCACATTAAGATGTCCCTTGAAATCTGCGCCGGCCACGTCCTCACCCCATAGGGCAAGGGGAGCTCCTTGGGATACGGCAACAACAAAAGGAATCCTTTGGCGCTCACGGCGTGGGGCGGAAGAGGGTAGTGGGGAGGAGAGAACCGACTCCATAGAAGCTGGGGTTACCATCAGACAAGCGGAGGTCATGAGTCCTCGTGGTAAGTTTAAGGCCATTTCATCAAAGCGTCTTCGCATGGTATATCAGTAAAGTATCACTGATGTATATGAATGTATCAAAACCCCTGGAACCAACGTAAAAGAGACATACCTGGCCACATCCGCCGCATCTACGCCCTCCAATTCAGGGTCTTCCACCCACTGGAACTCCAACAAATCAATCGCTCGGTCTACCTTGGGCAACGAGCCCCGATGCGGGCCCAATTGATCCTCGATCACCGTATCCCACTTTCTCCGAAATTCTACCCACTGCCTCTCATGCTCGCCCCCATAGGGAGTGGTGCGGAACACCACCAATCCCCATTTCCCCCAGTCCTTAGACTCTGTAAATCGGAAGACACGATCCAGAGTCTGGACGAAAGGTGCAAGAAGCTCCAGCCTCTTCTGTTTAGTTTCCTCAGACTCGACAGCGTCAGCTCGAGCCTGGTAGCGGCGACTCATTTCCTGCAAGATTTCACGGAAACCATCTTCGCCGTGAGTGGATTTCAAGCCGTCGAAGAGCGTAGTGCGTTGGGTTTCTGAGAGGGCCATCATGTCTTCGCTGCTGGCATCGAGAAGTCTTTCATGAGTCCAGCCTTCTGGGTAGAAAGACATGGTCAGAATGAGGTAGGTGTAGTAATCTTGAAGTTGAAGTTGAAGTTCATTCACAAGTAGTTGGTGCTTGCCTTGGCATCTAGTTATTACTACTAACTAGTGGTAGTTAGCCAATGGTCACCACCCACTTTCCAGTTACTATTTTTAATAATAGCTGGTAGTGAGATAACTTATTAATACTCCAGGCTACTCATCTCAAATATTAATTGTAACACTCATAATATAAAAAACCAAGTTGGTTACTCAATCTGTTAAGAGAGACAGTCACATGACTTCACGTCACCCAGTCCCCAGACTTCAACTTCAAATCGCACAACTTCAACTTGATCCTTGCATATGCTGGAAATCTCATGAATTGCTTGCGGACAACAGCTCGCTGCTTATCCACCATGGCATCTCCAATTTCATCATCCTCGCCCTTTACCCGCTCAGTCGTGGAATCTATGAGGAAGATGTACGTCGCCGGCTAGCTCGAGCTCTACGTGAAGCTTCGGTCTAACATTCAACCCTCACAGCTACCCTGAAGCGCTAGCAGACAAGAGCTTTGACAACACTGGATGTCAGTCATCCTAGTATACTTGCAGTGGGAAGCTGTACTAGTAGCCTCCAGGGCCTATCTCGGTCCATATTACCTTCCTTGCTAACATGCTACTTGAACAGTGCTTCTTGAGGCTCCCTTTGACCCATCACGACGACAGAAGAACTCGGTTCTCCTCGCCATCGACTTGACAACCGCCGTTGCCGATGAGGCTATCAAACGTCGGGATTCAGCCATCGTGGCCTACCGTGAGACCATCCCTCCCTGCCTCCGAATCCTCAAAGCAAAGCGGTTCCAGTCACTAATGCAGCAAGCCTCATCTAGATCCGATCATCTTCCGCGGCCTGAAGGCTATCACCCTCGATGATACACAACAACGATCACTCCTGCGATTAGTCCAACATGGAATTAGTGTCTACTCCCCGCATACCGCAGTTGATACCGTCCCTGGAGGAATGGCCGATTGGCTTTGTGACGTGGTAACGGGTACCTTCCAACCCGTCGCGACTCAGACACATCCTGCTTCTCAGAGCTGTAATTCCAAGTTATACTCGGTTCCGACCTACCCTCAGGCTCAAGCTGTTCCCACTGGAGCATCGGCAGACGCATCCCAGCAAATCCCCCATACCCGATCCACCATCCACCCATCTCCTGCGGCGTCAATTCCGGAAGGATTCGAGTCGGCCGGTGCGGGCCGTCTGGTCACATTCAACGAGGATCAACCTCTTACAACTCTGATTGACCACATTGGTCGTGGTGTTGGTCTCCCCGGCGGTATCCCCATTGCGATTCCGCAATCGCAGTCAATTGACAACATTCGCATTCGTACGGTCGGCATGTGCCCCGGTTCGGGATCGGGAGTACTCATGCGCGGGAACGAAATCCCCGATCTGCTATTTACGGGCGAGATGAGCCATCATGAGACGCTGGCTGCTACGGAACGTGGTTCGGTGGTCATCTCTTTGGCCCACTCCAACTCCGAGCGCGGATACCTTCGGGCTGTCATGCAAACCCAATTGCTGCAGGAACTCTCGCGACAGTGGAAGGCCGACCGGGAGAGTGCTCTGCAGGCCCTTCACGATAGCGCGAAGCAGGGTGGATCAGCTTTGTCCTCTTGCGCTGAGATCTACCAAGATGGCGGCGTAGAGGTATCAGTTAGTGAAGCCGACCGTGATCCTTATGGAATCATGGTCTGGCGAGGATAGGGGAAATAAAGGAAGAATACTAGAATACTTCAAATATACTTGGACACTCTACATATTAAGCAGCCCCGATTCTCTGAACGGTGCAACTATCGTGGTTGAGGATCCCGTCAGGATTTCACGTGGGGCCGCAACGCCATCGCGGGGCAGATTTTTGATCACTCCAACTCGACTTTATGCGTTGGTCGCCCTCGTTTTTCTCTTCCATCTCCAAACCCTTTCGTCGCATCGAGTCGCCGAAACAATACGCGCGCAGAATGGCTGCTCTTCCTTCTACCTACGACGGTTTGTCTTTCCCTCAATCTATGGCATTGCCCCTCCCTCTCTCTTCCCTCACCCTGCCAGATGTGAATGTCAAAGCTGACCGGACGCGCGACTCCTTCAGGGCCTGTCCCGATTGCTGTCATTGGCGGTACTGGACTGCGTGAGCTGCCTGGTTTCACCCAAGTAGCCTCTCTGTCCATCAACACTCCCTGGGGTGAAACCTCCTCGCCCATCACCATCCTGCACCACCAGTGCAAGCACAATGACAAGACTGTCGCCGTGGCCTTCCTGAGCCGTCACGGTGCTCACCACCAGATCGCCCCTCACGAAGTCCCCGCTCGTGCCAACATCGCCGCTCTGCGCTCCATTGGTGTCCGCAGCATCATTGCCTTCTCCGCCGTCGGCAGTCTGCAAGAGGCCATCAAGCCCCGCGACTTTGTCATCCCCGACCAGATCATCGACCGTACCAAGGGTGTCCGTCCCTGGACCTACTTCGAGAAGGGTATTGTTGCTCACGTCCCCTTTGGTGACCCCTTTGACGAGGGTATTGCCAAGGTTGTGCGTGAGTGTGGACACAGTCTGGAGGGAGATGGGGTTGTCCTGCACGACCGTGGCACCATCGTCTGCATGGGTAAGTTTTGACCTTTTGACCCCGCCACCATCATACGACTGGCATGGAGCCATCCCATGCCACAACTTGAAATGCAATATGCTGACCTTGCCGCGTTTGCCTGATCAGAGGGCCCGCAGTTCTCCACTCGTGCTGAGAGCAACATGTACCGCGCCTGGGGCGGTAGCGTGATCAACATGTCCGTTCTCCCCGAGGCCAAGCTGGCCCGCGAGGCGGAGATCGCTTACCAGATGATCTGTATGTCGACGGATTATGACTGCTGGCACGACTCGGCGGATGTCACCGTGGAGATGGTGATGGGCCACATGAAGGCGAACTCTGAGAATGCTCGTCGCTTTGTTACCGCAGTCCTGGATGCTCTCGCTGGAGAGGAGCACAGTGAGCTGATCCAGGCCAAGCACCTTGCTGGATCGATCAAGTTCGGAGTCACTACTCCACAGCCGCACTGGAACGCCGAGGCCAAGGAGAAGCTGGACTGGTTGTTCCCTGGTTACTTTTAGATACCCACAGGATGGATAGACTCGGACAGAGCAGAGTAGATATTACGGAATAGAATCAGACAAACTCTAAGACTCTACGCTTGGACCGGTGAGTGGAAAGAGTCTCCTCTTTCTCTTTCTCCTCTTTTTCTGTAGTTCCTTTCTATTCTAGATCATAAACATAAACCCCAACTGTATCTCCCAACCAATGAGTGTCTTTCTATTTGAAGCTGTCGTGCAAACAAGACAAACCCGCGCGGGCGTTAAAGTCGGGCGGTCTCCCCACTTTCTCTTGGATGATCGCCTCTACATCATTCCATCATTCCGTCATTTCTTCAAGTTCTTTTCATTTACCTTTCCTGCCCTGACTATATTTTATTCCATTAATCTCCACTATCCAGGGAATACAATTGACACACAATATGCGGAACAATATCTGCCATCTTCCAAATGGCCTCTCCTTCACCGTCACGCCAGTCTTTGGCGGGGTCACCTTCAAGTCGAATGATATGGCAACTACCAATCCCACTTTTCCACCCGGTTGGACAGTCATTATTCACAGTGAAAAAGTCTCGGGCATTTCTCCTGAACAGAGAGGACGAGAGGGCTCGGTGAACGGACATCCCGCCGACGATAAGAATAATGACGACGACAAGACTGTCCGATTCACGACCCCCACTTTGAATCGCGATTGTATCTACATCTCTTATATTGTCAACCCACCCTCCAGCGAGTTCAAACCAGTCACTTCACCTACTCGTCAGATTGCAATGATGCTCTGGGCTACATTATTGTGGTATTTCCATGAGCCCAAGCCCGATCCTCATCTTCAAACTGTTGCCTCAAGTTCGACCCCTCATGCGGGGCAACCTAAGGGCGAGTGGCGCGTCAATATTCGACGCGAGGGCATTTTCAAGGGCCGGAACCTCTTGCAGAAGCTGGAGCGCATGGGGATAGTTTCAAATGAAGACTCTTCCGTCGGATTGCAGCCCGTCGAGACACGCGACTCAGCTAGCTGGTCGAAGATGTTCGTTAGCCAACGCACATTCTGGCAACTTGATCCGCGACTCTTCTTATTCACCCTTACTCCTCGGGGATTCCCACCATCCCCTTCTTTGACACCCTTCCAATCACGACCTTCTTCTCCAATGCGGGATTCTCTACCTCCGACCTCATTACCCCCCCGCTGAAACCGCATTCGGTACCGGCAACGCCGAGGTTTTCACATCGGCTGGTCCTTTTACATCCGCTAGTCACTTGCCGACTTACTACCCACCGGCGCCTACTCAATATACCTTCACGAATGGGTTGCGCCATCCTATTCGTCCCAAGCCACCCCATCAAGGAGAGGTCTTCTATGTTCGCCACGTTCCTAGTGTGGGACAGTATCTCTCATTCCGCATTCCTTTCCTCCCAGCCACCAAGCCGGCTCAAAGTGACAGTCGGCCCACAACACCAACGAGACCCGTCAGTTCTCATGTCACGAGCGTGAAACAACACCTCTCCCAAAGCTTATCATCAGATCTCGATACCCTGCACCGGTGGATGAACGACCCCCGCGTAGAAGCCATGTGGGGGGTGGGCGGACCAAAGCCCGTCCAAGAAAAGTTTTTGCTAGACAACCTATCTAGCCGGCACAGCTTCCCTGTCATTGGATGCTGGGACGGAAAGCCATTCGGCTATTTTGAAATTTACTGGGTCAAGGAAGATCCCCTTGGTCGACTGCTTGATCGAGTTGATAACTACGACCGGGGCATTCATGTTCTTGTTGGCGAACAAGAATTCCGCGGGCCCCACCGCGTCATCCTCTGGCTCACTGCTTTGGTGCATCACTGCTTCTTGGCTGATATGCGCACTGAGGCGGTCGTTCTTGAACCGCGCGTTGATAATCTCAAACTGATTAATTATTTGCTACAAGTTGGGTTTTATAAAGAGGGAGAAGTTAGCTTCCCGCACAAGCAGTCTGCTGTTATGAAGATCAAGCGCGAATACTGGGATGCGCCCGCCATTTGAGGGCCTGGGAAACACCGCCCAATCTACGAGATTATGACGACTCATGATTGATGAATGAAGTATATGCATATTTGACTTTCCATTGTTCTGCGTGTTCCATCGTTTATCTTTTCCTTGCTCGAAATGTTGCATTGTGGCCGTTTTCTAAATCTTTTTCTGAGATCTCTCTCGGTTGCTTGACCTGAGAATAGTCCTCCAACCTCTCAATAATAAGTCGATATACCAGCTTCATACCTAGTCTTTATCAGCAGCCCCTGCATATCAATAGCCATTTCATGATCGTAAGTGCTTATGGTCCACATAAGCTCTGTCTCGGTATGACAGAGCGCTGGAGATTGCATCGCATCCTCAAAAGGCAGCCAACAGTACCTAGCTAGTAGAAATTGAGGAATAGCATTGTCTCGAAGGGGTATCATGTCCTTTGTTTTCTCAAGGTACATGGGAGTTTTGCTTCCCACCTGGGCACCTGGGCACGTCGCTTCTTTGACTACCTAGGTAGGACGATGTCATTTTCCCGAACTCGGGCTCTAAAAAGTTCGACAAGCCATAATTGAAGCTTACTCTCGATTCATAGGATAGAAGGATTTCCAGGAATATCAAGTAGGTAAGCCAAGCGAAAACATTACTATGTATGCATGATTCAGGTTGACCCTTTTGGGAATGAAATCCGGGGATAAAGTAAGAAAGTACCGCTAGCGCCCGGCCATGGTCTAGAGTTTCTATGGGTAGTGTTCCAAGGTTGGCTGGTATTAACAACAGGAAGTTCCCAGCTAAAAATATCTTGTACTAGTACTGATAACCAACTGATGGACTCCAGGTTCCTTACATTAACTTGAACTCGGAGAACTCCCCTCTCAAGGTCCCACACTGGCAGGGTATACTAGTTAAATTTTCAGACTCTAGAATTCCCTCGCGATGAAACCACCCCGTAGCATTGTCTTAATTTCATGATTTCGAAAGGCTTAGTGCATGTCAGATTAGCTGGTTAATGCAGGTGTTGACGGCAGAGTATATACCGAATAGGCCGAGTATAGGCTAAATGCTAACCGGAAGTCGTCCGCAATTGGCGCTGGGATTAGAGCTGGAGAAGGAGACCCCCACTTCACATGCCGGCACTTGTACCCAGCGATGCCTTAAAGGGGAAGGTGATTCCACAATTACGACTGTGATTGCGACTTGACTGGTGGCCGGGGCCGACTGGTTATTGGGTTCGCCCAACGCCGGAGTCAAGTCAAGTCACAGCCGGTTCGGAGTTTGTAGTGGCCAAGAACATGGTATTGGCCGTCGAGATTGCAATTTATTTGAGAGAATACGAAGTACATTAGGGTACTCCGTACATACGTCAATTTCAAAGTCATGGGTACTGAGCAGATGTAGAAGGAGTATCGTTAGTTAACACATGCCAGGTACTAGGGGTACTGGGTGGTGGCACGGGGAATGGATGTGAATGTGAATGCACATCCCTGCTAAACTCGGTATGCAGGAAGTTCGACAGGGGTCAGTGAAGAGATACCTCTACTCTAGAGGTATCTATTCGAGGTATCTACAGTGTAGGTGTGGAGGTGTGAATCCGGCAAGGTTTGTTGGGGATGCATGTGATGCCCGATTAGTCATCTTTTTTCACGTGCAACTCGGCTTCACCTTCTTCGCGTTCTTCTTCTTCAATCGTGACTGGCTCCCACTGCTTTCTGACACTGCGTATTCGTTCGTCGGCATTACGCTTGTATTCTTCTCCGGCCCCCTCCACTCCGATTTCGATTCCCACTAGCCGCTGCGATCTTCATTCCCCAACCCGAAAGCCTCAACTCACCCTAAGCCTGGCGCCCACTTATATCCTACCATCTCCACCCCAGCATGCCCCCGCCGTGATGGACCTCGAAAAGCAGTCCTCCGAGGATCGCGATCGGTCGCACCGAGCTACCAGCGTACTGTCTATGGACGACCTCGAGGCTGCCCAAGCCTTAGAAGGCCTTCGCGCCGACTTTGGCAACTCTCACTCACCCAGAGTTCCCCGACAACCTCTTCCCACATCTCCCGACCCTCCATCAGCCGAACCGCTTCTTTCTCTCCTCACTTCCTCTCACCCTCTCATCTCCTCCGCCATCAACGGGTCTGTATCGGCCTACACCTCCTCCAAGTCCTATTCCGCGCGATTCAAGTCCAGCGCCGAGTTTATCGAGCGCAACATTGGTTCTCCCGTCGCAAATACTGTTGGAACTGTTGGTCGAAAGACTGGTGTAGAAAGTGGTTTGCGCTGGGCGCTACAACGACGGGATTCTGGAAACGAGTCCAACCACACCAGCAAGCGGCGCAAAGTGAATGGCGAAGCCGCGCCGACAACCATGGATATAGAAAAGGGACTGGACGAAGTGGAGATTCAGTCGCGGACGCGAAGCTCCTCCGATATCTCCATGGCTGATACCCTTCCGCCCTACGACGAGATGAAATCTCCCCGCTACGAAGAGAAATCCGGACGGCAGAACCCCACCTGGCAGAGTCGGCTGGTCATTTCGACTTCTGGCCTGGGTGTGGCAATGAGTGAGGAATCCCTCCGCAGCTTGCAGTATTGCTTGACATGGCTTCGCTGGGCGAACGGTCGACTCGGTCGCTCTATCGTCGCTCTTCAGAATGCGATGACGGAGTGGGAGGCTCATAAGGCAAGGTTGAAGGAGGAGGCTGATGCTGGCCGTGCCAATAGCCCCGAGAACACTTCTCTCCTCAAGCAGCGCATCCAGGCCGTCAGGGAAGACGTTCTTTCAACCCTCAAGCAAGTAGTGGATGTTGTCTCCAAGTATGCCGGAGGTGCTCTGCCTGAGAATGCGCGACACCTCGTCCGACGACACCTGACCTCTCTGCCTCGCCGATTCCAGATGGCCAGCACATCGCAGCCCCCGGCTGACTCGCCAGCCGCCTCGTCCGAAGCCACTGTTGGTGCTCATCGCATTTTGGTATTGGCAAACGAAGGACTTGATATTCTAGGCCAAGTCAGCGGTGTAGTCAACGATACACTCGTCAGTGCTGAGCACTGGTGTGATCGTCTTGGACGGAAACGACCTGAACATAAACCCGCACCGGATGTGGAAAACCAGAGCCAGGCTCCCACCCCAAACTCTCAACAATATGGGATGGACATTAAACAGCCCATCATCTCCGAGGCTGTTCCCCAAAACGATGTACCGATCAGTGGAACCGAGAAGATGTAAGGGCTTCTCCGTCTCCGAAAACTCTGTCTTTCTTTATATGTTTCATTTCATTTTTTATTTCTTGATATTCGGCCTGTGATGTTTTTTTTATGATTGATATCCACTACTTGTTCTTCACTCTTTTTTTAGCCCCGGAAAATCGCAATCGATCTGGATATGTTCGAAGAGTCACGGAGCCTGAGTACCAACTGAATTTTAAAGTAACCCAGGTCGGCGACTCGGATGTCGATGGTAACAGAGGCACGACGAGTGCAAAGTTCCCAAGGGGGGGTCGCACGCACTGGCAGCGATGTAATGCTCTCAACCTGGGCGGCTCTAACACTAGTAGTACAAGGTAGACAGCTGGTGAAACAACATGCAGAGTTCAGAGGGGTATTTTTAATGCAGTGTATTGTTACATATCCTTTAGGATCTTGGGATGTATGGAACAGGCGGCGCGCCAAAAGCTAACCAACCAAAGCATGCAAAGCGCTAATAAATTGTACAAATGGCCTGGTCTTTGCTCTCAGCGGCTCAGGTTCTTCAGCCACCTTGAATCACGAGCTCTTTGTGCCCGCTCAGCCCTACGCTTTTGGCCGAGGGTCCATCCACAGCCGGCACCAGCGAGATATCCACCCAAATGGGCAGCATGATCCATCTTGGTGAGTCGGGAAAGGGGCCAGACCGTCAAGAAACGAGCTGGCGCTAACATACTCAGGACTTCTGTTCCGATTAGGCAGGCCAGTAAGATCCAGCCCTGGGTGTAGAGGTTCTCTCGGAGATCGTGGGGAAGGATCCACATGGTGATTTTGTCACTATTCGATGTATTAGTATAGTCCGAGTATGATCTTTGGGATCTCGGGAACATACTCGTAGTGATACAGACACCACGCGGCAACAATACCGCTAGTGGCGGCACTCGCACCTAGAGAGGTGAGGCCCAAAGTGCCGAGCAGGACATTGCGGGACAGCGAGACCAGGGAGCCAACAACACCAGAGCCGAAGTAGATCGCCAAAAAGTTTCCTCGACCGAGCTCATCATGCACTGAAGAACTGTTAGCAGTGTTGGAAATTCAAGGCGGAGCAAATAACATACCCCTAGTGCCCATGAGGCCCAGAACCATCATGTTGGTCGCAAGATGCCTCCATGTCTGGTGGCTGAAGGTGCTACCAAGCATACTCGGCGCGCTTGGGTAGAAAGGAACGATGACGAAATAGCGGTTCAGGAGTCGCCATGATGGTGGGATGAACTTCCACATCAATGTGACCGCCACATTGGCGCCAATGATAGCTCCGACAGTTGCAGCAGCAGGGGGAATAGTAGGCCAAAGGCGATCCTTGCGCGCAGGGGACTCGTAGTTCTGAGCGAAGTAGTAGCATAGACCAACTGCGAGCAGAGTGAAGAGAGCGGGTGCGAGAAGACGTTGGGTCTATGAAGAAGGAATCCCACTGTTAGTGATAGATCTTCAGTCACCCTTATAGATTACATACAGTAGTTAGGTCCACTGCATCTGGCGCTTCATGGGTTCCGGCGATGTGATGCTTTTGAATCCAAGCCAGATACGGCCGTTCATTAGGATCCGCACGAGGACGAGCTATGACAGGGGTTAACGATGGCATGTTTGATATAGTGAGATGGGAAGATCGTACGCACCCTCTGTTAGAGCGGCCTCTTGGTACTGTTGCAAGGCCGTGTCCCCTTTGAATTGACGGCGAAGGCGCTCCTGCTCTTCGTTCTCTCCCTGTAACCATTCCTGACGCTTGCGTTCCTTCTCCGCCAGCAATCGCTTTTCATTCATCTCGCGTGCCTCTTTGAGTACACTCTTGCCGTAGACCGAATTCTCCTCGCCTAGCTCATTCTCGTAGGAACCGCTTTGTGGCTTGTAGAGACCAAGCCTCTCGGCGCGGCGAACAAGCTTCTCTTCCGCTTGGCGTTCTTCCCTTTCAATCCGGGCGAGGATGGCGGCATCCTCGTCCATGGGGTGGTTCTCGCGGAGCCATTGGAGGGCACTGTTGAGTTGAGATTCGTTGACGGTACGGACAATGTCGGCGGGGAGGTCCAAGTCCAGAGTGCCTTCAAGACGTTGGGTCTGTAGAGCTCCAAGAGCCTTGTTTCCAAGCTTCACGGAAATCCCCGGGCCAAAGATCCAGTTGATATCAGCCTCGGTCAGATTGCGGCCACCCGGCAGACCTCCGGACTTTTTTTGCGGGTGTTTTGCGGCAGCGATGGTCCTCTTTGACCGGGTGAAGATGGGTGTGACGGGGTTGAGAGGAGATTTGGAAGCGGAGTGTGGTTGATATTCAGCTCGCGACGAGGGATTGAACGAGCTCAATGAACGGTGGAAGGAGGAGGTAGATCGAGGGAAGGTTGAGATGCGGAGATGGCGAAAGGCCGCCTGTGAGGTTTGGACGGACAAAGCATTGGAATGACGGAGCCCCGAGCAGGGGATCCGCCATGCGACCGGAACCGCATAGCTCATATTGAGCGATCGGTGGTTGGTTGGGGGGAATGCAGGTGGGAGTGTGTGTTGTCAATGATGCGATGCGAAGTTGAGGACCTTCGCGGTTGAAGCGGAGGGATCACCTGACTGTCACAGCTATACTTACAAGGATTACAGTTGATAATCTATTGAGATATCGTGTAGAATACAAGATGCTAGTATAATATCATAATCAAAACCATATAATATATTGGTTAACTAATGAATAACTACGCAATACTAGAACTAGTACACATAAATTCAACAATTGCGTAGTTTCTGCTAGTAATGAGAGCATCGGCGGACTCCGCCAGTATTACCAGGTAATTGTAATACGGTAATCAATGCGGGGCATCCTCACTTCCCTCCGAGTCTCCTTCTTCCCCCCCCGATTGAATTGGAACATCCTTTCTTTTTCTTCCATTCCAATCCCTTCCTATCATACCTCCATACACAATGACTACTCTCAAGGCTGGCGACGCTTTCCCCGCTGACGTGGTGTTCAAGTAAGCTCGAGCTCCGATATGAAGAAGCTCCGGAGTCTATGGCTTCCCCGCGCTATTCAATTCAATTCATTTCTATTTCAATGACATGCTAATGATTGTCACAGCTACATCCCCTGGACCGAGGATAGTGACAATATCACTGCCTGCGGTATTCCCATCAACTACAATGCATCCAAGGAGTGGGCCGACAAGAAGGTTGTTCTCTTCTCCGTGCCTGGTATGCCATGAATACAACAAACATCCAGCTCAAATGTTTCACAGCTAATATAATCAACCCATCAATCAAGGCGCTTTTACCCCCACTTGCTCCGTGAACCACGTGCCGGGCTACATCCAGAACCTCCCGAAGCTCCGCGAGAAGGGAGTCGATATTGTCGCTGTGCTCGCCTTCAACGATCCCTTTGTCATGAGCGCCTGGGGCAAGGCCAACCAGGTCCAGAACAACGAGATTGTGAGTATCAATTGTGTTGAATTCATTTCCGGCTCTTGGTCTTCCTCTTCATCTATCCGCCATGTCCGATATATACTGACTCGAGCTCCCCGCATAGCTCTTCCTGTCGGACCCCGATGCCAAGTTCTCCAAGAGCATTGGCTGGGCCGACAATGCTTCCGGTCGCACCGGTCGCTACGCCATTGTTATCGACCACGGAAAGGTCCGATATGCGGATATCGAGACCGAGAAGGGTGCTGTCAAGGTATGTTACCCCAACTCTACTGTATTCTACTCTACTACAGAGGATGGGCTGCTAACCTGGATCCCAGAAATCGAGCGCCGACACCGTTCTGGCGTCCCTGTAGGAATTGCGGTGAGAACCAGTGTTTAATTTCAGAATGCAATCTGCCCAATAGAATACAGACCGAATTGCGTGCTGCACCCTGCAGCCGAGGTACATCGCATAAACTGTACTGGCTTGTACGGCAGCGTACGGTAGTTACTGTAGTGCAGTGTACTAGTAGACTGTAGTGTAGACTATAGTGTAGACTGTAGTATGGAGAAGTGAATATTAAAAAGGTATAATTATTGCTTATACTAAATTAAATCCGTATTATACTGTACTCTATCAATACTAAATTCTGTAAATATTCACCTTTTTGTATACGGGTCACCTGACTTTCTCCGCCTCCGCATTTTGTCGTCGCGGGGAATCACCAACCTTCCAAGGTTGAAACCCCTTGCTTCTCCTCCGCCAATTTACATTCCATTCCGATTCGACTCCCCCACCCCTCCGATTCTCGTCGATCCGATTCTCTCAGACTCGCCCGCCGTGATGCGTCCGGCTTTCCACCACCTCTTCCTCCTCCTCTGCCTCCTCTCCCCTGTCCTCGCCGTCGGCGCGTCTTGTCTCAAAGTCGTCACCGCACTCGTCGGCCGACCAAGCCACATCTTCAATAAGTTCCAGACTGAGATTTGTGACCGGGGATGTCAGCCAACAATCCCTCACTGGGACCTTTGGACCCGCAATAACTCCTTTGTCCCCGCCGTCCAAAGCCTGATGAAGCGCATGAATGTCCCTCACCAGGAAGAGGCTCTGCTGAAGATGGGCGACGACGTGGCTGTCATCATTAAACGTCGTTGTGAACCGCTGCTTCATGGACGCCATATTTGCTCGGACCCGAGCACTCTCGCAGACTTTGGAAACTGCTTCAAGCGCAACTTTCTGCAGGCATCGATCAAACACCTTCCGGTTCTGCTCCCCATGGCGTCGGAGCAGGCTTGTCGTGAGCAACACAAGTTCCTCCAACAGGATGAGCTCTGGGAAGAAACCATTCCCCAGAATATGCGGGATTATGCCAGTGTTTGCGATAAGCTCAGTCCCCCAGAACATGAAGAATTATGATAGAACCACCGACCTACTTCTGCCTGTATATGCGCTGTATCCATACAATCCTTCTCATAGATACCCAGCTATAACCTAATCATATAAGCATATTTGCCAACATCATGCGTATCGCCCCACGGCGTACCTATCCACTGCCCTCCAATTACTCGATCTCCCAACTTTTCTGAGCTGAGCCGAGGTAGAGTGAAAGGGGGCAACCAACGAGTAAGAGGCGCAAAGGGAAAGATAATTTCTCTCCGATCTACCACAAAGGAGCCATTGTATATACTGAAAATGAATCTTCGATACCAGACAGAAAGACCTAACAATAAGAATTCTTTCTCCATGATCTTCTCAATTCTTTCAACGGACAAAGGGTAGGTAGGGCTTTGAAAAGACTTGTACTTGTATATGCTAGTGGCAACTCGGAGATCGTTGAATTATTCTGATATCATAGTACTATATATACCACGTAATTCAATGGCAAACTTCAATTTGAAGTTAAACGAAAACAAATCGCTCAATCTCGATCCGTGCACATATTGTCCATCTCGGGTGCCCAGGTGGTTTCTCGAAACCCAAGTACCCCCCAACGCATCTCAGTCAGCCCAAAAAGATGACGACCGAGCGCAAGACACTGGCATCAGAACTTAAGACCATGGATACTACTACTCCGTTATGCACTAACAAGCCCGTGGAAAATGAGGTTGCGGATCATCTCGAGACCTCACGGCCAACAATCCCCGATGATGATCCGTCCAGCAGCATGTCACTTTCAAGTTTGAAGCAGGAGCTTGACGTTATCCACAAAGATACCAAAGTTCTATTCGAGGACCATATGCAGTTTACATCGATCCCTTTCCCAGCTCGTGATTTGGACAAATTGAGGACTAATGTGGACCTTTCATGGTCATTTGTCTTCATCATCGAATATCTACAGCACAATCACTACGCAAGAGCGAAAATGGAAATCCAACGTGCCGTGAATCTTGCTCACGCCGTGGACGATAAACATAGCATTGCGAGATGTAACTACTGGCTCGGTCGAATCGCTCTCCAACGAGGAAGATTTGGCAAGGCTTACTCATATTTTCACGACGCAAAGCCAGATCTCAATGGTCGAGTGTCATCCGAAGCAGAGAATGTGGATTTCTATCTGATGCTTTGCACTCCAGGTATGAGCACCGAGTATAGGACTCAGCTCTTGCGCGAATACAGCCAGTCTGTGACGAACAAGTATATCAATGGCGAAGACGAAGTATTTCCGAACAGCCCATGGGCTCGTCGACACCAGAATCCCCGAAAGCGCAAGCGAGAGCTACGCGATATCACAGTCGCTCTTTGTCCAGCCAAACTTTCTAGTTCATGCCATAGGCGCTCGCTAAACCTAAAAATGACCCAACATCCATCCCCAGCACGCAAGGTAGTGTGGATGATACGGAACACTGACGACCTTGACACTAATCGAAAACAAGAGCCATATGTATCGATTAATATCTCTACAGATGAGACCACAGCTGCCGTCGAGGACAGAAAACCTCACACGCGTACGACAAATATGAATTTCCCTATACTTGAAGCAAGGCGGAGGAAATTCACATTTCGTTGTTACCCCATAGGACTATCGGGGCCAAGAACGCGTCATATTAATATCTTCTCTAGGCAGCCTGGAGAGCCGGCCTTGTCGATTGAAGAGGGGCAGAGGCTAGAAGCTGCCATGAAAAAACAAAAGATAACAATGAGATATCTTGAGCGCGAGAGTGAATTCCTGTCCGAACGGGCCACTGTTGGCACCCTACAAGATGCCGCTCTTCCTGATGAGACTACCGACTCGGATTCAATGGGTTGGGGGACTGAGGTCGGGATTATTGTGGAGGTGCAGGAGGCTCATCCTTTGCAAGTTGATTGTCATTCCGGCGTCCAAGCGCTTACTTTCTAGTAGTCAAAAGTCTTTTGCTTTGGAGAATGAATCGTTAAATCATAAATCAAGTCTCTTACCAGTAGATATTCAAAAACCATTTTCGACTTTCCGCGCCGTAGAGATATCATAGCAACTGCCAATTACATAAAAAACACTTGGGAAATCATCGAAGGTCTAGCGGGAAAATCTCATAACGGTGGGCATTTCATTAAATCAAACATGCGCTAATTGAACTAGGCTCGTGCAGCAACTCTATAGGATCACACTGAAATGTAACAATGATCTTTTAGAGCTTCGCCGCTGGCTGCAACAAATGCTTCATCTCGGCGTTCGGATATTCAACGTTCTGGGAAGAATCAGGGCGCTGTCTATCCCAAGCCCACTTTTCTACCAATTCGGACTCTAGTTCTCCCTCGATCATCTGTGTGATGTACTTTCCAAGCACAGGGAAGAACTTATATCCGTGGAAAGAGCCACAAGTGGCGACAAAAAGACCCTTGGAAGCAGAGTGGGGTGAAATGATGAAATCAGAAGTGGTGGTGAAAGCATCCCTATTAATGTTAAGCTTTGTTCACGATGGCTGGAGCGATCAACGAGGTACTCACCAGCAGATCCGGTGCTTGGTCATATTCCAATCCGCACTCTGCGGTCCGTACCACAAGTTTCGAGACTCGACAATGTCCTGCTTCAAAGGTCCGGGGACCTTCCACTGGTTGTAATCGTGTGTGGGTGGAGGAGACGAAATGTGACGACCTGGTAAAACTTCACGGGTGTTGGTGAAAATCTTCGATCCCCACCATTTCATCTCTCCGTCCTTGGTAGGCGGAATGCTGCCAATAAAAGGCTTCCCTGTGATTATATTAGAAATTTGCAATTACGGTCATGAAACATTGTGTTCTTACCCTCATTTGGTGTGTATCCTTGGAAGCCAACCGGCATATCCTTGTACTTCGTATATTGCTCCTCGTTCAGCTGTGCCATTCCTGTCGTTATACCAGCAGCGAGGATTCGCTCTCCAGCTCGTAGACCTGCATTTCCGCTCTTCGCAGCACTCCATTCTAACAAGGTGGGTGTGAAGGCTCCGGCAGCCACAATAACATGTGTAGCAGACACTGACTCCCCTGATTTCGTCCTGACACCAGTGCATGAGCCGCGACCATCAAATTCCAAGGTCGCAACATCAGCCGTAATGTACTTGACACCCAATTCAACACACCGTTCGGTGATTGCTCGGAGAGAATCACCAGCAGCTGCCCATCCACTGGCTCTGTTCACCAACACCTCCTTGACGCCGGTGTAATCGGCATTGTCGAAAATTCCGCCGTAGAGCTTTCGGGCCTCGGCGACCGGCAGGGCAATAATATCGTCATTGCGTCCCAGCTCTTTGTGGTGGTTAATGACATTCTGTGCATAGTCACTCCGACATGTCCAGTAAACACCCGTCTGGTGGAAAAACGGCTGCCAAAGAGGATCCGACTTGAAGATTTCCTGGGCCTCAAGGGCTAGTCGGCAGTAGATTTTATCGTCATAGTCTGCGCGAACTACCTTATTCCAATCCCATGATGCAGCCACACGAGACTCGGCATCGTACGCATCTCGATCAATTAAAGTCACACTGGCGTTGGGATATTTCTGGATAAGATGGTAGGCGGTCGACACGCCGAAGACGCCGGCGCCGACAATCAGGTAAGATGGATTGCTTGAAGTCATGGCTGTGCAGGTATGAATCATATGATAGAAATTCGATGTGTCTTTTGTAGTATGTATACGGGCCGGACGGACCGTGGAGAAATGTGAAGGCGAGAAACAGATCTCCTGCTGATTTGTACTAAAAGCGATACGGGCCGGGCGGACCGTGTGGTGATACGATGAAGACCAACCGGACTACCTCCAATAAATTATATTTCCCAGTCTCTCGGGAGGGAGAGCGAGTGGCCAGTTTATCTATGCGACTAAAACGAATCCCATCAATATAACAGGCCTGATTAGAATGCTTGAAAGAGGTCTTCGATTCCGCCGCATCGGGCGGGTTCCCGATCCGAGCCGATCACGTGGAGGAGACTCTATCGGTGAATTTGGCATGGCTCTTTTTGGAATTTCTAATTAGCGGGGATTCCGAGGGGAAGCTTCATGCTCCAAGGAAAGTTGACTAATTTGATGATTGGTTGTGCCCCTCAGCGGGTTAACCCTAATCGCCATGGGAAGCTCCCCCGCAGGCGGGGGGCTTCACTCATTCTCCGCCGGGCCGGCTCATGGCTGTCCGGGTCTACTCACAGAGAACTTGAACTTGAAGAAAGATTTGCTTTATTATAAAGGCGAAGTTACGTCGCATCAAAATCAGCTTGCGCTCTGTTTCTTCCTGGGGTTGCTCGTTGCGATTCCCGGAGACGGATTGTCTTTATCCAGTTCAGTCAGCTGAAGTGATCTCATCGGAAGGACTTGGCTAGGTCTTTTTTATTAGGAAACAATAAAGCTGGTGTGGTGTGTAGGAAGAGAAGATCAAAACAATCGAGGTGGGATGAGATTGAGAGAGTTGAAGGATGTTGTCCATCTGGAAAGGGAAGGCACGTATACAACAAACAAGGCAGTCACCACCCACAGCTTACAAAGCCTTTCCCATGTGACTACTGTACCCTAACTACGTAGCTAGCTATCTACTTGGTGATCTCTTCTCTTTTTATACCCTCACTGGCAGCTATTCTCTCTCGAAGCGTCTTGTGGATTATCTCCACAGCGTTTCTATCAATGCTTCAAGTTTTTGTATTCGAAGCTGTTCTACTAGTAGTAGTGTCAAAAGATACTTTGGTTGCTGTGGGTTCGAAAGTTGAGCATATTTCATTTTCGGGCCTTTGATTGGGGAAATCATCAATGACTAGACGACTAAGCCTGTTGTTCTAATAAGACAGAACCATAGTAATGAACCTCATCGAACTGTTGTGTTTGGGCCTGAGAGTTCAGGCACCAATAGCGTAGTCATCCATCGCACCACACATAGAGTATCCACGAGCATATTTCATTTCCATGTCTTGATTCTCGCAAGGTGCTCTAGTTGCAGTATTGCCAAGATTCCAGGATATTTGTAATTTACCTGTTTTTAAGGTAAGCCTTTCGTAGGTATTTCTTTGTCAAAATGAAAGCCGTCGGTGGTCCCCGGATTTGATGATTGGCCAAGCCACTCCTATCTTCCCAAAGGGCTTCGAAGCTTCGAAAAATCGGTAAGAAAGTGCATTTAAGTCTTCTCCCTTACATACGAAAATCTAGCTCTGCCATCTTAGCATTGTCCCCTTTTATTGGCTAGTGATCTGGCCGCCTGGGGCACTATTAATTTGAATCATTTCTGTGTTTATGATCACAGACAAGGGCTTGATTTCCAATTACCACTGACTCCTCTCCCAACCACTCACTTATTAGGTCTCTGAATATGTTTTACCGTCCCTTGGCACTGTAACCTCAGCCTCTGAAATGCCAAGTGCCGTCGGGTTTCCGCCTGCATTCTGTCTTCTCAACACACTCCCCTTCAACCATAAGTTGCTTCCCCCTCTGCCAAGTACAGCCACTTTCTTGGCTCTTCCGCGGGGTCTATGCCAATCACGCACCATTGCTCTTTATCATCGCGTGCTTCATTTTCTTCCAAAATGTATAAAAGGCCAGCCTGCATACTGCAAAGAGCCAGCATGATAATTAAGCGCCAAAGATGAAGTTACTTATCTTAATCTCCCAGTTAACATTGGTTCTGGCCGGTCGGCCCAAGCCCCTTGTTTCACCAGTACGTTTCGAATAATTCATACTACTATATGCTACGATATCTCTACATCACGTTTTAGATAAACTGACTGGGTAAATAGGACAAATTGTCTTCTTTGGTCCACTTGGACGACCTTTTGAAGGGCTCGCGGCAGCTTGAGGATTTCGCCTACGCGTACCCAGAGCGCAACCGCGTTTTTGGCAGTGCAGCCCATAATGATACGGTGGATTTCCTCTATCGCGAGCTGAAGAAGACTGGCTATTACAATGTCTGGAAGCAGCCCCAGGTGCACACATGGACTACTGCGGAGTCATCGTTGACTTTCAATGGCGATACCATTGAGGTGACCACGATGACCTATAGCCCCAGTGTTGATGTAACTGCGGAGATATCCGTCGTCTCAAATCTCGGATGCACTGCATCTGATTATCCAAGTGATGTGACTGGAAAGATTGCTCTTGTCAAACGTGGTGAATGTACTTTTGCTGAAAAGTCCATTCTGGCAGGCACAGCGAATGCAGCCGCGGTCATTGTCTATAACAATGCCGATGGGTCTCTGAGTGGAACTTTGGGTGGTGTGTCTAGCGATTATGCTGCCATTGCCGGTATTTCACAGGCCGATGGTGCGACCATTCTTAGTGCCGCAGAGAAGGGTGCCGTTACTTTGTCGCTCGAGATTGATAGCAGAGTTGAAAACCGCACCACATTCAATGTCATTGCCGAGACTAAGGGTGGTGATCACAACAATGTCGTATCTCTCGGTGGCCATACCGACTCTGTTGAAGCTGGCCCAGGAATCAATGATGATGGTTCTGGAATCATCAGCAACCTAGTTGTCGCAAAAGCCCTGACACGTTTCTCCGTCAAGAATGCGGTCAGATTTCTCTTCTGGACTGCAGAAGAGTTTGGTCTATTGGGTAGCGAATACTACACCTCCCATCTGGATTCCAGTGAATTGGCTAAGATCCGGCTTTATCTCAACTTTGATATGATCGCTTCACCTAATTACGCGCTCATGATCTATGATGGCGATGGAGATGCTTTCAACCAAACTGGCCCGGCAGGCTCCGCCGAGATCGAGGCATTGTTCGAGAACTACTACAAGTCCAAAAAACTGCCGTACATTCCAACGGCTTTTGATGGCCGATCTGATTACGACGGCTTTATATCGCGTGGAATTCCCGCTGGCGGTCTTTTCACTGGCGCTGAAGGTCTCAAAACGGCAGAGGAAGCCAAGTTGTTTGGAGGCCAAGCAAATGTGTCATACGACGAGAATTATCACGCTGCTGGGGATGACTATACCAACCTGAACCACAAGGCATTCTTGATTAACTCCAAGGCCACGGCCTTTGCAGTCGCGACCTATGCCAATGATCTTTCATCGATCCCTGTCCACAACGGTACGGTCACGAAGCGAAACACGAAGAGGGCACCCCGTACACATGCACACACCAAGAACACGGGCTGCTTCCATTCTCTAGTCGAGCAGTGAAAGTCTTCAATAGATTTCGCAAGCTACCTAACGTCGGATGGAATACAATAAATGTGTCTTATAGCTCGCATCTTCAACATTTTCAGGTGGTAGTATACATAGGTATTAAAGTAGACACATGCAAAGGCCCGAGGATAGTACCTCATTGTAGCCTCGGTAAGCCTGGAACACCATGATATACCATCACGAAGAAATATGCTTCTATTTAGTATTCACATGAACTTTGGGATGTTGGAGGCTAAAATATGACCTTTTCAAAGGCCTCTTGCAATCCTTTTGATCCTAGCCATGCCTCCAGGGCTTGCATATCACCTCGATTCGCTCGTTGGCCACCTCGCTCACCAAGCGAGTCGGTAATCTCTTCCATCCCGGAAAATACTCTTCGAATAGCCTCTGTCTCACGAAACCTCTCACTGACCTTCTTTTGGTGACTAGGAATATCTCCCCATGAATGTGTTTTAATAAAGCTCATATATGAATCAATGTTTGTCGATAAACCCTCAAGGCATAGCACACCTGGCTTTCCTGCTAGCACAAACCCGGTCAGGGAATACCCCGGTGCAAGATTTACCATATCATCTCTCTTCTTCCGCGTTGAGAGAGACGGGAAATAAAACCAGACTCTGACGATCGGGCCATCGGATTTGGTATTGGAACTTGTATTTTCCATAGCAGTCGCTTGGTTTTGCTTATTTTGAAGGAAGTCGTTGACTTGCGCTTGAATATAGTCAAAGACCTCTAATGCATCTCCTTGTGGAATGGAGGATGCAATGCCAGAGACTTCTGCTTTAGACATCCAGTCTGGTTGACGAAGTGAAAAGCTGGCTGGCGGTGGTTGATCAATTGTATCGGGGTTCTCGCAGTGTAAAGGGACAGACATGTTGACCTGGATGGTTTTCTCCCCATCCGAAATTGGTAAACAGACCGTGAGAAATAGACTGGTAGGAATCTTTGGTGTATTTGTCGGGTTCTGACACCAATCTCGAAGTTTCTCCACGCATTCGGTTGTGGATTCAGGGATCTCCATCTCTCCGGGTGAGGGGAACATTGCGGCCAGGAGATCAATTGTTGATAGTTGGGCCTCCATCACGTCCGGGGGTAGGACAGAAAGCTCTTTTGCCGCCATTTTTTTTAAAAAAAAGAAAATGTTTGGATCGCAAACTTGCATATGTCCAGTAAAAATAAATTTGCGGCCTTGGGTGATTCCGAGAACCGTGCGTGGGGGGCTTTTCCACGCTGTGATTGTCGGACTTCGACTATGAGGATATCGGAATGTGGCAAGACTCGAAACGAGTCAGGGAGGTTGTATACTTGATGACAGTGTGGCAATGGCTCTTACTCCTGCAACTTGTCATCTGTCATCCACATGGCTAAATCTTTCTTTAAAAATCCCCAACGATTTGCGGCGCGCAAATAAGTGCGCTTATGTCAGCTAGCCAGAAATGGGAGAATCAACGCAAGACAAAACTCTTCAGGTATACTTATGCAGAACAATCGTATACCTAGGTAAAATTCCCATATAAAATCTCAAATCGTCGTCTATCTAACTATCAGATCCTCCGCTTGATCACCCTGATATAGGATGCTCCTAGTATGTTATTCTATGTCTTATTTCCTTCCCGCTCCAGGGCCCTATGGATCCCACAGGAGTAGACAATGTAAACCCCCATCTAGACATCAATCGAGGCAAGAGCCCATTCAGTTAGCTCTGCAATCGAAGTGCTAACTTCAGTTGTGCGAGGGATTTCATGACCACCGCCGTGGTTGTAAGTCCGTCGCACTTCGGGATTGCATACGCTCGATAGATGCACCCCAGCAGCATACCTGGGATCTTTCGATCCATAGATATGTACTGTAGGAATATCAACGCGGTATGGACTTTTGATTTCGTTGCGCAGTTCATCTTCCGATAGATCTCCGGCGATACCTGTCCAACGATTCACTCCTTGCGCCAAGACAGCCGACACGCCGGCCTGTTTTTCTAATGCTATTCGTGATGCCAAGTCACGCTCATGGGCCTCCGCAGAAACATGAAATCCTAGCTCTTGAAGCATATTCATGGAAACTCCACCGCAGACAAAGATGGCACTCTTGAATAGAGGAGGGAGATGCGGTGTTTCTTCTTGGTGCAAGAGCAGAGCACTTGACCCAAGAACGCACCCTTGCGAGAACATAAGGGCAGCATCATAAGGCCCATTTTTTGCGATGTACTCGTTCAGCCACATACATGCCGCGCGAACTGATTCAACGTCGCCAGAGTCCCACCAGGCATAGTAAGGGGGTTCGTAGAAGAGATCAACACCAGCAGCCGGGTCGCTTTTGAATGGACCATCCAGGAAATCAAATTCGATGTTTTTATCGGACAGGCGGGCCCGGAATGAGGCTGAGTGCGGTCGCGTTAGTCGTAAGTATCTGCTTTGTCCATTGGAATGTTTGTACCTGTTTGGGAGCGGAAAATCCCACCGCTCGTTCCTTTTCCGTGAAGGCAAAGAACTTTCATCGCTGATCTAGGGAATATTGTTTCCTGGGAATCTTCAGGTGGTCGGTGAAAAGGCTAAGAAGAAGAGCAAGGGAGTGATGGCGGGGGAGATGATGAGAAAACAATAAGCACGAGGTGATCCTGGTCGTACTAGTACTAATTCCCGATTGCAACCCCTGCATCCCTGCGGTCGCACTTAGAGGACGCTAGTCACTCCAATGTTAGTTTGTGGGCTGGATCAGAACCTTACTGTATCAGTTACAGCAGCATCTCTCAAATCCATATTGAGAGCAATACTTTATTTGATCAAGGTTCGAGTCAATTCCGCCTACTAATGTGCTAGGCGTAGACCGCCACCGGGCAAAAGTGGGGGTCTTTTTGTTTTATTTTTGTTTCTCATGTCCATCGCGGGGTTCGCCTGTACTTGCATGATACTAATTAACTAGTACTAGTATAGGTACTAGTAGTAGTAGTACTAGAATTGACCCCCAAGAACAGCATGCAGTCAAAAGCGACATCTCGATCAAAGTATTCCCGACCTAGTAATTGGCCACTCTTCTTAGAAGTAATGTAAGTTGCATGATGGCATAAAATTAGTAGGCAATAGATTTTGACAAAACGCCACAGACCGGTCGCGTTTATAAGATCGAATTAGAGTCACAGACCACCGCGCAGTCTAGAATACAACTTGAACGCAATGGACAGATAATAACTATATTTAAGACGATCTGTAAAAGACATATCTACTGACCTTTTTTGATTATTATCTACGTATAGTCCTCGGTTAGCAATATCTGCCCGCCGGCGGGATATTCCTCCGAAGTGACTCCATAATTATTCTTCGAGTGTAGACAACACAACACCGCAATTCTGACTTCCCGAGGTCCATTCTTGAGGATTATCAATCGATTTAAAATCAATCCGGATCCCCACTACATTGGTCACACAAATATTGACAGTGCGAAAAGGGGTAAGTATAAATTCATGCTCTTTGCGGCGACACAATTCCGGAAAATTATGACGTCAGGCGGCCAATAAGCCCATGATCTATTCTTATTCACGGATAGTTAGTATTAAATCAGATCTGGCATAGTAATAAAACTTCAATTCTCACTAGATAATGATACTAGTAAATTTACACTATCTCCACCAGCACCAGAGATCCCTGGCACAGAGTTCGGTAGTTCGGCAGGCCGGGTTTATGGGACGGGAATGGGATCCACCATTCTCTCGCCATAGTATTCGTCATGATTCTGCTTAACATCTCGACGAAACAATGGGATTTGTAATCTTTGCGATATATAAACGGAGGACCCTGCCACCGAACTCATTTTCTAACCCACGTTTCTTTCTGGTCCCACACCTTGTCACTCCGAGTCGAATACCAATATGTCCACCCAAAAGGCCGTTATTATTACCGAACCTAAGACCGATGGTCTGGTCTCGGATCGACCCATCCCCACCCTCCGTGATGATTATATCCTCGTGAAGAATGTGGCGGTTGGTCTCAACCCTACTGATTGGAAGCATGTGGCTTATCTTGCTCCCCCTGGAGTCCTCGTGGGATGCGATTACGCCGGTGTCGTGGAGGCTGTTGGAAAGGATGTCAAGAAGCCATTCAAAAAGGGAGATCGTATCTGTGGATTTGCCCATGGCTGTAACTCCGTTCAGCCCGAGGATGGAACCTTTGCAGAGTACATTGTGGTCAAGGGAGACCTGCAAATGAAAATCCCTGACAATCTCAGTTTCCAAGAAGCTGCTACTCTGGGTGTTGGCATCGTTACCGTGGGACAGGGCCTCTACCAGAGTCTTAAGCTCCAGCTCCCATCAGACCCCGTCAAGGATGCTACGCCTATCCTGATTTATGGAGGTTCAACCGCCACCGGCACTCTCGCCATCCAATTTGCGAAGCTCTCTGGATACACCGTCATCACAACCTGCTCTCCAAGGAATTTTGACCTGGTCCGTTCGCTCGGTGCTGATGCAGTCTATGACTACAAGGATCCCAATTCGGCCGCCGAGATCCGCAAATTTACCAACGACAACCTCAAGCTCGTTTTCGACTGTATTTCTCTCGAGTCCAGTGCTGCGTTCTGCGACAATGCCATCTCTACCACCGGCGGCGAGTACAGCGCCCTTTTGAGCGTCAAGATCGCACGTGCGAACGTCAATGACCGTTTTACTCTCGCCTATACCACTGTTGGTGAAGCATTCAAATTTGGTGACATCCCCTTCGAGGCGAAGCCGGAGGACAAAGCGCATGGCGAGAAATTCGTTGATATTGCTCAGTCTTTGCTCGAGCAGGGCAAGGTCAAGGTCCATCCCCCCAAGGTTGGCAAGGATGGCTTGAAGGGTGTCCTAGAGGGACTGCAGCTGTTGAAGACTGACCAAGTCAGTGGCGAAAAGCTTGTCTATAATGTTTCCGAGACTCCTTGATCTGGGGGGGCAATGTTCCATATAATTTCTCAAAATTAGTTCTGCAATCCAAGCTACTTTATAATTGTTGAAAATTACGAACAGCGAGTCTACATCTTCCTCACTGGAATTATCTGTCATATTTGGCCGAAACACCCGAAAGTTGGCACTAGCGAGAGATTCAATGCAGCTTGGTAGACAGAATATTGAACAATCAGGAGATAGATCAGATCCTTCATACTGCCTCTGCTGCTTTATTGAAGTATCAAATTCTCTAGAATTTCGGCCAAATTCCAAGACTGAGTCGTAGCATGGCCCTGCATTCCGAATCCGGTTTAAACTCCACTGGTGGCGGCGGCCTCGGCTTTCGCGGAAGTCTTCGATTCCCACAGCGACCCAGGTCGAAGGCAAAGCTCCATTTTAATCGGATTAGGTTTAGTCCCCGCAGCTGCAAGTAATAAGATCCTTGATGACAATTCAGGCGATTATGGGTTTTCCAGGTTCCCGAAGTATTTGTATATAAAGGAGTATACGTTCATTCAGAAGTCATCATGATCAAAGCCAGACATTCCCAGAGCCTGAGATCCCGAGTCCCCAATACTAAATTCTGTACCTTTCGCAACCTTGGATATCTTGCAACATGTCATTTCCTTACCAGAAAGTCCTACTCATTGGTGCCACCTCTGGCATTGGGGAGGCACTGGCCACAAAGCTTGTCGAGAATGGGACCAAAGTTGTCATTGCTGGGCGACGCCAGGAAAATTTGGATAAATTTGTCGAGAAGCATGGCGAAGAAAAAGTCGCTTCTAAGGCTTTGGATGTCATGGACATTGGCCAAGTAAGTTGAAGATAGAGGAGTCCTTTCTTGTTAGACGATTTGGCGTCTAATAAACGGTTCAGATCGCAAAATTTGCCTCCGAAGTGATTTCTGATCACCCCGATCTCGATTGTATTTTTGTCAACTCTGGCATTCAGCGCGCTTTCGATTTTGCCAACCCTGATATGGTCGACATGGACATTTTTGACCAGGAGTTGACGACCAACTATACCTCGGCCGTACGACTCGCTAAAGCGTTCACTCCGCATCTTCAACAACAGACCAAAAAAACTGCTCTTATCTTCACAACCTCTCAAATGGCCTTGGTCCCGATGATGCGCTGTCCGAACTATGGTGCCTCGAAGGCCGCCTTGCATCATTTTATTCTTGCCCTTCGTACCCAATTGTCCGATGGACCGGGGGATGTTCAAGTGATTGAAATCTACCCCCCCTGCGGTTCAGACTGAGCTTCACGATACAAAGCACCAACCGGATTTGAAGGATGGTCATCTTATCGGCATGCCTCTTCAGCAATTCACCGATGAGGTTTGGGAGAAGTTGGTTGCCCGGGAAGATCAGATTCTGGTTGGCTCTGCTACAGAGATTTTCGATGCATTTGAGATCAAGAGACAGGAGCTGTATCAGCAGATGACCGAGATGCTATCTGGATTGTTGAAGCAATTCTTGCGCTAAATAGACTCTCCATTTAGTTCAAAATTGAAAGGTGGTGTCTTTTATATACTTGGAGTATACCTCTAGTAGCACAGGACCTCATTCGAATGCAGTCAGCGAATCAAAGGCATAATCAAATAAAATCATGAAGATAAAACCCCGTCTCTCCAATTCCCTTTGAACTCTAATATATTAAATTATCATAAAACCTGCTGTGTTATCATGCAGAAGTATGTGGCAGTGCTGTTCCCCGCCAAGCTTCGATGACGTCGGCCATTTAAGCTTGGCCAACTTCAACTTTTGACCTCATCGCTTCACTTCTTCACTTCTCTTCTTCTCGTCAACTCCAGCTCAACTCCCACCATGGCCACCAACTCAGAGGCAAATGCCCTGGGCTACAACCTCAAGGTGGACTACGTGGTTTGTTATAGTTTTGCCAATGTCGGTGAGTGCCGAGCTTAGGGGCTGAGCTGAGCTGAGCTGAGCTGAGCTGAGCTGAGCTGTACTTCTTGACCGCGGACTAATGTCTCGGCAGGCCGATCGCAAGCTGTGCAACAGCTAGAAAAGCTCCTTCGGGCGCTCTCCGACGCTGGTCTGCAGACGGAGATCCGCCAAGGTGATGAATCGTCTTTGCTCATCTTCGTGCGCGCCTCTAAGAAGCGACTAAGGAGAGCTGTCTACCGGTCGCGGTAAATTCCCTCGACCCCTCCCCATTTCTTCCTCCTGTGCAGGTACCTGCGCCCAGTCTTCCTCGTGCAATCCAATCTAACTCTTTACCCATTACTTCTAGAGTCCGAGATTGGCTCTATGGAATTCGTAATGCCGAACCCGAACCGGCCAGCGCGATCGAGCCCCAAACCGAAGCCGAGCGACTTCGAATGATCAGCCACATGATTACCCTTCCCATTGAGGAGGGGGGCGCTGGAATTACCCCAAACCATGGCGAATGGGAGAAGGTCACCGCCATTTTCCCTCTACACGATGTCGAAACAAACAGAAAGTGGATGAAGGAATGGAGCAAGAAGACCTTCCTCTCTGATGATGATCTGGATCAAATTCGCAACAAGTTCGGAGAAAGCGTACGTATCCACCGGTTTCTACTAGATGGCAATTCCCCCCGCTGATTGATTACTTTACTTTAGGTCGGCTTCTACTTCTCCTTCTTGCAATCCTACTTCCGATTCCTCGCCTTCCCTGCCATCTTCGGGTTCTCATGCTGGTTTTTCCTGGGTGGTTATTCCGTTGTCTACACCATTGTCAACAGCCTGTGGTGTATCATATTTGTGGAATACTGGAAGCGTCAAGAGCAGGATCTGAGCTGCCGATGGCAGACCAAGGGTGTTTCGGCGGTGCGAACCAACCGACGCGAGTTCAAGCCTGAAAAGGAGGTCCGCGACGATAGCACCGGTGAAATGCGAGGTGTCTTCTCCGCAACAAAGCGCATGCAGCGGCAATTACTCCAGATTCCATTTGCTCTACTTGCCGCAATTGCCCTTGGAGCCATCATTGCGACTTGCTTCGCGATTGAGATCTTTATCTCGGAATTGTATAATGGCCCGTTCAAAACATATCTGGTATGTCTGAAATTGCCCTGCTGTTTCCCAAATACTTCGTGGTCTGATACTGACTGTCCAAGATTTTTATTCCTACCATCCTGGTCTCGGCCCTTGTCCCTACCATGAGTGCAGTTTTGATGTCCATTGCCACCAAGCTTAATGATTACGAGAACCACGAGACCAACGACGGCTACGATGTGGCCCTCACCCAGAAAGTCTTCGTCATCAATTTCATTACTTCCTACCTCCCGGTCTTCTTGACAGCCTTTGTTTACGTTCCATTTGCCAGCCGCATCGTGCCCTACCTTGATGTTTTCCATTTGACAGTCCGGCCGTTCGTCTCCAAGGAACACGCATCTGCCAAGCGGTCGCATTTCCAAATCGATCCCGCCCGTCTTAGGAATCAGGTTATCTACTTTACCGTTACTGCGCAGATTGTTGGATTCGCCATGGAAACTATTGTGCCATACCTCAAGCAGGGTGCATTCCGAAAATACAAAGCCTTCAACAAGAAGCGCAATGGAAGACCGGGCCAGAATGGTGATAAGGAGTCCCCGGAACGGAAACCTATTGTTGCCTACGATGATCCTATCGAAGAAAAGGAGTTCCTAAAACGTGTCCGGGATGAGGTTGAGCTATCCGAGTACGAAGTCACAGATGACTTGCGTGAGATGTGCATTCAGTTTGGATATCTGGCACTATTCTCACCAGTCTGGCCGCTGGTCCCAGTCTCCTTCTTTGTCAACAACTGGGTTGAACTACGCTCCGACTTCTTCAAGATCTGCATGGAATTTCGCCGACCCACGCCGTTGCGAGCAGACACTATCGGCCCTTGGCTAGATACTCTGGGCTTCCTCTCATGGGTCGGCAGCATCACGAGTGCCTCCTTAATATACATGTTCAGTGGCAACTCGCAGCATGGACCTAATGGAGAACCAACCGACATTGCGGGCTGGGCCCTTCTGCTCACAATTTTCTTCTCGGAGCATCTGTACCTTCTCATCCGATATGCAGTCGAAACCGCTATGGCTAAGCTGGAGCCTCCATTCTCACGCAAGGAACGAGCCGAGCGATACCTGGTGCGCAAGAGATACTTGGACTCGACGCTCCGTGCCGATGTATCGGATGACCATGATGAAGACGATGCTGTTCCTATCTCAGGTCCTCCCGAAATCTCACGTCACAGCCTTGAAGATGATGCTCGTCGATCGTCCTCTCATGAAACCGATCCCGCCGAGCGATTCTGGATGCGTCAACGAGGCTGGGAGGAGTCTGCCCAGATCGGAGCGGGCATCATTGAAGGCCAGGGTGATTATGAAGATGGAAAGAAGGAACAGTAAATAAATTTCTATAACTACGCAGCCATTGTCTCTATCGTGGCAGTTGGTTTTACTGTGAATACTAGCATCGTGCCAATTTGTCCCTGATTTCACTAGTACTAGTAGAAGCATCAAATTACATTATGTAATATACTCATGCCTCGGGCACAAACTACCGTTCTCCGCCCGCACATTTATACGGCAGAAGCTTCAGGCGGTGTCGCTGATCTTTGCGGGGAGTCTTCCTCGCATCTGCAAAGCTAATCCAATACCACTCTCTTTGTCTTCTCAGGACTACTTCCACAATATGAATAGTGACTAGGTCACCCCTAAATCGATTGGACTTTCCTCTGTTCCCCCTCTCCCTCTCCACAATGGAGCAGACTTCACCCTCAAGGGGAGGTCCTTCATCTCCAACAGCCTCTCGTGAGCCTCGACTCCACCTTCCGTCGACCACCGACCCTCCTGGCCCCCAGAATCCTCCTAAGCCTCTTGTATGGCTGGTTTTCGGTGCAACCGGCCATATGGGCCGATCACTCGTCAAAAACGCCCTCTCCCGCAACGACCTGGTCAGCGCAGTCGGTCGGACCTACGAAAACAGCCCAGAATGTATGAAAGAGCTCGAGGACGAACATGAAAACTGCTTGGGACTACTGTGTGATGTACGGGCGCGCGAAACTGTCAAACGAGTTATTGAACAGACCATCGCTCGCTTTGGTCGCATTGATGTGATTGCCAATTGCTCTGGCTACGGCGTTATCGGGGCCTGTGAGGACCAGGACGAGTTCGATATTCGCAATCAATTCGAGACAAACTTCACTGGGACCCTCAACATGATTCAATTATCATTGCCACATTTCCGTGAGCGGCGAGCTGGTCGATATCTGATCTTCAGTTCAACTTCGGGGGCCCTCGGAGTGCCCGGCCTCGGACCATATTGCGCATCCAAATATGCGGTCGAGGGCCTGATGGAAAGCATGCTTTATGAAGTGGATAGCTTCAATATCAAGGGCACACTCGTTGAGCCTGGCCATATGCGCCGCGACGATATTGGCGATTTGGTATCCCCTTCCGTCATGGCTGCCAACCCCTCCGAACACAATCTTTCGTCCCCACTCCCACTATATGGCCACTTCCTGGTGAAGCCGCCTAGTGAACCATACAATACCACAACTTCTCCGGCAGCCCATGCTCGCCGCATGCTCATGTGGCTCGCAGACAAGCAGCCGGCCTCGGCAGTCAAGGCGGCCCACCTAGTGTGGGAGCTGGGTCACTGCTCGTACCCGCCACTTCGTCTGATCCTTGGCACATACGCGGTCGAGAGTATTCGTGATCGACTCAAGTGTATCATTGAGGAGATTGAAGATTGGAAACATCTCAGCTTTCCTCTCGGTGAAACACAGCCCGCCTCAGGGTCTCGAGACCGGCTTGGGGAGGGGAACGAAGGCGAGGATCCTGCCACATGATGGATGTACAATTCAACCATATGCTGGCTAGCTAGCTCCATCTTCTCAAGATCGTCCAGCAATACTAGGGACGACCAAATTATTATAAACTAGCACTACTAATGATATTATGAGAATCCGATACCCTATATACTCCTGCCCGAAGCAAGCATGCAGATGTACTTGAATGAAGAAATAGCAATTCAATTCTGAAATAACGTCATTTCACGTAGAAACTACAATAGGTGCCACGCTACGAAAGTAAGATCCCAGCCTACTCATATGGTCCTAGTTGCCTCAAGCTTGTATGTTCTGCCTAGAAGAGCAGTCTACGACACAAGGAGTATTTGAAACAGAAAAGAGTTGGCTCTATTCATCTATATACAAACGAGACTGAGGCCATGATAATACAAGTTCACTATCCTTTGGTGACTACTCGATCCTCGAGCCAGCGAGCGAATTTGACACTGGGGACGTCGACTGCGCGCCAGTAGACGTCACCAGCCCATATGGAAAGGGGTAAGCAGACCAGCCAGCCGATCAAGAACCCGAAACAGTATTGAAAGTTGGTTTCCTTGCCGGTCATCGCCCATATACTAGGCATGATCGCGTATCCCAAGCAATGCAGGATTGGTCCATGCACGATGTAAAAGGCAAACGAAATCTTGCCCAGGTACTGCGAGAGGGGATTGGTGAATAATTTTTGGATATCGGGCGAATGATTAATACTGAACACGATGAGCGCGGCGCCGATTGTCTGGGGGAAGCGATGGGGTTCGGGATAAGTCCATGGTGTGGCGTCCCACATCCATCGGTAGAAGGGCGTCCATTTGTATCCGATGTTGGGCGTCGATCCAAAATAGAGGCCAACAAAAAAGACAAATATCCAGAAGCGGCGGCGAGATATGCTGGCGAGGACACTCCCTCCACAAATGAGACGAATATCGGGCTTGTCGTCGACCGCGTTGGGAGGCTTCTCCCATGTTTTGTTGATCTGGTCAATCTCGGCCATCAACATCCCAGTCAAAAAGAGTACTACATCCCAGCGACCGTAGCGCATACAGGACCAAATCAAGATCGCAACGATAGGCATGCGCAACTGCGCGGTGAGACGGGAGGTTCCGAGGGTTACCAGGAAGAGCACCATCGAACTCCGCAATTCCACAGGAATGGTCCATAAATGTGGGTTGTAGTTGTTGTAATAAAGACCCCAGTCGAATGGATTCATGAGGTGCGCAACGGTGTAGTAAAAATCCCAGGACTGCTTGTAAAGAGATTTGTACACTGGAGGATGTTGCTCATTGGTCCCAAGAATGGTATGGCCTTCCTTAATGACGCCCCAAGAGTAATTGTACAGCCCCAGACGGACCGCTACAAAGACACAGGCCAGTCCGACAATTGAAGGAATATAGAGTCGCAATGCTCGGCGGAAAGTTGACGAGGCCAAAACAGTGAAAGTTTGTTCGAAGGAGCGGGAGCGGATGGTCTTGAGAGGTTTGTAGGAGAGGACGTAGCCGGAGATGACGAAAAAGATGGCCACCATGATATGGCCCGAGATCAGCATGTGGACAATGGGCAATTGATGAATGCCAAAGTTCTCATTGGCGAAACCCCATCCGACCGCGACTTTCCAGGTATATGTGAAGAGGAAGTGGAAATTGAAGACGAGCAGACAAGCCCAACCACGAAGCCCGTCCAGCGCGGCGATGGCGTGCAGTTTGGCCGGCTGTGGGGGGGGTTGGCACCGACATAACGTTGTAAGAAACTTGGGGTCAATGCAATTGTCAAGGAATGAAAGGCGTCTTCCGCTTGGGCGATCCAATCGTCCTGCGATCCTTTCGGGGCCAGCCCATTGTCGGTGTTCGCTAGGATGTTGGAGGGATGAAATTGAGAGAAACCATTCCAGCGGGAATTATCTGGACTGGAAGTCGTGTGCGATCCCTTCTCGAGGTCGGCGAGGGGAATATCGGAGGCCGATGTCGAGGCACGTTGGGTAACATGGGATGATGCCATGACCGGGGGGAGGGGGGACAGGTGGCTCTCGCGACGTTTGGGAGCTGTGAAAGCACAAAGGGGGCATGTCCGATCAGGAACCAGACCAGAGATATCGAACAGCGGGGCGCATTGACGCGGGTCAAGCGGGGAGAATGACAACAAGGAGCATTCAACGGTGTGTTTCCAAGGCTGTATCTGAGATCAGCGATCAGAGAGAAACTGATGCCGTGTCCAGAACGGGAGATTGAGAGATTGCGCGGCAGTGGAGATACGTCAGTGCGGGAGAGGCGCTGCGGCAGTGGATTGTGATTGGAGGAGCGGAGAGAAGGGTGTCGATGAAGATGCAGAGACGAGTCCCAATGTTACTGGTAGCACTGGCAGACCTCGGGAGTCACCCAGCTATATGAGTGGAAAACGAAGATTAATGAACACTACCAAGTAGAGGTGAAGTTGAAGGTGAAGGTGAAGCTGACGTTGAACTTGGGAAGTCACGAATGCGGCAGGTCACGTGGTCATACAACAGTTTTCATATTCAGTACTCCCTACAACAGTAGTAGTATTCCAAGGTTTGTAGTTATACTGCCAGTGGCATACCATGGAGCTCTTAGTTATTTCTAGGTGATACATTTCAAGTTAACGTCTGGTTCTGACGGCTGCTACCTAGCTAGCTTCAACCTTGGGACCTTGGAGTTGCCCAGTATACCCGATATATACTTCCGGCAAAGGTGGTGGGAATATAGGGAAAGTAGAAACACAATACATTCCGAACCTGGGAGACCATAAATACTACCCCGATTCCCCTAATTGCTATTAATATCCATGGTTGATAATAGCAGTAATATTATGATGACATCTAAAACGCCCAGATAAGATCAAATGTGCTCAACAAAGTCTGGAACCTCCTGTGATCATGCTGACGTATACTTCGCCATATCCGCGGCGAGAGGCAATTATCGGTCCGTAGATATGGGATGGCATTATTAGTAGTACCCAATCCCTAGTATCTCCGATGAACTTCCAAGCAAATACTAATATAACTAAGGTTAAACTATCCAACTTGACCACCTGGGTATAGGATTCTTGTGTTCTGCTACTTGTATCCATCCCCTTTCAACCAAACTTCAACTTTCCAGCATGAGGTCCACCAGTGATTCCAAACGGAACCTTATCATCGTGTCCAACCGACTACCACTCTCTATCAAACGAGTCGATGGAACCTTTCAATCTTCCCTTTCCAGCGGGGGTCTCGTTACCTCTCTATCAGGTCTCTGCAAATCGACTCAATTCCAGTGGTTTGGATGGCCCGGTTTGGAGGTGAAAGATAGCCAGGATAGAGCCGACGTGGAAAAAAGCCTGAGTGAACACCATGCAGTTCCCATTTTTCTCGACAGTGATCTCGCTCATGAGCATTATAATGGTTTCTCTAGTAAGTTGGTGCAGAAAATTCAGACTGTCTCCCCTTAACAAAATGCAGATCGTATCCTGTGGCCCATTCTACACTACCAATCCGGTGTGATATTCGACGATGGACCCTGGCAAGCCTACCGACGTGTGAACGAGCTCTTTGCTGATTCGATTGCCGATGTCGCCGAGACTGGTACTCTGATCTGGGTGCATGATTACCATCTGATGCTCTTGCCGGAGCTACTCCGCAACCGACTCCACGAAAAGGACAAACACTGCGCCATTGGATTTTCTCTGCACACTCCTTTCCCTGTTGGTGACTTTTGGAGAAATCTTCCCGTTCGAAAATATCTTATCGAGGGGTTACTATCAAGTGACCTCATAGGGTTCCACACGGACGAGTACAAGCAGAACTTTATCGAAACTTGTGCTAGCTTGCTGTGAGTACTGATTAGTCCAGGTGTACCACCTGAGACAATTGCGATTTATTGATCCTTGCTTCTCCTCACGCTCTTAGTGGTGCACGAACCGAAATTCCAAATCAGATTCAATACCGAAATCGACTGGTGTGCACTGACAAGTTTATTGTAGGAATTGATCCGCAGAAATTCACCGATACCCTGCAGAAGCCCGAAGTGAAGGCTCGCATCAAATCGCTTGAAGAGAGATACACAGGGGTGAAAGTCATTGTTGGCGTGGACCGACTTGACCATATCAAAGGGCTTACACAGAAGCTGAAGGGATTTGACGCCTTCCTGGAAGACAATCCTGACTTGCGGAACAAAGTGGTTCTAATACAGGTTGCGGTTCCAAGCCGAGAAGATGTGAAGGAATATCAAGAGTTGGAAACTGAGCTCAGCACCATCGCGGGCAAGATTAACGGGAAATATGGTTCGTTGGTACCAACTAGAAGTCCGAAGTGCAAAATTATGCCAATGTTAACTTGACCAGCAACCCCCGAAGGAACTCCGCTTCTATACATGCATCGTTCGGTCCCATTTACAGAACTTGTTGCTCTGTACTCCATTGCGGATGTTTGCCTTCTCGCTTCGACCCGTGATGGAATGAACCTCGTGTCATTTGAATATGTAGCGTGCCAGGCAGAGAGACACGGGGTTCTCGTCCTGTCCGAGTTTGCGGGAGCGGCCACTTTCATGCGTGATGGAAGCATTCCATTCCATCCAGCCAACACGACTGAAATGTCAGAATCGATTGCTAAGGCTTTGAATTTGGACCCTGCTGAGCGGAAGCGAAAGTATGAATATCTGCGGGACTTTGTGAACAAAAATACCAGGTTAGACCTCGAATATGTTCTCAAGACTGCATAAATTGTACTAACCGGGTCCATCTAGTGCCAAATGGGGAGAGACTTTTATTGGGAGGCTTTCCCAACGAGGTAAACGACCTGATAGGCCTTGTTGAGCGCTGTCTGATACACCGCGGTGGGTAGTGTGGATCAAGGATAATACTTGTTCGTACATGAAGGCTAGAGTTTCTAAGAGTTACTGAAAAGATAATTGGGGAAAGAGGTGATGCGGTTAAAATTCATACACGACCCTCCAACTTAGTCTTCTTTCCCCCTTTCCCCAGAGGTATCTTGGGACCGAGTCCTATTTCTGAGCTAGGTAGTCGAGGAAGACTTCTGGAATATCTGATTTTAGGCGACGGTATGGCTTGCTCCTTGTTCGAGAATTTCACCCTCATCCAATTTCTTCGCGATTTGAACACCCGCACTGGTACCAATACGCGTAGCACCGGATTTGATCATGCGCATACAGTCCGCCGCCGTGCGAATCCCTCCACTGGCCTTAATTCTGATATCATTATTCCCACAGGCCTCCGCGGTGAGCTGCATGACATTGACTTGATTCACATCGGCGCCCGCCCCTTTGAAACCTGTGCTGGTCTTCACAAACTCCACATCGGCTATGCAACATATGACGGTTCCAGCGATCAACTCATCCTTCGTAAGCTGAGAGGCTTCCAAAATACACTTGATAATGGTCGGGGGAGGCGCGGCCTTGCGTATTGCCGAAATGTCGTCAAAGACAGAGGTATAATCGCCGTTTTTTAGCTTTGGCCAGTTGATAACCATATCCAGCTCGGTCGCTCCCTGTAAAATAGCCTCCTGGGCTTCTTGTACCTTGTCGGCGGTGTCGTGAGTACCTTCTGGGAAGCCCACAACGCAAGCGATACCAGTTTTAGGGGCGTTGCGGAGATAGGTTGCGGCGCGGTTGACGTATTCGGGCCATATGCAGACGGTGGCAAAGTCATGGTCGATGGCTTCCTGGCATAGAGTATCGATATCTTCCGGTTGAATGGGCTTTTTGAGAAGGGTGTGATCGATCATGCGAGGGACTTGTAATGGAATAATTGGTTGGGATAAACATCTCTCGGGGACCTTCTCGCGCACGTTGGAGATTAATGCCGCCCACTCGGCGTCGGTGGAGGGTACGGACGACATGATGGTATCTTCGCGGAGCAATATTGAACAGGCGAGGTGGATGGTTGTTAAAATCTTCAAGGATGACTTGAAGGAATCAGAAGCTCCCTGGGTCGCCAATGTCCATGTCAAAGCGAATGTCCATGTCAACGTCAATTGTAACCAAAGAGAGGGGAAAGAGGGGGATATCACGTGAGGTTTATGCTAGCTCATTATATCTCATTATTACTAGAATAATCATGGTCTTGGAGACAGAAATGAACCGGGAATGAGTATACCAAGGTGCTGTTATAGACTAGTATACTGTATATGGTAACCGGTGGAAGGGTTGATCCATGGATGAGGAAGAAGATAGTGGTAGTGAGTGTATGGTGGATAATGGTATCACAGAGATTGGAAAAAGAACAAGGCTGCATGCGAAGGTATTGAACAGGTACAGGTAAACCTCGTATCCCACTTCCACCTCTCGGAGTAAACAAGTACATTTCGGGTATCGTAGTAAAATGGTGGTGACATGGCATAGCATGGCATAGCGGAGACTGACGCAGCTGCCTTTTTTATGCCGAAGATGATCAGAGATGATCCGAGGTGATCAGAAGTCTAACGACAACTGCCACACTCTGGTCCTCGTACATCGTCCACCCGTCCAATGCGCCGACTACCACCACCACAGCCTGAACCATAATCGTAACCAGGGCCAGAGTCACCCCCGCCACCACCACCACCTCCTCCCCCACCGAAGTAAGAGCTGGGGCCGCGACCACGTCGACCGGAAACAGTGCTTGATCGATGAATGTTGAACTGGGAGTTTTGGGCAGCGCCGTATGGGTCGAGCTGCGAGATCGAGTATTAGCGATCGGCGAAAGACAAGCTTGGAAAACGCGTACTACGCGACGCTAGAGGGGAGAGGGCCGGTCGGAAAAGAACAAGATCGGTCGCAGAAGGAAGCAGCTTCACTCACCGAGAAGAGGCTCACGGTATACAAGCCAAGCAAACTGTAGGCATCGTTGAAGAAACGGGAGACGCGGACGGTGAGCGGGGGTCTGTGGAGCACGCGTTAGTGGGAGATCAAAGAAGATAAAAGGCCAGAGAGGAGTCACCGTTCGAGCGCTTGGCCGTTCGAAAAGTATGTTGTTTGCGGCTTGGGGGTAGACATTTGTGTGAAGGTGATGTATTCCAAGGTTGTTGAAGTTGAAGTTGAAGTTGAAGATGAAGAAGAAGTTGAGTTGGAAGTTCAAGTTGAATTTGGGGGCGGCTGACATGAGCGGACCGGACCGCTTTGGGAAAGCCGCCAGGGCAACTATAAAAGTGTATAAAAAGCATATAAAATATATAAACGTAGGGGAAGTTCCTGGGGAACAACAGAATTAAATAGATACATCCATTTAATACCTCGATCCGATCCAATATTTCTACCTCGGAATCACCTCCACTCGGGGTCCTGAGTAGTTCTTTCGCCCATCCACAAACCACTGGATGGTCGAGATACTCAAGATGATACCGAATGCCACGACGCAGTAATCTACAATAATAGTGGCTCACGGTTAGTACTAGAGAGTAAAAGTTGATAGGAATATTGAGAAAATGTTGTGACTCACTCATATTACTGCCAGTAACAGGTAGCTCGGGCGGGAAGAGGAAAAGAACTGTTGTTAAGCTGATGTATAATAAAGAAACCTACCAGAGAGTATTTAGCATTTTACTGACAAGAAAAAAAGTAAATTCCATAAAGTTCAAACATACGATGTTCAATACCCAACCAAGAAGATTGGGAAGCACGAAATGCCTCTCAGGGAGCATGTTGCGTCCTCGGAGGCAGTGGACTGCAATTGGGATCCCATATGAGAGATCTAGTAACACCACCGAGGCTGATATGATCGCGTTGAAAGCACTATAGGAGAAATGAATGAGTTTCAATCGAAGGACAGAATGGAGGGAAAGTAGTACACACCTGGTAGATCCGAGAAGAATGACTCCGAAGATGACAACAAGAACCAGGTTGAGATAAAGTGCATTGAGAGGGACTTGAAGTTTGGGGTGAATCCGAGAGAAAAAGAATGAGGCGGGAAGTCCACCATCTCTGTGAGGAATGCGTTGGATTAATACTAGTACTAGCAGTACAAGTAGTACTGAAGTTTCACGGTTCTCTCACCTAGCAAATGCATATATCATGCGACTACTCGTTGTCATGATAGCCGTTGCCGCAAAAAGGACACAAATGATAGGGAACCTTGTATCCTGTTAGAAAAAACGATAATATGTGAGATTCAGGGAGAGTTTCTCACATCAACAGACAAATGGCCCCTGGGGTATTCCCAGTCGCACGGCTTAATATTGCCAGCAACGGCGTTGCCGCAGAACCGGTGATTTCCGAGATATTACCAGCCACAAAGAGAAGAACGACAAGAAAGATAGACCCGGTTATCGTCCCAATTCCTACACAAGCGATCATGATTTGAGGCCCTGTTTCGGATGGGTAAGGGATTTCTGTGAGGCGTCAGAACAGCGAGAATAAATTACTCCAATCTTAACTGAGAGAGAGAGTTAACCACCTTCTATCATATGAGCCACTGCATCAAACCCAGTGACACCGAGGCCTCCTTGCAAAAGTCCCAGCAACCAGGCAACCCCATCGGGCCACCCGGTTTGATTGACAAAATCGCGAAAGACAAATCTTCAAAATTTGGTGAATATCTTAGTGTGCAGCTCTAGCCAGAAAAAAAGGACAAAGGGGAACCCAACTCACTCTGCCGAGTTGTAATCTGGAGCCGAGCAAGAAAGTACCACAATACAGATTATGGCAAATCCACTCAACGACCAAATAACTAGACATTTATCAGCACCAGTTGACCATAATTCAAAGGAAGGAGCGTCTTTCCTACACGCAGCTCTGGTCAAATGGGGCAAAAGACTGTTACCGATGGCGTTCATGGTAAAAGCAGCAAAAGTGTAACCAAGGTATATCAGGAACTGATGCCAGTTCTGGAATTGGTATGCCTAAAATCAATTCTGAGTTCAGGTAGACCAAAAAGACAGGGTTGAGACTTACTGGATTCACCAAGGAAACAATGCCCAGGATCAGTTGGCTTCCAAGGACGCCGCCAGTAGCTGCCAAGGCAACCCAGCCAGAGCAGTTTACCCACCCAGTTATCCATGATATAATTGGCATCCAGCTCTCCCAGGATATAAGTGCAACCCAGTGATATTGCCCTCCAGCTGTCGGATATGCAGAAAGAAACTCCGCAAGCGAAGTAGCCATACATAGGCTACAGGTTCCAGCTGTGATAAGCCCTAGATTCCAGATTATGAGCATATCATTCTTGCGTTGGACTTTGAAACGTTGCTCACCCCAGACAACACTGGAACTTCCGCCTGAGGGTAAACTAATGGATAGACTTGTTGATAATGCGGTCCAGGACTTCGTACTGTTAACCGAGAATCATGATAGACTTGATGGTATGTTTGGTGTGTCTTACATTCAAGATGGCAAATGCTAAACCTAACATTGATCTGTTCCTGTCAGCCATATAGTGTTACTTTTGGGGACCGAGGGGAAATATACAGGAAGGAAAACTGTTGCTTAAGCTCCCCGCTGTGACCTATGTGATTTAGCTTGTCATCGCCATTGCCTGACTTGTGATGTATTGACATTTTGTCCCTCTGTTCTGTTCAGGATTGTAATGTATGGAGCAGAAGAGGGGGTAGGGGTAGACAAAGAAATCAAGAGCGCAGAAAGGAGTGCAAAAAGAGAAGACGGAATATCGAAAATAGTGGAATGAGGAGAGAGCACTCTGATTCAATGACTGGCTGCAACGGGTTGAGATATGACTTCACATTCATCAACGAGCACTCTCCAATGGAAGTAAGGGTCGCCAAAGTCGAGGTACTGTCACGGATAATGATAAAAGGATATGATTGAAGTGAAATGAATAGTGAAATCACCTATGGAAGTTGAATAATTAACCAAATTCCAAATCCATTTCCTACATTCAGTTGATATAGTTGTACCTAGGGGGTCAAATTGAATGTATTGGCTTAATTCCCCGTGGGGTAGCCATTTGTGGGGTACGTATCTCACTCTCAACGGACTAATGTCCGCAGTCCACTATAATTGGAATTGACCAATTAGGTAACTCATATAATGGCAATTGAAGATCAAGGTAGCCCAGAAAACAGGATGTCGACTTTATTGAGTGGTAATTGGCTCGCAGAAAATCACAAGCGCTAATGCTCGCATGGACATTCCCCAACTGGCAAAGCCCAAGATATAACTGATAATATGGAGAATAGTGATTTGTATTGATCGATATGATACAATTAATTCAGGCCCCTAAATCTTTGAATCTAATTTGAATTGAAACTGTCTGTGTGTTATCTCAGTTGAATACTATCTCACTTCAAGCTCGAATAGTAAAACCATTAGTGAGTAGACTGGGCAGCAGATGTAGTGTTCTTTTCACACCTTAGATACCATATAAAGCAGAGCAGGTTGCTAAACAAGCTTCCTCAATTGAGTACCTTCTTAATGAGTGTCTAAGCTGTCCAGAAAGCCCTACTACGTGAGCACTATACCAACTAATCCATGATGCCAACTAGTACTTTATATTTCTGTTAGATTTGTACTGGCCAAGGGGTTCTTTTGGCGACTCATTTGCTTTCTTTTGGTATTATGGTACTAACATTATGTGTGGTGCCAGGTGGCAACTTTAAGTTGCCTAATATAGTTGGAAAGAAGCTTGTACGCTACCTATCTTACTATACTAGGTACCATGCCAGTTGTGCCTGAGACTATCAAAGCAGTAGCTTCGATACTGTAGTCCGATTTTGTTCAAGCGATTGGAATAGTAGCATGTGAAGTCAGGTACTTGCTGTTTTAAGAAGATAAGAGAGATGTAAAAAAAGGACCTGGGCCTACTTCAAGTTCCAATTGAATACACACTACCAGTGGGTATCTATAATTGGCCGAATAACAGTGAACCTGATTGTTGCTTTAACCTTCAAGTTCAAGTTGGAACTTGAACCAGTGTGGACATATTAAGCAACCTCTATATACAAAAGTCAGCGATGAGCTGCACCAAATTACTCGCAGTTTCCCGTATACTTTTTACATCGACCCATTCCTCCTTTGCATGTAATCCCTGACCTGCTGGCCCTGGCACAAGAGTCGGAATCCCAACAGCACCCAAAAGGACAGCATCACACCAGATAGCCATACTTCTCATGGATTGGTAGCTCCCGTAGACGTTATGAGCCGCTTCTACGACCTATTGAACAAAGGGATGATCGAATGGAAGTTTCTGTGACGGACGCGACAAAGTGATCCGCGGTTTTTCAATGCGAAAGGTAGGCTTACTTGTAGCAATTTCATGAAGCAAAAAGCTTATGTCACGAAGGATAGAGTCATCAGCTTGGACATGAATTTTGCGTACTTTGGTGGTAACAGTGCATTTCGCTGGATAGGAAGAGGGCTCTTCGCCGCCATTGATCAAACTGCAATGCAAGGATGACGGTCCGATAAATTCATCGATTGGGAGCCGTCTTTGATACTCCTCTAGCGCAGTGAGAACCCAACCAGGCCGAAGAATTGCATCTACACCAGACGCCGGATCTGACCCATGGGCCGCAGTCCCCAGAATATCGACTTCAACCCAGACGAAGCCTTTATGGGCGGTAATGAGCACGCGGTTGGTAGTTCTGGAATGATAGCCCCGTTTGCGCGTCAGCCGGCAGCGATAAGATCTTGAGTTCCTTGAGACGCGTCTTCTTCATCCGAGACCGCTGCGAGTATGACATCTCCGTGCAAGGGAGTTACCTGATTTTTCTTGATCGCCGCGACATCTGCCATTTCCGCAGCGAGACCGGATTTCATGTCCAATGCGCCCCTGCCAAAGATAACAAGGCTTCCATCCTTTTCCATCGTGTGTCCAAAGAGACTCTCGAACTCATAGCTATTCAAACTCACGGTGTCGATATGGGTATTGATCATGAGCGACTTTCCGCCGCCCGTTCCTCTGACCACACCAACAATAGATGACCACGAGGCACAGTTTCAATCCTATGTTGCTCAATACCGCGATGCTGAAGCCATGCAGATATGTAGTCGACGATTCCGCTCTCGCCGGCGTCCGGCGTCGCCGATAGCGTGACATTTGAGGAGTCGATTCTCTTCAGAATCTGTGTCAACGCAACGCAGTCTTCGACAACTGTCACATTGAATAAAGCAGAAGGTTGAGGAGATTTGTCAGGCATGCTGAATGTATAATTTCTTTCGCGCTGGGAGAGGGTGATACTATCTTTCTGATTTTTCTCGTGAGGTTCGATCCAGAACTACACACCTGGGCACCCAGGCATTTCACCGAGACCGGGCGCCTTCCAGGAACATCACGACAAGCATTTCCGTAAGTATCCACAACCTTCGAATCAATATCTGACAGAACACAACCGAAAAAAAGAACTAAAAACACCTGCGTGAAGCTTTCTATCCTTAGCTGATTGCTTTTGTCAATACTCCATTTACACTTCAGTTTTATCTAAGATCGTATGGTTATAATAAGAGTATCCCTCTCTTCTTTCCCCTCACTTTTACTACTTTTTGTTTGTTACTACACAATATTCCAATCATCCCAAGTCACCACAAAAGTTTATCTGCACTTCACTTGATTTTTCTTTATATACTTCACAATCCGTAGCTATCTCCCATGTTGCGGCTTTCTTCTTGGCCTGTGGCAGCCTCGTATCATAACAAAACAGCCTGGAAGGAGTTGCTTGATATTTCAAAAGAGTCAAGTGGGGGAAATCTGTTGAGAGAGATCCTATACTGTTGAAAAGCTTATATTACCGAGCCGATTCAGTAGCTTAGAAGCTGGAAGCCTGATTGTCACCACTGGAGCACTGGAGATGTCTTAAGTACAGGTTGGGACATTTCCTGCGCACCAACTTCCAGTGGAAGTAGACTTGCAGCACTTGAAGGATGATGCTAATTTAGACCAGTTCCGAGAAGACGATGCGCAGACGTCAGAAATATGCTGAGATCCCTTAATAGAGTTGGTGTGCTTTCCATTGCAATTGAAGTTCCTAGCTACTATTAGCCCCAATCTAGATTCCACCCCGATAGGCTGGCTAAGTAGCAGAAATGTAGACCTACTCCCAGATTGTGCATTCGTAGCCACTCGGAATCACCATTTGTTGGAGATTGTCGTTGAACTGGGCGAGAGTACCGCCGTTAAGGCTAACTATTAGAACTCTTCAGCTATCTTCTTCTATGAGTGTAGATTGGTAATTGGGAGGGAAAATATATTGATAGATTTGGCTTACAGCAACTTCCAGTAGAGTCCACATTGTATGGAATACTGACTCCGCCGGTACTGATCAAAGATACCTGGATGTCGGCGTTGACATAGCCAAGAAGGGAAAGACCGATAATGGTTTTGATGAGCATATTTACTAGGTAGTTCTGAAATTCTTGTTGGGCCGGTGACTGTGTTTTAGAGAGGATTTTTGGAATGAATTGCTTGGTCTAAAAGAAATAGGGATAGATGGTACTGATACTTATACTTCAAACAGGTGAATCAAGTGGGATGCCTTATTATGAGTCCTATCCATGCTCTTGCGGTGACTCTACAAATAGAATTCATCAAATAGATTTTCTCAAAAGATGCCCAGATGTGCCAAGGACGAGCTAGATTACCGGCCTTATGAGCTGAGCTTGTATCATTTGCCAGCGTTCAGCGCATAGCATCCCCATGCCTAGAAAGATCAGATCTAGGCAGAGAACCATTTACTCTTTGCAGTATGAAGGTCCCCCCCTTGCTAGTGCAATTTCACAAACATGTTTGATTTTGACCAATTTCCCTCTTGGATATTCCGGGGAGCTGGAAAGTCTGCCGATGTAAGTTTCCTGGCTGATCAGTAGGAATCTATGAAATCAGCACACAGTAGGGATTGCCAACCTTACGTAATCTCGAAGCGGGTGAGCTGAAAGAATGTACTTCCTATGATTCCTATCCTTTTGAATTTTTAATAACTAGATGTCGGGTTATGAGAGGATGGGTGTATCAACGTAAATTTCTAGACTTGGGGACACTAGGCTTGGGCGAATGTTGACATTTTGTAAACTACCTAGTATTAAAATATAACTATTGCTGCAAAGAGATCTTGCCTTCGATACCTTGGTTTCTAGAGATTTTAGAATTAATAGACTTAACAGAATCCAGTAGGTAAAATACCATCAGGGATACTGATTGCTTGACATGATAGTTTTGCGCCAAGTCGTGCTGACAACATCTCCAAGCTGACTACATAAGCCACCTAACTACATAAGCCACCTAACTAAATAAGCCAGCTGACCTAAAACAGATCCGATCAGATGATTCCACTTCATTCAATCTACTAGTACCTAGTAGGAAACTGGTCTATTCGATTCTCTACTAGTTAGTAAGCACCATTTCTCAATGCTGTTCAGGCCTGGAGCCTCAGGCACCAGACCAGGCAATAACATCTCGCCTTGCCAGATATCAGTATGCATGCACCATTTCCTGGTTGTCATCCACTACCACAGCTTCAGGCCACAGGCTTCGATTTTAGGTCAGCTGCCTCGCAGCGCGGGCGAGACTTCGCGAGACATCCTTCCATTTTACCTTTTTGGAATGCATGATCTACATCCACGTTCCCCTTTACATATTGGCTAGTGAGATACGTCGTGTCAACTTTTGTGCGAGCAGCGTGTAGATTTATTCTTCCGATCGATGCTGGACTGGCCAACACAGCGGACCGAGATTCGGCCCACGGTGATCCTCAATTTGAAATCTCTCTATAAGCTTAAACAGAGAAAGTACTGATAAAGGAAAAGAAAATTCAAGAGATGTAAGAGCAAGGATATTTAACATTTAGGAACTCATCCCTGAAATTAGACAAGGCATACCTCCCAGGAATTACCCTCCTGGATTCTAAGCAGTGTTCTCAATGAATAGGCTCTGTAATCGCACCACAATCAAGTTTCGTTTATTTGTGCTCCGACTCCGCCCCCTCCGCCACCCCCCACCCCATCTTCATAGGTTCTATTGGAATCGTATTTCAACCGGCGCATTTCTGGCCCACAGATCAAAGAAGACTTTTTTTTTTCATAGCCGTGCCCCAGCTAGACAATTCTCTAAGACGCCATGGATCTGGAAGATATCTACAGCATACCGAAAAGGATTGGACACTTTGATTGAAGATCGCGAAGCACCCATTAAAACTATTGAAGAATGGGGTGATACTTTTGAATGCAATCTCGAGTTTTACGACGACATTCGTGCACTTCTTGGAAAATTCAATTCGAAAATTGAAAAGTACAGAACTGACAAGAATATGTGCCTTTATCGATATCTAGATGTCGACACTAATTGATAACGCATGGTAGTATCATTGCGATTGCAGGACTGTACGGACACGCGTTGAAAGGAAGAGGAAATCTCGGTCCCATATGGCTCCGTGACTTCTTATGAAAGGATCTACCAAGTGTTACAATTCTGGCGATGGACCCTCGTCAATATGGTCATCGGCGAGGCATTCGTATATGCCGGAGGGATGCTACCTTAACAATAGCCACCAAGGGAAATTCGCACTCCTCCGGCTGGCTTGGCAATTGGTGGGGGCACCTCAATGAAGTTAGGCGCTCCTAAATTAGACATTGAGCCTCGTGTTCGCACCTGATTCCAAGGTTGATACTACCTCTAATAATTCCTGAACGACTCGGAGTTAGGGGTCAAACTTGAACTTTCAAGATTAGGTGCCCTATGAGAGAATCTTGAAACTTCCTTACTACTTAAAGTGAACTACACTGAAATTATATATCCTAAGGTCAAGATATAGTATTGTGGGTTCAAAAAAGCAATTTCGACACATAATAGTGAATGGGGACTTTAAGCTTACAATAGCAAGATTTGTTCAAATGCATATTAGTGTGCTGCGGATTTTTCATGGATACAAATGATAAGTCTCGTGAAAAATCCAAGTAGAACTGGCATTGCCTGCTAACATCGGGAGTATTGTAAGTCGAAATAGTTGGAGTGGACTTTTTCCTTGCACGGCCCTCCTCAATCCCTCGGCAAACGGGCTTGTTTGTTTAGCCTCGATAGTGACCCCGTACCTTTTCTCCCCTGCAAGTATCCGTCACCTGGAATCAAAATTAAAATACTGTGATGATTGAACGAATTGGCAACGATCCCTCTAACTTTTGGACTTACGATGACGAGACAGGGCTTGTCGATCTTTCGCGAGGGGCTGGGCGGGGCAAACGGCTCACAGTCGAGACCACAACCGGTCCCATTCAATTAAACCCCGATACGAGTGTCGCACCATGATCTGCACGAAGTGGGCGCTGGCTTATGGTGCTAGATATTGCAGATAATGATAGTCTTTTCTTAGTGGCAATACATTTAATGAAAGAGCTCCACTGGGGAGGCTCCTGTGAAAATATGAATTCCATTCACATAGCCTCGTCTTCTATCAGCAAAGACGAGCAGCTTCAATTTCGTCCCACAGCATATGGATAGGATTAGAGTAGTCGTTGCATCTTTCCTTGGCTGGACCACCCATTTCATATATTCTATCAATTTCCGATAGTTACATTTTATCTTTATACTAGAGTGAGGGACTGAGAGTGAACTGAGGGGAAGGTGGACGAAGGGGGGGGGATTGATCTTGCCGAAGAGCCTATGTGTCAGCAAGTCTTGCTCTAGTCCACCGCCGGAGGGTGAGTGAATATCCTGGCTTCAGCTCATGAAACGTAGTTCCCCAAAATACTCGACCTTCGGGGAAAAAAGGTGACTTGGCGATTGTGTTTGTGTACTGTATCGTGGAGCTCGATTCGACTCGTCAAAAACACTAAAATCTCATCGAGGAGTATAATTACTTTGAATTTTGATGCCATTTGAAAGGTGATTTCAAGCTGTGATTCAGGAGACAACAAGCACGACCCCAAGCATATTCTCTACAAGGTCTGAGTAGGCGTTTTCAGCCTCTGGCTCGACAAATATTGCCCACAGATGCCAGTCTTCCTAGTCTAGGGCATTTTGGAAACTGCTGGCTGGTAGCTCGTACATGGCTTGACCATTGGTCAAGTGTGGGAGAATCAGATTATCTACTCTAGTCGCAATACAATCAAGATCGCTAGTTTAACAGATGTCCTAGGCCACGCTATAATTCTAATTTATATCCTAATTTATATACCAGGGGCTTCAAAATTGTAATGGGCTGGCCCCGAGGGTCTCTCTTGAAGGAGGCATAGAATGTGACTAGGGCTGAGTTTGGGTATTAGTCTCAAGTGGGACTAGAGCATCATGAAAAGCTAAATTCATCAATCCATAGATGCTTTACTTAATTTGGCTCTTCATAAAACATATTTTTGCTATTCCAGGTTTCAGCATACTTTGGGGAGCTCTTAGGTTACAAGAATAATCCGAGAACTATGTTCACAGCCTTTGCATTTGCAGAAAAATGTAGGGAAACCTAAAACCGAAGGAGAAAACCCACATTAAGGCCAAACGACAAAAGACGCCCGAAGATCTGACGTGACAGGAAACGAGAAGACCTTGATCGTTGGTAACCCAAAGCGCCCAAAGTCGTTCGAATTTACTAGTTGGTTGAACTGTTAGCTTCAGCACTAGCCACACGGCTATTTTTTGTCAGCAGGCCAACCCTTACATTCTGTTGATCGCTCTGTTAGCCTTGGCCGCGTGTTATCATTCCTCCGCAGAAGGTCCTATCACTTACAACCTATCTCGCTCTCTGTTAGCCTTGGTCGTGCGATTATCGTTCTTCAGTAGGAGGTAATAATACTTACACTCTGTAAATCGCTCTATTAGCCCTACCGTGTTCACGCGATTATTATTCTTCAGCGGGAGGTACCATAACTTACAACCTATTGGTTGCTCTCTGTTAGCCCTGATTATGTGGTTATTGTTCTTTGATAGGAATTACCTACACCCTGTAGATTGCATTATTAGCCATAGTCACACAATAATCATTCTTCAGCAGGAGATACTATTACTTACAGCCTTTCGGTTGTTATGTTAACCCTGGTCGCGCAGTCATCTTTCTTCAGCCGGGAGGTATCATCACTTACATCCTGTTGAGCACTCTGTTAGCCTCGGCCATATGTCATCGTCCTTCAGCAGGAAGTACCATTACTTACAAGCTGTCGGTTGCTCTGTTAGCCCTGGTCGCATAATTATCATTCCTCTAGCGGATACCAGCACTTACATTCTGTTGATCGCTCTGTTAGCCGCGGTCATGTGTTATCATTCTCAGCAGGAGATACTATGACTTACAACCTGTTGGTCGCTCTCTGTTAGCCCTATTCGCGTGTTATTCTTCTCCAGCAGAGGTACAATCACTTACTTGCTATATATCGCCTTTTTAGCCCTAGTCTCAAAATTATCATTCTTCAGCAGGAGG